ACCGCAATTGGTGCTGACATTGTCTGGACACGCAGTGAAGACGACACCGCAATTGGTGCTGACATTGTCTGGACACGCAGTGAAGACGACACCGCAATTGGTGCTGACATTGTCTGGACACGAAGTGAAGACGACACCGCAATTGGTGCTGACATTGTCTGGACACGAAGTGAAGACGACACCGCAATCGGTGCCGATATTGTTTGGACACGAAGTGAAGACGACACCGCAATCGGTGCTGACATTGTTTGGGTTCGCAGCGAGGGTGCTGATGTTGTCTAATAACGTCTGGCAGTAGTGTAATTGTGGGATTCATCTCGGCTCATATTGTCATGGAACCACAAAACCAAAGATGAAGTGAAGACTACTATGGCCAGAAAAACCTCTAGGGTCGAAGTAGACGCTACGAATGTGATATGAATGTGAATTGGCTAAATTAAATATTATTTCTTATTTCTCCGAAACAATAAAAGAACTTACATTTCCTTGACCTACGCCGGAGAGGCCCTTACAGCAATTCTTAAAGCATTGCATATTTTTTAAACGAAAGAGACTACCCCAAACAAGTGTAGCCTCGGTAAAAGGTAACATGGGGCGAGACGACATGATTCCAATACGGGAATCGACAGGTGAAAATCCTTTGAGATACTTACCAATCACATCCTAGATAGATGAACTCGCCAGACGATATGTTCAACGCATGGGTGTCTAGATCTGTGGGGATAATGAAGACTCGCTGGCTAGAAATCGGGATCAGATTGCGTAAGGCATCCCATTCATCTTTTAGTGATGAATAAGTACCACATATAGATTTTCATCACACTTGCTGTCCGTACATCGCTTACTAAAGCGAGATAAGGTGGCCTGAAAGACACACACCCTAAGTGCACATAAAGCAGTCCAATGCTAATATAGATTCCATCTTCAGAAAGTACCATCCATAGAAGATATCTTTAGTAATCCTTTCGCAAAGCCAACAACTCCTCTCTTTCCACCAGGTCTGCACTGCAGCTACTGAAACGCCACCAATCAATCCTCACCCGGCTCTCTTCATTGACGAGCGACCACTTAACCGGATCCGGCAAAGGTAGGAAAGAACTCCATTTCCCACTTTCAAACTTAGTGTCTAGGTTAAACCAGAGAATGGGCAGGACATCTGTGACCGAATATCGTGCTAGCGCGTGCTGCGTGGTTGCATCACCAATTTCTCGTATGGCGAAGTTGTACTGGTTAAGGGAAAGTAGTTCAATGGCGCTAGATGGTCATAGAAGGCTGAGCCATAAGTATCAAGGATTTTGACCAGGTCGGTACCCCGGTATTCGGATGTTGAGGCCAGGCATTTGTCGATGTATTGCTTGGTGGTGTCGAAATCAGCGTGAAAAGCAGCTTTATGCATTAGCAACATCTTACATCAAATATCTTCAAAGCTTACCATGCTCTGCCATATCCTCATCCATAACGCCCTTAATGCCAATACTTTCTTCAATCTTGGGGAATAACACCGCCTCCTCGCTGTCGTGGTACCCGACCATAAAGGCATGGTACGCATCACAATAATGCAAGAAATCAGAGACATCTGCACTCTTGATTTTGGGTGCTTGTAGATAGATCCTATTCCAGCCGCGGATAATTAAATTGTGTACGAGCGTCGTATGCGACGCGAACTCGGTGAATTAGTCATCGCCTTCCTATTGTTTTGCTTTCTGTCAGTATGTATGTACTCTTACGATGGATGTTTTCTTCCTAGTAAGTATCCCTACTTTGCCAGTGCCCCCAGGAGTGGGAAGCAGCTTCATTGAGCCATCAGCGTATGTGGCAGACATGTTTCTTGAGACGGCAAGGCTGAAAGAATTGGCTGATCATTGTCGAAAGGCAGTATAATGGGAGAGCGACTCAATTTGTAAGTGCCTCGGTCCTAAATTATTGATAAAGCTGAAAAGTAGGGCTGATTTTTGCACGTCGACGAGAATTACGCTCCGTATGAGTTCAGTATCATAAGCTATCAACGGTCGTATCATAGTCCACATTCCCACATATACGATAGATACAAACGATATAATTTTATGTCCAATGCAACATCGCTTGCGCGATGTGGGGTGCCAGCACTTGGGCCTACTTTCTGTCGACAAATAGGAAAGGACGGTGTTGTCACGAGTAGTAAGTAACGCCATCACACTCGATTTGAATGCCGACACTTTTCGCTCGGTCTCTAAGACCCTGCTGTGAGTTAGAAACATACAGGTAGGTCCTAGACCCTGCTTGTTATAGACTGCAAATCAGTGTCCAATGGTAAATGGCCCGGCTTAAATATTTCACAGGCCTAGCGGAGAGATGGAGCTCGCAAATTTAGGGCAGCATGCATAAAGCCCTAAGGCGGCTGAAATATCCGGATTAGGAAATAAGGCGTCTAACTGCGGTTGCCTGGGCGGCGCCGTATCACAATAAGGCTGCCTTGGATTTTGATTGCATATGAACAACGTCTATTAATCCTCCAGAGTCAAGAAACTCGTGCTCCGAATGTATTAAAATGCCGCGCAAAGTATACCTCATCGTATACAGGTCGCCCCTCTTCCCGGCTCATTGGTCACTCTGGATCCCGAGCCTCGCAGATCCCAACATTGGTAAACGAATCCATGTCACTGGAGACGTTCACTCAGGATTTGAGCACGATTTCGTGCGGAATCATGACTTGAGAACCGAGACGAGGACGCATATCGTTATTCTCATCGGTGAAGTCGACGATAAACAAGTCGTGGATGATGATACGGATTTGAAGGATGGCGAAGAACGATTTGAAAAGAGGGACAAATCTCCTAGAGATCGCATTGAGGAGATTGCGCTTGGTGTTATTGCTCCAGGTCCAAGTATGAATTCGGCGTCTAGGAATGTGGTAATGTTGAACCCATTCTGTCTAAAATCGTATTGTCTAATGCGGTCCAGGCACCAACTAAGCGAACTCAAATGAGGAATTGTCAACATTGGTTGGCTGACTTTGTCGCGGAACTGGTGGAGTGGAATATCCTACCATTAAGTGCTATTTCTGTCATGGAGGGAGCGCCAAAAAACTAGTTGAGAGTCTAATCGGTCTTAAACAATACTCCCAGCAATAGAGTGTTGAGCATTCATGGACGATGAATTTTAGAACGAAATATTCGGTATATTTTCTTGATATGAAAAAATCACCTTATCGGGTACATGTTTCCTGATCGGGCAGGCACAAGTTTTATTTCAAACCCCTCCTCCCAACCAAAACGTAAATTGGTAACAGTGAACTATTCTGGAAGAAAAAAAAAGGGAATAACTTCGCTCAATCCTGATCAGTCCTCTCCATGATCAAAACCGGATGTCGACCCTTGACTTTGACTCTTTCTCCGCCGACTTCAAGAGTCATCTTCCACTCCAACTCATATGTGCGTTTGATGTTATACGTGATGAAAGTTGGTGCATAAATCCCATCCTGGCCACGTTGCATATTCAAATCCAACACTTCTCCAAAGTTCAGCGGACCCGCGTCTTCGTCAATCGGCAGTGTCATCGAATCACCATTATCGGTCAACATAGAGGTTTTACACGGAATTTCTTGATTATCGACCCGATTGACATTCTTTGGCTTGGTATAGTCCGCCAATAAAATCTTCGTCGTGGAGGTATCTTCACGCACAACCGGAACTGGCCCCAGAGCACCTGAGGCAATACCCGTGATACTCGAGGTCGATCGGATCCCAACTTTCAATTTCTCTATATTGATGGTGTGGCGAATTTTTGCGATGCATTCGCTCGTTTCCATCCATTGCGGTATAGCTCGCAACTCAAATGGGATTTGGTACGGACTGTCTATTTGAAGGACTGACGGTACGCTGGTTTCTAGACAGAAGGTGAGACGAGGAGCTTTAGATGGCCTTAGCACTTTGCCAACTTTGTGTCCCATGGAAAGTTTGGGTGTTTGCATATTTGCAGGCAGGAGATGAGAGGAAGTAATGGTATAGAGCTGCCGAGATTGCAATTTGATATCAAAATCTGTGATTGGGAAAGGCGACGATTCGCAACGAAGCTGAATCGGCAGCCGAGCCACGATGGGTGTTGAGAGGTTGGCGGTCTTCATGGTGGCTTCTAAATAGTATTCAACTGCTGCAGAACCACGACGTGACGCAGAAACACCACTGCTGCCCAGATCAAAAGAAGGGGGAAGGGCATGTTGCTTTGTTGATAGCAAAGGTAGGTATGATGCCTTGCCCAGTGGATGCAACCTCAACGATTGTGCGTCAGGATAAATAGGAATATCGATCGCGAAGAGCCACTTGTTTTCGTCCGGGTGAGGCGTCGTTATTATATGTAATGCACCATTAAAAAGCTCCTGTCGAACCCCGTTCTGTCCGAACAGCTCTACGCTGCCACGACATTGGTAGGAATCGCGACTGAAGAGCTTGGTATTGCATTTTCCGTGGAGAGCGATGCTGACGTTCGTTTCGGTATTGACCCAGCGAGAGGTGCGAGACACGTAACCGGTGATTGTTTGGCCGGGGAGGAATGAATGAGGTGAGTCTAGATGGATGGAGAGATCAGCGTTGTTACATGCCGCGACTTTTGCCATGCTTTTGCTTATTCTTATTTGCAAGTAGTGTGAAGTTAGTGACAGCCAAGTGCCTCTGTAGGAGACTGAAAAAATGTGAAGAGCGAGGGCAGCTGGGCTTGATATATCCCGCAAAAGACCCTTTCACATCCTCGGAATTCGACTACATGGGGTCTGTGTATATACCTAGATGGTTTACTGAAGGCCATCGTTGTCCTGATACGTAATAACAACTCGCGTTAGGGTTAGCGCATCGGATTATTAGAGATTTCAAATAATTAACTGAGGCCTAGGACACGATGTGTCGGTATAGATATATTGCAAAAAATATCTCAAGTATTAGCCTATTGGTAGCAAATAAATCTCTCGCGCGATTGGAAGTAGGCGATTCCGAGTTAGGGCAACATCTAGCGCCGTCGGAATAAAATCGGCATTGTATAAGCTAACAGCCAATTGAAGCTGTTCAAATGTCGGCATTAGTGGGTCATTGTCTTTTCCAGACATGCACCACATCGGMATTGAACAGAGCCAATTAGAGATGAGTTGGGGAATGATTATATACATGCTCGATTGTGGATAGGTTTAAGCAAAAGAAACCTTTTGTTTGGCTTTTCATGATGTTGTCCAATCATTTCGGTGAGAATTTCAACGCCTCACGCTATACTTGAGCTTGATTGACTGCATACGTCCTATGCTACAAACCCCAGTCTTGATTGTCCAGCCATAATCTGAATTCATGATCTGGACCAGAAATAGCCGCACCTATATCATCGCCAAAGCCACTCATAAACATATAGCTCTCGGGCGCATACGTGCTCTGTGCGCTATGTGTGGAGTGCTGGAAAATATTAGTAGCAGTATTTGCATCTATATGAAGCCGCCGCGTTTGCGTTGAAGACTGGTCGTAATGTCGCTCCGAACTCCTCGGAGGACTCAAGATCTTATCAAGAATCAGAGATATCACTTTCTGACCCTTCTCAAAGAGACTTTTGTCACCAAAGGTAGGGTCCAAGTCACTAAGCTTGTCTGCAAAGATGGATAAATCCTGAATTGTTCTGCTTCGAGGCAGAAGTGGCGCTTCGGGGTAGACCGGGAGTTGTTCCTGTTTCAAAAGTTCTACTGCCAGTATGACTGCGCTGCGGATCCCGTGTACTGCCAGAAAATAGATGAATGACGTTGCTGCGGACATTTCGATGCGCTTGTATGATCGCATCACGTCGCTTAGGATTGCCTGTGCTGTTCGTATCAGATCTCCCGGGTCAGCACCGGCTTTGCGCACAAGTAAGCGGTGCAGTAGCAGTAAATTCGACTGCCCAATTTGGCGAAAGACATTTCGAAGGTGCAGATGAAATATCTTGGGGGTATCCAGCCCAAAGAGACTTTCTTTCAAGCTCGACAGGTAGTGCGGCAGAGTGAGCCAATGTTCTTCAGTTTTTCTTTGTATGTCGACTGCCTTTTGCCGCACCTCATCCGGAGTGTAGTTGCCTATCGACAGCTCTAGAATATCTTCTCGTCTTACCACAAAGCCAATGGATGATCTCACCCAAGAGATAAGCCGGATGTCTCCATCTCTATTGTAACCGTGATCATCCAATCGAGTAATAGCAAAAGCCAGCTTTTGGGGGTCTTCAGAAAAAAGCTCGGACTCTGTCAGATCTAGTGGAGGGTCCAAGTTCATAAAACGATGCGAAAGTCGCGGTGGACGTCCCAGAAAAGTGGCTATGCTGATCTCCGTTCCGTAGACCATCGTTCGAACTCGTTTACGCAGCTCAGCAAGGAAAAAGGGAACTTTTTTATTGGCGTTTATCTCCTGGTGGAGGCCCATTGCGACGAGGGCACTGCTCACCTCAGCGCCAATACGGTATGCAGCATAGGATGCTTCTCCTTTGGTGAATTCAGTGAGGTTGTAAAGCTCCAATAGTGCACAAAGGAATGCATCATCTAAGGCATCGTATTCACGGCAGAATCCTATGCAGACTTCTGAAGCCTCCAGCATTTGATCTATCAATGATTGGCGATCCACGCTATAATCTTTGAAAAATGGATCATCTGATTTGGCGACCATTGCATATGTTGCTACATAGTTGGCGATCATGGCGAGTGTCGCCCAACGTATATTTTCGCCTGTAGCAGATCGTACCCATTGCCTTGCCGTGGTGCTGCCATCAAAGATCAACGGTTTAGCCGTGTTTTGACACAGTAACTCGCATAGCTGGCGTATCTGCTCGGCGTTCTGACTTGAAAGTGTATCACCATGAGCGGACCATAGCTCCGAAAGCCATTGTCTCACGATGAATTCGCCGCAGTGAGTATGTATACATTCGATAGACTCGAAAAACAAATCAATACCACGGTCTATCATAGCCCTGTTCTGCAAAACCGACAAAGCTCGACAGCCGCTGGCGAGTCTTTCGTTCATGATAGGTTTGCTTTGGACAGCCGTACCCTTGTCCAGACCGCCGGAGCACAAGCCAAGCTGCATCAAGTCTTCTGTCATAATTGAAACGTGTGAGGTAAACCCCAGGAAACCGTGTCTCCCCGTTGAGGTCTCATGATGGTTGGCGAATGGCGGAGCTGAGCCTGCACGCTGTAGCACAAAGTTACTCCTGTGGTTGTACTCTTGTACAGTGTTGACAGCTTCGGAGTCGTCGCCTATGTCAGGCTGCTCATATGAGGAGCCCCGCGCAGTAATTCTTGGCTCCGGTGATATCGGGACGTCCTTTGCTGCCGGCGTCACTATGGCTTCCTGTGGGTTCTGTTAAACCGTTCGTCAGCGGAACTTGTTACAGTAAAAAGCCTAGGACAAGCATAGTTTACCCGTGTAAGTGGATTCGGATGATAATAGCATTCATCAATGCGCCGTCTTTTAATACATCTACTGCAAGGAAGGTTGTGATTGCATGCAACTTTCGACTTTCGACATGGCTCACATGACGGAATCTTGCGATTCCGTCGGTATTTATGTATCGGGGTTTGGCTTGCTTGTAGCATCTGTGTCGCCTGTCTAGTATCCATCTTGACGGGGTCAGACGAGATGAAATTAAGTTTTGGCGTGATGACTCTGTTAATATCGAACTGATGCCGAAGATAGTAGAAGTGAACTTCGGAGTAGATCATGAGAGCGAGAAAGAGGCATGCGAGAAAAAGGCATGTCGGAGTTTCTAATCCCGAACAGGGAAAGTGGTCGCTATTCCGATCGCTGACTCAGCCTTCACCGCCTGATGCACATCGCCAGATTATTTTGACTAGATTCTCACTTTGAACATGCGGCAAGTCGACCAATATGGCTCCAATTGATCTTGCACTCGAATATCTGCAGTCTCTAGATCCAGAAGAAAAGATAAACTACACACAAATTGCCAAAAAATTCGGCGTCGACCGCTCAACGCTGTCTAGACGATACCGCCAAGTCAACGGCTCAAAGGAGGACCAATACTACGCCCAAGCCTTATTAGGCAAAGAGCAATCGGCGCTTCTGATCACTGTAGTGAACGAGTTTGCGAAACGTGGAGCGTCGCTCTCCAATGCGAGGCTGGTGGAGTTTGCGAAGTTGATGACGGGGAAAGAGCCCGGAAAGAATTGGGCTTCGCGCTGGTTGAAACAGCATTCGGATCAGTTGGTTCCTATACAGCAACGAGATGAAGATGAGGAAGAAGACTATGAAAAAATACAAGCTCTCATGGAGGAAATTGTGCTATTCAAATTGGAGCGCGAGATTCTCAAACTTAAAATTGCAAAATTGGAAGACAAGGATAACGAATAATCTCTTGATATGAAGCTGCTCGATAAGTTTCTTAGGGAGAGGAAGACGAGAAATGGTCCCCATACTCCCTGTTCCGGGAACATCAAGTTGGTCAATCTTAAATATCTGTCGGTTTCTGTCGGGTTCAACCAATTCGGGGAGTCGGGTTCGCCTCCGACAGATGTATTTGCCAGTCGATTGTTGGGCCTTTTCCAGCATTGGCCCATTGGCAACAATTGTGGAAAAGTAAGTGTACCAGAATTATGGACCAAAATTTTGATTATCTGCCTCATTTCGATACCTTCAGAGGAAATGACATTTTTTGAATGACTTGAAACGAGTTTCAGGGTTAGTGGTCAAAACAATGGCTTTGTCAGTACTTCACTTGTACATTAGAAACATTGGACCTAATGCATGGACAAATTCGGCGGGATTCGAAAGGACTATCCGATTATTTTGTGCCAATTTGAGATATCTTGTGGTTCTGTCCTCAGAAATGCTATCCTATACATGTGCTCAGCATGTATATAAGAGTACAAACATCTACTCACTTCATCTCAATCATACAAACCTAACGATCTCATATCAATTATCCAGATCTCAACCATCTGAACAATCATTTGGACAATCATATCGAGATCCCATTATCAAAAAAAAAAAAAACCCTCAGCACAATGTGGCCTCCTCGTGACAACGTCAGCCATGTCCCAGGCTTTATCCTCACTCTCCAGAAGACAATCCAACAGAACGGCGATCCGGATGAGACCGACCACTTACGCGCCGAAGCGTACGTCGACGATTTCATCGCGGCAATGAAATGGGTGAAATACCTCCAAGGCCGCACCCAGAATCTATCCGAGCAGGCGCGCGACCAAGGCTGGAAGCAATTCCTTGACAACATCGAAGGTGTAATGCGGCACGTTGCACGCTGGGCATACGAGAATTATCCTGAAGGATTGCTATATGCGAAGATGATGCCTAGGAAGCGGGGCGGCACTGTCTGGGATTCGTCGGGGGGTACGGATTGGAATCTGTTTGGGCCCTTTGAGGATGATGATGATACTTCTAGTTTGCAACAGGATTGGACGTGGGCGCTCAAGGCGGCGATGGAGTTGGAGCTTGTTACGAAGTTGCTATTCAAGCATTGTGAGGGGGTTACGGGGATGATGCGTGCGGATTTTGAGGCGACGGATATGGCGGCTGCGKTGGRGGGGRTTTCGTTGTGAGCGTTAGGCTGGGCACATCTCTTTCGCTGGCTCTATCTGAGTCTGCCATAATGTACGATAACTCATCAATCCTCTGATTATACAACTTGGTTTGTTCCTAGAAGTTCATGTTGTAAAGATTAAATGAGGCAATTGGCCACTCGGCCGGATTGGGCGGGTGGCTGACTCATGCATCATTTTCCTTCGGCCGAGATCAACATTTTTTGTATGAAAAGAAATTCCATTTACCAATTACTTCCTCAAAACTTGTGTCAATATTTATATAAACCACATTCAAAGCTAAGAGTGGTATAGATTTTGTGTATCAGCATGGCCGTATGCAAAGTTAACCAACCCACCATGGCCGTCTCAAAACACGATGTTGGTTGGAGACGAGTTATCCGAAACTTCACTCCATCGTACTGTTCACTTTCCAAAGAAATACACTCAGTATGACCAGACTAACGCAAATAGATGGTTCTCCGTCAACATGGGCACAGGCATAGCATCCATCCTCCTCAACACCCTCCCCTTTAACAGCGTCTGGCTCTACTACATCTCCGTCATCATCTTCGCCCTCAACGTTTTGCTGTTCAGTCTCTTCTGCATAATGACCGCGTTACGATACTTGCTGTATCCACAGATTTTTACTGCTATGATTCGTCATCCCGTGCAGTCAATGTTCCTAGGTACATTTCCGATGGGATTTGCGACGATTATCAATATGTTTGTTTTGGTCTGTGTGCCGGCTTGGGGAGGAGACTGGACGAGACGGTTTGCGTGGGGATTGTGGATTTTTGATGCTGTTGTTTCGGTCTTGGTGGCGTTGACGTTACCTGCTCTTTTGTACGCCCCTCTCCCTTTCTTATCCATAAAACTCATCTCACTGGTATTCGCACCTGAAAAGGATGATGCACATGCAAAAACTAGACCTCTCCGCCATGACAGCCGTCTGGCTTTTACCAATCGTCAGTCCTATCGTGGCCGCTGCCTCGGGGGCCGTTGTCGCCGACATCCTGGTCGACATTGACCCGCAACACGCCCTTTGGACGGTGGTCGTGAGTTATGTGCTTTGGGGTATTGGTGTACCCATGGCATTTATGGTAACGACGATTTACTTGCAGCGGCTGACACTACACAAGCTACCGCCGAAAGCGGTTATTGTGAGTGTGTTTCTGCCCCTGGGTCCGTTGGGACAAGGTGGTTTTGCGTATGTCTTTCTTTTGCCCACCTCGTCAGTATACAACGAAACTGATTCTGGATCCAGAATCCAAAAATTAGGCCTCCTCATGCCAACCCTCTTATCAAAAACACACAATCACACCCTTCCCGCCAGTGCTGGCGACATCTTTTCTGCTCTCGGATTTCTGACTGCATTAATCCTCTGGGGATTTGGATTGAGCTGGCTTTTTTTCGCGCTTACCTCCATCGCGTATACGCGCAAATTCCCGTTCAATATTGGTTGGTGGGGTTTTACATTTCCTCTGGGCGTGTTTGCGATGAGTACATGCCAAATTGGACGGGAGTTGGGGTCGAGGTTTTTCCTTGTTCTGGGGACTGTAAGTATCTTTTCATTTCCTGCTATAGATATCGCTGGAGCTGATTATAAGAACAGATATTTTCCGGACTTGTAGTCCTGCTCTGGATTCTGGTCCTGGCGCGTACGGTGATGGGTGCTGTAGAAGGCAAAGTGTTTCATGCGCCTTGTTTGGCTGATTTGCCTGTTCCGAGGAGAGAGGAGCATGTCGCATAGTTTTATCATCTGCTGATTTAGCCACAGTCAATTGAGAATTTTATCTGAATAAAGCCGTTCTATAGTCCATGGGTGCAGAGGCCCGCACATAACCCTGACGACAGCCATATAGACGGAATCCGGCACATTGATCAATCGGATTGCAACAAACGCATCCGCGACTTCCATATCATTTGATGGCTGCAGCAAATCACAAGAAGGCTCCCACTTATATTTTCATCAAAGTGACAGGCTGATCATTTCTATATACGGCCAGTGGGCTATGTTTAGCGAGCTGGGGTAAGACTACATCATGCAATATTCGCAGTTGGCATTTCATACTGTTTATCGTTTTGGTTTCTTAATTTTGCTTTTTTTCTAATTTCTCCTAATTTTAGAATGAAATCTAATGTTCTAATACGATTATTAAGGTTGTCTTCTGAGAAACGGGCGGAAAAAGACGATTGGCTTCGTGCCCGAGAAAGTACATATCTACAGTTCGAGTAGAGCCTCTAGAGCTTCCCATTTGCTCCAAAATAAATGAAATTAAATCTAAAAATACAGAACAATCACTAATTTTCACTCTATTGACCAGAAATATATAGCAAGTATAACCAAGTTTGGGCGATGAGATACGTATTAGCATCCATGGTTTGCGGCCTTGTCAACCCCGGAATCGCCAGTGGATACAAATTCCTAGCTGGAAATCTTCCCCTCGTTCTGCTGCAATCATGCAAACTCTAATGGATGTAAGAATTTGGAGGGATCCTCTAGTACTGCGTACTGCTACTAACAGGCTGTCCACTACGTACTAGTAGTATTAGGAGGTGGTACGGATATGCGGGGTTGAAAGGGTTGGAATGCTGATCCAAAGGTTGGGAGATGTTTGCTCGTTTCTGAAATCTAGATTGACCTCGACAGAATATTCCTCCTAGGACTTCAACAGACTAAGGCCGTCCACAACCGGCACGCAGAGTATAACTACCTGGATGATGGCTGCATCTACATCGTAAAAATATATTAAAACGGCAGACTCGGCCAGACAGATAGACATGGCTCCATCCCATGTACATGGGCTTAATGTATGGGCGGGTCTAGTCTCTGGCCGTCTCGCAGGTCTGATTCGCAGCCATTGGTAGACAGGGCAAATATGCTTTTGCCTATGCTTGGAAAAGGAAATATTAGTGTAGTGACCACTAGTCGCGTCAGTCCGGTGGTGAGTCTAACTGGTCCGTGGTGCGGTCATGCTGCATTACATCCCATGTATGACTCTTAACTCTTCAATTAATTAGTTGGAGTATGTATCAGGAGAGACCTGGATTGTATTGACAACTCACCGCTGTACGTCCAGTGTTCTGGTAAGCTTTAAAGCTCACACATGACATGCAAAACGCTGAAGGCAGATGCTGTACGCCATCAAATATTGGAGTGATCACATGGCTGGGTTGCCTCTGAGGCGACGTTCCAGACAAATGGCCGATTGGGAGGCAAGGGGTGGGTGTATATTGTCCTGGACGAGTCATTCGATATTCACTGATGCAATAATAAAGAAAGAAATATTAACTGCCCGCGATAAAAGCGATAGTCGATAAGAGCATACGTGGTTGACTGCCTGAAAACCAAGGCAGTTTCGCCAAGAGCACGCTCCTTCCTCCGTCGCGACTCGGCGTGTGCCTTCCCGTAGCGTTTCTTATCCTGCGACGACCACCAACTTCTTTCGTTCTGACTCGTCGGGCATTATATTGAACTACTACACTATCGTGTACGCTGTTCCAGCCTTCATTCCTTGCCAGTCTCTCGACTCAATCTCTACCGTCCTGCTCCTACTCTCTTGCTCTCTCACTATCGTCGCTCCACTATCGATCGACCCGCGACTTAGACTTATCTGCGTTCCCCACCGCGCTCGACAACCACTTTACAGCAGGTGACTGGCCGTCAACTTCATCATCGTTCGTCGTCAACCTGCGAAAATTCCAATTCTACGCCTCATTGAACAACAAATCTCATTGCTACCCTGCTTGGAGGGCGTGTTGCCCTCTACTACATTTCCTGCAGTCGGATAATTGCTCTTCAACTGCCTTGACGCTCGTGTTCCCCGCCATGGATTGTTGATCTCACGGGCGAGGCCACAGCTGCTCACGGGTAGCCGATCTGCCTGGCAGTCGGTCCGGCTTTGCCTTGGTACCCTGCTTCGGCTTGACGATATTATAAGTACAGAAGGAGTACGACGATTCGTGAAGACTACTGCCGTGTCAACTCGTAGGCGATTTCCGCGGGAAAGACGACACCATGGCAGGAATCAATACAAACGCGTCTCAATTTCTCGCTCCACCGACAGTGGCTGCGTTGAGAGAGGAGGCACGAATTCCGGGCCACAATCGGGTGGCAATGGATCGGACATTCAGCGAAGACATGCGAGCTGAGCGCGAAGATTTACGGGAAGCTGCGGAAGAGACGTTGAATGTGATTCTAGATTTGGGGCTGGATGGTCATATCAAATGGGTCAGCCCGTCGTGGAGACAGGTTATTGGTACTGATCCCGAGTCGGTCGAGGGCAAGGTTATTTCGGAGGTGCTTTGGTCCAACAAGTCTTGTTTTCAAGATGCCATCAAGTCAATGAAGGAAGATGATTCGAGAAGTCGATTCATACGGTTCTCAGTTGCTATGGGACCAGGATCAATGCTTAAATCTTCAGTCAAGGAATCGGCATCTACGATCAGAGATGACGATCACCTCGAAAGTGAATCTAAAAACCCCGCCGACGATGGACAGGATGAGTCAACCGATGTCAAAAAGAATGAAGAAGATGTACTTGATATGGAAGCACAGGGAATTATGATCTACGACCGTTCAGGTGATGGTGAAGGACATGTAAGTCAAGGGTTTGAACCATCACTGCATTTGAAGACGCTAACTTATGCCGATAGACAATGTGGATGCTACGGCCGTCGACATCGCCGAAGGAAGTCACCATCGATCTACCTCCACTCCTTGTAGAGTCTCTCGGCGTCGGAGCAGAAGTGCTAGCAAACCACTTGACAGTCTTGGCTGAACGAGCTGCCGACGCCAACGCCGACAAATCCGTTATACCCACCCCAGTACTGTGTCGAATCTGCGAACGCCAAATTACCCCTTGGTGGTTTGAGAAGCATTCCGAGCTATGTCTTCAGGAACATACTGCAGAGATGGAGGTTCAGCTTGCCCAAGAAAATCTTAACGAGCATCGGCATGCAATTGTGAAAGTTCTTGACGCTTTGGAAGCTCGCCAGGGCCGCCTTCCTTCTACAGAGGTTCAACCACCTCCGCAACCAGAATATAAAGGACTAGCTATTGGACCATCTCCATCATCATCATCACTGCCGGGCTCTACTCCGGGCTCCTCACCAGCCACGCCTCCGCGGTCTCGAGAGCCTTCAACATCGGGTTTAGGCCACGGAAGAGGTCGCTCTTTTGCTGTACGACGACCTCTAGCTCGTATTGTTGAACTGATTCTGGATCTGTGCGACACGGCGTTGGAAATCAGTACTCCTGCGCTGAAAGAAACACGAACAGACAGTATAGAGGATCTTCGAACTTTGTCTCCTCAGTCAGAGTCTCGCATCTCGCAAGTACTACAATGGCAATCCCCCAGCAGCAATACGCTAGAGCAAGAACAGGGCCTTGCTGCTTTGTCCGCCGATACAGAACGGGCCGCCAAAGCCAAGGTCGATGCAGTGGTTCGTCATCGTCGGATTGTTGAGTATGCCGAGAGAATCCGGGTGGAATACACAGTCATGGTGGAAGAATGTATTGAAGTAGCACTCACCAAGGCCGAGCGCATTGCGGCTGGCGAATTGTCGGATTCTTCGTCAACTTCTGGCTCATATGAATCGGAAGGTGAGCAAGCGAAAAATGCTGATCACATCAGCGAAGAACAACCTACCTCTCAAAGCGTCGAACCAAGTGCTCCTCTGTCTCAAGAGCCATCTTCCGACATCACGCGTGAACATTCAGATCCGTCTTCTCACTCTCAATCACCTCGACGCGGATCGTCGGTTGCAGTCTCCACCCGTTCAGCAAGTCCCTTAGAATGTCCGACTCCTCGTTCTCATAAAAGCATCAGCGGGGTTTTAGGTACATCTCAGCCTGTTAAGCGGGGATCACTACTGGCTGAAAGTGACGTGGGCGATAATAGCGATAGCAGCAGCGTACCTTCTTCCTCTCTCATCGCCGCCGCCAGAGGAACTGAATCTCCTTCATCCGAGAAGAGCATTTCACAATCCAGGAGTGAAAGGAGTAGAAAGCGTAAGAGCTTGATTCTACCAAATTTATCAAGCTCGCCACGTCGCCAGGCATCCCCAGGTCGTGTACAAGGGCCTGGGTCTCCGTTACGCCTATCGAAACCTCGTCTGCCTAGTGGCGAGAGTATGCCTTCTCCTAGCATTTCTCCATTACTGACCACGAACGAGTTGACCGCTCAAGGGCTGCCGCCACATCACCATTTGCATACTCACCACCACTATCGACGACAATCTTCCACTACTTCGTCAGATCCAAGGGCACCCATCTCACCACACCTGAGCTCCGTGAGTCAGCCACAGCCTCGCCCTGCACCACCATCAATCAAGGACTTTGAAATCATTAAACCGATCAGCAAAGGTGCATTTGGGAGTGTCTATCTTTCAAAGAAGAAGGCCACTGGAGAGTACTTTGCCATCAAGGTACTAAAGAAGGCAGACATGGTTGCCAAAAATCAGGTTACCAATGTCAAAGCGGAACGAGCAATCATGATGTGGCAGGGCGAGAGTGATTTCGTTGCCAAATTATACTGGACCTTCTCCAGCAAAGACTATCTCTACCTTGTAATGGAGTATCTTAATGGAGGAGACTGTGCCTCGTTGGTCAAAATTTTGCAGGGTCTACCTGAAGACTGGGCTAAGAAATACATTGCCGAAGTGGTTCTAGGTGTTGAGCATTTACACAACCGAGGCATTGTACATCGAGATTTGAAACCAGACAACCTTCTCATTGACCAGCGCGGTCATCTCAAACTTACTGATTTTGGTTTATCCAGAATGGGACTGGTTGGTCGTCAGAAACGGGTACTGAAAAGTCCCAACGAATCTGCGCCAGATTTATTGAAGCAAGGGCCATTTCCTCGAGCTATGTCGTTGGCTTCGTCGCGCTCTGCATCTTTTGATTTTCAGGGGGGACAATCGCCTAGTTCCACTCCAATCATGGCGCCCGACACTGGAAGCTATAATCAACCTTCGTACTTTAGCCTGAGCCAAATGCCCCCACCTCGCGAGAGCCTTGGGCGCGCTTCTGGTTATCGTAGTGATAGCGGTGGGAGTGATACTCTGAATGCCATGTTTCGGACATTTTCGCTGGGTGAGGGTGCAGAGACTCCCGCGCCTCTACCACCTCCATCTCAAGCCGTGACCGAAGACGAAGCACCTAGCGAAGGAGGCGAGTCTCCACATCTAGTACCTTTGAGTCAGACGGTGAGTGCGACATCCTCATTAGCAGTACACAACACACCGCCTTCACAATCGATGCTGCCACCTCCAATGGCCTTGTTCGATCCTGAAGATCACAACCGAAGATTTGTTGGTACTCCGGACTACTTGGCGCCTGAAACGATCAATGGTGTTGGCCAAGATGAGATGAGCGACTGGTGGTCACTTGGTTGTATTCTGTTTGAGTTTCTCTACGGCTATCCACCATTTAATGCCGCGACACCGGATGAGGTATTTGAAAACATCTTGCATCGGCGAATAAATTGGCCCGAAGAAGCCCAGGAATTGGCGTCGCCCGAAGCCATCGATTTGATGAACAAACTGATGACAATCAATCCAGAACAGCGATTGGGAGCTAATGTTGAAGAGAAGTTCCCTAATGGAGGCGCTGAGATTCGTAGCCACCCTTGGTTTGCCGACGTCAATTGGGATACATTGCTTGAAGACAAGGCGGAGTTTGTTCCCAACCCTGAGAATCCGGAAGATACGGAATATTTCGATGCTCGCGGTGCAACTTTACAGTCATTCGAAGAACTTGAAGATGCTCAGTCTCAGTCACCTCAGTATCCCTTGACGGCTGGAGAATATCCCGATCGACCTCATGATGCGCTGTCCAAAGTTCGTTCGCAAGTCAACTCGATGAAACGTGGACTGATGCCGCTTCATATTCCGCCACATGTCCGAGATACACGAAGCCGTCGTTTAAGTGAACCTGTGTTGGCCGACGACTTTGGCAACTTCAATTTCAAGAACCTTCCCATGCTGGAACGAGCAAACAAAGATGTCATCCAGAGACTGCGACAAGAAGCCATGCAAGCTCAGCAAAGGCAGATACCATCGACAACGGCATCCCCCAGTGTTCCTAGCTCGACGCCATCTCTTGAAGGTAGTCCACTACTTCCCATGCCGTTGCAACGCACTCTCTCACATACAAAAGGAAATCGCCCAGCATCGCCATCTGGATTGAGTCAGACTGGATCATCTCCGAATCGGCCTTCACAGCCTTCTTCTCCATTACTTGTTCAATTTAGCACTGGTCAGAATCACGAGCGTAGAAAGACTTCCGGGTCCTCTTCGGCGCAGTCGCAGCAATCGGTTGGTCCAATGCCTGATAAGTTTGAGGTTCCACATCTAACAGCTAGTGTCAAGCTTGCTTCTTCCGCGCCGACATCGAACAAAGCTGGACGGTTGACGACTCATTCCCCAGAGAAGATTTCATCCGGACCTCCACAAACAGGCGTCACCCGTGCTAGATCTCAGACGATTGGATCACAGGACAGCGAAGGACATTCTGTCTCGTCTAAAGAGCCGTTTATTCCAACCCATCATAAGCGCCGCAGTCAATTGTTCGATATTTCTCCCTCATCTTCCGACAACGAAGACCCCAGAACCAAGGCATTGTTGAAGGTACAGCGGCGGCGACAGAGCTCTCGACGACTCTCTCAAATCAACTTGCTGGATGGTCCTGTGTTCCGTCCTCTTGATGTCTTGATTTGCGAAGATCACCCAGTGTCTAGGTTGGTCATGGAACGACTATTTGAAAAGTTACGCTGCCGCACGATTACAGCTGTCAACGGCTCCGAAGGGATCCGTTATGCATTGAGTGAAGTGCAATTTGATATCATCATGACAGAAGTCAAACTTCCTCAAATTAATGGCGCAGATGTAGCCCGGATGATACGTGAGACACGAAGTGCCAACAGACATACACCTATCATTGCGGTTACCGGTTATCTGAAGGATCTCCCCGAGACACATCACTTCAATGCTCTAATTGAAAAGCCCCCGACGTTGAACAAACTGACCGAAGCAATGTGCAAGTTCTGCCAGTGGAAGCCTCCGCCAAAGGATTACGTCCCCACGCATTCTCTAGTGATACCTCCTCCTCCACTTCCACGTGCTCTCAGTCATGCAGAAGACAGCCCCAGCTCGATATCTTCTGGGTTTCATCCAGTACCTTCGAGTTCTTATCGAGGTTCTAGCAGAGCGGACTCAGTGGGAAGCAGCTACTTTGGCGACATGGATTCGACTAAGCCGGAGGAAATCCCAGTCGTTATTAGCCGTCACACTGATAGTTGGGGAGACTCCTCGGAAGGTCTTGGAATATCAGAGGCAGCCGCCGCCGCGGTCGAACCTAAACTCAATACGAATATTCCAGGGGCCTTGAGTCTTCCTCCACTGCAGCACGCTCTTTCAGCGCCGCCTACGTCCAATCCGCCGACTTTGGTTGCGCCCCGCAAACAACGATCTACCGAAGCAATTCGTGCCAAGCGGGAGTCTTTGGAGAAACGGCGCTATGAAGGTGCTGAATCCGGAGACGACGAAGACGAAGAGCTTGGAAATTTACACGCTCGCCACCGTGGTCCACATACTTCCAAAGGACCTCGTTCTAGTTCAAAGCTGGGCACAGAAATGATGCGGACCAACAGTCGTGGTAGTGTCGTCAGCGGCAGCGAGGAAATCCTGGCCAAGGAGAAAGCTGCAGAGCTTGCAGCCGGGGATATTGATGATCTGGGAGAACAGCTCGGTGCGTTTGACATGTCTCAAGATGAGATGTCTTCTCCGGAAAGGCGGTCATCCAAGCCAGAGTCGCCGCGTTCATCTCGATCACCGGATACTATAAAACGCCCTGCGCTAGAACCTCTTCACGAGTATCCTACGGAAATTCGGTCTCCAGGCTCTGAACCACAACCTCAGGCGAAAGGACTCTCAACGCCGTCCAAGGAGGGCACCACGACAGACGACGTATCACCCAGTCAAACAGCAGTGACGTCTGGAGAGCCTACAGATTCTTCAGATATAGATCCTGATGCCACGCCACGTCCGGCTCCTACTCCGGCCATGTCAGAGCTGGATGAATCAACGCCTCGCCCAGGAAAAGGTCGTCACGATGAGAACCAACGCCCAGAAGGTCAGACCAGTCATATCCACCTTCGAGATGTTCTTCATTGGCGAAGGCGATAGCGTAAAGCTACTATTCCAACACAACTGTCGAATCGAGCACTTCGCCTCAATCACTCATTAACATTAACTGTTCTTTTATGCCACGTTACGACTCTCATTCCACATCTGCAACAAACTCACCTTTCAGAATGAATTCCCACTTGCCTCATTTACAGCCTGGAGTTTCTTTTTTTCTCTTTAAAATATCGATCATGCCATCAAAAGGCGATCCTGTCAACTGTACTACGTATCTCGTGTTTCCTAGAACCTTTTCTTTTCTGCAACCAAACTGGGCTACTACTTTACTTCTTTTCTATGTTTTCATTCGATAATCTTGTGCATATTATTACATTGCCGCCAGAATTGGGGCCCTTCCTCAACTTTATGATTCATGAATGGTATTATTACTTGATACAACACTATCTACCTAATGACTCTTTATCTTTAGTGTATAATGGAGCTCGGAATAGTCATTAGATAGTGATTTTCCACCCCACTCTATAACAGAAGTATCTAACAAGGAACAGAAGTTGTATACATACATGAAAAGCGCACATTATTACATGAAATAAGTAAATTTTGACCACGAAAAGAATCACGCCCAACCTTTCCTGAAAAGATTTCTTCGAAAGGTCGAAGTTTAATTCTAATTTCCCTTCTTCCCCTCAGGATAATAATTCGCAACCCAGAAGCTCACCGTCCTCGCAATCGCCTCCTCCATCCCAATGACAGGCGTATATCCCAATCTATCCATCGCCTTACGACACGAATAGAACCGCGTCATGCAGGTGTACCGCACGGCTTTGCGTGTCAGCCTTGGCTCTTTGCCTATCAAGCCGTAGACGGTCTCCATAATTCCACCGATTACGCTAAGTGCTCCCTCAGGCAAAGCCCAGACTGTGTGAGGTTCGATAGGGCGGTCGAGGAGTCTCCACATTGCGCGAGGGAAATCCCAAAAGTACATGGGCGCGTCGTTTGTGATTATGAATGTTTCTCCGTCGACGCGCTCGAAATCGAGGGGTGCGTCGGCGCCGGTGTCGAAGCGTGCGGCTGTCGCGAGGAGTTTGTGTGCTGCCAATAAATGGGCGTAGGCGACGTTGCCGACGTAGGTGAAGTCAAAGAGATTGTTGTTATCTCCGAGTTGGAGTTTGAGGGCGGTGTTAGACCCGAGGTACCCGAGTTCGAGCATTTTGAAGGATAGTAGGGTGTCCTTTTCGCCAGTAATGCCGGCCGGTCGGAGGGTGCAGGTTAGGAGGGATTTGGCTGTGGGATTGTTGGCTTTGAGGACGAGTTCTTCGGCTAGGCCCTTTTGTCTGTCAGCTGGTGATACTCAGGATGGAGGGAAGAAAAGGGGACCTTTGTCTCGGAGTAATACTCCAACTGCGCCTTTCCGCGCACATACGGCCAGTCCTCGTTGACATTGATCAGATCACTCTTCGTGTCGTGTACCACTGATGCAGAACTCGTGTAGACGAACGCGCGACACTTTTTGCCCCAGTCTCCATGCGCACCGCTCGCGACCTCGATCAGTGTTCGGGTTCCGTCTACATTGACCTTGTGCAGCATCTTATCCGTCGACCCCAACGGCGCCGGGGCAGCGGTATGAATCACGACATCCGGTTGCACTTTTCTAAACACATCGAGCATGCTCGAGACAGACGTCAGGTCTCCTTCATGGTACTCGGCGCCTGGTAATCTGTTATTCGTCGTGCGCAAGTCAACAATGTGCACTTTTGTGTTTTTGTAAGACGGGTAACGGCCCTTGAGACCCGGGTATTCGAAACGAGGGTCGTTCTCGATTCGCGGTAGGGAAACGCTGGCGTCGGTCTCGGAGGGGAAGTCGAGGAGTTGATTGACGATGTTCCAGCCTAGGAAGCCGCAGCCGCCGACGACGAGGACGGTACCTAGTTCGAGGGTGGGCGGGGTGGTCATTTTTTTACGTGCGAGGATTTTTCAAATAATAATAGTTGGTTGAACGCTCTCGGGGTGAATTGAATTGAATTGACTGTTTGTGTGAAGTGCAAATTGAATGATTGATCTGGAGATCAGGTCCAAAAATACTGACCTTAAGGAGAGCAGGGCGCGTTCCGATTGACTGGTTATTGATTATGTAACGATCTAACTAGTTAAGTTAGCTCCAAAGCAGTAAACATTGAGCACTTCTCGATTCTTCGAGGTCATACAATTGCAATAATTAATCCGGATCTAAGTCTGTGAAGACAGTTTTCGTTGCATTAGAAGTTTTAGCAGATTATCCAACATTGATTAAGGGTGGAATAGCGATGTGACCGAAAAGATGCATCAAATCCATGTTTCAAATGTTGTGATATATTTTAAGATGAGTAAATCATTTTGACGCTGCCAGACCAGCATTGGAATTATCTAAAGCCCCATTGAACTTGGATTTAAAATAAAAGATTTGAGAATTATATACTGCTGTCCTCAACAGATCGCCGCAATGCCCGATGATATTTCTTCCTCTGATCCGGAGTCCCCCAAAACAATTTCGTTGCCTCCAAGTTGACCGTAGTCCTCGGATCAAACGGCGGAGCCTCTTCCTCAATCGTCCGCACAATTGTCTCGATGTGATGCTTCATCTCGCCAGGACGATCAGTATGGTAACACAACATACCATCTTTTGAAACGTGATGGTGGAAGATAGGCGTTTTGAAAAACACCCGAGGCTGTTCTTGTGGAAATCGTGGACTTAGATGGATCTTGATATTAAACACGCCGCCATCGAGATGCGTTCCGGGACGACCAAAGTTTGTTGCATCCCAAGCAAATGGATTGTCGTCTACCAGAGACAGATCTAGAGAAAAGTATTTCCGGCCGTTGAAATCCTCCAGGATCTGCTGGTACTGAAGCGACAAATTACTGGCAATGCTCAAGTCGTCTTTTTTTGCTTGGAGCCCTTCAATAGTCCATCGCATGGTCTCCTTCATAATTTGATCTTTGGTCGTCATTAAACGAGTTTTGAGATCTGGGTAGTCGAATCGTCCAGGCATTTGGTTGCTGGTCATTTCAAACGGCATCTCCTTGAAGAGTTGGCCTTTTTCGACCTTTTCAGACTCCACGTCGATCGTGTGCATGTAAGAGTCATAGTACCATAGTAACCTTCTTTTGCGAAGATCATCAAAGGACTGATAGCTCTCTCGTTCTACTTCCTCATCATCCTCCATTGCGACTCCACCTTCAGATGTTTCAATCTTACTACCTGGGACGATTTTTAGGGACTCCTCGAGTGGCTGAAGCACAGCAAGGCGGAGTGTTTCGTGTTTTATCTGTAAAAACAACTTAGACATCTACATTAAGTACCGGGTTTGATAAATACCTTCGCAATATAATCGGCCATATCTCGTTGTGTTTCAGGATCGTCGGTGGCCACTTCGTATCCAGGCTCGTTTTCGTAAGGATTCGAAGACATAAGACTTTGGATCGAGATAAGCACAGATTCTAAGCCTTGTGCGGATGACCATTCTTCTCCCTTTTCCCCTTGCCATGTTCTGTAGTTGTCAGTATCTGAGAATGTCTCAAACCGGAGCTACACACCCGAGAATAGACCTGTCGACAAGTAAGTATGATATAGGCAATGTCAATAGAATAAACTTACAAGCAAACTTTCCCATTGGCATAGATGTTAGGAGCGAAACGGCATCGACCAGCGTTCGTGGTTAGTGCGGTGACTTTTGGAGGGTTGGCGGGATAGTCTGGATGTCAGAGTGAGCTCATTCCGATAGGAAATAGAACATGTTTGTACCTTGTGGAAATTTGACAGAGAACTTTCAAGGCAGTAGAAACGTTATCATGAATACATATCCGCTATCCGATGAAGAGGTACTAACCTCGAAGAAGCCAAATTCATATGGCGTGCATGGAGGGCCCACAATCAACGCCTTTACATCGCGAATATCCGATTCATCATATGTGACAGCTAAGGCTAGAGCTTAAGTTAGCAGGGTGATAACTTTCTGGGATTCGAGAACTTACACAAGTCGTTCCCCTTTTGAAGATCTGAAAGTTCCTATACCCCCACAGTTAAGTCAACAACAGGTCTTTTGAGTTCGACGCAGTACTTGGAGAACCTACACGAGTAATGCGGAGAATAGACTGATGCGACATGGTCGCAGTACTCTGGTGATGCTGAGATATGAGTTTTCGAGTAGGCTGAGGTGTTAAAATGACTTGAAAGGGAAGCTGCCAGTCATGACAATCAAAGAAGGCACAAGGCAGCCCCAGGCACCAATGCACCCAATCCAGCCGAAGTCTAGTTTATCTAGACAGACATCCCCTTCACAAACGTTATGATACCTGAGTATAAGGCGATCTGTTGAGAGAACTTACGTTGAATATTGTTTAATCTGAGATTTAGAAGATTTTTTGAGTCATCATCTCAGGTCTTTGACTAGGCACCCTAGATATATGCTACTGCTAGAATAGAACACAGTATAGTCTCAACTTTGCATCCTCTTTGGAGGACTGCCTGATAGTGAGATTATACTCATGATTACAATTAGATGGCTGCTCTGCCTAGACACAAAGGAGATGCCCCGCTACGATTATGAGGGAGTCCGAAATATGAGGAGTATGGAACATGAGTGAGAATGAATCCGGAACCCTTACTGTAGATTCAATGCTGAACGTGTACTCATCAATCAGTTCTTCAGATGACTGATCCAGACCTGGTGCTATCCAGATAGTACCAGATAGTGTTAGAAAGATCTCATTCTAAATACAGCACAACAACAGGCTACACAATAGAGTTTTCAGCCTCATTTTAGATTGTACTCAATCTGTTGATACCAAGAATGTTGGACTGCCAACATGTCTTCCTCATCGTGGCTGAGTATCTTCAATGCTGTCGACACATTGACTATGTATTGAGTCTCTCGATAATGAAGATCAGTCTGCTGAAAACATGATTTTGTCGACCTGTTTGATGACGTGTAAAAATATCCGAGAATAGCTTCCCACTAGTGAAGTTTTGGCGTGGGCTATCTCATCCTAGTTTCAGACTTTCAGTTCGAGACTGAGACTCGCTCGCAACATAGCCTCAATAGCCAAGGCATCTGGGAGACAGTGAGGGCGATAGTATGTATGGAATAGTGGATATACGTAACGATATCCAAGTTCTGAGTAGACAGAAGCACCAAAGAAGACGCAGAGGAATTGGCGGGGGAAGGCCAAAGCGGTGGGCACTCACGTGACCGCCCATGGGCCGGGGGCTGGTGATTTGCTGCGTTCTTAGACCAAACTTAGGGGCATAACAACAATCAATCAACACTGACTGACAGACTTGCTCTAACCACCCTACGTTCCTTACCAACAACCAACTCATATCAGATGCATGTCTTTGATTGAATACGTCTAAATATACGCTACACATCTCTCTGCTGCTGCGCACCAGAACGACTCCTAGGGATGCCCTCAGGACCACCAGCCATTGTTTCCTAAAAGTGCTCCGCCGCTATTGTTGTGTCTCACCTTCAATTCCACCGTGCCTGAGTCTGGGCCCCCTCAGCTCCCCGCATCTCTAAGGGTATGAGTATTCTCAAAAAACATTCTGTCGTCGCTCAATCCTTTCGACTCTTGCTCTGACAATTCACTCGTCTTCTAGCGACCGTGATTTCTGTGTTGTGTCCTGCCTCTTGGCGTCGATCACCCGCGGACCGTATGCCCTCTTGCTCGTGTGTACATGGCCTGACACTTGACAAAGACCAACAAAAAGGCTTGAAATCCAATAAAGGAGGAACAGACGAGACGAGAGAAGCATCTTGATTTTACATTGCGGGATTGTTTATGGCTTAGTCGCCATCTCGTTGCTGACTGCGGCCCTCTTTCGTGTTCGACGACCCCTTGTTCGGCGGTCAGGTGAAACCGGACGGTCGACAACAGAACACAAACATAATAATTGAGATTCGTCTCTCCCAACGCTGCAACTGATCATTACAAGCAGACAACTCACACAATCACTATGCCCGAACGAACTTTACCCGACATTCTTATGCCGGGCAATGGCGGCTCTGCGAGTCCTCGTCCATGGGGAAATGGCGCAGGATCCAACTCACAAAACAATTCACCCATATCTCCTATCGAAGGACACCTACCGTTCGAACGAGCCCCTCCAGGCGGGACTCCGTTAGCGAATGCAGCCCCAGCACCTCCTGCGCCCACATATCAACCAGAGAACCGTGTCGGAAGAAATCCCGCTGAGCCTGAGGGACAGGAGTCTGATGAACAACGTGACGTCGCAGCACCAAGGGAAAGGTCTCGACCAAATCGACGTACCTGCAAGAAGTGTGGTGAGCCTCTGACGGGACAATTTGTGCGCGCGTTAAATGGGACATTTCATTTGGAATGCTTCAAATGTCATGTAAGTCCTCTTTCTGCTGATTGATTTGGGATGTACATTTACTGATCGTTGCATGTTACAGGACTGCGGAAAAGTCGTTGCTTCCAAATTCTTCCCCGTCGACGCCGAAGACGGCAGCGGACAATACCCATTGTGTGAGACTGATTACTTCCGCAGACTTAACCTCCTCTGCCATGAGTGCGGTGGTGCTCTAAGAGGCTCCTACATTACAGCTTTAGATCGCAAATATCACATTGAACATTTCACATGCTCCGTCTGTCCGACTGTCTTTGGTGCTCAAGACTCCTACTATGAACATGAGGGCAATGTATATTGTCACTATCACTATTCGACCAGATTCGCTCAGAGGTGTAACGGGTGTCATACGGCGATCCTCAAACAATTCGTCGAAATCTTTCGCAACGGCCAGAACCAACATTGGCACCCGGAGTGCTACATGATCCATAAATTCTGGAACGTGAGACTGGCACCGGCTGGTCAACTTCTTGACAGTTCGACATTGGATGATGAAGCAACAGAAGCTGACCGTGAAAAAATCCGCAAACGAGAAGAACAGATGGAAGAGAAGGTCTACAAAATATGGAGTATATTGTCCACATTCGAAGAATCTTCAGCTGCTTGTATATCCGAAATGCTTCTACATGTCAGCAATGGGGCATATGTGGATGGAGTTTTGGTTGCCAAGAGTTTTATTTCACATGTCGAAATTCTTTTTGCAGCTATCGATATGTTGGCAGCTTTATTGAAGGATCAGGGTCTGAAAGGTACGTATTTATGTTCCGACAGAAGCGAAGCCACTGACATGATCATAGATCTATCTTACGCGCGCGAGGCAAAGTTGCTGTGCAAAAAAATCGTTGCTTTCTTCTCGCTGCTATCAAAGACACAAGAAACTGGAGTGAGGAAGCTTGGTGTCACACAAGAACTTCTGTCGCTGGTTACCGGTCTCGCCCATTACCTCAAACTTCTTATTCGAATTGGCTTGCAAGGGGCTTTGAAGCTCGAGCGAGAAAAAGACACAGTCCAAGGCCTTTTTGGATTTTTGAATCATCTTGAGCACAGCCTGCAAGGCCTCAAAGTCTCTGAAGAGGGACCTACAGATCTCATGGCAGGAGTCCCTGCCCTAGCAGATCAATACTCCGACTGCTGTACGGCATGTCAAGAGCCTATCGACGACGCGTGCATCATACTGGATGATAAGAGATGGCACACCAAGCCCCCTCATCTCGTTTGCAGTCATTGCCAGAAGGATCTAATCGTCGATCTTTCCGAGGCCGTGTGGAATGACAAAGATCAGCGCCCCTTTTGCAATAACTGCGCTTTCAATCTAGGACGAGCACCGGATGCTCGAGCTGGATTCAAGAACGTTACCAAGCTTGTCCAATATGTATTCTTGTTGCAGGTCGCCCTTGCCAGGCTGCTCTCCGTATTACGATCAAGTGGTACCCTTCCACATAGTACAGGTAATGAAACCAACCCATCCCCATGAAGGTCAACAGCTCATATTCGGCAGACGATCCTAACCTCAACGACTACGATGCAAACGAGGGTCATCGCGTGGAAACTGGCGCTGGGTTGACAGCTAGAGCAGCAAATACTCGCTCTCAGTCTTTTACGGGAGCTTCCAAGAGTGAAGAATCTTCATCTCTAGAGCAGACTGTTGGTGAGATGCGTCGACTGAGGTCTATTCGCAATGAGAGAACGTTATCTACCACTTACAAGAAAGCGCGAGCATCGAGAATCATCGACGGTCCTCAAGGAAGCAGTGTGCGACCGGGATCTTCGGGTGGCGATGGAACCGATCCTAGGAACCCTGGTTTCCAGATTATCGAAGAGAAAGACTCGAACGGAGAACCAGTGAATGAGTTACATTTTGGCGCTCAAGATGCACTGACCTTGGACGATATTCCTCGTATCGTAGCAGCTGAACAAGCCAAAGAGCAACGACCCAACGCGTCGAGATATGCTGGTACAAATCTTGTCGGTGCAGACGATTACCAAGCTAGGTTTGTTCCAGGCCATCGACGAGAGGTTTCTGGCGGTCAAGACCAGATGCCTATTGACGCCACTGGAATGAAGGCAAAGAAGTACTTTTCAGAGCTGTCGGCCCTCGAATACTTTATTGTCAGACATGTTGCGGTGCTTTCCATGGAGCCGCTCTTGGAAGGCCACTTCAATCTGGAGGAGCTCCTCTCATTGATTGAGTCACGCAAACCTACTGTTTGGAATTTGTTTGGTCGTGCATTCAACAAGGAGGGAAAGAAGGTCGGCAAGAAAAAGGGCATCTTCGGTGTCAGTCTGAATATTCTTGTCGAGAAAGAGGGCGCGGAATCTACACATGGCGTTGGTCCAGGTGCTTTACGAATCCCTGTCCTCATCGATGATGCTGTGTCGGCGATGCGCCAAATGGACATGTCCGTTGAGGGAGTTTTCCGAAAGAACGGCAACATTCGACGCTTGAAGGAGCTCGCTGAATTGATCGACAACAAATACGAACAAGTCGACCTAAACCGGGAGAGTCCAGTTCAGGTGGCTGCTTTGGTGAAGAAATTTCTTCGAGAGATGCCAGATCCTCTTTTGACATTCAAACTCCACCGTCTTTTTGTTATTTCACAGAGTAAGTCATACATACGTGCTAGTATAGTATTGACCACTGACGTTGGCAGAAATTGCGGACCCCGAAAAACGAAAGCGTATATTACACTTGAGCTGCTGCTTACTTCCTAAAGCTCACCGGGACACCATGGAGGTTCTCTTTGCTTTCCTTAGCTGGGCTGCTTCGTTTTCTCATGTCGACGAAGAGTCGGGCAGTAAGATGGACATCCACAACTTGGCCACTGTCATGACACCGAATATTCTATATCCAAATACGAAGACGGCCAGCATGGACGAGAGTTTCTTGGCCATTGAGGCAGTTGCTTCACTAATTGCATACAACGACGTTATGTGCGAGGTACGTATCATGCTCGTCTTTTACTGACCAAACTGACATTAGTAGGTTCCCGAGGATCTTCAATCTATTCTCAACGATACCAGCTTCTTCAAGGACAGTGCCGACATCACGACCAAAGAGATTCTCAAGAGATACGGCGACTTCGGCAAGGGTGTCGTTGCTCAACGAGTAACACCAAATATTGAGGGCAGCTCTGGATCGACCCGTGGCAACAACACACCTGTCACTGCTCGCATTGAGACTGATCCTTCACAAGCGACAGCATGGCAGATGCAAAGCTCTGTACGACATGTCCAAGCCCCCGGCGGACCGGCTTATACAGCAATGCCTATCAATAATCATGAGAATGGCGCACCGGAACAATACCGCGCTCGAAGTGCCAGTGCTGGCAGTCAGAGACAAGCTATGCCGCAGTCTGATGCGGAGCCTCTTCCATATCGTCCTCATCCCGGTACAGGTCCAATGGGTGTGGCTGGCTAGGACCGATTCGTTGATACCACTTTTTATTTTCTTTCCTTCGCTTCATTTCTTTTCATTGCACGGGTGCAACATTTACAAACAGTCAGCTATTCGCTGACAGTGGGTGCTTGCAAGGAAGAAGGCGTTGATTCGTATTACTTCGTGACGAGGCCATTGCATTGGTGAGCCAGCATGACAGGCGTGAGATTTCTTTCTGTTCTTCAAAAGAAGGGTATTTTGCAAGCCAACACATTGATTTACTTTCTATAATATTCATTCTCATTGGAACGGGTCTGGCAGAGACATTCGTGACACTTTTGACTTCTCTTTGAAAGATGATTATATTCATTTTCGACATCGAACTCTTGCATCATTGTTTATCAGATGCTTTATATTCCACATCGCTTTCTGTTTGCCTGATTCCCATAAGAGGCTACTTTACTTTTTATAGGAATCGAAATTATCTTTTCACATCCATCCATCCGCTCCATACTAATCTTCAAGGTACACAATCACTGACCAAAAACATCAAGAATTCCCCTCCACTCCGGCAACTTCCCTATTCCAGTCGGCTGCTTGATAAACTTCGCATTCTGCCACGACCTCATCGTCTCGATACAATGCTCGCGCCCAAAACCAGAGTCCTTGTTCCCACCAAACGGCGTCCCCAACACGGCCCGATTATAGTTATTCACAAACACCATACCGACATCCACACTTCGAGCAACACGGAAACAGCGCTCGCTGTCACGACTGAATACGCAACACGTCAATCCGAAGCGAGACTCGTTTACGATTTGGATGGCGTCGTCTTCGGTGTCGAAGGCGCAGATGGTCACGATGGGGCCGAACATTTCTTCTTGCGCTATTTGCATGTCGGGCGTGACATCGGTAATCAATGTTGGGGGTACGAAGAAACCGTCTTTGAGTCGCTGTTCGGATGGTAAGTCTGCTTGCGCTGCAATTTTGGCTCCGGGGGTCCGTTTGGCGATGTCGATGTATTTGAGACTATTTTGCTGTTGTGTCTTCGTGACTTGAGGCCCAACATGCGTTCCCGAATCCATCCCATCACCCACCTTGAGTCTCCTCACCCCATCCGCCAACCTCTCACAAAACCGCTCATACACACCCTGCTGCACAAGCAGTCGCGAGGTCGCCGTACAGGCTTCCCCTTTATTGAAAAATCCACCATCCAACGCCGTGCGAACCGCACGCTCAAGATCCGCGTCGTCGAAGACTATCAACGCGTTTTTACCGCCTAGCTCGAGGACGACGGGGATCGGTTTCTGGGCTGCGGTGAGCGCGACTTTTGTGCCTGCGAGCGTTGACCCGGTGAATGAAACCATTTTGACGAGTGGGTGCGCGACGAGGGATTGAGGTACTGCGGGGCCCCAAGCCGGCAAAACCTGGACTACGCCCGGTGGTAGAATTGTGTTGAGGATTTCAACGATTTTGATGACGGTAAGCGGCGCTTGTTCGGATGGTTTGAGGATCATTGTGTTCCCCGCTGCGAGCGCGGGCGCAAGTTTGCCAGCTGTGTGGATAGGTGGCCAGTTGAAGGGGATGATTGCTGCTGTTACACCTTTGGGTTCGTACCAAGTTGTCGTGTAGGTTGAGCCGTGATCGATAGCTTCGCTGGGTAGTTTGTCAAGGATGCTGGCGAAGTAACGGAAACAGGCTGACAAAAATGCTACATCGCCGCTTAGGGCGTCGGCGTATGGTTTTCCATTCTCAAGAGTCAGAATTTCTGCAATTTCGGGCGCGTGGCTCTCGAGAGCGGAGGCGCATTGGAAGAGTGTGATGCTGCGCTGGAGAGGCGGCAGCCAGCGCCAGGATGTTTGGAAGGCGGATTCGGCGGCGTGGACGGCGGATTCTACCGTCGAGAGGCTGGCGGGGRTGAGAGAGGKTATGATTGAGCCTGTTGCCGGGTTGTGGATTGGGAATGCTGAGGTTTCCCCTTGTGAGGTGTCTGATAATGGGACGGTGAAGGTGGATGGGTATGAGGGTGCCATATTCGTTGCTTGATTGATAGATCACATGCAAATATATGTCAGATCCGCAATAGATTTTAATATTGTTATTTTGGCTATTGTATCGAGCAAGCTTCTTTCTTTCTACTTATACACATCTTAGTTGATCTCATTTCAATGATATCGAAGTTCTGTTCTACATGTACCGGACATTTGCATAAACCCGTTATGTTGGTAGCTATATCGGGTTTAATGACAGAACCGTTGTCAATCTCCGTCTCTGTGTTACATATTAGGATCATCGGTTGATATACTTAGGTACACAATTTGGTACTCCGTCGCATGAATGATTGGTGTAATCAGCTTGCCTGGGAGCTCATTCAAGTATTTCGACGGATCTAATTCAAGTAGACTGAATGATCCTTTCGGATATACGGATGATGAGATATCACCATGGCTACGATCAACCAGACGGAATTAAGAAACACAATGCATTGTAAAAATCTCCGGATTATATAAGCCTCAACACCTTGCGCCAGTAGACAAACCCAAACAATAGTCGAACAGACTAAACCAGGTGCTAACTCCGTGCCTAGAGCTTCTACCAAGCTCTCCGAATCCGACCTTCCCCGATTTATTATGGTATAGTTGCTAGATCATACTTGTGCGCGCTTGCGGAGGACTCTGCCAGTACTGGCATCTGCACCGGCTTTCTTGGTTGCCACAGCTGTTCGCTTTGCGGTAGCAGCAGCAGTAGGACCCTGACTACGATTCAAGGTCGCCCGTTTCGCGGCTGCACTTGACGTGGTTGTCATAGCTCGCTGAGTACCTCGGGTAGGTTTGACAATCGTTGTGCTGGCAGACATGCTGGAGGATGTAGTGCTGGTACTGATATTCCGATTGTGTTGTCGCGAAGTGTTGCCTGGCGACTTAGGTATGGCTGAGGCCACTGGCTTTACAGCTGTCCTTTTTGTCTGGGCTGTCGTTTTGGTTCTTCGGACACTTGGCGCGGGAGAAGCCGCCTTTGATTCGGGCCGTGTCGCACGCGCGCGAGCGTCTTCAATCATTGCTTTGAGAGGACTGGCAGGTTTCAATGGCGAGGTCGGTCGTGACATATACGATGTTTTTGTGGGAGAAGTGATGAGTGGCGATTGCTTGTATGTGCGCGAGTTTGATGATTTGGGAGAGAGAACTTTTGTTTCTGCATCTCGCAACACTTGAGACACAGATCGTGGCTGGCCAGAGGCAGCTGGGTTACCGCGCTTCTTTGGATTATCGAGCGGAACATGCGCCTCAGGGACAGGTGCATTCTCCTTATCCGAGTAGCCACCAACGTTGCTTGTTTGTTTTGGGCGACGAGACGGAGAGCTTGTTGCACTGAGTGATGGATACTCTACCCCTTTTTGTTTTTTGGTCGCGATCGGACTTTTGATTGCTCTGGTAGGAACAGCTGATTTCTTCGGCGATTGTAGAGGGGCATAGCCGTATTTCTCGAGGAGTGCGCCCATGAGAGTTTTTCGTAGCCCGACGGGGATGCGATTTACTCGTCTTTCAAGGCGTGATCGAAGGTCTTGAGCTTGCATAGCATATTGAGCGCGTAATCGGCGAGCTCGTTCTGTGACTGCAGACTGTTAGTATACCCAATGAGGGAGCCTGTAACTAGCGTTATCCATTGTGACGTACTTTCTAACTGTAGGTTGTCAATCAAAGTCTGTTTCTGGTGCTGGGTAATCTTCAATTTCTTGCGAGCTGGGCTATTGGAAGGCGTTGTGACTTGATCTTGGTTGAAAGCATCACGCTCTGGCTCGGGGGTCTTGCGCTTCCTTGACGCGGAAGCAGACATTTTGTTTTCTTCCAGGAGGATAATCAATCTTGAGGCTTGAGTAATTGTTGAAGTAAACAATGGCGTGTATTTTGGGCGGGATCGATTGTGCAAAGGTTGTGGTAGTGGGCAGTCGCGTGGAGAAGTGTAGAGCACTGCGGGCGCGTCTGAAGCAGAGAGTGGAGAGTGTAGAGGAGTATGTAGAAGAGCGAGTAAACAAAGAGATTGGAGAGTGGAGTACTAGCCCGAAAGCGGACTAGCGGGTGTCGACTTGGCGGGAGCTTCATCATTGCTCATCTCACCCAGTCTATCTGACCAACTCCCAATCCATCACGAGAGCTTCTTTCGATACATTATCCACGCTATATTTTCCATCCGCATCTCTAGGTCAACCAGAGATTGTTACATTATTCACTCCTTCTTTTAACTCACCGCTTCCGCCTATTTCAAAGCTACGACGAGCTCTAGCTCACCCGCCGTCAAGATGGTGTTGGAAGCAACGATGGTCATGTTAGTACTCCATCTCAAGTATCCACCGGTTCATGCTGACTTCTCCAGTGTCGATAATAGTGAGCCCAGCAGAAACGGCGACTACACGTAAGCTCCCGAAGTTACCTTTCCGATCGCCTGCTAATCTCTCCAGTGCCACACGATGGCAAGCACAGATCGATGCCGTCGGCGTCATTGTTTCTGCAAAGATTCGAGCAAACCCACAATCCGCGGTTGGTCTTATGAGTATGGGCGGTAATGGGCCAGAGGTGCTCTCGACTTTTACGGACGACTTTGGCAAGATCTTATCAGGACTGCATCGGACCAAGATTCACGGAAAGTCACATCTCGCATCGAGTATACAGGTTGCCGGCGTACGTCATCACAAAGCTTACAGATTGAACTTAAACTGACGGAATACAGCTCGCTCTAAAGCATCGCTCAGAAAAAGCCCAAAGACAACGAATAATCGTATTCTCGTGCGCCCCCGTAACCGAAGACGAGAAGTCGCTCATCAAACTCGCCAAGAGAATGAAGAAGAACAACGTATCCATCGATGTCGTGGCATTCGGAGACCTGGACTCAGACACTACGAAGAAACTAGAGGCATTCGTCGAAAACGTCAAAGGAGGCGACGGTTCACACTTGGCCATTATCCCTCCCGGCCCGAATCTACTCAGCGAGGAACTCCAGGTCACACCAATCATGGGCGGCGAGCCGGGCGCAGGTGTTGGCGGTGGTGACGAAGGCGAAGGATTCGGATTCGAAGATGCCGCGGAGAACGATCCCGAACTCGCTTTTGCTTTGCGCTTGTCGCTGGAGGAGGAAAAGAACAGACAGGAAAAGGAAAGGCGGGAACGCGAAGAGCAGGAGGGTAAATCTGCATTGGAGAATATTCCCGAAGAAGCCAAGGACGGCGGCGAGTCATCCAAGGATAATGATAAGATGGACACTGCGTAGGGTTGATAGCTGCACTTGGGACTAGTGAGCGTCTATATCATTGCATCTGTAACCTTAGATAGTGCAATCCATGAAGCGACATGCCACAATTTACAAATTCTCTTGTTCTGACTACTCAGTATATATCCTATGCCCTCCCCCGTATCCACGTCCCCAAATGCCGATCAAACGCCTCGCATCTCACGGGCATCTCCAGCTGATAAAACGGATTCTTCATCACATAATCTGCATACAACTCATACACCTTTTTCATCACGGTGTCGATGTTTGTCATCAATGGGTCGGTAAAGAGTAAGAATTTCGTGCCTGTTTGAGTCTGGAAACAGGTCAGGCGGAAGCGGTCTGTTTCGAGGACTTCGATTCCCGTCTTCGGTTGGCCTGGTTCGGGGAGGGACCAGGACAAGGATGCGGAGGGTGTTGTAGGTGTTGAGGTGGTTTGGGGATTGGGGTTCGCGGTTGGTATTCGGGGAGTGATGGAGCGGGTGATGGCGTGGACGCTTTTTACCGATTATTAGTAAATTCATACTGTTATTGAATAGTATATTGCCTGTGTTGGGAGACGCACCCGTGAAATGTTCCTGCGAGGACCAGGTAGTCGTTTGTAGAGAGCTTTTGCAGGCCAGCCTGGAATTCGCGTTGGTAGATGAGGCCGCCGGCCTTGTTTATGATGATGAGGGAGAAGACAGCCCTAGAGAAATTAGCGATGACCAAGAATTGTTACTTTCGAGAAGAATACAGTGCAACGTACATGGCTGCAATTGACGGTCTGTCTATCTCAAGGCGACGGTGGTTATTATTGCCTGCGCGGCATCGTCTGGTGTTGCTCCTCCCGCTGTTGTGTCTGCCCAAAGTACCCCAACGTTCTTTCAAACTTCCTCTGTGCTTCTATTTTCGATTTCCGATCTTAAGTCTGTGTCGTTCTGTTCCTGCAACGATTTACACACTGCTGTTCTCTCATCGTTATCTATCTCCGCAAGTCTAGAGCGGACGCTGTGGTAAGCGGAACCTTACTTGGCGCTCATTGACCAATGGCCTACAACTACGCCGCTTCATGTCAACAGTGAACATGGTGGGAATCAACTCAAGTCGCCTCTATTATCTAAGAGATCGTTGATATAGGTCTAAAAGCTCGACTATACACTCACAACCTGCGCCTTGTCCGGATGCTTGGTTCGAGAAATCTTGAAGCGGTGCGCAATATATTCACCCACACGAACACTCTCATATTCCTTGCCCTCCTCGCGACAAGAAGGCAAAACCTCTAGTTCCGCCTCGTCATCAAACGCATAGAAGAAAGGGATCGAGTACCTCTCCTCACCAGTCTTGTTGATCACGCGATGCACAGTAGACTGGAAATATCCATTGGTGATATGCTGCATGAAATCGGCAATGTTCACAACAAAAGTACGAGGAATAGGAGGAGCGGAAATCCAGATTCCATTCTTGTTGAGCACTTCCAGGCCTCCAACTTGCCCTTGACATAGAACTGTGAAGCATGCAAAATCGGTATGCGCTGCAATACCGGGTTCTTCACCACCGCTGACTTCCTGCGGCGGATAGTGTAGGGGTCGCACATAACCAGCGGGGAAGGTACACATGCGATCGAAGAAGTGTTCATCCATACCAAGGGCAAGGGCGAAGGTCCGGGTTAGTTCCTTTGAGAACCGCTGCAAGTGGTTATAATACTTGGTCACTGCGACGCGGAAACGCTCGTTGTTTGGCGGCCAGTTATTCACGGACTCCCCTGTGTGCGCTGGGAATGGAAGCTCCTGCGCCGCGTCGGTCTTGTCTGGACCCATGAGGAATGACTCCTTCATATCGCCGCGAGTCTTCGAGTCAAGTTTTGTTTCGAAGAGAGGTTCAAAGCCACGAAATCCGACTTTCTTGTGGATATGGACTTTCATCTTCTCCTCGTTGGGCTGGTCGAAGAATTCCTTGATAGCGGCGAAAATTTCGTCGATGACATCTTGGGGCACGTCGTGGTTTTGCGCATAGAAAAAACCAACCTCAGCGCATGCCTTGGCCACCTTATCGGCGACTGCTTTGCGCGCTTCAAAGGATGGCGAGGTGATATCAGTGACATCCACAAGGGGAATTTCCTCAAAGGTCTGGTAGGCCTTGCTGCCTCTTAAAACAGGACGACGACCAGGAATTCCCCCCTGGTGGTAGTATACATACTAAATGATGTGTGTAAGTACGAATCGAGGCTATTGGCATAGTCTTAATTTGCCTTACCTCCTCCGCTGTCTCAGTCTCAGTCGCCATTTTGATATTTCAATGGCGTAATGATGTGTCCGTCAGATGCGTTCAGGAAGCATTTCAAACTTGCAGACGCTTTGTCATATTTCTCAGCTATCTATTTTATACTTCTAAGCTAGAAATCCAGCACCCCGACTAAACGAAAATAACGTATGATCCTGTACGATCCATATGATAAACCCTAATGCGGCCGAAGCTGGTCTAGAGTTACCTACTTAGGGCTGATATTCAATGACCGACGGACAGTTCTCGGAGAACAGCAGATCCCTCCACAAAGTCATAACCTCTACCTAAATAGTATTAATAATATCCTCCAACCCTCTAGATGCCCTTTTCCCTTTCCACCCACTTTCATATGTATGATCAACAATAATGTTTACTAAACATCCCTGCCAAGACCACAGCCTTCCCCAAAGGAGTAACTTTTCGGTCAGCGAGAATTGCCTGATCGGGTAATAAAGAGCTCGCTGAACGCGCCTCATAAGAAGGGAAATCATCGAACTTGAGCGTAGTTTTGGCGTTTCGTATATTCTTCTCACTCAGCATTGTTATTAAACTAGAACTGGCGTTAATACTCGGTGCGCTTGGATAACGGCCCCCAAACTTTTCAGTCTTAGCACACGGACGGTTTGATTTCTTGTACGAAGCCACCCGCGCATAACGCTAGGTCAAGATGTCGACAACAGAGCCCAAAAGCAGCTCGGATGAATTTGAGCCGAAGACCTTAGAGGCTGGAGAGGAGCACTCCCCCACCATTGTTGATGATGCTGAGGCTGCTCCTCCAGCCCCAGCTCCAGCCCCCGCACCGTCGCAGCAGTCACAGATCCCTAATGGTGGCTTGCAGGCGTGGCTGCAGGTGCTTGGGGCTCATTTGCTGTTCTTCAACTCATGGTATCTACACACCTCACTCAAAAGGCAATGAGCATACGCTCTCTGGTCCAGTCCACTGACATGACAACAGGGGCATCGTCAACACCTTCGGCGCCTTCCAGGCCTACTACGAGAGTGACCTCCTCTCCCACGAATCCTCGTCCAACATCTCCTGGATCGGCACATTCCAAGGCTTTCTGTTGATTGTAATCGGCAGCGTCACGGGTCCCGTCTTTGATCTAGGATATTTCCGATCTACGCTATCCGTCGGCGCTTTCTTGATTGTCTTTGGGTTGATGATGACCAGTCTTGGGACAGAGTATTACCAAATCTTTCTTGCGCAGGGTCTCTGCGTTGGGTTGGGCACGGGATGTCTGTTCTTGCCTAGTGTTGCTATTGTTGCGACGTATTTCAGTACCAAAAGAGCCTTGGCAACGGGTATTACGGCTGCTGGAGGAAGTATTGGGAGTGTGATATATCCGATTGTGTTTCGCAAGCTTCAACCTCAGATTGGTTTCCCGTGGGCGACCAGAGTGTTGGGATTCATTGCACTGTTTACATTGACGATCAGTGTGTTGCTCATGAAGCCCCGTTTGCCACCACCGAGCAAGACGCGCAGCTTGTTTGATAGTGCTGCGTTCAAGTCTGTACCATACGTCGTCTTTAGCATTGGTCTCTTCCTGGCTTTTATCGGTCTTTACATCCCGTTCTTCTATATCGTGCTTGCTGGAGAACGTCGATACGGCCTCCCGGATGATTTGTCGAATTACATGCTCTCGGTTCTGAATGCTGCTTCTGTCTTTGGACGTATTATCCCCGGTCTTTTGGCGGATAAGTTTGGATCGCTGGAGATCCTTACATACTGCACGATTTCGGCAGCCATTATGTCCTTTTGCTGGGCCGCCGTGCACAATCTCGGCGGCTTGGTTGTCTACTGTCTATTCTATGGATTCCTCTCCGGCGCCGTGGTATCGCTACCCACAACAGTCGTTGCTGGCCTCGTCCCCGAGCTCCGACTCATGGGTACCTGGATGGGAATGAGCTTCAGTTTTGCGGGTTTGGGACTGCTGATTGGAAACCCTATTGCTGGAACGATTATCAATGTTGCCGAGAACAAGTTCACGGGCGGATTCTTCTTCTCAGCTAGTACGGTGATTGCGGCTGGTGTTATTTTTGTTGGAGTTGGAATTTATAGGCCTGCTTCATTCAAGTGGCTGAAGAAAGTGACTGGTACACAGCGAAAGGTTGAACAGTGAATCAATATTTAGTAAGGGAATGTGCAGAGAGAGGGGACCGGAAGTGTATGATGAAGACAAAGGGCCTGATCTAGATTGTTAAATTGACATGTATTCGAGCAAAAGTTCTATAGAACCGATATTAATTCCATTTTGAAATACCGAAGCTTTATTACTCCTGTCAATTGCTTTGTATCGAACCTCCTTTATCGTGCAGAAACTTCAGTCTTCGAGGGCAATGAGGGATCAAAGTTTGTTCCATAAAAGGCCACGGGTTATTTCAATGTTCAGCTTACTCGGACTGTTATTAACGCATACATTTTCAATACGGGAGTAAAGATTAAATATTTATTCTCAGTATCTATTGTAAATAGCTCTTCTCTTGTGATATATCTAGCCTCGCATTCTAGGAACCTATAACCTTGTCAGGAGATCATCAAAAAGCATTGAAATCGTCATATCACACCAGACAAATACTCATTGAGGCCATTCTCAGTACCCTTCACATCAAAACCTCCCTTCCCGCCTTCCAACAAAAACTTCGTCCCTTCGTATAGATCAATATGCCATCTCTGCGCAGCGGGCAGCTCCTGAAACCGCCAGAATCCATGCGGCAAGCCATCGTATAAATCGATTTTGGTCTCGGCATTAGACTGTTCGCGTAATAGTTTGGCGAAGAGAAGGGCCTCGTCGCGGATGGGGTCTAGCCCTGCGATTTGGAAGTATGCCCGAGTGGGTAGACCGGAGTGATCGGGGTTGAGCAGGAAGGATATTCTTGGGTCGTCAGGGGGAGCTTGGCAAATATCTACACACTTTTTTCAGCATTTTTATGTTGAAGGTAGAGTGGGCAAACCTACCTTCGATAAGTTGCTTATAAGATCGTACGTCCAACATGTCTGAGTCCTTGTTCTGCTCAATACTGAGAAGTTCATCTTTATACTGCGGCAGAAGATGGAAAGCTTGAGGCATCAAGCAGCACGGAATTGAGAGCAATAACCCCGTAATCGGCGGCTGAAGACCCTCATCACGAGCAACGTAAGCCAAAGCCCCAGCAAAATTTCCACCGGCTGAGACACCTCCGACGAGAAATCCTTTACTCAAGTCTCCGCCAAAGGAAGGTGCATTCTTTGTGACCCATCGCAGGGCATCATGCGCGTCTTCGAAGCCCTTGGGGAACACGTATTTCGGCGCAAGACGGTAATCAACGTTCAACACTGCCAGTCCATTACGCGCTGAAAGTAGCCTGCAGTTATCGTCGCCGGTTTCAATGTTACCAAAGGTATATCCGCCTCCATGGTAATAGACAAATACGGGATACGCTGCAGCGCTCCCGCTTTCTGCAGGTCGTCGAGGTGTGTACGATCTCACGAGGATCTCGTAGCCATCACGAGCAGGAATGTGGAAATCCTTTACATCAACTTCATCGTTTCCAGGTATCTTGCGGATCTGTGGACCCTCGGCGGCTAATTTTTGGAATGCTGCTCGGCGTTGGATGATATGATCATCGCTTCCGCGGAAATTGCGCATCACAGGCTGTGCCTGGACGAACCGTTCCCATTGGGGATTGATATAGGAGAACTTTGCGTATTGAGCCATTATTTTTGTCTATTCTAACGTACTTCAAGGTTGTGGGTGAAAAAAGAGGGACTCTCATGATGACTCTTTTAAAGTTGATTTTAGTGGCTTKGAATCTTAGAAAAGAAGGCGGGTTCGGCTTGGTAGTTTCGCCCGGCGTTGCCGTTCTAGTCAGCAAGCAGGCTCAGCAATGGCGATGGGCTTGAAGAACAGGGTCTGACTGATTGATATTTTTACCTCATTTGTCGCTACCTAGACAAGGAGGCTAGTCGGTCACCGGGGTTAAACCATACCACGTCGGGTAAGATGGTGTTCAGTGTCAGAACGGACTTTGTGGTGACTTAGCCCTAATCTTCACCGTAATGCTGCCAGTCTACTTAGGCCATGGTATTTCAGGTTCAGTAGACAGTATAGTTGGCATTGTGTTGTAGATCTGTATCTCTTTCACTTGCACAATTGCAGCCTGGTTTCGGCCCCAATAAGTCATACTCAATGTTGACCAATGGTTCCCCCAAAGATTTGGGGAGAGCGAACGAGTACTCCCAGGTAATCCCAAAATCTTTCCATAGAATTGTTTCAAGGCAAAAGCTGACAGAGCAGGTCGTTCAATCGGTGCAAGAACTCGTGGAACTGTTTTTCGAGGCAGCCGAAAATGATCTCGACAGCCTTGAAAGTCGCAATGTCCTTCAAACTGGGAGCACCCCGCATTACAGTCATGCCCGGAAGGACCTGCGTTCTCATCTCTCACTCTCCCTGCCCGAGAAGGGCCTTGGTCATGCAGACCTGGTATCTTCCACGGAATCTATCTTAGAGCATTCGGTGAATGCCTCGTCTCCGGCATTCATGGACAAACTTTGGTCGGCTCCGTCTATACCGGGGATTGCGGCGGATCTTCTTCTGTCTTCTCTAAATGGAAATGCTCATGTGTTTCGTGTTTCTCCAGCTTTGACGTTTGTGGAGAAGCATGTTGGAAAAGAGCTCGCGAAGCTCTTCGGTTTTAGTGGGCCGAATGCTGGAGGAATCACATTTCCAGGCGGTGCCGCGTCAAACACTACTGCACTTCTGGTAGCTCGCAACGCCCGCTTCCCAGAGCTCAAAAATTCTGGTCTTATTGCAGCTGCTCAACCATTAGCGATTTTTGTGTCTGAAGCAGCGCATTACTCCATCATCACAGCCGCGGGGCTTCTAGGAATCGGTCTTGCATCTGTTCGAAAGATTCGTACTACAGAGGCCGGTACCATGGATCCCGTAGCCCTGAAAGCAGAGCTGCAAGCGGCAGTCGATGCAGGGCACGTTCCACTGTTTGTTTGCGCAACAGCCGGAACAACGGTGCGCGGCGCGTACGATCCTCTCAGGGAGATCGGGCAGCTGGCTCATGAATATGGAGCGTGGTTTCATATCGATGGGTGTTTCGGCGGCGCTGCAATCTTCTCCGAGAGGCTCAAGTACAAGTTAGATGGAAGTGAACTCGCTGATAGCATTGCTTTCAATCCTCACAAACTGTTGGGTGTGCCGCAGATATGCTCTTTTCTGCTGGCAAAAGATTTGAAAACTTTATGGTTTGCGAATCGGCTAGAGGCAGGGKATTTGTTTCATGACGATGAAGACGATACTGATATTGCCCGAGAGGTGGGTCATCACCACTCGAACGGCAATGGGACAAATGGGGTCAAGAAAAATGGGCATTTCGATACAACAAACGCCAATTGGCGATCATCAAGGGACTTGCTTGAAGCCCCTGACCCAAACCAAGTGTACGATCTTGCCTCATTTACGCCCCAGTGCGGCCGACGTCCTGATTCTTTGAAATTATACTTTCACTGGCGTTACTACGGCACAGAAGGAATTGCAAAGCAGGTCGAGACCGCCTATGAAGCAGCTCAATATCTGAGCAAACTAGTTGGGGCCAGCTCAAACCTGTACCTCGTTGGGGAAAAATACGAAGTTCCATGCACTCAGGTGTGTTTCTACTATAAACGACCACCAAGCGGGGAAACTATTGAGGTGGACGAAGCAAAGCAAAACACATATTATACTCGACTTATCACGTCTGGCCTTGATAAAAGGGGATGGATGGTTGACTTTGCACCAGGATCCGGTAGGTATGGTGAGAACGGCGATTTTGTAAGGGTGGTCTGCAACAGAAGCACTACACCAGCGGTTTGCAATGGTTTGATGAAAGCTATCTCAGAAATTACGACCGAACTAGAAAATGTTATTTAGATAGATTGCTGCTGTTAAAAATACTGTGAATTTGATAGATTGAATAAGAAACCTCGATGAAAGAGTAATATGATCGTAATCTCTCTAAAATACTCAGTTATCCAGGTGAAATATCGAAATAAACGCTAGTTCAATTTGCCCCCTTTAGCCACGAGATTTTGTGCCAGTTGCCTCAGTTCTGTCTTCAATACCTTTCCACTTGCATTCACAGGCAGCCCAGATGGCAACCCATTTTCTTCTGAGGCGACGAAAAAGTGGTCCGGCATTTTGTGAGGTGCCAAATCATGCTTTCGCAGCCAGGTCTTCAGTTCCTTTTCGTTCAAGGTTGATTTGGAGGATGATTCCTCTTGCACGAATGCGATGACGGATTCTCCCCATTTAGCATGGGGAACTCCCACAACGGCCACGTTGGTAACCGACGGATGAGCCTGGATAATCTCTTCAATATCTTTTGGAATAACATTCTCGCCGCCTGTAGTACGTAAGTTGATTGTATATATGATGTTTTTTCAACTACTGGAGACTCACCTTTTTTGATCATATCTTTAACTCTCCCCAAAACTGTGCAGGTGCCATCTGGAGCAAGGGAGACTATATCACCGGTATGCAACCAAGCTGTGCCGTTTTCATCAATTCGTACCACTTCGGCACTTTTTTCCGGGGCCTTGTAATACCCTTTGTGCACAAGGTAGCCAGAAACACATAGCTCACCCGAGCTGCCAGGAGGAAGCACAGTCCCATCAGTATCAATAACCTTAATGGATGTATGAGGCAGTGGCTTCCCCACAGTAGTCCAATTAGACAAAAGCGAGATATCCCTGGTAGTCGATAAGCTAACAGCCGATAACTCCGTCATACCGAAAGGGTATATAAGACCATTCAGGGCAAGGCGATCATTTATCTTTTGTAGCAGATCTCGGGACAGGCTTGCGCCGGCAATTATACCCGTACGAAGCGAGAGCTGGGAAGATACCTTGGCTGATAGTGCCTCTTGATCGAGAATACTTTGAAACATGGTCGGCACAGCATTGATTACGGTGCACTTTTCCTTGACAAGCGTTTCTAGTACCTTGGTTGGATCGAAGACTTCAGATGGGAGAACCAATGTGCTTCCATGCGAAAGCGCAGCAAGAAGCCCGCATACAAGGCCGAAACAATGAAAGAGCGGCGGAGGACAGCAAAGAATATCCTTCTCCGTAAGTTCCAATAAATTTCCAACCAGTTGACCATTGTTGATGAAGTTACTGTCTTGCAAGTTAGTAACCTAGAGGACGACAAGGGACGGTCTGCGAGCAAACGCACCTATGTGATAACATTGACGCCTTCCGTGGCCCTGTTGTTCCACTGGTAAACTGAAAGCAGCAGACATCGTTCGGGTTTACGTGGACATCCCGATTTAGATCCTGGTTTTTGTTGATAACCTTTCCGCGCTGGAGAAACTGAGTATACGACAGTGCAGAGCCGTATTCAGATGTCTCAGATCCCATATAGACCACCTGCACTGTTTTCTCAGCACTTGTGTTCAAGCTTGAAACCATTTGAAGAATTTTATCATTTTTCCGGAACCCGATACGGCGTGAAACGAAGATCATTCGAGGTTCTAGAAAATGACATTAGTACAACTTTGATTGAAAGATGAACAACGTGCCCTTAGTGATTAAACCTACCTATCAGCTCGATAGCAGATGCAATCTCTTTGATGGTGAACATAGGGTTGATAATAGTAAATATAGCCCCAATATACGTTGTAGCGAGATAGATGTGAACGAATTCCATACTGTTTCCAGCGAGAACCATAACACGGTCACCATGGCCGACGCCGGACGCTAGGATAACGCGAGCGAGTTGTTCAACATCTTTCTGGAGCTCTTGATATGTGGATTTTAGCCCTTGCCATGAAGAAATTACTGCAGTATGGTTTGGGTAGTGCTGTGCGCCGAATTCTAGAAGTTGAGTAGTAGTCCAGTCCAAGAGCGGGGGTTCACGAGGACCGTGAAATATTGACGTGGTCTCCCGAGAGCCATTCTGGTTCAAATCGATGGCCATGATTATTTTAGGGATATTTTCTGAGTTGTTAAATTGTTTATTGCTGAAAGCTTTTCAATATGATAGTTTCTACTTGGACTTGGGGATAATACATACCTGCAGATGTACTTTGAATGATGGCGAGCAATACAGCCATCGACAATAGACCTAGCTCCGATATCGTTGCCTCCTAAATATTTCCTTATTAAGTTATTATATTAGGTCGTATTCGCTAACCGATGCATACTTTCCTCCTTAGGGCTGTCTTAGTTCCGCAACGAGAGGCGCCGTTGCTAAGGGAATGGGGGCTGAACAGGGGGTAGTTCTTAGAAAACCCTAAGATGCCCAGTAGCTAGACTCAGAGCTGTGGAATTTGCATTATCAAATTCTATAAATTCAATTCAACATTATATTTTTGCATGGCCAGTTAAAATGCAAGAATCTGCTTCTGTCAGCTTGCTCTCGAGCAGTGTGACGACCGCTTCTCTTGAGAGCAGTGGTCCTGTCTCTTCTGCATCATCGGTCTCTGATCGTCTCGATTCCACAAAGTCTATTTTACGAGGGTTATGGGCAGAAATACTCAGTGAGGACCCAGACGATATTGATGACGAAGCATCATTTTTCGATATCGGGGGGAACTCAGTCTTAGCATCGGAGCTAGTATCCTTAGCGAAAAAGAAACAGCATCTAGGCCTCGATATTCAAGATGTATTCGAATACCCAACTTTGCATGAGATGGCGGCAAAATCCCATCATCTTGTCCAGCAGTCTGAAGCCGTTGTTGAAATTCCAAAATTCTCAATACTGCGACATCAAAACACAACCGACGACCATATCCGTACGCTTTGCACCAAAATTGCAAAGAAGTGTTCCATACACGAGAATAATATCGAAGACATTTATCCATGCTCTCCACTCCAAGAGGCCATGATCGCGGTATCACAAGGGGGCAGGGATAGCTACATGACACAGCTGGTTTATTCCTTAGGTCCTGAGATAGACATACAGAGATTCAAAAAAGCATGGGAGACGGTTGTTCGCGGGAATCCGGTCCTGCGTACTCGCATCATTCAAGAATCACCATATGGAATGCTACAGTGCGTGATCAAAAACGATGTTCTCTGGGTAGAATCGCATTCACTCGAGGCCTACCTGGAAGAGGATCGCAAGAAATCTATGTTCGAAGCAGACAACCTCATTCGGTTCGCTCTGATTCGCGACACAATATCATCTACACAAAGATACCTGGCCATTACAGTCCATCATGCCATCGTTGATGCGACGTCCCTTACCTACATCTTAGATGATGTGGTCAATGTTTACAGTGGGGATCAGCATCCCATTGCTAGGCCTATGTTCAATACATTCATTCAGCAAATACAGCAAGTTGACATGGATGCCGCCGACGACTTTTGGTCTCGCCAGGTGAACGAGGCCAGCTCTTCACAGTTTCCATCGCTTCCAGACAAGGAATTCAAACCGCTCGCATCCGCTCATCTCATCCGATCTTTTCAGGTTGATTGGAACAATCCGAAGTTTAATATCACGAAACCCTTGCTCTTAAGAGCTGCATGGGGGATCTTGTTATCCCTTCGATCACATAACACTGATGTAAGCTTCGCAGCTACTCTCAGCGGCCGCTCTGCTTTCGAGGGCACGATAAAGGATATTGCCGGGCCCACAATCACAGCTGTTCCAGTCAGACATAACTTTGATGATGATGAAGTTACTGTGGGCAGGTATCTTCAGCAAATTCGACAGCAGGCGATTGACATGATGCCATACGAACATTATGGAAGCCTAAATGTTCGCCGACGCCATGGAGATTCGGGTATCCGGGCCACCGACTTCCAGAATCTCCTGCTTGTGCAAATGGACTCCGAGGATACGATGCGCGAAACGCTCTCCAAAATAGACATATCTCCTATAGAAGGGGTGGGTTTGCCATTTGAATATGACTTTGCGCTGGTAAATGAATGCACGACTTCTGATAATTCCTATCAGGTCTGTTTGTGGTATGATCCCAGAATCCTTACTGAGCAGTCAGTGGACATAATCGCCGCACAATTCAACACAATACTTACTCAATTATGCCATGTCGATCCACAAACTCCAGTACGTTCAATTCGTTGTTTCACTGAATTAGATCGTTCTCAGATAAAAAGCTGGAACCAATCTCAACCAAATGCTGTAAGGCAAACAGCCCATGCCATGTTTGAGTCTCAGGCACAATCGTCACCTAAGGCTTTGGCCTTGCGCGCTTGGGACGGGGATATGACCTATGAAGATTTAGACTATCAATCTTCCGTATTGGCAGGTCACTTAACATCTCATGGTGTGGGACCTGAGGTCTTGGTTCCCTTGTGCTTCGAAAAGTCCAAGTGGATGACAGTTTCCATTCTTGCAGTCCTCAAAGCAGGTGGAGCTTGGGTACCTCTGGATCATAAATTCCCCATAGATCGATTAAGACAGATTACAGAAAAAGCCAAAGCGACAATTATTGTTTCCTCCAAAAACATGGCCGGAAAGATGAAAGCCCTGATAACAGACAATGTTATCATACCCGAAATACTCATGAACGAAGCGGCAACATCCCGTCAATCCACAGCACCAGGCTCACTAGAGAGCTCATCAGCCGGGCCTGATGACACTGCCTATGTACTTTTTACATCAGGCAGTACTGGCGAACCAAAAGGTGTCGTGATGTCTCACGGATCTCTTTGCACCGGCATTATCGAGCAAGGCCGTGCTCTTGGCTGTAGTTCACAATGGCGATCTCTTCAGTTCTCTGCCCACACATTCGATCCTAGCATCAGCGAGGGTCTCATGACTTTATGCCATGGCGGCTGTGTCTGTGTACCGTCTGAAGAATCCCGTCTAAATGACTTGCCTGGAGTCATTCGACAACTGGAAGTGAACTGTGCACAACTAACCCCGTCAGTCGCCCAGGTCATTGACCCCGAAGAGGTACCATCTTTGAAAAGGCTTATATTTGTTGGCGAAGCTGCCAACAGCGATAATGTCAGGAAATGGGCTGGTAAACTCCAACTCGTGAACGCATATGGTCCCACTGAAACCTGCATATATTGCTCTGTCAAATCCGATTTTACGCCAAACACAAGTCCAACATCGGTTGGAAAGGCCTGTGGTGGTAATAATTGGATCGTAGAATCAGAGGACCACGAGCAGCTTGCCCCGGTTGGTTGCGTGGGTGAGGTTGTCGTCTCCGGTCCCTCACTCGGCAAAGGATATCTTGACAATGAGACGGCAACGTCTGCCGCATTTGTGACATGCTCGTGGCTCCGAAACATGCAGCCCTTTGCAACTTCTGATAGGATTTATCGAACTGGAGATCTTGCTTTTTATAATCCGGATGGATCCATGCAGTTGGTCGGACGAAAGGATAACCAAGTCAAAGTCCGTGGAAATCGTGTCGAGCTTGGTGAAGTAGAGCGACGGTTGAGTAAACTAAGCTCACTCACAACAATCATGGCCTACGTTCCAAAAGCCGGTCCACTTCAACGACAACTCATCACGATACTCTCGTTGAATGATAACAATTTATCCGCCCGCAAGGATGGTCCGATTCGTTTATCTGAGGCGATGTCTTCCACAGATACGAAGTTACTTCTCCAACAGCTGAGAGAGCGACTGTCTCGCGAGGTACCCGATTACATGATCCCATCCTTCTGGGTCGTTGTGGATGGCATCCCATTGAATAATTCCGGAAAACTGGATCGAAAAGTCGTGAAACAATGGATAGAGGCTATAGACGACTCCCAGGCGGCTTTGATCACCCAAGATATCTTTGGGGAGGCCGATACATCCACTGCTCATATCCCACAGAAATATGTTAATATTTATGAGCCACTACGGCAAGTATGGAGTGAGGTCCTCGACTTCGATGCACAAAAGATCGATCCACACACTTCTTTTTTCACCTTGAATGGTAACTCACTTTCGGCCATCAAGGTGGTCGCATTAAGCAAAAAACGGGGTTTGATTTTTACAGTTCAAGATTTGCTCTTAAGCAGAACCCTTTCGAGATTATGTGAGGTGGTTGAATTAGCCGAAAGTAGTTCAAGTTTGGCGACGGAATTTTCCCTTGCACCGGCCCAGAAATACCTATTATCTCTGTACGACAATTCCGTATCGGATTTACAAGACCACCGGAGCTCGTTGATTCAGACACTAATAGAGCTGCCTCGCACAGCAATTCAGAGAGCGTTTGACAAGTTGCTTCGGATCCATCCGATGTTACGTGCACGATTTATCTCAGTAGATGGAAACCTGAAGTATCGAATAGCAGACCCCGAGGGCTCTTACCGACTATCGTTCACACAAAGCCGGCCTGTAAGTGAAGGAGAGCAAGACGCCATCGTCCGCACAGCCCATAATAGCATCGATCTCGAAAACGGTCCCGTGTTTTCTGCAAACATTTTTAGAACCGAAGTCGGATCTTTCCTGTACATTGTCGCTCATAAATTGGTGACAGATGAACAGTCCTGGAATATTATCCGGGCTCACCTTCAGCGTCTTTTAATCAAAAGATTGGATATGCGCATCGAGCCTACCTTCCAACAATGGAATAACAAATTTAGCAGCGTTGTCTCCAAAGTACCTGCTTCTCTCAGACAGCAGGCTGGAACATTGGAATTTTGGGGAATAAACGAGCCAGGGCGTTCAAAGCAAGACGTCAAGCATCAACTTTCAATGGACATATCAGACCTCCATCTTTCTACTGGCGCTCTCGAATATCCATCCATTCGGTCAATTCTGGACAAAGTCTCAGCAGCTTTTGTTTATGTCTTTTACCAGGTTTTCACAGACTATAACCCCTCAATCCACATTGAGACTGATGGTAGACACCTGGCGGCCAATGGCATGAATTTCTCGGATACTGTTGGGCCATTTTCAATATTTCACCAAGCTTCCTTATTCTATACAGACGGACTCACCCATCAGCCGGCACCAGGTGTAATCTTGGCTGGAATCAAGAAGTCACATGGAATATTCATCCGTCAAGATGGAGCAAATTCAACTTATCCCGATATCTGCATCCATTATAAACCAACTCCGATTGCCAGCGAATACGATACTTTCTTCCATGAAATCGACAATTCCGCTCAGTCAAAAGATTTCCATTCAGGATACGGTATCGTGGATATTGCTATCCAAATATCGAGAAATTTATTGACATTTGGTGTTTACTTCAACTCGAAAATGAAACACCAAGAACCGATTCTCGACTGGGCATCGAAAACAAAAGACGTTCTAGAAAATGCAAAGTTGGATCCGCTATTGAAAAATTTCGACATTTCCATTCCAGAATTTCCATTGCTGTCGCTTAGTACGGAAAGCATGAATAAGCTAATGCTTGAAATACTTCCTAAAGTTCCTGGAGGGCTCAGTAATGTGGAGGATGTTTATCCGTGCTCTTCGATGCAAGTCCACATGTTGGAATATCAGTCTCGAAATCCTCATTTGTTTTCTCTGCGATTGAATTTTGAGATTTGCTCAAAGGAAGGGATCTCTCTGGACTTGAATCGACTCGAAGAGTCTTGGAAAATTGTTGTGAATAACCACAGTATTTTACGGACCCTCTTCCTGAAAATAGAGGAGAACAGTGCTATAGTCCAAGTGGTACTCCGCTCCGTCAGCAATATAGTTGAGATCTGTGATCCATTGAGCAGTTATACCGCAGAAAGCCCAAGTGGTATCCAGCATAATGATCTACCCTTGCTGAAAATCTCTCCACTACCGTCAGGAGCTGTGTCTTGCGAATTAAAGATCAACCATGCCCTTACCGACGGGTGGACTAATGCGCTCCTACAACAAGAGCTTATACGGGAATATCTGAAGCTTGAACAACCTGAGCCTGTTACGTCCTACCGTTCGTTCATTGCACGCTATGTGGCCGCTGATAAGGAGCTCGACATCAACTTTTGGGCCGAAAAGCTGCAAAACGCCAGTCCATGCAATGTCAAGTGCCTTACCCTCGATCCGGCGCTTGAAAGTCCCAGCTCTACTCCAATTTCTACTCTGGCTCTACCAAGCACTCGTCGTGAGGACTTTTCCATCTTCTGCGGTAAACATGGAGTGACTATAGCAACTGTTATTGACCTGGCATGGGCTTTAACATTGGAGCTTTTAACAAACAATAACGATATTCTCTTTGGCCACATTGTTTCGGGACAAGCTCGCAGCATTCCTGAATTAATTACAACTGCTGGTCCAACGTTGAATATGTTAATCAATCGCATCAATCTCGGCTCAAAGAGTATTCCAGAAATGGCACATGAGCTACAGGCCTTCAGACTGGAAGGTCTCAGCCATGATTCTTGCAGTCCGTTCGAAATTGCACAAAGAATGGGTAATTTGTCTTTGTTTAATACGGCGGTGAATGTTTCTCTAGATCAACCACCGCCACAAGAATCTGACCTCTATGTGAAGCATATCAACTTGGAGGATCCATGGGATGTAAGTTTTGAATACCCTCAACTGCGAAGAGCTGCTCTTCATCTACCTTTCAGATACTTGCAAGCTAACTCCTGTGACAATAAATAGTTGGATATAGTCCTACGCGCATGGGCAGAAAATGATAATATCCACTTCGATGTCGAATACAAACCTTCAAAGTTTTCATCTAAAGAAATCTGCAGGGTCGCAGATTGTTTTTGGGCTCATTTGTGTCTCTTTTCCAGCCACCAACTGGACAGCCAATCATTCTACCAGAGAATAGTAACTCGATTGGCATTGTTAGTCAAGGAAACATAGTCTACCAAGGTCAGTTTCTTGAAAGACGTCAATTCTGTTTAGTGGCTGAGAAAGCTTGGGTTAGAAACGCATTAATATTCATTTACTCTGTATGGTTCTGATACATCTTTGTCCAATCTCCTCTGGCAGTAAAACACTGTTCATTGTAGACTACTAAGAAATCTAGGAGTAAGCGTTAGACAATATGGCTCTTGGTACAATGTAAGTTTAGAATATCTCTTTGGTCAATTTTCTACCTAGCATAAGAACTCAAAATGTAGTATATGATATATAACAGACACCCTGGACAGAGCTATTAGACTTTGTGAACTGAGTCAAAGTAACGGTACGCAACTTTACAGGTAATGGAACTATTAGCAGGGGATGGGCTTCCCCGGGAGCCACAAAACCTACTTTAAAGGGGGCCAAATGACTTTACGACTGCTTGTGAATGAAGCTTCAACAGCGAGGGGTCCCTGTAACATGGCGAATTCGCAAGTATTGACGCGAAATCCATGTTTCAGCAGGCCCATGCCTCATTGGGTAAGTCCTGCTGCTGCAAGGTTTCCTGAGGTAAGAATATTCGTTGACCGAGTAATAGATGGATCAATTAGATATACCGCGCTTCCGTCTATACGAGCGCCGCTAATGCCTTCTGGTTATAAAACCCCATAGATTTCACTAAAGGACGGGMAATCCAATCTATCAAGTCAGTCAGCCCAAAAGACTAGACTCTATTATAGATCAAGATGTCTGTACATTCACCAGCCCCAACTACTCCGTGGTCCGACCCTAGCCGAAAGGTCAAAGATGTAGCAGTCGCAGTCACCGAGAAAGACGCTACACGAGAGGTAGAATGGTACCAGCCTGTGATGAAAAAACTGCCATCCAGCACGATAGAGGTATTTGTCAACTATGCTGGACTCGCCGACGAAAAAGAAACTATTGAACATATCTATGCCGTGCGTGATAAAGCATGGGATGTGTAAGTTCCATCCCAGAGGAATTGGTTTCTGTTATACATGGCTCATACTTCTCTCTACTAGCCTACCTTACCCATGCATCGGACTTTTCCGCTTTCTCGATTTCAGCATTCATCTGTCTCCTATCTACCACACTGTTGTCGATCGTCTTCGCAATGGAGAGACTTTGCTAGATCTCGGATGCTGTCTCGGACAAGACTTGCGTAAGGTGGCCTACGACTCCGGGGTCTCCACCAATCTGATTGGGGCCGATATCGAAGCTCCCTTCCTTGAGCTTGGCTACGAACTTTTCAGAGACCGAGATCGGTTCCAGGGCGAATTGCGTGCTGGAAGCATCTTCGATGATGATTTTTTGTCTGACAAGTATGGCAAGATTAACATGATTTACCTCGGAAGTTTCCTTCATCTCTTCAACACAGAGCAGCAAGCTGTCATTGTTAACAAGCTGGAGAAGCTGCTTTGCCCTGGCCCTGGTGCTCTTGTTTTTGGTCGCAACCTAGGTGCTGAACAAGGGGGCGAGTTCCATATGGAGAGTATTGGGTGGGACCTCTATCGCCACAGCAATGAGACCATGCAGAACTTGTGGGCTAGCACCGGTAATCGCAAATGGAGTGTGGAGAGTAGCCTTAGTCGCTATGGGTCTGTGGCTTGGGATGACAGCCGCAGAACGTGGCAGGGTGATGAGACCAAGCAAATGATGTTTGTCGCGATCAGCCAATAGACACACCCTACAGGCTTTGGATAACATATGGACTTCAAGGCTCGTATTATAATATATCTTCATTCGAATTATAGAATCATGTCGTACAAGATCTGAAGGTCATTTCCATAACATCACTTCAATACAATATTTTCATATTAAACTGCTACAACTTCCTTTAGTGTTACCAATGAGATGGACTTTTCCTATTGTAATTGACGCTCCATTCCTGTTGTTATTTAAGTCATAATAGGTAAGCGACATTAATATGTATATCTTCCCAATTATAGAAATTTATGTGTAGGATACAAGCGTAAATTAATACAGGCCGAGACAACAGAAAGAACGATAGCAACTCTGAACTAGTTTCCATTCCTTTTTTTTTAAAAAGAGAGGCTTGCTTGCTAGTACGAACAGCCCTTTGTGTTGCAACATCTATTCCCATATCGGCATGGTGCTCTCTAAATCTGGATAAAATGGGTCCTCATTTCTAATGGTCGCCTTAATGATGCCCATCTCTTTAGTCTCGGTCAAGAAATCGACTACTAGTTACTCATTCTGGGGAGTCTGATCAATAGCACATATGTTAAGATATATAGGTTGGAAACTCTCCGAGATGCGAGTCGAGATTACTCGATTGGGAAAATTACCCGATTTGGAATCATTACCCGATCGGGCAACTAACGCTGGTGAAGAGCGAACACTCTTTCAGTATAATGGCATATTGCTTCATTCTGGAGATGAATGGCTCTACTTATTTGGATTCTCCACTATCAATAACTATCGAAACAACTGGATCTATTGGTTATTTTGCGTTACGTGAAACCGCATTACGAAGCATTTGAAGTTAACGCCCTATGTCGTAAAGGGTCTACCAAATATCCCCCCGTTAGTTATTACCATCTCAAGTAGTAAGGTTTATCTTCTTCGTCCTGTGATTGATGTACTTCCTGCCTCTTATCCATAGACTTGCGAAATAAAGCTCGACAATAAACTGAATTTGCGTGTTTGTGATACAAAAGTACCAGCAAATTGCAGCAATTCAGCACAAATTCTAGTGTCTAGATTTGATCTTGCTCTTTCTACCTTACCTACCTGAATGTACTTGACTAAACAAAGAGAACAATGCTGTTGAGTTTAGACCTTCTACCTTCGGATGGTATTTCATCTATACTGTTCGCAGTTCTTTGTTCTGCCTTTGTAGGGCTGCTCATTGTATGTTTGTCAAAGTTCCCCGTTAGCGCTAACCTTAAAACATCATAGACATTGGTCTGATTATTGAAAATTAGAAAATTGAGTGGACTGCTCGACAGAATCCATTGTCGTCTCTCCCCGGACCATGGATTTCGAAATATACCGAGGCTCTTCTGACCTTTTACTGGCTTACCGCTCATCGTACTAATTACGTCGACTCCCTTCATAAGAAATATGGTGCGTACTCTATTCTACACGGTCCAAACCGCCAATGAAACAGAAGTTTCTCCCAGCCAAACAGTCGCTAATTGCGTAAAGGTCCTCTGGTTCGAATCAGCCCCACCGAGGTCGATATTGCTGATGTTGGTGCTGCAAGAGAAATTCACAAAGTAGGGGGCCGATACTGGAAATCAGAGTGGTATCGCAGAGTGGTTCCAGTCGGAGTTGAGAATATCTTCAGCTCCGTCGACCCCCAAATTCACGCCATTCACCGCCGACCACTGTCGGCGCCAATTGCAGAAGCAAATCTGAAGCAATTCGAGCCCATTATCGACGAGCGAGTTCAATTGACAATTCGCAAAATCAGGGATGAGCTTCACACTCGAGGCGCAGCAGATGTCTTCAAATGGTTCAATTTCATGTCTACTGATATCTTGGGCGAATTGACCTTTGGCGAGTCATTTCGTATGCTTGAATATGGCAAGGTATCTTCACCTCTCCTTTGCACTGTCTACCGAGGCCGCTACAGTCGTAATCTCATAATAACATACTCTACAGAAAAATCAATATTTCCTTGATATCCAAAACACGGCATCTATGCACCCAATTAGAACAACCTTTCCTGCCCTCATGAGATGGAATCAGCATGTTCCAATTCCGTATATTCGCAGTGCAGCCGCCGCCTCAAGAAGACTTGCCGTGTATGCGGAACAATCGATTGAACGATATAAAAATATGATTTCGTTGAACCCTACGAACCCGAAACAAACCCTTTTCACGAAGCTGTTTGATGCCAACGAAAAAACTCTTACCGACCAGGAGATCCGCTACAACGCACACGCCTATATTGTGGCAGGAAGCGATACCACAGCGGTGACTTTGACGTACCTTGTCTATGCTGTACTAAAGTACGAGCATGTCAAGCAGAAGCTTTTGGCCGAACTCGAAACCGTGCCACTGAACATGTCGGACAAAGACCTCCAGGATCTTCCATATCTAAATCGAGTTATCCAGGAGACTTTACGCGTATATTCTGTGGTACCATCAGCTCTTCCACGAGTTGTTCCACCTGAAGGAGCAACCTTGGTCGGATATCCACTACCAGGTGGCACAGTGGTCTCAACTCAGGCATACACGTTCCATCGGGATCCAACAATCTGGACCAATCCAAATGAGTGAGATCATGATCTTTTCTGCAGCATCCAATGTGATACATAGCTCTAACTCTTTTCAAGATTTGATCCTGACCGGTGGATAAATCCCACTAAAGATATGAAGGATGCATTCCTTCCGTGGGGTGCTGGGTCTCGCAGTAAGTAAAAATTGCCCCTCTTAAAGGTGAAATTTGAAATTGCTACTAATGATATTTTTCTACCTGAAGTATGTATTGGAATGCACCTAGCTCGTATTGAATTACGAAAAGGTGCCGCTTTGTTCTTTCGCAATTTCCCCAATGCTCGACTCACGACAAAGGAAGGTTTCTCGGACCGGGACATGGATCAGGTCATGTTCTTCCTAATGGCTCCAAAGGGACATCGACTTCTTGTCGAAGCCTAGTTTTATGTTGCAATGATGTGAAGGCTTGGTTTGAGAGCCCAATAAAAGCGTGCATCTTAGATTATTACGCTGATTGTTAACAATAACACATCCGTAGATGGACAAACTGGAAGACGAAATCAATATATCAATTACCACTTGCAATAATTAATACCGCATATATATTTGAGCTGCTTAGCCTAGGTATATCTGATTATGAACCATATATATCTCAACTGCTATGGCAACCCTATATAAAATAGCCTAAAAAGGTGCTCCGGGGCGTAACTTTCCGTTGACGCCACGTAGTAGCGTATTGACAAATTCAACACCATGTACGTGACATTAGGATTGAGCTAAAAGCTGCCAAGGCTAAACACGCATAACATTGAAAAATAATTTATGATTAGTGACCAAATCTTCTAAAACATCGGGACTGTAATATATCGGAGAAACGGTATGACAGACAGATGAGGTCTTCATAACGAATGAGATACTTAGATGTATGCACCAAATTTAAAATCACAACATCACACTCTATCTCTTCTCCATTCTTGCTTACAAGGATCATGTTAGGCAAAAGCCATTTTTAGATATCGACGTAGTTCGTGGTCAGAATCACTGCCTGAACACCTCCTTTGAATTTCATCTTACGAACGGATATAGCTGACTCTCGTTCCATTGCAGAGTACATGCCGAAAAAGGAAGCTAATGCTGGAAGTTTCGATTAGCTGACGTACGTGTAGCCCTTTATTAGCGAAGTTCAGCGAACTTGGTGTGAGATATGCATACTACGACAAGGACGCCACGCCCCAATCCTTGCCATCAGCCTGAAAATTCGCGTGTTTGTCGGTCACTGCCTGGATCTTACGTTGCTACCCATGATTAGCGGGTTGGCCAAGCTTTGACCCATGTACTTATTTGCGAATGCGTAAACAAGGGCATGTTAAATAGTGCTTATTCAAGGTATAAGCTTAAAGCTGATGTCACACAGATCACAATTGATCTTTTTTATTCACAGTGAGTTCCTATTTAGATTTAGTACTTCCACTTAAGTACTCTACCTGACTAATTAGGTTATCAGCCTATGCTGATCATTTAATTAAAAATACGGATATCGTTTTACTCCAAACCCAAAATTCTCCCACTATAATCACCTCATACAAGCCCATTTCAGCTCATATATTTGGGCGAATGTAAGTTGATGAGATGAACATAGTAATGACTAATCATACGGACATATCTCCATCTAAAGACATGTCTAGCTCAAGTATGAGCCAGTTCACAAGCCGACATAAGCGCCCCCATTCGAATTTCTGTCAAAGTCGACGTTCAAGCCGATTGACGATATCGCGAGGGAGGCCGCTTAGGCGCCCCTGTACATGTCCCTGTACACATCCCCGTATAAACCCATGTCTGTAAAACGTACATGCCGGTTGCAAAGCACGCAAGCTAGCTAGCTCGCGAATGGCCTTCCAAATGAGCCCATAAACATGCTGACATASGAGCCAGTAAACGAGCCCACGTACATGCCCTCGTATACATCCTTGTACGAATCCATGTGTGGTCAACATACCGGCCACTTACAAGCAGGGGACCTACTAGCCAGTTCACAAACAAACTCACATACATAACTATTTTATGCAAATTTAAAGGCAAGCCTGTTAAGGAGGATGGAGCTCAATCGAAATATAAGAGACCTGCTCTTTATTGTCGAACTATTCTAAATAATTTAGTGATGAATGATTTAATGGTTGATGTTGGAGCCTTAAGATACCCGTATTGGTTGTTGATTGCGAGATTTCCCGGGACTTGACGTTACGCCATATTGACATTATTTTGCCGTTACATACGTAAACGAGGAATATCCTGTAAAAGTTAGACAAAATGATGCTATTTCGACGTCTAGTGCCTTCTCAGTAGTGAAACTAGTGTATCACGATGTTAAATTACTAACTGCATGGCCATAAGCGGGGCGCTGCACGGATATCAACCAACATGGAAAAACATAAAAATGCTACCTGGCCATGTCTGCATAAATCAGAAGCTGAGACATGCGCATGTGCCAGGCAACAGCTCGACGCGCAATCGGGGTTGAATGCACGTGGTGAGGCTCGTGGTTTGTAGAGAAAAAAAAATTAAATCTCCGATACACAACGGTTCGCCTTGAATCGGTATACTTCACAAAGTCTAGTATAAACTCAGCAAATAAAGCAACAAACGAGCTCTACAACAGGGTCTCATTTTGKCATTCATTACCATTATCCTGACTAGATGCTAGTGTCTAGCCAAGAGGTAGGGCGAAAACATGACGCCTACCTCGGGAGGCATATTAACGCCCTACAATCGGGGGAAATCAAAGGAAGAATTCTCATTGGACAGTTTCAAATTGCGTTTGAATTTAGCTTCAATTGTCATAATTCTCCTAAAGTCTAGTCTGTGAACTGCTCGCACGGTCTTGAAGAAATGTAGGCGGAGACTATTACCATAAGAGGTATGATTATGTATGTCTGCCATATACCTCTTATGCTAGGGATCCAAATTCTCCATCGCATTGGGGGCGGAAGAGTGCGGGGATATCTTGGTAGCCTTAGTGTGTTTTGTGATACATGCTCTTACGGGAAGAAATATGGGTAAGCCACCAGCCACCAGATTTATGAGAGGGATAGGGCTATTTAATGTTCCGCGGAGTACCTGATTTGCGTAGAAGACAACTAAGTAATTTTAGTACTGAATGAAACACCGCTATGGTATTGGCAGATTTAGGTTACGACTAAGCGTAGACCCTGACAACTAGTTCTTGCCGTATTGTCCATCCACAAGGCGCTGAAGGACTGGACACATTCTTTAGCAACGCGTTTTATAACGTGCTTGACGCATTTTGGTTCCACGTATGATCCAATCAAGGGCTATATGGTCAAAGCTGTTGGGAAATACGGAGTAGATTTGCGTGACATTGCATGCCGACTGGGGCTGAATCGTTATATGGTTATGGTGACTAAGTCCAAGGACTAAGCCGGAAACTTCCTAGTTCCAGCAGTCAAATCGCGCTAAAAATCAAACGAGCTTCTAAAGAATGAACTTCATCGGAGTTCAGATTTCTAATCTCCATATGACCCCGCGAGTCGTCTCTGCTTCGACTTGAATACTGACATCAATTTCGTAACTTTTGAGAATAATAGCTACTGGAAGTTTCGATCGCCAGAAATACGAGTAGAAGGTTGATCTTCTCGGCTCGTCTAAATATTGATAGTGTTGGGTTTTGGGTCTAACCGTGGGTTCTCCCCATTCGCCACCCGTCAACAGAAAACAACTAACATTCTTCGGGTTCGTTACTACTTCAGAATAACTTCTACTTGATTTATACTCTCTATTCTTCAACAAAAACTCGAGATCCTCGCCTAGCAATCATGGTATCGTCCGCCGACGTACCCGCTCAATTCGTGTCCAACTGGAAACCATACAGTCGAGCGCCGAGTGGGGAGACTAGCAATCAGAGTTCGCCCAAGGGAGGGTCTCCGCCAGGCACAAGCAACAAGCTTTGCTTAGCCTGCGATGAATGTCGCCAGGCAAGAGTAAAGTGTCCCGGAGGAAATCCGTGCAGACGGTGTATGAATAATGATGGATACTGCCACTACAGCGTCTCAAAGCGAAGTGGCCGCACCAAAGCTATACATAATAAGAAGCGACAGAACAATACCAATACCAATAATGGAAACACCAATATCCTGTCTCCACCTTCAACGGTTGATAGTAGCCAGAAGAATACCGCCGACTACGAGAAAAACACTCAGAAAGCCGCATTGGATAAGAATGCGACGACATCAATTGACCAGTCAATGATTTTGGATGACTTCACTCTTATAAATTCCATGGATTCCTCAAGCAGTAATGCAGACCTGGGATCTGATTCCTCACTGGGTGATCTGTTTCCTGGTGCTTTTGATAGTCTAGATTTCGGCAGTTTTTTCAGCAGTGTAAGTCTTTCCTCCTTCTATTTGTGTATTTTCACCATCCTGATATGAAATCTAGGCGAATTCAAATGGCTCGGGTATCCTTATGGATCCTCCTTTCTCAAGGCCACTATCCGCGTCTAGGCTTTCTTTTAGCGGTCAAGGCCTCGGAGAACCCTCTCCTAACTTTAGATGTAAATATCCCTTGAAGCCTGTCTGATGTTCTTCGCTAATATTCCCAAGTCGGCTCCCCTCTTCTTGCCGAGAAGAATTTCTCCTCCACACCCTGCTCCTGCTTCAAAACCCAACTACTCTGCATCTCTCATCTCTGCGGTCCGATGCTCGATGAGCAGAGCAGACTTGATACTGCTTTAGAGACAACCCGGCACATCAGCGAGCAGATGGTCCAGCTCCTATCATGTAGTTCGTGCCTCAAAGGCTCACACAGCTTCATCATCACCACCATGCTTCTCCAACGCCTAGTATGTCTGTTCTGCCACTTAGAGAAAAACAGCTCAACACTCCTCAAAACCACAAAGATCAAAATTGGAAACTTCCAGCTCTCGGAAGAGGAAGAACAACAGCACAAAAAGCTTTTGATTACGACTGCGGCGAAAAAGCTTAACATCATGGTGAACAGCTTTTATGAGACTGTACGACAATTTCAGCAGGCTGAGCTTTTGCATCAGAGACAACGGAGCGAGGAGATGACAGAAATGGGGCGGTCGAACTTAAACTGGGTCATGGATGCGATTCAGAAGATGAGACGGCGTCTTAAGGGTATCATTGGTGAATCGGAGACCGAGGGATGGTGATGAGCAGGATTGGTTGGTCTTATGTTCTCTATGATCGATACAGGACATACGATACAGGAAGCTTCTTATAGTTCATCGGCTTATCTCAGGTAAAACTACTTCACCAAATTGACTAGATTATACGAATTCAAATGTTAGGCGGTATAACTTGAGGGACGTCTAGAATGTGGTGGTGACATGGCTGTGCAATAAGTATTTGAATTGAAAGAGACGATTTAAAATAGAATTACTAGCTAGAATACATCTATGCTGTTGGAATATCTGCCTTTCAATCTAGCGTAACATACTGCTCCCGTTTCTGCTTCTCCTCAGCTCCTAGGGCGTGTTGAACTTCCTAAGTAGCCTGACCTTTGGTCTGCTCATTATCATCCATAGTCGTAGCTACTGCTTGTGTTCATTCAACCTGTCATGGTGCACAGAGGAATTTGAGCCTGTGACAAGAAAAGAACCACTTTCTAGGCTTTACTGGTGCAGTAGCGTCCATGATCATCTCAATATTGATATCCGCAGAAGAATATTTGGATTACGATTCTGTTACTCTCAATATTGTAATCATATATGCCACTGTGTGTTCCACAGCACTGAGAGAACTCTGAACTGAATGCGCAGAATATTGACGACAACACGAAGCTCACCGGGCGGCCACAATACCGCAGAGACCTCAATTTCTCCAGTGTAGATTTCAGAAAAATCATGACAGAGAGCATGCCGACAAATTGGAGGCCTCAATTCGATTAGGTATATACGTTATTTAGATCTGGAACCTCATCTAACTCTCACACATCTAGTTGATAAGCGACCCAAAATGACGAGCAGATATGGCAGTCCTTGATTAGCTTTACCTACAGCACTATTCAATCACTTGAATTCGTCACTGAGCTATCCTACCCTAGATTAGATGAAACCGCGAGGTGTACTGTTTAATTGGAGCACTTCTCTGTTCCAGGCGTATACATCTACAGTCGGCATGTTTGCGCTCTTGCGCCGTAATTGCCGATAAATACAGTTTCTTCTCACCCTCAAACAGCAATGTTATCTATTGGTGGCTCGGTTTACTTGGATTTCATTCATTTATATGGTTATATTGATTGTGTCACTTGGGACGAATCTCGGATGAGGAATTTCGCTTCAAATATCACTATACGAGCTTTTTGGCAGAGAATTGAGTATCGATGAACATTTTGATTGCAGAGACATATATTCATCTTGTGGACTTACCCTTTATTGTGTTCTCTTTTGTGGCTGCGGAAACCACGATGAAATGATTGATTGGTATTATGTTGAGCTACTCCTTTTACGAACTACCCACCAAAAGCTGGAAGACACACAGGTACCGTTGTAGTCACTATTTAACCTGATGTATGGGTGCCGTTTCTGCCTTCATTTCTTCTCATATACAATATGCTAGAAGTATTTGAGGTAGAGCGGTTATACCCTGACCATAAGACCATGCTGTAAGCTAAATTATATAGCCAAACCACCATCATCAATTGAACGAATGGATTCAAAATATATACTAGTTCCAAGAGCTAACACGCGTCGATCCAGGCGTGGACTTACAGGCTTACATGCCTCATGGGTCGGCAGATACTTTTGCCAAAGATTGGAAATGTGACGGGGAGCACCAGTTAAAGATCAGAAGAAGAACTCTACTCCATTGTGGATTTCCATCAGTATTTACAAGAATTTCAGTGCCTCCCTGTCAGATTGCGAGATCATATGCATACTGCGACGAGCCGACAGAATGGGCAACGATTTATTAAAGAGTGGAGACATCGGCCACTCAACAGGTGTATTGCATATTGTCTCACTTGCGTCACGATAGAGCTCAAGCGTGCGCCGAAAGAAGAAAACAGTCAAACACCAACTTAACTCCCCGGCTATCTACAGCTGGCATGATTCAGCTTTTAGAGACGGGTGTATGGAATCCAACATCCAACCATACCGATGCATCTAACACTCACTAAGCCACCAAAAACCTACTATACTACAAACTTACTATTATGGGAACCACTAGATTATGGAATAATAGCTGTTATTCTGCAATCCTGATTGCCAAGGTCACAGGTGAATCTTGGGTAACCCAGGGCAAAACTGGCGTTACGCCTCGCGGAGCTCATCTGCATTATTGATACCCGGGTGAAAGATCTACGATGTGCGGCCAATAGATGAGCCCCCGTACCGCCCCAAATATGGAACCGCTATCATTCTAATTGTTAGATCAATTGATCTAGATTTTTTTAGTGCGCGCCTGATAACGCTTGAATAAAATGACTCAAGGGCGGGTACCCAATATGGTTATGTCGACCGACTGACAGTTAGAGTACCCCGTTTTTGTAATGTATGGAACCTTGACTAAATCGCGCCAGCGTCGTCAGCTCCGGGACCTATGGTCTTTAGTTATCGTTTCATCCAATGCACGATTGACGAACGCATCGGGCGAACATACGTCTTCGTGATAGCGCAACCCAAGCAGCCGAGCAAATCCGGATCGAGCGTCTAAGCCTCATAACTTCAAGGCCCATGTCAAAAGAGCGGTAGGTTTATCAGAGGATTGTCTGGGATCCTGGTAGATCTGACATTATTGGCTTATTCTTCAATCAGCTGAAGTTGTCCCTGACCCAATTTGACACCTTGGCGACCCCGTTCAACTGTTCAAGAGCAAAATTAAGGCAATCACGTAATCTAGAACGTGGGCGACAGGCATGCACAAGCTTACCAGTATCTCCGCTACCGGTACACTTTCAGCAAATTCATCGATATTTGAACTAAGTACCCCGTACCTGACTCGGAAAGGAGGTACACTTCAATCAGGAAGCGGATCAAAAAAGCAAAGTTTTAACATTTAACAACACACACTATGCAGGGGGTTGTGTCACGTTTCGGTACTTGTTGATGATTGCTCAACTCCACGACTGTTAACATCGACTGTTATTTCCGGAAAAAGCACCCATAACATCGCCGAATGACAATTTAGAACTGATGAGCGCATCGACAAAATGACGAAAATGGAAAAGCAAAAAGAAAGGAAGATAAAGTAAACTTTTGATCGCTACTTCTAGTGGAACATTCAAATGTAGGCTGCTCACTACGTACAGCTAAAAGAAGCAACGGCCCAACCCGGAAAGCCGCGGGGAGGGTGCTTCAATTAGTGGCTARGCAAGTCACAACTTGCAGGGGTGTTCTAGAGAACATAATTGGGGCTGGATGCTGAGTCTACTCAGGTGATCGAGATATGACCTCGCGCTAGCACTTTAATGTGGCACAGCAGCGGCGATGGCGCGTCGCATGCCCTGGAAAATAGTATGAAAATGTGTGTGCTATGCTATTTGAGACAGATTCCGGGGACGGGTACTGTCGCGTACCAAGCACTTACTGACTTTTTGATCAATTAGTAGAACTTACGACCGATGCATGGACCACGAGCTGAAAACATCCCTACGTAGTTCCTTTTTTTCTCAACTTCTCGAGAGACGGGGCAAGTTATCTCGTGGTGATCTCGATGGGCCCCGCAACCAAGCCCGGGGAACGATTTAGGCGTGTTAGTCTGACGCTTACGTACTGGCTCSCCYGCTTGTCGCGCTCCACAGAAAATTGGCATTTGACTTTGACATTCTGGCAGTGGCACATTTAGCCAATTGACGTTCACTTGACTACACATTGACTTGCACATGGTAGTGGCTTCTTATCTCCTTAGTGACCCATCTTAGTTTCGTACACGTCGTCCACTCAAAGACCGGTTTCGAAATAACTGGAATTCACCCTAGCATCATTAGATGTCGCAAGACGCGCCGGGATATAAAACTATCATCGGGAACACAAGGCAATCGTGAACACTCACTGCATTAGTGATAGCGTGCTGGCAATAACATGCACCTACGTCTCAAGTATGTCTAGACTCACAACCAACTGAGACTGAGATTGAGATACTGAGTGTGGCACAGACCGTCCCCGTCTTCTACGTAACTATCCGGCAGCTAGATACATGCGTATTTAGTCTTCACACTGTCAGAGCCACACACATAACTTGCCAACTACAAGCGCCGGTCAAGGCAGAGTTCCGACTACGTAGCCAATTACCTTGTAAACTAACCTACAAATTGATCCTTAAATCCGCCAGTATTATGATTGACATTGGCGCTAATATTTTAGCACAAAAAAAAATCCAGATCGACTATGACAAGACCCTTGACGAACCCGGGTAAAGGTGAGATGGCAACCCGTCCGAATGATTTGCCCTTGCCAGCTCAGACAGGGGTCCAACTCCAAGCAAGGCTTTTTTTGCTCGCTCGAACTTGCTAGTAAAAAGCAAAAATAAGAAAAACCACGTTGGCCGTTTCCGTGTGCGCTCTTAGAATTTGTTGTTATGGATCAGGTTGATTTCCTGCTGATCATTCACGTTCATTTTCCAAAAATGTTTCCGAATTATTTGTGGCTTGAGGCCGGCTGTATGAAGTAGAATTACTGCAGGCGTCTTCTAGTGCGTGCGAAGGACTGTGCATTAAGGGGGGATGATTCGTGTCTGTATGACAACCGCAATTCGGAAACGCCATCTCTAGTTGAATTCACTTAGGACCAGCTTTCTCTCCACTTACCAGTTTCTCTGCCACTGATTAGGCGAAATCAGATGCAGGCACGGGCTAAGACCCAAAGATCGCCAATCGAATGGCCGATTGAACGAGCGCCGCAGCCCATGCTAGACTAGCGTCTTGCTAGGGTCATGTCGGACTCTACGAGAGGCCGAACTGATAACCGGTAACTAGCAGTGTAAAAATGTATGCGGCTCAAATGGTTGGTCCTGGATTCGTTGACAAGCAACCAGGATATCTCTTCCATTCAGGAGTCTGATGGACAATTGAGAAACTAACAACTTACGCGAGGGGGGCTAACTATATGCAGGAGAACAAGCTTCGACGTAATTTGTCAAGCTTGTTCTTGGGCGGTACAGATTGACTTAGCATCAAATATTTAGACGCATGTCTGATTTTATGAAGCGCGAGCTAGATCATGGAGGTTTAGATCATACGTACTTATATAAACTCAGCTGGTCACTCGCACCAGCTGAATGTGGATGACGAAAAAAGAATTTTATTATTCATATCCTCTTTCAAGCTGAATCCATTTGTTCAATTGTCTATTTTTATTTTTATTTTTGCTTATACGAACCCACTCTACCTGAGTAATATTTACATACGTTGCCATGACTTGGGACCCGTCCTCTCCACCTTTTCCAGGAAATGATATCGATAGTAGAATGATGCTATCACCTTCGGATGCCATCCATCTGGGTTCCCCACCCTTGGAGCTAGAACGGCAGCAACACTTTCATCATCCCTTTGGCAACTTGGATCGAAGGCTCGTCTGTTTGGAACAGGAACTCATCCCCCTTGAGAAATTTGCCAGAGGATCTTTTTCATCTTGTTCATCTTCATACCAGGACGCACAGGAATTTCATGATGCCTACCATCATTCACTCTCCCGAGGTTTTGGAAAGGACGATACCTCATCTGCCCACATTGGGAGTTATTACACTGGCGCATTCGAATACCCGTCGCCGCTGTCTCATGGAGTAGCCTCTTTATCCGGGACCGATGACCGTTCCCCAAGTCCGGTCTATGTACCATTTGCGTTTTCCATGGATACCAGTCCGGGTTTCCCGCGATGGGGAGGTGGTGACGCCACAGGCTATGGGTCTATTATCCCACATGAAGTTCTCCATGGTAAGTTTTATAAAGTTGGATGTTAGAAGCCGAGGCACTAATGGTACTGCTGCAACTGTAGAAGCCAAGTATCTGGAGCCAGTCACCCCCGTGGAGCAGAAGGTGTCACAGATATACCCTTGTGCGAGCGTCGACCAAATAAAAGACGAAACTCTCAACGACCTTGCAATAAATGACGACGTTGACGCCGACGGCGAGCTTGATGCAATGTGCATTGATCGAGAGGAATCGAAACCAGTTCTGACTAACCACAGAGCCCCAAAAAGCATAACACCCAAAATGAAGAAAGGCGTCCGGGATAGTGGCAGCCGGAAGTGCGCTACTGTTGCAACTTCGACGGCAACATCAGTTCCCAAATCACCCATACGCAAACGACCAACTGCATCACGCAAATCCAGCCAGACCACCACCAGAAACACAAAGGTCCGCTCAGTCAAAGAGACCACCACATCGTCCTCTTCCGCCGCCGCCGACCGCGACCGCGAAAAGATATACAGCTGCAGTTTCAAGCAATACGGCTGCGAAAGCACATTCCGCACCAAAAACGAATGGAAGCGTCATTTTGCCTCCCAACACCTCAAACTCGAAAACTACCGCTGTGATCTCAAGGGCTGCGAGGCCACCTCCAGAGGCCCGAATGATTTCAATCGCAAAGATCTATTTACTCAGCACCTTCGGCGGATGCATGCCCCCTGGACCGGGCGAAAGACTAGCCCAACAGCCGCAGAGAAGGCGGAATTTGAAGCTACACTTGACGAGCATGCGCGTCGATGCCTGAAACCATTACGAGCCCCTCCTGCAAAAACGAGTTGCGCTGAATGCCACCATATCGTGTTTACAGACTGGTCGAAGCGCATGGAGCATATGAGTCAGCATTACGAGCAAAATCCGCACTTTGAGGAGGCGAGAGATCCGGAACTAGAGCGTTGGGCTTTTGAAGAGAAGATCTTGTGTCAAAGCGGCTCGTCCYCGAGTGAGCTTGTACTGGCCGATTTGATTCACAAGCGTCGCTAAACTTGATTGTCGTCGGCCAGTTGCTGTTGTTACTTGTTTTGATATACGGTAGATGGTGGTTTACTTGGATATGGATACCCCGATTTAATGACTTGATGAATGTGTGATTGATACAGATGTAGGATCAGGCTGGTTTATGATTTTACGCTTTTTGTGCTTTGATGCGCCTTGTTTGTCTATTGTGTATTAGTTTGGCATATTGCTAATGTATAGATCTTTTCGGGTTTGCTTTTTGTTTGTGTCTAAGAACATTGGCGAGTCAAAGTATACCCGTAATTTACAATATCTTACCTTTTTTATCTCTGATGATATTGTGCATGGACATCTCGGAAGTTGTAGATTGATAAAATTCGTGATCGCCATGTAACTAACCATTGCAAATTTTGTCTTGAAACAGCATCACCTCCTCTGCCTGCACATTGGATTCCCGTTTGGCGATCATAGTATCACATCGGTATTGGACAACACTGATATCTTCACCGTCGGTGTTGTGGTTGCCAGCTATGACCTCGTCATGTACCCCTGCATCCTTCCTGAGTACGCTCTATGCAGGCGAACGTGCAGGTGAGAACAGGACAGTACTAAATATCGGGAGTATGAAGCTATGGAGCATAAATTAAGAATACTTTAACCACCTGATGCGCAGCAAAATGTCACAATATAATGTTTTAGTCATTGACAAAAGGGCTACTTCATGCTGCAGCAATTTTGACAGATAATCAAGAAATTTTAGAACCAGCCAGTTGTTGATCAATGTAGAAGGATTGGGGGTAAGAAACATTAGACTTACTCAAAGGTAGCTTTGGCGATCTAGAGATTCTGAGTGAGGTGCGTGTTGGGCTGCATTTTTATGTTTGTCCGTCTATGCTGTATTTTATCTGGGTAAAGTGGACGGAAACGAGCGCTGTCGACGAGGTATTGTATATTTCTTTGCAAGCAGCCCGAGTAGGGAAAATGTCATTGATAAAAATAACTAAATGCGATCTTCAAACACATACGTAAAGTTCGAGCTTTAGTTGCCATATGAATACAGCTAACGAATCATCCCCGAATATACCTTACAACGCGACCTATACACACAGAGAGACTTAGTGTAACGATTGAAGCATGAACAGGACGTTATTAAAAATTGAACTTAGAAATTTTCGCCCTCACGACTTTTACGTAAGCGTGATTTTTCCTCAGCCTGTCATGCCATGCAGCCCCCACGTTCGTCAGCGCTGACCTGCCACTGACCCGATGACGCTCGAAATGTCATCTGTCATGACCCCCGAACCTATAGAACCAAGAGCTTGACGAGTAACGCGTTTCAAGATTTGCGATCTGGGTCTGTGATCGATGAAACATGGACTTCCGGCTCTTATCCGCGCGTGAAACATCCGGATACTAGGGCGCGGCGGGGTTTGATATATAGGTGTATTTTTATATCTTGACATGACAGCTTCATTTAGCCCCGCCATTCAGGGATCGGTTGTCATCATGGCTGTTATCGTGTAGTTTCATGCAAGATATGCATAAATCTTTGGACCCAAGCGGATGTATTCTAGGTTCGTAGTCAGATTTAGCATATGGACCAATTGTTAGATTAGGTCGGTGGCTATTTCAAAATACGAACTAAACTGATGGGAAACGCCTGAGCGATTTTCATCATATCTGAGCTAACATTAGAAATGTGAGAGGCGTGAGTCTTATCTAGTTATATTTTCGTAGGATCCTATGTATTGTTTCAGCATTACTAAAAAACTTGTCTACGAGCGTGCCATGATGGATACTGAGCTACGAGAACCCAGCACCTTGAATCATGAGAGAACCGTCTATGTACCGAGCACCACACAAATACACCTCACAGTCCCAGGGCAGCCTCTACACGTCGTCGACGATGAATCACCCATCGACCAGTACGGACCTTCATTGAGAGACAATTCCAGCTCAGACCTCAGATTGCGGAGAAAATCGTCATGCTATTCGAGAAACACGGATGGAGATTCTATTCATGAATATGAAGATACAAAAGAACAGGAATATCATATAGATGATGACGTCCAGGGTATTGCACGGCCAGCATTGGCTCATCTTTCGGTCCCTAGTGGTAGGTATACAACTCGACATGGCACCGAGAGCAAATTGATTTTTCAGGGCTTGAGTGATCCTTACAGGAGTGGTATCAGTTCAATGTCCGATCAATCTCCATACGACGTCCCTGATAATGGAAAAGGAGATATCAATACCGAGTTTAAGAATCTTCAACCGGTATATCCACTTCAAATAACAAGAACACAAACACCACTTCCATCTCCTCGGACACACAACTGGCTAGTCGGAGAGAGTAATACTGGCTTACCCAAGCCCAATCCACGATTTGCAAGACCGTCTGTACCGCCTATCAGACCCGAACGCTGGAGTGCAGTTAGTCCTTCGTTCAGAACGCCGACGAGCCTCGTCAGTCCTTTCAAGATGCCGCCCAGTATTGTCATCAGCAGCACATCACAGTTAGGCCAATACTCAATCAATTCAAGCAGCCCCTATGCCAGTTTAAGAACACAAGAATATCCGCCAAAGAAGGACATAATCTTGATCGTAATTGCCGTCGTACTGGCGACATTCTGTATGGCTCTGGTATGTATATCAACTTTCCATAAGCAACAAAGCCTGACATGTAACAGGACAGAGTAATGATCTCAACCGCAATCCCGACAATAACATCCCAATTCAATACAATCGAGGACATAGGCTGGTATAGCACTTCCTATCTGCTAACCGCCTGTTCGGCACACCTCTTCTATAGCAAACTATACCGCTTCTACACCACAAAATGGATTTATATATCGGCTCTCCTGATCTTTCAGTTGGGATCACTCATTTCAGGTGTTGCGGAGGCCTCAGGGACGCTTATTTTTGGCCGTGCGTTGGCTGGTTTGGGTGCTTCGGGGGCTCTGAGCGGGGGTGTACTGATGTTGCGACAGTGTGTGCGGGAGGGTCAAGTGTCGGGTTATTTTGGTGTATTTTCTGGCGCTGTGTTAGTGGTTGGGCCGGTGTAAGTGCTCTTCACCTTTGATGTTATGAAGGTACTAACACGGTGGTAAGACTCGGCGGCGTATTAACACAATATGCATCATGGCGCTTGTGCTTCTTTATTAATCTGCCATTTACACTTTCGTCATGCATCTTATTGCTTATTTCGAGCTGGAACGCTCCACAGATTACGAAGGCGGAGACCACATTCAAAGAAAAACTCCCATTCTTGGACTTGGAAGGCACCTTGCTTTTTCTCCCATGTATTCTTTGCCTATTACTCGCCATACAGTGGGGAGGGATCAAGGACCCCTGGAGCTCAGCCAGCATCATTGTCTTGTTTGCCATGTTCGTCGTGACGATGATAGGATTTATTCTTGTGCAAAAGTACAAGGGTGGGTCTGCGAGTATCCCACTGCGTATATTCATGAATCGCAACGTATATGGAGGGACGATCTTCTCGTTCTTCTCGGGTGGCAGTATTGCTGTTATTCTGTATTATGTATGCCCTCCCATGCACTATTCATAGGTATACTTATACTAATTTGATAGCTACCGCTATGGTTTCAAGTCACCAAGAATGCTTCGCCTTCGAAGTCAGGCGCTATGCTGCTTCCCCTCGTACTTAGCATTGCGGCTACATCGCTTGCCAGCGGTATTCTGGTGAATATAATCGAGTACTACACCCCATTCCTCATCTTCGCATCCGTCACGATGTCAATTGGCAGTGGCCTACTCACGACTCTAMAAGCCACAACGGCAACGTCAGCATGGATCGGATACCAGATCATCTTCGGCATAGGCGCAGGCAGCGGTATGCATCAAACCCTTTTTGCTATACAGTCATCATTCTATAGGTCTCGCGATATCGCTAGTTGTGCCGCGTTGATGATATTCGCGCAAATACTTGGAGCTGCCGTTGCTGTTGGCATGTCGCAGAGCGTTTTGGAGAACAAACTCGTCAATTGCATCCTAGCAGCGGGAATAAATGGTGGTAGTGTCCCGTCAATGCTTCATACTGGAGCTACAGATATCAGAAATGTGCTGTCAGGAGAGAATCTTCGGACGGTACTGGGGTGTTATACTCATGCTATTGATCAGGCGTTTAATGTGAGTGTGGGATTGGCTGCAGCATCTATCATAGGCGCGTTGGTGATGGAATGGAATCGTGTACGGGGTAGAAGAGGTCCTTTAGCTTTCTTGTAATAGATGAATACACACTCTTGCCCTATTGTTGACGAATTCCTGTTATGGTTACATCCCAACATTTTAAAGTTGATGCTACTCACATCTCATATAAGCATGGCGAAGAATATTTTCGTTGTTTCCTACTCCAAGAATGGCCTGTTTGGAATCTGTTACTTTTCTGCTCCTTTTAGCTAAACAGTCGTTAGCATCAGGCAAGACATCCTAGGGGAGATAACTTGCTTTCTACCAGGACCCTCGATCTATAGTCTGTCGCGACACTTTGACCGTTATATATATTCACTGAATACAATTTTCCCACAGAGCCTTTTCCCACAGAGCCTTATTACATCCATGAACGATTAAAATCGAGAATTATCATGACTAGATCTCCGTAATCGGACTCGCGGCTGTCGTGGGCTTTTTATACAGGGATGTGCAACAATGCATAACAGCCACGATAAATGGTTGAGCAAGCTACCAACCGTATGGTTCTTATGTGAACCTAATCAATCGGTGCGAGGATAGTAGTCAAGATTGAACTGGAAAGTAGCTGCACAAGATCTATATTATGGCGCCTACTTTGCAGGTATGGCTCTAGCTGGTGCCGACTACATTGCTCCGCTAGATGATCAGTCCACTGCCTATGCAGCGTACGCAATGTATGAAGGCAATACTCCTTGGTAATTATTTCTCTACAACTCGGACTACTACGTCAGCAGAACACGAACGAATCAAAACTTTACTCTGATGGGTTGTCTAGCTCAACGGTGACGACCAAGCTCCTGACAGCGCCGCATGCGACTTCTCGGGTAGATTCCGGCGAGAACCCGACGGTTGCTGTACAGACTTTCGCGAATGGGACGTGCGTTATTCAGACTACTGCATCGGAACAGAGAGTCGCGGTGTCAAAGGGCAGGCGTCGTTTACTGTTGAGGTTTCGAAACTTTGCTGGTATATCTGTAGGAATCGCGAATAGAAAACGCCGGATGGCCTTTGATCTGGTGTTCGGCAAGGAAGATATCCCAACCGGGCCAGGGGTAAAAGAAGCAATCTCGAAATGATATGTGTTCATCGTCACTACTGCATACTGGTAGATATACGTATGCACTGCAATTGATGAATCAAAAGATATTCCCTCGGCGTCCGCGGAGCGCGAACGTATACTGTTGCCTGTGAGTGGATGAATCAAATGATGGATCAGATGAACGAGCCTGAATCCACGTGACTGTGGGGTTTCCTAGGCCTAACTTGATTGAGAAGTACGTATACTTACGAGCGATACGACTGTACGACGTAGAGAACGTAATGCGATTGGTGAGATGGCGACGATGCATTTACCGGTTTGGGTATGACGAGGTGTATTTTTAATACAGTGGTATACTGTATCTGTTACACTGTTGCAGGCGAAGCGACCAGAACTATGGAGCACAAAGTAACTGTATAGTTTTCAACGTATGCAAATTACCGACCCATCAGACGGCGACTATCAGATACGAAACTAACTGTATACGGACTAAACAAACCAGCACGGGCCTCGGGTTGGATAATATTGTTGTACTTTAATACGCCTCTTTACCCTCTGATTGGCGTATCTGAGCACGACAATGTAACATCTCGCTTGAGCTAGGCCTAATCAGGGTGCTCATCAACGGCTATCGTACAAAACACTCTCTAATTGGCCGATCGTACTCGGTACGGGACATGTTCCTCTTTGGTATTTCTGTTCCAGTCGCTCCTTCTCCTTCTCCGATCTCCAACCGAGCGACTACTGTCGCAGGCAGTCGCCATGGGGGATTCAGCTGGAGACACGCTACTCTATACGGCATAGCATAGTCGTTATGAAGCAGTTGGCAAGCTGGCAACGACACATCCTACCAATCGCATCCCCAGCAGCCGCGAACTGCGGTTAAACCTGTTCGTCATAGCCATATGGGCTGACACTAGCCCACACCATGGAATTATGCCCGAGCTTCTATCCACGGGTTTAACCTTCTATTTCATTTCTTGTTGTGCATTGGCGACAGATCTGGCTCTCGGATACGCCCGTTCCGAGATGGTGGTTTGTGTCTCGGAAAATTTTATTTTGTGAGGATCGTATTCGTATTGTTCTTTCTCATATATCATCAAACGTCTTCTCCTGGTAGATTCGGTCTTGTTTTCGTTGCAAGACCGGCCAGGCGATCACATGTCGGCTGAGCTGTGCGTATAGAGAAGGAATCCGCCACGTTCGGTACCTACCTGCCTGCTTTGAGATACAGCTCATCGACACTGTTGACTCTCAGTCAATGGCACAGACACCAGCCCCCGGTGGTGCGGGCGCCATTGCCGCAGCTCAAGATCTGACGCGCCGTGTCGAATCCGAGGTCCACGAAAAAGTTCAACACCATGGAGGAGAATCAAGTGAATCAACAGACCAAGGCTCCCTTAACGAAATGAAAGAGCATGAAAGAGACGAAATCACCTATCTCGCACGTCAAATATCGCAAATCTCTCGCCGAAGTAGCCTGCCGCCTGGAGAGCCTACTAATTCGTTCCTTGATACCACTACCGATCCCGAGCTGGACCCCAATTCGGACAGTTTTAATCAGAAAAAATGGGTCAAGAATTTGTTGCATATTACATCTCGCGATCCCGAGACATATCCTCGCCGTACGGCTGGTGTGACCTTCCGAAATTTGAATGCATATGGATTTGGAACTGCGGCGGATTATCAGGCCGATGTGTTTAATACGTGGTTGAAAGCGTTTGGTCATATGAGGGGGTGGTTGGGGTTGCGCAAAAAGAGACGCATTGATATCTTGCGGAATTTTGAAGGGTTGGTGAAAAGTGGTGAGATGTTGGTTGTTCTGGGTCGGCCTGGAAGGTATATCTACCTCCCTTTTCTTTTTACATTGAGCCTGCTGACAAAACTTAGTGGCTGCTCGACGTTGCTGCGTACACTATGTGGAGACACACACGGTCTTTGGCTCGACGAAGGAACCGACATCCAGTACGAAGGAGTTTCATATGAAGAAATGCACAGCCGATTCCGTGGAGAGGTCATCTACCAAGGCGAGCAGGAAATCCACTTCCCCCAGATGACAGCTGGAGACACCCTACTTTTCGCTGCCAGAGCTCGTGCTCCTGCCAATCGACTTCCTGGTGTAAGCAGAGAACAGTACGCTGTTCACATGCGCGACGTGGTCATGGCAATCCTGGGCCTATCGCATACAAAAAACACTCGAGTTGGAAATGAGTATATTCGTGGTGTTTCCGGGGGTGAGCGCAAGCGCGTTAGTATTGCCGAGACGACTTTATGTGGTAGTCCTTTACAATGTTGGGATAATAGTACGCGAGGTTTGGATAGTGCAACTGCTCTTGAGTTTGTCCGTACTCTGCGGACTTCAACGAAGTATTCCGGCTCGACCGGTATCGTGGCTATATACCAAGCGGGTCAAGCTATTTATGATGTGAGCGTTAATGGCAGTTTGAAATAATTGAGGGAGACTAATTACGATAGATATTTGACAAAGCTATTGTGCTTTACGAAGGTCGCCAAATATATTTCGGTCGTGCTGACGATGCCAAACGTTTCTTCTTTGACATGGGCTTCCATTGCCCCCCACGACAGACGACCGCCGATTTCTTGACTTCCCTCACCAGTCCTGCGGAACGTGAAGTGCGTCCTGGTTTCGAAGGCCGAGTGCCCAACACACCAGACGAGTTTGCTGCTCGTTGGCGTGAAAGTCCAGAACGACAGGCTCTCATTGCCGAAATGGAATCCTTCCAAGCCGCGCACCCACTAGGTGGCGAGAAATACAAAGAGTTTACGGAATCTCGCAAGAAAGAAAAAGCCAAAGGAACCCGCGCCTCTTCACCATACACCTTGACATACCCTATGCAAGTCAAGCTCTGCTTCTGGCGTGGTACAAAACGGTTACAAGGTGATATGAGCAATACTCTAGCTGCTGTCATCGGCAACATTGTCATGTCATTGATTGTTTCCAGTATGTTTTATAACCTGCCGCACGATACAAATAGTTTCTACCAACGATCTTCCCTGATGTTCTTCGCTATCCTTATGAACGCATTTGCAAGTGTCCTTGAAATTCAAACTTTGTGGGACCAGCGACCTATCGTCGAAAAGCACAAGAAATATGCGCTTTATCATCCATCCGCAGAAGGTCTCAGTTCCATGTTGGTCGACTTACCGGCCAAGATTGTCAGTGCTGTTGTCTTCAACTTGATCTTGTACTTCATGACAGGTCTTCGTCGTACGGCGGGAGCATTCTTCACATTCTTCCTCTTCTCTTTCACGACAACTCTAACCATGTCGAACCTATTCCGTTTGATTGGTTCTCTTTCACGTACCCAAGCGCAGGCTATGGTACCCGCAGGTATCTTCATGCTGGGCCTCATGATCTACACTGGCTTCACAATTCCCATCAGTAGCATGCATCCCTGGTTCCGCTGGATTAACTACATCAATCCGATTGCATACGCATTTGAAAGTCTGATGGTAAACGAGTTCGCCGACCGGGAGTGGGACTGCTCAAACTTCCTCCCTGCAGGTCCGACTTACAAGAATCTACCAAGTCAATCGTTCATTTGTCAGGCAAATGGTGCGGTCACTGGACAGGATTTTGTTCAAGGAAATGATTACCTAGCAGCTACGTATCAGTACTCTCGAAGCCATCTGTGGCGCAACTTTGGTATATTAGTTGCATTTTTTGTCTTTCTCCTTGGACTACTCGTTATCGCCAGTGAGCTGGTCACTGCCAAACCATCCAAAGGTGAAATTCTAGTCTTTCCGCGCGGTAAGATCCCTGCTTTCGCAAAGGAGAAGGGCACAACCGAAGACGCCGAAGCTCCAGCTCAGAATAGCAGGCCTGCCGTCGAGAAAGATGGTCACGACGAAGCTGCTGCTATTGTTCGACAAACTTCCATTTTCCATTGGCAGGATGTATGCTACGATATCAAGATCAAGGGTGAACCTCGAAGAATCCTAGATCATGTCGATGGTTGGGTGAAACCGGGGACGCTGACGGCGCTTATGGGAGTTACCGGAGCTGGAAAGACGAGTTTACTAGATGTTCTAGCAAATCGTGTGACTGTTGGTGTTGTAACTGGTCAGATGCTTGTTGATGGTCGTCCACGTGATTCCTCATTCCAGAGGAAAACTGGGTACGTACAACAACAGGATCTCCATCTTGAGACTTCAACCGTTAGAGAAGCGCTGCGGTTTAGTGCTCTTCTTCGTCAGCCAGCTTCAGTGTCCAAGGAAGAGAAGTATGCATACGTTGAAGAAGTCATTAAGATGTTGGGTATGGATGAATATGCAGAAGCCGTCGTTGGTGTCCTTGGCGAGGGCCTCAACGTCGAACAACGCAAGCGATTGACTATTGGTGTTGAAATTGCTGCCAAGCCTGATTTGCTACTTTTCTTTGACGAGCCAACATCCGGATTGGACTCTCAGACTGCCTGGAGTATCTGTCAATTGATGCGCAAACTCGCGAATCACGGTCAAGCCATTTTGTGTACCATTCACCAACCGTCAGCTATTCTGATGCAAGAGTTCGACCGTCTATTGTTCCTCGCGAAAGGAGGCCGAACAATCTACTTCGGCGATTTGGGCGACAACATGGGCGATCTCATAAGCTACTTTGAGAGAAACGGTTCTTCCAAGTGTCCACCATCGGCGAATCCTGCTGAATGGATGTTGGAAGTTATCGGTGCAGCACCTGGGTCAAAAGCGGACAAGGATTGGGCTGAGGTGTGGAAGGCAAGCACGGAACGGGCTGCAGTTCGCGAGGAACTTGCGTTCATGAAATCGGAATTATTAGCCAAAGAGCGCCCTGGAAATACTACGGGATGGGCGGAATTCGCTATGCCGATGTGGTATCAGTTTTTGGTCATTGTTCATCGCAATTTCCAGCAGTTTTGGCGTACGCCAGGGTATATCTATGCTAAGATGACGATGAGTGTCATTCCAGTGAGTTTTCACCCTGGTCTTGTCTTCTTGTGATGCAATCTAACCAGCGTACGATTAGACGCTATTCATTGGTTTCTCTTTCTGGAGAGCCGGAACCTCAATTCAAGGCCTTGAAAATCAAACCTTCGCCATCTTCATGTTCCTCACTCTGTTCCCTAATCTGAGTCAACAAATGATGCCCTATTTCGCACTCCAGCGTTCACTTTACGAGGTACGCGAACGGCCTAGCAAGGCTTATTCATGGATAGCATTCATCCTCGCCTCAATCGTGGTCGAAATCCCCTGGAACTTATTCATGGCTGTCCCCGCGTTCTTTGTATGGTATTATCCTATTGGGTTATATCAGAATGCGGAGCCAACGAATAGCGTGATCTCGAGAGGCGGAACGATGTTCTTGATCATTTTGCTGTTTATGCTATTCACCTCCACATTTACGATGATGGTTGTTGCAGGTATAAATGATGCGGCTACAGCAGGGCAGATTTCGCAGTTGATGTTTTCCTTGTGTCTCGTGTTTTGCGGGTATGTCATCTTTCCACCTATTCTCTTTGAATTCGCAAAAAGCTAACTATAACAGTGTCCTCGTCACTCCCGGTGCCCTCCCCGGCTTCTGGATCTTCATGTACCGCCTATCACCCTTCACATACATGGTCAGCGCCGTTTTATCCGTTGGGCTGGCCCAAACAGATGTGAAATGCTCCTCCATTGAACTCCTAACATTATCCCCACCCACCCTCGGCGAGACATGCCAGTCGTTCTTATCAAACTACACATCCTACGCTGGTGGACGAATTATAAATCCCGACGCAACCGCAAACTGCCAGTTTTGCTCCCTAGCCACGACGGATGACTTCCTCGCGGCGGAGAGTATTTATTTTAAGGATCGGTGGAGAGATATTGGGATTTTGTTTGCGTATTGTGGATTTAATGTGATCGCGGCGATTGGGTTGTATTGGTTGGCGAGGGTGCCCAAGGGCAATAGAGTTAAGGAAGTGCCTGGAGGGGAAGGAAGCAACGATGTTGCGATGGTCAAAACGCAGAGTCAGAAGGAGGTTGACAAGGAGGTTAAATGATTTCCACATTGTTGTGGAAATGACCTTACTTTCTTTCGTTATATATTTTTTTTCTAATCTTATCTTTCATGCATATATACCTTCATGTGTGTTTTCTTATTTGCAGCCAGAGGGAGACGGGATTGATGTTATCTCCACTCTACGCGTTTATATTCTTGATTCATATTTTTCTTGTGTATTTACTAGAGGATAATTAACCTAGATTACATATATTCCATCCCGTTAAGGATGTCTCAACCTCCTTAGACCTTGCGCAGAACACAGACTCAACGGCCGAAGTAATCATATAACAAGTTTTCTACTTGATAGTTGGTGTATATAGATAGGAGGACACTGGAGGCACTCATAATTGACCATCTACTTAGATGAAATATGAACTAGATGACACCATTGGGAGCTAAGGACATGGTATTATCGTCATTCGAACATCAAGACATTTAGTTGTAGACTTGTAGCGGTATTATTATTATTAAAGCCTTTACTTCCGTATTCCCTCACTGCGGTCGACGTATGGCACTCTATAATACTTCAAAGGTAAATAGATCAAATAAATTCACGGTTCAACGTTATTTAAAGAGAGACTATAAACCATGTCCTCCATCAAATCGACTATATCGAATGCTCTGCGATCCATAGCCCTCCTGCGCATTCACCCTAGCCCACTTCGCTATTCGTTTGAGCTGCTCTTAAAAAGATAAAGTCTGTCCAGCAGCCCCCACGACAGCAGCCTTCACATTCCCCGATCCCAGCAAAGAATAACTATAAGGCACAGAGGTCAGCGTCCCCGTCTCCGCTTCGTTACTTCCATCCCCAAAGTCATTATCCGTCGCAACCGCATACCCATCATCAGTGGAATACAGCGGCTTGCTTGAGCCCACAAACACATTCGACTGCACAAGCACCTGTGCGCCATCACGCGTGTTTATGCCATCGTTCACTTCATCGAAATAGCTGTTGTAGATGTGACCCGTTCCGAAGCGGATGGAGGGCGTGCGAGAGTTGATGTTGTACCAGTAGTTGTTGTTTTGGGTTACACGCAGGTGGCCGGTATCTTCGGCGCCATTGTTGTCCGAGTGCCCTATTAGGGAGGCTTTCCAGTGGTCGTGGATATAGCTGTTGGAAACAGTTATAAAGTCTGCGGCGTGAGTAAGCTGTTTTCCGTTAGCTAATTGTTTTAGTAGTATGGATTTCGAGTGCTTAAAGCTTACGTCAAGTAGTCCATCGTAGTAGTCCTTGTCGTGGTCGCGGTCGGAGGAAACGTCGACGTGGTCGATCCAGACGTTGTTGGAGTATTCTGTTTATCGATTAGTTTAAGACATTGAAATAGCAGGTTCGGCGTTTGACTTACGGACACCAATCGCATCCCCATTGGCAGCAAGAACCTTGGAGATACCCAAGTTCCGAATTACGACGTTTGAAGCTTTCTTGACAAGACTATCGTGATATCAGCCAGACTCCTCGAATACAAGAATAGAGAGTTAGTCTCACATTCCGAAATTGACCAACTTGGCACTCGAATCCTTGCCGATGATGCTGGTGTTGTTACCAGGTCTGATCTGATCGGCTGTCTGAGTAATCGTGCCAGACACAAATATGACCTTTTTATTATCGCCGGTCACAGCAGTTGCGAGTGCTGCGTAGCTGGAGACCGTCGTTGTGGTACCACCGGCACCCCCGGTTGTGCCTCCGTTTAGGCTTGCGTAGCCTGTAGCTGCCTATCTGACTGTTAGCTACAGTTTTCCATTACTTCGATGAGGTTCAATTTTTGGTGTGTGAGACATACGTCGCTGACAGAAGCTCTCTTGACAGGTGGTTCGGCTGGTGCAGCCAAAGCATAGCTGCTGGCTAATGTTAAAGCTGTAATGAAAGCCTTCATATTGAAGATTTTTCTGGTTTTCTTTGTTACTTTCCTCTGTCTGTAATCTTGATGTCTGTGGATTGCTGATGAATGAATGACTGAATTAATGTATCACCAAGGCTCCATGGGCCCTTTATATATTTTTTATAACCGCTTTGTCGGTGTTATATCCACATCTTGCTTAACATCTCAAAATAACTTACGAGCGTTCAAGGTGTTCTCGCCCTCAAAACAAAAGTTTGGTGATCATATTGGTGGACGTCATTTCTCCAGCTCCTATAATTCCACAAATCGTCGACACATACCGTGATATCCCTCTGCTTGAAACATTGTCTTTGTATTGCAAGGCTTTCCTTGGCAAATACAGGCATCGTCTCTCAAGTCTTGAGTGTTAGCGCAGCGAAAATGATGAAGTGAATGTACAAAATTGTGCAAGATTGTGTCAAGATTCAACACCACCCAAACACCTCAATACGAGGCAATATCGCCAATATTGCAAATATCGTTGCTTCGACGGAACAACATGCGATTGAGAGACGAAATGATTTGTGGAAATGTTTCTCAACAGCTTTCGCGAGTTTAGATGAAGATCTGCCTCAATGTCGCGTCAAATTCTGGGGTAAGCTTGGCAATGCTTAGTCGTGTCTTGGCCTATCTTGGCTCGTGTTTCAACTGGAGGAGCATGATGTAAACAGTTCATATGATTTATAGACCGGGTCCCAAGGGTTTTTGTTATTCCTTCACATCGATCTCGGTATATAATTGAAGGCTCAACATGCAATGAGCACGAAGAATATCTGGACTGGTGGAAGAACTCATCTCCGTCCACAAGTGAGGGACTGAGGCCGACTGAATGGTGTCATATAGATGATCACATGGATAGCGAGGTACGAAAATGGTTTGTATGTGGTGATGGCCCGATATTCCCCTACAGATCTGCAGCGCTTGGATATAGGTTGCATGCGACTGTCGACATGTTGCAATTTGGGGAGCAAAACGGATATGAAGTAACATGATCTAGGATAATTGAGAATTTTCCCTATGATATGCAGGAGTATTGCGGAAGGGCAAACAGAATCACCTCATACTGGATCTTTACTCAAATATTGACGAACTAGAATTGACAAGATCTAGTAATAGCGTGATCATGAGGTACTTTCTTGAATGGAGCCTGGGAATATTCCTACTTGCGTTGGGAACGATGCCACCATAGTGATACTTGTTCATATTCATGTATAGGTTGTGAAACCAACGCTAAGGACTTATGATGTTTGACTTGTGCGGTCGAGTCAGGCTGATGGCCCGAAATTTCCCAATTAATCGTACCAATAAAAACATGTCGTGGAACTGAATACACCAAGGCACGTAGATGATTACTGGAAATAGTAGTGCGATATAAAGCAACATGAGATTTTATCATTGTCTGAGAGATATTTTTACCAACTGTTCATCATCAGAAGCAAAGATTGCGAAGCATGCGAGTCCTATGTACCGACGGCGATTTCAACTAGGTAAGCAACTAGTTGCTAATTCGCCCATACCAAAAGTGCAAAGATGTGACATAAGCGTCATGTGTCGGAAATACTTCAAAGGTCTTTATTTGCGAGGAAATTGTCTCCGCAGGCCTCTCGGTGTACGATCCATTTCACAAACGACGGTCTCGGCAGTCTGAGTAGTACAGGATAACGCCAAAACGGATGAAAATTCTCAATACCTACGGAAATGGCATATAACAAGCAGCAGACCAGTAGAGTAGTTCTTCAAGAAGACTAATACATCCATTTTTGATTATTTGAACCAAGTTCCAAGGTTACGAGAATCCACATGGCCGTTAATTGGACTCACCATAACCAAGTAATGTGATATCACCAGATCCAGTATTCCTGCCGTCAAAGCCAGTACCGAAATGGTATGTACATCCTTAGAAGTATCCCGCAGCGTCCTGTCAGTGGCTTGAAATGAGAAAAATTCCAAATAAATCGCATTTCTAGGATGAGATTACCCGGGCTATGATGTAATGTCAACCGAAGAAACACTCAACGGAGTAATAATGGCCAGGAAGGAAGCAAAATAATCACCGGAGATATGCATGTTATGCCGTGGATGAATTTACGATAGACAGAAGAAGGGTAAGAAGGGCAACTGCATGCGAGATATCAGGCACCACTGGGAATGAGATGCAACGAATTGATTCCTATCGATGTAAGTCGAGTGCATGTATGCAGTGCGCGAATATGTCCTATGCGGATCATGATGCATAGGCAACAGACTCAAGAACTCACAGGCTAAATGTTAGTCAACTTGTTTGTCAGATTAGCTCTGCCTCGTATGGGTACTTGGTGATAGCTTTGGATGCGGCCAACGCGAAGATGATTAGGGTCATTCCATCAAACAAGACTCGCTACTCATCGACTTGTATCACTACCCCTACGTAATTTAATGATGGGATTTCCTAAAGATGCAAGTACTTCTGCGATCATGGTCCACCTAGAGTGATCTCATTAACAAGGCGAAGTTCTCGGGTCTGATTGTGCGACACTGTGTTGACGAGATCGCTACTTGGTTCTGTGACTATGTACGACACTAATACATGATTTGCCATATGTGTACGTACAGTATTGCCCGGACATCGACCGATAGATGATAGTGGAATAATCCAAGTCCGATATCTGGAGGGTATCTGACCGAACACAAGTGCCTAATACTTAGTAATTGAGACAGATCGGAAATGCCGTTCTATCAATACATGGAGACTGAAACTGACTCATGGGTAATATATCATGAGATTCGAGAGAGATAGTTATATCTATATATAATTCTCTTTTAAATTGTTTCTAGATCAGAGAACATGACCTGTTACCCCTGTCCCTGCAAGTTACACGTCCAAGGATCAATTTTTGACTGTTGGTTATTGCATGAGATCCAGTACTTTGGTGCCGCTAAGTCACACGGCTGATCTACAACTTGCTCTTGACGATCTGAGGCTCTCCTTTCTATTTGTTTCACGTAGTCAGGTACTCAGAGCTTGCTGTTGACTAGGGATCTCTCCCTCAAGCTACTTACCGCTCGCCCAGGTCGACCCGTACAGCTTGAAAAGCGGCATAGGATGGATTCGATGGTTCCAATAAATTTTCGGCGGGTACTTAGAGGAGCAAGCCCCACACCATTAATGCAAGCAGAAGCAGGGATGCGTGTTCAGTTGATTCGGCACATTCGGGACTCTGCCTTATCTGGACGCATATTGGATGATCTTTGCATGAAGAAAATGTAAGCTACGATCGAATCATAATTCTGCGCTCTACTGTATTTTCTTGATTTCTTGCACGACGAATAGAAACCTCGTGTGCATTGTCCCTCTAATCCTTCTCCTCGCTAGTATCCGGTCTTCATCTAACTATACGGTCAATTATGAAATGTTATTATGGATCTCCGTGCGTATATAAGCTTAAATCATGGTATGGCTGGCTGAGAATCCACAGCCTAGCGATCTCGATGGCATTGAATCGTGCTCAGTGCTCCAAATACGAGATATTCAGGGCAACAGCTGATCAGCTGATGGTGTGTAATACAATGCCATTGTTTACTAGATGATTGCGACAATGAGGCAACATTGCAAATGAAAATAACTTTGCATCAGTATATTTAATGCAGACGCAACGGTTCTGTCTAACCAGTTCATTCCAGGTTGATCACTTTGTTTTGAGGACCTGACTACCCATGTTACTGTGGCGCAAGGCACTCACAATGCACGCCTAGTAGATCACTACTAGGTTGTAGTTTATCTTTAGACTACAGGACCAATTCTTTAGGTACAGCTTCATCGACGATTTCCGTGATTGTGGTTTCTTTAGGTCAATAGACCTAGGCCGCTACTAGGATAGCCACACGTGGTGATTATTCTGACATGTGTGCTGCCATCTGTCTCATTGCTAGCAATAATTCAATAGTATGGCGTAGTAAGAAAACTGCCAGCTTCTTCAGCACCGGCAAATCCCAACAAGAGGCCTAATCAATAGTAGATCGATCACTAAACTAGCTCCCGTCGCCAGCACAGTTGGGTACGCTCGTCGGGGGAGGGGGTCCCGCGCATAATTAAACCAGGGCCTAGATGAATAGCGAGAAAGCAATGCAGAGGCAAAGGGTGGCTGGAGAGCGCACTAGTCAGCTTCTAAGCAATAATGAGGGAATAACCTTTGCCTAATTTGGTTACTGTGGGAGCGCCGAGGCTAAAATGATCGACGTAATGGTGTCTCCGAATTGACCAGATCGTCCTCATTTAGTACGCTGGGGAACAGCCGACCATCTGATTCGACATCCACAGCTGCCACTGCTCGAGTCACAGCTTCAAGGTGCATGATGGTGCGGTCTGGTTTGAATTACCGTCCCAGCTACATGGTCTAAGTGGCGTTCGGCTGAATGGTCGCTGACACGGTTTTTACGCTGCTGAGTATTGACGTGGCCAAAGTGTATTCAAAGTTGGATATCTGCCCTTTAATGTTGATTAACTGGGCAACTCAAAATTAATAATCAATCATAAATGTTACCGAAGCGCGAACTTTAAGGTCTAGTCCATGCGTTCCAAAACGAGCACCGGAAAAAGCAAAAATGGACAAAACTATGTGGATCTCCTCAGGAACGAGCCTCAGATCTGAAAAATGTCATTCTTATCAAGTCTACATAGTGTTTTCCCAATCAAAAAATCCTGTTTAATCCTATATTATCCTGTTGAATATGGCATCGAGCTCCAAGTACCCATTCGGCACCATAACTAAATCTAGACATCCATCTCCGGTCTTCGGATGGTTCTCCGGACTCTTTCCCCGTGTAACCACGTCATCTGCATAAAGGAGGGCCCATGCTTGTAACTATCACGGCGATCAGGACGTGCCTTAGCAATGGTTGTCGTGCTTCAATGTGGTCTGTTACTCGGCGCTTCACGCAGCGCAAGGATCTGCCGTGGAACATGTACCCTAAATGCAGATGATACGAACGTGACATAATACAGGTGCTACCTATTAGTATATCTGCAAATGCGAAGCATAGTAGAAGGCATCTTCAGTCGCCACACATCCACAAAGTAATGTATCTCTCACTTTCGATATGCGGTCGATTTTGAGAGTCGCGGGACGCCCGCAGCCTTCAGCAAGCCATGTCAAATTCTGACGACCCTATCCTTGCTTAGCGGAAAAATGGGGAAATATCGGGCTGAAATAGGATATCCAAAGTATATTTGTTTCTTTCCGTGATTTATTTCCCCCATCTATCTCCGCTGATTGACGGTCGCGTTTCTTTTTCCGTCTCGATTTCAAGCTTACGCCAAAGATGTCCATTGACTGGATCGTAAATGATCTACTCCACTATTATGATCATCACGAGAAGATGCAGTGTCTCCATTCTCGGGAAGAGCGAGGGCCACATATTTGGTGCTCTTTTCTGATAGTTGGACATCTAGCTACCGGGAGGCCTATTTCCTATTCCGATCTGCAGACTTGCCATACGAGTTCCTTTCACTGCGTGGTTGGCTTGAAGGAAACTTTCAAGTATATGTATATGTCGGGAAATATCTACATCTTCCTTTGTAGATTTCAACTTTGTATTACAAGAGATCGAGTCATCAAAAGAAAAGTGCTTTCATTCCAAGTTTTTTTTTCCTTGTTGCAATTCATTCCACAGTAACTGGGCTGTGTACTTTTATTGCACATCCGGGTAGCTATACCAATTCATAAGTACTTCAAGGTACTTATATCTCATTGGAATGATCGAAACGTGCACCATTAGCTTGCAAATGCCAATGCCTGCCCTCATGTCCGAAGAAAAGAACGCTTCCACCACTTCCACCTCAAGACAACGTCCTGGGTCAGCATGCGAGGAGTGTCGACGGAGAAAACTAAGATGCGATAGACAGCCACAATGCGGTAACTGTGTCGAAGCTGGAGTCGTGTGTACCACGACCACCGTTCGGCCTGCCAGAGGACCCAAGAAGGGTCACCTAAAGGCCTTGAAAGGTAGAATAGGTAAAAATTGCTATTTTGATATATAATTGAACGATGCTAACGGTATTTCATAGCAACGCTTGAGCGATGTATTATGGAACAACAAGGTGGTTTATCCCTGCCACTCAGTGATGGATCCCTGTCACCGGAAAACACACAACCTTGTAGCCCGGACGGTGAAAACGCGGACAAATTACTTGAAAGACGAACATCAGTTGCATCTATAGCATCGTCTGTCCATATTCCATATGCTATTCCAGAGCTTGTAAAAGCCGATCTGTATGTTGTCTGACCTATTCAATCAATAAAACCATATAAAGTATGTCAGTGCTAATATCGTCTCAGGGATCAATTATATTTTGAGAGGGTCCACCCTCTCATTCCTGTACTACAACGCACTCGATACTTCACGTGGGCCAAGGGTCCATCAAAATCCGACTCTCGAATCGCTCTGCAGTATGCCATGTGGACACTTGCAGCTTCATTGTCGACTCACTGCCAAAGCATCCGCGATTCTCTGTATACACACACCAAACGCACCCTTGAGATAATCGAGTCCAAGGATAATGAAATGGACTTTTTCGACATAGAACAAGCCCAAGCATGGCTATTACTTGCAATATACCAATTTACGCGAAGTACGTATCGAAAGGGTTGGCTAAGCGCTGGACGCTTGTTCCGACTCATTCAGATGATGCGATTATATGAGATCGATAGTCCTAATGAGTTGGCAGCCCAGCTCATTGAACCAGACTGGGTGGAAGTGGAAGAGAAGCGACGGACCTTCTGGATGGCTTACACGCTGGACCGGTTTGCTAATATTCGCAAGGGATGGCCAATCACTCTCACAGAGCACGTCCTGACTCGCCTTCCCATGCCGGAAGCTGAGTTTCAGAGCGGGCAGCCAATAAATATGGGATTTCTTTCGGACTCGCTTGCAGGTAACGACTTTATCACTACGCCACAGTCATCGTTTGCAGAATGCATTATTCTTGCTACTATATGCGGTCGAAGCCTGTCTCACCGACACCTATCGATGGTAGACGGGGTGTATGGAAGCAACCCACAAGAGTTCTGGAGTCGACATGAATGGATTGACTCTGCTCTTACCACAAGAATTTCCATGCTCTCCTTGACCTACCCGTTTCAGTCCGAGCAGATGGATCCAATGCTTTTGTTCACCAAGATGATTGCTCAAACAACAATACTGTGCCTTCACAAAATCATTGAATCTGCAACGTGGGACGCTCCTGAATACAGTAGTCTTATTCTGGAATACGAGCAGCGTTCACGAATCGCGGCAAAAGAGACGGTTGAACTGGCCAAAGAACTGACTCATTTGAGTTATTTCAAGGTTTATACCACCACCAAATATTATTCATCCAAATGAAGTTAACAAGCTTACAGGTCCACCCCTTCACACCAATCCCACTCTGCATCTGCGCCGAATTTCTAAACTCTCGAGATCGCGACATCGATCCATCCGTCAATGCACAACTACAAGAAATACTTAATGCACTTCAATACTTAAAAAATGTCAATACTCTCGCAAGCGAGAACCCTACGCTCCCTTTCTGGGTCGATTTAAACATGGCCAGTTTTGGTGTCGATACTGCTGTCAAAGTTTAGAACATCTGTTATGGTTTTACGGTCTTGTGATTATATAGGTCTGGTCGTCCGCGAGGGCAAGAGAAGGAAGGCGATGGGAGATCCTAATACCTATTTGTTCTTCACTTGTTAATCATATAGTGGAATATGAGATATTTTATTAGACCCTCGGCAGCAATATGTGTTGATACTGTAAGAATTCCCTTCCGTTCTTCCCGCGGGAATAGTGTTCCGACCTTTCCCCGGAACTCATGCTACGTCGATCTCTTCAATCTCTATAAAAGCATTTTTCTATATCCAGGAATCTCAGTGATTGGTTAAGTCAACCGACCTTATTCTTTTTCTACCCCATCTTCTCCGCATTTAGACCCCGCACGTTGTCCTTTCACCCCATTGAGTCTCCGCAGTGCAAATTTGCAGCTCCTTCGTCATTTTACGGGGCTGCAGATGCGTGTTCAGAGGATATCTGGACTGGTACAAAGCAATGTTTTCTATCATGACATGGTTCCGATCAATCCCCGGGGTTTCAAGGTACCCCGCTATATAATTTTTTGACATTATTCATTGAGCTGCTCGGCTCCAAAACCATCAATCACACAAGATATCATGATGAATTATTTAATACTTGCTGTTGTCTCGGTTGTATGTAAAAAGACCCTTCCTCGTGAGAACCTGCTAACCGGGCTAATCGCCACGAGCAGGTTCTTCTATGGATCTTACATGGATATCTTTTATCGCCCCTTGCACGTTTCCCCGGTCCTATCCTTGCGAGATTTACAGACTTGTGGATAGTATTACAGTGTAAACATGGCAGACGGTCAGAAGCTGTACACGAGCAGCACAGGATATGTGGAAATTTTGTTCGCATCGCACCTAATCATGTATCGATCGACCATCGTGCCGCTATTCAGCAAATCTATGGCCACAAGACGGGATTCACGAAAGGCCGATTCTATGAAGATAAGCATTAATTTTAGTCCCGCACATAGATATTGGGAGCTAACGTGGATCGGTAATCACCCTTCCATCAGGTAGAGCCTGTTCTCTTCAATACTCGAGATGTGCAGATTCATCAACGCAAAAAGAAGATCTTCAATCCAGCATTTTCATCGAAGAACTTACTAGAATTTGAGCCTTACATGAGTTCAACCATACAAAAAATGACCGCTTGTTTTCGGCGTTGCCTGCGGTCAGCCCAGCAGATTGAACTTGATTTTAATGAATACTGTAAGCTCTCCGATGTGAGAACTGATCTATGGTACTGATCGCTTCATTTCAAAAAAAGTAAACTTTCTAGCATTTGATGCCATTGGTATGAACATACCCAATTAATTGAACAGATGCATGCTCATAAAATAGGCGAATTCGCATTTGGAGAGTCATTTGGCTTTCTAGACCGAGAAGAAGACTATATGAACTTGATCTCGGCAGTGGATTCTCGTGGGGAGGTGCTTAATGCCTTGGGCCACCTACCCCGAATCTTTCGATACTTGGTACTGCGTTTGTCTCTGGACTCATTCTGGACAAGAGGTAAACAAGGCGCCCAAGCGCTCGCCGTTCTAGGTGCCAAGTCTTACTTCAAACGACGAGATCAGAGGAATGAATCGCGGAATGATATCTTATCTTTCCTACTGAAAGCGAAAGATCCTGATACCGGTGCCTCCTTAACCGAAAAAGAGATAATTGCAGAATCCATCTCCTTCATTGTCGGCGGTAGTGACACGACTAGCACTACCATGACAAATTTCGTAGACATAGTCTCAAGATCTGATGACCTCCAAAAGAGTCTACAGGAGGAATTAGACAATGCATACCCCGGCGAAATGCCCCAGGACTGGGTTGCGGCCTTCAAGGAGGTTGAGAAGTTACCTGTTCTCAATGCAATGCTGCAAGAAACAATGCGCATCAGACCTACAAGTGCAACTGGGTTGGAACGTGTGACGCCGAAGGGCGGTGCCACAATCGCCGGCCAATTTATTCCTGAGGGCGTATGTACTGACTTTCACATGTTTGCATTTTAAGCATCTTATTTCAGGATGGCTGGTCACTGACTCAGTCCAGACCCTTGTCAGCGTTCCAACTCTCAATATACATCACGACGAAAAAGTTTTCAAAGTAACGGAACCGCAAACAATGATATGGCATGATCGCTTACTTCTGTTATCGTAGAACCCATCAGAATTTCATTACGAACGCTGGCTTGGAGATGACGCATCGACCTTGATGGGAAGCTTTATTCCGTTCTCAACCGGACCTCGTGCCTGCATCGGTCGCAAGTATGCTCTCCCCCAAAATCTTCTCAATGCCATAATTTGCTAACAACAAAAAAAATAAAGCTTTGCCTGGATGGAAATGCTCAAAGCTTTGGCTACTATCTTCAAATTGTTTGAAGTCAAGCGCATTCAGAAAAAGCGAACGGCCGTTCGCGAAGGGTTCTTTGTCAAAAACATGGAATGCAAAATCGAGCTTAAGGAGCGACAAGTTGAAAAATGAATGTACGCTTAGGCAGCATCAGCTGTGATCATGCCTATGAACCTCGAAATAGTTTGATTTAAGATCTCTCAATGTTGGTTCTGGTCAGGAATTACAGTCTTTCTAATTTGGATAATTGGCAGAGTGTCGGTTGATCCGACTCAAGAGCGCTGACAATTATGCTATCTGGAATTCTAAGTATGACGGACTCAAGGGTAACACAGTTTTTCTTGCCTTCACTATCCTCCACGGCGTTGGCAGTAAATAGCACGTGATGTGTCATGCCCTAACATCGGTTACTGAGATATTCCTACAAGCATTACTTGAACGCGATGGTTCGTTCTTGGAGCTCTTGAGAAGAATTATGATAACGATGATTTCAAAATTTAGTCCAAAAGTTCAGTTCGTCTGGCAGCGCGCTCGATATTCTTATTACTGTTCTACAGCTGGTCGTACGGAAACGGGATGGTCTGGTAGTTTTGTTGACTGGAGCTCGATTCAAATGCTATGGAGCGTGGACAGTTTAGCACAGATCCGCACAATAGTTAACTCGTAGTGGCCCATTCTTTGCCTCAGGATCTGTGAGAAGACATGGATGGGGGGCTGTTAGGGCTTGGGAACAGATGCTGCGCGAGTCTTCATGGGCATGTACACATTATAGTACGATGTATACTTTACACAGCGGCGGCTGCAGGCTGCCGCTGTTTGCGGAATCAAATATCGCGAGGAGAAAGAAAGTCCAAAACCACTTGCATATTTCTTATGTATAGACCAAAATATCTCTTTTTTTGGCCCGCAAGGATGTACGCATCGGGAAGATGGCTCTTCCCTAGCAAATTCTTAATTGACAACCGTGGGAGACCTTTTGTTCTTCTTTACGACACCGTCTAAGGGCTTTTCACTGTGATCAAGTTATAACTTTCCGAATTTTTTTCAAGTGAGGGCCTTGTTTATACAGGGTCTGATGTCAAACTGAAGATCAGTTAAGCATTGGGTTTATCTATCCTTTTGACGCGGCACCTAAAATTCTTCGATTTGACAGACCAAGTGTTTTTGCAGTCCCAATAATCATTGTCATCTTCCAGTTCACAGGGGTCTTGCCCTCTTGGTTGGCTGATTTCTGCGGGGATTTAGGGCGTTTTGGTGGCATGGTAGGAGGTTGAAGTTGGTATGGAGGTTGAAGTTGGTATGGAGGTACGAAGGAGCGATTTCGATGACGTGGCCAGGTTCGGGGGAATTCATGTTAGTTGTTCCCCACAGAGACTCATTAGTGCATCGAGGATAAGATGCCCGAGGGATTCAACATATCTTACAGTGAACTCCAATTTTTCTGGAACAAACCTTGTCAAATACAATGTTTGTAAAAGTAGCATGCCAAAAGAGGCAGACGGAGTGGAGTCATGAAGGCGGTGTAGAGTAGCAATAGGCGACTGCCGGTTAATGCCGCTATTCCCTAGAGATCATGAATTGTTGTGCTACATCCATCTTCTCTCTTACCACATACACCGGTGACAATAGAAGGCAGATCGAAAGAGAACCACAGCAACACTCAAATTGAATTACATCCCTTTCGACCTCTTCAAGATACTTGAAGTCTCGCGATGCCAGATGAATACGATGCTCAAGATGCATCCACGAACGCCAGTAGGCCATTGGCCCGCAAAAGAAAGCGAGTTTCGGTAGCCTGTCGGCCATGTCGGTCACGAAAATCTCGTGTATGTAGAATCCAAGCATGATTTTCCAGAAAAATTCCTTTCAAAGATATCCATATGCCGTATGTGGACTCACTATTGGATAAATCCAGTGCAATGGTGCGAATCCGTGCTCGACGTGCGAGGAGCTGGAAGTTCATTGCCAATATGACTTGCCCTGCACTACCCGGACTGCTCCCGAGATTAGGAATACTCCGATTGATACTAGGTATGTGTTGGCTCAACCATTACTCGCAGCGGAGACTCTATTCATAGCGCCATAACTCGTTAGAAATGACCGAACTACTGCTCTGGAGCAGCGCCTCCAAAGAATTGAGCGTAGACTGGCATCTCTAGAAGATCATCGATTGCCAAATAACAACCAAACTTCCGAGTCTCTCCAATATGGGTCACAACAATCGAGGCAAAGATCAAAGGCAATGCGCAGAGGTTCTTGGAGTACCGAGCAGGAGACCGCGCCGACTGTTCCTGTAATGAGTATGTCGAGAATATCTGATCAATCCGGTGGAGTCGATGGAATGTGCTCCGTTGCATTGCGAGAGGGTGCCGAAGAGGATGAATACTTCGGTAAGTTCTTGCATACTAAAGCAACCAAAGGCTCTCAGATTCAGGATACTGAGCTGATCCGCTACAGGCAACTCATCCAATGTGGCTTTCTTACGCTCAATCGTTCAGGCAACTGTTCACTCCACAGAATTCGGGGATAGGACAGTATCAGAGACGGGGATCACTAGCTCAGAGAATTGCGGCCACAGCAATTCAAATTCATTCTTCACGTGGCCTTCTCGTACTGATCAATCAGGAAATAAATCACGACGTACTCCGATTGACCCTTTCGCACTTCCCCCCAAGGATGCATCAGATGATATGCTTCACTTGTACTTCAACACTGTCAACCTTATGATCCCTTGTATTCACGAGGATTCATTTCGACAAGCCCTGATCCAGATGAGAACTGAGGGACCTGAAAACGTCAGGAGGTCGTGGCTTGGCGTTTTGAACATGATGTTTGCCATTACTACAAATGTGATGACTCCGACTTCGCCTACGCAGGATCGAGCACGACAGTCAAATACTTTCTACGAGAGGGCTGTGGAACTGGTTCGTCCTGGGATTTTGGGGCGACCTTCAGTTGAGATGGGTATGGATTGGACACTGGTTTAAATTCCGATTTACAAATTCAGACAACTAATGAATCAGTGCAATTGTTCCTTCTTATGGAGATTTACCTTGAAGGCACGCCTGCCTCCTCTTTAGTATGGACGTTTCATAGTCTCGCCGTTAAGGGGTCCTATCAATTGGGGCTTCATCTGTCTGGATCGTCGAATCTCCCGCAGGTCGAAAGGGAATGTCGACGAAGATTGTGGTACTGGTGCATAACAAATGATCGGTACTCTCCCCAAGCAATTATAATCGGTTCCCGGAAATTGACCGCATCATAGATTATTGAGCGTCGGATACGGTCGTCCTCCCCTGATTCCATTGTCCCACGTGAAGATAGAGCCCTGTGCTCGTCTTGCTTTCAGTAATGCGGCTGATGAAGTCGTTGCTTCGTCCTCTACATACTTCGACTCGATGATGTATGTACAAAATATGAAAGGTTCTTCAACACACTATGACTGACACACTGTAGCTCTATCACGCACATCATGGGTGACACGATAGATCGACTTTATGGGCAAAATTTAGGATTCATTGCCCCAGGCTACACAAGCAAAACTCTCAGTCAAGTTTCAGACTTGTTATCGCAACTCGACCAATGGCAAGAACAACTCCCACAGCACTTGAAAGCGATAGATCCTTCCGAGGATATGCTGAAAAACGCGTCAGCCAGTCTAGAAACAACGCGACTGAGAGTACTCCTTTCATTTCGTTATCTTGGAGCTAGAATTTTGGTTTTGCGGGCAATTCTGACTCACTTCTTTCCTCCATCTGGCAAGAAAAGTCCCAATGAGCATTTACCAGAATGGCTCCTGGACTCTAGCTTTCCCCTTATTGCAGATCTTGTGCGAACATGTCTCCGCGTATTCCAAATAAGCACTCAGCTTCTCGCGGCATCGACAAACAATCAAAATCTTCTTGGCGCATGGTGGTTTTCCTGTTATTACAGTATGGTATCCGCTTTCTTCACACCGGGCCTACTCAAATAGACTGACAAAATGTAGCCTTTAATGCCTCTCTTGTCATATTGGGCGTTCTCTTCATCAAGCAGAACTCCCTATACCCCATGAGACATCGCGATTTCGATGGTCTAAGACCGTCTCTCGATACCGCCATGTCGATTCTCCGAGGGCTGGATAGTGGCAACAGCACAATCATGCGATGTAGAGATATCCTCTCATGATTGATCACTAATATTGATAATAGAGGTCCGCTCTAATCTGTCCTATTAACAGAAGCCAAAGAAGACGGCGGCTAACAGTATCGAGCAGCAACTACCGCAGAGCTAACCTCTCCTGTAATATCAGGGTCACCCTCGAGCGAGTGGGCATGGCAACTCATGGACTCAACTTTATTCAATTCCGATGCTTCTTTGGGCTTTGCTCCAGCAATCCCCAATGATGCCGCATGTTTTTTTCTTCCAAATTTTTAGCATAGCTGCCGGAATGAGTGTTTACTCGATAGAATCTAATTTCAATCTTTAATGATAATTTACGCGTACACATCGTCTGAATGTTACAATCCACTTAATTGAATTTGCTATATGTATATTTTCCATCAAAAATGAATACAAAAAAGCGTATTCTAGATCCGAGGTTTCGAGTTCAAGATCGGTTCCCTGGATGGCCAAATCCCAGATTTGCCTGGTGACAGAACTCCAATGGGATCCAAGAAATCCTTGAGCTTGGTAATGAACTGTCTCAGAGCCCAACCGTTAAAGTTGAAATGCGAGGCAACCTCATCCATATAATCCAGATGAGTACGATATGCTGTATACCCCATCTCAGCTGCTTCATGAAGAACATGACGCATGAGCTGATCAACCCTCTTAGCCTCTTCAGCAGTGTAGATAATCAGCTCGATGCCGATCACGTGTCTAGGAAACACATGAAAATCTGCGAAGAAATCAAACTTGGCATCGATTGTTCGCTGCTTGGCTTTGAGATACCACTTGTACAGCTCTCGACCGGAAGGCGGAAATAGAGGCGAGTAGTCGATGTGACCGCCCGGATTCTGGCGACTGTTGAGAAGTTCCAGAGGCGCAAGCGTTGGAATACCACTTTGAGGAATTTCTTCTGACTTGATCATAGCGGCCGTAATAAACTCGCCAGGCTTCCCAGATAACTCGCGCCACGTCATAGTAGCTCCGGGGATGGCGTTGAATGCACGGCGGGTAGTTTGGAGTAATCCAGGAAGCATCTCAACCTGCGAGTACAGGGAGAAGTATGCTCGCCAGAAACCCCATTTTTGCTCCACACGGATTTTCTCGAGTACATCATAGGGTACACAGCTGTTTGGTTTCATATATTTTTGCAACGTCTCGTGAACACTTGGGACCCTCGACGTGAGCGCAATGCGAAAGATGTTCGCGATTGATGAGGAATTTAATATAACGGAGCGACGCATCAAGTCTGATAGGATGCTTACAAGGGCTACTAAATCAGATTCTTGAGGCACGTCGACTTCGACAGTAGCGTAGGCTTCTGGGGCCGGAATCATTTGGATGCCTATCTTTGTGACGATTCCTAAAGAAGACACAAGGCAAGGGTATTAGAATTGGATCGAGAAGGAAATGTTGGGAAATGTTCGCTTCTGGACTCGTTCTTGCAAAATGGAGGAAAATCATACCCAAGTTAGACTGGTAGAAAAGTCCGTCCACGCTGGGACCAAAGCCGCTAATCATAGTGAGCCAAAGCAGAGCCCAAAAATCTTATAAAACGCAACTTACCCTTTATAAAGCGCAAACATCTGGCTACCATCCATTGCACCCATACCAGTCCGCAGCAACTCGCCATTTGGCAAAACCACTTCCATTCCGCATTGCGCTTGAGCATGGTCTCCCAAAGGGGTGTAGCCAAATCCACGATCTGTAGTATTTCCAAGAACGGAACCCCAGCCAATGGCTGGCACGGACGGCCAGAGATTGAGGCCCCGTCTTTGAATTTCTTCATACAGATCGAAGAAGGATACACCCGGCTCTACGATAGCGTAGCAGTACTCCTCATTAATTTCAACGATCGTATTCATTCGATGGAGGTCCAGCACAACGGTTCCCTGGACGACTGGTGCAGAACCTCCGTATCTATAAGAATGGGTCAGAGAGAAAGCGCTGACAGAAGTATCCAGTACTATACATACCCGAGGTTTTACCTCGAGAAACAGTCCACAGAGCGATGGCATATTGATTCGCCAGTCGAACAATCTTCCGAACTTCTTCGACGCTCTTCGGACGCACGGCTCCACTAGGGTCATGGTTTGTAGGGGATGCAAAGGGGTCACCATAGGCCGTCGAACCGGAGAGATCCTTCAATCCACCCGAAGAGGGCTGACGGGAAACATTGGTTTCACCAATAACTTGTGCAACTCCATCAAAAAACTCCTGCAATTTTTGCGCATCCATGTTGTGGTCTAGGTTTGTAAATGAACTAAAGTCGACTCTGATCGATTTGACTGGAGTGCTTTCGCAACCGAACTTGGCTTTAAATACTTCGAGACTATAGTAGATAGTCTTTTCAACGTTGACACCAATCTCCTTAAGAAAGCCTCAGCGACGTCGACCCCGGTTTCTGCTGTCGCATACTCATCCAATTTGCGGGTTTGCGGGTGTGCGGGGAACCGGGTGTATGGGAAACCGGGTGTACGGGGAACCGGGGGGAAGTTGAATTTTGGTAGTGCTGGGATTCTGGTAACTGCAGAGACGCGTCCCGGAAGAAACGAAGTTAAAATTCCCCAAGATACAGGGGCCAGGGTAAATTCTCTTTATAAAGAGTTCGGTTCGGTCTTATTTCCAAAAGAGGTACTCTAACTACAAAATATTATCATCCTTTAACCCTATCGCACCTTGATTCGGGACATTCTGGAAGCCAACATGGAAATCAGAATAGAGAGCGCTTTCCCCGATCGACCCCAGTTTCAAGGGTTCATGAAGCCATGCCGACTGGAAGGTGAAGTCCAAGCACTGGAATTCCGCGGTATCATTCCCAAGGAGATCGATGGCACGTTCTATCGAGTGATGCCGGATCCCCAGCTTCCTCCGTTTGTGCAGAATGATCCGGTAGGTTTCTCTTCCATATATCAAATCAACATTGATTTCGGGTGATAATAGAAGAGACAACAGTGGTTCAATGGCGATGGTAACATCGCGGCCTTCACGATCAAAGATGGGAACGTGTCATTTCGTCAACGCTATGTCCGGACAGAGAAATTCACTCGAGAACGAGAAGCGAAACGAGCTCTCCTTGGTATATCCACCATCCTCCACTTTCTAGAATAGTACATCAATGCGTGTTCTAATCCCCAGCTGGTCAGGCAAATACCGCAACAAATTCACCGACGCCGTCGAGTTCAAGATCCGCTCAACCGCCAATACCAACGTAGTATACTTCAACGGACAGCTACTAGCTCTTAAAGAAGATGCTCCCCCGTACGCGCTTGATCCCACTACCCTGGAAACCAGGGGCCTCTATGATTTCGAGGGACAACTTCCCAGTCTGACATTCACGGCGCATCCAAAGTTCGATCCGAAGACTGGAGAGATGATCTGCTTCGGGTATGAGGCCAAAGGTGATGGCACCCCGGATGTATGCTACTATAGCGTCAGCCCGGAAGGCAAGTTCACCGAGGTGGTCTGGTTGGTTGCCCCCGTGGCTGCCATGATTCATGATTTTGCTGTGACGGAGAATTGGGTAAGCTCTGACTCCTCAGGTTTTTTAGATCCGGATAGAAATCGCAATTGAGACTGATCTGAAATTAATGGCTTGAAGGKACTTTTTCCAATTATTCCTCAAGTCTGTGACATTGAGAGAATGAAACAAGGTGGCGAGCATTGGCAATGGAGTCCAGAGACACCATTCTACGTTGGGGTTTTGCCCCGTCGAGGAGCTAAGCCCACGGATGTCAAGGTGGGTTAATCTTGACTATCTCCCCAGCTGGGTGTTTCTAATGGCGAAACTAACACTACAATCAACAGTGGTTGGAGTACAAAAACTCCTTTCCCGGCCACACATCCAACGCATACGAAGATGAGAACGGGAATATCACCCTTGACCTAGGTCTAAGCGACAAAAATGTCTTCTTTTGGTGGCCCGATGCACAAGGAAACGCCCCCGAACCCAGTTCCATTGTCTCCCAACTGGTCCAATTCAATTTCAACCCTCGAACAGAAGATCTAAGCCTTCCCAGCCCCCGGATTCTTCAAGAGCAGAACACCGAATTCTACCGTATCGACGATCGCTTCGCAACTCAGCCTTACAGACACTGCTTCATGGATCTAATGGACCCTAGCCTGGGAACAGATTTCCAAACCATCGGTCCTAAGCTTGGTGGCGGGCATCCGTTGTACAACAGTCTGGGGCATCTTGATGTAAGCACGGGAAAGACGGAGATTTATTTCCCTGGAAAAATGCATATGGTGCAGGAGCCGGTTTTTATTCCCCGGAGTGAATTAAGGATTGAAGGAGATGGGTATTTGTTGGCACTAATCAATAATTATGATACTATGTCCAGCGAATTGCATTTGTTGGATACGAGGGACTTTACGAGGGCGCAGGCTATTATTTTGTTGCCCATGCGGTTGAGACCGGGATTGCATGGGAATTGGGTGGATGCGACAGATTTGGCGGCGTTTGTTTGAGCTTGCCAGATTGGATTTTGTGTGACGATAATTGAATTTAGGAATACTGTGCAGCAAGAGGCGAAGTGAGAGTCTTATGTCATTTTGATAACTCTGCGTAGGAGCACTGGTTTCGTTTCGAACTGGGTCCAAAACAGCACTCTCAGCATGAGTAAAATTTGAAATTCATATTTATCTTCGATATTCATGCGGTTGAGCAACATGTCAGATGTCAAACCGCTGGAAAGAGACTGCACGCAAAGCATACAATTAAATGGGAAACCCCGCGAGCATACACTCTGAATCTATAATGGACAACCTCATCACTCAGAGGTCTTGAAAATGAAGCGGTCATCGGGCTTGGTAGTGAACGGGACACCATTCTCGAGGAACTTGACGAAGACATCGGCGAGATCGTTGAAGGCATTGCTGTGCTTGACTTATCTTTTTACTGATTTTAGTTGAGGAATGCACTAAGCCTTAAATAGAGATCGAGTACCATTCGCTCCTCCAACATTTGATTCTCGGACAAAGCCACCGCACAGGGACCCTGACGGGAACGGCCGCGTCTCGCTCTGATCCTGACCCTGTTACTGCGTCTTTTGGCACCCATACCGTTAGATTCGATCACCGTAACTTATCATATGGTCGTCTGGAAGTCTGCCGCCAAAGGCGTCGTACTCCTGTGGCTGCTAGGGTCAGATATAAGAACATTCTGTGCAGTCTCGCTATTCTGAAGAAAGCTGATCGGCTAATTGACACTGTTGCAAGAAATATGGTCGTTCGGAAGGACTCGACATCATTGTTCAGCAGCCTACCATGTAGCCTGCCCAAAACGGGGTGAGCGACTGTCTGGAGCTGGATCATGCTAAGGATGCAGTAATGGGAATTTCGCCCGGAGTGAGAGATATATTCTAGAACAGTTCAATGAATGCATTTCAGGCTAGACTAAGAACTTTTCGGTTATTTCCAAATCTGGCCACATCTGATAAAAAAAGACCCATGATATGCTTTTGATAAATGGGATAACTGGGTCAAAACTCCACGACACCCGTCTCTAAAATAGACCCGAAAGATAAGCCATTGTGAAAATCCCCAGATAAGATATTCCAAAGCTCAAAACAAGTATCAAAATTATGTTTGGGATACTCCAAGACCAACCTCGTGTTCCTGACATCGACCAGATGGCCTGATGGAGTTGACACATTTCAAGCAAAGACCCAATCCTGTAGCTTTGATTTTTCCAATATCCTCCTTAAGCATTTCCTTCAAGCTTTCCGTTGGAGCTCCACAATACTTGAAATGATGACAGTAAACATCCCCAAGAATCTCGATCCTTCGGTCTATTGTCGATATTGAGACGTTTTGAACGTCCGTAGGCATCAGTTGCGCTTTGAAAAGTTGTTGCATGAATGATCCGGCTCTTTTCGCTTTTGAATTTGGGTGGCCGCCACAGGAGCACATTCTGAGTGCCAGGAATGGATTTGAAATAAGTCGATCAACCCTTTGATTAAGGTCGTTGTATTTGAGCTCGAATTTCGCGGCGAAATCCAACTTGATAAGGAAGTGCTGCAGCAACTGGTAGAACAAGCGCCTTCTCGATTCCTCCAATGCCCTCTCGCGAAATGTATCCATTATGTACTCTGAAATCGTTCCAAATAACGGAGTAGAGTCGATGATGTAGGAAACAAGAAGCAGGGTAGAAAGGTTTACTCTGTCACTCCTACAATAGAAGTTTAGACTGCGTCTCGCCAAGTGTTCAAGTTCGCCCTTCAAAGAAGTGACGCACTGATGTTTCTCGCAAAGGACCGTCAAGTCGAGCAGAACTTGTCCTTTGAGAGCCCATTCAATCAGATCTAGTCGCTTGTAAATGAGTTTGCATAGCAATAGCACCAAATCAATGTCATCTTCACGCAGCAGGATTTGATGAGTCTGTCGATCTCCGAATGTGATCTTCACGCTTTCTCTGAAACCTCCGTTGAGCATTGCTGCAAAGACTACGGAAACAGACGAGAGCTTTTCTCTTGACACCAGTAGTTTGTAGTTTTCGATTTCGACGAGGACATCTCCATCTTCTTCGAAGACTAGCGTATGGTCCATTGGCGGTTTTCCTTGTAATGAAAGCATTCTATCTGATGACAGATCCTGGACTCTGAATTTGGGGCATTGCAACCATCTGGTTGAACGAAGTAGCAATCCTGAAGGCATGATGCCTTGTTATTTTGGTAAATTTTGAGTCGTATCGAGAGAGAAAACTAGTTTACTGTCAGAATCCGTTCGTGACAACTTTTGAACTGAGGTAGGGATGAACATAATTAAGGACTGCTGAAGACTCACACGCTTTAGAAAGCTCCGTTTCTGGAGATTGGAGAATGAGGCCTGTGTAATCTAAGTCCTCAAGTGGCAGAAAAGCGAAATGTTGATGAGCTGTCAGAAGCGTCGAAGTGACTCGATAGATTAGGTGCTTGGTGAGGACCTTAATAATTTAATTGCACTCGAAGGCGTATTTTGGTCTGTAGGATGGCTTGTGTTCTGCCAGACTATGTTGTCAAATTGGCATCGTCTTGGGTCTGGCAATGCTGAGAGAGCGAGATCTTGAAAAAGTAGAACTTCATGCTAGTTGGTAAGAAGACGGCGCGTAACATGTAAGGATCTTTCATATGATGTATCTACCATCCTAGCTTTCAAAATATGCCATGGCTACTTTTGTTGCGCGATGTGTGTGTATCTTTACGGTCGCGCACAGATGTTGACTGTAGGATGTAGGAGAAATATTCAGTATACCCTAGGGACTTTCTATAGTCACTTCATATCCTTGCTTGTGCGATAATTGATGAGTTCGTTGGTAGAAAGATGCTTGGTGGCTCTCGTCTTCCTGTCGTGTCCTGCTCGATGACTCTGCTATTCTGATCTTGGCTGGGGTTGCATAACGCAGAATGAGGTCGTTGACTGACCTTCTTTTCAAATAAAACAAATAGTTATGAATAAAGGTCATATGAATTGTAAAGTTCCAATGATAGGGTACATCAACCTACCATTTATCTGTCAATTTTCCATACTGTTTATGCTTGTGAAAACAACGTCAATATCATTCAAAAAGTGCAGTTACATTCGGGGTTCTTTACAAGATCGTACATCTGGATAGAATATCCCTACTAATAGAACGACGGGCCTACTGAAAGCTTTTCATGATGCAAAAAAAGTGTTCGCCATTCGAGGACCATCCAATCCACAATCTACATCAACGCAGCAACACCAGAAGATCCAGCTCCCTGATCTCGCTCTCTTCCCGAAAACTACTCTTAACATATTCATAAGATATGAGACTCAGTTCCCCGTAAACGTAACAGTTTGCGACGCCTGCCCAGCCGCCTTTTTATCCAACGCAATATTCGTATTCAACTTCGTAGTTTCAGTATCAATCTTATCCTGATTGCTCGCGCCCTGCGCCTGCTGAATCTGCAGTGCCTGTACTTCAGCAAAGAGCTTCAACACCTTATTCTTGATTTTCCCGTTCTGGAGAGCGGTCTTGGTGGCGGTGTCAGTGGCGGCGGAGATGGCTGGGTTGAAGGCTCCTGTCTCTGCGTCTTCGGCTGTTACGCGCTCTGCTTGGAGTGTTGCGAGGTCGGCGGATGAAACGGTAGAGAGGTCTGCGGGGACGGGAAATTTGGCGGTTGCTTCGGCTAAGGCGTTGCCTGCGGTGCCATTGCTATTTGTTGTCAGATATGTATGTTATCGTTTGTTTAGAGGGGATATACCTGATGGTAAGTTCAGCGAATGTGCGCGCGGTAGCTCGTTTTCCAAGAGTGGGCAGCGCCAGCGCAGAAGGCAGAGCCAAAGAGAGAAGGGCGATGGACATGAAACGCATATTGATTGTTTTGAGATACGAAAAACAAAAGTTCGTCAATTGATTAATTTCGTAAGAGAAGTTGAAAAGAGTGTGTCGAATTGAAAACGAGACCAGCTCGATGATGAATGTAGATTGTGGATTGGAAAAGTCGAGTGATAATGATCGGGGGAAGAGATCGATGAATGGGAAGGTGTCGCGATTTATACCAGACATGCTTGGCATATGAAGCCATAGCTTTTGTACGGGAAGATCTTGCGATCCTCAAATCAAAGACATCTGGTATCAGGTACTTGCCACTGTGCCTGTTTCCAGGTGTTATGGCTTGTACCTGTGCCTTGACTTGGCGCTGTAGTATACATGATGCGAGACAGGCAGCACCGAACTGCTACAGCCAAGTTATCTCTCCGTTCCATACATAGTAGGTGTTTGTGTATAATTTAAGTTGTAAGCCTTAATATTAATAAAACATATTTGAACAAGCTATTTATCCGAGTGTCGTTCATAGGCGGATAAATAGGTAGGGTCACATCTGAGACAGGGCATGTTTAGGGCTTTGGGTTATGCGGCAACTTTGAGACGGGGGTGATACGAACAGTCACTAATTAATAATAGGCTAGGAGTTGACTATTATTGTCGTCATTTCATGACAAAGGAACACTCTGATTAAAGATAGCAGAGAGACATTTCAAATTTCCAAACCGCTCAATATTATTGTTGTGTTGTGGACCAATACCAGAGTTCGATGTGGCCAAGCAGTGCCCATCTGCTACAAGAGGTCATACCAAGATTTTATTCATAATACAATAAGGCATTAGCAAGTCTTGAATTTTATGGCATCACCCCATATCTCCATATACCTCTTGCTATGCACGACCTCGTCCCACAGGAATGCATCAAACACATCCACCAGCTCGCTCCATTCGTGAATCCGCATTTGGGATGCTGTCTCATTGATATATGCCAAGTACCAATCCATCAGGGGCTCTGCAACGACACTAATCACAGAAGCAGCGACAAATAAACACCATAATTTGAAATCGCGCGGCACTGGGGTGTCATTGTTGCTGGGTTCGGTCCAAATGTCGCGGAACTTGGTTATTAGAACGTCGCAGATCGGCAAGCGAGGTGGGCTTTCGTTGACTATATTCTCCGAATAGAGTATTAAAACTAATCTACATATTTCGTGTACTGTGTTCGAATGTTTCGGTGCTGAGAGGAGACTGTATTGTGTTCTTGTGACTAGAAATCGGATTCTGGCTGCGTCCACTTGGCCGTTGTGCTTTTTCGTCCTGAGTGAAGCTGTTAAGCGCGTCGCTTCTTCCAATGTTGCTATATGACATTCGATGTCATTTTCGAAAGTAATTTGGGCACGAAGACTGTCGAAGCCGGCGGCACTCTTGTCGCTGTCGCTTATCACTTGACTTGGAGACGGTAAGTAGTGATTCGAGAAGAAAGGTACTCCGACGGTATCAATCGATCCACACAAATCGGCCCTACCATCAAATCAGCACGAAAATTAACCGTAAGACTTCACAGACTTCGTACCGAAAAACCTTAGTCATGACCATCGGCTTCGTCTCCAAACTCCCCAGTCCACCTCTCATATCAACCAGTCTCTTCAGACCCTGCATATGTATCCGCCAATTCTCAAACGACCCTCTCGTTTTCTACCTTGCCATCAGCCTCAAATTAAACAGCATACAAAGAAAGAAATACCTCCACGAAAGCCAACGTCGCAATGACCGCAATTGTCGCGTCCGTCACGGCCCTTATCGTCGCAATCCGACTCTTCATAATCGACAAGGCTTTTTGCATGTGTCGTAAGGCGACAGGACGATCCTCGAAATGCATGCAGCGCGTGTTGTGTGCGTCTGCGCATCCGATAAGAAGATGCAAGAATGCGTCGTCGGAGAAAGCTAATGGGATCCAGTAGTCGGTCATGGGATTAATTGAAGTTAGACTTTCAATGGTATAAAAGCTTTTCCAGACTGTTGTCATATCTATCCTCTAGTATTAGCCACTTCCAATCCCGCGTCCTCAGATGGCGAGGAGGGAGGATTACAGTATTTCAACAGGTCATACATATATGGCTCAAACTTGATCGGGAACGCATCGAATGGATCCACCTGACAAATCTCACGCACAAGCTTCAGCGAATTTCGGTGGGATTCAGTCGCTCGCCGGCGTTTGCGATGCGTATAATTCGCCATGACGCGTTTTCGAATGGCGATGCGCGTTTCGTCGCTGATGCTGGAATTGTCGCCGTCCATGTGGATAAAGTGGAAGTCATTGTCGGCTTCAGGATGGGGATCTTTTGATTTAGGTATTTTCTTTGCTTGATAGATTGTCAGCATGAGTCGAAAGTGTAGAGCCTGACATACAGCCTGCTGGTCGCCCTCTCTTCCTTGGCGCTCTCACTTCCAAGGGACCATTGTTGTAGTAGAACACACAGGGCTCGTGCGACGATGCTGTAAGAGGAAAAATAATCTCGCTAGGAGCTGCCGAATTATGAATCTCCATGCTGGCCGATCCACAAGCTTTGAATTGATTAAAGACGAGCAAAAGAGAAGAAGAAGATAAATGATGCAATTCGCATGCTTATCATTATCGCCGAAATGTCCGATCTTTGCCCCACCAGACGACCACCACGCTAAACTCCAAACAGAAAGAGGTTTGAAGAAATTCGGCCTAAAGAGGAAATAGTTGTTGAAACGATTATTTTGATGCCTCGAGGCATTTTCCCTTGATTGTGGCTCSTAAATCATCATGTACGAAAGAATCAATCTGAGAAAGCTTAAAACTCGGCTAGCCGGTTGGAGAAAGAGGTATATCACGAAAATCATCTGAATGGGGAAACTGTTGACCGACCGATAACGCCGGGATGTGTCTGACGCCTTAATGAGGGTGCATTAGTAGCTATCTCTAGGGAAGAATGACATGGTCAGCAATCGATGGCGAAAAATATAAATAAAGCCATAATTCCCAGTATCCGATGTTATTGATATGCCTTCCATTCAATTTTGACTTCCGACCTAGGTATATATCTTTCTTCTCCTCAGCGTATTATTCGACATAATGTCCCAGTACCACCCCCTCACAGACGGCGACCAAATCGCCTCCGACTTTTCCACTACCATCAAAAACAAAGTAATCCTGGTCACAGGGGTATCCCCCGGCGGCCTCGGCGCTGAATACGCACTTACAATCTCCAAACATTCACCTTCCCTAATCATCCTCGCGGGCCGCGACATCACCAAAATCGCACAAACCGCGTCCACGATCGCCGACGTCGCGCCTTCAGTCGCAACGCGTACGCTAGAACTAGATCTCGCGTCGCAGAAACAAATCCGAGAAGCTGCGAAGGAAGTGTTGGCGTACGCCGAGTCTATTGATGTACTGGTTAATAATGCGGGTATAATGGCCAAGTTGCCATACAGCCAAACACCAGAGGGAATCGAAGCCCAATTTGGAGCAAATCATATCGGGCATTTTCTGTTTACGAATTTGATCATGAGCAAATTAATTCGTAGTGAAGGAAGTGGTAGGACGGCGAGGGTGGTGAATGTTGCGAGTGACGGGTATCGGTTGGGGCCGGTGAGGCTCGATGACTGGAATTTTGATGTATTCCCCCTTTCATATTTGGGTTTTAATTATAGATGAGAGATGCTGATTTTGAAATAGAACGGCGCAACGTACAACCCTTGGCGCGCATACGGACAATCGAAAACTGCGAATTTGTTATTCTCCAGATCGCTGGCGACGAAACTTGCAAAGAGAGGATTGATATCCGTCAGTCTTCATCCGGGAGTGATTTTCACCAATTTGGGGCGTCATTTGGACGCTGAAGGATTTCAGGGGTTGAGTATGTCATTACCGGTGATGCTTTCCCATGTTAACTAGGGGATTGAGAGCTGACGACGCGTATAGACCAGGTCGATCGTGAACTGGGCAACAGAAATTACTGGGGCCCATTCAAGGGACGGACGCCCAACCAGGGTGTTTCGACGCATGTTTTTGCTTCGTTCAATGATTCTATTACTCTGACTAGTATGCAAATCACCTTCACCTCGAGATATCATTATCCGACTAACACGGTTTAGGTAACAACGGGGTCTATTTGGAAGATAACCGCGTGTTTCAGCCGGAAGAAATGCACAGCTGGGGACGAGATGATGTCGATGCTGAGAAGTTGTGGAAATTGAGTGAAAAGCTTGTTGGGGAGAAGTTTTCTTATTGATCTTTTTCGGATTTTATTCTAGTCTAGGCTGTTATTCAGGGCATTGATATATAGAGCAACCATACATGTATGATCTATCTTAGTAGACTACTGTCTGTCAATGTCTATCATAAATAATTATCTAGCACCAATCCAGTCGGTATCAATTTCTCCCCAATCTCCGCTCCGTATTCGCCCTCCCATTCACAAAATCCGGATGATTCAACGTCAACTCCACGCCACCATTCACAATCCTATCAACCGCTTCAACACCCAACATGAACGAATGATCCTGATTCCCAACCTCGTATTTCCATGAGCCGAATCGGCCGCGAGACAAAATGTCTTGTTTCTCGAGATGAGGGAGTAATTTCTCGAGCGCTGCGTCCCGGGCAATGGTTGGTGTTGGGTAGCCGTGGTGGAAGCGGCGGTGGTAGATGCTCACTATCTCCTCGTCGGGGCGTAGGCTATTATAATCAGTATATGTCAATATGGAGGGAGGATAGGGAGAGAATGTACAGCTCGGTATTTACTAAGCCCTGGATACTTTCGGCCACGATTGTTTCTTGGTTAACCGGCTTCAATGCGGATTCGGATACTTCCAACATAATGGACCAGTATGGACCAGATTGAGGCTTTTTGTCTGGACTCGGTTTGCCATTTGCGAGTTGCAATGTCGGGAGTTTGACGTCTTCTGTAGGGGTATTGTGAGGCGAATAGTTGGAAAATATGGTCGCACGATAGAACGGGCAATTGTCTTCGCCAAAGTAGAGCTTTCGCGAGATTCCAATCAGCAAAGATGTTAGTCCTTGTTTTTAAAGAAGCGGCCTCACCCAGCATTTATCTCCAATACGCTCCGGCCTCTGGCCCCGAATCCCAACACCAATCACATTAGTACTCGAAAAGAACAAATCCTTCGCAAACTCTACTCCTTTCTCATCACCCATCTTCTCCACGAGACTATCCACCGGCATTGTCGAAATTAGCTTTCCGTAGTTGACCACCGTCCCATCCTCTAGAACGACACGTTTTGCGGCTGCATCGACACTTTTCACTGCCCCTGTCTGAGGACCAAGCCTTTTTGCGGCGTCAGGTAGTGTGTCCGCAACAGCAGTCCATATCCCACCCGTCCCATGTCGAGCTGGAAACTTGAACACTGCGTTGGGACCCCAGTTACCGGCGACTTTGTGTAGGATGACGTTTGTGGTTAGGGCTTTGAGGTTTGGAGCGGCGACACGTTCGCCGAGCCAGGAGCATTGCATCTATCCTTAGTCAACTACCAAAAAAGATTGAAAACAAAAGGAAGAGGAAGGGAAGATGAGAATACCATAGTCGTCGGCACAGCCCAAACTTTAAAATTATATGGCCTCATATAAATATCGTTAATCCCCTTTCCTAGATTCCGATCAATCCACTCATCGAACGTCTTCGGTTTTGAGTTCGCTACTCGCGCTTCAAGCGCAGCATCGATCAATGCTTCGATGCATTTCACTTGATCTGCTTTCGGGAGCATGGAGATGTTATTCTGAAAAGGGAAGGGCACCCAAAGATCTTTGTAGCGGACGTAAGAGATGCGTTGGTGCGTGTACCAGTCTGTCGGAAGAGGGAGGGCTTCGGCGAGGACGTCGTCGAAGTAAGAGTAGTGCGAGAATATGACGTGGCCGCCGACGTCGAAGAGCTTTTCATAGTCATAATTAGTATTTTATAAGATGGATAAGGTAGGGTGGAAAAGTCCTTACGAATCCTTCAGGAGTTGTGTCGGTCGTTGCGAGTCCGCCGGCTTTGGTGTTGGAGTCTACGATCAGCCATGATGGGCCACCGAGTTGATGAAGGCGTTTGGCTGCTCCGAGACCTGTTGGACCGGCGCCGATGATGAGGATGTCGACTGATCTGTCAGGTGTTACTAGGAATCCTTCAATGGTAAATAGTAAGCAACTTACATGTTCTTGGATGTCATTTTAGTGTTAGAAGAGGTAGTAAGCAAATGGTTGTAGCTGAGTTTTACATTGCAGTTAGTAAATACAAGAGAACACTTCCACTTTTTATACTTATTCCCTCAGCAACACATTTTAGGGCCTCATACTAGACATAGCAACCTGTGAAACATATCTAACTGGTTAAATTAGGGCATGGAAAGTGGATCAACTGGCCCAATCGGCGTCCGTCCTTGCCGATGCACCCAATCACATGTCTCATTAGCGATTGACAATTCTTAGGTATCTAATGTCGTCAACGCTTGTTTCAACTTCGTCCGTCCTTCTTATCCGACTCGTAAACAGTGCTGATTGTCGAGTGGCTTATGATAGATATGGAACGCCATGATGCCACCCAATCGAAGAAGAAGCATGGCCCCGGCGGTCGGAAAAGAGCGAAGACGGGCTGCCGTACCTGCAGGTAAGCAGCGCATCCCAGACCGCATCATTGGAGCTGAAATTAGTCATCAGAGCCCGCCACATCAAATGTGACGAAGAGCGACCCATCTGTCGTCGCTGTTCCCAAGCACGTTTAGTCTGCGACGGTTACGGCATCTGGGGCGGAGGGGGTACTCCGTATGAGCGCACGCCGTCTTCTATCCCATCGGCCTCGTCCAAAGTTACTCACTCTCTTTCGACGATCAGTGAATTAAGTCAGGAAGAAAACGGCGCATTCAACTGGTTCATGCAGAAAAATACAACCAGACTGTCCGGGTTGTTTACGTCTGCTTTCTGGGATGATTTGGTGTTTCAGGCCAGCGTCCAAGAGCCCGCTGTTCGGCATGCTGTTATTGCGTTGTCGTTCGCTCAAAGGGCGGATGTTATGCACAGAAGGAATTCTTCAAGTGGTCGCGATGAGAGGGATGCTGAACACTTCACGCTTCAACAGTATAACAAAGCCATAGGATATCTGCGCGACCATCACCACCAGCAGAATAATGCTCAATCCACCGAGTCAACGCGCATAGTCTTGATAACATGCATGATCTTCACTGCCCTCGAGTTCCTACGAGGTCGTTATCGAACGGGGTTTCTTCATCTCCAATCAGGCATAAAACTCTTATCTGAGAATGAGCGTCAACGACATCACCAGCATGGAGAGCAGGTCTCATCTATTCTTCTTGGCTCGAAAGACGAGGCTGCACAGATAGCGTTGGTGGATGCGTTTACAAGAATGAGTGTTCATTGTAGTTTTTATGACGAGCAGATAGTACACCAAAAAGTGCTAGTTAGTGTGCGGGAGGGTAATCGTACGGATCCTTGCGCTCTGCCAACGAGCTTCGCGTCTGTGACGGAGGCGAGACGGGTTTTGGATCGGATATATGGTCGGATTCAGTATTTGAAACAATCTTATCATCAACAAGATTCGGACTCTCGAGAAGAATCCCAATTGCATAGAACGCAAAACCAAATATTGATCGATTTATCGAAATGGGAAGCTGCACGGGACGCCTTCGTCCGCAGATTAACTCCAACCACGCACGCACACATTCGTGACAGACTATGTTTTGAGATAATGTCCCTTTACCACTCCATGGCCACAATCACCGCGTCAGTCTGCCTCGAAGATGACGACTCCGAGAGCAGTGAAATGTTCTACGACTCTGATGCACATACCCGCTCCTTTGCGCGGATTCTCGCGGGTTGTGGTGAATTACCACGACAACTTCAACTCCTCACCGCTCCTTCCCTCAATCACGACAAAGAAAAAGAAAAGCATAAATGTGAAGGAATGGGTTTCAGCATGGAAATGGGCTTCATCCTCCCCGCTTTCTATACAGCCGTCAAATGCCGCGTTCCACGCTTGAGGCGGCAGGCGTTGTACGTTTTACGCGCAGGGCTGAATAGAGAGGCTGGGTGGGATAGGAAGGTTGTTGCTGATATTGTTGCTGAAGTTATACGGATTGAGGAAGGGGATTTCTATTCTTCGCTTTTGTCGTCTGGCTACAGAGGAGTGACCGAAGAAGTACAGGATCTTGATCCGCCTACACAAGACGACCTGCAGGTGCCAAGGATAGATACCTGGAGGAGGCTGAGGGATGTTAGGATTGTGTTGCCAGATGATGAGAAGGGAAGGAGCACACTTTGGTTCAAGCGGAGGGGGGATGGGGGGCAGTGGATTGAATGTAGTAGGGAGTTTTAGTATTTTGACACTGTAACCACAAACGATAATCATGTAGAACTTTTCAATAGATTATAAAATATTCCGAGTATTTCATGATAAAATTGGCCGTCATCATTAACATTCAACTTAAAAATCACCCTCCTCAATCTCCTTCACATCCGAAATAGGCTTGATATTAGCAGGCTCAACGGAATCTCCAAACAACTCCGGAATCGACTCGAGCGATTTCTGACTCGTCTGTGCAACTATTAGCAAAACCATAATGATTAACGGATAGGAAGGAACATACTTCAGGACAATACAACCAGACAAACAAGAAGCTCAACGTTGTACACGCGATAAAAACTGTATAATACTTCCACCCGATATTTGCAAATGCAGTCGGCGCAGCCTCCAGAAATATGATGGTTGCAACAAAGAGACCTGACACCGATATCGCAAGTCCCTTTGCGCGAACGGGGGTGGGGAATATCTCGGACGCATAAATGTAAGAAGTCGCATCACAGGTCACCGAAAAGCAAGCGATGTGCCAGAACAGGAAGAAAACGGCGGCCGTGTTTGCGGCTGTTGAGCCTGTGTGGTTGTAGACGCTTAGAGCGACGCACTCGCCGATTAAAGCGGTGATTGTGCCTATAAATCCGGCCATGAGGAGACGGGTTCGACCTACGCGGTCGACAATCAGAGAATTGATAAAGTTTCCAATGGGGCAGACGGTGATCCATGCACCCTGTATGACGAGTTGGGAGACTGTATCGAAGCCGAGAGACTTGTACAAGGAAGGCCCGTAGTTGTTGATGACTAGAGTTGCGGTACCTTGGCAGGCGAACAGCACCAGGAACCCAATTAGGCAACGTTTGCGCATGGAGGGTGATTTGAACATGTCGAGGAAGGACAGTCGTTGTTCGCGTTCGTGCGCGATTAGCGCGCGGAGGAGGTTGAAGTCTGAGATCATGGCGTCGTGGTCGCCGGCCATGGAAGTCTCTGATTCCGCGTGAATAGATTCAAAAGCTTTGAGTGCGTCTTCGGCGCGGTCATTGTCGATCAACCAGCGCGGAGATTCCGGGAGGAGGTAGATACCGCATGATAGAATGAGAGGCGGTAGACATTGAATCGCCAGGGGAAGGCGCCATTGTGAGCCTGAGGCGTTGACAAAGTAAAATCCTAGACCAATCCAGCTGGCAAGTGCATAGCCGAGACAGAGCATGACACCGTGGATACCGACTAAGAAGCCACGGATCTTTGGCGGGGAGATTTCGGACTGGTACAATGGAACCAGTGCGAGCAGGGCACCTAGAACTGTAAGCAAACATCTCGCAATTAAGAAGCTGAAACTTACCAACACCGAGTCCAGTGATGAATCTGAATACCAAATACATAGCAATATGTACMCTCCCAGCCTGTAAAGCACCGCCAATAACGGTAACCAGACAAGCAATCAAAATAGACTTTTTACGTCCTAGTTTATCCGCCGACCCGATACAAGAGAGAGAACCGAAAAGACCGCCGGCCTGGAAAAGGCCATTGATGGCGCCTTCGAGTTGCGTGGCATTGGGTCGCGTGTCGAGCTTGAAATAGGAAAGAAAAGATGGCTGGCCGAGAGTGGTGGAGATGATGCTGGAGCTGTAGCCGTAGGTTGTGCTGCCGAGGGCAACGAAGCCGACGACCTATACTCGTTAGCAAGTTCACTTGTGATCTGTTAAAACCGTAAGTTACTAATATTGGAGCGGCGCATACCAAAATTCGAAAAAGAGAAGGAGAAATAGCCATGGCGGATAAGAACACAGCCGGACAATATCACACTGAAGTCGCACAACCAACTCACCACAACGTCTACAACATGAATTGAGTCGTCAGAAAATCAGAGAAAGAGTTGGGAACAAAAAAAGAGACGAAGAACACACAAACAACACAACTTGCGGGGTGTGGGGAAAAGCTTCATGAAAAAAGAAGAGTTTATAAAGACAAAAGCTCTCGCTATGCTGCTGTCTACCGCGTACTGCTGGTACCTGACTAGATTACAGTACCAATCATGTGTATTCGCACTGGAGTCCGGTATTATTTCTACTGCAAATTCATCTGTGAAAGGCTGGGTTTTGCGAAGAAGAGCCTACGGAGACAATACCGATACAACTGGGTGAGTGGGATACCTAGCATAGCTCTGTCCAATAATATTTTGTACTGACCGCAAGGCAAGAAGCTTAAACTAGTCACGGATTTTCATTGGTAGAGTGTAGTTTAAGCGCCCCGCCTCTACACTAGTTTTCGAGCTAGCGCGTCAGCTGGTCGGGAAAACTCCGTTGATAAGTTGAGTTACTTTTTCTGGTAAAAGCGACGCGAGTCATGTCGATTTTTCCTGTGCTTGAGTACCGAGGTCTATTTGTCGATGCACACCACAATACCTTTTTTATAAATGGAGCTCTGTTCAGAGTTGCTCTTGTTCTAGGAGAAGTGGGCGTACCATTACTTTAGATCAAGGTCTTATAAGAGGCGTTTCACTGTTGATATGTTGACACAAGGAAGAGCCAGATTCAGGAAACATTGGACGCTGAGAATTCAGTTCTATATGTAGATATGGTTACTCCATTTTAAACTCTGAGCTACAAAAGTACTGTTATACATGATCGAAAGGTCTCTGTGTGGGATCCGCTGCCTGCCAGGAGGTTGGCTTGGAGTAGATCGCGTTGTCCGCGTTTGAGTTCTCAGTTTCCTGCCCCAAGAATTCATTCCAGGTCTCGGTCTACACCAACGTCTTCAATGCGCCTGCATTGCTTGGAGATAAATTCTTGGAGAATATATTGAAGACGGCCGCATTTATGTCGGGAAGCCGGTCAAAGTCAGACTCAAGCTCGTGCGCGTCCTTGAAAAGTACATCAACGTCAGAGTCCTGCATCTTTGAGGGGTCGAAAGGCTCCAAGATACCAGAATATTCCGTTGTGTATAGTGGATATGTTGTGATATTATTGTTACGTTCTTCAATAGTCTCTTTCCTCTTCTCAGGAACAAAATTTGATTCTTGTTTTTCAGAATTCACACCAGGTCCACCTTCGGATGCATGTGCAGCCTGCATCTGTGGTGAAAAAGTGGGCAAATAGGTGGCCAGATTCTTCCCTTGTGCCTGGGGCATCAAGCGGAAGTCAACGAGGGCGGATGAATCGAGGTCATCGTAAGTGTCATAATTGGAATCCGCGAAAACTGGATGAAAGTCAAAACCTTCTGGGCCCATGAGATTGTCAAGTCTTGAGAAATGCTCTAGAAAGGTTTCACGGTCCGGTGGGTGTGGAAGTACTGTATTTTTATGCATGCCTTCTTCGACCATTACACTCCTCTTCTCAGAACTGACATCGGACTTAGGTAAACCAGAATTTGCATGAAATTTCGACTTGATGTTTTCCATGAGATTAACCTTGCGAATTTGCTTTCTACCTCGCGTGGGAAAATGACTCTTCATTTCATGGCTTTTTAAAGCTCGTGCCGAAGCAAAACGCGGATATTGACACCCTGGAAAAGGGCACTTTAAACTTATAGTATGCATGGCTTCGTGTTCTCGCAATAATATCTCGCTTCTAAAGCCGGCAGTGGCCCGAGGGCAAGAAGGTAGGCGACAGGTGAAAATGGTTGTGCGATACTCTTGCTGAAAGTACTCCAGGTCCTCCTTGGATATTCCGGGGAAATCAGATAGAGAAAGAATAGACTGGACGGTTTTCTGATAATTGGTAAATGCATCTTTAAGTCCACGGATCGGAAACATGGTGACGCAGGGAGAATCTAGAAGTTGTCACCAGTCAATTTGTTGAATTGGATCAGTAGATAATGGGAATGAATAAGTACCTTCTTTTCGAGATACATCACCGAGCATTGTCTGGCTTCGCGCTTGTAATGTGATTTGGGCGTTTTTGTAAAGTCCCGGATATTGTTTGAGGAGGACAAGGCGGCTGTCTGAGACTGCCAATTCTTCTGCTTTCTTTGAACTTTGCAATAGTCTTCCCGACGATTCTAATGCATTAGAAAGGTCCCGGAGTATCGTAGTGAGACCGCTTTGTAAATTATGTTGTTCGGAGTTTAAGGACAATATTTCCAGAATATAGTCAACCCAGTATTGATTGGCATAGACATGAAATCCGTGCAATCCTTTCAGAACTCTCATGATACGATCCTGATTAGAATATCCAACATTGAAAACTTCCAATCCGGACAAAAGGCAGGTCACCGACGCGATAGCGTGTTCATAAACCTCTTTCACTCGGTCAATCAGCAATGTGCTTCCGGGCATTTGAAGATAACTGACAAGACATTAGCTGTTTTCCCCGATTTTGTAAGACTTCAAGAATAACCTTACTCCTTTACAGACACGTGAATAAACGTCAGAGTTGAGTCGGATCGTTCCTCAATGAGAGGCATGCCCATGTCAAAGACGTACAAGGGAACTGGTTCGTCGTTCAAAGGGTTGCCAGTACCAAATGATAATGCTGATCGTAATTCGAATTTTCGAAGCGGACGTTCTGTGAACGCTATCCAGCCAAATATGCTTCGCATGCGCTCAATTGACCGACTGTCGAATTTGGATATAATTTGGACCATGACTCTTTCGTAACTATGTACATTTCGTTAAAGAGACACAACCAAGACGCCACTCAGCGAACTCACAATTCAGCTAACTTGCGCGGTAACGTATGAATAGCGTCCCATAACTCTTGACTGCTGTAGAAAATGTTCTGTGTAATATAGTCCAGAACCAGCCGAGCCCAGAGGAACATACCTATAGCTAAGTCAGCTAGTTCTTGCTCTTACACGGAAAACACACCATCTGCCTTCTTAGCGATGCTTTTCCCGATATCTATGAAATCAAGATCGCTCAGCCCAAGTTGCGAAAAACGTTGAGACTGAGCTTTCAATCGCTGTTCAGCATATGTGCAGATTGCATGTTCAAGATTGTCCTTCTCATCACCCAACATGACTACCGGTTTCTTTCGAAGTCCGTTCTCTAAGGATTGTAAGCGACGGGAGGAAAAAAGAATTTTGAAAGTCGCACGGTCTAATGACTGCAACTTCAGAATGCCATTCATTAAATTGACAAGTCGTTTCTGTTTGTCAGCTTCCATTTCATCCAGGCCGTCGATAATCATATGAATGCTCTGCTTTCGTCCAAGATCTTCTGCTAACAACGTGATAGCCGTCTGCATCAGTTGCTCCAGGACACTCAGGCTGATTGACTTTCGTCCAATCACGTACACCTCATATATATGAGCAGCCAGGTCACTACTGGCACGGACCAGTTGTAGAAGTAGTGACTTGAGAAGTTCATCGTATTGGGTAGAAGAGGTGTACGAATACGTGCAAAAATGACATGCCACAAAAGACTTGTGTGAGGCATTAAGAAAGCCAACAAGCTGGCCAGAGATTATACTCTTACCGGTACCGGGATTCCCTTGGAGCCAAATGCAAGTTGTATCTGATTGGTCGGCCCGAAGCCAGTTCGATAAATCTGGATTATCCGATACCCACGAACATGTCCCTGGATGGTTTGATCCTTCAGTCGAGATTCTGTCAAAAATCAGTAATTGATCCACTTCGTTACTTTTCACCCAGCTACGAATTGCTTCAAGTTGGCGGGCAGTTTGCTCTTCTTCGGCTTTTTGAACTGTTGCAAGGCTTTCTTGTCTCCATTCCTCCAAGGCTCTTCTCATATCTTTTGCCTCAGCAATGTCATGGGCATTAGCTTCCTTGTCAATCTGCTGCTCATGTCTTGCTAAGTCTTCTAAAATATTGTCGAATTTTCGTTGGAATCGACCCCAGGATGTTAGAAAGAGAACTCGCCAACCTTGTTCAACGAATTAGCTAGTGAATGCCTCCATTCACAATTTGGGCAGCTTACTACTGCGTCGCACGAGCTTATACGCTTCCGTGTGAAAGCGAAGTATGTCGGCGTAAAAGACGGCAAGGGTTTGCTGGAATCCCGTGTTCTGACGGAAGGTCTCGCCGAGAACTTTGAATCTCGTCAACGATTCTGCGATGCGGGAATATGCCTTAACAATCTGCTCAAAAGCCTCTACGTAGTCCGAAGAGATCTAAAGGAAAAACACGCGACGTTTAGTGTAAGCAGGGAAATGCACGCAAGAACCAAAGGCACCAATTAAACTCACCTTGAGAATTATCTTTATAGGAGCCCATATCCATGGGAGATACGGAGTGCCGTTACAGAGAACCTCGATAGTCTGTGCGTAGTAACCCAAGCTGGAGAACAGGGGGACGAGACGTCGCATGTTGCGCAAAGACTGCCGTGCTGCAAGTTGGTTTTCGATCTCAAGAGCCGCCTTTTGCACATTTTCAAGAGTAGTAACTTCAAAATCTTTTGAATCTGCTGGTGACACTGTCTTTTCTAGATCTTCAAAGGCCTCACGAATCGTTCTCAGAGCCGTAGCGGATGCAGGATCTCTTCTTCGAAGCGGCATAATGGGCGACAACAACAAACCAGCCGGGACAAAAAAGAAGCTGGAGATGTGAAAATTAGAGAAGGAGAAAATGAAAGCATGATGGAATCGTTACTTGGTTGAGGCTGAGCAGGAGTCAGCCTTGGGCGGCGAGGTGCATACAGGCAAGTCACGAGACTAGGAGGAGCAACCAGAACTCTCCCACCAAAACTGCCAGCCTTATTTCGACATTTAGTATCACTTGAGATTATAATGAAACTCGGGATTTCGTATATTATATGAATTGTCGCGCACATCACGCAGTGACGTCTTGAAAAGACAAGCGACACGTGATTCAATCAACTTTCTTAAATTTCGCTCGAAGTTGGAAAGTAGATAGCCTTGTCCAGGGTACTTGTCACATTATGGACACTCTATCCTCTCGAGGTTCTGCAAAAAAAAGACGCTTAGATGGTCCAAATAATACGCAACCATACCCAACGTCTGTGACGGTACCGAATGCAGACGCAATATTCCATGGTCAGCCTGTGTCTCAAGGAAATATTCTTGATACTGCTCAGATACCAGTGTTATGCACATCCACAGCTCATCCAAGCCAGCGGTGCAATAGCCATCCTAGCCAGTATCACCACAATCTACCACCGTTCAGGAATGACTTCAATGTCCTTTTGTCTGATCATACACTCCGAAATAATTTTGCACCTTTCAATAGTAACTCATTGGATACCTATTCATATCTTGAGTTTGACTCATTTCACTATCAAATGTGCAGCGAAGACAATTCGCTTTCGACTCCAAACTTAACTAAAGACGACATTCCTGTAGCTGATAATGTATTAGGGAAGGAAGACAATGCCGTTATCTGTTATGGTATGGTGAGTATATTACATTTTACTAGACATAAATAAATATTCACAGCGCTGACTCTTATTTGAATAGGTTGCAGGCATTCCTGGACAGTGTGAGGTGGCCAGCAGGCATAATGGATTACTATCTCGACGATTTGCAGTCAACTTGCATACGGCCCGAGAATTTCTATGTCCATCCGTAGAGAAGTTGAGAGGAAGCGTCTCGACTGAGTACGGACGATTTCTCCAAGCGATACTTGATGAGACTTCCATCAAAATACAAGTGACGTGTGTATTGGATGACCTGAATAATGGAACAAGAAAGCCAGCTAGCCTCCTACCTCAACTAATATCCTGCTCGCTTTCCATCAACCTATATGGCCCAAAAGAGCTATTCGATGAAGTTGGAACATTCTTCCAAGATTACGATATTTATCTGCAAGACCCAATGGCATGCGACCTAAATGTGAGGTATTGCAACCCTCACCGTCTTTCATCGATCGATCCCTCACTATGCCCAATGACCTACGACTTGAAGACAAACATTCTGGAGGCCTTTGAAATCCAACCTACTTCCAGTCACTCGGATTTGCTTGATAATTTTGATCCGCAAGATGACCTCCCTGAGGCTTCGCAGCCTCCGGAAATTCAAACACAGCTAGAAAGGTATGTAAAATCGAGGTACTTGACCAAACTGCTTCTAACTTTGAAAGACATCAAAAACAAGCTCTAAGCTTTATGCTCCGGAGAGAACAAGGATGGAATTTCGATCCTAGTATAGGAGATCTCTGGGGTTGGATTAAAGCCAGTCATGATCGATGGTACATCTTTTTCCTACGTTGAACATAAGTCAACTACCTAGGTACTTTGGTCGCAAACTGATATTCAGCGGGATTAGGTTTATCAATATGATCTCGGGGGATCATCAGCTTGAGGAACCCAAACAATTTTTGGGGGGCATCATTGCAGATCCTATGGGGCTTGGGAAGACTCTGACCATGATTGCCCTTGTTGTAGCAACTGTGCGAGGACATAACGGTGAAGGTTTTCGATTGCAAGGAAGCCCGGCCGACGGTGAAAACAACAACCCTACATTGATCGTGGTTCCACCGCCCTGTATGTTTTTGTTCATGCCCATTTCCTTCTAGAAATTATCTTTAACGATGGTTTTAGTGTTGGATACCTGGGAGGAACAGCTATCACAGTAGGTTTGACCATCAAGTCCTCTATATCTAATTGACGAAGTTCACTGAATGTAATCTGAAAACATCAGGCATGTTGTGCCAGGGAGCCTAGCATGGTCCCGACACCATGGCAAGACCCGTCTATCGGACGTATTGGGATTGAAAAAATTCGGTCTAATTCTGACTACATACCATACAATATCGGCTGAATGGAAAAATGGAAAGCAGGCACATCAATCTATCATTTTCTCTACACGATGGAAACGCTTGATCCTCGATGAAGGTAAACATTGAACCCGGTATGCCTCTTACTTGAACAGATACTGACTTGTCAAAAGCACATTTTATCCGTAACAGCAACTCGCAAATGGCCAAGGCGATTTGCGCCGTGCCTGCCATCGCGCGATGGGCAGTGACGGGCACACCTATCCAAAATCGTCTAGGAGACCTAGCTGCACTTTTCAAATTTCTTGATGTCTATCCTTACGGAGACATTAGACGCTTTGATACAGATATTACTAACTTATGGAAATCTGGCGAATCCCAAAAAGCCGTAGAGAGACTGAAAAGGCTATCGAGATGTGTCATTCTACGGAGACCCAAAACCATGATCAACCTACCTACGAGAAAGGATGTACGATGTCCAGTGAACTTTACAGCGGACGAAAGAGATCTGTATGAGCGCGTCAAACACCAGGCTATTGCGCATCTTGCAGAGGCCTCGACGAGTTATGGCCAAGGCGAGACATCACAATCAGTATCTTTCGTCAACGTTATCCAGCAGATTAATGCGCTACGCATGATATGCAATCTGGGCCTCCATTATGGTTCTCGCCACGAAACTAAGGCATCGGAATATCAAATTCATTCATCTGAAAGTGTACATTGGGCCAGCATGGCGCAGCAGGCGTTTAATTTCCAATGTGAAATCGCAACAATCACCTGCCAACGGTGCAAATCTTCACTCGACATTACAGAAAGAGTCTTCAGTGGATCTAATGAATATGTTGTAGAAAAACCCCTTTTCTTTCAGTGCATGAGCTTCATCTGCACAGACTGTCTCCAACGTTCACATGGCCATTCCCTAACTTGTGGTCATGAACCACCGCATCCATTCTCTCCAGTCTCATTAAATGCCTCAGTGCTAGAAGAGAGCGTACTCACCACAGTCGATTCTACTGCTGGCAACTACACGACTTCAACAGGGTTGCCCTCGAAGGTCACCTCCCTGGTGGCACAACTGAAGTCTCAGCCTCCCAATGTGAAAAGGTCGGTCAAAAGAAAAAATAATCATCAAAATACGACTAACCTCATATCTGTACTAGTATCGTTTTCTCCACATGGAGAATGTCTTTGGATATCGTCGAGGCAGGTCTCAACGAGGCGGGAATTCCATGCCTGCGATTTGATGGGAAAGTTCCACAAAAGGAGAGGAAAAGCGTGATTGACAAATTTAAACACCACCCGTCTGTTTCAGTTTTACTATTGACTTTGTCATGCGGTGCTGTTGGGTGAGTTTCTCGCGATCGGCATCAAACCATTTTTTCCTACATCCTGGACTAAGTGAACAACAGATTAACTCTGACCGAAGCTTCATGTGCATATCTCATGGAACCACACTGGTAATCCCTCGTCTACAACCAAGCTACATATTCACATCTAACTCATTAACCGCAGGAACCCTACTGTCGAGGAACAGGCACTCGCTCGAATTCATCGGCTCSGCCAGAAGAAGGAAGTAACGACCGTCCGCTTCTATGTCAAGGACACATTTGAAGAGGTCAGTCATCGATCCACCCTCCGAAGGAGAATGAAAACCTAATGAATTTTGAAGCGCGTGATGGAACTCCAACGTTCTAAAGATGAGTTGGCCGGCACAATCTTCTCTTCTGACAACGCACAGTCAGGGAATGCTACGCGTTTGGAGGTGAGTTCCGAAATCAGGAAATTTTTTGACGGGGCGTATGAACTGACAGGTTTCATTTCAGCACCTTTGCAGTCTTTTATAAGCAACTTTTGAAACCCCGTGTCTAGACTTGAGGTGAATTTACTACCGTTTTATTATTCATATCCTTCTTATTACTAGTAGCCTCGAGACATCAGTAGTAAACAGCTCGACGGGTCACAATATCAAATAGCGTTCGAAGCTGTCCAAAGATGTGCAAAACCACAAAGTTCGGCACAAAATGACTACTTTAGTCTTTATAGCTCCAGCACGGCGCCAGTATCTTACGACGCCCTTATAAATACCTGATTCCTCTTTGGAGTATCAGAGTTAAAGAATGTTTGGAGTGTGCCAATTGTTAAGCCTTCAAGCTGCGGTTTCAGCCACTGTAATTGTTGCAAGTTAATAATATTCGACAGACCAAGGATGCAAGGAGTCTTACCCTGACGACAGCGAGTCCCTGTGGTTGACCTGGGTTTGGTGTACCCAAACCGCTACTGCCTTGGTAAGGTCGATCACGTATATTTGCCTCAGCCACTCCCCAGTTGTTCGTGTCTATAAGCCAGCTTACAATGCTTTGGACACCTGTGCCGGTCCACAAGCAGTTATTTGTATTGTATATCAACTCGACTTCAGTATTGTCAGTTGGATCATACTATTAGGTAGACATATATTAGCATCGGTTCCCGGAGTCTAAAGCAGGGTCTTTGGGATATTTTACCTGATCTAACGCAGGCAAAAGCGTGTTAGCGAGCCAGCTATTTAGCGTTGTCTGGTCGTTGATACATATTTTTCCTGTGGCAGTCTCCTGCTGCATGTGAGCAACTATGCAACGCGTCAGTACAAGATTAGCAAAAAAATCGATTGCAATGCGTCAAGGAATGCGTACCAACGACAAAGTCTGGATCGGAAATCATAAGAGCTGTGCAGCCATAGAGATAAGTGATACCCCAGGCATTGTCTACCGACTGATCTATGCGGAAAAATAACGCAGAATCGCCCATTGCCTTTTGCGAACCTGGAATGCTGTTCCATATGGTATATAAAGAATCATCTCGTTTGACAAGTTGCGCATTCTCGTCGCTATTTTCAAATTAGTCGAGTTACAGAGCAGTTTTTCCAAAGGCACTCACGATTCTAAAGGAGCAGATAGGGATAGTGAGCAGAGAAGGGCTACCCATGTGCCCAACAGCAAGCTTAATAAGGAAGATCGTGCCATGGCTAGGAGATTAACCTCACACGTTACACTGTATCAGTGTGATAATTGTTAAGCTTATTGGTAGGAGTGCTATAACACTTATACTGGCGTGAGGTCGTCCCGATTGCCCGCAGGCACAGCGGTGATTTCTACATCCCAATGCAATTAATTGACTATAAAGGACTCCGAGATCTCAGTTGGCTTCAGCGTTTCCCCTGTCAAGCATCGCCGCCCCCAAGTCAGCATCATATTTGATCCTCATTGATGCTACGCTGTCTGAGTCGATGTTTATTGCGCCGTAAGTGTGCAGGGGGACTGGCCGCTACGACAATTGGACCGTAGATACAAGGTACATTGCGTGAAACATGGTCAGGGGGATCACACGCCACCGGAATTCTGTAAAAATCGATGATATAATACAGCTCGATATATATGCATATCGACTTTCTGCTCCTGGCATGGAATGCCAGTCACTTTCCCCGAATATTACAACTAGCCCCCCTCAGGTTCCGAACTAAGTCAAATACCCTCCGATTGGCCAGCTTGAGAGAAGCTAGTGTACCTATGTTCAATTATTATAAATAAAGTTCTTTTCGGCGTCAATCCTGTATTCACTTTTTACGTAGTCAATATACTGTTACCCGCTTAAATACGAAGTTAGGTATCCTCATCAAGTCATCAATCTGATCAGCGGCTAGGATTACCATGAGCGACTTCAAAGCGTCACTACCGGCACCCATGCCGGTATCTGCCAGCATGATCAACGAGTGGTCAGATCTGCTTCCCAGTCCGGATCGTAGTGCATTCGTCGCGGAATGCACAGCAACAGAAGCAGACGATAGGCGCCTCCAGGCCGTTCTGAGTCGCTCTTTCTCGACTTGGAGAACGAACCTCATGGCCGACGATCTAAGCAGGCTCCAAATGCTCGCTACACATGCTCAGATACGAGACTATGTTAAAGTCATCTGTCTCGAGGATGATTCTATTAAAGTCAAGGAGGGGTCACCTTTGGAATCCCCCGCTATCTGGCCACGGCATGAAGACGGACAGGTTGTGGCTGAATCGATCGGGGTAGAGCTCCTCAAGTCTATGCTTGCGGCTAAGCAGCTTCGTCCTGTTAGGCTGGAGATCAGGGATACCCCCCTAGACGAGTCAGATTCAAACACGTTTTCAAATCCAGAAACGGCGGCAGTCCTCGCGCGTAACATCCTGATTGGTGCTGATCTGGCTGTTACCGATTTCGTTTTGAAAAAGGGTTCAGCGATGACAACGATCATCACCGCTGAGCTTTCAACTGAAAATCAGGGCCAGGGCATAGGTTTCTCGATCCTGCGTAAAGCGCAGTTATGCCTTAGTCACAACCTAAACTCAAGCTCGTACTGGGCCGATCAAATCTTTCTCCATGCACCAGTGCTTAAAGAGCTTTCACTCTCTTTTTCGCAACCTCATCATATGCTGCATACTCCTTCCTTCTTCCTTAACAACAAGACCTTCCCATCACTGGAGAAGTTGGAGCTCTCCATGGCCAGGCTTTCTATTCTTAGTATTATGGCCATACTGAGCAATTCGAAACAGAGCTTGACCGGTATCTCTTTTCACCTAGTCACGCTTGGCAATGATTCAACGTGGGCGGAGCTGCTAAGCAGAATTTGCAATGATTTCGCCCATTTAACTTGGTTTAAGCTTACTAATCTATCAGAAGGCCCCATGGGAGAGTTACGGATTACCTTCCCTGATCTTGACAGGGATTCGGTGGTCGGAGAGCCTTACAAGAAAGGGCTGAAGCTGGTACAAAGATGTCCTGTGGGTGCTCCTAAGCGCATCCCTGGGGTTGAGTATGTGGGACCTGATGCGAATCATGTTCTTAATATTGTTGCAGAGCACACCGTGGCGGCACCAGTCCCCTAGTGAATGAAAAATCTCTGTACCTTGCATACATTTTGCGATAGATGAAAGTAGTTTACGAGCATGACGTGTGACTGCATTAGTGTCTCGGTGCAAACTGACTCGTATCTGAGTGAGGGCTGTGATACATCCCGATCTGTTTTAAGTAGTTTTAAAAGCCCAAGTCACTGCAACAATCAATGTTCTGAGACTAGAACTCAGATAGTTTCAATTTATTATGACCCTGGATGTCTTAGTGAAACACTGAGGGTTTCTGGCACGACACTATATCCAGATCAGTATATATTCTCTTCCAGCCTGTCGGAATGTACATTTCGGTGGAAAAGTGAGCTGCATCGCCCCAAGGGCATTTGGGGGCTTGATGCACGGTAATATACCCATAATAATGGCCTGTTAACAGATTTGCTGTCCAATCGAACATGATGACGGGGGATGTCTGGTTGGTCTCATTTCCTTTTGCCACAGATGTTCATAGGATCCTTCAAGATGACTTGGTTGGGTAGGTTACTGGAGTGTGCTTGGACAAGAAAAGATAAACAATGTGTCCGGTCAATGAGTAGATGTGTGATTATTGTCAGCAACCTTGGCAGGCTTATTGAAGTGTGCCCCAATAGTGAAAGATGAACGATATGACCAGCTAGCGAGTAGCTAGGTTTATATATGATTACTTGTCACTCTCCCTTATCAAACAGCTTATTTACTGCACGCCGTTGTGCCCTCTGTTCCCGGTCATTGCAATCTGGCTGCAGATATGGCGCTGAAGCAGATTATCGGCCTAACCTACCTCGCCGCTCTGATTGGCATTTCATTTTCAAGTCCTGTAGCTCCAGGTGTACGCCAAAATGTTCCCCCTGGAAGTTCTTCGTTTGTACCGAATACTACAACAACTTGGAGTAGTTCACGCATGACAGTATCTACCGTTGTCTCGTCTACTGCCTCAATATACAGCAGATCTTCAAGCACACCCGCAAGATCAAGTTCGCCATCTACTCGGAGATCTACAACAAAGAGGCCAAGTGGAAGTATTAGCTCCTCCACTTCCCCGGTATCGTCTGTCTCTACAAGCACGTATATCTCCAACACTGCTATTAGCTCTAGTGGACCAGTTCGGCCGTCATCCCCAGATACGGCGTCTCTTTCAAGAAGCTCTAGCTCTCTTATATCCACAAAACCCAACGGATCAACATCCTTAATCATACAGACGGTCACAGAACCCAACGGACCTGTTGTCACTGTTACGCTTCCAGCTAGTGCTTCCATTACGGGACTAGAGACCCTCACCATATCAAGCTCCGCGTTGACCGTAGAGCCTATTTCAATAACATCCAGCGTATCTTCACCACCATCTGTATCAACTTCGAACGTTGAGACATTCACCGAGCCTAATGGGTCTTCGGTAGTGCTTACATTACCGCCTGGCTCGACATTATCGGGATTCCAGACTCTTACGACAGGCGGGGAGACGCTCACTATTCAGCCTGTACCTACGCCAACTACAAGCGCTACCATTACATCGACTATGACAACGGCGCCTGCTGAGCTATCTATTGAGCCATTCACAGCCACCCCTGTCACAGGCAATATGTGGCTCACAACCACAGGCAGCGATCACTCGACCACAATTGTACCCATTATCTTACCTTGTCCAACATGTGAACCGCAAATCATTTGGAACGTGCCCGAGATTCCAGACGTCGAGTTCACTTGGCCGAGCTTTCCGCAGCTCCCTAAATTTCACCTGCCCTGCGTCAAGATCTTCGGAATCACTATTTCTGGCTCATGCCCTGATCCTTCGGGGCCTACTCCCGAGAATGATGCACCCCCGGAGAGCCCAGAGCCCACGAATTCACCGACCTCTTCACCCTCTAGTGACTCGCCAAGCTCGACCCGCTTGTCCACGACCATCTTGTCCAGCTCATCTAGTTCGTCCACATCGTCCAGTTCATCCGGCTCCAGCAGCTCTACAAGTGAGTAACGCTCGCAGTATCGTGTAAAGATTTGTGTGTTAAGCATTGATAAACCAGGCTCATCGGCTTGCAGCGCAACACTAAGCGTGCCCGTGGTCCCCTCTCAGTTAATTGCACCAACTGTGACGTTGAGTTCGATATCGGGCTCTGGCAGCTCAAGCACCGTAAGCCAGACATCATCCACGGCCGGGAATACAGGCACCTCGACACCCTCCTCGACACCCTCTCCAACACCGTCTTCAACGCCTTCTTCGATACCTTCTTCAACACCCTTCTTGACGACATCAATCCCTTCGACAACCCCACTCTCTTTACCCCCGCTTCCGACAACATCATCTACTCCGCCCATCACGACTGTCGAGCCTATTTCTACCGAGTCCGGAAGCTCTTGTGTCTCAACGTCGACAACCACGCTCTGCGAGATTCCAAGGGAGCCCTGCATAACGTCTGCCGTCTGCAATAGCTGGGTTGCAACAGCGACAACAACAAGATCATCATCAACATCGACATCGACTGGACCACCTACTCCAACCGGCCAAGTTTATATCGACATTTTCACTGATTCCGATTGTTTCAACGTGTTAGAACAGACCCAGCTGAACGCTATAGGTCAATGTTACACCCCTAACGATTCGTCAGGCAGCCCAATCAACTTCGAGTGCTTCTCACTCACTTATATAAGCACAGCAGCTTCTGACTCGGCGTCGCTAACGGCTTTCAAAGGCCCTGGATGTTTTAGCCAGTTTGACTCGGAAGTGACGCACTATGCAAACTTGAGTGCTATTGACTACGAGAATGAAAAACCCTTCACGATGGGATCCTTGATGCTTGAAGGGGTTTGATTGTATTCATATGCGCAAGAAAGACCTTATTTCCTGCCTTTAAGGAACCGGGCCTGGCTGGCTGCCGTACTAAGATGATGGATGTATGTTTGTGATGGGCCAGAATAGCGATAGTCGACTTTCAACATTACGAATGTGAGTATGGTGGCCTCGAGAACTTGCGCTGGGACCATCATAAGTTCTCTGGGAATTGTAGTGAATACACCCTATGCAGTGGCGTAATTTGCCGACATGCTGATAAATCGGCCATCTCATGGCTTAACATGTAAAGTCTCATTCATACTGCTTTCTTTGTAAAGTAACTAGAAATGATCCAGATATGGTATCGAATCAATCATACTACCTTTTCTAGAACAATAAATCTACATAGCATACTGTGCTAACGACTTACCAGAGCAATTCTCGGGTTAAGTAGAGTACCCACTCGATCTCAAGGTAATTGCCAAACTATCACCAAATTCCAGGTAATCTCCTGAAAGATAAAGAAAACAGGAATCTTATTGCAGAGATGCTCCAGACCTTCTTTGTTCCGTACTTTATTTCCAAGGTCTACAAAGAAATCTCGTGTTTGTGGATCCAAAGTAGCGTGGTCTTAGGGCTTCACAATGGCTTGTGGCGGACAAAGAGAACAGGGCATTAGGCCATTGCGATCTATATATCAATAAAAAAATCCTATATTGACTCCAGTATTCAGGACGTTGGAAATACGAAAAAGATGATGGATTTACTATCGCTCGAGATTTCGTCCATGCAGAAACAAGCTTTGGACAAAGCTCATCTATCATGGCCTTGGATCATTCTCGCTGCAGTGCTGATCCTCAAGATTCTGCACATTTTACGAGTCGTATATCAGCCTAGCCTGCGGAAGCTACCGGGGCATTGGCTTGCATCGTTCTCGCGACTCTACAAAATATTTCTCGTCTACGATGGTCGTTGTCCCGAGAAAGAGCGGGAAATGCATAAGAAATACGGCACTGTGGTACGGACAGGACCACATCATGTCTCTTTCTCTGACCCTGCAGCTATATCGTCCATTTATGGGATTGCTGCAAACTTTCTCAAGGTACGTTTGTTGTTTAATGTCCTATTTGATTCCTCACTTACCATTCTCACGCAGAGTGATTTCTATACCCCCTTTGGAGCTCGACATGAAGGGAAGGCTTTCGACACTATCTTCTCCACGAGAGATACGGTATTTCACAAGCACTTGAAAAATCATGTGGCGCAGATCTTCTCTCTTAGTTCGATTCGCACCCTCGAGCCGATGGTAGATGAGTGCTCGGATATCTTCCTGAGAACGATGCACCAGTTGGCTGGCGGGAAAGTCGATCTCGGGGAATGGCTGCATTGGTTTATTACCTTCATATCTAGTTGCAAACCCATAGGTTAACCAGTGTATAGGTATGCATTCGATGTCATTGGCTCTATCACATTTAATAAGAGGTTCGGCTTCATGGAGCAGCGAAAAGACATCGGGCACATGATTGCCGTGATTGATAAGGTTCTCATGTACGGCACGGTCATTGGACAAATCCCGTATTTGCATCGTTACTTGCTGGGAAATGATCATTTACCGGCTCTAATTGCTAAGCTGGCGCCTAATATCCCCAATCCGATTGTTTCTATCATTGAGGTGCGGTGCCTATTCAACGTCGCATGAAATATTACTAATTCTGAGAAACATAGTCCGCCAAAACTGAACTAATACGCTACGACAGATCTAAGAATGTATCCGGTAGAGGAGATTTCTTGGCCTGGATTAGAAGGGAAATGCAAAAGGGCAAGGATATTAGTGAAGAAGATATGGTGAATCATTTGGCCAATAACTTGTGAGAAATCATTGCCGGCGTCGTGCAAACCGTGATTAATACTTTCTAGACTTGCAGGAGGAGACACAACAGCTATCTCGCTCCGTGCAACCATCTACTTCCTCATAAAGAACGCCCAAGCATACCGCAAAGTGATTGCGGAAATTGACGCGGCCGATGCCGCTGGACAGCTCTCCAAGTTCATCACCTTCAGCGAGTCCCTGGAGCTCAAATATCTGTAAGATATATCATACGAAAAAGAATTGCCTACCATTCAAAAATATGTATTGCCATGACTAACACCATCCAGACAAGCAGCAATTCGCGAAGCAATGCGTCTCCATCCCAGCGTCTCCATGCCCCTAGAGCGAGTCGTTCCCTCGACTGGCGCAACCATCTGCGACATCAACCTTCCAGCAGGGACAGTGGTTGGCGTAAATCCCGCCGTCGTGCACTACAACACAGATGCCTACGGCGATGATGCAGCAGAGTTTCGGCCAGAGCGTTGGCTCGAGAGCTCTGAGGAGCAGTTGAAGGCCATGAATCGGTGCTTTTTCGCAGTTCGTTCTTCTGTACCCCTTTTGGCTTGGCTATGAAATGCTTATATACTCTGATGGACAGTTCGGGCACGGCTCCCGCGCGTGTATTGGAAGGAACATCTCTATCATGGAGTTGGGCAAATTGGTACCACAGTTCCTGAGAGAATTCGAGATTGAGTGGGCTTCTGAGGAGCCTACTTGGAAGGTATTCACCTATTTCTTTGCGAGGCAAGAAGGGATAATTGTGCGACTGAAGCCGCGGAGGGAGAAGATGGCGGAATGATTCAGAAATAAGCTTCGCGGTAGGCTGGGATACCTGAGCCTTTCCTTCCTTGATGATGAGTTGATCAAGCCCGGGGTTTAGATGTTTATACTTTTTTTCAAGTATCTTATTAAGTTTATACATACCAGAACATATGCAATCAGGGTTTACCATTGAAGCTATTTCGCGGCTAGGTAACACGACTTATGGCATTCCTTCTTATATTCCTGATTTATCTAGATATGTCTGTGAGCTCGTAATACCTTAGTACAAATCATGTCTATGGGCGATAATCCACCAAACCAATACTGGCAAATAGATAGTGAGAAGAAATTTCCGCGTCCTGAGGATTCGGCTTATTTTTGTACAGCGCAGAAAATGTTATTCATCGATAAAGTTGCAACAGTTCAATCCATATCATCAAATCATACGCAATTCATAATTTTTATGATCGTTATCAATCATCTTAAAATGAAATATGGCTTKTCAATTTAATCTTTTATTATTTGTGGAGATGGCTTCCAAGCTAGAGACTAGCTCCACCACATTAGCTGGAGGGCTTCCCCTGCAAATCTCCAGTTCAGATTGACTTCCGCAAACAGCTGTGTAACTGTAACCGCCTGCGACATTGTCACACTCCACATTCTTCTKCTTTAATTACAGTTTCATATTTGTGAGCAATCATATTTCTTTTTTGATACTTTGCGGTGGAGCTAAACGCATCCGGCGGTTCAGAATCAGCCTCCGCCACGAGGTCGAGCCTTGCATGACAGCCACAACCAGAGAATCATCCTGAGCTTCATCAAACCTTACAACGACCTCACCAAACCACCACGCTGGATCCTCCTCCTCCCTCAATCGTGACAACCTCCCACCACCGCCGCCGATCGTCGACCTCCGTCCCTCCTCTCCGCCTGGTCAAAGATTCGCAGCCATCACAACACCCATCCTGGGGCCAGGGTAGCACCTCCGGTATCCCCGCCGGTCCCAACTCTGTGCGCCCTACAACCCTCACTCCGATTCCCGGCACACCTTCAAACCCGCTGCCATCGCCCATGACACTCTCGCGATCTCCTTCGCCCTTACCAGGCGGCGGATGGTCAAGTCCCGGCCTTGGTTCCGGCAGCGGCGCCACGAGCCCACGCTTCCCAACAACGGGCCACGGCTCGCTGAGTCCCGGCGCAATATCATGGGCAAGCGCAAAGGCGAAGAGCGAGGAGGTAAGAAGTTACCCGTCGTTTTCGACGAGGAATTCGGGATTCTTTTCGAGACAGAAGCGCAAGATTTCGGCGAGTTTGCCAAGGTTTTCGCTGTCGAGAGATTTTAGAGAACAAGAAAAACTTGGTCGTGGTCGGTCGTCGGGTTCGTCGACGACGGATTGGAGGGCGAGAGATAATAGTCTCAAGGGAAGGATTGTTTCATTTGTGGGCAATACGATGCGGAGAAGGAGGTTTAGGTTGTTGTTTTCGTTGTTGTTGGGATTGGTGCTTTATTTGAATTTTTGGTCTGGTATGTCTTTTCTCCAGATCTGCTCTCTTACATCTTGGCACTGACTGACAATTTCAATAGTACTCGTCGAAGCGTATCGAGGCTCTGCATTAGGCAACGGAAGGAAAATCGTCATCATCACAGCATCAAACGTCGAGGGCGGCGTCATGGAGTGGAAAGGAGCACGCGAATGGGCAATTGAGCGAGTCAGTTTATGGAACAAGAGGAAATACGCCAAGAAATGGGGATACGAGATTGAAGTGGTTAACATGGTGGCCAAGAAGCGATATGCGCATGAATGGCGCGAGAGCTGGGAAAAGGTTGATTTGATCAGAGATGCAATGAAGAAATATCCAAACGCGGAATGGTAGGTCTTCTTCTCTCTGCGCTCCATGTCGAAGTGCTGATTGTATAGGTTCTGGTGGCTTGATCTCAACACCTTCATCATGGAATACTCCTACTCGCTCGAAAACCACATCTTCAAACACCTCGACGACTACACCTACCGCGACATCAATTATTACAACCCTCTCAACATCACCCACCCTCTAACCGACATCTATCTCGATCCCATCTCCCGATCTGCCACCGGCGATCAAGATCCTTCTTCCATCAACCTCGTCCTACCGCAAGACTGTGGTGGCTTCAATCTCGGTTCCTTCTTCATCCGGCGCTCCGACTGGACCGACCGTTTACTGGACGTCTGGTGGGACCCCGTCCTCTACGAACAAAAACACATGGACTGGGAACACAAAGAGCAAGACTCCCTTGAATATTTGTACACAAACCAGCCCTGGATTCGTCCTAGCACGGCTTTCGTGCCGCAGCGAAGAGTAAATTCGTTTCCGCCAGGAGCGTGCGGCGACGGTACGGATTTGGGTATTCATTACCAGGAGGAGCATCGCGATTTCTTGGTAAATATGGCGGGKTGTAATTGGGGCAGGGRTTGTTGGTCAGAGATTTATGGGTATAGGGAGTTGAGCAACTGGCTGAATCGGACGTGGTGGGAGAAATTCAAGGATTCGATTACGGATGTTTGGAGGAGGTGGAGGGGTGAAAAGACGTTGTATGAGGAACATCACGAATGGGTCCAATGATTCATGTTTTTGTTGCTACATTTCACTTCTTATGATTTATTTTATATTTATCTTTTCCAAGATATGCCTTGATGATATCGTTGATATTGTTACTCCTTTTGGAACAGTTCATGTCAAAACGAATCACGACCTTGGGGCGCTTACTTTACATCTTCTCTAAAATATATTTAACCTAGATTCAATGAGAACAACGTTCGTGAAGAGGACCTGGGGGCATTCGCCAACGTGTAAGCCAACTCAGCCAGCTCTCCACGTAATATACAGTCTCAGCCCTGTCAGGTTTAGTTTCATTCTAAACGGCTGACGTATAAACTCTGTCCAAGCAGACGAGCTGGCGCGGGGTCAAATACGAGGTTGTGTGGTGCAAGATAGTTACATAACTAGTGCTTATTCCACCCGCACAGATCCCCCTCCATGGTGGAAGCAACTTTGGAAATCTGCTGGTTCGGGAAGAAGGTGCGCAGAGATTAACATGGCAGAACATCTCTTCTACCCAGACTCGCCACCAAAACCACTTCGGATCGGGTATAATGGGCCGCTCTACGACGGCGGGGACTGGGACACATTCCCTTGTCGCCATGGCTGGAAAACGGACACGGGAGCCGACAAATTCCATTTACGTGCCCTGCCGGTTGAAATGAAGACTGGAATCGAGTGCTGGCTCTATTTCGGCGTGTTGCACAATGTCTTTGTGGGGAAGGTTGAGCAGGCTGATTTCTTGCTTCGCGGAGACGATGATGATATGGGGCGGTACGTAACAACAAGGGAGTTGTATAAATACGTCGAGAATGCGAAGGAGTGGAAGAAAAACAAGACCAGCGAACGGGTTGTGGCGATTGTGCAGAGAGTGAGCGAGCAACTTACAAAATACACCTCTGTGTTGAGAGGGGACATGACTCTGGCTATCAGATTGCTATGTCAAGCTTTATGGAGCATCAGCGTAAAAAGAGATGGTCCGCAGACCAAATCGGGACATGTGCAGGCCTGGTTTCTTGTTAGGGATTATGAAGCTGACCTTTTGCTGAAGGAAGGGTGGTGTCCGTGGGAAGTCCAGAAGTCGCGTATGACTGGTGGGGGCGTCGAAACTCCTGCATATCTGTTGCAGTTGGTACGCAAGAAGCCTGAGTGGGATAGGAAGACTCATGATAAGTGCAAGAAGACGGAGTGCGTAGCGAACAATGTGGATGAGAGTGATTATGTTACGAGGCATGTCGTGGAAGGTTGTGGGTGTAAGCATCAACAGGCCGATGTTGAGCAGTTACATGCCATACTCAAGGATGGCAGTGTTCCGTTGGTAAGTATTTCGCCGACTAGTGAGCTCGATGAAGAAGGGAAACCGAGTTTCAAGATTGAGATCGTGCGCAAAAGAAGTGGGAGGCAGTATGTGGCGATCTCGCATGTGTGGTCTGATGGATTGGGGAATACGGATGGAAATACGCTGCCAGCTTGTCAGATTCAATTGTTGTATGAGCGGGCGAGAGTTTTGATTACCGATAAGGAGTATGTGCCCAAGTATACAGGTGGACCGTTTGGTGGAATACATACCAGTGCAGCCCGGCTCGTGCATTTCGCGAGCAACCAAGCTCGAAAGGATGAGTCAGTCTTGTTGTGGATTGATACATTGTGTATCCCGCATCAACGAGACGTAAGAAGTTTGGCGATTCAGCGGATTAAAGAGGTATATCTAGACGGTCAGTCCTTTCATCCTCAGTTCATCGGGTCACATAATTGAGAGAAGCTGTAAGCATATCGAACAATGATTCTCGACTCCGAAATGCGCCAGGTCGATTCCAGCTCTACAACGAACCTGCAACTCCTTCTCCGAGTCCTCTACTGCTCAGGCTGGATCCGTCGGCTCTGGACTCTCCAAGAAGGTCTTGCCGCCAAAAGCCGGCTGTACGTCATGTTCGCCGACAAAGCAATCAACATCTCCACCATCGCCGACGACATTCTTACCAAGACCGAAAAGGGGAAGATCCCACTACTACAAGAGAATGTTGCTTTCTATGGGATGGCGTTGTGGTTCTCGTTTTTCACACGAACGATTGACTACGGCTCGAAATTTGAACGTGCAGTGGACATTTTCACCAGTCCATTTGTCAAGGAGGTTTTGACCAAGGACAATTTACTGGCGTGGAATTGGTATAATGTCGCGATGAGAGCGACGACTAAAGCCGGTGACCGACCCATCATTCTCGCTGGTGTGCTAGATTTGGATGTCAAGGAGATCCTCGAAGCCCAGGGGTCTGATGCGCGCATGCGCAAGTTGTACGGCATGTTGGACGAGTTTCCGCACGATATTTTATTCCAGGAAGGTCCCAGGTTTGAGGATGATGGCATGCGATGGGCGATTAAAGTTTGCCAATTTGTCGATGTGCCGCGGTATCTGGGCCATGAGCCTGGGAAGATTACGCCGAGAGGACTGAAAATCTCGGCTCTGTCGTCATGGCTGTTCCCTTCACAGTTAGGTTTTGACCTCAGCAAGATAGATTTTGATGAAGGTCAACGGGCTTGGGAGAGATGGCTTGCTGAGTATGAGCTTGAATCTGTGCAGTCACCGAATCTGTGTGTTTTCAAGCCCAATTTTGAGGTTGAATGGAAGCCTGATGCAAATTATGGAATTATCTTGATGGAGTCCAAAGCATCGCATCCTGGAGGGCTTGCATTGTGTGCATTAGTGGAGTTGCGGAGTACAGAGGAGAATTATATCCACTTTGCGAGATATCTGGGAGTTGGGACGGTGAAGGGGATGTCGAGTTGGTCGAATTTGCCGGAGAATGGGGTTTTGTTGCCATTTGGTTGGGACAGACTGCAGAAAAGGGAGTGGGTTGTTGGTTAGATGAAGTTCAAGATTTGGTATTGTCAATTGTTGAAATTACTGATGAGATACAACAATAAAAAGCTCTAATTATTGTTTTTCTTTGTGTAAGTAAGGAATATCAGATGATGCCCTGGTGACTCAAGACCCCTCCTTCTCCTATTCTTGTGCTGATAAATCACCAATGCCCCCAGTGTCAGTCAGATACAGCACACCATCAAAGCATGTTAAATTGCGTGACAATTGACAAGAACCAAAATGCTGCCAAAACCCACACAAACGACCCCCTTCAAAACCTCGTTTCTTCGGCCGCCATGACATACCCAAAGACATGCACGAACACTTGAAGCCTGGAGCCGATTATGAGATATATCAGAAACTAAAAATCTGTTGCATGTATGATTGGAAATTCTGTGGATCGGGTAAGACGCAGATTGCGAATGAGTATACATATCGCTACGCGGGGACTTATGCGGATATTCTATGGGTACAAGCAGATGAACCTGCGGAGACGGGCGAGAAAGTTCTCGCACGGTTAGCCACATTATGTACGCTTTTGTTCCCCTCGAGATGGAAGTCGAGGAAAAAACCTATGGATCTAACAACAATATTCGACAGAAGGTCCCTGGCTACTTATCCTAGACAACGCCCTAACAGAGGATAGTATAGTGCGCTATATCCCAGAAAAGACAACCGTCGGGTCTGTTATTGTCATCACCAATAGCCTCAGCTTACGATATATATGGCAATTTGATGTGAGGAAGGTGCCGGCTTCCTTCTAGATCGTCTCAACATTCGTGAGACATTCGAGAAACACGGCTTGCAAGATACCTTTGGAGATGCACAGAGGATATCGGAAATGGTCGGCGGTGTACCGTTTGCCATTGTTCTAGCTGCTGATCTTATCAATAAGTCCAAGTTCGTATTATCTGCTTTGAAAGGAGGTTCACTGTAAGCCGTCTTTCGAGACCGTTTGACCCCGTACTTAGCGTTGTTCTGCGGGACTGCAAGCCGCAATCTAGGGGTCTGTTGGATTGTCTTTTGTTTTTGTATAAGATGAGATCCAGGTGAATATTTTTCTCAGAAAACACGTGTATTCTTCCTTGAAGTTTCTTGGGTTTGAGGACTCGACACGGTTAGTACTGTCCCTGTTTGTATGTATCATTTCGAGAGATTGACTGATTTCTTTAAGCCGGCAGACTTGCGAAACAGGACTTATACAGCAGACATCTCTTGGGAAAGAGACCTGCTTCACGTCCTGAAGAGAGTAGTTCTCTGTCTATCCATAAGCATATCAAAGACTATATCAAGCCAATTCTTCTTAACTATCCAGTGAGATACAATTGGGCATTTACAAGAGCAGTGCACCTAATCTGCGGAGTATTCCCCAGTCCAAATGCAGACTCCAGATTAATGGACCACAAGCGAACCTCCTATGAAAGATACCACCTGCACGTTGTGAACTTACATGCCGTGTACAAAGAGGCCGTTAGAAAACACCTTCCAATTGATCCTCCCACCGAATTTGGTCAAGCCCTCTCGGAGCTCGCGAATCACATATACGAGGCCAATCTTCGACAAGATCTCGTTGATATTTTGAATCTGGAGGTTCTTGAAGAGCGGGTGCAGATCTTGGGAGAGAGTCATGATCATACCATTGATAGCTACTACGCTGTTGGTATGGTGTATTTCAGACTTGATGAGTAGAAAAAAGCAGAGTGAATTCCATCTTAATCGAAAGAATCGGCGCTCAAATATTGAATCACAGTGAGAGGTCTTCCCTTCGCAAATGTCTCCTATATCGGAACGAGTACTACGAAACTCCCCTACCTCGTGTGCGTTATTGTTTGAGTGAGGCTTTTGATTATCTAAAGCAGATGGCATAATCAAAAAAGCTTCGGACCGAAGCACGGGAGTTGTTTCGAGGAATATCACATTCTGAAGCAAGTATTTCTGTCCGCAACGAGATGGTTCGATATGATCGCATTGTGAATCTTTGGTCTGGGAGGTTCATGGGATGGCTCAATTTAAATTTAAATTGGCAGAAAAGATAAGGTATTTTGACTAGCAAATTAACCGTCTGCACTAGATGTAAACATGGTTGCTACAAATCATATGGAGGGTCTAAAGCGTAACGAAATGTGATTTTCGAAATTGGAACTGCGGATATCCTATTTGATTTCTGACACCTAGGTATAGTGAAAATATGCCAATATCACAAAATTTGATATCTGGAATCTCGTTCCATGGGAAGCTACTATTGCTTACGTCGTGAGAAGTATCGCACATTTGATACAATCATTAATATGTGAGACCCGGATATGTCTGATACTTTTCCAGCAAATCGCAATGATCCTGATACAACAGGGGCGTGATCTCAGGCACTGGCCACTGAAACGCTGCAAGCTTCTGACTCGAGGCCGTGAACTGCGGCCAATGAAACCCATCAAAGAACGTCTCTGTCGAAGTATAATTCCTTGCCTCGAGATACGCAGGATCCACGATTGGACTTCCCGTTCTCGCGAACCAGCCCCAAATGTCCTGTATTGCATTCGTATAGTAGACGTCCTCCGGTGCGCGAATCGGCTGGTCAAAAAGGTAGTACGTGCCAAATACTTCATATAGGTCACTGCTGTGGCAGCGGTAGTACGGCGTGTCCGGCTCTCCCACGGGAAAGGTACATTTGTCATAGAAATCGTAGTAGCTGAGAGCGTATCCGCGTTGATGTGCATATTGCCAGTGGCTCTTAAAAGCGCGCGAAGCGGCAGCGATCTGATACAGTACGGTACCAGAGCAGACTAGGGCTGCTTCAGTGCCAATGTGCACGCTTGCATTGTACACAGAGTTGTATGTAACGCTGCCATTGGTTACAGTCTCATTAGTGACGAGCCACATGCCAGAATCGAGGATGAGCTGCGCTTGATCTTGACTAATTGCGCCATCGTTGGTGAGATTGTACAGAACGGCTTCGGTAAAGTTTGTCATGTTGGGTGCGAGTGTTGTCGTGGCTAGAGCTTGCCATTCTTCCATCATGTTGCCAGATAAGACGTTCACGGAATTGATGTATTGAGGGCCGAGTGCCCATTGTGCGGCAGGAAAGTCTATGATATTCACGCCATCAACGCTTGGTGACCACGCGGTTGCATAGTTGGTTACGTTCAGCAATTCATCGGCTGGKAAAGCTTGCAGGCATTCCAGACGTTGTACTCCAGTGCTGTTGGGGCACAACGCATTGATGTAAGGCAATGCGGCATCAACAACAGATGCAGCTGTTTCAACGTTAGATTTTGCCGACTGTATGATAGCATTTTGAAACAGATTCTCGCCAAATGTCGTCGCTGCCGATATCAAATTGACTACTGAGCCGCCCCCAGCAGATTGTCCGAAGATGGTTATGTTGTCGGGATTTCCACCAAAACCGGCGATGTTTTGCTTTACCCAACGTAGACCAATAATTTTATCGGTCAGCATCTGATTGCCATTTATCACCCCATCGTCAAGGGTTAGAGAGCCAAAGATGTTCAGCCGATACTACTATAGTCAGCTCATGATTCATTTAAAGATGAGGACCTCGACTTTACATTGATGGTCACTACAACCACGTCGGCACGAGAGGTAAGCGATGCGCCATCGAATGTTGAATCGGCAGCACTGCCCTGCGTGTCCCCGCCGCCATAATACCAAACCATCACCGGCTTTCCTGGTGCTCCAATTGATTTATTTGAAGGAAGAAACGGTGTATATATGTTCAAATATAAACAATCTTCGCTATTTCCCCAAGGATCTTCATTGAAAACATTAGTATTATTGGATGGTCAATCGACAAGGATGAACTCACTAAGCCCGTAAGAGTTGCCATCAAAATACCCGTACTGCAAACATGCTGGGCTATACTTTGTAGCATTCACATACGAAGTCGTATTCAATGCTACTGCATTCTTGAAACGCAGATTTCCTGTCGGTGGTTCGGCAAAAGGTATACCTACAAACCTGAACGTCATGTGATCACGCAAGCCCTCATACGTTGTCCCGTTGTAGGATGCATTTACTCTGGGGAAGACAGAGAAATCAGTGTCGACTTTATCCACAAGCGGTGCACTGTTGGTGCAAAGATATGCAAAATTTTTTTCCGATGACCCATCTACTACAGAACCTGTAGAGGTCACTGGGGTGGCTTTAGAGCAGGATGACCAAAACAGCTGCTCGGACGAGATGGCACCAAGATATTTTTGGTAAGAGAATGAGTTTTGAAAGTCGATGAATGAGTCGCAGGGTAACAATGTCTCATTATATGTAGCACAGATGTTTTCAGCTGTGGCTTGGTCGGTTGGAACGTTGACAAACAAGGCACTAGGCCGAGAGCCGTGGGCAGTCCAGTTACCATCATTCTCGAACAACACAGTGACTCCTGGTGCGCTGGTCGAGGCAACGCCAAGTATCTGCTGGCAGACAATGGTCACGACCATTGCGAAAGATGCGAATCCCATCATTCTCGTTAGACTCTGAAGATCTTTTCAAAAAGATTCAATGTTTCGCATATACGCAACGACGAGCAGAGACTTCCAGTGCAATATATAGCGGAGACTACCACAGACAGCGGGGTAGATGATTCCAACATTCTTCCATACACAGGTAGCTTCTATCTACCTTCAAGTCTGGGATTTCCATGTCAGCTAGCTACCTGACATTAGGTATCTTGTAGCATTTTCATGATCTTCGGAGAATTGTCCGAAATTGCACTTGCAAGAACGTAACGAGACGAAAATGAGAGTGTATCCATTTTTCCCTTACAATGTCCATGTGACGTTACCGATGGAAGATCAAAATATAGACTACGGAATCATAATCCCGCTCTTTGATAAGTCTCGACGCGTATAGCTGGGCCGCTAGAGCATATCTCCCCGGTGACGAATAGGTCTCAATAACTCTAATTTTAGCGTTAACTTTAGGCGTGTGGACGGCGGGATTATGGGTACGTCGATTGTGTGGGGGTACATTGAGGAGAATGCCACCAAAGTACGTACTTCGATAATAGAAAATTCAATACTAGAAGTAAAGGAGCAATTCCAAATGAGGATATTGTTCCCGTGATGGATAAATATCTTGCATGTTATAGATCAGTCCCGTCTACGCTTCGTTTATGACGCTACGGCCGGCAAACATGCGGTGTAAGTACTCGGTCATAGTGATTTTCAGGTGAAATACGTCTCATTGAATATTCTAGTAATTGCTTCGCTTTCATTGCTCTATTTAATCAATTATGATAGACTAGTATCATGCACTAATACCAATTTGTGTCTGAGAAACTTTCTTTAAGGATGGTCAATTGGCGAAGGTCCTGCATCTATCGAGTATGAAAAGATATAGTTAGGACCGAGTGCCATCAGACCATTTCCACCTGGACGATACTGAGAAGCTGGAAGCAATAGCTTCTTGTCACACGTAATCCACATCTGATCTGTCCACAAGAGAGCGTCGTCTTGCAACATTATAGATTCGCGGCCATCGGGAGTAATCTTCCAGATGGCTAACAAATTTGTGTCGCTCACGTAGATAGTACCATCAGCATCGATAGTTGTTCCGCCTGTGCTAGGCGTCAACGCGTAAGGCTCGGCATAATCGCCAATAGTAGAGGCGAGTGTAGCATTGGTGAGACTGGCGCGAAGAAATTCGGTCGGAAGACGGTACATGCCACCTTGACAAGGCTGGTAATACAAATAGAGGCCGTCGGGTGACACTTCGATTTGGTCAAGGCCCGCAGTAGATGTGCTATTGGCACCATCACTCCCTTCGAGCAAGGTATGGTTGAACATAAGAGGAAAAAGTGCTTGTGCCGTATAAGAATTGTTGAGTACACGCACACCTTCTCCCGTTGTTAGATTGAGAACTAGGAGTGCTCCATTGATGTCGCTCAGATATGCAGTCTCGCCATCAGCATCAAAGCGGACGTCATCAGGTCCATTCTCCAGACCGATAATATCCTGTAGATAGTAGAGTCTATCGACTTCGTCCGTGGTGATATTCACGCCTACAAGCTTCGCAGAGGCGTTGACACCAACTGCTCCACCATCGACAACCCAATAGTGCCCGTTAGGTCCGAGACGGGCTCCATCCACACTGACAAAGCTAGTTGCAGGATCGGAGCCTGGATCATCTGATACATACGAGTTCCAGCTGGCATCTGGGTACAACACGGTTGTGTTATCTGCAAGCAACTCGACAATCTGCGGGACTCTTGACTCGTTGTAGCGTTGAGCAAGAAATATTCGACCATCTGGAGTAATCGAGATAGCCTGAGTAGCATTACCAACTGAGTAGGCAACTTCCAAGCCAGGTGCAAAGGCCGTAGCCACAGAGGCTAGGACTATGAATGCCGTAGAAAGCGCAACTGCCATTTCGTGAAATAAGACAACGAAGTTTTAGGATGGAAATCCCAAGAAAAGGTGTAATCTGTTGAAACCTCTTGAACAGTTAGGCTGACCCGGTAGACAATATATATCTTTGAATTACATGATATCAAATGTCATCCAGGCAGTATATACATCAGTAATATACATTCTTTTAGTCTAGTTCAATATATCGCAACACGATACTCTACTCAACTGTATGAAATTCGAGGAAACTCATTTCTTCAATTGCCTATCCGACAAGAGTACTCCGCAGTTACGTAGTACCTAGTCCACTATATCATAACACTTATAAGCTTCTAGGAACTAGCGTGGGGTGGTCCAGAAACAGTGGATATGATCAACATGCAATTAGCAAGAGCCCACGTGATCAAGCCCTAATAATTGATTAAAATGCTAACATTCTCCTCATACTCCGCACCAATTAGGGTATATGCTCAGCGGTCTAGTCTCATCCCGGGCGGTAATAGATACTTCCGGAGAAATATTGTTTGTTGAACTTCGGAGAAATATTACGTAGGTGCATAAGGAGTACCGGGGAGTTAATCTTATCTTACCGCTCGATCAGAATGTCCTCCGGTGATTCAGTATATGCGGCATTCACTTTTGTGCATGGATTTCATTTTGAAGAAAATGAACCAATTTGGGAGAAATGAATATAGAAGCTTCAGGAAAGTGGATCAGTCGATCAGTATACGAGTATACGCGGCCCCCTGTCCAAGGAAGTGCCCCGGCCGACCCCTCGGCCGCGAGATTATACGCATCCGGTAAACGAGATGGCAATGTAGGATTGGGGATAACATGACAATGTAAAAAGCATGCCCAATGACGCGTACTAGGTGATATACCGAGTATGCATACCTAGGTAAATGGTGACATGCAGAGCAATTACGTGTTGGACATGCGTGCAGGTACCTATCTAGGTAAGTATTGATTGATTCATAGATAGGTGATTAGGATATATATAACCTTAAATATCCATGAATGTAAGGATATTGACCCATTTGTGGGCTGTGTATGTTTCCGAGGTCTTCTTTCCACATTAATGGTCTGGGGATTTAAGAAGTTCTCCAATAACGTTAACAAAAATGAAGACGAAGCATCTTCTCTCCCTCGCTGCCATGGCTGGTCTAGCATCAGCATTGGACCGCAGCAGCTCTTGTAACATCACCACCGTTCAGAGCATCGTTAACAACCTCGGACTCAACGGGACGAATGCAACAGTCGAATTCACCTACCGTCTTGATTCAAACGATACCATAGCAGCATTCAAGACAGCCGTTGGCGCCGCAAACTTTCAAACCGATATCCCACCAGTCTGCGCTATCCGTATCAATGGTTCGACAAGCGAAGGCGCCAATTTCGGATTCGCGGCTTTGTTGCCTGATACTTGGAATAATCGGATTATGTGAGTGGTAAACCCTAACCTCACATAGTGCATAGTTGACATTTACAAGCGCTGCGACACCTGACGTCAGTATTGAGTGGCCCGTTATGAGTGCCAGTCTCAAATATGGCGTGGCAGCTATTGGCTCCAACAGTGGCCACGATGTTAGCGACATGAATCCAGAATGGGTCACAGGTGAAGACGCCCTCATCGACTGGGGATACCGTGCATTGCACGAATCGACCGTCCTAGGGAAAGCATTGGTCGGGGCGTGGTATGGCAACGCATCAGTATACAATTATCTGGCAGGCTGCTCTACGGGTGGCCGTCAAGCATTCAAAAATGTGCAGACTTATCCAACAGACTACGACGGCGTGATTGCAGGTGCGCCGGCATGGTGGACTACGCATCAGCAGCTCTGGAATTTGAAGTATACGACGTACAACGCACCGCAGAACTCGACGCATTCCATTCCGACGTCTATGTTCAGCGTTATTGGTGACGAGGTTTTGAGGCAATGCGATCCCCAAGATGGGCTCGTGGACTCGGTGATTTCAGATCCCGCCGGATGCAACTTTGATCCTATGCAGCTTGTCTGTAGTAGCAATCAGACGACCGATTGTCTTACCCCAGCGCAGTTGCCTACACTATATAAGATCTATAATGACTGGGTTGATGTCAATCAAACTTTTGTATACAGCCACCTGTTTTACGGCAGCGAGGCCAGTTGGGCCGCGCAAATCGGTGATGGCGACTTGACCACAATCGAGTCGGAATACTGGTACATCACAAACTTGCTCGGTCTCACAAACTTCACGTATCAAGATCTAGATTATGGTACCGTGCTTCTGGCGGAACGATTAGATCCCGGAAATGCCACTGCTGATGATTTTGATATCTCTCCTTTCTACGAGAATGGAGGGAAAATCATTCATTGGCATGGTCTGTCTGATGGCGCTGTCTCGCCTGGTGCAAGTGTCTATTTGCACGATCACATCGAATCGGCTATGCTAGCTCAGGGTATTGAAATTGATGACTTTTATCGCACTTTCTTCATTCCTGGCCTTGAGTAGGTCTGCTGACCTCACCGGTAGATTAAATAGCTAATTGGTCCTAGACACTGCTTCGGCACACCAGACAACCAAAACGCGCCTTGGTACCTCGCCGGTCCTTATCAAGCAAGTCTATACGACTTTGTCCCCGCTAACATCGTCGACAACACGGTTCATGATTCAATGTTGTCGTTAATGGCGTGGGTTGAGAATGGGACTGCTCCGGATTATTTGGTTTCGACTGGATTTGTGAACAATTCAGATCCAACCACGGTCAAACTTAACAGGCGCATTTGTCCGTATCCGCAGCAGGCGTCGTATAGCGGTGTGGGCAATGTGACTGAGGAGGATAATTGGGCGTGTAAGGATCTCTATTAGGAGATCTGGTGAGATGGCTATGTTGATGGACATGTGATTTCATACATTACCTCTTTTGTAGCCATATCGAGCTGCTTTTGTGTATATATGGTAGGATTATGACGAAATCTACGTCGGCATAGCATGCATCGCAGCCCTCAGCATGATGGTACGGCAGGKTAGCACTTGAGAGGTTCTATACATAGCGATTTGTAAGATATTGATGACCATTCCAAACCCAGAATCGGACAATCCGGCCCGATATTCGCAGGTGAAACCACCGATGTTCATTAACCCTCTTACTGATTCCTCTAAGCGGATTATAACACTGATAATCCTGGCGCACCATTGGGCCAAGTCGGTGGATATACGCGCCATTTGATAACGACGAGGCTGAGGCCCCCGCTAGAGCTGCGGCTTCGCAACCGTATATACCATTATATAATGCGGCGACCTCCCACACGCCTTCCCCATCAACTATAACAGCATCGCGAACAGCGACAATGTCCCTCGACTCACTGCCAACAGAGATAATCCTGAACATCGCATTTTCCTTTTTTCCGTCATTAGACCCACTAAATTCATTATGCCAAACCAGTAAACGATTCTACTCCATCCTAGAGCGGTGTCTATACACAGAAGATGTCCGACACCACAATTCGTCAAGCGTTTACTGGGCTGCCGAGCGCGGCAATCTGACCGTTTTACGCAAGGCCATCAATCTAGGAAAATCGCACATTCCTACACGCGAAGACTACGCCTCCGTGGACGACGACGGACGGAGACGAAGAATGGAGATCGTCGAACAGAGAATAGAGCTACTATATGGAAGATCTGGACCCAATTTCTGTTGGGGATTTGATAGGGGACATCCCATTTGTCGGGCCGCTCACAGCGGGCATGATCAGGTGGTGAAATTCTTAATGGATGAAGTCGGGTGCAGTCCGCATATCCGGGATTGGCAAGATTTCTGCTTAGTATCCCTCGGTATGGTAGGTGGCTTGGATAAGGAGACAATCCAGATCTTCCTGGATCGGGAGGTCCATCAGTATGTTAGAAACACCAATGATTATTGCCCGCTTAATATTGCTGCGTTCAACGGCGACAAAGACTTGGTAGAATTGTTGCTGTTGAGTACGCGTCCAGAGTATCTTGAACAGCAAATTCAAAGCTCCTTTCTGATCGCAATGCGGGCTAAGCAGATACCGGTGGCTTTACAGCTCGTGGACCATGGAGGCGTGGACATGAATTGTGATTTGACTTGGTGGACCAAAGATCAGAAAAGATACATGACAACTCCGTTGGGATGGGCGGTGTTCCACGGATATCTCGATCTAGTCAAAGCGTTTGTTGAAAAGGGTGCTGATGTCAATTTCGTTGCGACACTGGGGAAGCGACTGGCAGTGGGTCACCGGATCCTCTTCGACGCCGTTGCGGAGAAAAAGACAGACATCGTGCAATTTCTAGTAAAGAGAACAACTGGCCGTGTCGCACGTACCAAAGCGTTGTCACTAGCTGTTGATCGCGCCTCGTTAAGTGAGGATCCTGCCTCTGCAGAAAGCGAAGTAATGCAAATACTTCTAAAAGACGGGGTTTGCTGCAATTACGAAGAAGATGACATCCGACCACCCCCTACGGATCCCCCTCCTCAATTCACCACTGATTGTAGTTTTGGAGGGGAGATGGAAGATGGCGAATTTATACCACCCATCGTCTATGCAGTTCGCGCTGGAAACTTGCGACTGGTCCAATTACTTCTTTCTCATGGCGCAGATATCGATACTGGCTACCGACAACTGCTAGAAACAAAGTCAAAATTCTGCTGCGGGAGAATACTCGATTTGGCTATGGACCTAGGACACCAGGAGATTGTGGATTTTTTGATAAATTCAGGCGCGAAGCTGGATATGGGCCTTCCTTCATCCATAGATGGTATCCACTGTGCCAGCATTGATTGTCCTGTCTTTCAAGAAGAAATGGGGAAACGGTGGAAAGCAATGATGCACCCGGGGCCCTTTTTAGACGCGGAACGACCGAGTGACCTTGAGTCGGAGCCTGAGTAGAGCATGTATGATCTAGTGCCATTAAACTGAGTACCAGTCAATGGATCGCTTGAAAGGAGTGAAATTGTGAAGTTGTCGAGCACTGTGTAGAGGTTGAGTGGAGGGAAGAGCGGCTTGTAATAAATAGAGCTCAATCAGGTTCTGCCACCGCCTTTAGCGGATGACCAATAATACACGAACTCCGCGCCAAGCAACTTTCGGTCTCGGTCACTAACGACGACCTCCATCAACACCTTCAATTACTCCATCGTCGCCAATTCAATTCATACCGCGGTCAATTCCACCAGAAGTACGCCTCCCTCCTCATACAATCAAACTGCCACTCAAACTAATACCTCGCCCAAGCAGGAAAACAAAATGCCAACCCCCGAATCCGCCGCCTTCCTGGCCAAAAAGCMCACCGTGCCCCCAACCTACGAAGGCGTAGACTTTGACGACAACGTCGCAATCCACAATGCGCGCGACGCAATTATCCGTGAGCAATGGGTGCGGAGTATGATGGCCCGTCTTGTCGGTGAGGAGTTGGGAAAGTGTTATGCGCGGGAAGGTGTTAATCATTTTGAGAAATGTGGGAAATTGAGAGGTTTGTTTTACTTCACCTTTGATTCAATGAGGATTTATTGGGTTTGGGGGAATATTAAACAGATGCTGATTCTTGGGGGTAGAACGGTACTTGGAATTGCTCAAAGATCGCAAGATTAAGGGTTATTTGTTCGAGGAGAAGAATTATTTCAGCAAGAGCTCGTAAGCGGAAACGACGACGGAATTGACGACGGAATCGCTGAGATGCTTGCGAACGACAATTCTTCTACGCACTTTCGCGGTCGGTACTACGTCTGAATAAGTCGCGTTTCGCCAATTCTGAGGGGTTTGGAGGGCCGGTCTTACCCTGAAAGCACATCACGAATACTATAGACGAGTGTTTGAAGGACATTTGAGGGAGTCTCATAGTGTATTATTGTACATATCTACTGCAACAAGTTTATTTCTTTTTTCCGCTAATTTCTCTACATTTCATGTATTTGTCCATATATGCTCCAAAATAATCTCATCAGACTTATAGGGTATCATCAAGCATTCGCACCATCACTTTTATCTAAGATTATCAATAATAATCACTATCTGCCGTCGCAGATCTCGAGCCAGGGAAGCCTCCAGGAAGGCTCCTTTCACTTCCTGGAGAAACTCCTGGAGGAACTTCATCCTCGCTATCATCCTCCAGCGCCAATGCAGACAATGTTTGATCTATCTCATCTGGCGGCGCACGCATACGGATAAGCTCACTTTCTTCCAGAGATGGAGGCTTATATGCTGCCGGAGCGGAATGTATGTCTCTTCCAGAGGGAAGATTGGACAAGAGTGGCTCTGACGGCGGGATGAGTTGCGTATTTACCTATACAATTATCAGTAGTGCTCCTCGGAGCAGTAGAACAGAATAGACTCACAACACTGTTCATTTTCACCCACTTCGCTTCCAACATCTCAATTACCCTCCCCTCCTCCTCCCAACCCGCATCATCACCACGACTCAACTCATCGCCATGCACAACACCTGCGCTCCCAGAGTTACTGCTACTCTTCTCCAACCGCCTCTCATCACGGCGATCCGACCACCCTTTCTTCAATTTCGAGAGTGCGCCCGTTTTCCCCCCGCCGCCGGCAGACTGTCCCTCTGGTATAAGGGCCCTTTTTATCCCCAATGCACCTTTCCCTGCCCTCAACCAGGCGATCGCTTCACCCACTTTACCGCTCAGCTCCGCATCAACGCCAAAAAACCGACATGCCTTTGCGCGGGAGACTTTTATTACATTCTGGACGTATTTGATGAGATCCTCGTCGATTTTTGCTGGTCCTCCTGTCGTTCCAACATTTCGGCTTGCACCGACAGAACCAAGACCGCTGAGTGCTTGCTCAGCGTGCTCTGCACTCCTTACACAGAGCCTCGCCAAAATCAAAGCTCTCATCTTGGGAATCTCAGGCGCACGAACCATCCACTCCTTATCATTCGGATTGCGCGCTTGAATACATGCAAAAGTGTACGCATCATCTTTCAGCACAGCCAAGAGGGTTGCTTCAGCCAATGCCAACGAGGCAAGCGCCGTCTGCACCGTTGTATTCGTTTGTGGCACATTATTCTCCTGCGTCGTCGTCGCCGCAACGTCGTCCGATATAGTGAACGATCTCGCAAGCAATGTATGCGCCGAACCAGCCTGCAGCAACAATTTCGTCGCATTCTGCATTGCGGCCGCTTTCTGATCCGCTGTAGGCGTTGTGGACGCATACAAGATCCTCAAAACAGAAACCCGCGCCATATTAGAAAGAACATAGCCTAGCGTCCCAACCACAAATGCAATCTCGAAATCAATTCCGCGGCCTCGCAGACGACTGCCTGTCCCGGTTGCAGCAGCAGATTTGAGTATTGACGAAAGCGATGATACAAGCACGGGTCGCCATTCAACACTTATTTCTTCCTTGAGCGTGATATCGATGTTTTCTGCCTCTCCGCCGCCGCTGCTGCTGCCGGCGGGTTTAATGCCTCTGCCACTCAGACCATCGTTTATCGCAAATAAGTACGGTATGTACCCATTCAGCGCATTGAGCACGACCTGTAGATTGTTTTCTCTCTCGCGCGGCGACAAGCGTTTGTGTGTTTTGAGCGCGGTGCGGAGGGCGTGGCGAGCGGTGGAGGCGGTTTGAGGGAGGGAGGGGTGGGTAGAGGAGTAAATGTAGTTTTGGAATGAGAGGTGGGATGCGGTGGGGAGGTTGAAGTGGTATACCATTATAAATTGTGAGTATATATAGTTGATTAGATAGGAGTATAGATTGGGGTAAGGGGTTGTGTCGTGAAGGTCTAAATAAAAGTGTGAGGGGAATGTTTTGGTGATGTCACGGATATTTATTGAACAATGGGCGGAGACTTGGCAAACTGATACATTACCTACAATACCGGGTCTTTACGAATATATGTTTATTTCTAGACAAGGATTGAATTCGTTCTGCACTTAGCAGTTGATTGTTCTATAGCTAAATACTCTGGAACATGAATGAGCCAACCCGTGACCCAACCCGTTGCCAGCATAGCGTTAGGAGCATGGTTGCTGTACATCAGTATGAGCTCTCTGTGGGTTCAACAGCAGATTACTGGATGCTGTTCATCTCATGGAGCACTATGTGCCGCTTTCAATGTCCGCCTACTCAATGAATGAGGGATTGAATCGAGTGTTCTGATCCGTGGATGGTAGTCGCAAGTCGTCGAGTACACATGGGCTCGTTATCGACCGTGATCTGAACTATGTTTGTGTCTGAAAGCGCCTGCTCATGGCAAGATCTGTTGACGGTCTCGAGGCGATGATAGTTTTGAAGGTAAATTTTAGTTCGGTTAATAAATCACTCTCCACTCGAAAGACTGCTTGGAACACTGCTGATAGCCGACGACGACGAATCATCAAACGGTTCTCGCGTCTTCACCTGCGAGGCCCATTCTCCAATGCTACTCGCAGATCCTCCCTCAATAACGATAGGATGCTCCTCCGCGTCTTTACCCAACACCGTGCCCGCATACCTAGACTCCTCCCCAGTTTTGCTATGTTTCTTCTTCAACGCTGTCAGATAATCCTCCTTCTCGAGCATATCGGCATCCACAACATCGCCTTCACTAGGTACATATCCAGCTATTCGTCGAATTTCGGAGTTGACGGGCCCTGTAAACCATGACGTGAATGCCTCAAGACCGCGGAGATCTTCTTCACCTCGCCAGTCTTCTTCAAAGTCTTTGATTTGTGGTCGTAGAGCGCCTGCGTCTTGAAGTGCGAGTTGGATGTCTTGCAAGGTTGGAACGGGGTCGTCTGGGTGACTGTTTGCGGCGTGTTCGGCAGCGGATGAGCCGAGGAGAAGAAGATAGCGGATTGTGAGGTCTGCGAGGGTGTCGAGAACTGACGGTCGTGACGCATGGTAGCCTGCTGCGCGAAGGATTTGGATGATGGGAGGGCGCAGGAGCGCATTATGGAGGTTGTGAGGGCCGGACATGCTGATGAGTGGTATGAACTGAGTTGACGATAATTATATGAGATTGAATGCGATAAAAGTCCAGAGAGCTCCCCTCTCCCATTTGATTACCGTAGGACCATGATCAATTTGTGATTGAGTTGGTTGACAGTGAGATGAAGACTCTAGTTGCTGCGATGCGGGAAGCCGAAAGCTCGGGCCGCCAGATTCCCCGGGCTTACTTTCCTCAACCAACTCACTCACAACTCACTTCCCTTCTTCACCTCGACCTCGCCCAGTCAGATGGGCTGATGACAAGATGTCGGAACCTACGAAACCAAAACTGAAAATTTCATTCGGGGCGAAAAAGTCTGAACCGCCACCAGAAGATGCACCAAAACCAGCTGCCCCTCAGAAAAAGCTCACGCTCAAATTCGGTGGTCCTAAAGCATCAGAGGAACCAGCCCCTGCTGCTGTCGACGCAGTTGCAACAAAACCAAAGAAAAAACGACCTGCGAAACCAAAGACAGACGTAGGGCCATCAAAGAAACGACGCAACGATGCAGGATCTGGCGACGAGTCGGACGCGGCACCACCTCCAGCGCCAGCACCACCCACGGGCATTAAACGCATCAAACTGCTAAACACCGCGAAAGAATCTGCTGTGAAATCCATCAAGATCAAGAACAAACGCAAAGTAGCAATTCGTCCGCTGGGCGTCGGCTATGATTCGGAAGCGTCTGATCTGGAAGTCGATCCACATATCGAGGAGGATTTCATCTTGCGCATGTTACCAGGGGATGATTGCGAGTATATTCGGCAAGCCATTAATGAGCGAACTCTTGATCGATCACAAATCGGGATCAAACCACTTACACGCGAAGGGAGACGGGCGATTGTTAGGGTTCGCGAGAAACAGTATGCGGCTACACTGGTAGACCTTCCTTGTATTGTGGAAGGGATGAAGAGCTGGGACAAACGCATGTTTTTCAAGTCGGTCGATATCACGCAGATGTTGTTGGTCTTGGGACCGGTGCAGAATGAGCAGGAAGCACTGGAGTATCCCCTGCCGAAGGATGTGGAAGTGTTGGACGACAAGACTTATCAATACGCACATGGTGTCACGCCACCGATGAAATATGTGAGGAAAAGACGGTTCCGCAAGCGAGTCAGTGCGCGTACTATTGAGCAGGCCGAAAAGGAAGTTGCAAATCTGCTAGCGCAGGATGAGGCTGCTGTACGCGCACCAAGATTTGAGCTTGTTGACGCCACCTCTCTTTCGCGTGCCGAGGGTGTGGTCGATTACGAGGACGAATATGACGACGAGCAGGACGCTTATGGCGAGGCTGATTACGATATGCAAGACGAAGATGACGGCCAGACAGATCTCTTTGAGGACGAACTCGCCGCAGATCTAGAAGCAGCGCTGGCTGCAGGCGCCGACGAGAGACCCGACGTGGCAGAGACACCGGCTGCACGGGCGCCAGAAGAAGCCGCCACGCCATCGGGAGCAAAACAAGGCGACGAGTCTTCGGGCGACGAAAGTGAAGAAAGTGATCGTGACGGTGACGGTGAAGCCGATGGAGAGGATGAAGAGGACATGGACGAGGAAGCTTTGGAACGACGTCGTGAGATCCAGGAACAGCGCGAATTCATTACCGAGTTGGAAGGCCTGATTGCACAAGAGACTGCCAAATACGAGATGCAGACAAACAAGATTCTCAAACAAAAGATTGGCAGACGTGTGCAGCAGTTGAAGCAGGATTTGGCCTTGAAAAAGTCATCTATTGGCGAGACCGAAGGAGAAGGTGCTTAATTTCTATTCTGACTATGTTTACTTCTTTGATACCCTGCATGTTTTCTGAACGGAGTCATTACAAGCGGCGTTAATCATTTAGCGTCTGGCATCTATCTATAATACAATAACCTTTTCCAAATTTTATACAGCAGCATGCCCCGTAGCATCCTTAACGGCACCCTTCACATCCGGCTTATCCTCCCCATAATCCGCCGGACTCTTCGCTTCGACTTCTTCCCGGCTACCCAGTCCCAACATCCGATCATGCTCCACCCTCTTCCTATCCATCTGCGCCGCTGTATCCTGCTCAAAGCCAGGCGTACTCGTCCCCACGGCACCGGCATGCACACCGGGCTGCACACGCTGATGCGGCGCTGATTCAGAATGATTGGCTTCCACAGCATGCGCAATATCGCCTTCGCGGGGTTGTTGCTCAATTCCATATTCTAGGTCGATGTGGCCCCGTTTGCCTTCGGGTTTGGTTTCGAGGTCATGTTTGCGTTGGATGTGGGCGAGGTTGGAGTCGGACGATGGGTTGGAGGAGGCCGTGCGGTGGATTTGTTTCAGAGGTGCTGAGCCGTACTCGTGGGTTCGAGTAGAGGAGCCTGTGCCAGAGGTGGCATACATGAGGCTTGAGTCTGGCGCTGAGGGTTGGTTGGGCTGGCCGCGTTGTTCTTGGGGATTGCGAGAGACGGGGTTGGAGGATTGGGTGTAGGCTGCTTCTTTGGAGGGTTGGGGGACGTCAATTTGGGAGGTTGTGTCCATTTTGTTGATTTTAGGATGTTTTGATGTTTGGGTCAACGTTTCAGTATACTGTGTGTCTCTAAGGGTTGGGTTGTAAGAGGGTTTGTTTAGTGCATAGGATGTTACGATGTGTGTTTCTTGGATGATATATGGCCGATGATATGGCGATGACGTCAATCTGGGTCTGCCCTGTCTGCCGCGCAATTGGTCGATCGAGACATCCTCAGCATATTCTAGTCGATTATCGTGAATGCTCTAAACAGTAGTCATGGATTTCACATAAACATGCTTGAATGAGCTTGCAAGTGTACAATGAAGCTATTCAGCATGCCAAATCAAATGCAGCTGATAAGCGGATATCAACGGCTATCGGTATCACTAATCATATTAGTCGTCACATGCCTCGGCTCGCTCTAGCCTGTGCCCGGCTCACAGCTCAGCTATTGATATCTATCTGTAGTTGACTACGAGGATAAATATCTTCTCATACTATGCGACAATAAAACCTCTTATCACATCAAATCTTTTCGATACATATTAGTAAAGAAAGCAACAAAATGCCAAAACAACTCTTTTCAATCCCCATCCCCTCCACCAACGGCAGCTTCACCTGCACCATCCCCTCGGACGCGCAAGAGAACAGCGCCATCTATCTGCTCACATTCACATCTCCAGCGGACAATCGCCTCATCCCCGAATTCCTGGACACTTTCGTGCTCGCGCTCGACATCCTCGAACACAATTACCCAAAGGGCGTACTGATCACAACCAGCGGAATCCAGAAATTCTACAGCAATGGTCTAGACCTCGAATCGGCGCTTTCGTCGCCCGGATTTTTTGAGAGGCATTTGTATACGCTGTTTAGACGGCTGTTGACGTATGTCTCCGCCCTTCCGGCTTTCGAATTAAGCGATAAAAGAAGCATGCAAGCTAATAGTGGTGGTTGGATAGATATCCCATGCCAACAATCGCACTCATAAACGGGCACGCCTTCGCAGGCGGCTTCATGCTCTCCATGTACCACGACTATCGCATCCAGAACCCCAAGCGCGGATTTCTGTGTCTCAACGAAATCGCGCTCGGCATCCCACTCAACCCGCCCATGCGCTCTGTATTCATGCACAAGATCCAAGACGGCGCCATAATCCGCTCCATGATTCTCGAAGGAAAACGCTTCACGGCGCAAGAAGCGCTAGAGGGGAAGATTGTGGATGGACTAGGTGAGTTAGCGGAGGCAATTGAGTTTGTGTCGCAGAGAGGACTGCTCAAAATTGGGGCTTCGCCGAGCTTTGTGCCGTTGAAGGAGAGGTTGTGGGCTGGTGTGTTGGATTCGATAGATAATCTCAAGGGGTGGGATGAGGCAGACGAGAAGAGGGCGGGGAGGTCTGTTGCTGCGGCGGAGGAGGGGAAGGGGAGAGTGCTGAAGTGGGAAGGTAAGGCGAAGTTGTGATTGTTGTACTACATATGTAGGTACTGGGAGTACATGTAAATAGATTAGCCTTTTTTCTGTTGTCTAGGATATAGTACATTGGGTGCATTGGATGCAATAGTCCAAGAATTTGTTCGTCCGAGAGTGGTGGGAGGTCGTCTGCTCTGTTCTATAGAACATGCGCTGGTCGTAGCTGGCTGGATCCATATCCACCATGCAATCGGCCATGTAGGGCGTCTGAAGCCACTGACATATATCTCAGATACAAATCCAAGAGAGTCACTTAGTATCGTCGGCGATGATTTCACATTTCAACACAATCTCAACATTGCTCTCAAGTCTTCCGCTCCCTCTTCCCCCTTCCGCCCTTCACTGGACTATCAATCCTATCCGTCAGCGGCCTATACGGCGCCGCAACAAAATGCTCCGGCGCCCTCTGATTCGGATCCTGCCGCGGTACCCCCGCAAACGGTCTATTCCTCTGCTCTTCGTGCATTTTGTCTAGCGGTTCACCCACGATATGGTATTTCGCCCAGTTGATGGGCGGCATGCGCACCACGTTTTGCGGTTTGGGGATTTTGCCGAATTTGCTTTTATTTTCTTCGCCTTCTTCCTCCCCTTGTTCCGACTCGGCCTCGTCATCGTCTTTAATGGTGATATCTGTATCGATGAACTGGTTGTTTTGCTGCGTCAAATTCCCAGCTAGCAATTCCCGCGAAAACCCCTCTGGATCAGCCGCCGCGGCACGTTTCAGTTCATCAAGAGCTTTGATATCGTTCAACGCTTTCTGTTTCTGGAATTGCAGCAACGAGATCGCGGACCGTAGGGCGATGACATCCGCGTTGTCGCTTTCTGAAATCGGTACTGGGCTCGGCTCTGGTAGGACCGGGTTCGGCGGTGGATACGACTGTTGTTGGGGTTGGGGAGGTGATTGTTGTGGCGGTGGCATAAGCGCTTGTGGGTTCACGGGTTCACTATACTTGACCGGATTTGAGGTCACGGAAGCGTCGTTAGGTTTCGTAACGGCCATTTTTCTTGTCGCTGCAGCCGATTCTTCTGTCGCAGGCGGCGGTACTATCGTCGCTCCACCGGGGATCGGGGCGAGATGCGCCAACACGGGAGTGACGGGCGAATATGGCGGCCGTTCCGGTGTCGCTTCGCGTTCCGGGGTAGGGTTTGGAGGGGTGATTTCGTTCGCGCTGCGACCTGACGGATTATTGTTATTATCCATCGCAGAGGTCTGAGTGTTATGGTGTGGTTGTGAGGATGCGAGAGAAAGATCGATGGTTGCCTCCCCGCAGGAGATTGTGTTATCTGATGGCTGATTACATAAGCTTATCGATAAGAGAAGACGGCTTTGCGGGCCGGGCATTTGTCCAGTTTGGCTTGTTTGTACTGTTTGTCTGTTCACTCCTTTGTCTCATGGCTTGAAGATCCTGTCTTGTTCCCCACTACTGATATATTGTCCACCGAGCGCGACATATCCTATATACAACAGCTCGTTGGTGATGCAGTGTGGCTCCTTCAAGCCCTTGTATACACCCAAGATTAGGTTTAAAAACATGATTCAACGCCGCTCTTTCAAGATCCAAGCTTCTCACTGAAGTAGGATGTTATGTACATTAAAAAACCGTGCATACCAGGTCTATCTGATCACCAATCAATCCCACCCAATAACCCCTTTCCCCAAAATACTCATCTTACTCACATCTCGACTCGACAGAAGCAGCGTCGCCTGTCTCCCCACAATTCCAGACTCAGAAACCCCAAAGTCAAGTTTGTACGGAAGATGAAACTCTATTCGTTCCGTGCTGTGTCGCGGACTAAGTTCAAAGGAATATAGCGGTTTACTATTCTCGAGATCTGTGGGTGTCATGAGATCGCCGTATTTCCTTGACAACAAAACGTAAGTAAACGCAAAAAGGAACAGAAGTTGAGATCAGACTAACTCAATTCGCATGGTGAAAGATGTTATGTTTTTGAGCGCGTGTAATGAGGTTTGGTCTGATGTGCTCAGTGTTGCATGGGTTTGGTGAGGGTTCTCGGCGTTGCTGAAGGATAGGACGAGCTCCGGTGAGGTCGATGGTTTGATGTCTTCGTAGGAAGATATGGCCGCAATTAAGCCGCCGCGACTGGCTCGTGGAGKCATATCACCGCACATGATATATGATTGCTGGCGATCGACTGCAGATGGTATTTTATGTAGAACAATTGGATGAGAGATGAACGTTCAGCTTTTTGCCTTGCAACCTTGGTAGATGTTCTTTGTCGGGCACAGTTACCATGATCGTTGTTTGAGGAGAAGATAGACGACCGTTCTTGTATTATATGGGGTCCGCTCATTGTTGCTCAAATGTGCTCAATGGTGGCTGTGGTGGAACACAGGGTACCCATCGAGCCCAAGACGACTAAGCATACATTAGAAACGGTCAGACTGCTCTCTATTTGCTTGATTGGCGCTCAGGGAATTTACTTGGGCTCTTCGCTGGTAATGTTACAAATGCGGAAAGATGGGTATGCTCCCGCCAGGTACCCATATGTCGCTCCTACTATGGTAGAATTGCATAAATTCATCCATTCAAAGCAAAGCACTACGTGAGCGTGCCCCCCTTAACGTCGGCATTTACTTTTATAATCATGATAAGTATTGCACATATGTAGTAATATAACGCATGTGGAAGGACCGTTGCCTTATAGCTTGAACGAAACTTCCCCTTGAGTACCACCCAAGAATCTCTGCTCAACAACTTTCCAGTTTATAATCTTCCAAATCTCAGTGACATATCCGGCCTTATTATTAAGATACTAAACCGCAAAGGTGCCATGTCAGCTTTCATCCTTTCATCCGTTATAGAGAAATGCCGGAGAGCTAGTCACTGACCTGCAAATAATACGCATGCTCCCACATATCCACCCCAAACAGCGGCACAACGCTCTCATCCGGCGTCACTACCGAATCCTGATCTTTAGTGGTCACAATCTCCAAAGTCCTACCCTTCTTCTCTGCTGGACCCTGTTTGGCGATGAGCCATCCCCAACCACTGCCCTGGATACCGAGGAGAGTCTGCTTAAAGTCATTAACGAAATTATCGACGCTGCCCCATTTAGCTTCAATTGCTGCCTTCACAGTAGGAGCAGCGGTATTGATGCGAGTGTCTTCAGAGGCTGCAGGGACAAGGTTGCGCCAGAATAGGGAGTGGTTGATGTGACCGCCGCCGTTGAATTTGATTTTTTGTTGGAGAGCGAGTAAAGTGGGAATGTCATTGGAGACGCTGGCAGATTGTTGTGCTGAAAGGGCGGCGTTCAGGTTGGTGATGTATGTTTGGTGGTGCTTTTGATGGTGGAGGGTCATTATTTCGGATGATATGACCGGTTCCAGGGCCTTGGATTGGTTAGCTTAACGTTGTGTAGGGCCGTTTTTAACGAACTTACATCATAGTCATAAGGCAAAGGAGGTAGTGTATACATCTTGGGAAGTGCTCTCTGGTTGCAATTATTGTTATGTTGAACAGTAGAAAAATAATGAAGGCGTGGGGACGGAATCCAGGTCAAAGTTTGGGGGTGTCTCTTATATTGGTAACCACCAAGGTACATCTACATCTACATGTAGTTGCCCCTCCTAGTCGCCCCTCTTGGGTGTTCCTAGTTCTCTTGCTTAATAATTTCCAATATCAAATGTATTTATGTGTTTCGAAAAAAACGTATTTTGATCATTGGGCACATTCATAGACAGTGGAGTCGGAAATGCGCGGGTTTGAGCACATTTGAGAAAATGAGTAAAAGCCCTAGCCCTAAATCCAAGTCCTGAGGCCTTCTGTAATAGGGATGTATGCGTCCGTTCTAATCTTTGCTAAATGTAAATTCATACCACAGACGATCTCAACGACTGTTAGCATGATAGAATTTGGTGATTCTATGAAGATTTCTGTTAGAACCCAACCACCCCTTACAAAGTCGGATTGGATTGTACTAACCTTGCCAAACCCTCCTCTAATATCTCCCTCTCAACCGAGAATATGACACGAAACCAGCCTGCCGTCTCATTGTGATAGGCATATCCGGATGACATTTCCACTCCTATTGCTTGAAGCTTCTGGGACAATTCCAGCTCTGAATCCCATTCCCCTTTAGCCTCGACGATTCTGGGGTCCAGGCACTTGGACAGGTCAATCCAGAGAAACAAGCCTGCGTTACTAAAGAATAAAAAGAATCAGCCGAAACGCTTCAAGAATGAGAATCGTAGGCAATGACCTACCAGCCTCGCGCATAAGGAATCCCTGCCTCCTCTAGTATTCGCACTGCAAAATCCCTCTGTGAGCGTAGTAACTTGCGGCTTTGCTGGATAAAGTCGTCTATAAATTGATGGTCCTCGAGAATGGCAGTGGCAATGCTGCAAGAAATCTCGGAAGGCCAGTGAAACCGACTAAAGCACAACTTAGGTACCTGCCGAAAACTGGAAAAATCAGACAGTCAAAAGCTTCTACTTACCTGATTGAGAGAGCAGCCTGCATAAACTTCTCATTCCGGCTAATCAAACATCCCAGTCTCAATCCTGCCGCCGCGAAATCTTTTGACATTCCATACAGGACGTGTACCAGGGCTGGATCCACGCCTAGAGGGGCCGGGTCAATTGACAGAATCGAGGCAAACCCGCCGGATGAAGTATCTCCGTATACCGACAATGCGTATATTTCGTCGCTAATGAGGTGGATTTGATACCTCTGACACAGCCGCATCAACGCCTCTAGGGTCTCACGCGGATAGCATCGACCGAGTGGGTTGTGTGGGTTACAAAGTAGGAGAGCCTTGACCGAGACACCTTTTTCGCGCGCTTGGAGAAATGTCTGCTCATACCGGTCCACAGCTTGAAGACTGAATGGGTCGTCTCCATGGAACGGCGTATATACTAATTGACAATTCGAGGGTACCTGCAGATCTCCATTAAAGGCGCCATAGATGGGTTGACCTAGCAATATTCCGTCACCGGGATCGGTCAGACACATCGCACACACTGAGTTCAGACTCGTGACGCCGCTAGTGAAGAGAATCTGATCTGCTGTGATCGAAACAGCTGGATCGAAGTATGTAGTAACCAGCTTAGCCATGGCTTCGCGGAGACGTTTGTGGCCGAAGGGACCTTCATTATACGTCAAACTGAATTTTTCGAGGCGTGGAAATGCCTATTTTACTCCTCTTAGTTTTAGCAAAATCTTAGTTTTAGCAAAACTATGTGGTTAGGTGGTTTACCTTTGTTCGGATGTAGTCAAGGAGTACGTCTTGCATCAGGAACTGTATATCATGAGTCAATCACGTTCAACCGCATACCTATCCTTATAATAATACTCAAAAAGGAATCTTACATTCTCAGCATTTCCAAAAGACACGATGCCCTCCTTGGTGTCTTTGTCAAAGAGCTTCTTCTTTGCGCGAAGATACCCATCGGCCAAACCAGCCTTGACATACGTTTCGCCACGTTTTGAAATCATTTTTCAATGGTCTATATCCAGATTGCTGAAGACAGAGTATAAAATGGTTCTAGAGTACTCAAACGGTGACGGGTTGAAGTCGAAGGACTAGGTTCAAAAAAACCTATTAAGTTTTGTGAGCCGTCACGGTTAAAATGGCAAATTTGAATCAATTATGGCATGAGATAGAAGAAACATTGAGGCGGTCAATATTGGAAGTGGGTTGATTAGTGATCCAACAATTCTGGGTACATCAATCTATTCGCAATCCAACAACAGACTAGTTCTTCAGGGCTGCCTAATGGCCAGGGAGCTAGTGCGCCTTCTATCTACATCTTTGCAAATGAACGTGAAATCCCCACTTTGAGGCTCTTAGTGAGTTTTGAGAGCAAGACGAAGTTAAGTCATCATGGCTTGATACCTAGACACTCCTTACCGTCAATATTCGATAAAGAATATTCAGATACAACATTATCTAGCAATGAAATTTGTATTTAGCTTTTTATGTCAACCAGATGGAACCTCGCTGCAAAGTATTACCACCGGGTGTTTGCCCATTCGCCTTGTCGAATTCTATCCAATTTTAATATCACCTCACTAGAGAATTTGAGGAATATGCGGGGAAATTTTCTTCATTTCATTTAGTTTTGAAGAAAGGCTCCTCAGAGCATCACACAAAAGATGGGTGAATGTGATTTGGATCTTCACTACCCCTCTTGAAGGAATCATGACTCATGTAGAATCATTCATACCGGAACTTATCCGATTCCTCCTTCCCAAAAAGGTGGATTGTCGCGCGCGGCCTGAGACATCCCGTTATGAGGAACGCAGACTAAATGATCCTTCGCGTGCATGGTCTCTTGACGGTGCATATTTTTAACCAGTGACGATTCAATCCTTTCCGACAGACATGCGAGTAGTGGCCCTGACTGATAAGCAGAATATCGATCTTTTTCAGCTGCGTACAAGATAGCTATATAAGCATGCCATTTCGGCATCCGCCTCAGCATCAAAAGCACCTTACTACTTAGCAATTTGTACATACATCCGATTTCAAATCAATCTTGTAGACTCTGTTGTTGAGTCATGAGAGTGCTGTTATTGCTGCTGATAGGCATTTTGGCCCCCGCGGCGCTATCATTGTCGACGGACGGCATCTACGATCTAGTCAAGCGACGTCTTCCACAACATGCGGACAGTTTCGAGTTCTCTTTAGGCAATGAGACTGATAAAAACGCTACTGTCAACGATAAATATGTTGTATCTTCGACGTCTGATGGGAAGATTCTGGTGGAAGGAAATTCATTAAGTGCATTGTCATCAGGGTCAGTTTCCACAACCTTTCTAAGCGATAATAACTAAGTGGTATCATTTCTCCCAAAGCCTTTATCGTTATTTGTCTGATGTTGCTCATGTTGGGATATACTGGTTCATTGGAAGTAGATTGGAGACGGTAACTACACTTCCACCACTTATAGAGCCTTTGACGGGGTCAAGTGTGGTTCCTTGGAGATATCATTTCAATACTGGTACGATTTTCATCCAGTTATCTGCGATACTTTGACTAACAAAGTATAGTTACATTCTCCTACACAGCAGCATTCTGGTCATGGGATGATTGGGAATTACAGCTGGACTGGATGGCCCTCCACGGCATCAATCTGCCGCTCGCCTGGGTGGGAGCTGAGAAGATCCTGGTCGATGTTTTCCGTGAGTTAGGCTTGACAGACTCGGAGATTCAATCTTTTCTCAGCGGTCCAGCTTTCCAACCCTGGAACCGTCTTGGAAACATACAAGGCGCCTGGGGCGGTGGTGAGATCCCATTCAGCTGGATAGATCGGCAGTTCGAGATGCAGCTTCAGATTGTTTCTCGTATGGCTGAATTGGGCATGACTCCAGTGCTACCTGCATTCTCTGGCTATGTTCCGCGAGCAATCACTCGTGTATTGCCAAATGCAACGGTAGTCAATGGATCACAATGGGACGGGTTTCCAGTCCAATACACTAATGATACTTTCCTCGAGCCGTCAGATCCGACTTTTGCTGCAATACAAAAGAGCTTCATCGGCAAGCAACAAGCTGCATATGGTAGCAATGTTACTCACATATACACATTGGATCAGTACAATGAGAACGCGCCATATTCCGGAGACCTATATTATTTACAAAATGTTACACGCAACACCTGGCAAAGTCTCAAAGCAGCTGACCCCGAAGCTGTTTGGATGATGCAAGGCTGGCTATTCTATGCCAACTCGGCTTTCTGGACGGATGACAGAATAGAGGCATTTCTCTCAGGCGTAGAGACAGATAGTGATATGATCATATTGGACCTAGTTTCTGACGCGGCGCCATTATGGCAAGGCACCAAATCCTATTACGGAAAACCATGGATATGGTGTCAGATGCATGACTTTGGCGGCAATATGGGATTTATGGGGAGGATACTTAATGTCACTCAGAATGCGACAGAGGCGTTGGCAGAGTCCGGATCATTGGTTGGCTTTGGGAATACCATGGAAGGTCAGGAGGGCAATGAAGTCATATATGACTTATTACTCGATCAAGCCTGGTCCAACAGTCCAATTGACACTGAGAAGTACTTCCACAGATGGGTCACTGCTCGATACGGACCTGGTGCTTCTCCCGCAGATACATATGCAGCTTGGGAGAGGCTTCGAACGAGCGTTTATAATGTTACCGACCCGAATAGCATTGCTGTACCTTGGCCCGTGGTCGTGTATACGCCGGGTATTGGTATAGCAAATATCACCAGCGTCACTTCACTACCATATGATCCTTCTTTTGTGGTTGAGGCTTGGTCACTATTGTACAATTCTGCCAAAGATGAACCATCGCTATGGAACAACCCGTCTTACCAGCATGATCTCGTCGATTTGACGCGGCAGGTGCTCGAGAATGCTTTTATTCCTCGATACGAGACCTTGACTGACCTCTATACCGGAACTAATGCCTCTACTGAAGCAATTTCTGCCGCAGGCAAAGTGTTACTCGACCTTCTGGAAACTTTAGACACAGTCCTCGCAACGAACAAAAATTTCCTTCTGGCTACATGGCTAACCGATGCACGATCTTGGGCGGGCGACAATTCAAGCGTTGAAGACTTCTTCGAATACGACGCCCGAAACATCATCACGCTTTGGGGTCCCAATGGCGAGATAAAGGACTATGCATCAAAATCCTGGGCGGGTCTTGTCTCATCTTACTACGCTCCCCGCTGGAAGATATTTGTGGAGTATCTGGCGTCTACACCGGCATCTGCCTACAATAGTACAGTAATTGATGCTAAATTGCTAGATTTTGCGCAGCAGTGGCAGAATGAGAAAACGCAATCCAATACGGCTGTCTCGACGAATGGGAAGCTGAATGAGGTATTACAGCAGGCTGTGAAGCAGTGGCCGGATATCTTTGATTCTTCGTCGTCATAATCTCTACCTATAGACACCTAGATAGTATCTAAGTACGCTCCAAGGTTGCCAACCTGTTATAAAGTACATAAATGTATCTAGATACTCAAATGGATTGATGCGTCTACATGCCTGGGTACTGGCAAAGCCCTAGCCCTAGCCCCAAACATAGATCTTTCTTTTATAAACATGATGTCTTCAAAACACGCAACCTTAATGCCTGAAATGACAGGCAACCACAAGCCGAGAAATTTCCGAGAGCCGACAAACCCTTCACCGCCTTCAAATTTCAAGACAAAAATTATTCTGAATGAAAATCAATATTTACAAAGCGAATTGAATTGAATGCAGCGCATTGCATTTTTAGTCCAGTATGAAGCGCAAAACAGAAGAGACGCATCAATCTAATGGCCGCCATGAGACCAAGAAACGAGTACTCTCCGATGACGCTGTGAAATCGCGCTTTCGCGAAGGTCTGTTTGATACGGCAGAACTGGAGAGCTATACCAAGAGCTATGCTGTCTCAGGGCCGTGAGTACTCATTATTTGGGAGTGAAGTATGAAATTGAGAGACTAACATTTTTTTCCATCAGTTACAAACATGGCGTTATCTCACCCCTCATTGCTCCAGACCTCCTCCGCTCCGTGCGCAACGAAATCGAACAGAACCTCTCCTTCACTGAGAAGGAAACAGACATCTACAAGATCTTCCAGTCGGGCGATTTGGCAAATCTAGATGGCCTAGACGATGCCTCGCTCAAACTTCTACCGTCTCTGCTGCAATTGCGCGACGCTCTCTACTCTGCGAAATTCCGCGCGTACCTATCCTCGTTGACCGGCTCCGGCCCACTAAGCGGCAAGAAAACGGATATGGCTATCAATGTTTATACAGAAGGCTGCCATCTACTCTGCCATGACGATGTCATCGGTAGTCGGCGTTTGAGTTATATCCTCTACCTGACGGATCCCGACACGCCGTGGCAGGCTGAATGGGGTGGTGCATTGCGCTTGTACCCTACCACAACCGTGAAGGATGAGAATGGCGGAGATATCAAGATCCCCAGTCCGGACTTCACACTATCGATTCCACCAGCTTTTAATCAACTAAGCTTTTTCACTGTTCAGCCAGGCGAGAGTTTCCATGATGTCGAAGAAGTGTATTACCCATCGGAACAGGATAAAGGGAAACAGAAACGGGTGCGGATGGCGATAAGCGGGTGGTTCCACATTCCACAAGAAGGCGAGGAAGGATATGAGGCTGGATTGGAAGAGAGGCTTGCGGAACGAAGTAGTCTGTCTCAATTACAGGGTAGAAGTGGTGATGCATATGATCAACCACAGCCGCAACCCGTTAATTGGGATGCGGAACCTCTTGCGTCTGATAAAGGCAAAGGAAAAGGCAAGGGCAAACAAGCCGTGCAAGCTGAAGAAGGAGAAGAGCTTACAGAGGCTGATTTGGACTTTTTATTAAAATTCCTTGCGCCTTCGTATTTGACTCCGGATATTGCCGATGAACTTTCAGAGGCTTTTTTGAACGACTCTTCACTAAGTTTGGAGAAAGTTCTGTCTGAAAAGTTCGCAAAGAGGGTACGAGAATATATCGAAAAGCAGGAGAAGAAGGAATTACCAAGCTCTTCGGATAAGATTGAATCGAGCACAAACTGGAAAGTGGCTCSTCCACCYCATAAACACCGCTATCTTTTCCAGCAACCACAGTCTGGTAGCGATGCTGAGACCAATCCGATCGAGGAACTATTGACGAAATACTTGCCATCACAACCTTTCCGGAAATGGCTTACTTTGGTCACAGGTGCAGAGCGTCTCACGGATTATAACATGTTAGTACGCAGGTTCCGGCGCGGTCAGGATTATACATTAGCCAATTCTTACGAAGGTGACGAGCCACGATTGGAATTTACACTCGGTCTTACTCCTTCCTCTGGCTGGGAGAAAGCTGATGACAACGATGATGAGGACGACGAAGAAGAAGAAGAGAAAGAAAATGGAAAGGATAGTGATACCAAGATGAAAAATACAAACGAATCAGATGGCAAGGAGAAGGAAGAACCATCTGTAGGCGGCTACGAGATTTACATGGCTGGCGATGACGAGGAGGCAGGCGATGCAGCTATTTATAAGGCAGCCCATGGCGATGATGATGGGATTTTGTTTAGCATGGCCGCGGGCTGGAATCGCATGAGTATTGTCTTGAGGGATAGTAACACGCTCAAGTTTGTCAAATATGTCAGTGCCGCTGCAAAGGGAGATCGATGGGATATCACTGGTGAGGTTGGTGTTGTTTTCGGAGACGATGACGATGAGGAGGGTGATGAAGATGACGACGAAGAGTAGGCTTTGGCTTTCTATATCGACTTCATTATACTCTTGTTCTATAACATGACCATCTATCTCAATTGGAATCGAACAAAGATCTGTCAAAAGGCTGGACTAGATTTGCAGCATCTCGATTCTTGGAGAATGTGAATAGATCAATATGCGCTACACTGGTACAAGTCTCGCACAGGATACAAGTACTAGATCACTAGACAAGGCTGAACTGAGCGAAAAATGAGAATGAGCTTACGTACTCTCAATCTAGCTCCGTGCCGTGCCACAAAAAACTCCGCGCTATATCTAAATCTGACCTAGAGAACCATCCCTAGTCTTGCATTAGACAACTTTAGCCTGCTTTAGATTATTGTATCCCCGCTATCGTAGTATCTGAGCCCCTTCCGGCGTTCTCAAGATCCAACTACGTAGCCCTCCGAAGCCCTAGATTGCTGACAGCCAAGACCCAAACCCACTTGATATAGATTAAACCTGAAGCGAAAGAAGCAACTCCTGCAAGAGTCATGCATGAGCAACTGGAGTTCGTACAAGATTCAAAAACTTTTACCCCCTCTTATGCGCACTATTTATAGTCTGACAAGTGTCTTGGGGCTATGTACTTTTGCAGGCACATTTTATGCAGCCTCCCGACATTTACGGACGGCGTCTTACATACAACCCGGACTCTGGGGCCATTTTCAAATCCATGGTGTTGGAGGTACTGCCGGGAATATTCCTAGGGTGATACAAACGAGGAAGCACGTAATTTTAGAGACCCAGTATAATGTAGCATTAGTTGCAGCTTTAGAGCCAACATAATTCAAAATGGGTTCCACACAAAAGGCTGAGTCAGACCCTTGAAAGTTGGAGACATATCCCTGCATTGGAATTGAACTAAATATGAGCCGGATTGCATTTTTCGTTTGTAGAGGGTTCTCGATTGCAAGGCTGCGAGTCTCACGTTATGTATCGCACATGCACGACTTATCTGTAACGTCGTTCATGTGCGGCTGACGCGAATAATCGCATTAAAATACTGTCTGGAAGGATCGCGAGTTGCTTATAGTAAAGCGCTCGTGCTGGTCATCCTGGATAGCAGACTCCTCAGCTTCTAATCGCAAAATTGAACCATTTATCCGACAAAATGGCTTCCGTTTTGACAACTATACTGCTATGGCTCGCTACATTGAGTGTCCTCGTTGTCGCCCGAGTGCCGGCATATGCGGCACTACGAACTCGTAATAGCCCTAAAGTGAGCGATGCAGACACTTTAGATATCGTGGGAAGAGCTCTGCAGCACGCCAGGCTTCAATCACGGGATAGCAAGTACTCTATGAACAGGACTTCTCTCGCGAAGAGCTGGGTTGGCACTACTCTTTTCAAGTATAGCCAAGAGTAAGTAGCACAATCACTCTATTTTCTAGGATCTTTTGGTTGACCAGGATTGCTTTAAATAGTAGCAGCAACGAGACTACTGCCGGTTCACATACATTTTCATCGGAATCTAGCACCGATATTGAGATCATTTGTACAACCTGCTATGTCAATGGTTCTGTTACAGGTGACTTGACTCTTACCGGCGACTATAACTTTACCGCAGCAGTAGAAGGCGTGAAGACTGAATTGCAGAATGTCACCTACACAGCAGTCGACCAATTTGAGGAATACATTGAAGAGTTAGGCAAGGACATAACCAATGAAATCGAAACTTTCAATGCGACCACCCTACCCGCGTGGCCGACACTAGATGTTGGGTTCGATCTGGAGAATAACACCGGTTTGCCGGGTGCTTCGATACATTTTGAGTTTGATGATTTGGAACTATATCTGGAGCTAGATATTAAGCTATCAGCCGAGGCTACGTATACATTGAATTTGTATACTTCTGAGACTCCAGAGGGTATTTCGGTTCCTGGCGTCACGATTGGAGCAGTGTTTAGTATTGATTTGATCCTCATCGCTAACGCTGAAATTGATATTGGAAGTGGAATTCATATCAAGCTCGATGATGGACTTGCATTTGATCTGGAAATGTTCAATAGCAATGTTTCAACTGTCACTATGTGAGTCTTCCCTTTCAGACCCGTTGTGTCATTTTACTCACGCATACACAGCCCCGGCGGCGCCTATGAATTCCTCCCCGTGACAATTTCAGGCGAAGGATCCATTCAAGCTCTTTTGAGTCTCAAAGCAAGTCTCGGTGTACATGTAAACCTCCCCGACACTTCTGCATTCACATTTGCGTTCGACGCCGGTATCGAGTCCGACGTATTTGCCTACGTTGCCGATTTCCTGATGCAAGTGAACGGATCCACGACTGCTGATGACGATGATTGCAAATTGGCTGCTGTCGCGGAATACACCTTTGCTGTCGGCGCAGCAGCTGGCGCGACGCTCGCAATTGATCAATCTCATTCCTGGGGCCCGTCGCCCGACACAACTATACCGGTGTGGTATACGACGCTGGCTAGTATCTGTGCAGCGACCAAAACGGTGGCCTCGACAGCTGCTTCGGTGATTACTGCACGTGCAGAACTGGGCCAACGAGATACCTCATCCCTGACGACTACGACGTCGACGACAACATATCAAATTGTCAATTGCCTGTCGGCGGGACTGATTAACTGTCCTATTAATCTCCAGAATACGACAACCTATCAAGCTGTCGTGACCTCTGTGCTCGCTGTGGAATCAGGATCGACGGTGACGTTGCCGACGAATGGTGTTTCGGCTCTTGTGACTGGTATACCCTTTGGCTCGAAATCGCACAGATTGGATGCGATATCCGGCACTCCTACATCGTATGTCCCTCCACCACCGCCAACTAGTACCTCCGCTACGGCATCTGCTACATCGACAGGGGATCCAGCAGGGAATGGAAGTGGTAGCAGTGGCAAGACTAGTGGGCCTAATGATAAGCTCATCATTGGACTCAGCGTTGGTTTGGGGGTTCCTTTTCTAGCAGCTGTGCTAGCTGGACTCTGGTACGATTATACCTATTTTTTTTTTTCATTGATGACGAATCCGGTCTTTGTGACTGACTTTATCAACTCTAGGTACATTATCCGTCATCACAGGAAGTATTCTGAGGTTGCTCAGAAGGACAACATAGCACAGAGTCCAAATCTTAGAGAGCACGACTCTCCAGTCTCACCTGATATGACTCAGAAGGCTCCTTTGGTATCAGTAGTACAGTCAAGTTGATATCTTTGAAGACATCGAGCACGAAAAATTACTATGTTATCTTCATTTTCATGATTTTGATTAGTTCTTAGTTCACGCCTTTAAAATGCAGTTTCAATTTGCACATCACTATATCTCCCAAACAGGCGAAGAAAATAGAATACCAAATTACAAGACGCATCGTACTATATTATATAATATACCTAGGTAAAATTATATACCGACGCTGGAGTCATTTATCAGACCCACCATATGCCCCTCCGTGTACACGTACAACAACCCAAATCAAACGTCACAATATACATCACTGGTCCTCGGCCCCATTGGCCTCTTTCCTGCACTCTCCACATTCTGTCTCTTCTTCTCCGCCGGCTCTCGCGGATCATTCTTGATCATCGAATCCGCCTCCGTCTGTTCCTCCCCCTCATGAGTCTCGCTCGTTGGACCTCTTCCTGGCGAGACCGGTGATGCCACAGATCTTGTATCGGCAGGATCAGATTTACGAGCCTCCTTTCCGCGAGATATGTTGATGGATTGGGATTCGGGGTTGCTGGACTGAGGGTTTGTGACGTTGGAGGAGACGCCCGGGGAGGCTTGTTTGGTTGCTACGCCGCAGTATTGGTATCGAGGTTTATATGCTGTGAGAACTTTAGCGTTTCATGGTAGGATGTAGATAGGATAGCAGATGAGTTACCAGGCAGTCTGCTGCTTTGACTCAGACGCCAGCCATTTCTCAATCGTACTATGAACACCCCCATAGTTGCGCTTTTGGTATATGCAAAGCAATTAATGACTTGAGATGAATGTTCCTCAGGTATATATATACTAGAGAATCTGTGGAGCAGATGAATCCTTGCCTATGGACTTCATATTACCGTCAATCGACGAACAGACAACCCTAACCCTTGCTCATATATCACTTCATTATCCCTACATTTGGGTGTATGATAGATTTCTATCGAGACAGTCAGCATTATTTTGAAGACAAAGATACAGAAGGGCACAGAAGTTGAATCTCTTACATTCTCGATCGGGTACTTTAGGCCAGCGTTAACATTATACAGAATAACAATCATCTAGATATGTAAGGATGAGATGATATTTGTAAAAATTTGAAGTCATTGGATTAAGCAGAACTCCTCGTTCTATCTACTATGTTAGCTGGTTGGAGAACTATTCAGTTACAGTATAGCTTAGCTTCATTCTTTGTCCTCACAATGCTAGGAAATTCTGCGCCCCATAATATTTCTTAGATGGATAGAATCCATTCACAGATTCCGTCACAGACTTTGCTCTAGTATCTTTATTTGGATTTAACTAGATGTGAAGAGCTTATTTGATGAGAAGACTAAATTACAGCATTGCGACTGCTATATCAATTCTTCTTCCGGCCGTCCAGTGATTAGGACTTTAGTATCCGCTGCCGACCTTTGTACATAGATTGAATGCCAGAGGCGACTAGGAAATGCGAGTCATTCGATTAGGTATTTGATTGAAGTATTACCATACGGCTTCTTTATTCCTATGAATTTTATTTTTATTGTTCGATGATTCCAATCAATCCTGTAGGCGAAGATGTCTGTTTATAAGGAGACTCTGCAGTCCTAGGTTTGATTTCTATGGTTTTGGCCTTCCTGATATTGCTTCCTATCTTGCAGCAAATTGTTATCGACGGTACTTTCCTTGCTCTCCCTGTCTCCGGTACACGATTCATGTCAGATAGGCAGATGACAGCGAGAAAATTGCAACATGATAGCGCTTGGGAACAAACTGGTAAAGTCTATACTTGCCATCCAACAGACGACAGTCTGCCTTACACGATACGACTCATACCCAAGCCGAAGAATAATCGTACACCGTGTATCAACTCCACAAAGATTCGGGAAGCTCTTCAAATTTCTGCGTAAGCTTCGTTCGGGTGGATTGACAGGCTTCGTAAGGAATTTGGTTTTGCGACCTAATCTATTAACAGGGATGATTTTCAAGTCTGATGATGGTCAAGCTGACCACGCCTCGTGGATTTCAAGATTGTAAATTTGTTTGCAAGCTTCAATATTGTGCTGTTAGTCATGTAAACTAGCTCTGTGTAGATGATACTCAGACCAACATCTGGGTCACATAGCTTCCAAGGTTGTCGTGTCTGATTCGATAAATTATATTAACCGAAATAGACCTCTACCATCATACGCAACTCTCTGTCCAATACATAGCATATCTTTATGGGTCTACAAAGTGACAGAATCTCTGCATGATGCCAACATAACTGAGATGAGCGATCACCTAACGCAGGAATTTTCAAAGACTCGGATGTGATATGTAAAATTTATCTGGGTGCTTTTTTAAGAACGAGTCGCAATAACAAAAGCTCCTTCAAAAGACAAAAAGGAACGTACAAATTTTCGGACCGAAAAGTCAATTTAGCTTCTTCTAATACACCTCTGAATGCACACCCTGAATCTTACCGACGCCTCTTTACACCTCTCCCGAAGAGGCATCTAGATCAGGAGTATCCTCTACATCAAGCTTTCTCTTCTTGTTGCGCCCAGTGCGTCTCTTGGCTTCTTCCCACATTTTGTGTAACCGTTCATACTCTGATCTTTTGACTTGAATTGCGTCTTTCGGGTATCCAGCACCATGACGAATAGAATCTCTCCACACATCAAGGATTTCAGTGCAAATTTGTTCCATTTCCCAAATTTCTTGTGATCGATGCGAACTGTAGTAATTGAGGAGGCTGAGGTTGCTTTTTTTATTGATGGACTCGGTAATTTCGGTTGGCGCCTTAGAAATGAGCGAGCATGCTTCTTCGAAAGGCAAACCGTACATTGCCTGAAATCCTTGTTTTGCAGCGGCTACTTCGGGTTCATCGTACTTTTGCAGCCAGTCCACAACATCCAGATCCAGCTGAATGTTTGCTCCATGAATGCGAGCATTTCGATCCTGTCGATCTTTTTGGAAATGATGAACTTGTGTGTGGTTGAGTAGCTCAATGACACGATCACGAAACTTGTCTGTCTTGAGAGCTTCGTTGATCTTTTTTTGCTCGTCAAGGTCCCGTTTCATGTCCTCCATCATCTGGAACAGGCTCAAGCCTCCTGGGTTGCCGATCATTTTGCCGTCGTTTGAAATGGTCAAGTGTTGTGATTGAACGATTTTCAGTGCTTCTTTAATCATACTATTTTACGCTTGGTTCTTCGAAAGAAGCATCTCGGAAGTAATGCAAATGGGCACTAATATATATACCCATCAGTGTTCCAATTCATCAGCTATAGTCCTTGTTCTCCCGACGAAACGTACTCATTTCATCGGTTGCTTGATGTGCCTGTTGCGGCTTTCTCAATGAGGTAGTGAGACTCATCGCTTTCTTTCGTCTTCTCTTGTGTTTCCGCTTCGGTCTGGGAGTGAGAAGGGAGTTGCATGAACAATTCTCTCTCTACTGTTTGGAGGTGCTCTCGAGACAAACTTGCTTCATCAATAGGAATCATTTGTGTTTTGAATATTCTACATTGGCTGGCAGTATCTTTATAGCTAAGAGACGCATGGCCGATCAAGCAACAAGTATATCCGACCCATTGCTTGCAGCATCCTGGAAAGCTCTTCATCTTTGAAACACACATAGTATGAGAGCCATCTCAACAGTGATTCGCAAAGCTGAATATCTTTGGTAAAATTACTTCTTTTAACGCTAAGGGAAGTACACATTCATTGTTATAGGGTTGGATATCATCTGTTCTTTCATATAATGCAAGCGACATGGTTTCGGCAAACAGTCTTTATCAACACAAAGCCTTTCATTAAACGCACTAGGTTACTTATTATTGGTTAGTGTTACAGAAGCTCAAGTTTGACAATGTCCTTTGTGCCCATTATTCTACTACAGAGAAGTGAATCAAATGGTGCATTGCGACTACCTTCTGTTTCACTATGTCAGGTGTTTCTCTAGAATTCCACATACCAACGACTCCTTAAAGTCCCTAACCGACTCTTCAACTCTTCTCATCTATGATATGCATCAGTAACTGAACTGTGACGGTTCCGAGGCTACTACCTCTGACTGCGTTTCATCAACGACTGGAATCGAGCGGGCTGAAGGGGCGACGGCATGGTTTGCGATCTACTGGCAAGCTGGGTGTGCTTGGAGAGTTTGCTGATGGGCCTAACGAGGTCTTTTTGGAGGCTGTTACGGGGCTACTCAATCACCTGGAAGCCAACTCGGATTTTTGGCTTGGAGCGGTGGTGGTGGTCGGCTGGCCCAGCTTGGCTTGCTCTACTGGGACGTATGCCAGCTTTGAGCCTCCGAGTTGGGATTGTGTATCAGTATTACTATATCTTGCTGAAATCGTACGTACGCTCCTTAGGCAAGCATCTGCGGGTTGAGAAGGCTGCATGGTGAGATATCGGAGATTCCATGAATCGGAGGTCCATCAGATATCAACTCGCAATACTACAGCCGTCTGTGCTCTATGTTTATTTCAACTCGTTACGCTGTCTTCAAAACTAGTCAGAGATTTTTATCTCAATCCTGGCTTCATTCATTACTGCCAAACAAATATCCTTGCTTGCCATGCATATTCCATAGCTATATCAATATGCCGGTCTGTGTGAACCGCTTAAGAAGGAAATGGGTCATACGTCGTATACACAAGTGACTATCATCAATATCACTGTCACCATCCTCTTAAGTTCATAGGGCCACACATAGGTCTACGCATACACTTACGTAAAAATTCTGGAATGCTAGGTGGGATACATAACTAAAAGGGCTCGCTCTAATCAAGATCAGCTTACTTAAGGCTAAGATTTTGCACTTTGAAGCGAAGGATCGAAGGAGTTCGAAGGAGGGACCATCCTTTTCCAAGATATGCTACTAATCACATACATACAACTTAGTACTAGTCAAGACAACTGACTCAGTTTTCACCATCCAAAAAACACAGACACGGACAAAGGACGGAGAATGGGGAATAGAGAATGGCGAACACGTCCGAACGGTCCGGAGACGGAGATGCGGACAGTCCGGCGTCATTAGTAAATTTGGATTTAGATTGACCAACCAACAACTCCACGGACATACAGCGCCTAATGGCTTACGTCGAATTGAATGAATGGATGTGATTGATTCGTATAATGAAAAACTCTAATATAAGGCGCATACGCGTTTCGGCGTCGATATCCGTCCGAATCAGCGGGGAAACTATCAAAGGGCGGATGGTCAAGATCAAAACAAGTCTGGACCACATTTCGGCTTTCTTCGAAAAGGAGGTACAAAGTCCGAGGTAAGATTTAAATCACAAATGTACTCGATATCACAGCGGCTATTAGCTTGAGTTTTATCGCATTCACAGAAGACTTGAAAATGGTTGTGATAAGTTCGGTCGAGGAATTGTGGTTTTGCCATGTGGCTTGCACCACGGACTTTAGCTCAGCGCACTATACACGCCCTGCAGTAGATAGGATGTATCAGAACCCAGATGAACATCGGCAACAAAGTGGGTGGGCGCGAGTCATGTCTTTCTCATTCATTGGATGGGAGGTCTTGACTCGGGGGAGTTGACTATCTACAGTACCCCGTAAAAGAGCGTCAAACAAGATGATGGATAGTTTGATATGTAGAAGCTGGTTATAACATCAGGTACATATATTCCATGTCTTAGGGGGTCAGAAAAACAAAGGCGAGGCACTATCGAACCCGTCCAGGCAATATACGAATTTGACACGCGCAGTTCGGAAGGTGTTTGGTTTGATGTACACTATCTTATTGCTCAAAGGAGAGAGTGCTGTGGTCAAGTTTGAAACGATCTGCGATACCTGCATTTTAAGCGAATAGTTGGTAAGGCAGGCTGTAGCTGACTTATTGATTAAAACTGGTCCGGGAAGTTTGGTGAAATACCTAAATATATAATACAACTATCGGCGGAAATGTTCTTACTGTTTTCTCTGTCCTTGAGTTACGTGCCCGGATAGCATGTTCGGATGTTTATGAATAGTGAATATATATAACCAGCTAGGCAGGTAAAGCTAGACCTTTCATAACGGTTCAGCATGTTTCTCAAAACCATCGTTCCACAAACACTCTGGCTACTTTCATACCTATGTATATTGCATGTCATACATGCTCTGCGCAACGTTACACGTACACAGACCCGTAGCCATAGTACTGCACTCAATTTTCTATCTGATATACACGACATATGAAAAATCACAGAACCCGTATGTATGGAGGACATCGGTATGACAACATGGCAACGGAATGAGTGACTGCATCACATTACGTGAACTCAGTATATACATGGATGCGATATGATGAGTAAGAAGAAGCTCTTAGTTACATACGAAACGACACCGCTGCAGATGACAGCTAGTAAGTATACCGACAGGTGTTTTCAGGTTGCTGTACATGTATGATTATATATACTATGTTTGGATGTCGATCCCATACCTAGGTAATGTAGGTAATGATGATCTCTGCTCGTTTGTTACTGATTTACGATTTTACGTCCGTGTTCACAGTCTTGGCATCATTTGTTTCATCTTTGAGCTCTACCCAAGGGCCGTGTCTCGTAAATGTAGCCGCATCCACCTAAATAAATACATGGTTATACAAACTCATAGGTACCTGCGAATCCGACCGACATCTAGAGCGTGTAGGTAGCACAGATGCCAATCCAGACTCCGTTCCGAACCAAATATCGCAATCTGCGAAGCTTTGACACCATATCAAACAGAATTATCACTTCCGGAGAATATAAGATCAAAATTAAAATACCGGCTGTTTACACGCTGCAGGGTTGAGGAGGTATTTTTCATGCATGTTGGATATTGCCGGTTAATTAGCCAGATAATTTCAGCAGAGTACTCTACAGCAGGAGGATGAATACATTGATATCCAAAGCAAACTTTTTTATGCGAATAATTAGAGAGTCGTGTGCCGTTGATCCCACAGCCCTGTTTGACCGGCATACTGTAGTTAGATGGCTCCGAATGCGATCCATGGGAAAACAGTACACTGTACATCAAAATGTAGACGGACACAAATTACGAAGAAATAAAATACAGCCCGATGCATGACATGACAACAGCAGGGATTCCACATACCAAAACATGCATATGCGATGCGATGCACTAAATTTCAGCGTGTCTACTGTCCACGGGCTGGTGTGAGAGAGTGTGTGTCTCCCCCCCAACCAGCTCCCATGTCGTTGTCGCACAAAGCCAGACTGAAAGTACTCCGCGACGTTTACTGCTGGTTCGCATAGATTTTCGTCCTTGTCTTACCTGGTAGGTCGAGCTCGGACTACACATATACATGACAGTGATGACAGAAAATAAAAAGGCACGGAGTATATACCCCATATTTCAACGGACGTACATACCTACCCTGCCATTTATGAATCAAGTTGTAACATCCTCGAGAATGTACTTACGACAGAGCACATAGATGAAAGATATTGCCACGATAAGAACAGAAGAATAATCCGCGAGCATTGATCAGCATGCAAACATTTCGTTCTTGTAGTGGTGTGTGTCGATTGTTCACAAAATTGGGCGATTGATTGGCTGACTTCGAAAGGCGAATGGAAACAGGATCCAGGCCAGTCGCATTCCGGTGTGCTGGGATCCGGTCACATCACATTCCGCTCATGGACGACGGTATGGAGTGTTCTCCGAGTGAGTCAGTGAGTGCGGGTTGGGATGATGGTGCGATGAAACACATGGATTGGATTGAGGTATTAAGAGTACATGGATGTGAAGTTGAGGTATATACTTCTCTCATTACCGAGTAGGCCATAAGTAATAAATAATGCAACAGAAGTGTAGATCATGTCAATATCCAAGGGGGGGGCTCTAATGAATCAAGCTCGTATGAACAACATACCTCCACCGACAACCGACTATTCTTCAAAGTAACCTTACCTCCACACCTAGTCAAGTACGTACGTTGTTAACTACCCCAGTCAATAACCCACCACACTATCACTGACACCGTTAAAAATGATTACTAACGCAACATCCCACACGGTCCCAGCTTACGAGAGTATGTCAGTGCAAACAAGCATGCCATTACCAGTTTGAGCGCGAAAGACGACAATCATACTCGATAGAGTAAGAGGGGAAGATCACCAAGCCGGTTTGGGAGATGCCGCTGACTGAAGGACAGCCAGAAGAGAGAGGGTAGAAGGAAGGAGGGGCAAAATGATCTGCAGACTACTTGGTACTAGTGTACTATTTAAGAGGGCCAATGTAGGGCTAAGGGTGTTTGCCATGTGTTGGTCACATCGCATAGTCAGTAGTCAGCACTAAGTAGTCGGGGGTGGATGGTGACTGAGACAGAGACTACCAGGAATGCACGGTTGTAAAGCAACTGCCTTGCTGGATAAGTTACTCAGTAGGTAGTAATAGACAATCGATAATTCGACTCGACACGCGACCAGCAAGGCACATGGATACTCACAAAGCCGGTCTGCGCACTACATAGTACACTGTTGATAGTGCGAAGGGACGCAATCGGAATGCGGAATGCAATGATGTGATGTGATAGTCCATGGATGGATGCCAGGTGGCCCTGATCAACCACATGCATCCCCGGCACGCACGAAGGAATGTCAATTATCCATATGCTCTCTAACACACAATCTGATTGGCTTGCCCAAACAACTGAATAATTCGACCTGCCTGAATTGATTTGCTGCTAACTAGCCACTGGTTAAGTGAGTTGACTACGTAGTAGTTACCTGCCGGCTACACGGCTGCACTTGCAGTACTCGTCTGTTCTTACCCCTGCCGACGTACTAGTACGTACTCGTCGTAGTCTTCAAGATCTAAACCACAAGAGAAAAAGCAGTGCTTGGCAGCGCTGCGCGACAGAAATGATAGGTTCCTTGCGTGGTAGCAGACTACTACTATGTAGTATGTACTGCATACCTAGGTTACTAGTAGTCGGGCTAGACAGGATCTCCGAGGAACTCCCTGGCCCGACTAAGATTCCTCTGAAATGCCACGTGAAATACTCCGTGTGCCGCGCTACTATGGAGTACAGTTCATGGTTGGTCTTAGTACATACGCACTAACAAAGGTGACCTACTAACTAGTAGTTAGTTGTATGTTGTATTCTTTTTGTCCAGGTATATCGGCAAGGCGATGATAAATTGATAACCCTTGATTAACTTACGTCGGCTGGTGAGTATATTTACTCCGAGGTTGTGCTCTTACTACGTAGTAGCGTATGATAGGAGAGAGTCTGCAAGGAATCGGTACTTCCGTTTGCATACATCGTACGTGTACGGAGTAGTACCAAGTACGACTACCAGGTACCTCCTCACGTACCTTGTTGTAAGTACGCAGTCTTGACGATACGCTGAGGGTTGAGTAACCCTCCATGACTTTACCAACCATGGTTGACGGTATCAGTGTATTGCTGTGTATGCACGCATACTAGCTACGTATGTTAGTAATAGGACTTAATTACACTTCCGTCCTCCGTCCTATTCCGGGCTGGTCAGTGGTCATCCCCGGAATGGGCCTCGTGGTTCCTCAATCCCAGTCGAGTTAGCCTGTAATATTCGTACAGCCGTCCATTGGCCCGTACCATACACTAGTGCACATCATTTCGTAATTTACGGCTTTGTGCAAGTCCGCAAATATTGGACAATGACCCAACGCGGCTAGCGTAGCTTGAGCCATGTGTTTTTTTGAGTTTTCCGAAATTTGCCCACTTTTGAGTCTGGATACTACTTATCATACTAGTACACGGCGCACATTGTCAACTTGTCACCACGAGAATGGTTGATTTGGCTGGAGCGAAATAATCATGGAGAACTGGAGTCATGGGTATCCATAGTATACATAGTATAGGTGCAATGGGTCAATGACATTGAATACTAGTTATGTAGCCAGTTGCTAGAAAGACGAATCTTCAGTTTAAGTAATGGTAATACCTCGACCTGGACCCACATGGACCAAGGCGACAAAAAACGTGGGCGAAGTTAGCAGTTCAGATGGCAGAGTAATGGCCCAAATCGGTTACCTCTTGGACTTGGACCTGTCACTTTCGCTTTCTCTCCTCCAGACAACCTACTCGACGTGCATCTCTCTGCCAGTTTTATTCATTCAGTCTCTATCCGATCTCTATCCTGACTCTGTCTTTGTCCCTGTCTCTGATCTCGTGATCTAATCAGCGCAACATCACGGCTCAGACAGACAATCGACCCGACCGTAGACTACACTATCGACTTTGACCACAATCAATTATCACGCCTTGGTGCAGGCCAATCGTCCAGCAGTGACTATACACAGCATACTGCAGAAATAAAAACCCGCTCCCCTGTGATTCCGACTTAATCGCTCCGATCGACCAACTCAACTCCTTTCTTTCTTTTTCTCGTTTCTTTTTCGCGACACGCCTCGTTTACGACGTCACGTTGCAACCCGACTTCTATATACCTTACAGCGTATGATATTCGCACAGTATCGATTCGACCCATCCAGTGTTGATTTGACCAGTCCATTTGCACGCGTGGTCTGAAAGATTCAGGTACGACCTCTGGTCTCAGACGTCCCTTGATCTTGTTTTCGTTTTCCTTCGACTTAACGAAAAGTAAATAAAGGCAACATTCGTGCTAATAATTACTCCAGACACAGCAAGGGGAGGATTCCTCCTTGATCTGCACTTGGCGCCTGTCTTTTCCGCCCACGAACCGCCACTGACAATCCATCCCTTCTTTCTCGTCAGACCAACCCGTGGTCTTGGTTATTCGACGCCTCCTGACGCATACCAGAACCTCGCGTGGTTTATAACGTCCATCTGCTTCACGTGTCTCTTATACGCAATTGATGGCACTTTCGACTTGACTCACCACGAAACTACAAGGGCATGAAATAGAATTGACCTCGACTGATAATGATGGAATCGTCTATTTCCCATCGTCCCTGGGAGGATGTCAAGCCGGGTCTGCACACGCCTCCGGTCGGGACCTCGTCGCAGACTCTGCCTTCAATTTCTACCTTGACAGCCAGCATGAGCGGAGGCATTCCGCCAGGCGAAAAATCACCAGCAAGCTCTATGAACACGCTCGAGCGGGACTCGGGCAATTGGTCTATGCCTCAAAGTACAAGTACGTTGGCCGCAGGCTGTTCGCAGAGGAAGCGTACTGACTTCTCAGGATCATCTACATACTCGCAAACAACGAATGGAACCGGCACTTATCATTCAATGTCATTTCTAAACTCATCACAACCGTCACCGAACCGCCATTCTGGCATTTCCGAGCGATCGCCTCTCGCTCAAGACTCTTCCAATACACCCTCTCCAGCAGGCGCCAATCCTCCCTTTACCACACAAGCGCAATCTTCTACTCTGCCGTCGATTAACCAGAATTTTGACGCGCCATCGCACAGAAACAGCATCATTGAGTTGCCGGAATCCCGACGGAGCAGCGTCGACAGTCGTATGAATCAAGGGATCAGTGCATTAGCAATCAACCCGACTTCGCCATACCACAGCACCAACGCATCACAATCGTCGATAGTATCGGGCCTGCAAAGAGAGCGCGGTATTTCGAACGAATACACGACTGCCAATGGCATGCGAGGACCTCGATATGGTGCCCAGCCGTTGTCACCATTAGGACCTCGTGCCGGCGACCAGCGATTTCCGCCTGGCCGTACTGCGCCTGCCATCTCGTCTAATCCGCGATCTGAAATCTACAATGCCGAAGCCCCTACAGCGGGTATGGCGTACGCCTTTCCCGATCCCGATGTTGCACGTTCGAGTTCTAGCATGACCTCGCAAGACCACTCGTTGACGCCGCAGGGTTCATTTTCACGCAAGGGGAGTGTGGCAGAATCGCTCAATAGCAGTGTATTTTCTGTGGATGGCCGACTACCCCGCGGGCAGCAAGGTGTGTCTAAATTGTCGCGTTGCCATTGGTCCGATACTGACAATCTGCAGAATTGCCCCAAAATGTACATCATCACTCGCTGCAGCACAAGCAAGTCCGCGGACTGATGGGAGAGGCGGAATCTCCCAATGGTGCTACTCCGTATAGCCGCACTCCGGAGCTGCGGGTCACGCATAAACTAGCAGAACGCAAGCGACGAAGCGAAATGAAGGATTGTTTCGAGATGTTGCGGATGCGACTCCCGCAGAGCCAGAACAACAAGTCCAGCAAGTGGGAGACCCTAACTAGAGGTATTTTCCCCTCCTGCCACCTATATCTTGTTTCTTTTCTAATGTTTAATAAGCCATCGAGTATATTTCCTCGCTAGAGAAACAAGTCTCGACATCGCGACGCGAGAACAACGACCTCCAGCGAGAAGTCCAAGAACTACGCGCACAGTTGAACTCGCAACACGTCAACGGCCAATCGCGACAGCAACAACAAAACATGTTTGACCCTCACTCCATGGCGTCGTCATCAAATGGCTCGCCGACCACGTCGTACCCCACGTATGCGTCCGGGATGGCGGTCGAGCAGCCTCGGACTCTGCCGCCGCTCATCAATGGTTCTGTCGCTGCAATGCAAGGGGTGCAATATACCGAGGAGCGGCGGTAATCTTTCAACTTGTCGCGCAAGGGTTTGCATCGATCGAGCATCATGAGATCATTCACTATTTTCAACATCTACCCTTTCTTCCGGACTGACTTGAAGGCTGGCATGGAAGTTTTGGTATTAGGTTTAGGTATATTGTATTCACTGCGGACCGGAGTTGAGGGGATTTTTCTTTTTCTGGGCAATACTTTGCAAGGAACGTGTACAAAAAGACAAAATCATGGGCGGGTGCGTGCGTTGCGAGTCAACATTTGTATCATGGGGAGTTTTGTTTCTGCTTTGTTGGTCCTCTGATATCCTACGGTTTTGCTGGTTTGCTCTGGATAGGAATGATACACGAGTTCGTATAGACGACTACGAATGACTTGTCTCATTGAAACGTTTCATATGGCATGACAGGGTAGAAGTGGAAGTAGAAGTATATAAATACGTACTCTTCTGCGTAATCGATGTCTCACTTCAAGATAACTGGCTCGTTTGTGTTTGTAGAGAGAAGAGAGGAATTTTCTGTGAATAGAAACAATTAGCCGCCCTGCCAGCTTGAGTAGATGATCGAGTCTAGCTGTAAGTAGACTAGCTCCCAGATCTCATGCTCTCTTCGTGTGTTGATTGGGCAGATGGAAAGTGGATGCGGCGGCTAACGCTTTCTGTATCAAGTCGCGGCGATGAACGAGGGCCTGTCATTTGCCTTTTGGTATAAGGGATGAAACTTCTCTCTTTGTCCTCTGACTGTTTCGCCTGTGAGTCATTTCGCTTTGGGAGGAAATATGGATGACTCTGCGGATTCTCTCAACCAGTGCGCTCAGACGGCCAATCGCGGAGGAGACTCGCTCCATGAGCAGAGCGACATGTTACGCTGCTTGACAGGGTCTGGTCCGGCTGGACTCTTGTCGATCCTCTTCTTTAGTCCTGCGCGTACCTGCCTATGTAGTAGGAGCTGTTGCTATAATTGTGCATGGCTAGTGCAATGAGTCTATTGGTTGCTGGGTCTGAGATCTGTAACTCTCTCCTCGTACCTAGCCTGGTAGCAGCTTTGCGCCGTTGGGCGACGTTGATATTTTGGTCTAGATGGCTGGACCGGTCTTTTTTCTTCTGTATTTTCTCTTCTGCTTTCCATTTTTGCATTTCTGTAGCTGCTGCATCTTGGATATTTTCCGTTGCATTGCATGTTTGCATATTCTTTTCTTTCTCTCAACTACGTACATACTCGAACAGCGACTGCATACATCTTGAAAAGCATTCATTTTGCATACTCATAGATAATAGACTTGTGTCGTTGACAAAGCCTGGTGCTTTGTTTTGTTTATTACTGTCTGTTTGTTTGTCAGACATTGTTATTGTTGTTTGGTTATTGTCTTCTCATCTCTATTGACTCTTCCGTCCTATTGACATCACACGCTGTGACTCTTCCACCACCCACACACCGAACGATACAATCTGGCTATAGCCTCTCTGCTAGAGTAGTAGCAGCAAGCGAGAAGGATAGGGTATACGAATGGTATCTATCTACTCATCTCTTATATCTCCATTTCCACCCTTTTTCGTCCTGATTCAATCAAACAACTCAACGATCTAACAATATGCCTCCCCTTTCACAAGACAATGCACATGATCGTCCTCGAGCCAAGAATCCAATGAACCTCACCATCAACACCTCTGGCGAAATACCTGCCGGTGCCAACAATTCCAAAATCAACGATCTACAGCCACCGCATCAGGAAAGATTCCCGCTTGATTCGCCCATCTTGGTAGAAATCCCCAGCCCAGAGAATTCCAGCGGCAGCGAGAAGGGCTCAAGAGCACAGCCAAAACTCGTCAACGCTGGTATTAGTGGAAGCACCGGTAGCAAGGGTGAGAGTTTGAATTTACATGCTGATTCGGCCTTGTCGAGGACAGAATTTGAGCGTGCTATACGTGCGCGGTTAGAGCAGGGAGACAAGGTCATGCGGAATATGGGTTCTAATACTCAACAGCAAAGGCCGGCGGGGTTGCAGCTCATGACCGAATTTTCGCGTGGTGATGCGCAGAGTGAAAAGGCGTCGTTTCTCGATTTGAGTGATTTGAAATCTATCGCGAACGCACGCGAAAAGGAGAGATTGGGGGACTATAATTCGTCGTCGCAGTCTCTGCAGCAGCCAGTTCATGACAGAGCAGAAGGATTGTCGCCGTCGGATAGACCGATTATGATTGGGTTGACGGTGCCGTATGATCAATCGACTCGTACAAATACAGCGACGGCAGTTGGGGAGACGATTGATAGTGCTTCGTCGCGGACACCGGCCACACCTTCGATAGTTGTTACACCTGCACGAGAGCATCCGCCGTGGCATATGGATATGCATATGGACATGAGCACCAGTCCCGAAATGCTTCACAGACCTCGCGCCGCATCGAGTATCTACTCACAGCCATCGCCAAAGCCAATGTATGACGAGGATGCGCCGCCCGTGCCTGCTATTCCCGCCTTTCATTCCGCGACTTCTTTTGAGCCTCACCATCAACGGCCTATATCGACAGGCACAGAGTTCGAGGGCGAAGAGCAGGTCTCATCAACCGAGAAGGACGTCTCCCCGACCACAACGAGAAAAAACATGAAGAAAAAACTCCTCCACAAACTAAGCGTAAACACCTCCGACGCAAATAGACCCCAGTCCCAAGGGTGGTGGACATATCTCCTGTCACCACTACTCAGTCGCTCAAATACTGTCAGCAGTCGACGCACCGCGCTAAGTCCTCAGCAGCATCAAACGCGATCCGCTCGTTCGCCATTATCGGCTGTTTCGTTTAGTAAAGCGCTGTCACCACGTCAACCAACAAACGCATCTGACGAAGGAGAAAGTACACACTGGTGGGACGACGAAAAGATTGTCATTCCACCCGCAGATGCAGAAAAATCGCATTTTTCGCCTGATACACCGGAAGATATGACCCGACACGTTCCGCCTATTATGGCGGGCATTAATTTTCACGATGAGCATGTAACTTCGACGAGAGCACTGCCCGAAGACGAGAAAGCAGACAAAACGCGAAGCGTCTTTCGCATCGGCGATGAGATGGTCCCCAACTATGAATTCCATGGCGCAAGGGCAGAGTATTACCAGGCCAGTGCGCATGATTTGTATGATAAGGAAAATCCGTATTTTGAGTGTATCAATCACGTCTGCTCGATGACTTCTGCCAAAAAGAGGGCCGAGTTTGAGGCTGCGGAGAAAGAGGCAGAACAAAAGATGGCGGAGGAGGCGGAGAATGGAAAAGGGGGTTTGGCCGTGTTTGTGTTTGATCCTTCGAGAGATGCGAATAATCCGTTTATTGCATTTTTGGAGAAGAGGGGCGATGTCAAGGAGGTTGTCGTTGATGGCGACGATGAAGAAAAAGATGACGAAAATGGGGAGAAAGGAGAGGGCGAGGGTGAAGAAGAGGTGGAAAAGACGGGGTTGGGTAATGCGCGAGAATTACTGTCTTTTGATAGTAGTGATGAGGATGAGGATGAGGATACGCCAGCTGATGCAGAGAAAGAGCATGCAATGTCGAGAGGGCTGAGTCGGTCTCCTGATCTGGGGCCGACTTCGAGATCGGTTGCGTCGTTTTCTCCGCCGCCGCGATCGCGATATGAGCCATCTGTAACTCTGCCACCGGTCGAGGAGAGAGGTATCGCTCCACCACCTGCTCCTTCATCTGTGAGTTATCCAAGGGAAATGAGTCCACCGCCAGCTCCAGCTCCACTTCCAGTGTCTGCACCAGCTCCTCCATATGCTCCTCCCGCTCCCATACCAGCACCAGCACCAGCACCAGCACCGGCTGTGGCAGCTCCTCCACCAGTACAAATGCCAATGATGCCACCACCTCAACCTCGCGCTTTTTCTCCAGAACCAGTACCCATGCCCATGCCACCACCTCCCCAGCCTCGTGCATTCTCACCTGAACCGGTGGCTATGCCAATGCCTCCAGCACCAGTTCCAGCACCAGCMCCTCCTCCGCCTCAAGCCCCAGTCCCTATGCCAATGCCAGTATTACAATCGGCGCCAGTGGATGAGCGTGGACCAGTTGCAATGCCTCCACCTCAACCTCCATCGGATGATGCAACTCGTGGAATACCAGGTGGCTACCAATGGGAGCCTGCTCCAGTTGCTCGTGCCATGTCTCCGCCCAGAATGACGAGAGTTGCTTCACCACCTATGCCACCTGCAGCACCGGTGCCAATGTCTGAATCACGGGAAGTTGAGGAGCCAGTTTTACGACCAGGGCCATTTTCGGAACGAGATGCAGGACCAGTACCCTCGTTCAGTCGACCAACCCCGTTCTTAGCACCACGACGTGTTCCTCAGCCTCCTTCTTCTGCTGCACCGCAACAAAGCGCTACAGATGCTCCTGCCGATGAGTCAGACGCCGAGTCGGTGCTACCGCCATATTCTCGAAACGCACCTCGCCAACCAGGTCTTCCTACCTACAGTGCACGCGATCAATCCGAACACCATGACCGAGCCCCAGTCGCACCAGGACCAGTTTCACCCGGCTTACAACAAGCAATGACGAGTCGCGGCGGCATCCCCATGTCCGACGTTAGTCAACGCACCCGCGATATGGACTTCAGTGACACAGCATCCATTTCTCGACCTAGCGAACCCCGAACAATCATCAATGTCCATCACTACTACAACGGCGAACACCCGCGTGACGCACCCGAACCACCCCGTCCCGCAGGAAATCAGTTCGTTTCTGAAGCCGATCTGCAACTGCGCAACGAGAACGAAGCTCGACGCCAACGCCTCGAAAAAGAAGACAATCTCGCCAAAAAGGTTGGTGGTTTCTGGCGCGGAAGAGGTTGCATTCCTAAAAAAGGATGTTTCGGCCGTCGAGGTGGTCGTGAGGAACGAACGCGTAGACGATGGTATGCGGCTATTATCGCATTTTGTATATTGGTTATCGTGCTATCGATCTCCCTCGCGACCACACTTACGCGGAAAGGTGATAGGATGTCAGTGGAATCGCAGTGGTTGAACATCACTGGCTTTCCACCCATTCCTACTGGAATCATGACAGTTGCAGGGCCAGCACCAGCCGTGGAGAGAAGCAGCTGCGTTGCGCCGACCTCGATCTGGAGCTGCGCCCTACCACCTGAGCAACAAGCCAGTAATGCAGGTGGATATGCAGCCGATGCACCGAATTTCAGGATTGAAATTCGCTTCAGGAATGATTCTTCATTATTGTCAAATAGTACTGCCAATTCGACCACGACGAAAAGGTCGTGGGGAGGTATATTTCGAAGGGATGACTGGACTGCGTCGCCGGCGGCGCCAAGGTTGGTGGATCAGATATTTCTGGGGAATACGACGGATAATGTCACGACGCCGTTTCAGGGGGAGGATACGCCGTTTTATATTACGTTTTTATCGCCGGTCGATGTGGCGAACGCGTCGGCGGAGTATGTGAAGAGAGATGTGTCAAGTACGGTGGCTGCAACCTCGACAGGGACAGGCACTGCGATTGCGACTGGGACTGGTACTGGTACTGGTACTACTCAAAGTGCAACGGGGACAGCAACTGGCACAGCCGTCATCAAGACGGAGACCGGCACCCAGACACAAACCGGCACCAGCACAACAACTAGCTCCTCAACCCCCGAAGTCAACGTAGCCAACCTCATCCCCGCCCCTGATCTAGCATCCGACGGTACCGCAGCAGCAGCAACTCTCTACCCCTTACCCATCCAACAACCCATCAAACTCTACAACCGCGGCCTTCCCACCGAACACTACGGCTTTTTCACGTACTTTGACAAGAGCATATTCCTTGCCTCGGACGCGCCGATCACTGGCGGCAGCACAGATACCGATTCGCGAGACGTTAATGGCGGCAGCACAGAGACAGAGGCAAGTGTTCGCTGCACATGGTCTCAGACACGCTTTTTAGTACAGATATGGACCCAGCCACAGAACGTGACGCACATGAGTCTCAGTGCTCTCTCGAATACGACCGCTACTAACTCATCATCATCATCATCATCATCATCATCATCATCATCATCATCATCGACGACGTCAGCATCAGTAGCAACCGCATCGTCAACAAGCAGCTCAATCGCAACCTCCTCAGCAAACAATTTTACCTCTCCCGGCTCATTCCCCTACCCAATCACAATTACAATCGACCGCCACGGCGGCATCGCAACCGAGAAACTAGCCTACTGCTACGGCATCGAGCAACAAAACTCTTCCTCATCCTCTTCTAGTGCCGTGGCAGGGGCGTATTACAACCTCACAAACCCAAAACTGCAAGCCGAACAACGCAACTCAGGCGGATCTATCGTCTCCCCTTCTCCGGATTACTTTGTGCTTGCCGCTGCGCTTGCGTCGGGCGCAACGCCTGATCAGGAAAGTCCTGTTGATGGAGGGACGGGGGGTTGTATGTGTGAGTGGAGGAATTGGATTGAGACGAGTTAAATCTTTTCATTTGTATTTTTTTCTTTCTTATGTTTTGTTTATAATTTGCATATATGGGCGTTCGTCTCAAGTGATTTTTAGGGAGAGGTGCATTGCGTTGCGTTGCGTTGCATAGATCCGCTGCGCGGCAGGTTTAATATGGGCGGAGCAGTTTGCTGGTTCCTTAGCTGCCAGTTGTTTTGTTTGGCTCAAAAGCTTATGAAAATGTATGTATCTGTAATGAAATCGAGTTCCAATTTTGAAAATAAGTTAACGATAGAAGTCTGATTGCGATTTTTTTCGTGCTGCTTGTCGGATTGTGTTTCTAGATTGCCGGATGAGGTTAAAAAGGAACATTTCCGTTTTCGGAAGGGGGTATCCTGATTCGGCACAGAGCCCTGATTGACCTACTGACTGCGCAGACAAAATAGTAATTCGTTTGGATCTTCAAACACAAGATTTACACACGATAAGGGATTTTGTAACCTTGTTGTAGACTCTGAGCACACAAAGGTCTGTGTGAATGCAGTTTTCGGAATCTGTATTAGATCATACGAGGGGTGATAGGTCAAATTTGACAGTGTGTTTCTTGCAATAATTTGATTATCTCCTTAACAATTAAAAAATTCAATAAGCATCAACGACAATATGTTTCCCAAATGACTGCTAATTTAAGTATGTCTCTTTTTTTCAATCGATAAAACTTCCAACAAAACAAATACACCGCCATTAATAACGCCGAATCTTCATAATATGACTGCCCATATGCTCCGTTTTCTTGCGCCTTTCTTCCCCGCTTTTCGATTTGCAACCGAACCAAAAACGTCAAAGCCACTAAATCCAATCAATACCTGAACACAAACATCCAGGCATAGATCATCTAAACCAAAGCGGCAAAAGCGCCAACGACACCGAGCGCAGCACCAAGGAACGTAGCTCCCTGGGCATCAACTCTGGCAGCTGGGTTTCCAGGAACGTAGGTGGGGACACTTCCTTCGCCTTCTCCCTCTCCCTCTCCCTCTCCTCCTGATCCTGATCCTGATCCTGATCCTGATCCAGAGCCGGAGCCGGAACCTCCACTGCCACCACCACCACCGGTGGCAGTCTTACTAGGCTTCACAGCCGAAGAACTCTTAGATGGCGCAGTGTAGGTCTTGCTAGGAACGGCTTTGCTGCTAGAGCTGTTTGTCGGGATGGGTGTTGTGACTGCTGGGTGGGAATAGCTGGAGTGGCTTGCGCTTGCGCTTGAGCTGACATGGACGGAGTACTGTTGGTTGTTGCCTCCAGAGCCGGCGACGGCGCCAGTAGCGCCGAGTGCGAGGAGGGTCAAGGTTGGGAGAGTGAAATGCATGGTTGATATTGGTTCAGGAACGCGTTGGCGTGTTAAAGGTAGAGATGATGTTATAGGCACTGATAAGAGGTAGAGAGAGAACTTTTTTGAAAAGGAAAGGATTTTGTACAACATGAGGCTTACTCAGGGCTTTAAATATTCAGGCGCATGGAGAAGATATTCCATGTTAATCTCAATTCAACCTCAAGGTACACCAATCACTAATCTCCATCCTCTCATCTTTCTGAAAGCGGATCGTCTGGGGTAGCAATGTGGGATTTTAAATTGTTCCTATTACCTAATTAAGATCTAGTATTCATACGTGAGAATACTAGCCATACTCTGACTCGTCGATATACAACTCCCAATGAAAAAATAACTCGTTCTCATCGACATCACGTGACCTGCGAGCCCTCTTTCCGGAAATGGACACACATTCACGTCTGGATCGACGTCATAGTAGAGGGATTCAGGAACGATGTAATGCTGTACCTTTCTGAAATATTTGGAGTGTTGCATGATACAATGATGGTACCTGGTCTGGAACGTGGTTTAGCCTGTTCCAGCGAGTGTGACTAGGCACTGGGTTCTATGTTTAGAAGTTGTGCCTGAATGCGACTTGATCGATGTATATCTTTGCCTTTTTAGGATTCTGATTGTTAATCACGTACATTCTGGGCCAAGATGCTTTTTTTAGGCTAGTTTGGAGTCACTACTATTGAGGGTGACGTTTGTACGCCAAACTCGGATTGGTAAATGGGTGACATTACTCAATGCATTGGTCGGCAGTTGAAGACCGTTCACCGAATGAATAAAAGTATGAAAAGTAATGGCTTTGCTTTGATGTACAATCCGTGTCAAGGTTTCAGCTTTGGACAGAGAAACGACCGTGTTGTGAGGGTTCAGAAAATTTCCGAAAGCGGCAATCGGACCGTTATCGGTTGTTGCCTCGATGCATGATATGCATGTTCTTCGCAATCAAGCACACATACTTTTTCATCATTTCATATTTATTTAATTTTGGTATCAGAATTATCAGACAGGTAAAATCGAGATGATACCGCGCTTGTGGCTACAATATTCTCCATTGTACATTTATCTCCGGATGGCATCCGCAGACTTTCACCACATCAATACTGTTAAGATCTCTAGCCGCCCACTGCGCCTCGAAATTATGTTATCAAATAGTCCCAAGCTTCCTTAGGCATTGAAGTCTTTTGGGTGGAGTCACTTTTCTTTTTCGATTTTCTTTTCTTTTGAAGGATGTCATTGGTCACGTACCACACGGGAAGCGGCGAAAGTGCGAGGTGATCTACCAGTAGAGCAGGAATGTACCTGGTTACTAGAACCATGTAGTATTGCCTTAGTTATTATGTACAAAGTATATAATAGGAGCTCAAAATCGATTAGATCTTTGAACCCTAAGCCGTAGCTTTACCTCTACCCTAAGAAAACCTTGTCACCGATGAATTCAGATTTTCTTCTAACCACCTCATTCGGGCACACCGGAAAAGAAGAAAATTAGACTTGACATCATTAAGGTAATCTATTTCATCCCGATGTTTCTGATTAGTGCCATTGAGGAGTATGCGAAATGAAGCGTGACGGGGTGGGATGGTCCATAGCAAAAATCGACATCCCTCGGAGATCAAAAACCATGGAATCGCACTAACTTGGGGTCAAGATTGCATGGGTCGAAGAACTACCAATTAATCTGACGACGGGTCTCTTAATACTACCTTTATATCTCCAGTTTTCACATATAAGGACAAAGTTGGAATGACTCGCGCTGCACAAAATCCATTCCTTTAGATGGGTGCAAATCAGTAGTCCCGCAGAAACGAGAACCATTTCCTTATCAGGGCCACAACTGGCTTTTTACTTTAGGATCTCGGAACTTCAACATCATCAAATTAAATGCTTGATTGTGGCTCATGTCAGCTCGTGGGGTCATCCCCTGTCACTATTCTACGCACGCGCTTGGCCAGATCGGGCATCCGTTAGTGTGATCATGTTCGATTTTGTCGCGTTCCGCGGAGATCACCATCGAGCTATAATTTAGGGCTAGGGTATTTGTTGCAGTTCTCAAGGGCACAGAGATAAGGATTGCAACACCATCGGATATCCTCGTATGACATTTCGCTTTGACGAATGATAAGAGGAAAAAGAAAATAAACTGGATACATAGCTTTGATACAACAGACCCCTTTCCTTGTCATGTTGTTACTACAAAGTGTTGGTAGATGGTATATGATGACTTTGAATCTTCCGTTCGAGATGGAAAATGGATGATCAATGATTCTTTTTGCGTCTCTTTCCATACTATATACCTAAGTCTAATTTGCCTACCTGCTGGGTAGGCGTATACCTGCTACAACAATGACAGCCTTATCGGCGCCGGACTCACTGAGGGGGGAGAATGTTGTGTCAATTGTTATATTGGTTGTCTCCATTTTATCTGTTCTGGGAGCAGCATGGATGATACTGAGCTTCACTGTTGGATATTCTCTCATGTGCGAACTATTACAATCTCGAAGAAGTTTTCACTGATATTTTTACATAATCTAGCTTATCACGTCACTACGAACATTTCGACATCAGTTAACACTTGGTCTGTAATCATGTACCACACCGGTTGAAGTGTCTATCCTAATTTGTGAATAGGCCTTGGTGTAAGCGATTTTGCAATGGCTCTGAATTTCATGCTGTCGGCATGTATGAATCTCTCTGGCAGAAAGATTTGGTTAGAGCCTCAAAAGAATTTCTGTTCGTTCAATGGCTTCATGACGCAGGTTTTTGTGATACAAAGTATGTATTCCTAGATTTCATTTCGAATCGACCCATTCGAAATGAGAATATGCTAATTTGCTCGTGGTATGGCCTAGCCGACTACTGGGTTCTCAACATCGCGATCTGTACATATAGCATCCTCGCAAATCACAAACGTCTTTACGGGTGGCTACAAGACCACCCTCTGATTGTTTGCTTGTGGCCCTGGGTGTTATCGATCATATGGGCCGTTCTTGGTCTGGTATTGGTCGAATACCAGAACATTGGAGGCTGTGAGTCTGACTCTTCACCTGCTGTCTCTTTCCACTCTTCCTAACATCGATGGTCGGGATACAGTCTGCTGGTTCGCCAGCGATCGCACTCGTTTACTCGTCAACTTCATTCCCAGATGGCTCATTATATTCCTCATCATCGCTCTCTATCTCCGTCTCACGTACATTCTCCTCCGGATACAGAAACAGTTGGAAAGCACCGAAGAAGACACAACGATTATATTGTCAGGACACCACCGGATGAGCCACCATATTGATTTGCAGCAGAAGGACCCGCAGACAAATTTATACCCTCATACTTCGGACTCAAGATCAGCTATGGCGAATGTCCACCGCAGTGGCCCGAGTTCGAAGTTGAAAAAGGTACGTCCTATCTTCAAAGCGGGTATGTATATGGTTTTAGCTCGAGCTAACACGCGTGATTCTAACAAGGTGGCCGTACGAATGATGATGTATCCTGTCCTCTACATGCTCGTGTGGACTATTCCGACTGCCATCCGAATCTACCAAGGAACGTCAGGCCACTCAACTCCACTAGGCATCAACTGCGTGGATAAGGTATGAGCCTATTCTTTGTGTTAAATATTCTTGATCGACGAGATTGATAATCGTGGGATCAACAGGCCTGTATTGTGATCCAAGGCTTGGCAGACTCAATCATCTATGGTAAGGACTTCTCTATTATGGCATGTAAGACTTATTACTGACAATTAAAGGCCTCAATGAGCGAACGTGGAATGAGTGGATGAAGTGCATCTTTCCACGGAGGAGCAGGATGAACTCATAGATTACTCTTTTCTCTGTGATAATACATATTAGATTACTTATTATCGGTATTTTTATTGAAGTCCCATAGAGTATAGAGTACCCAATCACTATTATATTCTTTTCATCCAAGTCCAGCCACAGATTTGCTGTTTAGAAACGATTAAGAAACGATTAAGCCATTGGTTCAATAAGCTCTGACAAGTCTAAGTTCGCGCACCCAGTCAATTTGTTCTCGCTCGGTTGTTACAGCAAAATGAAAACATCGCCACTTTTGCTCGGATTGATGGAGAATTCTATCATTAATTATGTGAGAAACGTGGCCGATAAAAAAATGGTGTAGCTGGTCATCATAAACCCCAGAGGGCCTTGGAACTTCCAACCGGGATCTCTTAGGAGGAAGACCGCAGAGATCACAAGGTGGACGGGCCAATGTTGGGGAAGAAAACCGCATATCGAGCGACGTCAGCATTTCATCCTCCGAAACTGTCGCCCAGCTTTTATAGACTGTCAATGAGCTTTCACGGAGAACAAAGTACCTCCATACACCGTCGTGATCAGGCAGATTAAATGACATCATGTAACCACTCCATCTAATTCGTCGCCTAGGAATAGGTTTAAATGAGAGCTCGATGAATTCATTGATTGTCTGCTGTTCAAGAAGGGACATGATTGCTTCAGTTATTGGATTCTTGGAAGTCTGGAGAAGTGCGCTATTATTGTGGATAGCACCGCTGTTTGACATTGCTCCTTTGCCCAGGAGAAGCTTCAACACAGCTGGATGGCCATTAACAGCCGCCCAGGAAAAAGGTGCACGATGGTCGAGATCTTTTACGCGGATGTTTATGGTGTTAATGGAGGCTCGTAAAGGCATCGGAAAACTATCCTCGTATCCAACAATCACCGGCACCCAGGTCAAGCCACGTTCAAGAAAGAAATCCATGACGTGGTAATGTAGTCCCATGATAGCCCATGCAAGAGATGTGCAGCCGATTGCATCTCGAGCTTCAGTATCAGCGCCGTAGTAGGAAAGAACCTTGACTGCTTCCAAATGCCCTTCTTTTGCAGCTTGTATTAGCGGCGTCCGGTAACCAACGCCTCTCGCCTCAATGTTGGCTTTTGGCAGAGGAAAATTTTCTGGAGCCTCTATATCCACCGTAGGTTTCAAAAAAGCTTCCAGAACCTCATTGTGGCCATTGCTAGCGGCCAACCAAAGTGGAGTTAGCCCGGCATTCGACCGTATATCAACATTTACTCCCTCCTTTCTCATAAGCATGTAAACAATCGAAACATGCCCTTCGACGGATGTATAATGAAGGGCTGTATAGCCCTCTTTGTCTCGTCGATTTACATCGCAAATATTTAACAACATCTGAAAGATTGTTCCCAGTCCAGATTTTGAGGCAAAGTGGAGAGCAGAAAGACCATTCTCAGACAAGGGAATATTACAGACATGCTGCAATTCAGAGCTGTAGGTTGATAGAATTGAAAGAAGAGGTTCGTGTTGCTCCACTACCGCCCATGCAAACATAGCGTGTATCTGAGATGATGGGACGGGACTGCTGGGTACCCATGAATGAAAGTTCCACGTCTCACTAAATGTTGTTGCCAGCCGCTCATACTTATCCCAAACAGGTGACTCTGCTGTTATGTTTCTAGTATGCAAAGCCCAGTTCTCAATTGCATAATCAAGAAATCTATATTTCGTCCCATCCGGCTTGGAAGAAGGAGGTATGATATTGAATGAAATGGTGGCGGAATGGCCCTGACCCCGATTTCTGCTAAGCAAGCGACTGTTAAATGCAAAGCCGACGGCTTTTCGTGCCACTAGCACGGGATCCGGGAGTCTCACTAATGCCGTCGTTTTTCGCGGTCTGTCAAGCTGCAAAGAGAAATCTGAAAAGGATAAATAAGCAATACAAAATTCGCCGCATTTTAGATCGCCCTCGATTCGGCTTAAAGGATATCCGCAAAGATCTTTGCTATCTTTCTCCAAATACTGCTTGACTGAAGAGTGAGCAAAGTGAATGCTGTAGTCAGTTGGATCCATAGTGATAAGATTCGCGCAGGATCCGAGGATAAAGTCAGTTCGTGGCAGCTGCTCCTTATCCCAATTTGTATCATATAGACTGAATGCTACAGCTTCCTTCAACTCCTCAATATGCAAAGAATTGTTTGCAAAGCTGACCCAGGTAAGAGTTTTGAGAGTGCGCGGATCGTGAAGATTAATACGATGCATACAGCGCCTATAGGTCTCTTCCAAGTCCTTCGGCAACGACTGGAGTGCAGATCGTATTTCTGCATCCGTAAAGCATGTATCCCAGATGATTTCCATCTGAAGGTATACCCATAAAAACCTAACATGTTAGAAGGATAATTTGGCATCAATGAGAGAAAATGTTAAACATACATGCCTGAAGATTCTGTCATTAGAGTAAGCTTCATCTCACTTAATAAGCTCATATCATCGGTCAGCCTTCTCATCATCATTTTGTCATTCATGCCTTCTTCGATGTAGAGTTCAATATCCCCGAAGACATTTGCTGAGGTTGATATGATTTGTATGCCGGGGAAAAAAGTTGAGATACTGATGAATCCCGGCATTTGTTCTCTGCTGACCAGTAGTATCTGTGATCCGTGAGACGAATTATCATCGCAGAACAAAGATCTGAAACATTTTAGAATGGATCTTGCTTGTCCTGATTCCGCGAGGTCGAGGCCATCAAGGACGTAAATAGTGTTTGGAACGTGAGGAAACAACCAAGAAAATATGTTTTCGATGTCCTCAAAGTCAGGCTTCATGCGCTTTGGCCCGAAATATTTCTTCATTTCTCGTTCAATTCGTTGCGGAATAGGGCTTGATGTTGACAGAAGATAGTCGCAAATTTGCTTCACTAAACTGGACATGACTGCCATTGCCTGGTTCTCGCCATTGGCTTCGCCGCAATAAAAGAACACTGTCAATGTACCATTCTCAGCACGACATTTTGCCATTTCGATAATTGTAGATCTGACAGTGCCTTGTTAGAAGTTAAATAAGTTCAACTCCTTTGGAAGCTCTTACGCTACGATCGTTTTCCCGGAGCCAACTGAAAATGCGAAAGTCAATAGGAATTCAGGAGAGTGAAATCTAAGTGGCGAGAATAAGACTTACTTTTCCCCGTACACCATAAACAAGGAAATTGCTTCTTCTCAAACCAATTTCTAAATTTCGGATGGTCTGTAAACCATTGTGTAGTTCCAGCAAGCCTCTTTCGAGAAAGCCTCTGATGAATCTTTTCATGATCGTAGCTGGATATACGTTGAAGAATAGATTCAACCTCTTCGTCCAGTTGCAAGCTCTGAACAAGAGGCCCTGCGGCTCTTGTCTGTAGACTCCAGTAGTGGGGATTTACTGACGGATTGGTTAGAAATTTCGTCTACCACCTCCTTTAGCCCAACTCACATTTGATAATAGAATTTGCGACCGGCATTTGCCTTGACCAGCTAGGGTGTATCAGACAAAGGAGCTCCTTTGCGTAGGCAGCCGCTGTCGCTGCAGCATATTTCTGCCACTTTTTGTTCTTATGTGAATCGGCGTAATCGCAAATGCCTCGAATTACCAGGCATGGGAAATTATCCATCAGTCCAGATGCCTCCATCTCAAAACACAATATTCCGAGTTCCTTGCCTAGCGTATCCCGGGTCGGCGCATGTTTCATTACCTGATTACCAGAGGCAATCAGGCCATAATGTACAACGGGGCCATTATTTGCTCGAGGAGGTCGCTCAATGATCATCTTTTTGTCGCAACGTTCGCAGGATTTCTCTTCGTCCCTAGTGAGGTGAGTCATATCTAAAAAGAGAATTGAATCCATGGGCCAGTATAAAGTATCAAACATACCAATGATCGTAGATAGGGTCGAATAAAATGTCTTGTTCCATGCCACAATATGTGAACATATCCCTCGACGATGGGAGATCCGTTGATGCCGTGATCAAGTGCCTCGATATTTGACTGTATCCCAGCATATGTTGGGCTTGCATTTTGCTAATTGCCGTAAGGAGGATCGGTGGCGGTTTGTTCAGCATTCCAGTTCTCTGGAATTTATTTTCGCCCACCGTTTTACCGTAGTCATATTGTATCACGCCGCCAAAGTCTCTTGATGGTTTGCTAACTACCACATCCCCAAGACGAATATCAGCCTGTTTGCTAGGGACTCCTCCGCCAATTCCCACCATGAGGTTGTAGCGGATTGACTTGAATGTATGTTGAATCTGCGAAGCCAGTATTGATGCCGAGATCGTGCCATACACTCCAGAAGGTAAACATGCAATAACAATATTATGGCTCTTGATCCTGCCAAGGATGTACGTGTTGTGGTCTCTTGAGTCCGTGGGTAGTTCTTGAAATCTCTCATCCAACATCGCTATAGCCGCGGCCATTTCCAACGGCAGTGCACAGATCCATGCGACGGTAAAATCATCATGAGGGACAGTCTGCTCTTCAGCTGCCATATCACTCTGGTTTCTTCCGTGAACTTGACCTGCATTCATGTGTCGCTCGTGTGACTCCCCTTACCAGTGGAGGAGGTCAAGGTTGAACGACTGAGAAGAATCTGGAGGAATAGTGACGGAATCAAAGTTTAAAAATTTAAATACATGGTTTTGGAAGACACACTAGCAGGGGTATGCATGATAGACCACAAATTCCAGTGCCAACACAAGGCTGACTTTTTAGGTCACAGCCCAAACAAGGCTGTACAGACAGTTTTGACATCTTTGGGACAGTTGAATGATGGTCTTCATTGCACACAAAGTCGTAGTTATGCTTTGCGCATACTGACTCTTCACAGTGTCACATGAAGATAGATAGCTTGGGTGATGTTGTAGTGAGAGGAAGATATTTAGGTGAATGAATGAATGATCTTAATGTTTTATTTCTTGGGGAAGCTGCGCATTGACAGCCTGAGACTTCAGGCAACAATACTGACATAACTGTAAAATACCGTTTAGTAGGGTAATCCCATCTGACCCACCGCCCCCTTATCTCCGTGCCTCCACCGATCAAACCTCCAACTTTGGAGCAAGACAACGCTCATTCGGGTTCACGGCGCACACTCGATCGCGACCGAGCCTTTAAAACGTTTGATTTGACCATGCCTTCCAGGCAAGAACTTCGAGACCATGATCTCCTTTCGCCATCCGCTTACGACGACGATGTCACGTCTCCGCGATCGCTATCAGAACAAGACTCCGATTCCGAAGACGATGAGTTTCTGCGCGCGAATCGATCGTCGATGGAGCTTGCCAGGCATGACAAAACTGTATTAGAGGAGGAAGAGGAGATGGAGAAGCTACTCGTGAGAAGTGGCCCAGCAGATGGGTTGCGACGTATTTTTAGCCCAACGTCCGGTCCCGTACGTATAGGGAAGCGGGATCGCAGTCGGCGGCGAGAGAGAAAGAGGAGCATACAAGGCAAACCGCACCAAGAAGGAGATCTTATGTTCGAAATGGAAGAGGGTTTCCGGGATTTCTCGGATGTCGATAGCATTGATTCCTTCAACTTAGATGAGAAGGATGTGGATGATTGGCAGGACAAACCTGTAAGTCAAGGGAAGTCAGACGTACCATCTCAAGCTAATACTCGATTTTCACGATGTAGCCGAAACGAGGTCTATGTGTGCGGCTCACACTAGTGTTTTCTGCCATCGTCGTTCTCTTCCTAATCCTCCTGCTCGGCGCATATAAGGCTTCCAAGGATACGCACGTCACGAAGAAGGTTAGCCCGAACCTTCTTTCGAACGGGACAGCGCTCTTCGCTCCAACAACCATCGTCGTATCTCTCGACGGATTTCGTGCCGATTTTCTGAATCGTGGATTGTCGCCGACTTTGAGCAAGTTCATTTCCGAAGGTGTTTCGCCGAGATTCATGGTTCCAAGCTTTCCTAGCGTCACGTTTCCAAATCATTTCACGCTAGTCACCGGTCTGTATCCTGAGAGTCATGGAATGGTGGCAAATGATTTCTATGATCCAAACCTTGAGGAATATTTCACCGTCAAACCAGGGCTTAGTGATAACGCAAAGTGGTGGACAGCAGAGCCTATTTGGGCGACGGCTGAGAAGCAAGGCATCCGTACTGCCATTCATATGTGGCCAGGCTCAGAGGCACACATTGGTAACATGGATCCGACGTTCTACGACAAGTTCAATGGAACAGAGATTCTTTCGCGTAAAGTCGATCGGGTTATGGAATTTCTTGACTTCCCAGGTGAAGAAAGTGATGAAGGCGTCAAGAAACTTCGCCCACAATTTATTGCAACATACGTGCCGAACGTTGATACTGCTGGCCATCTTTATGGTCCGAACAGCACCGAGATTCGATCAGTTATTACCTACGCAGACGACATGCTTGCGGGCATTTTAGACGGGCTGGAAGCTCGAAATTTGACTGATATAGTCAACATCGTCGTTGTTTCTGATCATGGAATGGCTACAACTTCTACATCACGAACTATCCAGCTGGATGATCTGATTGATGTAAACTTGGTGGAGTATATAGACGGTTGGCCTTTGAGAGGTATACGGCCAAAGACGCCGGAAGATTTGGATGTCTTAAAAGCCCAGCTGGCAGAGAAGGCGGAGGAGTATTCCGATGGGATAGAAATCTATACCAAGGATACGATGCCGGAGAGATGGCATTTTACGAATAATGACCGAATCGCACCGTTGTGGGTTATACCTAAGGCTGGTTGGGCTGTCGTGGAACGACCTGATTTTGACGTGCAAGAGGCACTGGCAAAGGACATTGCTTACCGGCCCAGAGGCATTCATGGATATGACAATTATCATCCCTTGATGCGAGCCATTTTCGTCGCTCGAGGACCTGCTTTTCCTCATCCTCCTAACAGTCGAGTTGAAGAATTCGGTAAGGTCACCATCCACATTATTACTGCTGCGATTTACTAATAATTTTCACAGAGAATGTGAACGTATACAATCTCATTTGCGATTCAATCGGAATCAAACCGCTACCCAACAACGGCACATTGCATCTTCCCTTCACTACTATTGGTCTGCACAGTGACGACGATGCCCCAGGTCTTGATACACCAGCGGATCCTCCACAAACAGCGGCGACCATGAGCCCATCCCCGTCTCCATTAACTAAAAGCACATCTCCTGCGCCTGTGGCAACTCCTCCATCGCAGGAAGTTTCAGCTGAAACACCATCAGATCTTGATGACGAAGGTAATGATGATGTCGACGACGAAACCTCGTCACTGCAGTCATTCTATGACGGGGTCAAGGATACCTTGAGCTCGATTAAAGACTGGTTTGGCCAGTTATTCTCTGCAAAAGAAGACAATCATCCGCCTTCATAGATTCGCGATTTTCTCACAGCATGGAATACCGGCGTTAATTATGTTCTCAATCATTTTCAATCATTTAGCATTGCGTTGCTAGTCACATTCGTCTGAAAACCTTGTGGGGTTGTGGATGTGTGATATATATATTTGTTTAATAGCAAGATACCCGATTGCGAGTCCAGTAGCAGTTTCCTCTGTGTTCTGATCCATTTTATCTCGTCCACGGGTATTGGCATTCACCGCAGAAATAAAAGATCGTCGTCCGAAACTATATTTCAGGTACCTAGATCGACTGAGTATCTGTTATTGTTACGGGGCTGGGATCCCAAGGTTATGTGGTTCTATAGATGTCTAAGTATGTCTGTACTTTGGTGATGGGAACGAACGGGAAGGAAACATGATCACCACCGACATTTGATAATACCGTAGTGTTCTCTAAAGGCTAATCACTTCATTTCTCTAAGGCCTGCACCTCGATAAGTGACTCCCGATCACCATTCTCCCAGATCTTCACAATCTCCAGCCCAGCAGCGCTCATTAGCTCCTCTATTTCGCGCTTTGTTCGCTGCCTGCTATGCTGCAGCAACCACATTTGCATGTCAAGTTCTGCGGTAAGGCGGCCTGCATCAACCTCTGGAACAAGCATTCCCGAAACTAGCAGGCGCGAATAGCCCGGTTTCATGGCCTCCGCCAGATTTCTGAGGATGATTCGACACTCTGCGTCTTCCCAATTATGCAGCACCGCGAGTAACAAGTAGAGTCTTGCTCCCTTGATCGGCTCTGGACGGAAAAAGTCATGTGCTATAGCCTTGAAGACTCGTTTCTCGCCCATGATTGGTCCTACGGTCTCAGGCAGATCTTGCAGAATGAGATTACCGTTGAACTCAGGGTTACTCTCAAGAAAACTTTCAAGATCGTGGCCACGGCTTCCGCCAACATCAACAATGGTAGTTGCAGATACGTCGTCGGTTGATCCTAGCTCTGACATGACAGGATAAACGTGGTGCCAGCGTCGTTGCTTGTCCTTTTTGCGGGCCTCCATGTAAGCATCGAAATCTGCTTTGCGGTCCTTGTTTTCCCGCAAGAAATCATACATGTCCTTGCCATAGGTGTATGAGTATGCGGAATTTGGGGCACCGTCAGCCGTGGTTTCGTTGGGGTATTTGGAAAAATACTCCGCGATGTTTGTTGTGATTGCGCAGGCAGGGATGGAGCTGTTGTGATAAATTTGTTTAGTTGGTTAGACAAACATCAAGGATTCTTTTCACGTACCAGACCCTGAAACCTCCAATTTGACCTTTGCTAGCAACCACAGGCGTCTTATCGTTTGCACGGTATAGCTGGAACCCAACTTCGTCGCACACTCCGATTGCGGTGAGGAGACGCAGCACACGAACTTGAAAGCATAAGCACACAGTTCGAGAAACACTCATTATGTGGATGTATCTTACCGATATGAAGCTTTGGACGATTTGTCAATTCAGCCAACTGGTCTGCAGTGGTCTCTTCTCCACGGCTCGAGAGCGCCTGCAAAATACCACCTTCTACAGCCATCATAAGGGCGCAGATATCCAACGGCTGGAATACGACTTAGCTAATGTAATACTTATATTTACACGCAGAAAATTTGCAATCACGCGTAGTCGGGCTACGACAATCGCGCCAGCAAATAATGTGGGAGACGAACCTGATATCTGAGACGCTCGGCAAAGACTTCTGGAGACTCGCTGCGATGCTGCAAATCTTGACATAATTTGATAATACCGCTAGAGTTTTTGACTTTGCCTTGAGCATAATTCTCAACAGCATCTTGGATTTTGGCAGCGAGGTTGCGGAGCTCGTCAATGCGGGTATCTTGGGGGATGGCCATGGTGTTCGCTTTAGTGTTGTTTGCGACGAACAAAGAATCGAGGAAGAATTTTATGAAATTCGATTTGATGAGTTCAAATTGGCTTGAATGATGTATATTCACTTTTTTGGGCGAAACACATCAATCCTGATGTCGTACATCGTCATTTCACGATATGTATCTGGATAGTACCTCGGTGTCCACCCTTTCCCGCTTAACCCCGGGACATCGACATTCGTTTAAAGAGTACTTCAACCCGAGCAAATCGGGAGTCGGGAGTAAATTCAATGGAACCGATCTCCGGGACTCAACAGAGACTATTAAAACCCGCTGCTTCCACCTACGGAGTAACTATTGTGGAGTGTTTTGGGACTGCGCTCGAAGCGCTGTGCGGGAGACAAGGTCCCTGAGGACTCTCTTCATATGAACAGCATTGGACTTTACATCTCTATTTGCTATACTGCAGTACTGGTCAGTCAAAGCTGGATTTGTGTATGCGAGAGGCAATGCGATTAGATTGTGACCGAGTCTCGCAGTACGCAATGAGCTTATGTTTTTGCATATGTTGTTGATTGAAAATAGAAGTATCGTATATCTAAACCCCTTCAAGTAAATCAATTCCCACTTAATCGACGTCTCTGATTAGCATATCCTAATTCGAGAAATATATTACGTTAGTGCATGGTACAAATTCCCTCTTTTACTTGCTTAAACGTGACGAACAAGACTCTAATATCATCATGTAAACACAATCGTTGAGAAAGATCTGCTGCTTTTGCAATCTCCGGACTTCTATCGTTATAACATCATCCCATTCACATCAACCGGTATCCCTCTCAGCTCATACCCCTCGCTCTGTGCCCTTTCCCACTGCTCTTTCACAATTCTGAGCCGGTCATCATTCCTTGGAATAAAACGTGCAGCAAACGGCTTGGGAAGAGTAACTCCTCCCTCTGTGTACGCATCATCGCTTGTATCAAGAACCTTCTCAGCTCCATTCACGATCGGGGGGCAAATTTCGTACGCCCACAAGATCCCAGCAAGTGCAATATACAGAGAATTTTCCGCCAGTCTCGCACCCGGACATGTTCTCCTCCCAGTGCTGAACGTAAAATGGTCGCGTTTGGCAGGGTCACTCATAGCAGCGTATTCGGAGCTATATAGACTATGATTCAAATATCGTTCCGGCATGAATTCAAATGGCCTTTCATAACGTGAAGGATCATAATGTAGGAAAGATGTGTTGGTGATCAATACTGTTCCTCTTGGTATGATGTGGCCCTTGTAAAAAAGATCCTGTTCCGCGAAGTGACGAACACCCGGAGCGATTAGTGGATTTATCCGCATCATTTCTTTTACGCAAGCGCGAATATATGAGAGGTTCTCAATATCTTCGAATGTAGGAAGACGGTCAGATCCGACTACCTTCATTAGTTCCTCGTGGGCTTTGTGCTGAACAGACTTATTAGCTGCAAGATGGAGCACGAGACTGTTCAACGTGGCGGCCGTCGTCTCAAAGCCTGCCTCTACTAGGCCCGTCGTGAGCCAGACTAGTTTCTCTTCTGTCAGTCCCTGCGCATACCAGGACTCTTTTTTCTCATAGATCTCCCGAGCATAACAGTGCGGCGCTTTTCCAGAAGTGACTTGCTCTCCCAGCTGTTTCCACAGCTCCATTTTTATGTTCCTTACTTGATTTGCGGCGCTTTCCGCATCCTTCCGACCAGGCCATAGCCACTTAGGTAACATAGCCAAAAAAGGTACCTCATCCACGATGAACGCTCCCGGTCGTGATGTCCTTCGTAGAATTGCTTGAGTTTGAATGGCTTTTTGCGCTGCTGGATCGTCTAGACTCTTGACTCTAGTCCCGAACGTATTCGTCATAATAATACTCAGCGCATATCTTCGCATATGTTGATAGAAATTTCGTTCATTCTTATTGTCTGTGCCCAAATCGGAGAACAACTGTTTTGCCTCAAACACTTGACTGGGAATAAAAGTTGATGTTGCGGGTACGGTGGTCATCTGGCGAACCGCTGTTCGGAGAGCTCGCCATTGGTTTCCGTACGGCATAGTAGGCATTCGATTCCCACCTGTTACAATGTCATGACTCATAGGCGAGGGGGCTTTGGAGGAGGTGTGAATTGCTTGCTTTTCAAGGATCTCACGCACAGCTTCGGGGGTGTTGATGACTACCCAGTTGTACCATCCAACCCGAATCTTGAATACATCGCCATAGTCAAGTGCCCATTTGCGAAAGACTGCTGCCGGTTTAGAGGGGAGTTGGAATCCGATTCCGATCAAAGGTAAGCCTTTAGGACCTGGGATGGAGTCAAGCCGTCTGTCTCTGCGAAACCACCCGAGAATGACTGTGACAGTGAATAACAGAATCAAACAAACACCTTGATGGTCTTGACATAAAGTGAGTAGTTTTTCCATTCTCTAGCCGTTTCGAGTGGAAAATCAGATACTGCGTTATTCGGATTCCTGCTGGATTATAGATAATATTCCATTTCTGTAAGGGTAGACGGCCCGGAGTTACGATCGGCTTAAGGTCAGAGATGTAATGAAATTTATTTACATGTAGTTATGACGACAGTACTCATTGACACCCGTCAAATCGGTGCAGTTTTGAAACCCGAGTCGCTTTATGAGATTTCGGGTCCCGGATTAATGCCTTGCATACTGAGGTAACACTAGAAACGCTGAATACATAGGTCAGCTTATTGCGGATAATGTAGGTTTTTCATGCCAGAAAAACATCGTTTTGCACATTCAACGAAGATCGCATTGTTGATTAAATTTGTTCTAGCTTGGTGGTGATCGTAAAACACTTATACCAATCCAACACCACATAAGAAAAATGACCAAGCCCGACCCCAAAGCTAGAACGAACTATGACAATACCGACTGGAAAAAATACCAACAAGGTCGACCCCCATATCCTCAATCATTCACTAAGCTAGTCTACGACTACCATCGTCGTCACCCCTCCGCAGGATGGGAGCGTCTCGTTGACATTGGCGCTGGGTCCGGCATCGCGGCCACTGACTTCATGGCGGATTTCAAGATCATTCATAATTCTGATCCTAGTCCATGGAATGAGCAACAAGCTCGTGCGTTCCTCTCGACTTATGCAGAAGACCACGGCCTAACTCCCGAGCTGGAATTCTCCCAGTCAACCGGAGAAGAAGCTTATAAGCATGTAGGCGAGGCAGCAGCGGATCTTGTCATTGTCGCAACCGCCGCACATTTCATGGATCCCGATGGACTAGCTGAATGTGCTGCGAAGATCCTTCGCCCAGGAGGGACTTTGGCTGTGTACAGTTATTGGATTCCTAGCTTCCCCGATCGCTCGCAACGCTTCAATGATATCTTCTCTAAAACATTCGATAATCTGGTCCTCAAAGCTCTAGAAGTGGGCAACGAAGCAAATCGTGCTAAATTTCTTGATGTTGTCAAACGCCGGATGACTGGTGAGGGCTGTCTGGACTCGCTGCCGTTACCCACCAAACACTTTGAAGAAACTAAGCGCATCTACATCAATGCTGGAAGAGGGAAGGTCCCTTATAAAGATCTGTATCAGCGACTAGTTGACCCGGGGAAAACGGTCGGCGGTGTTTCTAGGGTTAGCGAGAATGATGAGATCATTCGGTATAAGACGGATGAAGATATACAGGCCGAGGGGTGGGCATTTGATGCAGGCAAGGAATGGTTCCCGATCTTCTTTAACTCAATGCGGGCCGCCACTAGCCAGATGACGCAGGAAGAAGCGAGGGAGGCGTATCAAGAGTGGGAAGAAATTTTTGATGAGGAATGTCCAAACGGTACAGTGAGGGTGTATTGGCCTTTTTATGCTGCGTTGGCCCGAAAGAAGTAGTGCAATCTCTGCCCTAGGATTTAGATCCTAGTCTCAGGAAAATGGGTGGATGATCTTTTTCTTCGGATATTCTGATTCTGCTGTGCAACCACCAGAGCCTAAAATATCCACCCGATAGCAGTGGGCTTGGAGAAGTACTGCCTGCTATATTTGTATGTGAACGTTTATCGAGGCAAAGCAATCATTGCACGTAGAACAAGCGTCCGCTTCCAAGTAATGGCGGATCTTAACATTGAGTTACTTTATTACTGTACTTGGAAGTAGGGCTAGAAAAAATCACGTGTTAACCCGTCCCATAAGAGTCAGAAATTTTCTACCTCTAGGTCGATAGTGGGCCTTAACGCAATAATCTCAATTTGTTTATATAGCGTATACTCATAAAATAGCTTCTAGAATAGGTGTACTATTTCCTGTGGTCCTTCCATCCATGAATATTATTAAAGAAAAGTATAATTTTGAAGTGGCTAAGCCAACGACATCCATGAACACATAAAACAATATTCATTTCCGAATTTTGTGTAGGAAAACCTAAGCACCATTGGATACTCTCAAATCAGGAACGAAATTCCAGGCTGTTTCAATGCCTCCATAAAACACCCACCGCTTCATGTTGTTCACGACCATGTCTCCTCCCTGGCCTACATCCTGCATGATCTTGACTCGAATATCATCCGGCATGTTATGTCCACCAGGCTTGAATACATCTTCAGTGGAATCTACAGCTATATGGGCGATTTTCAAAAATTCTGCCCTTGAGATTGGAAAATCATCAGCCGTATCGCCTAGCTGATCCGAGCTATACAGAGCACGTAACAATTTCACCACATGTCCCTCATCGTGATATATGTTGGCACGGTGAAACAGTTCGGGCCAACCTTGTTCGGGTTGATTCGGAACGTAGTCAACAATTCGTTTCGGATAAAATGCTGGACATCTCGCGCCCGCGTACATTACGAGATCCCATCTTGCCTTGGCTTCAAGCAAACGGGCCTTTTCCTCATTGGTCATCCAGTCCAGCGCCAGAATAGCCGGATAAAAGACGGATAGAGTGGCGCAGTGTAAAGTGACGAAGTCTAGCATTTCTCGTTTTCCAGGGCGTTGCGCTGCCCCCAACATGTATGCGGATGTATGCATCATATCGCGCAATTTAGCTTGTAGGTCTTCCTTTGTGGGTTGTACTTGGAATTGACTGACATAAGGCGCGAGTTGTTCACCGTTTACACGCGCGAGTAGTCCCTCTTTGATCTTGTTGAAAGGATCAGTGGATCTTACCGCGGTGGAAATTTCCGGATCGTTACGGAGATCGTCAATGATTTCTAACAGAGTCTTTGAAGGGGTTTTATTCTTGGACTTGAGATAGGTCTCCGCCGGTTCAAGGACTTTTTTAGGCCAATTTTCGTGGACACAGGCCGCTGCAAGGGCTTCTGCGACGAGACTGGGCTGATTAAATTCAAGTGCGCATCCGAGATGGATGATCGGGTGAACCAGATCTGGTCATGGTTAATATAACTTACCTCGAGAAAATATTTTCATAAATGAATTACCTGTATACATCCGATAGAAGATATCATTTGCTCGCTCATCACCCTTCAATAAGTACTCGTGAAGGACTGCCGGCACACCTATCCTATCGATTTCCTCTTCAAAAAACTTCATGAAATCTGCATAGTAATCATCGCTGCCAAGGCACTTATTGAAAACACCTGGGTCCATCAAGTCGGGTGTCTCGGAAAGTGCACGTTTGGGCTTCTCGATAGGAATTTGATAGCGGGTGTTGTATTGATACAAATTCTCAATCTCCTCTGGACTGGCCCCCAGTGCCCAAAGGCCGAGAAGATGATGCACGATGTGATCTGGAAAGAGTCAGTAATGAATTTATATGATTTACACGTAACGCACTGTGGAATCCTGCATTGAAGCGTGTATGGTATAGTTTATGGTTGATTGTGAGTAGTTCTGATACTTTCTTTGCGCTTTGCTTGGTCAGGCCCTCGGCGTGGGTATGTCCTTTGGTACCATCAGTAGTGAGCTGTATGGTAGTTGTTGCGGTTGAAAGATTGTTGATTGCCATTTTGAGTGGTGTTCATCCGAGATATTCAGCCCTTTTGCTTGTCAATATAGCATATATACAAAATTCCGTCTTAGATAAGATTACAACCGACCTCTGCCTTACCTCAGTCACTCAGCTCATTCTATAGCGTCATAGTCACAACGGAGCTTGCCGAGAGTCTGTTTGACTGCCATGCGGGACAAGCAAGCTTCATGCTCCGTTTTCCTAAGTCGTCTCGATTGCATCGGGGATCATTCGGGGCCCGGAGATTCCCGTTACTAAACCCGCTCGACATTGAGAAACCCGCCATCTGATAATGTACAAATTTACTTAAAACAATTATCAGGATGACCGAAGCCTGATACCAGTTTTCTAGTCACACAGATCCCTCATTGTACAACGTGAAATACAAAAATTCTTACCGGAACATGTATTTGGCGATATATACAGCCTGCGCGATTGATTGAATCCCATTTACGACAACCACGTACTAATCGCAGTCGATAACCATCAATCTAATTTTAGAAATAGTTACAAGATTCCTTTAGCAATTTCCATCAATGTTAGAAAATTTGTAAAGCTCTTTGACCTTGATATTATAAAAGATAGTATCGATTGTGAATGAATCTAAGTCACATGGAGTAGCTATCCATGGATACTCCGCAGTTGCTGGTCGAAGTGGCTGAGATCCATGGCCAATCAAGCTATAAACCTTTCTGTTGTATTGTTAGACTGGTCTACTAACAAGAAATGCATGTCATTTTGAGAACTTTAGTCTTTAATATAGTTTTCGGGGAGTGTATTCTCTTTTCTCCTGTGCTAGGTAGAACTACGCAATGATTGAGACATGAATCTCATTGGCTCAAACCTATAATTCATTATATAAAGCCATATTTGAACATAAAATCCAGGTATCGACATAAGCCACGTTGACTAAGTAATGTCCCATTTGTGTAGGCCAGGAAATCAGTCGGTCCCGAGGAGTCAATCCATTGCCCGGAGTGTACTATTGGTGAAATTCCATGTTCTCTTCGATGAGCATTAAAAAAAGATAAGCAACATCCATTGGTATTACAGTATGGAATATCCGATGCTGTTTTCGTTTTCCGGTACAACTTACCGAACACATGTCTCTATCCTTGGATTAAGCTGAACGAATATAGATTCTCCGTTCTGCTCGGCTGACGGAATTATTCTGAGATGATCTAGTTATGTTAGTCTTGTTGCATTCTGTATGCAGTATGCAGCTGACGCGTCCTATAGAATGATTTGTTTGTCATTGACATAAGACCCGACATGTATTTAAAGTTCCTCAGCACAAGTCACTCATAACCGTATCAAGTTCGACGTGTAAGATTAGGATTTATATCAAAGCCAAGATATCTCGAAAACCAGAACCGTCAATTATATATCTTGTGCCTCGGTCTCAATTGCAATTATATGCTGCAATATGACAAACCAATTGCCTTTGTTCATTTTTGGAGACCAAACATTTGATGTTCAACCACATTTGAGAGACTTACTAGCGAAACGAGACAACCCAGTGCTTTTAAACTTTGTGACAAAGTGTTACAATGCGATCAGAAATGAAATCTACAAGCTTCCGGAGCAAATCAGAGATGACCTTGCTCGGTTTACATGTGTTGATGATTTAGTTTTTTGGAACCAGATTGGGCGGCGATGTATACCTCTGGACATGGCTGTGACATGCATGTATCAGCTGGGAACATTCATCAGGTATGTGCAATAGAAAGAATATGATAGTAGCTATATGCTAGATAATGCTAACACAATAACACAGCCATGCGGATAAAGAGTTTTACAATTCAGCCAAACCTCGAGTTCTTGGACTCTGCACTGGAGCATTCTCAGCAGCCGCAGTCAGTTGCAGTCACAGCACGGTGGACCTCGTTCCACTTGGTGTTGAGGCTGTTATTGCGGCATTCCGAACAGGAATGATCGTGACAGATGCCGCGAAGAGAATTGCACCATGGAGTGATGACAGCCAGAGCTGGTCAATAATTGTTCCTGGAACGGCGTCAGTAGAAGCTGTTGAGAAGTTTGGCGCAGATATTGTGAGTATCCTGAAACATATTACTGGGAGCTATTGAGAAAAATAGCTAATTGCATAATGTATAGATCCTGCCACTGAAGCCATACGTCAGTGCATATGCACCGAACGGCATTACTATCAGCGGGACTCCTGAATCTCTCAAGAGTCTTACTCAATCCGAAGCCTTCAGCAACTTCAAACACGCGATTATCTCAATTTATGCACCTTATCATGCATCCCATTTGTATTCGGAAATGGATATCAGCCATATCGTTGACGGACTAGCTACTGAAAACCCAAAACAAATCGTGTCTCTCTTTTCCGGTACGGGAAGCAGCATCGAAAAAGGTGATTTTGCTACTGTTCTAGAGTCTGCGGTCAGACAGGTTATTTTGGAACCAATAAGGTGGGCTGCAGTTTTGGATGAAGTGCAGACATGGATCAAGAATGTCAATCCTACCTCCTTTCATGCTGTTCCCATCGGCACAACCGCTCATCAAATGATATATACCACACTTAATCAAACACCGTTACGAACGTTGATACGTCCGAAACCGACTCAGACTCAACCTATCAATGTGAACTCACAGAATGCGTCTCCAAATCCGCAAAGACCAAATCTCGCAATCATCAGCATGTCAGGGAGGTTTCCTAATGCTAAAAACAACGATGCATTCTGGGATCTTCTCTACCAGGGCTTGGATGTCCACAAGGAAGTTCCGGCCTTACGATGGGATGTAAAGACACATGTTGATCCGACCGGAACCAAGAAGAACACAAGTGCAACTCCGTTCGGTTGCTGGCTCGAAGATCCGGGAGAGTTCGACGCTCGCTTCTTCAACATTTCACCCCGCGAGGCACCACAAATCGATCCCGCGCAACGACTCGCCCTGATGACTGCATATGAGGCGATAGAGCAAGCAGGATTGGTTCCAGATGCAACCCCTTCAACTCGACGTGATCGTGTCGGTGTATTCTACGGAATCACAAGCAACGACTGGCTAGAAACTAATAGTGCTCAAGATATTGACACATACTTTATTCCAGGTGGAAACCGTGCATTCGTCCCTGGCCGAATCAATTATGTTTTTAAGTTCAGTGGTCCAAGCTATGCAGTTGATACAGCCTGTTCGTCTAGTCTTGCTGCTATTCATAATGCCTGTAATGCTCTGTGGCAGGGAGATATCGACACAGCCATCGCGGGTGGAACGAATGTTCTTACAAACCCAGATTGTACCACCGGCTTGGACAGAGGGCATTTCCTCTCACATACCGGAAACTGTAAAACGTTTGATGATGGTGCGGATGGATACTGCCGTGGTGAGGGGATTGGAACTATTATTATTAAACGCCTGGATGACGCGATCAATGATAATGATCCTATCCTGGGTCTTATTCGTGGTGTGTATACAAATCACTCGGCTGAGTCAGAGTCCATCACCAGACCGCACATAGGTGCGCAGCGGATGATCTTCAAGAAGATTCTCAACCAGGCTGCTGTCGACCCTTATTCCGTGGGTTATATTGAAATGCATGGAACCGGGACTCAGGCAGGAGACGCTACTGAGATGTCCAGTGTCTTGAATACTTTCGCGCCACCTCTGAACGAAGTCAAAAGAGGTCGGACTGACGAAGAGGCTGTTTACTTGGGATCGGTGAAGGCGAATATAGGACATGGAGAAGCGGCCTCGGGTGTGTCGAGTGTCATCAAGGTGTTGATGATGATGCAAAAGAATATTATCGTCCCGCATTGTGGTATCAAAACCAAAATCAATCATAAGTTCCCAACAGATCTAGGGGAAAGAAATGTGAAGATTGCCTTCAAACCGACAGCTTGGAAGAGAAGCTCCGATCCATTGAAACCTCGACGAGTATTTATAAATAATTTCAGTGCTGCTGGTGGAAATACGGCTCTGTTGTTGGAAGATGCACCACTTACGCCTGATGTTTCAGCTAATGCACCTGCCGATACTCGCACAAAACATCTCATTGCTGTTTCTGCTAAGAACGCCGTTTCTCTGCAAGGCAACATAAAGTCGCTGTTGGCCTATTTAAAACAGGATCCAGATGTCTCCCTCGGCCAGCTGTCATATACTACCACAGCAAGGCGGATGCATCACCAGCACCGTGTCATGCTCACTGGCACAACCGTCGAAGAAATATGCAGCCAAGGCGAGACAGCCCTAAGGGATCAAATAGGAATGACCAGACCCAAAAGCGCGCAAAAAGTTGTCTTTACCTTTACCGGTCAAGGGGCCCAGTATCCCGGAATGGGTAAAGCTCTTTATGATAGCTTCTCCATTTTCCGCACCGAACTCCATCGCCTGGACTACATCGCAAAGGGTCTCGGTTTCGTGTCCTTCCTTCCAGTTATTCTGTCTGAAGATCAGGATGTTGGACTATTCACCCCGACTGCTGTACAGCTAGCGAGCGTCTGTATGCAGATTGCTCTCAGCAAACTATGGGCATCGTGGAATGTCTACCCGGTTGCCGTAGTCGGACACAGTTTGGGCGAATATGCAGCGTTGAATATAGCTGGTGTCTTGTCTGACATAGACACTATCTATCTGGTTGGATGCCGTGCTGATCTTCTAGAAAAGAAATGCACTAAGGATACACACGCCATGCTCGTGGTCAGGAGCTCTGTTGATGAAATTTCTAAGATTCTTGACGGCAAAGAATTCGAGATCGCCTGCATCAATTCCCCTACTGAAACTGTCTTAGCCGGGCCAAATGAAGCCATCGACGTACTAAAAGAGATACTCTCAAATGCTGGGCTCAAAACGACATCTTTGAAAGTACCCTACGCTTTCCACTCCTCGCAGGTGGAGCCAATACTCGAAGACTTCAAAAAATTGTCCGCCAGAGTGACCTTTGCCGAAACCAAGCTTCCTGTAATCTGCCCCTTGGATGGCAGCATCGTTCATGGAACCCATGAATTTGGCGCAGGGTATCTTGTGCGTCACTCTCGTGAGCCCGTGAACATGTTCAAAGCTCTCCTTGCAGCAAATCGCGAGAACATTCTTGCTACAGAAACCGCAACACTGGAAATCGGTCCTCATCCTGCCATATCAGGTATGGTGAAGGCCGTCCTTGGTCCTCAAATGACATGCTTGACATCTCATCAGCGTGGCCGACCTATATGGAACGTTCTATCATCGTCTTTGAAGACGCTGTACGATGCTGATGTGGACATTCACTGGCTCAAATACCACGCCGACTTCAAAGCCTCGCACAAGGTTCTCCAATTACCAGCTTATAGCTGGGATGTTAAGGAGTACTGGATCCAGTACGTCAATGATTGGTCATTACGCAAGGGCGATCCTCCATTGGTCATTGATTGTAGACCAAAACTCGAAAGTACCACCATCCATCGCGTGGTTGAGGAGTCTGGCGATTCACAGAGAAAACATATGATCGTGGAAGCCAACATTGCACGTGAGGATCTCGCTCCGCTTGTCCAAGGCCATGAGGTTGATGGTATTCCACTTTGTACTCCGTCTGTTTACGCAGATATTGCGTTAACTCTGGGCGAGTATCTCATTGCGAGCAGTCGTCCAGATAAGAAGAATGAATTGCTGGTCGATTTGTCTGATATGACGATTTCCAAAGCCCTGATTTTACGTGCCGGTGCGACGAAGCAATTACTCCAGGCTCATGCCGATGTCGACTGGTCAACTAACTCTGCCGTTCTCAAGTTCATGATTTTCGACGTAAGTAGTTCTTCTTCACCCAAGTGATCATCACAACTAACCTCGGAGATTTTTAGAACAAAGAAAAGTTGCAAGAGCATTCCCGCTGCACACTCCGTTTCAAGGATCGATCCCTCCAAGCGACCCTCCAAGCAAACGCATCAAACACAAAACAAAAAATGCAAGCCCTCCGTGAAGGCGTCGCCGCGGGGACCGCAGCTCGCTACAACCGCGCAATGGCCTACCGCGCAATCAGACCATTAGCGCGATTCCACGACGACTACAAGGGCGTCGACGAAGTTATCCTCGACAGCAACACACTCGAAGTAACGAGCCATCTCAGTTTTGGTGACATTACACGTAGTGGAGACTTCCATACTCATCCCGCAATCATTGATTCACTCACACAGTCCTGTGGCTTTGCGATGAATTGCAATGATAAGACGGATTTGGATGTAGATGTTTTTATGAACCATGGCTGGGGCTCATTCCAGTTGTTTGAAGCAATCAAACCGGATGGGACGTATACGACTTACTCGCATATGGAGAAGGGGGCAGATGGGTTGTGGCACGGTGATGTGGTGCTATTTGATGGTGATCGCGTTGTCGGCTTTTTCGGGCAGATTGCAGTGAGTGACAATTCACCTCGACAAACTAATAATTGTTTACTGACTCTTTTCAGATTCAAGGCGTTCCTCGTCGTGTTCTCAAGGTGATTCTGTCTATCGAAAGTGGGAGCAAATCAAAGAAACAAACTACACCCATTTCCGCCGCACCTACGTCGAATGCGAAAGCCCTTCCCGCCGCGCCTACATTGCAAACTAGATCCCTTCATCCTCTTAGTGTCGCTACAACATCTGGATCGGGTGAACTTTCAAAAGCACTAGCTATCATCGCGGACGAGAGTGGACTTGCTATTACCGACTTAACAGACGACACTGCCTTTGCAGATGTGGGCATTGACTCTCTACTAGGACTTACCATCACTGCTCGATTCAAAGAAGAACTCGATATGGAAGTCGACTTTGACGTTCTCTTTAACGAGTATCGTACAATCGGCGATCTCAAGCGTGCCTTAGGAGGAGGGGATGTCTCAAGTACAGCGAGTAATTCTACGCCGACATCTGAATCTGCAGGAACCGCAACACCCACGAGTGACTCTTCGGTCGCCACGCCGGGATTTGATTTCAGCCAAGCTCTCAATGTAATCTCAGAGGAAAGTGGTGTTTCCATCAGCGATCTGACAGATGATACCAATTTCGCCGAGTCTGGCGTTGATTCACTACTGTCGCTGGTTATCGTTAGCCGGTTCCGTGATGAGCTTGAACTTGATATTCAGCAAGAAAGTTTGTTTTTAGAATGTCCCACGGTGGGTGACCTGAAGAAACTACTGCTTGGCGATTCCGCCGCAGCGATTGAGGAGCCCTTGCAAGAAACAAAGAATCATGCGCAGACACTAGCCGATGACACTGCGGCAAGGGACAGAAGGTTGCAACTCGAGATCAAAAACGCAGCTCACGCAGCACGGAGAAAGGCCGTTGATGAGTATGTCGAAAATTATACTTCTGGATTCTCATCCCCTGGCTCGTCGCCATCGGCTTCAGTGCCCAGTAACAACGAAAAGGTAGTCCTGGTCACAGGCGGTACCGGAAGCCTGGGAGGCCATCTGGTTTACCACCTAGCCCAGCTCCCAGATATCCAGAAAGTCGTTTGTCTCAACCGGAGTAACAAAGAAGATTCATTCACACGTCAAAAGAAAGCCATGCGGGCGAAGGGTATTCGTTTCCCAGACGCCCTCAAGCCAAAGCTCTTAATATATCAGACAGACACTTCAGAACCCATGTTCGGTTTGACGAAGGACGAATACAACGGACTGGTAAATTCCGTAACCCACCTTATCCACAACGCATGGCCCATGAGCGCAAAGCGTACACTAGAAGGTTTCGAACCCCAGTTCCGCGTCATGCGAAACCTAATCCAGCTCGCATCCGACGCTACATCAAAACGTCCAGAGAGTTTCAAATTCAGCTTCCAGATGGTGTCCTCCATCGGTGTTGTCGGGCGCTACAATCTCGAAGCTCAAGAAGCCGCCATCACTCAGGGTCATGCAACTGATCAGAAAATCGTCGTACCAGAAGACAGAGTCGACATCGACGCCGTCCTCCCCAACGGCTACGGAGAAGCCAAATGGGGCTGTGAGCGAATGCTAGACGCGACATTACACAAATACCCAAACCGATTCCGTGCCATGGTCGTGCGACTCGGTCAAATCGCAGGCTCCAAAACGAGCGGGTATTGGAATCCGATGGAGCATTTCGGGTTCTTGATCAAGTCGTCGCAGACGCTTAATGCGTTGCCAGATGTTCCGGGAAAAGTGTATTGGACGCCTGTGAATGATGTTGCAGATTCGTTGATTGATCTTGTGCTTGCTGAGAATGTGCCGTATCCTGTGTATCACGTCGATAATCCCGTGGGGCAGGAGTGGAGTGAAGTGAGTGGCATTATTGCGAATGCGTTGAATATTCCACATCTCGTCCCGTTCCGAGAATGGTTGAAACGCGTCCGGGTGGCACCTTCGAGGAATAATCCGGCTTCGACACTGGTGGACTTTCTGGAGGATAATTATCTGAGAATGTCGTGTGGAGGGCTGGTGCTAGATGTTAAGCAGACTCTTGAGCATTCCAAGACATTGGCTGCGCTGGGACCGGTGAGCGAGGAGGTAGTGAGGAAGTATATTCATATTTGGAAGGAGATCAAGTTCTTGAATTAAGCAGTCTTTACGCTGCTGGATATCTAACGGGATGCACTAGAATTTGATGTTCATCGATTATCAGTTTGTTATATGTTTTTGAATACTAGATAATTGAATCCATAACCAATCTAATGAGCTATCATCGACATGCAATTATTAAGAAACTTCCTAGACAACTCCCATACAACTTGTCATAATGCATAGATAAAGGTTACATAACATAGGGGGGTTATACAATCAAAGCCAAGCATGTATGGAGAACAATTAGCCGAAGCGTTTGATATAGATAAGCCCGTTCATGTATTCAATTTCCTCAGCTGCGACCTCATTACATTAACTATCCTCGAATGCTCACCCCTCAACCACGACTCCAAACTCCTACAGAGATTATCAACCGCACCACTACCGAATATAGCCCCATCATCCTCAAGATGTTGAGTACCATTAAACTCACGCGAAGTGAACTGGTCAATGAGATGTTCAGTCCTCCGCATTTCGCCTAGCACTAATTGAATGTTGACGGCTGATTGGACGCGCTGGTCGTCAACATTAAATACGCCGACTGCCATTTTTGCGGGTGTTATGGTGAGGTTGTTCTGTTGTGCTATTGTACTTTTTGTGCTAGACCACGTGGTTGGAGGTCCCGTGCCCAGAGAAGCAGAAACTCCTTCGGGTGAAGACCAAGTTGGCGATAAGTAATGAGACGATGGGTCTATCGTCACCGTCGCCGTTGCAGGATTCCATAAACCAGCACCTCCACCACTGCCATCTTGCGTGCATGCAACCGCTTGCTGATACAAAGTGAGCACACGGCATATTATTGACGCATGCAGCAAAGTGAGATGCGAAGATCGCGCGCATGCGCAATCCAAGAGGGTACTGAGACGCTCACTTGTTTCACGATTGATGCTGAGTAGATGATCAAAGGGTACCCAGTTCGCATTCTCCACTGCTTTTGTGGAGTGTAATGAACTGAATGAGGGATCGTTGCTGATTCTGAGTTGGGATAAGGTGCGGAGTATATCGTAGGCATCTGCATAGCAGGGATGTCCTACCGCTGTTGTAGGAACGTTAAAATCTGTGTCGGATTGTGGTTTCCTATCTGTTTTGGGTTGGATCGTAATGGGTTGTGTCGTAGAAGCGCTCGTTGATGAGTAGTCTGCTATCTCGGGAGACTCTTGTGTGTAAGTAAGGCCCGTCTGAAAGTCAAAGGGGATAAAATCATTGCTATAATCATCTGCAATAATCTTCGTATCGAAATCGAGCGAACTCAAATTCAATAAAGATGGTCCATGCAAGTAATTATTGATCAACGCATCAGCGCTGCCACCCGCGATTTCATGCGATGTAGGTATATCTGCGAAATTTGAAAATAAGCCGAGATCCATCATAACCGCATCGTTATCAACGTTGTCTTTGTTGCTGCTGCTGCTGCTGTTGTTGTTGTTGTTGTTGTTACTCTCCCGCTTTTCTGTTCCCGTAGCGCCAGCCTCTCTGACAGACGTCGTTCCCTGTGTCACACTCGTACGCCTTCCTCTCCCCGGGGCCTTCCCCATTCTGCGCGATACGCCATAGACACATGGCAAACCATAAGAGACGCAACGACCACATTCTGGCTGGGCCCGATCACATCTCAACTTTGCCATTCCACAGCCGTCACAGCTCGATCGTAGTTTTGGTTGTCTTTTGGAAGGCAAAGACGAAGACTGATCTGGCATGGTTTCGATGTACGACTATCTTCTCTTGTGTTTCGAACTAAGATCCATTGGGGGCAAGGTGAAGAAAAGGGAAATGGCCAATGCCAAAGATGCTGGATCGTCGTGTTTCTTGCTTGCAGCTATATTTCTGGCAATAATTCTTTCTAGGTCGTTCCGGACCGGAATATTGGAAATGAACGCTGCTCGTAAAAGCGATCACAGTCCGTTGAGTGTCTTATTTGCTTCGGAGTAACTATACAGATATGTGTCGCCGAGGCAGGACATCCGGTGGAGGTACTGCATACCGATAACCAAAGTGACGGAACCAGTACGCGTCATATGGTTTGGGTCTTTTCATTGGTTCTAAACGATTTGTTGCGCATACGACGTCAACATCTTGTGGGAAAGTAGTACAGTACGTCGTTATCCGGATCGATCGGTAATCTTGGTAGCACGATAGATTATGACAAGCAGATCTATCGAATGATATTCATTAAAAAAGTATCCTATTACACATTTTCGATCATTATCAAGCCTAATACATTACAAACATTCATACAGTACGTGACTGCATGCAACCCCATGACTCGTAGTCATCCCCCGAAGATTTTCTCATCACAAACCATGAGATTTTCAAGCGCAAAATAGTCCGGATGTACGCAATCTATCATACATGTGACCCAGAAAAACAAAAGTTGGCTAAGCTGCCTCCGTTTCAGTCTCAGTCTCAGGCTTGGGAGCTGGCCCTTTTACGCTCTGCCACTTGACGCCAACTGCACCCAAGGTTGCCAAACAGGTCATAATCAGCGCAATCAGGAAAGCCCTTGTCAACGCACTGTTATACGCAACTTGGACTTGATGGATAATATTTGGATCATGAATCAGGGTCGTGATCTCAGTGGCGCCTGCATTGACGATCTGCTGAGGGTCAATGCCAGCAATGCCTGTTAATCCCGAAACGAGATGGTTGGTGAACTGGTTCTGCGCCACACTGACAAAGAGCGAGCCACCAAACATTTGGAAGAATTGCATTATGCAGGTACCGATCGGCACGTCGGCCATGGGTAGGACGGCCTGTGCTACTATGATAGATTGTTGCATACCCATACCGATTCCGGCACCGAACAGAATCTGATATCCGATCCACTTGCCTGTCCCGGTGTCTACTGTCCAGGTAGTCAACAAACCGGCGCCGATAGAGCCAACCACCACCAGGCCATACATGAAGGGGTTATAGTAACCCCAGGTGGAGACGATAAAACCTGCCGTGAGACTTGCAATAACCACAGCGATCATCATCGGCAATGTGTCAATGCCCGAGTGTGTGGCCGAAGTGCCATGGATAGCTTGGAACCATAGAGGGATGTAGTAGACCATGACAAAGAACGAAGCACCGACACACAAGGCGTAAAGTGCTCCACAAGCAATGCTTCGCTGTCTAGCGATACGAAGCGGGATAGTCGCATTATCGCCAGCCCAAAGCTGTACGCCAATAAAGGCAAGGAGCAGAACACCAAATACAACGAATAGAGCGATGATTCGGCCGTTACTCCATGGATAGGTTGTACCACCCCATTGCAGAGCGATGAGCAGACAAATAATACTGGGCGTGAAAAGCAGGGTACCGATAGGATCGAAACGGGCAATGCTCTCTAGCCATGTCCTCTTCGGCTGCGGCATGGGAGGTGGTGCCTTGTAGAAGAAGAAGATAGCAACAGCGGTCACGCCACCGATTGGTAGATTGATATAGAAGCACCAGCGCCAGGTAACGTGATCTGTAAAGACGCCGCCAAGCAGCGGACCTACAACGCTTGCAATACCGTAGACAGAGGTAATCAAACTCGTGAATAGGGGCCGCTTATGGACCGGAGTACTGAAAGCGAGGATGATCAATGAACCTGAAAACAGACCCGCTGAGCCCAAACCGGCAATGGCACGACCGACGATAAGAGCAATGGAGTTTGGAGCAACACCACAGATGAGCGAGCCGAGCTCAAAGAGGAAAAGGCTAAGCATGAAAATCCATTTAATATTGAAGACCACGTAAAGGCGGCCAAAGAAGAGTTGGAAGGCGGAAAGTGTCATCAGATACGCGGATCCATACCAGCCAATGTCGGAAAGAGCGTGGAAGTCATCGGTAATACGGGGGATTGCTGTTGCAATAATGGTGTTGTCGAGGGCGACGCAGAGCACGGCCAGCTCCAACCCAATAAAAATGAAGAATAGCTTCAATCCAGTAGGGTACTGTGGACCAGCATTCACATCGCCGGCGTCTGGCGTTGCGGTCTCGTCGACTTGCTTGACTTCATCGGACGTCATGCTCTCGTTGTGGAACTCTGGCGACTGCTTTTCGTCGTGGCTATTTTCTGGCGGTGCCTGGTCAGGCACCGTGGTAGACATGGTGCTGTCGATGAGATTGAGCTCCCTGTAAGTCGCGTCTAGGAGCTATCGTAATGCTTTGGAGGATGGTGCAGGGCAATTGAGTAGTGGTAGTAGTGACAGTAGACAAAACGAGGAGACAAACGCGCTATAGCAGAGCATAATAAGTATCAGCATGGCTTGAAAGCCGGAGATAGTGGCTGCTTATCTCCACTTTGGGCAATCTGCTCTTACCGTGGTATTCGTTTGTCAGAGTATGACTACTATGTCAATCTGGCTAAGCGATCTGTAAAGGAGCTCTCTGGAAATACTAAAAACATTGAATTGATGCTAACTCCGATCAGATTACTATATTCAATTGGCCTAAACTGTGCAGCAACATTCGGATCCCGGCTGGCGATCTTTTTATGGGGCGCTGGAGAAGCCTCTCAGCACTAAAGAGAGCTAATCCTCCACTCTGATCGTGAGGATCAACAAAGAGCATCACAGAAAGTGCTAGGTCTATCAGTTCATTGGGAATTTGTTGATTTCCCTAATTCCTATATCCTATATGCTATATCCATATTTTTCATCTATGTCCTTTTTTGTTTTCCATTTTTTGTTTTTTGCATTTCCCTTTTTCTCTCTATTTCCGAACGGAGTTAATCCCGGGAAAACCAATTTTCCCATCGATCATGTCCAATAAGAGTAAACACTCGTTGTTCCTATTTAGATGAAAGATGAAGAAGATCCGGGAACTAATTTAGTGTGCGTCAGAGACCATCCTATCGAGTTTCTCGCATCCTGATTTCACTGCAGAAGTCCTGTGCTACCTGCTTCTACCGAGGGCCTAAGTGTGTAGAACTGATGACAGTACTGTCGGGCTGCGTGGACCTTCTTCACATCAGTCAGAGAAAAGATGGCGCAGCATACCATGTGCAGCTAGCTGCCTCTCGCTTTAGTCAACTTCCATACCTGCCAGCCTTGGACCTCTTTCTTTCTGTGAGTTGATTGATTTCCGAACGTAGTTAGTGTAGTAGGGCTAGTTGGAGCCCCACCGGTTGCAATCTCCGCTGAGCTAAAAAAGATGCTCCCGTCCAGTGGGGGCATCTTCTTTCAACAAAGTACGTATCCACAGCGTTGCTATACACAGTATGTACCCGACCTGGAAATAGCAGACCTATTTCGACATTCTTATGTCTGAGTGTATTCATATTGCTACGTAGTTACTACCAAATTATATACATCCGTAAGCGAGCGCATACTAGAGTCGAGGTGGCTCAACCTCCAGAGTTCGGAATCCTTTGAATGACACTCAATCAACACCAATTGAAAGAGCGAAGTCCAACAACTATCTCCTTTCAAGTACGTAAATGGTTTCTAGTAGCTATCATCTAAGTAAATTAACTAGATCTTGAACTGGGGTCCGGGCACTGATGCAAGCCAAAATTCTTTGTTAAGCCAACGCCAGCTCGAGTACCGACATGGCACTACCGAACGGCTGTACGACATTGACCAGCTGCAATCTGACATCCCCCACCGCAGCAGCAGCAAACAACTCCTTCCACTCCTCCAAGTCCCGCTCTTTGCTATTGAAAGCCTGCATCATCGTAAGGTCTCGGGCACGCACAATTCGCTCTACAGAGACGGGCACAGACCCGGACTTGGGCAGCGCAGTGTCCATTATGAGAAGCCGCGATTTGGCACTGTCCATTGCTCGCACAATGTGTTTTAGGATCTGCACGGCTTCATGGTCGGGCCAGTCGTGTAGGATCATGCGGAGGAGGTAGATGTTCGCGCCTTGTAGTGGCTGAGGGATTGTGATGTCGTGTGCTTGGAAATTGATGCGCGAGGCAATGTCTGCTGGCAGGGATTCTGCCGCTTGGCGCCCATTTTCTGCGTTCTCGGGAAGATCTTGTACGGTAAATGTAAGGTAGGGATACGCGTTGGCCAGCGCAATTGCAGAAGTGCCAGTTGATCCTCCCATCTGGTCATCACCTTAATATCAGCTTTCCCTTTTCTAAAATATATTGAGCGACTTACATCAACAACCAATGACCCGATAGGTAAACTCTCCCATTTATACCCACTTAGTAAATGCTTGATATCAATACTCTCACTACTCCTCACATTCCGCATATACTGCGCAAAATCCTTCATCATATCTTGGTTTCTGGAAAGATACTCGAAAAACGTCAAATCCGTATTGTGTGACAGATTGAATGCCGTCTCGTACGTGCGTGTAGTCCCAGCGCCCCATTTCTTATGCGCGGGCGCCATTTGTAGAGCGAGTGGTGCTGAATAGGAAGTCATGTAAGCCGCATAAGCGTGAATGTCTTCGTTGCGCGCTAGCAAGGCCGACGTCGCGGAATGAGCGACGCTTTTACCGTCGGCTTGTTCACAAAATACAAAGTTGGTCATGGCCATGCGCATGATGCTTTTGAGTCTTTGCTCGGGCAATTTGGCAGCTGTGGCGAGATCGGCATAGCTAATTGACGCGTCGAGGGGGACAAGACGAAAGATATTATATTGACATAGCCAGCGAAGACTGGATATGTATTGAAACTATCCTCTATATCAGTCCAAACTTTTCTTTTAACACAAAGGGGAAGCATACACCAGTAGCCAAATGCGGAAGAAACTCGCTCGGTCCAATGGCCAGCTGCAGAATCTCTAAAGAGGCAGTGATGAGGTTCTCACGAGCTTCGTGGATGGCTTGAGGAGAACCCTTTGGCAGGACGGTACTTGGGCCATCGCTGCGAAATGAGGGCTGAGGTAGATTTTGAGAATCCAGGTAGTGGCTCACGATCTTGGCATTATCTGTGATTTCATGGCTCAATTTCTCTAAAGAAAATGCTGATTCTGACATGTCGTTCAATCGTATAGCTATTGTATTGCCACTAGATAGTACTACAGAAGTCAATTGTGATTTACCAGGCAATGGCCTTTTGAACACTATGATACTAGATGTAGGTTCCAGTCTGTTGTACATATCATTCGTACGTCTTACGCCAACCCATATTCTCAGCTGCGCGGCAGCAAAGGAGTTTTAGTACCCGGTTGAATCCCCGAAATGCCAATCGGGATTCACAGAGACTATACTCACTACGTCCAAAGTGGGAATTTATATCTCAGTACAGTCTTGAAATAAGACGCAAAGACTAGACCGATCGATCAGGAGCGACATTTGATGACATCGGAGATAGGAATGCTAACCCCGTTCTTGAGATATGTCTTTTTCTTTTTCTCGTAGTGACCGTTCAGTTTTCCGATCTGCATTGGTTTAAAATCGGTGGGTATGGCTTKCGGTAAAAATCAGCTCTAGGGTTGCACAAGTCCGGCATAAGGGTCATACATTATCATAGGAATACCCATGGACATCCGCAAGACATTGCCCCAAATATCATGGAGTCTATATCTGTATTTCAATAGAGACTCCCTGGGTATCGGAATAAAGATTCTTTTTTAAATGATTAGGTCATTGATCATTATTGCAAGGCCGAAGCAAACTGCGGACTTGAAATTACATCAAGCGAACAAAACAAGAATTGCAGTGTAACAGCATACGTGTTAAGCATAATCATGTCTCAATCGCAGTATGAAACCTAGACCTACTGGCAATTTTCTTCTCGTGCGACGTCGCAAGCGGAAAACTGTATTCGAATTCCTCGATCCATCCTGAAATAAGACATGCCGAAACTGTCTAGAGAACCACCAGAGTGACTCCTTATGACGCTTCTCGAGTGGTCCCTTAGAATCATCGCGTTCCTGTAGAGTTCGTCCTCATCTTCAATAGCACGAGGTTGATGGTAGACATAGAAGTTTTTTAGGTTTGGTGTGAGACCCCTAATGAGAGACTTTAAAGCCTCGTATTGATATGTAACTCTCCCCAGGATCCATATCCATCACCATTCTCGTATGAGCTAACGATGCCATGGAGATACGGCGAAGTCAAATAAAAGAATCTCGTATTCATCTGTGCCATAGGAGTCCAGATTCCACAGGAAAAAGTCGGTCACAGAATGCGCATTTGGGTTGGTGTTTATCAATGCTCTCGTGACGGCTGGAGGAAAATTTTTTATGATTATGATTATGATAACAGACCGGGTCTAGAACTGGCAGCTGCTGGATGAATGTGGCCAAAGGTGTCCCGAGATGATGTTCTTGATAAAGAATTTCGAGGTCCCGAATATCTGATTTGAATCTCTGAACGTCCGCTGGTCATGAAGCCGCTTCTACCCTTTGAAGACATCCAGATTACTACCACTGTTTTGAGCACTGGACATTTTTGGCCGATGCAATTTTGTTTGCCGTGGAATCTGGGTTAGCAGTTTGCCGTTAATGATGAATCGAGAGACACGTACATGACCATTCACGCGTTCAAGCAATTTACAATTTCCTGGATATCCTCTTGAAAATTTTGAGATTGCTTAAGAGCCCTAAGGTCCGATCAGAGATGGCAACGACGGTGGATTAAAAGTGCTTGCTGGCAGATGTCGAGACAAGCACATTGCGGGATTCTATGAGGTCAAGCCATTTGCCGATGAGCAATAAAACCTCCGTGGCAGCTGTACCAGCATGATGTAGTATACCTTTTTCTTTTCCCCTAAGAGTATACAGCCGGAAACTACGACGCTCTTCTGTTTAAGGAGCTGAGGAGGTTTGATTAATTCCCAACGAGCGGGAGAGAGGGTCCTGGCTGTGGGGCTCATGGGCTGTTACTAGCCGTTCAGACGAGATTGAAACCTTCTTTTAACCTCGCCTTTGTCGTTGAATCATCTGTCCACACTGACTCTATCCGACATTTCCTACATCTTCAGCTCTGTTCAACTATCGCATAAAGGTCGTATCATTTCAAAGTCTAATAGAGTCAACGCCGATGGAGTTTGCTGTCAAAGCGAGAAGATTCGAAAACCATTTACTCCCTTGGCCGAAATAGACCTGTCATTTCCCACCATACTTAAGATAGTACAATTGGAAAACGAGATGTCTATAAACACAACACAGGCAGCTTTTGCCTACGAAGAGCCGCCCATTGCCACGATTCTCAACCAAGCGGGCCTGCTTCTCGTGCTGAACATCGTCAATGTCTGCCTTGATAAGCTTCTCTATTGCGGGCTGATCGGTCAGCTGTTTATTGGCATTCTCTGGGGCTCTCCAGGAGCCAAATGGATCAGTACTGATCTCGAACATGTTATTCAACAGTTAGGGTATCTTGGTTTGATTATGCTGGTCTATGAGGGTAAAGAAACACTATTCAATGTCTCGCATTTCACAAAGTCTCTGACGTCATACAGGTGGTTTATCAATGTCCATCAAAGCATTAAAAGCCAACATCATTGTGTCAATTGCGGTTGCACTTACTGGAATCCTGACGCCGATTGCCCTATCATTTGTGTTGAAAGAGCTTGTGTCAGCAAGTTCCCTCCAGGCCTTTGCTGCCGGTGCTGCCCTCAGCGCGACCAGTCTTGGCACTACGTTTACTATCCTGTCTACAACCAACTTGATATCTACACGACTGGGTGCAGTGACTACCTGCGCCGCCATGCTTGACGATGTTGTGGGTTTGGTGATGGTGCAGGTTATTACGAATCTAGGTGGAAGCAACACTACATTTGATCCTATCACTGTGATTCGGCCTGTCTTCGTATCCGTTGGCTTTGGAGTAGGCGTATTCATTCTCTGTTACTTTTGCTTAAAGCCGATTTCGAAGATTCTTATGACAAAAGGAAACCAATTTCCAGCATTCATGCAGACCGCCCAGTCTGTTTTCCTAGCCCACACAACGATACTCGTGGGAATGGTTGCTGGGGCCACATATGCTGGCACATCAAGTCTATTTGCCGCATATCTTAGTGGTGTTATAGTGAAATGGTTTGATGAGTGCTCTGCAGAGCCTGAATTACATCAAGAAGGCGTGAGATCCGGAGTTTCCGGATCTAGTATCGATCACAATCACGCTACTCTTCAAGAAGATGGTCTTCAAGCAGAAGGCCGCCCCGCTGAGCATGCATCATCAAGCGCGTCGTCTGCAATGCACAAGAACCATGAAATCCCGACAGGTGAAATGATCTATGAAAAATACTACAGAGGCCCAGTTGACCGCATCTTAATTCCGTTCTTCTTTGTGAGTCTATCAAGTTATACTTCTCATTCTGCGAAAAGAGACTAACCGTTTCAGGCATCTATCGGTTTTGCGATTCCGATCACTCAGATGTTCAGAGGAAATATCGTCTGGCGAGGCATGGTCTATGCAATTTTGATGATTTTTGGAAAAATGGTTACCGGTCTATGGCTTATACGATTTTCAGCCAGTCCCATAAGTGGCTTGATGAGGATGCCAAAAAAAGCCTTCTCTTACATAAGTCTAGCGTGTACTGGAAACCGAGTAACATCAAAACAGCAAGGAACTTTAGTTTCTGAAAATACTGCCCGTCGGAAGAGTACCGCAGTTGTCAACCCAAGCCCATCCAACGCCGCAAATCTGTCTGCTGAACAGGTAAGACCGACGGCTCGTGATATGACCACTGAGCAAGCAACAACTTCGCCGTCTCAGAATGCATCAATGCCCAGCTCCAGTAACGGAGTATCACTTCCGCCAAAACCGAAATCTCTGTATCCACCGGCGATTCTCGGCCTAGCAATGATTGCAAGAGGGGAAATAGGATATTTGATTGCGTCACTTGCACAGAGTCAAGGAATTTTTTCCAGCGGTAATGCTAAGGATGGATCTTCAGATATTTACCTAGTTATTATCTGGGCCATATCCATCTGTACCCTGGTCGGTCCGATTGCTGTTGGTACTTTGACTAGGCGAGTCAAGAAGCTGCAACGTATTAGAGTCAATACCGGGGGTGCAGATCCTCTAGGCGTTTGGGGTATCTGAACTGGACGAAGGAAAAGAGCAGCAGTCTATTAGGTATATTCTATCTATCAGTCTATATGACTATAGTGTAATTATAACATGTATCTCCAACCACTGTATATACATAGAATTCACATCAATGGCTTCACCAAGTCACCCAAAGCCACCAGCATATACACGAATTTCTAATACTCGAAAGTCTATTCAACGAACGGACTTCCTCCACTGACATCCATTTGAGCAGCATACATGCATCTCACACTATTCCCATTGCACCAACCATGGAAGAGCATGTTCCCATCATTCGAGACCGTCGCACCGCCAGGTCCGTACAATTCATCATTCGACGCCAACACGGAAACACCATTCTTACTGTACGGCCCGGCAACACTCGACGCAGTAGCAACGCGCACATCATACTTGGCATCCGTAAAACAATGGGTCGAATAAAACAACAAATACGTCCCATCATCCGCCCTCACCAATGACGGCGCTTCAACCAAAGGTCCATCCGAGTCATCCCTATCAATCAACTGCACAGCATCACCAAGCGGCGTAACCCCATCTTCTGCAACCCGTTGAAGCATAATTGGCGTTGCAGCGAGCGGTTCAACGCTATTGTTGCAATCCCCACCATGGCCGACGCTGTTTCCGTCGACTTTGTAGAGGATGTAGCGTGTCCCGTCCGAGTCTTGGAACCCGCTGGCGTCGATTGCGCCGCCTTGCTCGAGTGGGCAGGCGAGTGGGTTGGTGGAGGTTGGAATGTAGGGACCCGCTGGGTTGGTGCTGTCGGCTATTGCGACGCCGATGCAGTGCCGGTTCGGGTTGGAAGAGACGATGGCGGAGTAGTACATGACGTATTTTCCGTCGGACTTTGATTTGTTAGTTTTTAATGTATATATAGTTTCAAAAAAGTAGTGTAAGAGACATACCCTCCGGAATACATCAGGAGCCCAGTGGTCTGGCTCGGTCTCCCATCCCGATAACGTAGGCAGCGCCTCAACATCCAATAAACTCCAAGACTCAAAATCGGTCGAATAAGCTACTTGGATTCTCTTCCCATTTCCATTGGTGCCAAAGGCATACCACGAGCCGTCCGTGTGCTGCACAAATGCCGGGTCCGGGAAATCCGTGTTTAGAGCAAGTGTGATACTTGAAGAGCCATCGAATGAGATTCTTTTGTTGAGATATTTTTCTGATGATGAGATGACAGGAGAACAGTAAGCTGTAGGTAAAAGACTAAGTCCTCCCAGGATCGCCGCTGAGATTGAGGGGCGGAAGAGCATGATATATGTATAGATGCGACTAAACAATATGTAGACAGAGCAAGAGACAAGAAAATTTAAAGTTCAGGAATGATTCTTGAAAATAGAAAGAAAATACGTCACGAGTGTCATGAACTCGATGACTGGAATGAATGACTTCAGAGCGAGTGTGTGCGTCTCATGAGAGATATAAGTAATCCCTTCACAATCCCTCTGCCAGGACTACATGTCTGCATACGGAAAAGCACCACGGAACTTTTTAGGGTTCGCATTCAGTTACTGGATGATCACTACTACAACCTAACTCCGCTACACCTGGCATAAACCGATAAGGGGCCAGCCTTGCGTCTACCGGCTCSTGGGCAGACGCGGATAGGCGCAATTGACATAAGGGGAAACGTCAATCCAATTACCCGATAGAGTAAGGACAAGAAGAATGATGTGTTGAAAGCATCTATATATCGCCTAGACTTTTCCTGAGACTGACAATGGCCTTTGTATAATACAACGCTAGGTTGAGATACATAAAAGGACATTTCGAACCTAAGCGGGTCGATATGCAACTCAACAAACTTCTCTCGCGATACGCGTGAACATCAATTGATTGACCAATTATTTGACTGGGAACAGTTACCATACCTTCTGTTCCCAGATTTGAGTGGGGATACACGAAAAAAGAAAACTACAGTCAATCACGATACATCTGATGGGCGCGTGGAAACCCAAAGGAAAACGATCTTGGATCCGATGAAATGCCATGGAACTATATATGAGCGTAGCCGCAAACGTTAGCATGCTGTTATTTCTCCGCCGATACGACCCTGTCGAGGGTGTGGAAACGATTCAATGTAATACTATCAAGCGTTGAGTCCATGGTTTGGAGCGGAGGATAAAGCATGGATCGTTCAGGTACCGGATTCAACCCATGCTTTGCAGCAAGGATGGTCCGGAATACATGTATTTACCGGGCTATTTGTTTACACGTAGCCAGCCGATGCTGATATGGTGGCAATCTTGGAAGTAGATTAAGGATATTTAAGGATAGATAGAGTGAATATATGGACCTCAGTCCAGTCACATTCGAATAAACTACTCACACAACGTCCTTGACTTTTCAAAAATGCACAATTTTATCAAACACTAACCAGATCAGTTCTCTACTTCTTTCAAACCCCTCATCAGTCCTCTAAGCCAGTACGCAGACCTGTGACGCGAATCCTATCCCACGACGCAAGGGATGAAAATAAGGACTCGCGTACCAGGGCTGATCTAATGAAATCTTCTGTACATCACAATCTCAGCTCAAGCAACTCCTAGAACACCACCTAACATAGAAGTTATTCAATGACTTCAAAAGTTGCTGTTCTCAAACCTCCAGGCGAACCGTCAAGTTCTAGACAAATGAATGGTACATCCGAAGCCACCCGCTTCCGTCGCGCCGTCAACGGCATTATTTACATCCCCACAACGGCCGGGCCCACTTTTGCCGGGAACCGCTGTCTTTAAAATGAAATGTAGCATTGTACTCTATTGGGAGAAGATATTTCGAATATACTGACTTCAGGGTCACTTAGAAGGTCTAGACTAGCTATACGTAGGATTTGGTTTATTCGTTAAAGTTCGGTTTTCATCGACTACTTATCGGGACAGAGACGTAACCAGTGATACCCCTAGCCCTAGCCCTAGATTAACCAATTTTAGAGACCATTAGCTTTGCTTTGCACTGTTCAAAAACAATACTTCTGAATAGGCATAATCGTTATATCATTGTCAATGCATCTAAGTCTCGTAATGCGTATAATACAAGGTCATCTCACATCCGGGATGTATCACACCCCAAAGAGAAGACAAATCTACCTCTCCTTCCTGTCCCTCTTCTTCTCTCTAATACCCTGTACCCAAAGATCTGCATCCTCAATAGCATGCATGGGATTCTTCTTATGCAGCAGCAAATGACCCTGGATCTCAGCAGGTGTAAACTCTCCGGCGGGTATCGCATCGGCGAATTTCTCGGCGAGGGCTGCGATTTCTTCTTTGGTGTGCGTGTCGAAGGATATTGTAGGTATTTTTGTAGCTGATGATGTTGATGGTGATGGGGAGTGTTTGGGTGAAGTTGGAGGAGTCATCTTCTGTGTGACTAGTGAAGAGGATGATGATTTGGGTACTTCGCAGTCCAGAGGCGCGTAGATGGCCATGAAGAGGTTTTTGACTGTGTCGCGGTCAGAGTAGCCGAATGCAATGCTCAGATCAACTCTTCCGGGGCGTAAGAGGGCTGGATCGAGTTTTTCAATGTGATTTGTAGTCATTACCAGTATCCGGCCTTCGCTAGAAGCCACGCCGTCGATGATGTTCAAAAGAGCGGAAAGGGAGATACCCTGGTTTGTGGTGGTATCATTATCAGGTTTGGGGGTTTCGGTCGATCCGTCGCCCTGAGCAGCAGTGTCGTTGCTTCCATTCGAGTTATCATCACCAGCAGTCTTTGTCGTTCTATCAGCCGCAGAATCAGTGGATTTCTCACCACGCTTATTCGCAACGCCCGCCGCATCAACATCTTCCAATAGAACGATGCATCGTCGCGGTAGACTCTGAAACAGCGACGCCAGAGACTCCTCATTCAACGTCTTCGAGTTCAAGCTAATAAGGTAAATCTTGAGATGCATGGCACCGGCAGCGGCGAAGCAAAGACTCGACTTTCCCGTCCCAGGCGGCCCATAAAACATGTACCCTCTTCGATAAGGGATACCACGATTTGAGTACCACCGCCTCGTCCTGGGATGCAAATACTCCTTGATATCCGCAATGAATGCATGTTTCTGCGCATCATCGAGGACAACAGTCGACAAGGGCCGGGGCGGTCGAGCCATACACCTCGTCCAATCGTAATCAGCCCCCGAATCCCTCTGTGCTCTGTAGATAATCGTCTTATCACCGTCGCGATCAACATACATCCTCTGCGCTTCGAGCAGCAGCTGCCTCAGCACCTCCGGATTACGACCGTAACAACTAACATATAGCTTCTCGGCGGGCATTCCCCATCCATAATTCCTCTTTTCGAGCTGTTCGCGCCGAAGCTTGATGCGATATCCCCGGAATCGGAACCAATGAATTCCCTCTGCGGGAGTAATGCGCAGCGGCTTGATTTTGTCCTTGTTCACGCGGCGCGACCAATACGAATCAAAATCGTTGGAGGCATCAGCAAATTCTTTCTCATCTTTCTCATCATCCTCCTCATCATCCGTATCATCGCCAGACATATCGTCGTCTGAATAATACGAGTTCGCGCGAGTCTTTGTGCTAGCTACGGCGCGTGTAGTTTTGCGCGAGAACCCCTGGCGCGAGACCCAGTACATCAGATAATTAAAGATTTCATCGTCCATGCGCACTTCAATGGTTGATGTGAAGTAGCTCTGAAAATTTTCAATGATGGTTTCGAGGCGCAGGCGGACTGTTGCTACTATTGTAGCTAACAGGAACACCAAGGATAGGTATGCGCTGATGTCCAGATGGAGGTATTTGGAGAAGAATATGGAGATTATTGAGAAGCCGGGGAAGAAGGTTTCGAGGACGGGGAGGGTTGACAGTGGTGATGGTGATGATTGTGCTGTGGTCGCATTTTGGGGTTGGAGGAGAGACGCCATTCTGTCACCTTGCTCAGTGATCTCTCTTTTGAAATCTTGAGTGATGATGATGGTGTGGTGTTGTGAGAAGGTAGAGACAGAATTAAAAGAGCGACACCCCAGGCTCTGGGTGAAAATAAGAATGAAGTTGAAAATGAAAATGTATATCAAGCATCAAGGCCGACCGGCCTATTTATGCATTTCTAGCCTCATGCAAAATAGATTGACCGTCATGCAAGTGATGGTTGTACAAACGAAAATCCCGTTCAGCCTCACCATTAGCTGCATTGTTGCCTGAACCTCCAAGGTTAGTAAATGAGCCCTAAAAGAGCGACAACGAGCGGGGTCTGGATTCGGCTTATCGTCTATCTAATTGATCGTCGTTTACAACTCAAAATCGGCGCAGTAAACGAGTGGATACAATAATTAATGACGCATTATAGGTTTCACGCCCTGATTGAGTTGMCCCTGCCATATTTTCATGTTGACTGTGGCAAGTATTGTGGCACAGAGCAGCTGAGAAGGATGAGTTACCTAGCATAATTGTGGATATGCGTAGCACAGCCATCATGATTCCTCGCAGTCGGGGAATCAATTGGTAATAGGTTGCTTATAACTTTGCGCTAATTATTTCTGCATGAAGATTGTATATCAATATCTAGCTCTTTTATTTTAGAATAGTCATCATTAAACTGTAACCTTTGTACGTCTATACGCTTGGACGAATCTTAGGGCTAGACCCGACTGTTAAGTCAGCCCTAATCCCACTGGTCTGGAAATTTCCATTACAGCCTCAGCCTCACGCGGGGTGACTAGGGATGAGTCATGATTAATGTTTCCTCGCAGCGGACTCTTGCATGTGATCATAATTAATATTTGACGGGGTGCTCTTTTACGTATCCAGCCAATCGAGTCTAACGTGGAACAAAATATTTCAGGCGCCTACATTGGATGGTACCGCTTTGGTAGGTAAAATTGCTTCCCTAACAATACTTCTAAGTGTACCTATGAGTGTTGAGGAATTATTTGAATATAAACCGGAATTGGGCATCAGGAGCGATCTCTACTCAACTATACTGGAGCAAGGCAGTGTTGTACCTCGCCCCTTAGGTATCATAGTTGTTGCTCGCAACTCAGCACAAAGTCTCACAGCTTTTCAAAGCATGCGTTTGGCTTGAAGTCCCCATGTTTGAAAGAGCTCTGCGATTAAATCAAACTTCTGGAATCAGCAGGGGTGGCGGAGTCCCCAATGGAGGAGGGCCAGGAGCCGGTTCATCATTCTCGCCATCATCCTCTGGGCTTTATCAAAAGATTAGCTTCAACGCTGAAACCATAGTTCTTGAATTGAAAGGTGACTGATTCACTTACAACGTCCATCTCAAGCTCGCCGCACGCGCATAAAGCACCATTCTCATATCCCACTTCTCATCCTCCGTCATTCGCAGCAGGGACTTCACAGCTTCTATCAAAGGCTTTTCGTAATCCTCATCATACGGATTCAGACAAGACAGTGTCGCAACTTCATAGAAGCGCGGAAAGAATCCTGCATGGCCCCAATCAAGTAGATACACATTCCCGTCGTCGCCGAGGATCATGTTCCGGCGACAAAGGTCCATGTGGCATAGGACAAGCGGGTAGGAGCCAAAATCGACAGACTCGTTCTGCTTTCGCAAGATTATGCGACGGTTAATCCAGTCGTTCAGGGCTGTGATTGAATTGAAAGGCTTCCGTACACCGTCGTCGCCCCGGAGATAGCCCCGAGGGCCCCGGTTATGACTGATCGGACCCGGTCCATATCCTGGTGGTGCTTGTATTTGACCCAAATACTCGATAATTTTTGCAACGTGTGATACAATATTGTGTTCCTTGACATCTAGATCTGCCAAATTCTGGCCCGGGACGTACTCCATAAACAAATACCCCCTCCCTTCCTCATCTTGCACAAACCGAAAAACCCTAGGCACGCGAACAACATCATAGTCTAGCAAGCTCGTGTACGCAACTTCTTGCATGGCTGCTCCAGCTGGAGTCACTGTCCATCCCCATTTTGCGACGATGGTATCAGTGACTTTGACGATTATTGCACCGATGGTATCAGTGACTTTGACGATTATTGCACCGATGATATCGGCGACTAATGCACCTTCTTCTCCTTTCTCATGGCAGAAATTGATGAGGGCGTGTTCAGTGGCTGTTGCGACATCCAATTTCATTTTCATTTAGCGAATTTGTGAGGAAGGGTACTTTGGTACGTGGAAGCATGAGGGGTGGAAGAGAAAAGATCGGATTGGCTACATGGGTATATGTAAATGTGGCGGAAGGAGAGGTGCGTTACAGCCCAGTACCTACGACAGTACTAACCTTCTCATTGGTGTGATGTCCTGGAATTGAATTATAAAAAAACAAGAATGATTCTATGTCATTATCATTAACCAATTGATGACTGATTAATCCATATGTCTATATGCCATCTTCGTAACGCCCCATGCCCAAGCCATAAACCCAATGTATGTACCCATGTAAAACGCCTAGTAACCAGTAATAACTGTGTGCAAACTATCACATGCGATAGGCACTCAAAGTTCAAGAACCCAGTGCTCATAAGCCTGCCCTCTCATCTTCCCCGTTCGATCATCATATAGTTTCGGCTCGAAATCAGAGACTTCGCCGTATTTGCGGATCAAATATCGCCAGTAACAAGCCTCTGCCGCTGGGGTGAGGTACCTATCACGGAATGTCGCGACGGAGTTATTGGCAATGCGCTCCGCGATTTGTGGGTTGTCAAGTAGGTATTCCACTTTCGATTCCAGATTTGAAAAGTCTCGTGCGACTTGAATGTAATTTGCCTCGGGGCCAGAAGAGACAAAAGCTGCATGGTGAGCTTCACGCCAGATAAGAGGATGTGTGATGAAGACAGAGTGGCAGTTGAGTAAATATTTCCCCCGACCGGAGAACGAGCGTCCTTCAGTATGAGCCAAAAACATGTAGCGACAGTGGTCTTCAATCGGGACGACGTTTTCCTCCACACTCTTCTTGTTGCCCCAATCCACCACTCGAACGGAAGCCCAGAATTTGTTCTTTGTAGCGTCTATCAACCCATTTCGCAGGTCGATCGCTGTATTCAAACTACCTCTCCAGAGTAATTGTTTCTTTTTCGATTGAAAACTCTCAAACTCGGCATCAACAGCCGCAATGCGACGGCGCGTTTCGCGATACGGCGCAATATCGACTTCGGGCCAGGCCCAGTATCCGAAATCAGGCATCAGCCATATGTTGCTATCATCGACATTTTCCTCGTCGATATCGGTGGTGTCGCGTTTGGAATAGGACCATACCGGACCGCCTGCTACTTTGAGGTCGTCCCAGACAAAGTCGTCGGTAGAGAAATGAAATTCGATCGACGGAAGCGAATCACGGTCGGGCATAGCGACTAAGGCGCGGTGGAGGGAATGAAGCGTTGATTTCGCTCGTGATGCCGTGTACATCATGTCGCCGTATTCGATAATGTATAGCTGTAAGAGTCAGTCAATCAAACTTCCAACGAAAGCCGAGCATGACCTACCTCTCCTTTATAAATCATTGCCCTCGCCATACCTTGGCCCAGCCGTTTTCTTGAATCAATCTCCTTGAATGTGATGGGGTTGTTGGCCTCTTTCCGCTGCGCAACACTTTTATCAATCTCGGTGAACATCTTCGGGAACGCAGCCAGGCATTGGTCCGAATTCAATGCATAATTATTCGCATCGCGACTAGAATTAAATTGCCATTCTCCGTCGCTGATCCCGGTCGCCACATGTTGTAAGCGATCCGTGGCTGGTTCACTCGGCGCATAGCACTCCTTTTCAAAGTATCGGCTCGGTCGGAAGAGCTGTAGTTGCAAAGCGTAACTTTGGTTTTCAAATTGAACCGCAAGTAGAGATGCTGACAGCAACAGTGCTAAAGCGCAGCCTAGAGGAATGAGTATTCGTGGGCGAAGAATATTCAGAACTCGCGGTGAGGAGGTTGTCCAGGCGGGTTTTGATTGTTGTTGTTTTGCCATTTTTTCTATTGTTGTTTGTTTTGCCTGGCCCCACATTGGCTGGCAGTTGTCGAAGATAGCAGTCGTTCAGGAATGTGTCATTTTGGATTCAGATAGATCGAACAGACAATGAGGAACAGAATAGGATTCTGCAAAGCAAGCAACAGAAAGAAGACGATGCTGTCCAAGGGTAGAAAGAAAGGAGAGAGTGGACAGGAAGACTGGAAGAGGAAGCTCCGTTGCGACCCACCAACAACTGCGTCATCAGACAGACGGTACTTTGGGGTGACTTGTACCTTGTTAGACTGACAGCAGAACTGGGAAGTACACTCCAAGTACACTAGACTCTACACTACGTAGGACGAGGTTTCTTCTGTGCGATTGACTGAACATCTTCATCGACAGTCCACACTGGACGCTCATCACAGGCTGAGCGCTGCACATCAAGCCCACTTTTCATCTTGTGATGACTCCACTGCGGCAGACTCTTATCATCTAACGCGACAGTCAACGCTCAGGATCCAATTGACCCAAACGCACAGTCCACGATTGCGTACTCTCCAGAGCCCAGAACCCACACTATCCATATAATCTTTGTCTTGAAGAAATCAAAAATGCTCATCTCCCCGCCCTGTTCGTCGCCTCAGCCACGACTCTCGCCGGTTTGATCCCGTTCTTTGACCCGGAATACGCCACCGTGGAATTCGGTCTAAACGTCTCCACCGTAGGCCGTGATGTTTCTCTGTTCGGGCCGATCAACTGCCATCGGGTTAGTTCTGTAGACTTTTTATCTGCAAGGGAAATTTGGTCGAGTTTGATATCGAGCTGATTATTCTGAGGATTTGTGTAAGACTGGATGGCTATGTTAACGCAAAAGAGGGTGTGTCTGAGAAAGCTGTTTCGTGCTAGGAAAGGATTAGCGCTTGCTTCTCGGGTGTGATTGGATTGACGTCTCGGCAGATATAAATTAACGAAATAGAATACACTTCGGTACTATGTTTGGCATCTTGAAATTTTAAACGGATCTGTTCCATTTGATGTTTCGTCCCCAGATCCGATCTTTGTGTCTTTATGAGAGACTTGCAAGAAAAGTTTAACGGATCAGAGATAGAATTACCAGTTACGAGACGGTCCCATCTTGTCTTGTATAATCAGCGACTGTGTTAAATAAACTGCTCCTTACATAACGTAAATCTTCGGGTTAAGGCATAATTCTTGGTCTTCATTTGGTAAAAAGTAAATGTGCAGAAGATAGACAGCATCAACACCAAATTAGGGTCGTGGTGCTATTAGCCCTAATCGACCTTATAACCCTAAAGGGAACTTTGAAACATTTCATTAACATTTCATTAACATCTCTTTCTATGGATTCCACGGATCCCATGCATCAGTTCAACATTCTACGCAACCAACACCGCAGCAATTCCGACTCCGACCCAGGGTATCATACCAAGGTCATCGGTTAGCCTCGCACCGTTCCCGACCGAGGTCGTCGTAGGAACAGTGGTTGATGTAGTAGATGCTGCGGTCAAGCTAGAATGTGTCGAAGTAGTGGATGATGTTGGGTTGATTATAGCTGTTGTCGAAGTCGTTGAAAAACTCGTTGAGTAGCTGACTGACACCGCTGTAGTATCAGCCCAGGCAAACATCATGACATCGCCGACGCCATTGGGGCCAACTTCGATATTTCCATTCGCGGTTTGACCGGACTCGGAAATGGGGATTCTGTTCATCTTTCGTCAACTAACGTATCTTATGTCACTGAATGGAAAAATGACGTASGAGCCGTAATCATTCCCCCAGTCATCGATCAAAGAACCAGATTTCAAACTCCCTGATGCAACTGTATAATCCACATTAAACGTCCCCTGAAAATCGTACGGAACATCAAACGGAATAATCATGGCGACGCTACCATCCATCTTGTTTCCGTAAACCGATGAATTGACAAAAACGACTTCACTATCATTCTTCAGCACCGCTCCGGTTGCCGCCCTACCCAGGAGCATCTTCTTGTCTTCCTCGATAGACCTTCTTTTATCATTCGTATACTTTGAGCAATCGATGCCCTTGACTCTGACACGGATCTGATCACCAGCCGACTTTCCATCTACTGCCCACCGCCACCGACTTCCAATGGCACTATTGATACTCTGCGGTACACAAAGAATAGACGCAAGAGCACCGCCCTCTGCAGATGCAGCGGGAGGCCACTCCTCGCAAGACCATCGTATCCGAACTCCATTCGGTAACGTCTCTCCAAAGATTTTCGCACACGGACTTCCAGCACAACCCGCCGCTCGACGATTTGCAGCTGCAGCCGCATTCTGATTTTTCCCGTTATACGTTAGAAAAATCTCGTTTGGTCGATCTGCATTGAATCCAGGCCATTGCATATTTCCTCTACACATATTCTCGAAAATCTCATCTTCGCCGGGGTAATCGTTCAGGTCAAGATAAAGTGTATCAAGACATGTCGTGCCTGGTGAACAGAAATGATCGTCCGACCCATCATCGTTTTTCTGTGGACCGATACAACATGTTGAGCCTGCCTTGCAGTAATACTCAGGTCCGCAACAAGTTGCGTCCTTGGGCGCACAGCCATTGCCGGAACAGCATTGCTCGTCCGTGTTGTCGCATTGGTATTGAGTGCCGCAGCAGGATTTGCCGGCGTCAGCACAGCCGGATTGGCAGCAAGTTTGGGCGTCTTCGCAGCAGCCTGAGCCACCGCTGCAGCATTGGTAGCCTTCGTCACATGCCGTTGAACCGCAGCAGAGGCCGCCTGCGGGCGCACAGTGAGCTCTGTAATCATATTCTTAGCCGTTCATATTATGGCGTTTCGCTAGGGAGAGGAATAGCTAAATACCCGCCGTCACAGCAAGAACCTCCCGTCTCGCAACTGTGTAGTCCATCTGAGCAGCAGACGTCGTAAGCTGCCGTTGTGCAATGTATTCCGTCGGGACACTTGAATCGTATCAACACCATTGTCGCCTACAACAACAATGCAAATGCAACTTACAGGTAATGGAGTCGCTGGTGGGCATTCAAACTCCTGTCGACGATTGAACATCAATACATCATCTCTGGGATATGATGAGAAGACTTTCGAGATAGCTATACTGCTGTTTTTGGCCTGTGAGGAAGCGAAGCCATTATTCACCCCGGACAATCGTAGGCGGCTCGAAAGAGGGGTGGATGCTGACGCCAAGATAGGAAACAGTGAAGCGCAAGCTACGCTGAGAATGATGCTTCGGAAAGCCCTCATTGTCTAAAGGAGGTAGACGAAACAACCTTCTTATCGTACTCGTAGTCTCAAATGGATGATACTTACATAATTAAGAGAACTGGGATATGGAGTTCATTTAAAGGACTCACCATCCGTCACTCGAATAGATCATACAAAGTGATCATCATCAGCTAAGACTCTTTCCCCTCCCAACATTAAGCACCAAGCCTGGGCGTCGAAATACAAAGATTTAGCCTACCGTGGCTTGGTGCCGAGAGTCTTACTGGCAGGACTTCCCGTTCGGCGAGCTTGCAAGCCTTAAATACGAGGATAGTCTCTTGGCTTGGGAGTCATTGCTCTACATTTGAGGCTCGTCTTGATTACGCACTGGCCACTGATGGTTACATTCGGGATAGGAGGGCAGAACAACCTTCAGCTAATATGTAAGATCGTATATAGGGAACATTCAATTGGCTCAGAGACATGTCAAAGCGTTTAATCCAGTCAACGAACTTGTGAAAATAAAGTTGAGGCTGTGAAAAAGGTGCAGTGGGGTAAGCAACCCTATCTTCTCCACAGAACATCGACATTTCCAAGGCTGCTTATTGTACCTATACTTCGATTTTAGAGCCCATTAGAAAAATGAAGATGCATTCTTTTGAACAAATTCCTTCCAAGAAACAGGCTTTTCTTCAAGGATGGCAAGCGAAGGCTCCAAACTCTCACCACCATAGTAACCTTCTGCCTCCATCACCAACAAATTCTCAATCGTTCCCTGCGTGAGTTCCGGAGCGAGAAACGACGTAAATGAGTCCTGGGGAATTTTCACAGCCGCCGTTTTGATTCCGAGTGTCTCTGCAATTTCCGCGACGATTTGCTTGGGAGTATAATAAGCCTCAGCCATGAGGACTCGTTTCCCAACCGTGCTTGGGAATTTCTTGATAACTGCTTTGACGAATTTACCTTACTGAATATCAGTATCTTTTTCTTGTGATCTGCATTCAGCTATCTTACCAGTATCCTCATTAACATCCAAAAGCGGCACTTTCGCCTTGTCCGGATCAACAGGCCATTCAAGCGTCAACACATCCCCGCGTTTCTTCAACGATTCCGAAAAGTTTGTCATGAAAAAACCAGCCAACACAAACGTCGCCGGCATACCACTGTTGCGTATATATTTCTCAATTTCGGCCTTGCTATCGAAATAAGCAACGTTTGAGAGTCGTCCACCCGTCAACTCAGTGAAACCCTGAAGAGATGAGAAGATGAGATGCTGGACCCCGGTCTCCTTGCAGATATCAGTGACGGCTTTGCCTTGGCGAATTTCAATCTCTTTGTTGGTGGTTTCCCAGAAATTTGTTACTAGAAAAACTGTGTGGGAGCCTTGAATGGCGTTGAGGAGTTGAGGAGGTGATGATAAGTCCGCCTAGATACAAACAGCCTGCTCAGCACTCGGCGCAGTGAACTGATAAGAAAGGAGTCAGGAAAAAATACGGCAATCATTTCGACACCCTGTGAGGCAAGTCTCTTTGCAGACTCTTTGAAGACATCGCGGGTAATTCCGCGGACTTTGTATTCTTTGCTGAGATTGGGGTCGGCGAGTATGGCCTGGATGACAGAGCCACCTTGATTGCCAGTTGCGCCGAATACTGTAATAACTTTTGACATCTTTAATTGTTCTGTAGAGAGGATTAGATCTAGTGACCTTGATCAAGGTGCGCAAAGTGCAACGGGAAACAAGATGTCGGTTACTGCAAAACGACACATTCCACTCTACGCAGCCGGTTGTTCACCCATGACCATAAATACTAATATATCACTCCAAAATGTCGTATGATGTCCAATGTTGGCATCATCACTCACTCAATCGGACGGTCTAGATGCGCCATCCTCTAGATTAGGTGTTCCGGGACGGTGATACGACCGATGCGGTTACGGAAACCATTTCCACCGAGAGGATTTTGGCCATAGGTCACTCCGTGGTAGAGGCGCCGGAAATATGTGAGATGATTCAGCTGAGTCAGTTAAGGTATTGGTAGTCCCATCTTACGTGGCTTGCGGGGACGGCTAAGATTGAAATTTCTAGCCAATCGCATAAGATAAGTCGCATCTCTCGAATGGGAGAACCATATTATATCTAGGTAGAATATCATTGGTGATAGTGATGATAATAACGATGAAGGAGGTGAACGCATCCAATTGGCGCTGCAAGCTATATCAAGTGAATTACTGTATCGAGTTGTAAGGGTGGTGCAACGCATACTGTTAAAATTTCGCCGAATTCAAAAGACAATTATTCCAAGCTCCAGGGAAAATCTCTTGTATTCAAGCAACACATTCCAGTCTACTCTTGAAAGTTGTAGTCGATTCATCAGGGTTATTTCGAAATTGGATGAGTTATCAAGAGAGTCTTATTGACTCTTGACTTTTCACATACAGCTGAGGTCGTTCACACTGGTGAATAACTCTCCCCTACATGAGCGCAACTATCTAAGAAGTAAACACAATCTTTTGTTCTACATCGAGACTTTGTTCTGAATTCCTATTTGTGAATTGACAGAATTACTCATCAAACTATAGCACTCAGTCTAGAACTCCAGCCCTGATAAGAAGTTTTTCTTATGTATCCAAATTCGCATCTGTTTTCCTCTCAGATGGAAGATGAACGCAATTCCATACACCACCATATTCAAACAGGCCACGGCGATAAAGACCACAATAGTGCCATTGGAGGCGATCCAGTCGTTGATGCACCATGTCCAGATCCATGCCACGGTGGACTTGAGACAGGATACAGTGACCATGAGTTCGGCAGAAAGCTGTAGCGTAAACGTCAGTACTGATAATTCATTTCCGAGGCATATGTGGTTCATTAACATACATCTTTGTGGCAATCTAAAGCATAGCTCATGCTCAATGTTGCACCCATCTGCGCACCAGCGGATAGTACTGCGAATCCAATGATAGGGCCTGACCAGTGTGTTTTGTAGTGATACGTAACGCCAGATATGACAGCTCCGGTCATCGTAAGAGCTGCTGCGACGATGCATGTTGGTAGACGCATTTCAGGCTCTCGAATACCGTCATTACGGATCGTGAAATATGTAGCGACTCGGTCTGCAATGGGTCCGCAAAGATAGGTACCAATGAGCGAACCTATGAAGGGAGACAAGAAAGTAAGTCCTTGCGGTTCCCGAGGAGAAGTTGTATGGGCTGGTCATATGGTTGGGTTAGCGGTGTTTGTAGCACAGCCACAGAAACGAAGGGATATATGACGAATGTTTGACTCACTCAACACCAAAAAGCTGTGCTACCGTAGCACCCAATATCAGATTCCAACTCAGAGACATCCCGTATAGCGCACTAGCCCATAGCACAGTCGGAAATGTCATAAGAACAAAAGGTCGCAGGAAGATCTTGAACAGGCTAAGTCGAGACTCCGTCGTACTGCAGTAAGCGAGCTCTTGGACGAATGTTTTCTTCTTGGGACTTCTTGATCGATCTTCCTCAATTGCATCTTCACGCAAATTGACCACTATGTTTTCACGATGCTCAGACCCTGCAGACTTTTGATCATCTCTAGTTGCCGAATCGTTCTCAAGAGCAACCAAGACAGCCCTGTATCCTGTGAACTTTGTTTCGGGCATAAAGAAAAACATAGTTACCATATTCACGCCAATGCAGATCGCCACAATGAAGAAAGCCCATCGCATACTGAGACTTTGGATAACGTATGCTGATATCAGAGGACCGATTTCATTTCCACCAAGCACACTGAGGCCGTATATGGATATTTTTTCTCCTCGCTCATGTAGAAAGAATATGTCGGCAACAGTACTAGGAACGATAGCTTCAATTGGAGCTTCCCAAAGACCAAGGAAAGCGCGAGCTAGGACGAAAACGGGGTATGTCTTTTCCGAGGCAATAGCGAGCCAGATGCAGGCGATACCCATGAGGAAATTGCTTGTTAGGTATACTGGACGTCGACCGAATTTGACAGCAAGAGGCCTGGAAATTATAGTGTTAGTTTGTCGTATGATTGATGATGATAAGAAGTACAAACATCCATAATAGTGTTCCGAACCCTTGACAAATCAAAGTCGCTCCGTTACTATACGTAATGTCTGCCAATGGACGTTTGAAACTGCTGGATAATTGAAGCATGCCTTCAAACATTTTCCATTAGCCTGATTCTAACGCATCAGTGCTTAATACGAGGGAATCCTACCTCCAGCCATCATCGGACCCGTCATCGCTCCATTGGATGCGTAGAAGAGTCCATTCGCGAATGTTAGCCACTTCTTCCACAATGGCCATCGCAGAGGGTCGTTCAGATCGGTGAGAGAAGGTTGAGGCACAAGCAATATCTGTGCATTGCCGCGTGTAACGTGTTGATACTCTATATATTTTTCTTTTCCCTGGTCGATGAGGATTTCTGTTCCTGGAGCTGCTTCGTGAGGTCGAATTTGGTCATCCATGATTCTGTGTGTTAGAAGAGCTGGTTATACGCTGGGCCAATTTCCAATAGGCCGTTGATGATTTTCTTTTCCCTGTTCATGCGGGAACTGATGGATGGATATAGACATTTCAATATTGATTATGTTGAGTCGTTGTTTACCCCAGATTTACGTGTTTCCACTTCTCCACTCCCCACTCCCTGGTTCCCACTTCCCCGGATGACCGAGGCCTCGCACTTGCCCGGAAAAGTGTTCTTCAGTTTAGTATTACGAAAGGATTCTTTGAATAGACCTGTCTGTCAATATTTGTCACGGGCGAGCATATCAAGATATCTTCCGGTAAAGATTTAAATTTAGGAGGACTATCCGAGCACCCCGGCATATAGAAAGGCTGTTCATACGTTGCTGAATAATTTCGATATCGAAGCTTCTTCGTCGATAGCACAGAACACCGATCTTGTAGTTGCATTAGTCGATATTAGTCTAAAATAACAAAATCAACACAACGCATTATAATGGGTCCGGATGTCCAGCAGTCTAGCGCTGTCAATGGGAGATGGGTATTCTATCTCGACCATGACGGTCAATGTGATTATTACTGGCTATTCAAAAGTAGCTCAATCTCTCGCTTTAATGGGGAACCACCTCCCACTCTAGCTGTTGCCTAACTTAACGAGCCAATGTTGACAAAGATGAGGCAGAAGCGATGACTTACATGAGCTTCTTGAGAAACAAAGTTAGGAAGTACAACAAGCCCAAGGATCGATATTACTTTGAAACTGGAAACTCTACGTTCTCTTCAGAAAAAATTAGTGCCGCATTATTCCGTCCCTAAGCCCTAAGTCTAGAAGTGACACCTGGTGTTCCAGATGTTGAACATCATTATTACTCCTGGCGATTATATAAATATACATATCTGCAGCAGTCTTAAAATGCTTGATGTATCACTGAGTGCTGAATGTTTTTTATGATTGTATTTACTATGCAGACATATTCCTCGATTTCACCAACCTTCAGGATTTTCCGAACCTCTCATCGAACGATAATAGTACGCACTACCTAGGCATTAAGACAACTTCGTCAGGAGTTCGCAAATACAATATATACAAAAAAAAAAAAAAGGCAAACTCCAGGCTCTGCGACGACAATCTAGAGTCTCTTTACGGTCGAATGGACACTTCCCCACTGCATCATTGCAGAGTGGGAATCCAAAATCATGCGGGGAGGATCAATCCCCAGATTTCTCCACACGTCAGTTCCCTTATACTTCCAAACTTACCCATTCTCGACTTTATCGATTAGCAACGTTTCATGTATACCATTTTACACTCGTCACCCCAAAACTATCAAACAGTCCCAAAATGTCAGAACCACTAATATCCCGCAACATTGACCCCTATCACAACGACACCTCCAAACTCTACCTCGGCTACCGCGAAGAAGACTACGAGAAACCATGGGCGAAATACTTCAATCCAAATGTTGCTCTTGTCAGCGACGAAGTTCAAAAAGGGTTAATATGTAGTCCGTGGGCGAGTCCGCTCGGTGTGAACATCCTCCTAAGAGTGCGACCTGACATAATGAAAGTCTAATTAATGTGCGATCTGGCAGGTTACGGTCCGTCAGAAGCGCATGACCGCCTCTTAAGGCCGGGGTATGAAACTATTGAGAATGGATTTGTGACGACAACGCAAGGGACGACGATGGTTGCTGTACGGACTGATATGGGGAATGGTGAGAACCCCCCTATCTGAATATATGAGCATCATTATGTGGCTGCTGACGCTGTGCATGTCTGCTAGTCACCGGCGAAATGTACGATTGGTGGTTCTCCTGGCACTTGACTGACACTTCACGGTACCTCCCCCCAAAACATAAATCATTCTCAGTGTTGCATAGATATTGATGAATAAATAGGTATAAGCTCTGGCACCCCAACGCCCACCAATACACCTACCGCCACCCGGACACTCTCGACATTACAACCCACAAATCCTACGCAGAACGCTACATCAACACCTTCTCGTTCATAAACGAGTATTTGGGCAACCACTGCACGGATCTCACAGTCGCATTCATAGATCCAAAGGAGTTGGGCATTGACAAAGGGAAATGGCCGGAGATTGGGGTTGAGACGATGGTTTGTGCGAGGATTGGGACGCCTGGTACGTCATCCCCCCTTTCAACACTATTACTTAGGTAGGTGTTATTATTTTGGTGTAATAGTTTTGGCTGATGAGGTGGGTTTAGGGCAAGGACATATCACGGAGAACTTCGATGGGAAGTCGTATCTAATTCATCAGATACGGCGCCGGGAGGATGGATCGAGAGAGTTGAGGTCGAGGTTTTGGTTACCGTTGCCGGTGGAAGCAGCGAGAGATTTGATGGTTCATTGTGGGATGGAGATGAGTCGTACGTATCAGCCCCTTTCTAAGGCTATCTTACGCTGCAGAGGTTGTGAGTTAGTGCTGATGCATTTCATCGGATACAGATCTCGCAACGTTTCTTCCTGGACTATTCGAGGAATTCAAGGATACAATGTGATTATCGTGTAGGTAGTCTAGAGAGGTCAATTAAACAATCACAACTTGTATATATCTATGTTTATCTCGATGTGGTGGGGGTATCTTGATACAAAGTCGAAAAACGAAAGGCAGAGAAAATGTACATCATCGTGCGCGAAAGAGAGTGAAATCAGTAACTTTGAGGGAAATATCTCAGGAAGTGAAGAGTGAATAGGTATGTGTCAAGGCAACCAACAGGGGAATGTTGTTTGGTTCGAAAATACAGAGGCTTTAGCCTCGGAAGTGAGGTCGAGTCAAAGATGAATGTATGTACCAGCTGTAAATAGCAGGGGTATCGAAAAACGAGGTCGAAGTCGAGATCAAAGTGAAAGTCGAAAGTCATTCATGAAACATCGTAATCGAACAAGGGTAACGCAACGCAAACATTCGTGAAGCGGGACAAAAAAAAACAAGGGGAGACCGGAGCTTATCGCCCATTCGTCGGCGCATTATTACTAAAATAACTCTGATCAATCTTCAAAATCCACTCCACCTTCTGCGCCTCCGTCCTGGCCGCAAACAAGAACGTATTCTGCGGTCCATAAACAGCAAATATATTAGTTCGTCCAACATTGCTGTTACCTCTCGACGAGAATCCATTCGCCCCCTCAAACAACCGCGCAAAATCCGGATCATGGTCAACGCGTGCATGACGGAGGTTGATGGTATTGATTTCATCGCCGTCGGGAACGGAGTAGACATGTAAATATGACCCGCGGAGTTCAATAAAGCGTCGGATCCAGCGTGTGCTGTTGTCGTCGTCTGGCATCATGAGATAGCTCGCCTTCGCGATTGTGGCGTTCTTGCTTAGTGTTTGCACGTTGGCGACGTAGCGAGGTGTCGAGGCGTGGTCTGAGGTGGAGGCGCTATCCGACTCGTGGATGGAGGGTACTTTGGAGACGTTTCCGTTGGCGGGTTGTTCAGTGTTGGTATTTACAAGGATTATTTCTGTGGGATCTTTGCGAGTTGACCATAGATTGAGGTAGCGTTGGACGAGCTTTGTCTGTCGTTCGGATAGTTCTTGATTGCGCAGGGGTGTTGAACGACCGCTTCCTTTAGCTGGGGAGTGTACAAGACTGGCACTACCCAATGCGCCGCGAGCAGCTTCCAATTCGGCTGCCCGTTGTCTCCTCTTGCGAGAGGCAATAAAGTCACGAACTAAGGAAACTTTGCGCGGGGACCAGCTTGTGAGCAATTCCTCGCCCTTGACATAATCGTTTTGTGTATTCATGCGCCAGAGATCCGCGGCACGTTTCGCGGACACCGGGCGAATGACGACTGAAAACATGCCAACGGTAGAATGCACCACTCTGGTGGAACTCCAGATATGCCTAAGAATTGACTGCGGGCGGACATAGTTTCGTCCAAGAATGACAAGTGTTTGATCTAATTCAAAAACAATGGGCCCTTGAACACGGGACGATACCAAATCCCAGCGTAACGAGACTTGGACACGATATTTTTCAGCTGTGGTGCGATCCATCAGTAGCGATCCATGAAGACTAGAATCCCATTGTCCAATTATCGTCACATTCGAGGTTCCATCTGCATTATCCTTGATCATCGGTTCTTGCACCAATCGAAGCGGCACATCGGGAGTTTTGAAATCCTGGTCAGGTATCTTGCCCCATGGATCCAATAGACGAACCGAGCCAACCCGAAGATTTGTTACGTCCTCCCAGGGAAAGTTCTCCGTAGAGCTGTGAGTCAAATGAATAGCGACTCGTCTTTGCAGACCCTGGTGCAGCTGATACGTGCCAGCATCCATGCTACTATTCTGCACCACTTCGACAGGCAGGTATTCACCGCTTTCCGCAAGCTCCAGAATCTGAATGCGAGCAAAGACATCGTGACGTTCCTCGGTGAAAAATTCTGTCTCGGCGATACGCGGCGTCTTGCGTTTTGAAGGTGCTGGTTTCTCGGAAGAATCACGCATGTCATCCCAGCTCAGTAGTTTGTCCAAGTGCATTGATGTAACCTTGGCATATATGCAGACCTTCAACGAAGCGGTCCGTGGACTCGATAGCGGCAAGCTCATGCTGTGCACACTCTCAAATCGAATGGGATTCTCGTCAAAGTCGCTAATCATTTGCGTAGTTGTAGCCCCTCCTTCTTCAGATACACCCGGTACAAAAAGCTGAGCATGGACCTCTGTACCCTCGCGTTCGGCAAACCCGGCCATGTCCCGCATGACGACGTTGAACTTGAGCGTGGAAGAAGGACCCTGTGCCGAAGATGGCTCAAGGGACAGTCGAAGGATACCAATGACGCTTTGCGTGTAGGGTGAAACTACCTCTACAGAAAAATCCTGGACGCGCATCTCAAAGACAGCAGTTAATGGTATGTCTGCATCACCGACCAGTGAAAAATTTGTCGGACAAGTTTCGGAAAACGGGTTCTCTAGTTTGAAATGTTGAATATAATCCGGCCGGTCGATATACTGATGCATCTGACGCATCGCTTGGACCCGTTTTTGAAGTTTCTCGATTGACCAGAGATGGACGACGCAATGTTTGAAGTCAATGACCCGGACACAAACGCAGGGCTTCTTAACAGTATCAAGTGCGTCATCATCCTCACCAGAAATACCGTTGAGAACAAGGTCGTATGCAGATACCATGTTGTGTCCTTCGTCAATGACTGCAAATTGAAAAACAACATTTTTATCCATTATCTGGCTCATCACTTGAGCCTCCTTAAGCAGCGAGGCATGCTGGAGAATAGACTCAGCCATGCGCACATAATTCCGTTTCGACCAGAGGCGAACAACAGATTTAGCGATCTCAATCTCCTTGTCGTCCAATTTGGCGAATCCATTTTCGTATATCCGTGGAACAGGATGACCCATTTCTTTGATATGAGTTTCATACTGCTCTTTCTGTTGCTTGAGTTGTTTTTCGAATTCAACTTTAACTGACTGTAAAGCCTCTTCCATACGAGTTCTTTCTTGTCGTAACTCCTCCACATCAACATGAGACGCATCCGCCTTGAGTTTTTCCTGGAAGTCTCCTTTTTGTTTGTCAAGCTGGCGTTGCATGTCGTCTCGCGCTGCTTGTAACGATGAATCTCCGTCCTCATCATCAATCTGCCGAGGGGTTCCAGGCATCGTGATCGCTGTATCGAGAGAGAAGTTGTCGATGGTGCCGTTCGACATGTACTTATCACGTATAGGAAACGAGCTCAAGGAGTCTGTATCTTCTTCATTCTCCAGCAAGCCACGACGGACTGCACGAGCCTTTTGCACATCATCAAAGAGCGCATCCAGCTCGTCGTCATTGAGATCAGAGATCTTTTGGTCTGGTCCAAGAATTGCACTGGCAGCTTCTCGGCGAGCATAAAACCAGTCTGCATCTCGCCCACTTCGATTCGGCACAGGGGAGTCTGTTCGACCGACCTCACCGTCAATTTCTGAACCGGTCTTGCTGATAGTCCGGTCATGAGTTCTGCTCGGAGCAGGAGATCCTAGCTGGCTAGTCGTAACTGAATGGCGCAGTAAGCTCTGTTCCACCCTTTCAGCACGGGCCTCTTCAGGGTGGTTGAATCGGAAAATATGAAAGTCACCAAGAATGATACGACATCCACTTCGAAGACGGGTTGGTTTTTCAATGCGCAGACCGTTGACCATAATTGCGGCACCTTCGCTAGGAATCAGCGTCACGACATTGTCCACATTCTGGAAGATGCAGTGTTGTTGCTGAATTTTCGATCCATTCAGTCGAATTTCTGCTCCATTGTCCTGATCAATATTTCCAACACGGGTTTCGCCTGGTTTGATGTTGTAAACAAGACATTCTGTCAAGAGTGGATCGTCACTCAAATTGACCAAGTGAGGCATTTTCTTCGGTGTACTAAGTCCCACGAATCCCTTTTCGATGCTGATACCCAACTCTTCCAAAGCAGCTTCTCGCTCTTTCTGAATCTCCTCTGTCTTGGCTAGTTTCTCCTCCCATGTTTGATTCAAATCCTTGTATAGCTTCTCACTTTGATTGAGTTGCTCGACAATCTCCGCCTTGCTGACCTTCTTGATGGTACCGTCAGGCTGGGCGATAGAAACTATTTGTTTATCTAGAGGCGTATCAGGCGGGTACGATTCCTCCATCGGAGCACCACCTGCGATTGCACCACCTACACCACCACCAAGCTTACTTCGCAGCTGAGCCAATTCTTCTTTCAATTCGCGAATCATACGGGCATTCGGATCTTCGTTGACCACAGCATGATTCTTGATGCGCTTCGCCGAATCTGCATATCGCAACGTACTGAGTGTTTCCTCAAAGTTGATATCTGCAGGAGAAATGGCAGCAATCATAGCAGTCATGGAATTTCCTCCTAGAGAATCCTTCAACAGCCACGTCAACACGGAATCACGATATGGCACCAGCGTTCCTTTTTTGCCTTTGCCGGACGATAAATCGGCAAGAGCAGCAATGACACGACCCAATGTCGAAAGGGATCTATTAATCTCCGCACCTTCCTTCAGTCGAGCTCCCGTTGCGCCTGTAGATGTCGCTCGCTCGGAACCAGCCAAATCGACTAGACTGATTTTGGCTACCTTCTCTGTGTCCATTGTCGTTTCCGCATCGTGTCGTTTCTGAGTCAAGGTAAGAGTAAATACGGCGTGCGATCGACTAGATGTTTCGTTCATGTTGGTCGCAGCAACCGTTCGAGCTTTGTTACCCTCGTCCATCAGATTCTCAATCTCCGCGAACGATCGCACGACCAATTTCGCCAAATCCTCCACATAAGGACCTGTCGACGGATGCTCTCGAACTTTCAGATTCCCCTTCGTCGCGGGATTGAGCAAATCGCGAACGCGTTCATTGTAAATCTCCAAATACGACACTTCCACCGTACACGTCAAATTCTTATCTTCCTGCAAAGTCGCTATCCGCTTGAACATATCCTGACAAATCTTCGGAATAACACCATGCTCTTTGCCATAACCCATCATCGAGTACGATTTACCTGAACCCGTCTGACCGTACGCAAAGATACAATTGTTGTAACCCTGAAAGGCATTGTCAAGAAGCGGGACACCAAGATCGCCGAATAGATTTTCTTGACCGGCGTAGTTGGGTGAGGCTTTGTCGAAGGACCAGTATGATCTGTCGAACGCAAATGACTTGGGACCGTCGCCCGTACCTTTCATGCCACCTTTGGATATTTTCTCGGCGGCGCCAGGAGGGGGCACGAGGACGGTCTGGTTTCCCTTCATTTGAACGATACATTTTGCGCCGCGGTCGATTTCTGTAAATGCGTCTCTGTTAGTTCACTGTCCATGTAGAAATAATTTCTAGGGGGGTGATCAAACGTGCCTCGACTGTTAAATGGCCGCACTCGCACCACCACCTTGATATTTCCACCACCGGCTGGAGCCATTTTGACTGCTTATGTGTATTCCATGCACTGGGCTGTCCGATGAAGACGTCCTCGAGACTCGATGTCTCTCCCGGGAGCCGGGCGTCGCGTTGGATTTTTAATTCAATACGGCCGTTACGTCGCGACCGCGACCACGTTGGTTGTGTCAAAGGAGCACGCAATATGATGCCGAATTTTGTCGAGATCCACGGTTATCGTATGTGTAGTGAAACAAACCTAGCTCTATCCAGCGTCCCTTGCTCCGCGGTGTCAACAAGCGTCATGCGGAATGGACAAATTTCCCGTCGCGTCGTGTGACGTAGGGCGTCGGGCGATCGATCGGGTTGCTTGCAGGAATAGCCCGGTAGAACTTCAATCTAAAAGGTCGGTCTCGTGGCAGCAGCCAGAGTCGTTGAAAAGATGTTGACAATGTTTGTTGTTCAAAGTTGCCTGCTCAGGAACGGTGTAAATCGAGCCACACAGACCACATCCAGAAAGGGCTTAGCGGCATATGATCCCCGTGAATTTCCATGTGGGTCTCTGCCACACTTTCCTTTTTCTCCTCTGAATCTATCGCTCAATGTTAACTATGACTCTTGGAGACTTTCGGACTGGAATCACGGAGAACAGCTGATTTGAGCATCTAATCAGCTACGGCTTGGTCGCCTTATTGGTGTTAGAAAAGCAACAAGAGACCGCATGGCTCAAAGTGACAGGATATATATTTAACTGGTGTTTGGACGTGTATTAAGTCTATAGATCGAAAATCAAATACTAATAGTACAGCAGCTATATCCATAATTGAACAATTCCGTTGAAAAAAAGACGAAGGGAGATCGTTACAACATTATACATCGAAAGTGTCCATGAGCTGTTCTGTAAGCAAACAACAGTCCGTCGAGACGAAGCCTCATGAATGGCTACCGCGGAGACCCAATCGTCCCTTACTGGTGACCAAAACACCTCTATTGGCCTCAACAATCGGACTCACCCATTGCTGTTCTTTCTTTTCATCCGATTTGACTGGGAATGCAGTGCCTCCTATTTGAGCTTCCCGTTAGCAACAAAATCTTGACATTCAGAGGAGAAAGACATACCAATCAGCATAGGCTGCGAGTTATAGTAGATGTTCTCATGGCTCTTTCTCTCCGCCTTGTATATCTCATGGAAGATGACCAGGTGCGGATGTTGCTTGGCCGTCTTGTTCCACCAGTCCCACGCTTTGCGATGAATGGCACTCTCGGCAAAGGCGTGAAGACCCTCGGTGTTCCGCCAGTAACTAACCGTCATGAGCTCGTTGGAGGTTTCGTTCTGACTGCCAATATAGCTGCTGATGCCCAGGAAGCCGTATTGTTCGCGACCCTCGGGGTTGTCGAGGGCTTTGATCATGGCCATGAAGTAGTCGGCTGTCTCTTTGAAGCCGGGGGCGAGCATTCGCAAGGGGCTGTGTTATTGTGAGCTGCATGTTGACTTGGTACGGAGACGGCTTAGACTTACTGGTTTGATTTGAACCCGAGCAGAAGAACCACAACACCTTCCTGACTCGGCTCCGTGGGCAGATTGCCATTCAAATCAGGTATCTGAGAACTTGTCTTTCCGGGGATGACTTTTGCCATCTGCGGGTTGGAGATTATGCCGTTTATTTGCAGGATTGTATTGCCGACTCTGTACGCTAAGAGCGCGAATAGGCATGCGCCAAGATAGTGTGCACTTTTTGGAAGGAGTATTGATACTAAGGCAAATGCAGATGCGCCCATGGCTATCCAGGTTGAGAGACTTAATTGATCTCGTATGATCTGTGTCGGCAATTATAAGTATTGTTTCCTAAGTCAATTAGGGCGTTTGAAACGTACAGTGCTACCGCCTGTTCCAGATCTAAACAAGGACTTCGGCATTGCCTTGAAAGGTTTGAAGACGGGTTTAAAGGCCATTTTGATAGACGATTGGATGTTCCTGGATTTGATCAATGATGATGATGAGCTGGTGGTATTGATTCGCGATGATATTTGTTTGAGCTTGATATTTTGATGATGAATAGACCTTCCCTTTAGGTAACTGCGATTGTGCTAGGTTTATATACACATTAAACTGTTATTCTCTACTCTCTTTGTCTCGTACGAGCCATGAGAGGCTTGATGATTTACATGTCAAGACCGGAGCTTCTTGGTTGCCGACATAAGGCCGTAAGCTACTCGGCTGTAGCGGAGCCGAACCGGCCGTCCTCCTAGCCAATCACAGCCCTCTCGGAATCATCGCAGCCTGTCGGGAGACTCGAGACAGAGATGAGTAATATGTTGTAGCCTGGAGAGCAAGTAAATTAATTAGTTCATGTTCTTAATCTATTATTAGGTACCATATCGAGCATGATGGCAGGTCTAATCAGTCGTTGTTGTGATATGGAACATCGTTTTTCCGCGATCCGGCGACGGAGTTACGATGTTCAGGCACCAAGGCAACCAGGCCGCAAGGCATTCAAGCCATCTCGGCCCAACGTTCGTCCTTGACAAACGTCATCATTCACATTAAGGCTTAAAGTTAAGCGAGATTATGTATTTCTTTTTCGCCCACTACGTCCGTAGAATATGGACAAAGTGACCGATTACGTTCATATTAAAACAATCAAGAGTGTTGACTCTTGGTCGGGTCTTGGCGGAGATCAAATTAGGGTTAGGGCTATTTTTATCACCACCATTTCTTTCACATGTCAGTTGATCATTTTAGATATACTACTGTTCTCGTTCTATGCGGGCAATCTCCCCTTATTACTTCCATAAATAAGATCTCATCCTCCCAACTATATCCTTGAGTCTTGAGGGGGAATAGAAATCCATCGAACCTCGTCCATCAGTCCAGGCTCTAGTCAGATGCAGGAGTGAGTTGGCACGGCTCAGATATTAACAACTAGTTATATGTGGGTATAGTTTTACTACACAAACCTACACAACGACTTAAGTAGAGGCAACACGTTCTGATTTATTAAGACAGAAGCTAGATAGTGTGTATGGGGCAGGTGGATGACAGCTTCCTTGATGAGTTGTTCGACCCACTGTACACGACTCAATCAAGGCTTCAGCAGAGAACTTTGCCGGCTATAAATTGAGGCACCGCCACCGTGCTGTTTGTGTAGCGGGAATCGCTTCTTTTACTTTGCAATTACTTGAATTTCTTTGACACGGATGCATACTTGTCTTCGGTTACTATCGACTCGAATCAAGTTACACTGTAAACATGGACAAAGAAGATTGGTAATCAAAGATTCACCAGGCATCAATTGGTTATATTGCAGCTACTATAGATGTAAAGTCTGCGGTATCAGCGGCCATGTGCATCGAGAGTTGGTCATCTGACATGAAATGGAAGTTGTCGAGGAAACGCTGGAGTCTCGTTAGATGAGGTTGTAAACAGCAAGGCAAAATTGCTGGATAAGCCATACGGCTATTAATGATGCCTTGGGCTGAGCTGCCGTGGGTGATTGAGTAGATGGCAATGGGTATGACACGATCAGAACATTCAGAATGACAGGAGTAATTCCAGGTAGGTTACTCTGATTGTTGAGCCGCCAGTAAAGATAAATGACAACGCCTTTAGCCACTCAGACTCTCCTCAAGCTCTAGATGGTGATATTCCCGATGATAGCTCGTGTCTATCCTCCTATCAGGACCGAGAAGCAACGTATAAGGCTCCGATTGGACTCTAGATATGGGGCTGGCTGTGCTCCCAGCTTCAAAACGAAGAACGTAATGGCGTGTTTGTGTAATCGTTTTTCAAATTGAATGACTGTCTCATGACAACAGGACGAAAAACGTAACGATACCCTGTAAAACGATGTTGTATCGTACGGATACAGAGAAAACGTCATGATGGTATGCCGTAAAACGTGACTAGCCCGTGACAATTCAGTCAATACCGCGAGACTGAAGCTGGGAAATGGGTAAAGATGAGCACGCTAGTCATTGCTTCTGAAGTCAGTCCCCTGAGCTATTGTTTATATGCCTTTTAATTGGGTATCCAGCCCTGTCGAGTGATGGTCATCCATAATAAGGGCTTGCCGTACTGGGAATCCCGATTGGAACTTGGCTATCCCACTCGGACACTGTCACAGATTGCAGTACGCAATAGCCCATCGTAGTATCCGATTGGATATCATAGTAGGATCATACTCTAGGTCTGCTAAATTCTTGAAGTCTTCTTGCAGTGCTTCTCGTGTCAACCAGCTCGGCATACCCGGCGACTATCACTGTCCTATAAGTGTGATTGCTACGATGTCCTTGGCCAATTGCCTCTTCAAGATACACGGTCTCAGAAAGGACGAGGAACATAGACAAGTCTGTCTTATTTCAACGCGTCTATCACGGTCTCCACTCGTATCAGTACTCTTCCTGTTGGTAATTTTGATTGAAACGAAACCGTGCTGTTTCAAGACAGTACGATGGCCAAGTATTGATACTATGTGTCGTTCGATGCAAAGTGGCTGTATGCTCAAACAGGTAGCTCAAGTATCCTGTCTCCATGATATGTTGACATCAGATTATGCTTTGCTCTTTGGTCAGGTACAAAGCGCTGACCACTGATGTTGATTGGCTGTCACAAAGCCGAATCAAACAGAGAACTGACGTAAATTTTCTTGGACAAGTCAATTCCCGCATTCCTTGCCTTTCCTCGCACTCCGGTGTTGATTCTTCTCTGGACCAGCCATCACCGTCTACAGAAACTTCACAGATCCATCAATAATCACTTCATATTATGAGATCAAAGACCCAGGCTGTAGGAAGGTACCAGCAGCGGAAACTTTGAGGAAGAGTGCTCGAATGACTCCATTGCCAATTCAGTCTCCCACAAGCCCCGACAGGCAGTGACCGCAGCAGCCGGCACCCTCGCGTTGTGCGCAGCTATTTATCATGCCATTAGATTCACCTATGATGCGTTCAACAACCACAAGGGTGGGCCGAACACTCCCTGTCAATATCCACAGTATTCATGAACCTAGAAGGGTAACGTATTGTCAAAATCAGTCTCCACATCCATCGGAGGGGAGTCTTGTTGTTCTCTACAGTAATCATTTGCAGTCCGCGACGTCTCAACTTCCCGTTATCGAAAGCTGCTTCTGGTAGCTGCACGCACACGTATCGAGCCGTCAAATATTCGTATAAACAGGTTGATAAAAATTTCTTGAACATGGGCCAAACCGAGCTGCAGGTGCACTCTGGCAGAAGAGTATGTTGCAGCGCTCTTCAGCACTCTGCAATACTACATTTTCTATTGCCGGGGCTCTACTAATATAATTTACAAACAGTGTGAAAGTATCTTGAATATATGGAAGTATATCCTTGTCATACACACGTCGATGAATGAAGCTATCAAAGTTATAGCTCGAATTCGGCGTCCACAACGCAATCCGCTCTTTGTTTTCCTTTTTTCAGAACAAGCTTGACCGTCCATGTCTCATCTTTGAGGGACCATGAAGGGGAGGTGCAGCTGCTAGCATCCTTACTCTCGAGCAACCATTAGGATTTGTCAAGCCAGTTGCGGATGTTGAAGCAATGGAACCTATACAGATGTTCGGATCATCCTGTCCATTAACGCAAATCCCGGCACATTCGTAATCTACTCCACGAGTCAAATCTAAAGCTATTTGGGGAGTCGGGGTCTGTAAAGTGTTGAGTAAGCGGAACTTGTTGCTGCCGTTGCCTTTCAAGTTAACTACTCTCATATACTCAATGATGACCTCTTCGACGCTTCTCGAATGTCGGATAAGATAATCCACATCGCGGTCCAAACACAGTTGGCATTTGAGAAGTTGTTTCTCGCATTTGCGCTTAAAGACTGCGCAGGCTATGCACGCTTTTAACCGAAAGTCGGTCTGCATTGTGTCGTCTTGAGACCTCCAAGAACTACTTGAGGTAGAGCCGGCCATCTGACGCGTGTTTGCTGCACCATATTAATTGGTCAAGTAAGCGCTATGCTAACATGTTCGATGTCAGCGTAGATTTTTATTGCTTTTCTATGAGTTTCTTAGAATGCTTAGTAGCTTATTGGGAACAAACTATCAATACAGAATTCACATTTTCCCATAAGAAAGATTCCACATCTCATCCATACCAACACATCTACCAATAACAGGTGCTATAGCACCATCCTTCCCAGCCTTTTGACCGAACCCCATGATAATTTTGCTACAGTGCATTGCATGGTGTAGATCAGCCGCTTTAGCGTATATACCCACGCCTTTGACCCCCTTTGTAAGAGATTCGGCCGCGCTCGCAGCTAACCGCCATAAATGCAAACAGTGTGCAACGTGCCATTCACTAGCGGCATGGAAGTATTGTAAGCTAGTTATATCTCTGCTGTTGGCAAATGCCGCAAGTTCCATGTCTTCTTGAGTCGCAGGGTGAGTATGATTTGAGTCCCAGAATATAGGGTAAGTGTTCCCAGACTCGGAGTCAGATGCCACAAGAGCATTGTAACAGGAAGCGGGAATCCAGGCATTTGCGAATATGTCAAAGGAGCAGCCCAATGATCTGGCTTCGGATGGCGAACTTCCACATCCATCAAAGCCGATAGTAAAGTTCCCTATCGCTGTAGCCTCTGGATGTGCTCCTTTGGTCGGGCTATTATTTGCATATCGTCCAAGTCGAGACGTTTGCGCGAGATGGAGCAGAAGGATTGTTGCGATAAGGGCTGTACTGAAAATAGAGATACATGTCACTGCAACACCCCATTGCTGGATCTTCAAGAGCATCTTGAGATTGGAGGTGTTTTGAGGTTGTCCTTCGAGACTTGCGTCTTCCTCATCGCCCTCAACGCTCTCGTACGCCGCATCATCAGATTTTGATATTAAGAAGCTGTTCATCTTCATGCTAGTTGGGCGAATGCAGAGTTGTGGATGACGACTGGAAACTACACGGCTTAAATTTCGTATGTTTTGATCTTCTTTCACAGCTCGTGTATATACAGGCATCAAAGAGCCATATGAAGAGGATGAATAATTCGTGATCCGGGCTACTCGGTGACAGGTTGCGAATACGAATTTTGGAAGGTGTGAAGCGTAAATAATAACAAGTCATGTGGGTCAGATGCTGACCACCTGCAGCTTAAAACATACATTCTTATGAATTATATTATACTTATTATTCGTTATCTCGTATTGTATATATACAGGTATACTAGTAGTCCATTGATAAAGTTCCCGTAGTGGTTAATTAGACGTGCATTATGCAGGACCGGGGCCCCTTTTTTCAGCTCTATCTCCCCGCGCTCTATCATGGCTAGTACCATCAATCTGGATAACGGCCCGAGCGTATAAATCAGAAGGAAAAGTCACTGATGTCTTGAGTCAACAGCTTGAAGATGGTTAGTAGCATATGTAACCCCCATAAAGCTGACGCGTCCGACTCCGCAAACGGTCTAGTGGACCAATATCACTCGCTCATTAAGAGTTCAACACCAAGATGACAGCCTACAGCATCTTGAAGGGTACCATAAGATGGGATGGCAGATTTCACATAATGATGCTGTATGCTAGGCAGTCACCCATCTTGTAGCATGCATAAAATTTCAAGAATAGATCCAGTGCCCATCATATCAAACGTTATAAGCTATGAAATTTTTGGCGTTCTATGAAAGGTGTTATTCTATTCCAAGTGTTTTTCTTTTCTTGAAACGCAAGTATTATGCAGTGTGATTATAGCATTCAACATATAGAGGACTGACTAGCAACAATCACATTATCCCAATCAGGCAGTCGATTGGCCAGGTAAGGGTGCACTAACGTAGCTCATGAAGGCTCTTCTCGTTCATATTCTACTGAAAATTTAACCGAGATCGGCGAAAAGAGCGAGACGTGGGCTCCTAGCTTAAGGGAAGATTTCAAAGATCTAGTCTTGGGGCCCTCTATATAAAGAGACCCTTTCCCCTCCAGAACAGCGCTTTGCATCTACTCTGCATTCAAACTTCTTCTCTCCAAACTGTTCAACCCTCTTACTTTCAACTTTTACCTCAAGCTCTACGAAAGAACTATGATCAAGATGCGTTTCACTACTGCTCTCTCCATGCTCCTCTCAGCGGGTTTGATTGGAACCACTTTGGCTAGTGAACCGGTCGACACCTCGAAAGGGACTATTTACACTCCCAAGGATTACTCCTTCGAAGACTTCGGAAATGGAACTCTAGCTGTCAAGCCCCTGAACGGCAAGCGTCAATTTCAACTCTGCGACTATTGGAACGCATGGGTAGTTTGTCAGACGGGTCTCAGCGACACGAACATCTGCACGGATACCTACTGTTACTGCGAGGGAGCCGATATTGTCTGCCAGGCAGGAACTACATGTCTGGACACATGCTCATGCTATGTGTACTGCGCTGATGACTGGTAAATGAGTAATAGGAAAGGTATGCGATTTGCCTTCGTAAGCTTTGCTTAAGCTTAACATTGATGTGCTGGATCTAATAACCTTTAGTAATAGGCTATTGATGGAAATATCTCCGTTTTTAGGCGAAATTCATGAGTGCAATCCATCAAGGTTATCGGAAATTGTAATGGACGCGGTTTTCGTTATATGGGCAACTATGTACTTAAAACGCTCATGTTCAAAGTCATACTCTTGTTACCTGAAACTATCACTCAAGTCGTACAACTAATTACAATACCTCTACTTCGTACTTCATATTGAATTAGGGCTAAAAGGTAGCACGTGGCTTTCAGACCATTCACAACTAGGATGTGGGATGCATAAAATACTATAATTATTATATTTACATAACTATCCAATCCACTCTGTACTATCGTAGCTATTGGTCAACATACAGGGCGTATGCGCGCCTCCAAATTACGGGGGTGCTTCTGCTGCTGGATCCAATTTAACCACTTCATCTATGCAGCCAAACCCTTGACAGCTACTAGTTAGCTTATAGTTGGCGTCTGCCTAACTGATAATACGAGATTATAGCCTAATAGAAGTTTAGATAACTCGCCTGCTCCCCACAAAACCCCGCAAGCCTACACCTAGTCACGAAATCTGTAGTCATTGGCTGTGCCAACCAACACACTTCATACCCACGAGTCAATGTTAATGAACCGGATATCTAAGGCCATTCTTCAGCATCACTGCGATGATGTTAATCTGGTATAAGCTTTTTTGACTACGGATTGAACCGCATTGAATACCTGCCTTTCAAGCTTACCATGAAATCACCATTTCAAAATATTCACCGCAAATCAACATATCTAATGATTAAGCTGAGACTTATTGACAGCTGCCATAAATAAGGATACAGCGAGGTTATTGGCCTGGCCTAAAAGTACACTACTCGAGCTGAATCTATAATAGTCACATTAAGAATAGGCGATGCTTGACTCGAGTAAGCTTCGCGGAGATACTAACCTAACATACTTTAGGCTTCCCAACGAGACGACTTAATGTATGCACGATAAAGGCTAGGGATTTCATATAGATCATACCGCTAGTCAGCATTTATTCAATTATTGGTGATAAGAGGAGGGTTGAGTGTAGAAGACTAAGCCACGTCAGGCGTGCTACTGCTAATTCGTATACCGTATGGACTCATCGTTAGCCTCCTATGCCTGAACACTAGCCCCCACTTATTTATTAATACCGATCAGGGAAATTTCTTCGGATGGAGTGCGTATCTCAGACGAAGGGGGATTAGAAATACCGACGACTTGACACAACACGACGAGGATTTCACTCTTCATTAGCGTAAATCAGACGTTCCACCTATCAATGTACGAAATAAGCGAGCAGTTTACTTATGTACAAGGTTTCGTTTCTAATCCCTTACTATGAGAAATTGGCGATGTATGGACTAAAGTGCTTTTCTGGTAGTCCAATGTCGGTTTAATACAGGATTTTAAGTTGTACCTTAACCTAGCCTTCACTAAAACAGCGAGCACTGTCTCCACTGCACCCAATTTTACGCCTGGATGAGCCAGAGATAGCTCTGACGCGTGTTGACTGATCACTTCGTTGGTTTATATTATGATGCAAATCAGTACAGAGGTTCTCTATTCTGTCAGCGCATCGACAAAACATAAAGAATAAATTCCTAATGACCCTAGCACAAGAGAGATAGGATCGAGTGCAGAGACTTGATATATACATATGCCTTGGCCATCACCATCTAGAAATATCTCGATTGGGCGACCTCTGTAAAAGTTTGCAATGGTTTTTTCATTGCGGTAGTAAGAAGTAGTTGTTACATGTTCGGAAAAGATAGCATCTTCCATAAAGTACCATTATCGAAGCCCTGATCTAGCAGCCACCTAAAGCACCGTCGGCATCCATCGCAGCTTTACCCCACTGTCTAAGTTTACCAAATACCCTTTGAAACATCCAAAGGTCAAGTCTGACTTCTATCGAGTCTTCTCTTGATAAGCTTTACAGAGGTATAGCCCTCCACAGCAATAGATTGACCCTTGAATTTGAGGTTGTGACTATGGTTAGGGTTATATCGGACTTATACCGCAGTATGTATCAGACCGTCCTAATCAAACTAAAGGACAGCTGTTTTCTAATAGAATAGGCGTATTGGACCGGCCTTGAGTGAAGTCAAAGATGTCGGCTGAGTTTGATAGGGTCGCTGAATAAGAGAACCATACTGTATCTATGGGTCGTTACTAGTCAGTCTTTCACCTCTTTGAAAGGCGATAGTTATGTATACAAGATTTTAGCAATGCCCAGTATTACGAAAATGGAGCTCTCAATTACATGTAGCAAGACGAGATTATTAAATTCAAACATAACAATGGACACATTAATATCGATGAATCGAGGAAAGTCCTCATTCAAATCATCTTTCGCGGCAATACTACCCACCATTCAAGTATACCACGTCGGCTGTGGAATCTCTCCCAAGACCACATATCTACCCAGCTCTCGGTTCTTGTACGCAACCGGATCATGCAACGTGTGTGTCCTTAGATCCCGCCAATACCGGTCCAATCCCACCTTCAAGGAAGTGGCCCTTGAACCAGTCACCTCAAAAATTCCGGAGGTAACCCTAAGTCCAACGTCTGTCGTAACGACTTTGACACTGGCGACCCATTCGGCAATCTCTCCGCGTTCTTCGCCGGATAACTTTACGTGATCACTACCGTGGCGAGCGAAAAGAGCGGCCACCTGGTCTCCAGCACGGTCAGCGAGGGCTTCGGCAGCACGCAGATGAGCAAAGAAATTCCCGTAGCGTTCCAAAATATAGAACTCTTCTGTTGGCGACTCCTTTACGTCTCCGCCAAATGGCCAGGCGCGTGTATGCGAAGTAGTATACTTGGCAGCGTATTCGAGTGCACCAATCGCAATTCCGAGGTAGAAGTTACTGAAAACAAGCTGGATACTGCAATGGTTTTTTCATGTCAGTTCCCGAATATGATGCAGCTCGCAATTTGAAAACATACACCGGAAGAAGAAGACTACCCCAAGGTATCTGCAATACATCAGGCAGAGGCTTGCGCGCAACTGCATCCCAGCCCAGGGCATCAGTCCAAGGAGCTTTGATATTGTCAATTTTGACGCTGCCAGATTCAGTCAATCGTAAACCAATATTGTGCCAGTTATGTGCAAACTGGATTCCAGGCTGTTTCGTATGCACAACGGCAAAAATGTGGTCATTTGTTCCTTCAAGAATGCCCTCAAGAACAGTGAGATCGGAAATCACGCCACCAGTGTTGAAGTGTTTAGCGCCGTTGAAGACGATATTTTCTCCATCTATACTGATTCGAAGGTCGTTGTCACGAGGATTCACTGCACCGCCGACAAAGTAGTTGTTCGTAATGATAAGCTGGTCGAGACGGTCGCTCTGTTCGGGTGTGCCTACGATGTCTGCCACTCTTGACCAGAGTAAGTGGTAGCCGAGAAGTGCGCCGATTGATCTGTTATTGTAAGTTCATATCCTTAATTTTTTGTCAGCAGGGACTAACCCATCAGCTTTGGCGACCTCGCGAATCACTTTATATGCCACGTTCCATGGCTGGCCACCACCGCCATACTTCTCAGGACCCAGGGTTTTCAGTAGATGAGAATGCTTGAGAAGAGCGATTTCTGCTACAGGTGATTTATTTTCTTGATCACGCTTCGCGGAGTCCTGAGCAAGGACCTCGGCGACCTCGCGAGCTCGTGCCAGCCAGCCATGCTCGTTTTCTGGTAACGAAGCCCATTTGTTTTTGTATTCATCGTAGACCGCAGGGTCAGTCGCAGGGAATTGACTCATTTTTCTTTGAAGAAATATTATTATGCTTTTTCTTTTCGAACTATGTACATAGATATGTAGGTTTCTTCGCAGTTTAAGTATTCGCTGTGCACGGGCGATGGCGTGATGGTGGTGGGATAGGATGGCGTGGTCTGTAAACTATATGTTGCAATTCTCATTGCTTGCATGAACTAAATCCGATAAATGGTGGATTTTATCAGAAGCTGGGGCAGTCGCGTTATCAATCTCTAAGGATAAGTCTGAGATCCATCAGCGCTGATCCATATTTTGTTATTTTGTGTTCTCTGAATTGATGATTGCGGGTTGGTGTGCTTGAGCTTTAATTTATGCTGGCTCTTATGTGCCCTCTTAAATAGGCTGGAGTACTGTTAAACAAAAAGAGGAATTTTGTAGGGGCCAATTATTCTGAAATGAATTGGAATCATTGAGCGGAATTAATAGCGCATCCAGACAGCTGGTCTGAGTAGAAGCTAAACTTCTATAATTTTAAATGTTTGTAGCTTACTGATTTTCAATTATGCAATTGAAATGGAGAATTGTAATATATATAGATTTTTTATGCAATGTCGATGAAAAATAGCTGTTGACAGAGCTTTACCAACGACATACAGACTAATACAGCGCCAACTTCAACCATATCTTAACAAGTAGGTGCGACAACAGGACGAAACACAGAATGTAAGTAGGATATTACTATTGTAACAACCCAAGCAGTCTAGTTAGACAACCTACCGTTGTACAAAGCCCTTGAAGCTATTCACGGAATCCTTGTCTATTGACATATCAATACGCTAGAGTTAGTGAACCGGACTTATAGTAAGCTGGAGTTAATCAGTCGGACTTAGTCGGATACTGAGCCAGGATTGATAACACTTGTATATATAGATAAAATGCAGACAAGAATAGCAGGAAGAGATTGGTTTTAGTGCATTGGCATTCCATACCCTACCTTGTATGCTTAGCCTTCAGTGACCCCTCTCGAACGTGATATACATATCCCTCGTAACGTTGTTACAACTATAAAGAGAAGGTTGAGAACTTTAGGCTTTTACTATCCTATTCTTGTCTTTATTGTCCACGTTTGTTACTTCTAGTCCAATGAAAGCTGAATACGTGTAGTAAGATGATATGTTAACTTTCTATGATGTTCACTTTTGGAAGAAAAACGCTTATGAGGTGCAGTATATTCTATTTAGTATATGTATGTAGCTGTTCTCTATCTCCACTGTCTAACTTGCTGATTTGTATGGGATCCAGCGCTTCGGGTATACATGATCTGTGAGCCATCAGTTTGTGAGCTATGACACGTGGTAAACTTAGACACCAATCCTCTAACTGGTGGTTTCTGATCGACTGTCTCGTTTGGCTGCTTCTGAATATCCGGATTATCCGACAGATGGCAGGTTTCTGATGAGCGATATCGTATTCAACGAAGCTAGCTAAGAGGTGGAAGCTAGGAAAACCCCAAGATCGTTCTCGCTCGCAGCCTTACACAACACCTGCAGTTTCTTGCGTATACAAATGGCTGCGTCGTACAATATGTCGTTTATTCGACCTTTCCATGTCCTCTTCAATTGCACTCCACCTCCTGAATACTTCTGCTCCTTCCTGGGCTGTCGATTCTTCCGTCTCTTCAAGACCTTGCGATATGCGACCCATCACAATCATGCATTTCTGGTGTTTGCCCAACGAGTCATTGATTTCTCTGAGTACCCCGCTCAATGGATACCCTGCTAGACCCCATAGCCCTAATTAAGATTAGCTCGTATACAACCAGATTGCAGAGAGATTACTGGCATGTTCCACGTACCCGCTGTCGGCTTGAGAAACACCCCACCCACTGCTTTCCCGAGCCCCTTGAGCAATCCCATCCCACCGTTATCTTTGAAACCATGACGCGGATGCGTTACTAGGCCCGTTATACCTAAGTAGAATCCATCTTGGAGTTCCTGTGCATATGTCAGTATACTTGGCCCTATGCCGGTGCTGGTATACCTGATATTACCTTTCCAGCTGCCCTGATCCCACTTCGAATGCTAATCACTTGGGGGATGTCGTTTACTGTCGGATCATGATATAATTTAGGTGCGTTGTGGAATCCTCTGGCCATGCTCAGTGACACATCAGTTGGCAACAAGATAATTAGCCTCAAGAACTTTTTCGACATATTACTTCCGTGGAACGCAGCTTCGTGTAAAACATTGAGTTTTTGTGATTTCGACGACGTCATCGAACTGCTCATTGGCTTGGCCTTTTCCTGTTGGAGGTTCCGTTTACGTTCTATGCTTGACGACCGTGTGCTGCTGTTGACATAGGTTTCATTTTCCTCATCAGCAAAATCTCCCTGCGTACTCTCCTCGTTTGGAACTTCGTCGTCCTCTTCATTATCCTCAAATTGCCTTTCCTCGCTCTCGACACTATCTTCGGGGGATGATTGATCTGGACATGAAATTGCTGCCCGATATGCTGTGTGTTGATTGAAATGTTCACGCGGGTGGCTTAGTGCGTGAACTGCAGAAATAAAATCAAGCAGGATCTCTCTTGGGGTATCCACAAGCCCAGTCATGAAACTCGCCATGGACCCAACTAGCAACTGAGCACTAGCAGTAAGTGGGCCGCTCGGATCCCGGAATGTATCGTATTCTTTTGGACGGTGCCTGGGAATGAAATTAGCGGATCTCGCCATTTCGGTAACGACGTTGTAGACTTACAGCACGAGCATATCTGGACTGATTTTGCGTGATTTTACCAGGACTGTTGCTGCATAGGCACTTAAGTTAATTTTAGTATGCTTGAGATGCCAAGCCGCCGGCCGATTCGGGAATATAGAGCATCTGAGTGACTGGATATCAAGATGTCGATAAAAACTATACACGCCATGTTGCACCCCAGACTCTTCCTGCATGTCAATTGCGATCGCCTGTGCCCTTTCTAAGGTAGATGCCTCCAGCGCCTTTTCTATTGCGTCTGACAGATTCTGGACATTCAAACGTTTATGAGGTATTGGCGCCGGCCCGGCTCCTGCTCGTGCCACGATGTCTCCCCAAAACTGCTGGTCGCCAAAAAAGGGGACAATTATCGTTGGTCTACCAAGCGCGAGGCCTGCGGCTGTCGTACCAGCACCACCGTGGTGGACCACGCATGAAACCTGTCGAAACAGCCAATCATGGGGGCAGTTTCCAATGATGAGAATATTGTCCGGCACATCCACTCCGTCTGCCCCAAGACCTCCCCAGCCCTTTGAAATGAGAGCCCGCTGTCCAGTCTTTTGAACTGCTTTGAATACAATTTCCGTCAGTTTGACTGGATCGTCCACGACGATAGAACCAAATCCGACATAGAGTGGTCTCGGTCCAGCTTTGAGGAATGTATCTATTTCCACTGGAGGCGTGTAGCTGGTCTCTGATGGGAGAAAGCTGAAACCGCATACGTCAATTTTATCAGACCAATCGGGGGGTTTGGGTAGCAATGCCGGGGACCTGTGTCAAACTTTCTCATTAGTCGTATTGGAATATTTTTGCCGACAAGAAATGAATTCCTCACCATAGATACGCATGGGGCACGTGCAGTCGATGCAGTAAGCTTGGAACAGTCAATGAATCCAGAGGTTGGAGCGCTAGGGTATTCTTGCGAAGCGTGTTTAGAATATCTCCAAGACCTTCCCACACCATCATATCCACAATACCGTAGGACACGAAATTTGCGACACTCCGCTTACTGTTCTGGGTGTGCAAAGTGGCTAATGGGTGAGGAAATGACTGTGTTGGTGACCAGGGCATTCTATCAAATACTTAGTCGTCTGTCTATTGTGTAAACAGTAACTAGGGTTTCATATATGAGAGATTCAGCTCACGTAAACATGATGTGAAGAGGAATGCCCAATCGCTGCGCACAATGTATATGGGCTAGGCTTGGGGGATTGGCTATAATGGCATCTGCCACAAAGGGCCGTCGTCGATAATCCACAGTTTTACTCCATGGATCCTCTTTGATCTGATGAAGATGAGTTCCATCACCCGTCTCATAGCAGGATTTCCAACATCCATTGAAAATTTCTCTCATCTCACGTCGGCGCTTCTGGATGGCTCCGCTGCGTATTGACTTAACACCCGGCAAGAGGCCCGGATTTTTGACCATGAAAGCCATTAGCTCCGCCGGGTCTCCCCCGATATTGAAGAACTCTAGACCGCCATCGAGAACGAACTCTCGAAAGGCCATATGCGTGGCCAATCTGACCCTGTGACCGTGTGCTTTCAGTTCCTTCCCCAGTGCAATAAAGGGTTGGATGTCGCCCCGAGAACCAATCACCTGGATGACGATGTTTAATTGCAGTGGAATCTTCACCACATCCTTCGGAATAGGACGTTCTGCGCCATCTGTTTGTTCCACCTCCCTGCCAGAAGGTATACCAAGGCGTTGTAAAAACAGCCGCGGAGAATGTTCATCGATGTGGATTGATACCCGGCCATCGTCTATGACAAGAAGTAAAGCATGGTTAGAACATGGAGTGTAATATCGGCTGAACATCACTCACCGAGAATGCGAGCACCGGTGTTTGAATTATCCTGGAAGAATCGCGCTCCATCATTGTCACCTGGGAATCGCTCACTTCCTTTCTCTGCTCCATTATCTGCTACATTATCTGAACGAATGAGGTCAGGTTGCTGAGATGATCTTCCTGTAATGTCCAGCGCTACAGCGGCCATGATAGACAAGGATGTGACATGTGTGATGGTGGGAGCAAAGGCAAGAGTTGCGCGGATGGGCGGATATCCGACGCGTAGTAAGGTCTTTCCGCAATTTCCTATTACCAAAATATGATCATACCATGAGGATCTCTGACAAATCCAAATTCGAAGAAAAGTGACTTGTGTCGCAGTCCGTGTCGCAGTCAATGACGTCAGTGGTCCATCCAGACCAGCGTTGAAATATTGCTGGAACATTTCAACCCTAAGATCTATCGAATGGTTTGAATTGCTGAATAAGACCGCCTCTTCTGTCCTGATCGGGCCGGAACTTAGCTAAGAGGCTACTTGGTCTGTGGCAAATCAAAAGTGGTGTTCTTCAGGGCATCGAGAGGAATAAGGGTATTAGTGTATACATTTACGGCTAACTATGTATTTACGAATATGAATACCACGAATTGACGAAGGCGTATGTTGTCCATTCTCGACACTGGAAATCTTTGTCGTATTATCACTTAGATTCTAACGGGACTGTATTCCCACGTAGTTGACCTTCACTTCCTCCAGTTTAGCCTTTCCACCCATCACAACTACCACAGGAAAAAGAGTCGGCTTTTTCCTTCTCCAGGCAAAACGTAAAAAACTCACATTACAATGCAAGTTCTTCTAGAGATTACAGGGGGCCCTCTTGGGTGTCTTGTATTGTGTGGCGTGTGTATGAAGTTCCAGTTGTCCACAATCAAGTACGCTTTAACTGTTAAATATATCCTGATATACACACACAGAGGCGACGGAGCCAGACAGAGTTGACGCACTTGATTATCGCTCCTTTTCCATGTCCATTGCGGCGTGTTCAAATAAATACTTGGATTACTCCAGAAAACCCCATATGTTGTTCAGGCTCTCTGCTAGAGCAGGATGCGCCCAAATCGTATCCTGCAATTTGTGATAGGGGACATTCCCTACCATCGCCATCTGCACTGTGCTCATGATTTCACCCCCTTCGAGGCCCAGACAGGTAAATCCTAGGATCAGCCCGGTATCACTGTCCACGACCGCCTTCATCACTCCTCTCGATTCGTCAGTTTCTAATGCGCGCGCAACGTATGCCATTGGCATCGTTGCTGTCCGAATTCCCTTGCTGGGGAATTTGGAACGAGCCTCGTCCTCATGGAGACCGACGTGTGCCATTTGGGGGTCGGTGAACACCACGTACGGGACGATGCGGTCTTTGATAGAGAGCTTTTTAGAAGACAAAGAAAGGAAGTTAGATCGAATGATACGGAAATCGTCGTACGAGACGTGTGTAAATGCGGGAGGACCTTTCACATCACCCATTGCAAAGACAGAAGGGGACGAAGTCTCGAGGTATTCATTAGTCAGAATGTATCCTTTGCTGTCGGTCTTGATATGTGCAGCTTCTAAGTTCAGACTGTCTGTATTCGGAATCCGACCGGTAGCGAATAATATATGCGTCCCTTCGATAATCCGGTTGTCGTTGTCGACATGTACGGTGAGAGCAAACCCACTTGATGATACTGTAACTCGAACAGCTTGCGCGTTTAGCAAAACTGCGAGTCCATCCTCTCGGAGAATCTGTAGGAGAAGATCGGCAATTGCTCCATCCTCACGTGGCAGTAGCTGTGCCCCATGCTGAATAAGAGTTACCTGCGCACCTAGTCTGCGAAATAGCTGTGCGAATTCCACTCCCACGTAACCCCCTCCGATAACCACGAGATGACCGGGAACTTCATCTAGCTCTTGGATCGAAGTTGAATCCAATACTCTCCCTTTATCAAGCAAATCGATTCCTTCAAGCCTTGGCGGTGCTGGTCGTGCGCCAACATTGATGAATATATTCTGACCGTAGACAGTCCTCTCTTTACCGAGGCTGTCTTTGTATTTCAGAGTTTTCTCATCAGCGAAACTTGCGTCACCGGCCAATACATCCACACCGGCTTCGTGAAGTCTATCCACGCTGCTGTTATGGAACGAAGCGACGATGTTACGTTTCCGTTGGCGAACCGTGAGCATGTCGACTATGACCTCATTCGCCTTGCCTTTAGTGTTGGAAGAGTGTATACCATAGTCCGGCCCTCTGCGATTTAGGTACGCGACGCGGCCTGACGCAATTAATGTTTTCGTCGGCGTACATCCTTCGTTGATACAGCATCCACCGACATGTTCTTTTTCGATGAGTGCTGTTTTCTGGCCAGTCTTCGCGATTGCTGCGGCGAGTGGGTTGCCAGACTGGCCGGAGCCTATTATTATCGAGTCGTATTTCGTGACGGCCGCCATATTATAACAGTAACCACGACTGGCCGATACCATCACCCTTGAGCGATGGAACATTCGACTTACTATTGTTTCATCTGAGCAAGTACAATCTATAGGAGCCTCTCGTTGATCCGGCGGAGATCTCTTTTATTTTGGGGGAGGGAGGGGGGCTTCACTTTTTTTTTTTTTTTTTTTTTTTGGAAGACATTACTTCATGCTCACGTATCATAAGTTATTTGCAGGCATGTAGAGTGGTGCACGTCAAGACCACTAGTTATCTCGTTGACGTTAAAAAGACGCCATTGGATGGAATATGTGTGCATAGTTACCGGGGACTAGATCGACCTTCAACGACAAATGAGTGGCTTAGGGAGCGTGAGTCGGGACTGAAATCTACTCAGTGAGCCGGAGCGTGCGCGCCCTCACAAAAGCGGCGACAGCTGAAAAGGAAAACCCCACCCTGGCAGTGAAAATATGGTTTGTATAGAGACCTAGTAACAAGAAATTATGTGTTCCACACCATTCCGGAATTTCCAGTAAACGTAGGTATATCAATGACCAGAGCTAGTGGTCCTATTCTGGACTTAAGTAGTGTATCAATCAAGTAAAAAAATCAATTAATTAATAAATAATGGTCAGCTTTTGCATGGGAGATAACTTGAGCAATCTAGCCTATCTGAAACATGTAGTTCATGACTAAGATCATGTCCCTAGCAAACAGTTGAATCATCTAAGAAGAATATAAGTATAAAAGGCCTCCTTTCCTCTCACCAAGGAAATGAAGGTTATCAGTCTTGAATCCGAGATTCTTAACAACACCGGCATTGATTCGGCAGAGTTTAAGCATCGATCACCTTCTCGGTGACGACACCATCATCTCGAATCAAAACCTTGTCGACATGAAGAGAGGCCTTGACTGGGTTGGGCTGGTTGTAGACCCACTCGAGTTCCTCGAGAGTACGGCCTTGAGCCTCGACACTATTTTAGAGACAAACAATGTTAGAGAGTTGACGCGATCATAGAACGGAGAAGAACAAAGAAAAAGTGCTCACCCGAAAAAGTACCACAGGACTGTTTCGATAAAGTCCCAACCGACGAAGATCCACACATAGTTGTATTGAATATTGCTAAGCGCGATTGGTCCGGCGTACAAGTTGATGAAGCCAAAGATGTTGACGACCAAGCCGTACATAGCAAGGCCTTTAGCGCGAAGGCGAGTATCAAGAGCCTCTGCTGGAACAACACCTTGCAGCGGGGTGTATGTGAATGAATTTGCCGTGTTGAAAAGGAAGAAGAAGGCAAGAGCGCCTTGGGCTAGATGAGGATTGGTAATAACATTGTTGACTGTCGCTTTGGAAAGGGCATTCTGCAGAGCTGCATTGATACATAGCAAGATAGCGCCAACCAAGGTACCCCAAACAAGCACCTTTCGGCGCGGCATGCGGTCGGTGAGAGACATAGCAGTCAGAGCGCCAGCGGCGGAAACAACCTGGTTGACAACCGTAAAACCTAATTGTTGGAAACTCGATGTGTAGCCCAAGATATTGAAGATGGACGAGTTGTAGTAACCGAGACCGTTGCCAGAGAACTGACCAAAGATGCCCATCATGATAGCTTGTGATGTACGCCAGCGGCTATTATGAGTGGCGAAGAGCGGACGCCAATCCCAAATACCCTTGTTATACAGGGCGTCCTCCTGAAGGTTTTGCTTAATCTCTTCCACTTCCAACATGACCAAACGAGCGTGGCGGTTACCATTACCATGGTATTTGGCCAAGATCTCAATAGCTTTCTCGGTCTCGTCGTTGGCCATTAAATATCGGGGCGACTCTGGCATGAAGAAAACGGAGGAAAGGACAACAAGACAGGTGAAACATTGCAGAATCAGGGGGATCCTCCACGAGTAATCGTTATTGATATACTGACAGCCATAAGTAATGAAAGACGCAGGGATGGAGCCACCGAACCAGCCACAATTATAGAAGCCGACCGCACGACCACGCCAGTGTGGTGGAGCAATCTCAACTGCGTAAGCCGGGGCAGAGACGGTCATGAACATAATTCCCGCACCGAGGACAAAACGGCCGACGATGAATTGGGCCACGGTGTTGGCTGTCGAAGTGAGAATGGCGCCAACGATGATGATAATAGCGCCGACGAACATGCCCACGCGGCGGCCGAATCTGTCACTGACATATGGCGCGAAGGGGAAAGCTGCGATGGAACCACTATTTTTGTTCTTATATGAGGACAAATAATCTCTCTGGGAGGGGTTCTTCTGGTAGATAGAACTTACACACTGTACAAAGCACTAAGAAGCGAGGTCTTCTGACCAACGAGTCCTGAGTCAAACTTGGCTTTGAAAAAAGGCATGGCTAGAATGGAGCTCATGAGAGAGCCGTCGTAGCCATTGGCACAAGAGCAACAGAAACAGACCGCAATGAAGCCTATAAAACAGCATGGATTCAGCACATATTCGCTCATCAATGTGTATCCGCTAAGCAAGACTTACAGTAGAGATGAATGGATTCTTTACTCCATCGCTCAATAGGAGTGTCCTTGATGGCGGCGAATAGCTCGGCCTGTGATGATATAATCTCAATTTGTTGCTCCCCTCCGGATCTTGCACACATGACTTACGTTGTAGACCTCCTTGGCATGCACCTCACCGCTCACCACGGTCGTCGTTGCCAGTTCCTTCTGCTCAACAGGGACAGCCTCGACGGCCTGTTCCTCCGGTTTCGACATGATTTGGAAATGGACGGTTTCGTCTCCTCCAGAATCAAAGTATCCTGTAGCGTTGCTCCGGTCGGGCACGATTTCGAGATAAGCAAAGCACAGGAACCTCTGTAGGAGCTTAGTAAAGCAAGGGAGATGTTACAGTGCAGCGAAGTGTTCTCATATTTATATTCCACTACAGCGCGCCATCAATTTCGTTCAGTTCAAATGGAAATAATATTCCTTTCCCCGCAAACCATCTCCAGATACCTTAAGCTGCATAGGAGTGGTCGCGTTTCTAGAGCTCATGTTGGATACGTCCAGCTGTCGCGGAATGTCGGCTTGTCGACCGATGAATTCCCTACCTTAATTGCGCCGCAACAAGTGGCTCCGAGTCATGGCGGCGGTAGACGCACCGCTCCCCAACACTAAAAACCGATTCTGGGACCATTGGGGCCCCAGGGATTGGATCCAATATATGAACGATCCCTAGTTGCGGGGATTTGGTCAATCAACCGCGACTGTCTATAAAAACTTGAAGGGCGAACCGACAGCGTTCGACTTGGACTCGATACGCACCCCCAATTGCCACTGTAACAAGTTTGTTTGCTTAATTTAATTCCTTGGTGGAACAATTCCAACGCGCTTCCCCATCGACCAATAGCTGGGGTTAGTCGACGGGCCCCCGTATTGACTAAGACCCAAGCGACTAAGTCATAAGATAGATACAAACGTGGTCTGGTACCTCGTACTTCTTAAACAGGTGTTTGCTCGGTGTCCGGTGGTCAGTGCTCGCATTCCAGCTCGATTCTTCTTCCTTTTCTCCCCTACCTGATTCTCATGTGTTGGCTATTGGCTAATCATAGTATCAAAAAAAACTATTGGATCAGGATTCAGCTCGTCAAATATACTTTGCAACAGGACATAACGCCTTCAATTGCTGCAATATCCGAGCACGTAAAATGTACAAGGTCTCGGTCGTTATCCCGATCATCCGTCAGGACAAGCGAGTGGCGGCGATTCTCAATCACCGCATCTCCTTTCAGAATGGTATCTGACAAAACTAGGCCCCTTTCTGCTAAACGGCCTTAATAGTAGTCATGCTATAGTTTTGCGGAGGGATTGCAAACTTTGCAGGTCATGCCATCCCATTTCTACCCAATCAACGCGCTGCTAGCTATAGCCGCCAAGTGTTATTGACAGGAGAAATTCTAAGTTCTAGAAGACTAGAACACAAAATCAATAATCTGATTTGACTCGTCCTTGACAGAAGATTTTTATCTCCTGATTTGAGGGTGGAGGCCTGAAATTCTAATCATTGATCACAAGAATCTTCATTTTCCCTGTTTTACTTCCTTGAACCTTTGTGAAAGCTGCATGTGCCTACGGTGTACTCCGTAAACAGCTGCAGCAATAAAGCGGATCAAGATTGGAGCTATGACAGTCTGATGATACCCGGACTGTAACAACCGAGGTCGGATGCTGTAAGGTTAGTTTCCACCCTAAACCTGGGTCATCAAGAGGTTCTATTGTCAACCCTGCCAGTTACTTGTGGTGAATTAATCTCCAGAGACTGTAGGCTGTTCATATGGACGTTTACCAGATGGAAAGCCTTGGAAAAAGGTTATGTGTTGCAGAGCGCTATTTGGTCGGAGGAAGCGCGACGAGTCAGATCGACTGACCACTAGGCAAAACGACTGGCATCTCCTGTTGAGTACGAAAGGAAGAAAGAAATGAAGATAGATGTTTGTTCTATCGATCATCGCTTAACTTCTTCAATTCATTTCCAAAAATGGATCGACTCGTGATTTGTAGATTGTTATTATATAAACCCGGTACTTTTGACGCTGAAGGCAGGTATTGTTAAGATTAATGAGAAAATGTCGCGCGCACATATGCTCGATGACCTAGTGAAGTAGGTACCATATATAAAGCAGAATGACCACGTAATGCGTGGCCAGACCTGAGGCAGCAGCTTCGACAGGTATGTAGGGAACGTTGTTGAAACTATGGGTGAATGAAATGGTCTCTAGGTTGAGAGGTAGCTCTGGGGAATGTCCTAGCTATATATGCTTAAGATATGTGTCATGCAAACATGGCAAACTGATAAGCACTTCCTAAAAACTAATTGGCTCATTTATCCCCGGTAAGGAATGAAGACGACCTAACGGCTGATCGCTAAACATTGTTACAATTTAAGATCTTAACAACTAGCTCCAGAACTTGAAACAACAAGAAAACAGTTGTTCAGGCATGGCGAATTTTCACTTCAAGACTTCTAGGTCAATGAAGCCCAAATAGGGAGTCCTTAACCTTGTCTGCGAATTGAGCTGTGTACCGAAAGAGACTCTCTTGTAGAAGCTCTTTAAAATTCCGGATAATCATGGATTGGTGAAAATAGCCGCCCACGAGCGACAATCGTACGATCTTGCAATTTGTCCGCGGTGGCTAAACGCACCGGATGCAGCTTGGAAAATATGGAGTTTGGAGATCATAGCCGAGACGCACAGGTACTAACGCACCCCACAAGATGGAAGACACTGAAAAAGGAATCCGTAGCCACCAGATTCTTTATTCGGCTCACAAAACGAGAGCACCAGACCACTGGGACACGCGGAGGATGTGGATCCGTATGCAAAAAATCCGGAATATGGGGAACCCCAGACAAGGGACATAGTGAATAGCTTCGACCATCCACGTGTATAAATTCAAGCTGAAAATCCACTTATGGATGCAGATTAATATCCCTGCCGAGAGCTCATTTGCAGTGTMCCCCGATACTCTTTACAACAGCAAACCCACAAGCCACAGCAATGGACGCTGAGAAACAGTCGGCTTTCCACGCAGAGCATGAGGCTGAGAACCAGCTCGCTCATCTAGCAAACCAGGAAGACCATGAAACCAGCAAGATACAGGCCATCAGAAAGAACCCTTGGGTTTTTGGCTGGTGTCTCTTTGCTGTGTGGACAGTCATCCTAGTCAGCTTTGAGAACCAGGCGTCGGGAAATATCCTCGGAATCCCGGAATTTCGAAAAGATTTTGGCTCTTTCTTTGAAGGCTCGTATGTCTTGTCTGCGCAATGGCAGTCAGCTTTTAGTGGTGCTCCAGTTGCATCGTGAGTATTCCTTGATGCTAAGCTACTAGCAATGGTCCCTCCTGACTTGCAGTAATTAGGCAGATCGTTGGTGCTCTGATCTGTGGCCAGTTATCCGACCTGATCGGCCGGAAGAAAACCGTCATCATCGCTCTAGCCCTGTCTTTTGCTGCAATCAGCATGGAATTTGTTGCTACGACCAATGCATTATTCTTCGGTGGCAAGTTTTTGAATGGTTTTGCTGTCGGCACATTACAAGCAGTGACAAGCACTTATGTGGGAGAAGTGAGACTCCATCCATCATTATTTCGGGTCGAAGGTCTTTCTTTAGTATGCTGACTGGTAACAGATTGTTCCTCTCGCGCTCCGCGGCTTGGTGACATGTTTGATCGCTCTCTCCTATACGCTCGGTCCTTTTTGTGTCGCCTTGATTGTCAACAGCACTGGAACTTATACCAACCGCTGGGCCTATAGAGCAGTATTCTGCTCTCAGTATGGATTTGCTGCCATCTCGGCTATCTTCGTGTGGTTCATGCCAGAGTAAGTGCATTCACTGATTTTTAAATATATCATTCATGAACTTTAGTATTAACATCACTCAGATCACCCTGGTGGCTAGTCAGCAAGGGGAAGGAAGACCAAGCACTCAACAGTCTACATCGCCTCGGATATAGCGCTTCGTCGGGCGAAGATGCCAAACGTCTTTCGAACATCAAAGTCACCCTGGAAGAGATCCGTCATGAGACCGAAGGCGTAACCTACCTTGAGTGCTTCCGGGCCTCGAATCTTCGACGAACCATCATTTCCATCGCACCTCTTTCAGTACAACAATTCACGGGCATCGTCTTCGCTGCGTCCTACTCGACTTACTACGCAGAGCTTGCCGGATATAGTACCGACGCGGCCTTTAAGCTTCAGATTGTGCAGCAAGTTCTCTCTATGATTGGAAATGTGATTTCGTGGTACTTGATTGATAAGGTCGGTCGTCGCACTTTGACTGTATACGGCACTGCTGGACTTACTGTTATCCTCTGGGTGATGGGTGGTCTCGCCGTTGGCGGCTCCCCAGGAGAACTCAAGGGTACTGTAGCCATGATTCTCCTCTACTGCTTCTTCTACAATGTCACAATCGGCGCCACAGCATACACCGTCTTGACAGAAGTTTCTACCGCTCGTCTACGCGTCAAGACAATTGCCCTTGGTCTTGCACTTCAATCTTGTTTTGGCCTCATGTGGAGCTTTGTATTACCTTATCTTTTCAATCCCGACAAGGCCAATCTTGGTGGAAAGGTTGGTTTTATCTTCGGTGGCTTGTCCTTCCCCTGTATTGCCTTCTTATGGTGGTTCCAGCCTGAAACAAAGGGGCGATCATATGAGGAGTTGGATGAAATGTTCACCAAGCGAATTCCCGCTCGTGAATTTGCAAAGTACCATCCTGATGTTCAGCGGCGAGGTGAAGAGGTCAAGGCCGAGATATATCAGTCTTGAGATCCGGTGGGATAGGCTCCGCGAGGTGACTCTGGTAGGTGTGTTTTTGTGAATAGAAGAATCGGGGAGTAACATTATCAACTTGTACAAATATTACTTTGCCACTGTGAAGGCGGAGGATTCACTAATTTAGTCGGATTTTGAAATAGTCATAATGATATGAAATGATTAGTGAAAAATTGAAGGCAATGTACATGTACGAGGTACTTGAATTCATGCAGAGTCAGACAGAGAAGTGGCATTACCCATCATTGGAATTCGTCATGTTATGAGCCGTAGTCTTTTGGTGTAGTTTGACTACTTTATACTTTTGAGTGAGGTCAAATGATTGTCTAGCATCATACGATAGCTCTGAACGATGTATAGATACCTTAATTATCAGGCACCAACCGTTCCTTCCCCGGACTCGGCTTTTTCCCCGCTTAAGTCAACCTTTTTTCGCTTCACTTTCGAACCATCAACTCTCTCATATCAAAGATAATGATCCATTGTTTCTGATCTCACCATTAGCATTTCAACACATGAAATCATGTCCCATTCTGAACCTGCCTCAAAGAGGCGACGGGTCACAGAGCCGAATTCCTTACAGATGTATCCGCAAGAACTACTAGTCTACAGTCCCGAATCGGCAGAGACTTTCCACTCTCCTCTGAGCAGCAGTAACAGCAGATATTATCAAGATGTATTCTCGCATAATCCAGGCTACATTGCCTCTCAGGAAGAGTTGCGGAGTATGCTCATTATGACTGCTCAGTCTGCTGCGCCGAGTCGGCGAGGGAGTCCCGTGATTGGCGAGGAAATTGAGTCAGAAGAGACTCTGCCGCGCCCTGGAAGTGGTGCTAACAATCGATGGAATGCGAGAGCTCTTGTTACTCAGCAGGTTCAGACAACAGAGTGTGCACATGGGAGCGAGGGACGTCGCCATTCTCATCAGAGGGCGACAGATGTATCGGTGCTAGGCTCAGCGACAGGGAAAGGGCAGGAACCGGGACAAGGACAAATAATGTCCGGATGGAATCGCCGGCGAATCCAGTATCTAAAGAATTATGTGGCAGAAGTTGCTCCTTGGGTATGTCGCATGAATATCGTTCTTATTTTTCTTCTCTACAACGTCTAACGCACAACATTTAGCTAGACATGTTTGATGCCCAAGCTACATTTGGCATTCAACTCCCCGCTCTCGCACGTAATTTTCCAGCACTTCTCTACGCCATCCTCGCTATTTCTGCTCGCCAACTGGAGAGAAAAGAAGGCATGCCGGACTCCTTTGAAAGTTTGGAACTTTATCAGGAGGCAATTCGTCTACTAAGTCCGCTGCTACAGAATCGCGATCCCAAAGTGATTGGTGCATGCGTGCTTCTGTGTTGTCTGGAAATGATGTCCGCTCGCGCGCAGGATTGGCGGCGCCATTTAGAGGGGTGTGCTGCGCTTTTCGATGCATTTAACATCAATGGGTTTAGTCAAGGGTTGTTACAAGCCATTTTTTGGTGTTATGCACGTATGGGTTAGTTTTCATTTTCCATTCCTTGATCTCCATTGATGCAGGCCTAAAATGGAAGCTAATTGACTAGATTTATGCGGTGCTCTCATGTCCGACGGTACGCAGAGCACCCTGCTTCAGCCCTCAAAATGGCTTCCCGCAAACACTCGCGAGGAGGATGTCATTCACATGTTTCAAGAAGCCGAGTCTCCCGACATGTACGCAAACTATGCAGTATACCTTTGCGCAAAAGCATGCGAACTCGTGTCGCTTCGCACCAAGTTTCTTGAACTGGGAGAGGATAATGGTTGCACTGGAGATATATACCATCAACGCTGGCTCAAGCTATGGGAAGAGCTTCAAAACTGGCTAGCTCGCCGACCCCGAGAGATAATGCCGGTGCAGACTGTTAATTCTAAGCCGTTTCCACATATTCTCTTTGTTCACTGGGCAGCCATCTCTTCCAATCAGCTCTACCATACAGCGTGTGTGCTTATGCTGAACATGATGCCGAAAGGGGCCAAGCTCCAAGGAAATCCAGAAATTACTACTTCATTATGGCATGCACGACGCATTTGTGGCATCTCTGTGACGAATCCTCACGCTGGTTGTTTGAACAATGCTATTCAGCCATTATGGATAGCTGGAAGGCTATTCAGTCATCAGTCCGAGCATGCGCAGATCATTAGTCTCATCCGCAATATCGAAGCTGCTACAGGATGGGGCGCCTGCTGGAGGATTCGAGACTTGGAGATTGCCTGGGGTTATAAGGCACATCGAATGGATCGTCCCGAGAGACAAAACCAAGAGTCGCTTACAGATAATTGAGTCGATTGTCGCAGAGCAACTCAAACCGCGTTTAACAAACTCCACTTTTGCTGCAAATCAACCACATGCTCTCGGATATCCCATCCCGTCAGACTCTGGATGCGATTCAGACCATGAAGAATATCTTGCTGCTGAATCTCATGAGTCATTCGCTTAGCAGCGAAGAGAAAAGACGCCAGCAAGCAAGGATCCCAGCACTCGCGACGATCATCATTCAGAGATATACTGCAGATACATTGTGCATGCCACAACGGCGACAACACAAACGGAGGGAGATAATTCAGTCGCACCGTACGGGGCTTGTCTAGTAGAAGTAGCAACATGGCCGTGTGATAAAGCTGATTACCGAAAATACCAGCGCCATTAGTGAATAATATGGTCGGAAAGCTTGAGTCTGGCTCCACTGAAGAAGAGGGCAACTCCATAATAGGACGAAATTCTTCTGGTCGTTGCTTGCGCCAACGCTCAAGCTCGTTTATGAGATGTTTCCAGCTATCGATATGATTCGCACCGGGTAGAGCAAAGCCTCCTCCTCCATCTTTGGATATCAGTTGCATAGTTTGTCCGAGTATCATCAGCGGTCGATGAGCGTAATTGGATAGACGCCATGTAAGTCCTGCTAATGAATCCATCGTCTCCGGGAAAATGTCAAGAGGCTCCCATGGAAGAGATAGTGGGAGAGGAAATTGTATCGTAGCGTCATTTGCTAGTGCACTACTAAGCTCTGCATGATTATTAGTTTTGATCTTGCTGGTGGCTATTTAGCTCGATAAGAACATACCCAGTCGCAGAAATAGCCAATATATTGCAGCTGTTGGTTTCGAAGTAGCAATATCCATAATAAGTGAGCTAACAACATCCATATCTAGTGCGAAATCATTCGTCGACCATGCGCGAGACAAATTAGAGACGAAGACGTGCGCCCTTCGAAAGATCGTTGTTAGTGCAATCGTCATAAGCGAATGATTGCCATCACCACTTTCATTGTAGTCAAGCTCTAAGGACGACATGTCCCGCGATGAGTGAGACCGAGACTGCTCTGCTAACGAGCGCCCATCCAAATTCCTGTTACGAAGCGAGGCTTCGGACAATAAGATAAGCGCACGGAATATTTGCTCTGAGTCTATAGCGTATTGAAATGCCGCAATGCCGAAGGATTGGTACATGTCACATAGATCGAGCTGTTTATAAGTGTTAGTAAAGACATTAAATACCAAATACGGAGAGGCGGGGATGAAATAGTGTACCCAAGGTGCAACTTCATATCGATAATGGCGGAGCAGTGCCGTGGTTCTTTTGCTAGCAGCTGAATTAGTGGTCGTAACATCTGTATATGAATTTTCATCAATCCTTGTAAGTGGCGTAGAACTAGATGTCATTCGACCGTGGAAACCTATTCCTGGCCTCGCACCCAAGGTTGGCGTCACGTCTTCGCTTGATATTAACGCAAGTAAACCTCGAGCGGCGAATGCGTCTTTGTCGCTTACCACAACCGGGCTGATAACTTCAGGTTCAGGGTGTAGTCCTCTTGAGAGTACTGGCAGCGTATCATGCCGCAAGTGATCCTCATGGTGATGATAGGACGGATTACTAGGCTGATCCTGCGGAGAGTAGAATGAAAGCCTCGGATCAAGATCAAGACCTGGACTTTCGCTTTCGCAATGCGCCCAATGCGGAAATGATGAATCTTCATGAGGTGTCTGTTCGTCTTGTTGAAGCACTGTTGTGATAGCGCCGATAGCAGGAGGTGGAACAGAAATCGGACGTGATTCGGCGAATTCCGGCACATCGGTGGGAGTCAAGGGGTCTTCATCCTCCCAGGAAGAGCTCTCATTTAGGATGCTCTGGGGATCTTCAGAAACAAACTAGTCTCATGTGTTAGAGGCGAGCTTATCACATCGATTATCAATCATCGTCATACTTTGATAGTGGAATAAGTCCGCGGCACCTCTGGTGTAGAGACAGTGATGACATTCTTAGTAAGAAAAGTCAATTGCGACCCGTACTGACATTGAAAACCCTTGTCAATGCAGTTTCGGCATCGGGGCTTTCCTTCATCGCCTGTCATGAAATGTTAGGCTAGATCAATCGGCAATGTTCTTAAGCGCCAGTGTCGGAAAGGATGAGAAAAGAGGATACGAACATTTGCGACGACGGACTCTGCACCGCAGACAGCCTGTACGGCATCGAGTACGCCGGGGTGGATCAGGTGTCTCAAGTTCCCCCATTGAGCGACTTAGAGCTTCAATCACGCATAGTGCTTCGAGATAATGATTACTTTCAGGAAAAATAAAGAAGATGAAGCTGTCCCCAGCGCTTACGTATTCCTAAGTCCGGCGAGGGGAAACTCGCTAATCCTAAGTGGGCCTAGCGTGATATCGTAGGAAATGTGGAATCTCATTCCCAATCAGGAAGTCATAGCCACCGCTTGCTCTTTTAGCCCTAACCTTTCCATTCGGGATCATAACTACGCTTTGGCTTCACTTTTTTGTTTTATTTTACCTTGTCCTTCTCCAATTATCTGAAGTTTACTCATACGTCGTCTCCCCTTATTTTCCGTTCATTCTTTCAACTCAATCTCGTCAGCATATTCATTTCGGATCACAATGGCCAAGACTACAGTGACACTTGCCTCCGGCCGCGAAATGCCTCTGGTAGGCTTCGGGCTTTGGAAGGTTCCCAAGACTACTGCCGCTGAGACTGTTTACAGTGTAATTCTTATCCAATTGTCTGAAAATGAACGATTTCGAAGGCGATACTAAGATCAATGTCTAGGCTATCAAGGCTGGGTACCGCCTCTTCGACGGCGCTTACGACTATCAAAATGAAAAGGAAGCTGGTGAAGGTATTCGTCGTGCTATTTCCGAGGGCCTCGTCACTCGTGAAGAGATTTTCATAACTACAAAGCTCTGGAACAACTACCATCGGCGTGAACATGCCGTGGACATGGCCAAGAAGCAAAATGAGGCCTGGGGTCTCGGATACATTGACCTTTTCCTCATTCATTTCCCCTGCGCTCTGAAATATATTGATCCAGAAGTCCGCCGTTACCCTGCATGGTGGATGGATGATAATGGGACAGTCGAGCAAGACCGTGTCCCTATCCGGGAGACATGGGAGGCCCTGGAAGAACTTGTCGAAAGTGGCATCGCACGCAGCATCGGCGTCTCCAACTTCCAGACACAATCTCTCTACGATATCCAGACATACAATCGCCATCCCATTTCCTCTTTGCAGATTGAACATCACCCTTACCTCGTACAACCAGATTTGATTAAAATGGCTCAGGAAGCCGGCATCGTCGTGACGGCTTATTCCTCTTTCGGCCCTCAGTCATTCCTGGAATTGCCTCCAACCTTCTCCAAGAGAGCTAATGATATTCCTCTTCTTTTTGATGCGGACCCTGTTAGGGCTCTTTCCGCAAAGTATAATGTAACTCCTGCTCAGATTCTTCTGCGCTGGGCTACACAACGGTAAGCTTTCCGTCTTTCCTGTTTCAAACGGGATGTGCATCTACAATACTAAACTTCGCAGTAACATCGCGGTTATTCCGAAATCAAACAACCCCTCTCGCCTAGCTCAGAATCTGGATGTCCTTGGTTTCGATCTTGAAGTATCTGAGATTGAGTCCATCTCGAACCTCGATAAGGGTCTTCGTTTCAATGACCCTGGCTTTTACCTACCTAATCATCCTCTTCGTATCTTCGGGTGAAACTAAAGATTTTCATTGTTTACCTGGGTACTATTAATGTGGCGTTCAAGAAGGATGGGTGTGCATATATGTAGAACAAAATGCATTACATATAAAGATGAATCGTCTTCAGGTTTTTCACCCGACCTCCAATACTTCTCCTTTGTCCAATTTGTGCAGACAGTACCTAATTAAACATACTATCTTGAGAGATTCTTTTACCGTTGGCGATACAACTGGTGTTTCTCCCGATGAGATAAGCATGCTCCTTTCAATAATTGTTCAAACTCTCACACGTAAAACGAATGCGGCCTTCATGATCCGAACACATAACATGATCAATCCAGCTACACATCCTACCACACCTCCATAAACCCAGAGGCCAGTCCAATTCAATGGATCATCAGTCCCTAAAATAGCACCAGCACTCGGTCCACCGAGTAGCAAGCCGAATCCACCGATTGCAAACCCCTGCCCGATGCGCGTGCCGATCATAGATTTATTTTCCGTAAGAATGCGAAAGCACACAGGTGGTAGCGCGACGACCACACCACTAAAGAAGCCGGTGACGATTGCCTCGACAATCATTCCAGCTTCGTTGTGCACACCAAGCATACACAGCACCGTAACACCCAGCATTATTGTAATTGGTGCCATGGTGTTGAAAGCTCCAATGCGATCCGACAAAGCATTGGGTGCGATTCGTCCCAGGACTGATCCGGCGTTGAAGATGGCTACCATATAAAACGCGAGCGAGGTATCAGTATAGCCACGATTTTGAGGGTAATATGAAACGTAAAATATTAGCACTGCGTTGCCTATGAAGAGGATAAGCACGCTCAGTGTGAAGACAATGAACGGCGCATCAGTAAATGCGGACCAATCGACTATCGCGCGTGGCTTTGGCATACGCACTCGCATCCGCATCACGGCCAGCGGGATGATGAAGGTCGCGAGGGCAATGAAGCCGATACTGCGGACAGCCCACGGAAATCCAACTTGCCCTATGAGCCGGTATAGCACGATGGGGTAAATATTGCCGCCGAGTGAAGAGCCAGATGATGCTATACCGACGGCGAGACCGATGCGCGTGCTGAACCAGGTTGGAATGAGCGACACCGTGGGCGTGAAAAGCAGGCCTGCTCCGATACCGACGCAGAAAGCTTGCGCCAGCAATGCCTGTCAGTACTCGGTGCTGATAGAAAGCATCATAAGACCGAAAACAACCATGAAGCTACCGGTGACAAGAAGTAGGCGAAGGTAACCCCTGTCGTAGATGGGACCAGCGACAAGCCCCGTGAGCTGAAGCAGGAAGCATTGAACAGATCCGATCCAAGATATGTTCGACGAGGAAGCCTGAAATAGTTCGCCGGACTCGTAGTAGGTTTGGAAGACTGCGAACGTGTTGATCATACCCCAGGTGTTGAAGAAGAGTACGAAGCCTGCGGCGACCTGAAGCCATGCGAGGGTACCGCCATTAGGTGGTGGTGATGGTGGTCCGTTTGTGGGAGCCGAAATGTTTTCTGGCTTGTCAAGATTGGATTGTTACTTTGTGCTTGTCTCGTTGCTGATATCTATGATACTAAGACGATCGGGTGTTCTCGCTTCTTCGGCGACGTCTCGATCAGATGTCATATCAAGATTGTTGAGGATAACAAAAACCGAGAAAAACGTGCGTATAGCAAATTTAATCTATATATAGAGCTCCAGTACCAACTTATCTAGCGTAGGACTGCAAAACAAACGAAATCCTTGTAGTGCATGACAGGCCATATTACGAAACAGTAGCAGCTTAAGTAGGAAGCCTTTGAGAAGGGGGTCGTAATTAGGGTGCGTATTTTATCTGGCTTGCAAAATCTGATAAGAATTTTTCCCGCCGAAATGGATGAAGAAAAGGTCATCGAATACTGTATACTGTCATGTCAAAGGCTGGTTCATCAGCGTTAGACGTGAGGGTCATTCGGGTTCAACGATTTCCCCCGCAACGTCGGAACAAACATCACTGGATTACTAATCCTTGCAACCTCAAGTCATCGCCAACAAGCTCTGAAAATCTCTCATATTTACGACTTCCGCCGTATCGGAAATAGTGTTAAAGTGATTTGGGTCATTATACACTAACATAGGTACCCTTGTATGGCGTTCAGACATGTTGAACCCATCAGATGAAGAGCCAGCTACGGCAGTCCACACCTCAGACACATCAGGCAAAAGGCGGAGAATTCGTAAAGGGACGCGATCTTGCTGGGAATGTAAGCGGCGGAAGACCAAATGCATATTTGCATCTGTGGAAGATGTGACTTGCCTGGACTGCCAACGCCGACGTGTACCATGTGTCAGTCAGGAGGTACCGGAAGATTTGTCTCTGGCAAGAAAAAGCAATTGGCACCTCGGCGAACGCATTGCAAGGATTGAAGACTTGATAAAAGATATCATTGATAGCAAAGGCGGTGATCGTTCGAATCATCCGGAAGGAAAGATACTACCAGAAAGGAGGCCTTCTAGCTCAGCAGCCTCAACAGCTCGTTTGAATGATGCATCGACCTCACGGTTCCAAGGTCTGGACACGCCTATAGAGGTGAGTATGCTGCTTATGCACAATCAGAAGGATCGTTATGGCTGAGTCTCGTAGCATGTCACGAAATCGTCTCCAATCCCAACAATCGCCGCACCTGACTCGCAAGATCCAAGAAGAAGACCCGAGTCCGAAGCTGCAGTCCTTGATCACTTGCTTACAGCTTATCCGAAAGAAAGGGATGTTGTAATATTGCTCACAGCGAGCGCTAAAACTTCGCTATATACCAATACCGTTAACCTTCAGCCACATAGCAAGTGGACACCGGAAATCCTTGCTAAACCGTGCCCTATGACTGATCTGCCTAGTCCGGACACTCATCCGGTAATTGTGGCCAGATATATGCTCATGTTCGCAATCACTTTACAGAGCCCGACCGGTGAGAAGTTGCATGGTCTTTCTGAGCCGAACAGCGTCATTATGCATCGCTTGATGATAGCTGCCACGACATGGGTAACCACCAACCAAGACCTTCACGGGAGTGTTGAGAGTCTGATTTGCATTATGCTAGAAGGTATTTATGAAATAAACTGTGGCAATCTCCGACGAGCTTGGGGTGTTTACCGCAGGGCGATGACCGTAGCGCAGTTGATGGGCCTTCACCGCTCGCCAATACCAGCATTGAAACGCATCGAGCCGAGAGATAATGTTGACCCTGAATTCATGTGGTTTCGGATTGTCTATATGGACCGCTATCTCAGTTTACTGCTCGGTTTACCCCAGGCGTCATCAGCTAGGAGTATAGGAGACGTGTCGATTCTGCAAGATGAACCACCCTTGGGCAAATTCGAGCGACGACTTACAGCCGTTGCATCCCGTATCTTGGAGCGTAATGAAAGCACTTTTTCCACCAGTACAATTATAACGACACAATCCATCGACGCCGAATTATTGAATATATCTAAAATTATGCCATCAAGCTTTTGGCGCCCAGCAAATTTCTATGGATTTACACCCGGATCGCCGGAAGCCCTGTTGGAGATATTGCGCCTAGCAGCCCAGGTCTACTACTACGGCATATTAATTCAGCTGCATTTACCGTATATGATGCACGGAATTAGCGATAACAGCGAGCACGAGTACTCCAAGATCACCTGTGTCAATGCTAGCCGGGAGAGCCTGGTACGCTTCATTGCGCATCGAACATTTAACCCCATGTCATCCTGCTCACGACCAGTGGACTTCTTTGCTCTCTTAGCAGCAATGACCCTTCTTCTTGCCCATATCGACGCTCATCATCACGCTCATCATCACCAAGAGGCGACTAATTACCTAGTTCACCAGCGCTTGAGTGACCGTGCCTTGTTAGATCAAACCTTGGAGAGGATGGAAGTAATCAGCGAGCTCAACAAAGATGCGATAACCGATAAGAGTGCTAAGTTTCTTCGACGCTTACTGAATATTGAGGCAGACGCAGCTGATGGTGGCAGGTATAGTGCTAGAAGCGTAAGAGAACATGGCGAGGATTTGGCGGATGGAAGCATTGGGAAAGAAGGCGAAGAGGTTCGTTTGAGTATACCGTATCTCGGAATCATCAAGATTGCGCGCGAGGGCCCAGTGTCTCGTCTCTCAGTCGAAGATAAGATATTTCGGCCGCATCAAGCTCCACATAGAGACCCAGCAGTTGCCGAACCCAATGATGCACCTGAGGATCTACCGCATGTGTCGCCAATAGATGAACAACAGACAATCTACCAAAGGAATAATAAGTTGCAAAATTTTACCTTCTCGGAAATGCTACCAATATCAGAATGGCCGAATCGGCAGGKACAAGAACCTGGCTATGATGAGCAGTCCCTGCTGGATAACCTTAGCCATAACCCTGACCGAGAAGGTGTGCAGCCACATGCGGAAATTCCTACCATAACTAGCGATATAGATGATTGGGCGTTCGAGGGGGTTGACATGGCTTTCTTCGACAGCTTAATGCGGGGGACTTCGTTCGTGGAGACTGCCGAGTCGGAGCAAGGAATTGGTGGGTAAGGAATGAAGAGCTGACAACATTCTCAAAGCGGTAATTATAAGCACCTCCTAGTGATATGCCAACCCCACCTGTTCAAACACTCACCACAAATAATATCTAAAGGTTCCAATCAGATGACCGTATTTGGACATTTTTCAAGGGTACGAATATCCTTGCACATGTACTCATATAAAAATGCTTGATAAGACTTTGTCCAATCATAGACTGACACACTATAGGATAATTAACCCCCAAAATATTCTTGATGTTTTTCTTGTTTTTCGGATTATTCACTCTTCAACCTTCACTTTTCTATCAGCTTTACATTGTTTTGGTTATATTTTCTATTCCTGATAGCATTCCCTCCGTCATCCACAATGTCGCCCAGCATCCTAGAGCCGGCTCCCTGCTCCCTCAACGATCACATTGGAAAGACTTCCCAAAAATCGAAAGTAGCTGAGGCATCTATCATACAAGCTCCTCTCCCAAATCCTTCATTACAAGTCACTGCGGACCACAATCTAAAGCAAGTCGAAGCTCCGGTTTATGCACCTCAGAAGGGCGAAGTTCTTCTGCATATCAAAGCCACTGGGATCTGCGGGTAAGTACAATCGAACACAATCCGATCACAGTTTACTGATACCGAGAATCTTAGTTCAGATATACACTTCTGGAAAACCGGTCGTATAGGGTCTCTTGTTGTCGAAGGAGACTGCATCTTGGGTCATGAAGCCGCTGGTGTGGTTCTAGAAGTCGGTGAAGGTGTCACTAACTTGAAACCTGGTATGAAAATTTTCAACAAATCCCCAGAACAATCATAAATTGATTATCATTTAGGTGACCGTGTTGCCATGGAACCTGGGGTCCCCTGTAATGACTGCTTTCTCTGCTCCGACGGCCGCTATAATCTCTGTGAAGACGTTCAATTCGCGGGCGTATATCCCTACCACGGCTCCTTACAACGATACAAAATTCATCCAGCTCGGTGGCTACACAAATTACCGGATAATGTCTCTTACGCCGAAGGTGCCCTCCTTGAACCCCTTTCCGTCGCTATGCACGGTATCCGCATGGCCGGCTTGCCCCTAGGCCGTGGTGCTGTCATCTGCGGTGCCGGGCCGGTAGGACTATTAACTCTAGCTGCTGCCAGGGCGTCTGGCGCTCATCCGATAGTCATTACAGATCTTGAGCCTAGTCGCTTGAAATTTGCCAAGGAGTTCGTCCCCAGTGTCATCATATATCAAGTCAATCGAGATCTCGATGCTGAGGGAAATGCAAAGGCTATCAGAGCTTTGTTCGGCAAAGAGGATGAATATTTTGCTCCAGAGACTGTACTAGAGTGTACCGGCGTCGAAAGCAGTATTTGTATCGCCGCGTATACGGCTCGCCGTGGTGGGACTGTCATGGTTATTGGCGTCGGAAGGTCGATCATGAACAACCTCCCATTTATGCATTTGTCCTTGGCGGAGATTCAGTTGAAATTTATAAATCGTTATCGGGATACGTGGGCGCCAGCTATCCAGTGTCTGGACGGTGGCATCTTGAAGCATTTGACAAAACTAGTGTCGCATACCTTTCCATTAGAAAAGGCGAGGGACGCAATGGAGCTGTGTTCTGATACTCGCAATGGAAGTATCAAGGTGATGGTCGTGGATGAGATTGATGCTACTATTTCTTGACATTCAATTTGCACTTTGCATGTAGCATTCTTGATACATTGAATGTCGGCGCTTGTTGGAGTAAAACCATGGTCCTTGTAATTCATCTAATATTCCCCCCGAATTAACTCATCAATTTGAAATAATCCAATATAAATACAGCAACTACATGATTGCGTGATGCCTAAAAATTTCTCATTATCAATAAATTCTGGTTTATAGTTCTACACAAAAATATCTGTCCTCGTGGCTATGTAGAGATAGGGTTGCAGCTCGAGGTGGTTAACGTTGCCTGTTTCGGATGATCCCCGCCTCGTCCCACAGAGGTCCAACAGTGGCACCGATTGCCTTTTAGAAATGGGCAATGTCTGCCGAAAAATGGCGCGGTGGATTTACCTCGAGCACAAGTTCACAAGAAGCTAATCTTTCGACGAACTTCAAATAAGTGAGTCAATGTGCAGCGAAGTCGATGTGCTGATTTTCCCTATGATAGTACTATTTATTGCATAACCTGAATAGATTAATCGGTTTATTCATCAATCACAATGGAGCTATCTCGAGACCGGCTCTTAACCTTTCCTTCGAAACCGCGCGTTTTCATTTTAAGCGACATTTCGAACGAACCAGACGATGCAGAATCTTTGGTGCGGTATCTGTTATACTCAAATCAGTTTCAGACAGAGGGACTCGTGGCCTGTACATCAACATGGATGAAGAACAAGGTCTGTCCGCAAGATATGCACAAGATTGTGGATGGCTATGAGAAAGTTGTCGACAATCTCAATGCTCATGCGCATCCGAACGATCCGTACCCAACTGCGGACTATATGCGATCGCTGATAAAAAAGGGAGCCGAGGTAGGTGTTCCATAATGAATTTCTTCGTGTGGCCTATGATGATTAAAACTGAGGACTAATTGTATGGCAGACATATGGTATGTCCGCGGTAGGGAACGATATTCCACTCAGCGAAGGTGGAAAATTACTCCTAGAGCGCATTGAAGCGCCATCAGAACAACCATTATGGATTTTATGCTGGGGAGGTACCAATACATTTGCCTCCGTCTTGCTCAAAATCGAGAACACACACTCGGCCTCGGAAGCCGCACAGCTACGATCAAAGATACGCGTCTATGCCATTTCCGACCAGGATGACACGGGCGTTTGGATCCGCAACAGATATCCCGATATTTTCTATATCTGTTCTGTACATGGCTGGAGTCAATACGGCCTCGCAGCGTGGTCTGGTATATCCGGTGAACGATGGTATGGATTCGACCACGGTGGTCCAGATCCATCAAGGATCACCAAGGAATGGATTCGAGAAAACATACAGATTGGTCCCCTGGGATCCGTCTATCCCGACTTCATGTTCATTCCAGAAGGAGATACACCGACATTCCTATATCTCATCCAAAACGGCTTAGGGGTACCTGAGCACCCCGACTATGGATCTTGGGGCGGTCGCTACAATCGTACAGACACCAGTGGTCAGGGGCTCGTTAATGGTCATTATAGCGATGTACACGACGACGTCATCGGCCTCGACGGCCGGAGGCACAAGTCAAACCAAGCTACGGTCTGGCGATGGCGGAATGCGTTCCAGAACGACTTTGCCGCTCGTATGAAGTGGACACTTTCCCCTGACTTGGGTAGCGCAAACCACAATCCTGTAATCAGCATCAATGGTAGTACGGGAACACAACCTTTGCAATTTGAATTGGAGGCCGGGTCAACATTTCAGCTGGACGCATCTGCCACGTACGATCCAGACCAAAACGACGCCCTTACCTTCAATTGGTACCAATACCTTGACCCTAGCGCAACACAATGGTCTGCAGAGTATGAAGTGGGAAGGCTTGTCATTCGTCCGCTGAACGACATTGGTAACACCGTTGAGGTCACGCTCCCCCCACCTGAAAAGTGCTGTGTTGAGCTCATCAGCCGCGATCCGGTGCCAAAAGGCCAAGTGTTGCATCTTATATTAGAAGTTGAAGATAACGGCTCCCCGTCACTGGTCAGTTACCGTCGGATTGTCATACAAACAACGAACGAGAAATTATTAGGCGGAGGCGGAGGGGGCGATTCTATTGCTGACGCTATGAAGGAAATTGTGTAAAATTGATCGGCGTCGATGTTACAAGGAAGCTGGGCCAGGTGGTTCAGATGCTTTGTAAAATTACCTCTCTCTGTAGAAATATAGAATAAACAAGTACTGGTCCACCCGGATGGCAACAGCTGCAAGCGACTTGAATGGCATTTTGAAAGTGCTTGTAGCGGTGTTTCTTCATGGTAGTAGAACCTTTTCCGCCTTTTGAATGTCGATTGTGTATCCTCGAGGGTATTTGTGCCACGTAAAAGATTACCCAGAAGGTACTTACATGGATTTTCTTCTACAAAAGATTGCCCAAAGAACACATGTTGAAAACTGAACTCCAGTGATCGATCCGGTATGATGTAAAGTGTTTATAGGCTTAATAGTCATCTTTGTAGGCACGTGAATTACGTTGCTAAATACTAATGCATCACTAGAAAAAATGCCCACTTCTTTCTTACCTTCCATTGAATACCCTCCATCAAAAACCACACAGATTTACCCTATATTGAAGAACATTGGTTGTTTCTAAATGATCATACCAGTAATGATTCGTTTCGTCTGGCAACAACAGACCTAATGGTACCGCCAATCTACAGTACCTATGGTCTCGTTTTCCAATTAGACAAGACATGTGATGAACGTCGCATTATCCATTGGCTTATGAGCGGCTTCGAAATGACCCTCAGTCAGTGCCAAAATCTCATCGGCACTGTTGAGAAGAACGGATTAGGCGTTTTTTCGGTAGTGAAGACAACGAACAGCGGTGTTCGACTTGTCGCTCAATGGCTGGATGAAGAAGATTTTGTGTCTTATTCTGAGTTGGAAGCGTATCATTTTAGTACTTGTGCATTTGGCGATATAGAAACTTTGTGTGTCCGCGGAATGTGAAACCGTTCCACTTCGTAATCAAAAATCTCCTTTGAATGCTTTTCCGGACAACCAATTTCTTAGGATTGTTGTAAAGAACCCTCCATCCTTTATGCGTAAGTGCCGCCGTTTCGGCATTCAAGCTCAATTCTTTTCAGGGCGGCCTGATTTCCACGGCCCATCTGTATCATTGCGTCATAGATAATGCAGGTTTTGGTGGATTTGTCTACCAGCTGGATGGAAATTGCTATCCTATCCCAGTCCTTTGTTGGATCACGGAGGTGCCGCAGTCGCTCAACACAAAACATTTGCGGGAGATAGTTGAAAAAATTCTCGTTTGTAAATACAGGTGGCTGAACCTTAGAAGATGGCACCTCATATCGGGGCAGACGGCGAAGCAGCGGATTCAAATGTAAACCCTCACAGCTCGTACGGCCATCCCATATCCTCGAAAAGATATCATGCCAGTGTTTAGTTGCTTGGGAGCCTTTACGTGCCGCAATAGACCACCAGAAGATGACTAGAGATGGGCTCATGGTCATTTTGAAACCGGCTAGCTCAAATGGGCTCGAGCGGTCGGCGAGGTTGTGTCAACAGAGAGTGTCAAGATCTCGAAATAACAGAAMCCCAACATCGAGCCATACCACAAAACGCAGTAGGAAATAAAGTCTTCGGATTCGAGAAGTATTTTAAATAATGGTTTGGCGAGTCTTCTACCACGTCAGGGACTCTAACAGACCACCGAGGACTACGCCGGCGAACCCATCCGATGATATATCTCTGGCACCATGGCTTAGAGGCTATGAGTCCGTGGTCCCAAAAAGCCCATATATGAGCGCCATCGACTGGCTTGTAAGTTTGGAGATCAGCAAAAATTACATTATTCGAGTGCTGGTCCGAGGGGTGCAGTTGAGAGGTTTCTAATGCATAGCCCATGGTAGTAATACCCTTGAACACTACAGCCATGAGTGATGAACCTTGGAAAAAGCAGCTTAGGGATCACACTAGTTTTCACGTAGCGAAGTAAGTTTTGAAGATGAAGTGACTAATAAACGGTCACTTTCATGGTACATCCTCGAGGTTCGTCATACATAAGACCACATATACCATCTACCACAAAATCTCCATTGATTCATATTCTGGAAGCACTAGGAACTTGTATTGTTTCGGGTCCATTATGTTTAGTCGGTTAACGACGGGTTGGATACCCTATTCATCTAAAGAGGCTGGCTACCTCACACATTTTCTCGTCCCGCGGGATATGTAGAGTATGACTGATGACCTAGCTAGGATGTATTCCTTTGAAACAGATGAAAATTCGCCAATGGAATCTGGCTACACGCCATGAGCAAGATCTGTTGGGATTAAAAGTCGGACTTCAAGCTTCAGTCCTCCAAAGCACAATTAGTACCATTCGGGAATAGACTTAGGGCAAGATATGGCCATATTGAGTTTAGTCTCTTCTTACAGTTGATCCAATTCGATCGAATTTTCCGCGACTTTTCGGTTCTGTGGGAGTCTCAATTTTGATAAGTTATGAATTTGTGTTGGGCACTACACGATATGAAGCTGGTGATGCCGATTCGCCACATTTTATGTTACTGTTGGTTTGCGATCGCTTTTTGATTGTATTTCCGACTTTGCGCAAAACGTTGTGCGGCCTAAGCAATAAAGCCGAACCTCCGAAACCTCCGGTATTTGATTCGAGTCTTAGGTATTAAATGAGGTAGTCTTATTGGGCTGTCAGGTAAGTACATTCTTTTAGCTTTAGTGGCAATAGAACAGGAGTATAAAATGTGCTCCTTGGCCATCAATCTTAATAGTATCACAGAAAGATAAGCGATTACAGCACAAGTCAAAACAACGGAGCAGAATGACGAAAACAATCACCAAAGTCGCACTCGCTGGGGTAAATGATTTTTGAAAAGATTATAATCGTGATTCCAGCTGATACTTTGGTAGGCATCTGGAAGCCTAGGGTCCAAAACTCTTGTGGCACTTCTCGCTCAGGGATTCAAGGTCACAGTGTTAAGCCGTACAACCAAAGATTTTCCAGCCGGTGTTACAGTCAAGGTTGTAGACTTTGGCTCAACAGAATCCATATCTGCAGCCATTCAAGACCAAGATGCTGTCATTGACAATACTTTTACGGAAGATGCTGAGACACCGTTGCGTCTCATAGATGCTGCAGCTGCCAGTGGAGTTTACCGTTTGTGAGTTCACTCTCCACTGTTTTTCATGCATTGAAACCTTGGTTTGGAGACTGGATTATCGGGGACAAAACAAATGCTAATTATGTCTTAGTATTACAAGCGATTATGGCCTTGATCCAGAGATCCCTGGCGTTCGCGACATGCCGGTTTTTGGACGCAAACGCGAAGCTTATCGAGCTGTCAAAGAGAAAGCCGAGAAATATGGCATGACGTACACCTTAATTGTTGTAGGCTGTTTTCTCGACTGGTGTCTTTCGAATGGGTTTGCTGGTATTGATCTAAAGACGAAATCAGCAACCATGTTCGATAACGGAGAGAATGTCGTACCGTGGACAACACTTGAAGAGGCCGGTAAAGCGACTGCTGGTGCTCTTCTCCGGCCTGAAGAAACTTGCAACAGACCGGTGTATGTACACAGTGCGTACCTGTCTCAGGTACAGCTTTTGAGAATTGTGCAAGAAGTTTTGGGGAAGGATGGTTGGAACACAACATCTCAGGAGATGAAGCCACTGCTGGACCAAGCTTTGGAAGACCTGCGTACAGGGCATATTACGCCGATGACTTTTGGCGTACAGATACAATATTGCATTGCCAACAAATCACTTGCACATCCCTGGGAAAGGGATGACAACGATCTTGTTGGTATCAAAGAAAAAACGACGGAAGAGCTACAGGCCTTGATCAGTCAGCTTGCTGCGGTATAATCTAGGGGCTCCTTCGATAATTTGTCTTACATGCTAAGTAAGAACTCTCTGTTGTTGTGATACATACAGCAATCAGCATCGCTAGCTTTAGTTCTCTGTTAAACTTACGCCTAAAAATACATTATATGATAGATTGATTTAAAATATCTCACCAGAAACGAGTCTTGAGTCTAGAATATAGAAAGTGAAAGGTAACCCTGAGCTGGGATATGTTGCATGTAGCCGGTGTCAGATATCATGACGCTTGCATTTCAGGCGGTCTAAAGTTAAAGGCTTGGTACATGGTGACAAATTAGATCTCAAAAAGTGAGAATCCACCTTTCTCCAATGGCCTCCATGTACCACACGGMGCCATTCTGGCAGCACCCCTTAAGGCTATACTACAGGAACCGAGGAATTGTTCGGGTGGGTGCAGCCCCAGGCGCGCATTAGAAGACTTGACTCATTCGAGCGTTACCACCTTAACATTGGAATTTCTAAACTTTGGGTTAGGGCGGCCGACGTGTCCGGGGAGGTGGTTTGCTGTGAATATGCAAGAACTGGCTTTGGCGCATTTGCTACCGGAGTACGATTTCCAAAGGGTTGATATGCGACTTCCTGGGATGCGAAAGGTGACTCTTGTAGACCCGTGTGAGCGGTCAAAAATCGTTCTTAGACGAAGGAAGGTTGGTTGATCACCGACAGGATTATTGTTAATTCTTGCTATATATCTCACTCCTTGAGGTCACTTCATATTTTTGCTCGTCGTGGGTGAACCAACATATAATGAGACACATGTATTGAGTATAATGAAATCATTTGTTTTGTTGCTAACCAACGGGAATTGGGTGTCAGAATAATTGGCTCCCATCGCCCTAGAGTCAGGGTCCATCAAAAATAATATTGTGCCAACATGTTAGAGCTCATGTTAGAGCTTTGCAAATGTCGAAAGGCTGAATAGTAAAACAAGGCACTATGATAGAAGATCGTCCATTATGGATGCAGGTCATTAATTCATGTATGACATATCAGATCCCTATCTATGTCACTGAAACATCCGGAGAGTACAGCTAATGGCAGTATCTAGCTTTCTCCATTCATAGGATGCTTCTCAACCTCCGTTCAAAAACATTGCGAATGAGTCGGATTACATGTGAATTGCGACTTTAATCCATTACTTCTATTCAGCCTAAAAATGTGGCGCGGATTCATAAAAATCCACGAATCTCAGCTCTAGTTTTACCTCCGGAAAGAAAGAGGAAACAATCTAGACATGTGAAATCTTGAATCGAAACTCCATTTTCGAGCGAGTAGTCAATGATACTACGTTGATCTCACACATGATCCTAGCCCTAAGGCTTTCTTTACTCTCGCAATAATTTCCGGATAAACATGATTGAATATCGCCAGGAATACCCCGCCAACTGCCAATTCTCGCTTCATTAGACTAGAGCTATAATAATGCGTTTGAGCCTCTCGATATTTTGAGATTCACATGACATGAACGAATACCTTCGGCCGAGTAAAAAACTCCTCAGAGCAAATTGGCTTTAATATGAAAGTCCAGCGAGCATTCTCCCTTCTAGTAGCGTTTGTAATGTCTTCAAAGACAAGTGCTGCACTGGCGAGCTCTCATAATTCAACATATACGAATCCCATTCTCCCTGGCTGGCACTCAGACCCAAGCTGTCTCTTCGTCGCTGAAGAAAACAACACATTCTTTTGTACGACATCGAGCTTCCTTACCTTTCCAGGAATCCCAATCTATGCCAGCCAGGACTTACGTCATTGGAAGTTGGTCAGCAATGTGTTTACACGCCCCGAGCAAGTTCCAGAGATTGCAAATAGCACCTCACAAACCCAACAAGACGGTCTATGGGCTTCTACAATACGATACCGCAACGGAAAATTCTACCTCGTCACTTCGTATGCCTCCACGTATCCGTCTTTTAAGGTAGTTTCGGGGTTCCTTTTTACATCGACAAATGTTTATTCCGACGATTCTTGGACTGATCCGGTAAGGTTTGCGATTCGCGATATAGATCCTGATCTGTTCTGGGATGACGATGGTACGGCATACATTTCAAGGGCGGGTATTGTGCAGCAAACTATAGATCTAAAGACAGGTGTCCTTGGACCGGAAACTAAAATTTGGGGTGGCACAGGCAGTGCGACTCCGGAGGGTCCGCATATTTATAAGAGGGATGGCTGGTACTATCTCATGATTTCGGAGGGAGGTACCGAGCTTAATCATCGTGTGACAATTGCTCGATCCAAAAAAGTCAGTGGTCCGTATGAGGGTTATAGCGGAAACCCCATACTGACAAACAGCAACACGACGGAATATTTCCAGACTGTTGGCCATGCGGATCTCTTCCAGGATGGTGACGGTAATTGGTGGGGAAGTGCTTTGGCAACCCGCTCGGGTCCAGCTTGGAGGGTCTATCCCATGGGTCGGGAGACTGTTCTCTTTGCTGTGACATGGGAGGAAGGCGAATGGCCCATACTCGAGCCTGTTCAAGGGCAAATGACGGGATGGAGACTGCCACGGCCTTCTAAAGGCGAGGGTATACCGGGTAAAGGAGCATACGTTGATGCTCCAGATCGTATCACGTTTGGTCCTGGGACTTCAATTCCGAGACACTTTCTTTACTGGAGGATCCCGAAAGAAGGTAGTTTTACCGTATCACCACCAGAAAGTCCACATTCACTGCGCTTGCTGCCTTCATCTCAGAATATAACTGGAACTGGTATCCCCGGCGTGGATGTGAACGAAACAGACATAACACTGATTACACGCCGTCAAAGCCATACATACTTTACTTACAGTGTTGATATAACGTATGCTCCCACAGAAGCAGGGGAGGAAGCTGGTGTGACTATCTTCTTAACACAAGATCAACATATTGATCTGGGAATTGTGCTACTTTCGTCTGGAGGAAATTTGGTTCCACATGTCCGTTTCCAGACAACTCTACTGAACGACTTGGACACGCTAGCAACCCAAAATGTGACAGTTCCAGGGACTGTAGTCGCACCCTTACCGTCCTTGTCCTCTAAAGAGATTCGGGCTCGATTGCAGGTTCAGGCAAAGGATGACACTCATTATATTCTGTCTGCTACGCTTCACGAAGACAAACAATTCGAGTTTACTCAGACGGTGGAAGCTGTACTAGTCAGTGGTGGGACAGGAAGGTTTACTGGTAAGTCTGTCTTTATGTACGTATATTGCAGCGCTAATCGTGACACTGAAGGAACTCTCCTTGGGGCATACGCCACGAGCAATGAAGGCTCGGGTTCCACTCCAGCTTATATCACACAATGGCAATATGAAGGGCAGGGGCAAAAGATTTCATAAGATCCTAGACTAGACCTAACAAAAATATCTGTTCCAATAGTAAGAAACGAAGATCAATAATTTTGCTCCTAGGGTTGACCGGCAGAGCTCATGCAAGCTCTTTTCGAACAGCCAATCTAACATGACAGTTGGTATTGTATTCAAGCCAATATTTTTGTTGAAGCTCTTGCACGTAATAATGAAACATTATACATGTCTTCCTAGACGTGCACATTCTTGCCTTGTGTTAAGATTACTCTACCACGAATACTGTAGGCGATTATCATGTGTTTATGTATTCATATTTCTTGAATGACTTGACACTACGACGAAACTCACTTGATTATCGATCACTGAGTGGCATTGATCATGAATGACGGGAAATAGGATCGGAGAATTAAAGACAGTTGTAATCATTAGGGCTTAGGGCTATAAAGTTGTAAATAATGCTAATCCTATATTGGACTGATACGTACGTCGTTGTCTAACACGTGATCGCTCATCGAAAAATCCCCTCCAAACGCGTCCGACGCGTTCGACAATTGAGCGCCGACCTATCTCGCAATCATGTCGTTTGACCTCGAACAGCTGTCAGATAACGACATCGCTTTGCTCTGCCATGATCCAAAATATTTGAGCAGTGGCGACCCCGATGTCTGTTGCCTAGCAAGAATATCCGACAATGTCATCGTCATATGCGAATGGAGCATCCCCTCCGTAGAGGTCGGTAACGAAGAGTTCGCCTACAGTTGTTCTTCACATTTATCTTATAGTCTGTGAATCCCAAGAGTACATTGGCATTTTATGATTGGCAATCTCGAATGTATCGTAATCGAATTTGTGGAAGAAGTGTCACTCGAGAAAGTCTCGTTTCAGGATCATCCGAGCCTTGTTCAACGATTAGCATCGGCGATTTACACTTCATTTCAGAGAATCGAAGTTGCTGCACCTGGCCCCTACAAACGGCGGCATTCCACATGGTTATCTCTTTTCGGAAGATGGAGCTGGAACCACTCTTAGCACAATGACGAAGCTCAACCAGTGGCTAAACGAACGAGTGTTATTTGACAGGAACAGATTTGCTTTCATCTTATCTGATTGCAGACTTTGTCACCTCGACCTGATGCGTCGAAACATCATTTTATGTCCCGAAGAATTCTTTTGCCTTCTAGATTGGGAGCAAGCGGGTTTCTACCCTGCAATCTCTGAGTTCTACTGCCTTCTATTTACTATTTACCCGTCAACACTTCTACGGTTTTCTCAAGAACTAATAGGTGCGTTTGCAGATCTCTCGCCAAGCAGGACAGAGCGTGATGAGAATTGGTTACTGTACAAGCGTGAGTAGAGGCGGTGAGAATCCGTTTCTTGCTCCAAGAAATATTGAGACAGACTGACGCGGTTTCGCCTGTCAGGATGAGGTATATTGACCAGTAGTTTCTACTCATATCCCAGCCAGCATAGCCGAGGGTGTTAACAATGCTTCTCATTCTGACGATGACAGTATTCAGAGGAAGAGGCCTGTCAAGTGTAATGTCTATATAATTCCTGGTGATACAACCGTGGAATCAAAACCAGAACCGAGGGCCTTTCAGCGAAAGCCAAGCAAAAGAGCCACTTATCGTTTTATACGTAGGAAGTCCATGAGAAAGACCCCCGTATAAGTTTGAGGCACTTATCAAACCTAAATAAATAGCCGCCCTGTTCACGATTCTGGTTCAGATAGACACTTAAATATGAATTTTTTTTAAATACCTCTTCTACAACAAATATTACCCAGCCAAAACATTTAATGGGGATATAGGCGCGGACTTCCTTTCTCAACGTGCAGATTTACTCCAGCAAGAATTCTAACTATCGTTGAGTTGCCAAAAGGCCATCCATCGCGCGATCGTGGCGCCCGATCGGTAGAACTCACACCAAACGCGTCTCTCCGAGGCGAGGCTGACGGCAACAAGAGCTTGGAGGTGACTGACTATGTCACCAGTGATGACATGCGTTCGTGCAAGAGCCACCATTATATAATGACAAAAAACCTCTCAATATTCAGTGGATATTTCACACATGGCCATCCAGTCATATTTTTTATTAAGATGTATTTGGACGCGTATCTCAATGCGGCTCTTTAAGAATGTTTTGACAGGAGACGTGCCGATTGGTTGTACTCTAACCACTTCGACTTTCAATAAGATATATGACTACAAACTTTCAATGTTGGACATCTAATACTCGATTTATCACAGACAGCTAGCTTAAGCTCTTAGTCGTGTTGTTCCTTAGAGATATCGGATTTCGTAAATAACATTGAAGCGTTTACATTATGAATACCTTATTTAAGCATCCATGGTGTATCTGAAATTGTGGAGTTCGGGATATATATTTTGACGTACCAAGGTACATGCGTACATCAGACCACCAAGTTACGATCTAAATGGACCCCCGTCATACCTAGCAGAAGCCTTATTCTAAGTGGCCACATAGTCGAATTTTATTTTAATATCAAGATCAGAAAAGATCTTGAATCCTAGAAGCGTTTGTCTGTATGCATATTTGTCTGATCAATATTGTGAAAAATTGGTATGACGTCAATCGAAACTACGCGCGAACTATCTTTAACCCATTGTTCAAATCAATAAGCATCAAAAAGATATCCACGCCGATTTTCACATCAGATCTTCGGGCGAGGTCGACAGTTATCCAAGAATCAAACATGCTTGATCCCAGTCTTATCCGAACAACTATCAGAAAAATTTGACAGAACCGGCGCTCGGAACGAGACCAAGGTCGAAAAAAGCAAGCAGAAACAGGACCCATCAAATTTGTCCAGAAATCACTCTGTTCAAATCCCTGGTAACTCGAAACTACGTACTCCGTATGTACACCGACTAATGATTCTTTATTGGAGTGTGACTTCGGCGGTCAAGGAGAGTTTCGTTATGGATCGCATCCTTCCCGCTGGCTGAGGCATTGAACGAGCGGTCAGATACGCGGGTCCCGAGTACAGTACTCGTACAAGAAATGACATCAAGCGATACTATTCAATTGATTTGAGATCTCATAACATCATCCGAGTGTATAAATAGTAAGTCGTATGTGACAGTCAAAATTCTGGGCGCTTCGAGATGTGATCAAGGATCAGAAACGGAGGGAGAGGGAGCTGATACCCAAACGGGTTGGTGAGCCGAGGAATCACAGGAATCACGAGACCGGACTGACCTGTACGTTGGCCGCAAGACGTACAACTCTGGCGGTACGGACTTTCTGAATGGGTGTACGTACGGTATACGACAATACGTAAGCGGTAATATACCGATACCGTATCGGTACTACGTACGTATCACGCCAGCAGCCACTCACACGTCACATTCCTGGCGTAGCGGATATACGAGGGACTTCGAGTATGAGTATGACCATGCAGAGTTCGCGTACAACTTGAAAAGTATCCGAGTGTGCCGGTGATACCCTTCAGAGTAGGTGATATTTATTCACTTATCATATCCATGCACGCATGGTATATGTAGCACAGAAGAAAAGCATCGTGGGATATGCCCATGCAATCATGCACGGGTCAGAGGAAGGGAATGGTGATGAGGTCTGATCACACCGGAATCACAATAAGACTAAGCCGAAGTTGGTTAGATTATTACTGCCAATCTCGGCGTTTACGTGTCCTGTAAGCAAAACCGGTATTCATGCGTCAAGTTTCAACTGTCGATCAAGGGTGTCCCATACGTGCTAGTAATATCGTACCGTATTTACAATACGGGCTGAAATGAAAAATTCTGCCCAGTCAGCATCAGCCGGTGTGGCCCCGCCCAGCAGCGACCCAATACAAAGGCGCCATCGCCCGCTCTTTCGCTTCTTTTCTTTCGCTTCTTCGTCCTCGTTGGTTGTTCAGGCCAATTCTTGATTTTATTTGCCTGATTCCCTCACCTGTCCCCCCTCCCCAACTCACCTATCACCTTCCTCCTCAACTTATATTTGTTCCCCTTTTCCTCCTTTCTTCTTATCCTCTTCTCTCCATTGGACTCTCAAGGCTTCTCTTTACCCTTACAGTTCTCTTGGTGCTATCCACCATCCCGCTCGACAAACTTCCCAATCAACAATCAGAAAAGGAATACACAAAAACGCGCGTGCGCGCTAACTGCGGCTGCTGATTCGACTTTTGATTCGCAATTGCGATCCAAGCTTGATTGGCTCTTTTTTATATCATCATCCTCTTCCTCCTTGTGATTTGTTTCCGTCTGGCTGGCCAGCAACACTATTCGGTGGCCGTCAAGCAAATCAGCGTCAAAGGTATGTTGAATATTCCCTTCTACCAATCGAAGCGAACACAACACCCGCGGTTTTGATATGCGGCGGTTACACCATTGACCCTTTTGTGCGCGTCTTATTTTCTACATTATTTTGATGATACTTTTGCGGTCATGGTTGTTGATTTCATGACATCTGCCCACATCGATTATACTTACTGTCGTGTTGCTTGCCCATTCTACTGAGCATGCATGATGTATGCATGCCCTGTACCCTTCCCTTTTTGTCTATGACGTTGCCTTTTGTTGTTCGTTGATCAGGCATTCCCTCGTTGTCCAGAGAGTGAAGCAAGTCCGCTCTCAGGCGCGAATCAGGCAGCAGCCTATCGCAGTGCATTCCGGGCGATATCTGCGCCAGTGGTGGCTGTGGGCGGCCGTAGTAGCGCTGAAACGGAAGCCACCGGGTCCTATCCTGACATCAGACTTTCCTTCCCTCGGACTCGGACGAATCACCTCATGCTCCTCCCCTCTTCGTGCTCTGTCCATACATATCCCCCCAATCCCAATCCCAATTCGCATTCTCCATCCATTGACCATCGTTCAATCATCAAGCACTTTGCTCCTCCCCCTTTCATTTCGCTTTCCAGGCACTCGCAGCCTTCCTCGTGCAAGTCTTCTCGTCTGTCTCGGAGCCCACCGCCGCCCGCGCTAAGCCTCAGGCAGACAGAACAAGAGATGACTAAGGACTGCCGCTAGTCTGCTTCAGGTGACTACCCAGCAACAATTGTCTTTGTGACGCGATTGTTATTGTTGTCGATTGTGTATTGTCATTACGATACACGTTTCTTACGCGCCTGCGTGTGGGTATTCTGCCTGTCACCCGCTGCCCTCGCTCTGCTGTCTCTGATTTGTCCCGTCTTCTATTACGCTCTTACACTCCATGTACCATTACGAGGTTTTTCTTCGCCATGATCCCTGCTATTTCATCTCTCGCTTTGCGCCCGCTTCAACCCGAAACAAAATAACACATCATCTCTGACAAATTGCATTTGCGCAGGTCTTTACAAGTCCTCAGATCAACAGAAAGGCAGGAACAATCTAGTTCGTCCCGTGATTTGAAGAATCGCGCGACTCGATTGCCATCGGTTGTGGGTTGTTTTCCCGCCAAGCTTTTTCCTGGTAAGCCTCGCCCTAGTCCCCATTCTGCCACCCGCGCGACATTTGGCGCGTCCTGCTGGCTGCTGTTTCTCGATCCCATCTCGACAGCTTCTTTTTAATCTACCTTGCGCATTTGTCGCATACCTTTGTTGAACACTCTTTCCGGTATTATTTTACGAACATTGTTAACGCGCCGCGCATTTAGGACAAAGTAATCCGTGATCCTTTCGCAAATTGCTCTTGTTCACGCCGGATCGACAAGGTATGTACTTGGGCTGCAGCAAGCTCCCGCGTCTGCCAACGCATACATCCTTCAACCAGCCCACAACACACACACTCACACAACTAGCCCTACTGCCTAACCCTCGCTCCTGGCTTTTTCATCCAATCCCTGCTTCAGCTGTTGACAGGCAATCGCACCTACATCATGCTTTCCCAACAAATTAACCATGCTTACGGGTTGAGACTTGGCTGGACTAACACGTTCACAGTGTCGCATACAGCATTGTCCGAGACACACGTCCTGCGCTTGGATACCTAAGGCATTACTAGCATCAACGAAGACGTCAGCAGTCTCAGCCGCTTTTGACACCGCCTCATCCTGCCTAATTGGACCGTCATTTCGAGGGCCAGTTGTCGACCTTCTCCGGCTATCGTGGAACTTTGTCGCCTTGCCCAGGCAATTTAGACGCACATAGGCAGTCGCCTGCGCCACGAGAGAATCTCCTCAATACCGCATTTGGTGACAACGCATCAATCATTATTTGCTGGATGTCATCGAGTTCGGAGCGCCTGCATTAGAGCCCAACCACGTCTCATTCCGTTGTCGTGGGAAAGGATTCAATTTTGCCTCCCTGCTCCGCCAACAGGTTTTATTGAAATAATATTGATCTGTTCAGGTCGAAGACGTAAGCACAGAAGGACCCGTTAAAACGAAAGAAAGAGACGCAAAATCCAGGTACGTACGTATCGTTCCACTCAGCCCGCGCTGGTGTCATTTTATGTTTTTCTGCTGCCCCGCGTGCCGCCCCCGTCCCACATTCACACCCACACCGAGGTCCAGTGACCAGCTATTGCTGCAGCCAGTCCTGACGCGATAGCTGGCGGCTGCAGACATCGTCGGGTAGTTGGTCGAATCATCTCGTTTAAAACGCCTAACGTCTTTGAGTCTTGTTTCACGTCGCGCAATCTAACATCCAGTCCTTTTGCATAGATTCGCCGCCCAGAGTTAACAGTCGCAAGTCAACGCGGTTGTTACGACCGACCAGCCTTATAACGTCGAATCCCATCGCGTCTTGTACTCCTATCCCGCCTCCGTTGATTGGGTTGTCGCCTACAAATCGCGCTCACAACGTGCTTAAACCCTATCGTGGTGTAAAGCGCTTCGTGTGTGACAGAAAGCGCCAATTGCGCACTGTCTCCTCGCTCCCACTCAACAATCAACTGCAGTCACAGACAATATGGAGTACTCTCCGCAATATCAGCAACCGCACGGTCAGCATCCTCATGCAGGATCGCACATGGCTGGCGCGTATCAGAATGCGCAGAATCCCGGTTCGACCGTTGGTAACTTGACATCTCCTACAAATCCACAAGCGCATATCCCTCAGAATCACCAAGCGTCTCCGATTCTACCTGGCCAAGGCCACTATCAGCAGTCGCAAAATGCACCAGGTGCCGTTCACCAACAAATGAACTTCGCGCAACCATATGGTGTCACAACAACGATGCAGCCTCCCTACGGTATTTCACCAACGCAAGCTGCCGCGATGGCCACGGCCGCCGCCTCTGGCCAGTTCTACCCCATGTCGCAGGATCAAATGGCGGGACAAATGGCACAGGGACCCCGAGGCTCACCACGAATGGCTGGCGTACAAGTCAAGAATGAGCGGAATCCCCGATCACCGACGCAGGTTTCCGGTCAAATTCCTCCCATGCCTCAAGTACAGATGTCGCAAAATGCCCCTATGCAACCAAACCGACGAATGAGCCATGTTGGTAGTCCACACCTGACCAACGCGCAACCAGTCCTCAACCATGTAGGTCGCCCTGGTGTTCCTCCAAACATGCCTCCACCTCCTCAGCCCCAAGTTCAACAGGCCCAGCCCGCTGGTGAAGCAGTCGCAGGTGGCACACAAGAGGAGTCGCCCCTGTACGTAAACGCCAAGCAGTTCCATCGAATCCTTAAACGACGTGTTGCGCGACAGAAACTTGAGGAGCAGTTGCGACTTACTTCGAAAGGCCGCAAGCCATACTTGCATGAATCACGACATAATCATGCTATGCGACGGCCTCGTGGCCCTGGAGGAAGGTTCTTAACGGCCGATGAGGTGGCCGCCATAGAAAAGGGCAAAGGCCTAGATGGCGATGAAACGGCCAAACCAGCCGGTGAGAGCACTTCGTCGGCACAGAAACGAAAATCTGGTGTGGCTGACGATAATTCCGCCCATCCTTCAAAGAGGAATAAACAAAGCACAAGCGCTGAAGAAGGCGAAGATGTCGATTCCGGCGAGCCGTCGGATGAGGATGGTTGAATCATTTCACCTCCTCCCATTTAACGATAGCTGACGGTATATCAACCCTGAGCTCCAGTCTCCGGTCGCCGTCCAATCCGCGAGTCTAGCCATGTCAGTGTCCATGGTTTATTTCTGTTTAGAATTGTGAAAGGCTCGTTTGAACTTCTTCAGATCGTTTCTATGTTCTAGCAGGCGGTTGTTCAGTTTTTTTCTTCCATCATGTGTTATGTCCCTTTCGTTGGCTCTCTGTCAGATTGCAATTATCTCTACGGTTTGATGACGTGTCTGTTTATAGTGATACTTCTGGAGGGTCGTTGTTGCTTTGCTCTATTTATTACCTCTTTCCATTCGAGTTTTTGATTTATTTCCCCTTCTATTACCAGTCTGGCTGGTCCCTTTTCCGTGGGCAGCATGCCGGCATCAATTTCAAGAAGACCCAATGACAAGTGCATTCTTACGACGTGCCAGATTGAATTTCATCTGAATGGCCTATACTGCACGTTCATGTCGGCTTGTTATTTCACTTCGTTCTGAACATTTATCCTGGGGTTTACTGGCTGGGGGTTGGGCAAATTTTAGAGACGGTTTCCATCACTGGTAAAAAACAACACAAAACACATACGAAAAACAAGCAATAAGCGACAAAAATATCTTTATCCAAACGACCTGGGAAAATAACAGAAATTACCGCATCGCAGAACCTGAACAATGGGGTTGTTGGATTATGACCTGCTTTATTCCCCTCAACTCATGCGATGATATACCGAGGTGAATACAGACAAGACAGGACATGGACGAGTCTTTTCAGACATGTCTTGTGGTCGATAAATGATTGGTTCAAGCCCACTCATCATTGCCTTCAACGTTATCTGTTAATTCTCCGATTTTTACGATTCTTCTTTGTTCTCTGTATGTGTGTCGGCTTCTTTTGGTTTTATGTACTCTTTTCCTTATTTATTCCCCCCTTCCGCTTGTTATGTTGGAATCATTCCCCTCCTCTCGAATATTATTGTTCGATTTATATGTTATCTGTCAGAGTGTGTATCTGGTTTGGTTCCCGGTTATTATCTTCATCTTTCTATTATCTTCCATCTATATTGTGTGTGTAGGTAGCATTGAGCGAGAGAGGGAATTGACTAAGTGAATGGATGACTGTTATATAAGTCTTTTAACTCTGGTGTTTGAATATCACTTTTTGTTCGAGATAGATGATGTGTAATTAGATTCTTCTCCTGATTCTCATCGACTTTTGTGCTTTTGTACCTTTGTACACCAAGTTGTGTTTGCGATACAGGCGTAGTATTGTTCTCCCGATTACATCCAACCTGGTGTACTGTATCCGCACCCGCTAAGCCGAACTCGGTACATCGAACGATCCGATCGGGCCAGCTTCCAGCCTTCTCAGCGATCCTCCCCGTCTCCTTCTCCTCACTCCTTCCTCCCACACCTCTCAACGTCACCAACACAAGCAAGCTCACAGGATACTCCATCGCGTCCTCGGGACTGCTAAGAAACCTCAATTCAATCTTAAATGTGATTACCTTTTTCTTTATTCCTCCCTCAGACTTGTTTTGTAGGTTAGCCTACCCTCCCTTCCTTCCTTCCCCGATCCGTTCATTTCGTGTCTTGCTTGGACTTGCCAATTGCACCCCATTTTATCCATACTCCATTCTATGGCTTAAATTTCTTCCATTCTCAATATCCTTTCATTGCGATCTGTTCGTTTAGGCTCTGGCCTATCTCTTCTTATCACTTCAATTATGCCTCACTCGTGTGCCTATTGTTTGTCGCGGATTTGCCGGAGCCTTGACTTCCGTGTCAACAAGATGAATAGCAATCCCTCATCTTCGACTCAATTCAATGAACTCCCGAGCGCAGGGTGCTGTCATCAAACCCGCAATGAAGCTACATGAGCTGCGCTATATGCACCTTTAGTCTTCCATTATTCGTCTGATTTCACTACCTCGGCTCCTTCTTGTCTCTCTTTGCTTCCTCTCGACCCTTTCATCTTTTTGAGATTGCAGAATGCACCCCAGTCTATCATCTAAATTCATTTTCTCATTTTCGAAGGCTCACGATTGTCAAATTCTTAGCTTCTTTTCTTTTACTTTTGACCTCCCTTACCTCCTCTTTTGTCCTCCGGATAACATACCCGACGATAATCCTACCCCGAATCTCGGCCCGGTCCAAGCAATAATCAACTCCGTGGACGTCGCATGCGAAGGGACTGAAGGTCTGAAATAAGTGATTTGGTATTCTGGAGCACAGGAAGTGGCAATAGTGGGTTGTTGCGATGGATTCGTATGATGGGCTCACGTCGCCTGGAAGGGGTCGTGGGGGAGACGGCTATCGTCGTCGGTCGCCAGGTAGGATGTTTTAGTCGGAATAATGAGGCAAGATGATTAACGCGATAGACGGGAAAACAGGCACCTCACAAGACCGCCGTCGAGGCGGTGCGGGTCGCGGCCGATCGCGCTCACCCCCAGGTATTGATCGCTATGAACCCCAAGATCGCAATCGTGGTGCCCGCGGTGACGAATACTACACACCTACTCGAGACACGAGAGACTATACGCCTCGCGATCGTGATGACCGTCGTCGAGCTGCTTCCCCAGCTGTGATTGATCGCTACATCCCGGGCCAAGATGCAGGCAAACGAATCGTTCCTACAAATCCGCTTCCGAATCCCATGTCGCTCGATATTCAGGTCGGTTTTACGTGGTTTGCTGAGTGGTGGAGGGCAGAACAGAATATCAAAGAGGAGAAAGAGCGCGCTAAACACGGCGGTCGTCACCCTTCAGATCGCGTCAAGGGCGAAAAGGAAGCTCGCGAAGATCGCGACAAAGAGAAGAGCCTGATCCAGGCGGCCTACGATACTTACAAGGCAGATTTGCAGATTAAGATGTCGCGCACATTTGTTAAGCAGCATCGCGGTGAGGAGTGGTTCAAAGAGCGATATGTGGCAGAAGTTCGAGACCCGCTGCGACGACGTATGATGGATTTTCGACGTGGTGTTTATGATCAATGGGAACGCGATATTGAGACTGGGTATTTCGATGAGTTTACACTGGAAGGAATTTACAAAAGCGAGAGCGACGGTGCAGGTGGTGTTATTGAAAAGGAAGAAGGAGAAGCCACCGCAGTCGGAGAGACGCTTAGTGTTCTTGATCTACTTCCGGCTCGAGGCGCGGAATTGCGTGATGAAGCGTTGTCCCAACCTGCATTATTAATCAAGACTCTGGCGCCGAACGTGAATCGGAACAAGATTGAGGAGTTTTGCAAAGAGCATTTGGGCGAACAAGATGGTGGTTTCAGATGGCTCAGTTTGAGCGATCCTAATCCTTCTAAAAAGTTCCATCGTATGGGCTGGATCATCTTGCATCCTGCTGCGCATGAACCTTCCTTGGTTGAAAGAGGCGATGGTCGCGATGAGGAAGGGGAAGAGAAGGAGGCGGAGAATGCGCCCAACGGATCAAAGACGGGATCTACAGCAGAGAAAGCGCTCGAAGCTGTTAATGACAAAACCATTTATGACCCTGTCAACGGAGACTTTGTTTGTCATGTTGGTGTGCATGTTCCTCCATCACAGCCACGCAAAAAAGCTCTCTGGGATCTCTTTTCCGCTCCAGAACGCATTGAGCGTGACCTTGAGCTTGCGCGTCGTCTGGTTACGAAATTGGATGGAGAGATGGGCGATGTTGATGCATTTACTAAGATTGAGTCTAAAGTGGAGGATCTCCGACAGAGAGGTTTCTTGCAACCAACAGCACCTGCGTCAGACGCATCAAAGAAGAAAAATGGACTTGATACTGAAATGGATGACGGGGAAGCTGAAGAGGGCGAAGAGATGGAAGGGTTAGACGAGGAAGACGTGGACGATGAGGATCTTCTGGTCAAGAAAAAGCAAATCGACTTAATTGTGGAATACCTTCGACGTGTGCATAATTTCTGCTTCTATTGTGTCTTCGAAAGTGACTCGGTACACGAGTTGGTTCGGAAGTGCCCTGGCGGTCATCTGCGTCGACCTCGGTCCGGCCTTAGCAACCAGGCCAAACAAGTTGCTAGAGCTAGTGCTATGGGCGAACCATTTCCTACTAAAAAGAAAGAGGCTAGTGAGGATGGCGAAGAAACTCCTGCAGTAGAAGACAAGCGGCCTCAGAAGCTGTCCAAAGGCGAACAACAGCTACAGCGTGCGTTCAATTGGGTCAAGACGTTTGAAGATAAGCTCCTCCAAATCCTAGAGCCCGAGAACGTGGATCTTTCCAAACTAGGTGGGAAAGATGTCGAGCAAGCGTTGGAAGAAGAGTTGGCAAAGTACGTCAAGCAAGAAGATGAGTTCAAATTCCGATGCAAGGTCCCCGATTGCTCGAAGTTATTCAAGGCGGATCATTTTTGGCGTAAGCATGTGGAAAAGCGTCATGAAGACTGGTATCAGAATATCAAGAATGATGTACGTTTTCCTCCTTTAAGCAAAGTCTATGGGAATTTTACTAACCTGTTTATAGCTCTTGCTGGTCAATGAATACGTCCTGGATCCGGCTCATATAGCACCATCGCGAACGGACGCGAATAGCAATGGTCACTTCCCACTTGGCAGTAACCACGTTCAGCCAGGCACACCGCGTGGCTTCAACCTCGCTGCAAACATGCCCTACTTTAACGGTAATGTACCGAATACATTCCAAGGCATGCATGCAGGTAGCGGCAATTTCTCTGGGTTCATGGGCGTCAACCCCTCCGGTTTCAACGGCATGATGGGTGACGGCGCAATGATCTCACATCACGGCCAACCTGGAGCGATGCGCCGCGGTGGAGGACGGTATAGTAACCGTTCGGGACCATATGATCGACGTGGCGGAAACAGACCCAACAATTACGGCGCTAATCAAGGMCGTCTGAGCCCTGTGCGCGGTATGCCAGGCATGTTCAGCGGCGCTGGTGGTCGTCTTCCTGGCGGCGGTAATTTTGGTATGAACAACATGCCGTATGTACCACCAGGTCACCCTGCAGCCGCCATGCTCCCACAAGGTGGTGTCGGTGGTGGTCCTGGTGGCGCAGGAGGTCCTGGCGGTTTCCTGGACGGTGGCAGTGGACATCAAGCCATGGGACCTAGAGAGGCGGTCCAGGGACGTAGTTTGAAGAGCTATGAGGATCTGGATGCGGTGGGTGGCTCGGGAAGTGGAGAATTGAATTACTGAGAAGCATATAAAACAGAAAGATGAGAAAAATATCTTTCGGATGTATCATGAGGAAATTCTAACTTATAGTGCCTAGTTCTCATATGAGATTTGAACGATGGATGTACAATATCATACTTTTTGTTATACCAAACGGGAATTGAGTGTGATCAACGTAATTGTATTGGTAATATAAGCTCACTGTCTGTGCTGAGCGTGTTCTAACAACCTTGGAAGGTATCGCCGTGGGTTCTACTATAAACAGATCCAAGTTTGTACAAGTGATGATATGGAAGTGATAACAGCTATAGGAATATCATCCATCCTCTGCCTAGGCCAGGAGTGAAGATTACCAACCATTCCAACTATACTCCTGGTTCTTCTCGTAGATATTGTTATAAATCTCCTGGAGTGCCGCGCTTTCACTACCGTAATAATTGAGAGAGTCACACGTGGAGCTTTCTTCTTCCCATCCCCCGTGCCTTTCACGGTATCGCCGGTCTCTGTCTGTCTCATTCATTAGCTTTATTATCTGGAAGTCTTCTACAAGCATATATGTATACCCAACTGAACCCCACGAGGACCCTTTGCATCAACAATGGCCGAATCCGGAATCGCATGGAGACAGAGATACGCATCGTCAAAGTGTTCTTCTGCCCTGATATGGTTGTTCAAGTTGAGGCCGTTGACTAAATCTCTGAGCCTGAACAACACGCACGACGATGCTTCTAGGAGCTTCGTGTCTATTTTGAACAGAGTCCAATCGTCACCACCACCACCACCATCACCGTTGTGGGCCCCACGCCAGGACTGTTTTAGCCCCCAGTTCTCGGCGTGCTCAATAATAGAGAAGAGGTTTATAAAGGGCAGCGATTCCCTGCAGGACGATTTGAACTGCTTCTCAATGTCGGCTTTGAAATCATTTAGATCCTGCTCAGAATAGGCTTTGGTGGTGTTTGGAGCGGAAAGGCCTTTTCCTGGAGAGTAGATCGTTTGGCTTTTGGGGTAATGGATTCGATATAGATACGGGGGTAATTCATGCCCTTCAAGACGATACTTGTCCATTCTTTTGTTAGAAGTGGGTGTTCTTATGAGTGAGGAAATATTATTCTGGAAAAGGTTTTTATCTTTCTGATGTCAGGCGGGGTTGGTAGTGCATTATATACATCTATACCAGCCTTGTGAGATACAGCCTCAACCATTCAGCCTGATGTTATATGTGGAGACTAATGAGGCTGAGCCGGTTACACTATTTAGCAATTGCATCTAGATACAACATTCGTGTTTACTCCTTTGCTGTCAATGTTGAGAGGATAACAAGACGTGATTCTGTAGGACTCTAGAATGTAATTACATCTCATGTCAGAGTTCTCATTCGGGGAGATCATAGCATCTGACAAAGAAATGACAAAATATACAACCGGAGAGATCCGAGATGCTTGCTTATATTGAAAATCCGCTTTTACGCAGGAGTCAGAGCAACCCTTGTTCCATTCAATGAACTCAAAGTCAAACTCAGAGATTCCTTCCACGGCCCTGGGTCACGACTTTCAATATCCTTGAATTCTTGGAGCAGTCGGACAGTGACGAAGCTAGCCTCAGTAAGCGCATATTGCTGGCCCAAACAGATTCTGGGTCCGCCGTTGAAGGGCAGGTAGTCCCAGCTTGTGCGCAGCGATTCCCATCTTTCTGGCCTGAATGTTGATGCATCAGGGCCGTAGATGTCTTGGCGGCGATGCATGGCGTAAACTGAATAGGAGACGATATGGCCCTTGGGTACAAATGCAGGCGACTTCCCATCGGGACCGCCGCCTTTTGGAAGGTGTGTGTCGCGCAATGCCAGACGGACATTGACCGGAACAGATGGATAGAGGCGAAGGGCTATAGTGGTCATTTCACACTTAACATTGCTCGATATTCAGAGGTAAACAGTAGACGGGGTAAAAACATAAATACCTTCATTTAGGCAGTACTTGAGATACTTGAGGTTACGAAGCTGTTCGTAAGATGGAATTTTGCCATCGAGCTCTCGCGTAATCTCCTGTCTCAAGCGGTGGAATATTGCAGGTTGTTTTGCGAGCTCAAACCAGAGGTTCGACAGAACACCGGCTGTTGTATCACGTCCTGCGAGCAGCACATTCAGACTTTCATCCCTTAGCCTCCTCGGATCTTTCGTAGCCTGGATTAACTGTTCTAGAAAGACGTATTTGCCGCCTGTCTTTTCTGACAAGCCGCTCGTCTGGTTATTGATAGCTTTACTCACAATGTTATCCACATACTGATGACAGAATTTGATAGCCTCGTCAGCTTTTCTATTGTAATATAGTCGGTGGAAAGAACCCATCTTCATGCGCTCCTGGCAGGCGTCTTGAGCCGTATTGAAAGCTTGAGCAAATGTAATACCCATCTGTCCACTACCGACCAGCTTCTCTCTCAAGGCATCAACGGATTTTCCGAAGAGAAATTCGGTAGCGCTGTCAATGGTGTATCGGAAAAACAATTCTTGGAGGTCAACAGTTGATTGATCTCGCGGTATGCATCGAAGGAATGTTTGCATATGAGTCTCGAATGCATCGAGGTCGGCTATCTGATCGCGAGCGAAGTTCGGGCGTATCATAGCACGAGAATGGGTCTTTAAAGAAAATAAACTTGATCAGTACTTCCCATTTGTACCTTTAATAACCCGGTTGATTGTATTACCCAAGTTTCGCCATCGGAATTGAAAATGCCTTTGCCCAGCAACGGACCTAGAGTCTCCTCCCGATTTCCCAACGAAAAGTCCTGGAACTTCGTCGAAAGCACAGCTTTGATATTTTCGGGTTCGATAGTGATTATGAATCCTTGGCCTAAAACGCTGGCGCGAAATGTGTTTTGGTGAAGACGGTGGTCTTCAACCATCGAGTTGAGCCATTCATGCTCTCGGCTGAGTTTTGCAACTCTTAGATATAAATCTATACCCAGAATGGGATCCTGACACGGGGCCCGATGGACAGGCATGCATCCATTCCGAGTTTGATAGCGTTTCTAGTGTGGAATTTAGCTATTTTTTGGTAACAGGAGCCAGATCAAGCCAAGCTGATATAGGTACTTACCTGTCTATCAAGAATATAAACCTTCCTAATGAGGACTATTATCAAGATAAAGATTATAGGCATTACGCCTGCGGCACCCCAGGTGTCGACAAAGAAGAGCTTGGTCATCTTGGAAATAGTTTTATTGAGATATTGATACCAAATGCGTATAATCGACAATCAAAATCATAAGTTTGCTTATGGCTTCGAAGTAGTCTGGTTAAGTAGAATGCTGTTTTACTTGCCTCAACAACGGCCCAGCTGGCGCGAAGCTGAAAACCTGGGGCCTAGGGGAAGCCTCGGCATAATCCGAGAATACCACGTGAGTGTCGAGTAGCGTGTGCTGGAATGGTATGAGTGACTAATTTATAGTGTCCCCAACTTAAGTTAGATAATACTTCCTAGTAATAGGGCAGCCACATTACCCGTCACTTGCCGCGTATTACCACTATTTCCGCTCAAGAGATATCATTTGCTTAACTCTCACTTGAAAGCGGATTGGGAGCAGCTGTGAAGAAATCTTCTTTTATAATCAATGTTTTCTGGAAATCCCTCATACTCTGTGGAGAGCGGGGTCAATTTAGCATCAAATCCCCGGATTTCGGCAGAAATAATGCTAGCCGCCTGAGATATATATTTACCTGAACTTTGATTGGTCAATATCAGAAAGCTTCTGTCCGTTATCGTCAAGTTCCCCAGCCAACTTCTACGATAGATTGACATTCAGTCATCGAGCTGACTTGATTTCACATCAATTAATCGCTCCCAATCAAGGTTGTATAGATAAAGCATGTGCGTTCATTTTTTAAATGATCAGTTATAGCTATATGATTCTACCTCGAAGGGCAACTGTATACTCGAGTTTAATAATAAAACTAATATGGCGTCGTCTTCATCAAAGATAGGCTTGATGAGTTTCCCGTATCATGACACAAGGGCAAGGCTGATTCACCTATCAAACAAACAGTGCGGTCTGGACTTGGATTTGGTGCTGATTCCTCAGAACTTTCTTCAACCAAAGGGTCTTCCGCCGCTTCATTACAGTGACCGACACCGGTCAATAACTCTAGAAGACTTATAATTGATTGCATCGATAGTTCTCAAAGATTACTTTTCATTATACCTGCTCAGCGAGAACGCGAGACTCTCCAACACTTCCACTTGCAACGGGGATGAACGAAGGACCGGTCGTGGAAATGTCTAGCTGCGCGTTCAGCTTGTCGATTTCTCCATATCCTCCTCCACCAGGCGTCTCAATCACCATTCGGTCCCCAGGCTCCACGTTAACCGAATTCTTGCCACCAATCGAGACGTGCAGACCTGATTTCTTCGCAATCCAGATATTTCGACCCCTTTGTCCATCAGAGCCTCCTTGCATACCATATGGCGCAAAAGTACGACGCTCCGACAGTATAGAAGCAGACATGGGGATACGAAACTCTACGTCGCGAATGACACCATCGCCACCCTGGTAGGCGCCCTTCCCACCACTATCATCGCGGAAGGAGAATTGACGGAGGACGACGGGGTATCGTCGTTCTAAAGACTCCGGGTCGGTGATACGTGTGTTAGTCATGTTTGTGTGAACACCACTGGTACCGTTCCAGGTTGGTCCTGCTCCGCTGCCGCCTGCAATGGTCTCGTAGTATCCGAATCCGTCTTTTCCATCGATGCCAAAGGTGAAGTTGTTCATACAGCCCTGGCTAGCAGCACAGACCTTGAATGCTTTGAAAATGACATCAACGATCCTTTGAGATGTTAGGACATTTCCGGCGCATACCGCTGCGCCGACGCTGGGTTTCAGGAGGGAGTGTTCAGGGATGACCAATGTGATTGGTTTGATACAGCCGTGGTTCAGGGGAATATCCGAGTCGACCATGCATCTAAGAGCGAATATAACAGCCGAGTTACAAATGGCCACGGGGGCGTTCCAATTTCCTGTTTCAAGTCTCAGTATTCAGGCAGTTTGCTTCAATCAAGAGTGAAAACACAGACCATAAACCTCAGGGCCAGTTCCTGTAAAGTCAAATATAGCGGAGCCATCTTCGTTGATAGTAACTTCCAGTTGGATCGGAGTCCCATCGTCCATGTAATCAATGGCAGAAATTTTCGAGCTGCTGTTCTCCTTGAGTAGCCCCTTGAAAAGATTACGTGTTGCCAGCTCAGCCGAATCTTGAATTGCTCTCATATACATCTGCCTTGGCGTTAGAAAGATCGCATTCGCGGACTACAATATTTGGCCTACCTGAACCACATCCATAGTATATTCATCGATCAGTTGTCGAACCAAGCGGATACCGCAATGGTTGGCCGCTGCTTGAGCCTTGATGTCTGTAACGTTGTCCTGAAAACATCTTGAACCACTTGACCCGGCGTATTTGGTAGGCTCTTCACAGAGGATCCGTTCAAGCTCCTCGTCCGCAAACTTGCCGTCGCGAACGAGGAGGAAAGAATCGAAAACGGCACCCTCCTCCCACAGGCGTTTGGATGAAGGAGGCATAGATCCGGGAAGGATACCACCGACCTGTACATCGTATGAGCGTTTAGTTATGTAAAAGAAAATATAGACGAAATAGGCTCTTACATCCGCATGATGCCCGCGAGAGGCTGTCCAGAAAATGATTTCCTTCCCTTCAGAATCGAACACAGGAGTAATGACGGTCAAATCAGGAAGATGGACTCCTCCGAACGCTATTTACCACGAAATGAGCGATAAAGTACTAGTGAAACAATAGAATGTTAAACATACCTGGTGAATTTGACAATAACACATCTCCATCCCGAAGCTTTCCCTGCCATTCTTTGATTTGTGACTTGACTGCAAACCCCATACTACCAATCATGGCTGGAACATGCGGAGCGTTAGCCACCAAAGAACCGTCTGGAGAGAAAATGGCACAGCTGAAATCGAGTCGTTCCTTAATATTCGCGCTGACGCTGATATTTTGTAAAACTCGTCCCATTTGTTCGGCAATGCCGTAAAAGCGATGTCGGAAGACGGAGAGTTGAACCGGATCGAGAATAGTGGCACTGATCGACTTCTTTTCTTCTTTTACGTCTATAATCAATAAATCTTTGACAAGCGTGGCGGCACATTTGGGGTTCACGACGATGGTTTGGGTGTCGTCGACGATAAGAGCTGGGCCTGCTAATTGTTGACCTTGTGAGAGAGCGCCCAGAAGGTACACCGGGGTGTCAACCCATCCCAAAGATTTGAAGTAGACACTCTTTATTGAATCAGGCTTTATAATCGAGCCGTTCGGCGCGACCTTTGATGCACCCCCGACTGTGGCCTTAGAATCAAAGAAGTTTTTACCAATAGCTCGGACATGAAGCGTGTCTACAAAAATCTTCCGGTTGATAGGGGTGAAACCGAATTGTTTTTGATGAGCATCAATAAAAGCTTCCTTTGGATCAACACCTTCAGTGACGGCTATCATCATTGAAGTCTCACTACCGTCATATCGCATGAAGAGGAATCGGTTATCGTCAACTCGAGAGAAACGACTCATGGTATGATGGTTCAGGGCACTCTGTGATAAGAGGTCTAGATCAGAGAGAATGGTGTTCTTTGTGGACTCATCAAAAACTTTCGCACATGGTTTCTCCTCTTCGTGGACAACATCCGCCAAGCCAATGCCATATGCGGACAGAATCGAAGAGTACTTGTGAATAAGCACTTGCTTGATTCCTAAAGTCTCGGCAATAGCACACGCATGCTGTCCGCCAGCACCCCCAAAAGAGGCAAGGTGATGTTTAGAAGCTTCATGTCCTCTTCCCTCGGTAAGACTGCGAATTGGACCGCACATTGATGAATTTGCGACTTGAAGAAAGCTGTATAAAGGTTTCAGCAAAAAAGAAAACCCAATCCTCAATTGATCTTGTAAATACGTACCCGTCTGCCACTTCAGCCCACGTCAGCGACTTGCCAGTATCTTGGTTGATGACCACAGTCAACTCTTTGAATTTTGTCAATACAATCTCGCGATCCAATGGCTGATCCTCATTAGGTCCAAACACGGAAGGAAAATGCTCTGGGATCAATCTTCCTAAAGCTAAGTTCGCGTCAGTTACTGTGAGAGGACCGCCCTTTCTGTAACAGGCAGGGCCTGGGTGTGACGAAGCACTTTCGGGTCCGACTGCCATGAGTGAGTCTTTCCAGGCAAGGATACTCCCGCCACCAGCTGCAATTGTATTGATATTGAGCTGGGGTGCTTGTATAGGTATACCGGCTGTTGTAGTCTCGAATATATGATCCGGTTTGCCATCGTATCGAGAGACATCTGTGCTTGTTCCTCCCATATCGAATCCGATAACCGGCACCCTACTCTCTAGACTGTAAGAAGTCTGAGCATAACCCACAACTCCTCCTGCCGGACCCGAGAGAATTGCGTGCAGGCCGGAAAGTTCAGAGGCATTCACCAGACCACCATCTGACTGCATGAACTCCAGCTTAGTATGCCCTTGGCCAAGAGTGGGAAAGCTGACACTAAATTTTGACAAATAATTTTCAATCTCGGGCGTGAGATAGCCGTCAATGACAGTTGAGTTTCCTCGTGGGACAATCTTTGAGCGCTGCGACACTTGGTGAGAAAGTGAAATATGCTTGAAACCAATCTGTTTCGCGAGGTCGTGAATCATAATCTCGTGTCTCGGAAAAATGTAGGCATGCATAAGGCAGACTGCAATGGATCGAACACCCCCTGCGTAGATATTTTGCAAATATTCTCGTGTGCTTTCAACGTTCAGTGGTTTTATGACCTGTACAAATTCACCAGAAGTACCCTCCACTGTTTCGACTGGCTGGGGAGACTGTAGAGACAGAGATCTGACTTGTGAATCACTACAGCGCTGTAACACAACTCGCTCATCGACTTCGAAGACATCTTCGTACAATGGTGAGGGTCGTCGAATGGCAAGATCAAACATGTATGGCCGCGATTGATTTCCGATCTGAAGGATATCTCTAAATCCGGCCGTTACTAGGAGGGCTGTTCGTTCTCCTTTTCGCTCTAGTAAAGCATTCGTAGCAACTGTTGTGCCCATTCGGATCCATTCTGAGGTGTAATCAGTGGTCGGCGCTTGCATTGTTACGTTAAGTAGAATATTGATAATTCCTTACCTACATCGCTAAGGTTTAATTCAGTGCCCCGCGGCACTGGCCGCCCATAATATTTCTCGAAAACACGTCGAATAGCCTCTGTGGGAGCATCGAAATAATTTTTGGTGTCCACAGAGAGGATTTTCACGACGATATCATCTTGACCAGTAACTTTGCACACACAGTCTGTGAATGTTCCACCTCGGTCTACTGCCTGTCAGCTGACGGCACGGAAAGACTCATTTAGTCGAAAATAATTAGACAAAACTGACCTATTGAGATCCGTAGTGGCTTTTCGATGTGTGCCGCAGGCATGATGATGTTTCAAAAGAATGTCATTTATGATTATCAGAAGCAGTTCATCCCGTCGTTGAGATGTTCGTTCCATGGAATCCATTTGTATCTTCAAGGGACCCCTCATGCGGACGGGTGCTAACATTGGACTGACACTATGATTGGAACGAATTGAGGTTGGACCGATCTCTGGCAAAATTCAACGGAAAGATACCAGGGCTGCCGAGCTCTCCCCGCACCCAAGGTTGGCGTAAATGGAGCCCAAGCGACGGTGGACGTCCGGTATAGATAAGACTGTGGAGCTAAGATTCGGTATAGAAACTCCACTTCACAAGGAATGTTTTCCACCGATTGGCGATTAGGTGTTATCGGCGCCAAAAGGAAATCGGATTTCGAAGAAAAGAAAATATATCAAAGACAAGCAAATGAAATGAGGCGTTGTGTAACCGGACATCATTTTCATCGGTAAGAATAGAAATAAGATCTCCCACACTCTGTTACAGAGCATGGATTTTTTTCTACCACAAACCATGGTTGTGCAACGAGCTTTGGGATCATCAGATGGATGTTTCCAATGTCACCATGCACCTCCCACAAGCAGAATAGAAGCCGTATGAAGGTATTGATCGGCCTTGAACAGTTTCTAGCTAGAGATGTTCAACTTATTGATCACAACTGTGATTTAGCAACGTCCAAGGAGGATGCACAAGGCATATATGTAGGCTTCAAACCGTCAGGGGGCCTAGGTGCTAAAGCCTCTCTTTTCTTTTTCTTTTGAAATTATTTGAATATAGGGGTTTCTATTGTGACAACTACCATCACTCTCTCACCACCTTATCGATACACTCTGCTACATATCGCACGTTGCTCCAATTGAGCCCTGCGATAGACACCCTGGAGCTTGCAGCCATGTAGATGTGATATTTTTCTGTAAACAAATCATCACACGGTTAGTGATAAATGACTTCAAGTGAACAAAAAAAACCGAACTGCAGTCAACTCACCCTGTAAAACAGAAACCTGTTGAGGACTCAAGCCCAAGATGCAGAACATCCCCTTTTGCCTCGTTATCCGCTCCCATTTTCCAGGGGTGCCTTTGATAGGAATTAAATTTCAATGTTCTCCAATAGTAGCATAGGTATGAAATACCTACCTAGTTCCTTGAGCTCCTTATAAAGCTGCGATCGCATTTCAGCAATCCTGGAGCTCATAGTAACCAAGTTCCGACTCCATTCAGTAGCAATAATCTCATCTTCAAGAATAGCAGCAACGATTCGAGCGCCGAAAGCGGGCGGGTTGGAGATCTCAACGCGAATCATTTGTGCCAAAGTTGACTCGACGGCCTCGGCAGCAGTGGTCGAATAAGAAACGAAGGCACAGAGACCGACTCTTTCGCCTATTTTGGATGTTTCATTAGTCTTGATTCCGTGGATTTGGTATCAGGGTTATGGTATGATGCGTTTGGCTTACCATAAAGCCCCATGCTCTTAGCAAAGGAAAGACAGACAGCTAATTCGAGTGACAACTCCTCGGCAAAATAACGAATCGCAAAAGCATCTTTGGCATAGTCTCCAGATGTGATACCTAGATAGGCAGCATCAAATATCGGGAATAGCTGGCGCTCTTTCATGATTTTGCCGATGACTTTCCATTGTTCCGGACTGGGATCCCACCCACTAGGGTTATGAGCGCTGGCATGCAGGACAAATATTGAATTGGGAGCCGCTTCGTTGAGGGTCTTAAGAAGTGAAGACATGTCTACTCCATCTGTATCTGGAGATGAGTACGTATATTCTTCAACGTGGAAACCTACAGACTCAAACACCTGGCGGTGGTTTGACCAGCTGGGATTTGTGATGTAGACCGTTGCGTCGCTGCCGAGTGCTTTGTGTAGCAATTTGCCTGCAACATGCAGCGCGCCCGTCCCTGATAGTGCCTGGCATGAAGAAACCTGTGATTGTCCAGGCCAATTAGCACCAGAACAGCTCTCTATGTGAGAATGTAGTCTGTGACATACTCGCTTCTCTCGAACCGCCGCCGCCGACGACCCAAAAACCAGCTCTGTAGCCAACTTGCGAAAGGGCAAAAGACCCAGAATGGGGAGATATTCATGATTTGACTCTTTTATTTTCTCCTTGGCCACTCGTACCGCCGGCAGAATCCATGGATTTCCATTCTCGTCTTTGTAGGTTCCTTGTCCCAGGTTGACTTTGAGGACATTTTGGTCGGCATTGTACTTTTTGGTGAGCTCGAAGATAGCGTCTGGAGGCGTGTAGATTATGCCTTTGAATATTGACGGAGAATTAGAAGAACCCATGATGTTGTACTGCAGAAGTCGAATGCAATAGATTCGGAATACAGTATACTTGCAAAGCGTGATGTTCGAGGCAAGATCGCGTGAAAGAGCCAAAGAGGGGTATCAAAACATAATTGCCCGGAAATCGTAGCTGTTCGGCCTATGAGAGGATCAATTGACTCACATCAGTCGCCATTATTGCTAACAAATTATCGATCGGTTCGTTGGAGTATTAACCGATCATACACCTTACTTGGGATAGATAGGGTTATCGTGGATCTCCACGGCAAGAAGCTGATTGTGCCGAATTCGAAAAAAAGTGGATGAAGGTACTACCCAACAAGGTGAGAGGAAAGAGGGTAACGGGCAAAGGAAATGATCAGTGACTCATTTGTACACCTATTGATAGATCAAATGTGATCTGAAATTGAGCGAATGTAATAATTCACTCCGTAAAATTTGAATTCGAAACCGCATCTCTTCTAAGGCATTGGTTTCCAACTGGGAAGTTACTGAACATCAAATTTAGCAAAATATGGCATTTACCAGACCTAGATTTGGTGTCTACACACCACTAGTGACTTTTTTCAACGATGACGAATCTATCGATTTCGAGGCTACTCTATCGCATGCTAAGCGCATGGCAGAAAGTAGTGTCGTCGGCCTCGTCCTCCAAGGCAGCAATGGTGAAGCTCCTCATCTAGATCACGACGAGCGAAAAGATCTGGTACGAGCAGTAAGGGACCATCTGAACGACCTAGGCCACACGGAGTTGCAATTGATCGTGGGCTGTGGTGCGGCCAGCGTCAAAGAAACCGCGAAATATATCTCTGAAGCGAAGGAGTCCGGTGCTGACTATGCTTTGGTTCTGCCACCAGCATATTGGGTTGCTGCAATGAATGCGAGTGTGATTGAGGGATTTTTTCGTGATGTATGTTAAATACCTACCTATGTTTCTCCCTTCGTTTAACGCTGACGCGAGGGAAACAGGTGGCCGCAAAATCAGAGCTACCGATCTTGATATACAATTTCCCCGGCGTAACGGGAGGCATCGACATTACTTCGGATTCAATCATCCGTCTCGCACAAGCTAATCCCAAAATCATCGGCTGCAAACTCACCTGCGGTAATGTCGGAAAGCTGCAGCGCATCTCATCCACGCTTTCAGCAGAGTCATTTGCGGCCTTTGGCGGAAAATCGGATTTCTTTCTACCTGCCCTCGTGGCAGGGTCCAATGGTATAATCGCCGCTCTTGCAAATGTCGCACCCAAAACACATGTTGAGCTCTTACGGCTTTGGGAAAAAGGGGATTTGAAAGCTGCTCAGGCGCTTCAATCTAGGCTGAGCCAGGCGGACTGGGCTTTGTCCAAAGTGGGTATTGCTGGAGTCAAGGCGGTCGTCTCGTATCATTTTGGATATGGGACAGGTAAAGGGCGGCGACCGCTTGGTGTCTCGAACGTAAATTCACTGAGCGATGATATAGTGTCAAGCATCCAGGCACTCGTCGAGGTCGAGAAGAAGTTGTGAATGGCAAAACAAGTAAGAAGCGAATAATATAGAAAGCTTTAATGTTGTATATTGATCTTTCTCAGCTAAGCTATGTATCATTATATATCTCATAGATCGGATGTGTTATCACATCGTTATAACGTTCTCATCTCTCGCATCTCTCCACACAACACCCTTCATCTTTTTGATTCGTCTTTCTGTGGCAAGGAAAAGTAACAAATACAGATGAGGCGCCACTTCGCCCCATGTGTACAGTTTCAAATTCACAATTTTGGATTCTGCGCTTGTGGAAAAAGCGGATGAATTATGCTCGAGGAGACACCATATCCCCCACCCAGCACGGCCCTCAGTGAGGAAATCGCGAATAAAGCACCAAAATTGAGTGAAAAAAGTTTGCGTCCAGATTTGCGACTTTGTATCGATGTCAGAAGCTGCATTACCGCTAATGTCCGCTATGATCGTAATGCATGGTAGAAACCAGTATCCTCTTTCTAGAGGACGTAGCTCGCGGTTCTGTGACCTTGGGGTGAATCGGGATGATTGCTTCATGCGCTCTGCTAAAGCCTTAAGCGTAGGCGTGATATGTGTGGAAAATTTGTCATTGGACACTGGAGGATCTGGGGCGCGAATTTCAATGGGAAGGTTGTCTAGAGATATGGTTTCGGTGGCCCGGGGAAGCGTTGGGCGTTTGTTAGGTTGCGAATTCAAGGAGGTTTGCGCTTTCAACTCTCCACTATGCGAGTCTTGAGAACTGCTGCCGTTTGTAACCGCTTTTCTTTTCCCGAGAACGCTCGCAGAAACGGATGGATTCGCCTTTAGGGTTTGTAGGTTCGACGACTTTTCCCGTAGAGGTGAGTTGGATATTTTACGAGACGTCATATGAGCCTGGGAATTAGAGAACGACTCTATTGGGCTCGGACTAGGTACCGAGGAAGGTATTCGTGTTATATCATTATTAGGATCGTCTTCTGTGCTGTCGAGAGCGAACTTCCTGGATTGACGAGCCGAATCAGGGACAAATGAGCGATCAACTTGAATTGAATCATCAACGGTCGTCTGATCAGCTTCTTCGTCTTGCTGTGAGTCCGGTATAATTTTCAGTGGCGTCTCCCATGTGAGTTGCCCGCCGTGAATTTGATCGGCCTTAAGTCCACTAACGTTGCTACTGGTAGATTCCAAATCTTCGAGCGAGTTCGGCGTGTTCCCGGTTCCGGTTTGCGACGTGAGCGGTATCAGAGGTTGGAAGGAAAGCTCGCTCTCATCTGTTGAAACAGGAGCAAGAGACGACCCAACGAGCTGCGCGGTGTTCCTGGATAGTTCAAGTCTTGCTTCAATATGCTGAGTAGGCTCCAGCTTATCGAATTGATCCGATTTGACTAGGCTATCCAGATCGTCACCTGAGTTGATCGAAACCGTCTCATGGTAGCGAGCGGACAATGACGGTTGACCGCTCGACGACGAGGACAATGACACAAACGAACGCGATTTATCCACGCTCACCCCAAGGTCGCTTCCATCGGTATTATTTTGTAGGTAAAATCCGGAGTGACGCGATACGGGTTCGAAGGCTAGGCATGTGTCGACAAGAGCGCGATATCGAGCATCGTCACTGACCGCGCTGGGAGCCTCAACGTGCACGAGGATTTCCGGGTTGGCTGCCATCTACCGGGCGTATATTGGGTTGTAACTTGATACATTTCGTGTGAGATCTCAAGTAGAGAGTTTCATATCGACTAACAGTAGCCAGAATGTATCGAGACTTGAGATGGCGCTTCTTGACTACTGCCCGCGCTCAAAGTGGTAGTTGTTGTTGTTGCCGCTCACACAAAGGTTTGAAGGGAAGTTGCGGTAGCGTCAGAGAGTGCGTGACTGCGTGTGCATAAATTCATGAGGTACACCTACTTAAACTTTGACCTGCTATACCCACACTAAAAGCACGCACCTTATTTGATATCTTTAAATGGGCACACAAGAATGAAAGTCATGCTATTCTTTTACGATACATGACTATTACTCTATCTCTGTTCTCAATTAGAATAATCTAGACACAGATTCCTTGATAGATAGGTATGTCGAGCCATGTTGATGCATATACAATTACCAACTCAAATATTTAACACTCGAATGATGTGTACCTAGTGGGTACATGATGCATACACTCACAATCTTGTAAGTACCTAGTACATCCAAGGTTCCCTGGAGGGTTTTTTTTTACACACAGTAGTTGATATATTCTTACAAATGAAGCTATCCAACACCATATCTTCCATGAGTGAAGGCTGCTTGTTGGTGCCGTTGTTGAATAAGACTTGATATAGCAACGTCCCTGAGGCCCGACAATGCCCCTTCACCATCAACTGATGGTGTCAGTATTTAGACACGATCAAGATTATTAGCAGTGCGTTTTTTTGATAAGAGCCATGTAATATATTAATCAATGGGCGTACCAAAAGCTCATAAAGAAACTGCAAGGCCTGATCAGCAGTTCGCATGAAGTTCATGTACTATAATCCACATTGAAAAGCTCCCCAAAGCTTTTAACTTGGCGCGCAGATCAATGCACTAAACTCCAGAGCTGAACATACAAACTATCTACGTTAAGTCTTCGTTATGACACGATCGTCGTACGCCTGCTGCAAAAGCACTAATGTATCACTGCCCAAAGACTGTACAGGCTGTGAGGCCATTGATGCAGCATCAAAGAAGTCCTTAGGTGCCTGGTTCTTAAGGGTTTCTACGAAATCCATGTCACTGTCAGAGCAAGTCTGTCAAGCGAACTAAAGAGCCAAAATTGGCAACATGGGACTAATATTGTGCTGAGGAATGCAGCCGATTAAAGAAGAGGCAATTATCCTCCCACGAGAGCGAATGTCATTATTGCTGCAGGTGGAAGCTCATTCTATATCCTAATTGTGTTGATTAGCTTAAAGGAAATACATAAGTCTTTTATGGTGATGAACATATGGTGCATGCTTATGCAATTGGAAATTCCGCCACGCCGGACTAGGTGCATTTTCGATACAGACTAGTAATGGACTCGGTACGAAAGTAAATTCTCGCATTATGCACTTAGGGCTTACGTGCAGACAGAAATTCTTTATACTAGGCTGTCTTCTCAAGCTATGCAGGTGACACATGTCTTAGTGAAATCCTGTCTGAGTGTAAGCTTCTCGATCCCGATTTGGAAATCAGTCTTCGATTGGTCCATTGAACCCTATCTTCTCCACATCTGCTGGGTCGCTGCTTCAGCTTGCATTGTATGAACTCGAGCTCCCGAAGTTCCCGCTTCGATCCTTCAATCTTTCGGAGACAGACATACCCGTAATCGCATGCGCTTCGTACAGCCTTAGGTCTGGAGTGGTATCAAACGCATCCATGAACTATGTTACTGAATAAGGTTAGGGTTGCGCAAAGAAGTCTACCATACGTAATATTCTGTTCATACCTGTATAGCTGGATAATCCTGAGCAGTAATAATTGTACGTACAATCAGTATTGTCACCATAGCCTCCATAATGATTGATTGTTGGTCACAGACCCGTGTCGCCGTATGCATATCGACAGCCACTGGATATATACTAGGCTTGTAGCTAGCTTGTAGTGTAACAATGTAGCTATTCTGCAGCTAATTGTCGTTTTACTTAGGGCTAGGGTTACCAATACGTCTTACAGGCAGTGGCTGTATGAAGAGCTGTATGGAAATAAGTCTTGACATTTACCATATGGGCTGGTAGGTCATAATAGGTCTATAGGATCATACTAAATTCAACCTCATCCGGCCATGTCGATAGACAGCTTGATATCCTCTTCCCATATTGATTATATCATAGAATGGGAATAATTGCAACCTGAAAGGAATTCCTTACTCTCACTCATTATACACTTCTTATCGAATTATGTCTGTCAAAAACTATTGTGTAAAAGTTGTTACTCGCCATTGAAGATGCGAATACGAGATCGGACATTGGGATATCGGAATCACAGGCACGCGTTCGGATTCCGCGTATCGAGCAAACGGGCCAGAGTCTTTCCAACATGCGCTGCTCATTGGTTACCTAAATTAAAGGATAGATAGTCTGATGTCAAGGAGATCCCGATAAAAATGTATATGCAATAACGTGCCTGGCCTCTCCGATGGGACATATTCCGGGAAACCTTTACGGGGAATCGATTCTGGACGCATGAAGATTACATTCATTGAAATGATCCAAAGTAGCATCTTGCGTAATCTTGATATTTCCAACAAAGAGGATGGAAGCTCAGAGTTTACGAGGAATATCAGCCGGCTTGAACAGCATACTTCGCAAGATTTTCAGCAACATGACCAATCAACCCAGTTTCGAAGGTTCGTATAGACTTGAAGTCCTTTCTTTGATAAAGAAGTCAAGATTGACTAATGCGGGGTTGTCCCCATTTTATTAGATGTCCTAGGATGTCAGACAGCTTTGTTTGAATGGGCGGAGAGCTATGATACTAAGGATTGGGATCGCCTCTCAAAATGCGTTGCTCCTACTGTTCGTGTAAGTCTCACCACATTTCTTCTTCTTCTCTTAAGTCAAATACTGATCACGTCCTACATGATAGATTGATTACCGCGCTTTCCTGAACAAGCTCTGGGAAGCTATGCCTGTCGACGACTTTGTCACAATGGCCTCAGACCCTCACGTCCTCGGTAACCCTAAGGTCAAGACACAACACTTCATTGGTGCTCAGAAATGGACCAAGGTCAGCGATGATGAAATGATTGCCAAACATCAGATGCGCGTCGCCCATCAGAAGTACAAGGATGAGAAGTTCACAGAGGTCGCTCTTAAGGGCCACGGTTATGGTGCGTGCACTACCACCTTCCGCAAGATTGATGGTGTTTGGAAATGGGCTGGTCTTTCACCGGAAATCCGCTGGCACGAGTATGATCTTGATAAAATTTTCCATGAGGGTGAGGAGAAGTTTGGTGAGAAAGAATAGATGCATACCAAGATAATTGTTTATAGTGACTATATAGAAATTCTAACTAGATAGACATCATAAGCTTTGATATTTTCGCAGGTAAACACAATTTAGAAAAGATGTGACCATCAGTAGGTAGAATCTTACTAAAATGACAAAAGCAATTCGTGGATCATAGTCTACTGTATCAGTAGCATTCCTCCATTGAACATGTCTTATTTTCAATGTTGATGGTAGCACTTGTGATATTATTAACCCACGTAGTAATTTACACTGTCCATGTAGCTCATCGAAACTCATCATCCTGATTATTTATAGCCATATCTGATTTCAAAATTGAGTCATTCAGATATTTCGCTTTCTGACAAGTGATGCACTATGTACAGAAATGTCTGAAACCCCAGTTTTGCGACTGTCTATTCGATTATGCTAGGCTAGACCCGGAGTCGATGTTACCAAGGTCATTCATTCCATTGCTTATAATTTGCCCATGCCTCATAAAACTTGTTCGCGCTTGTTGATTTCCCTGCATTTTCATCGTGTTGACCTGGTATTGAATGGCGAGAGCTACCGTAGCACTGTTTCGTAGGTTGAGCTTGTTCACCACAATAAGCCCGCCCATATTATCCTGCATATTATTTACCATTTCTACTAAATCTGTGACTCCAATTTCCCGCTCATTGCTCAACTGTAAACGGCAGAGATCGCGCGCACGTGCTGCGGCTTCGACATCTGCATTCACCGAACCGGGCTCTGGTATTAAGCAGAGAACTAGAATTAGCTTCATGGATGTATCTGCCCGAAGCACGCCGAGATGTGCCCTCAACTCTGCAAGTGCTCTATCCGACAAGGAGTGCCCGGGCATCCCGGGTGAAAGAGTTGGCAAACGAACAATGTACAGCGCCGCATCTTTGACAACTTGCATTGAACCCGGAGGCCGTTTTTGGACTTCAATTCGCGGGTGAAAATCTTCCGTGCCGTTTGAGGATAATTCTGTATTTACTTGGAGAACGAAATGGAGACCAGGGTAGAGCTCGGCGAGGGCCATGGCCATACCTGTCGATGGAGCTCCAACCTGTGCTCGGTTATTAGTATTAAAAAGTTATAATACTTGACAAGGATTTAATTGCACTCACATCAATCATACATGCTTTTCTCACATTTCGCCAGTCTAATCTACCCAGTATATCCGTCATACTATCAGCCGGATCTTCTGCGCATTGAAGATATGCTGACCATTGTCGTGAAAGCTTGTTTTTCTGTCTGCATATTGCCTGAAAAGATTGTGATGTACCGAAGGCCACACTGTAAGCGCTCTCATTAGGAAGATTAGAGCATGGGAATTGTCTTGTCGCTTCACCCATCTTCAGAGAGACGGGAGCAGCTGTCTCCGCAAGGAACATGACAGCATCTAAGTAGCAGAGCTTGGTGACAAACTGCGCTGAGAGCGCAGTGTGCGCGATGCGCCCAGGTTGTGGTTCAGATAAGAACCCAGCTGTTGCCATCATGCGTACTACTCGAGAGAGTGTGATTTCCGGCACATCAGCAAGCTCTGCGATGTCCTTGACCGGCACACTGCCGTTGAGAGGAATATAGGCCAGAACTTGAAATTCTCCAAGCCATTTTAGACAAGCAAGCAATTGACTCTGTTATTTCTGGCGTTAGCCGGGATATTCACTGACCAAAATTAGGGCTTGAATCAGGTACCTGACTGGCTAACTGTTGGATGAAATCGGCTGGTTCGGCAAGTAAAGCCTGCAACCGTGTGGTTACGGCTAGTAGGTTACGTCTGGCGCGATGGACCTCACTTGGTGCGTTGTTGGGTATTGAGATATGAGATGTTAATGTGAGATTGGCGTCCGGGCAGTGATCTGTGATAGTTTTTGCCGCACTGCTAAGCTCGTTTACGTAGCTTTGGAGTTGGCCCAAGTTACCAGCACTCATGACCGCAACGGACAACACAATGGAAAGACAAAATCACGACTTTGAAAGATGTATGTCGAAGAGTGACCCTTGCATAAGCTGTGATATCATGTGCAATTGCCTTGAATAACCTCAACTGTAGTAGGGTATTTCTCCTAGCCTTAGCTCATTCTTCGAGTTGGGTCTTCTAGTTGGTAGTTAATAAAGTGGCGTTTCCATACCAAATTTACAGAATTTAGGCTCGAAGCTCCCAAACATTGCGGTTTCCCTTTACGCTGTAGTTGACCTGGACAGCGAAAAGATCTCGGTCAACTGTCTTGGAACCTCGATGACGATAAAGTGAGGGGCTCTTCAAAGCCTGAATATAGACCCGGACACCGACTTGGCCGAAACAGCTGGAAAGAACTACGTAGCCTCAGTCATTCATCCGTCCAACCCAACTAACCACGCATTTAGTTGCGGATTAAGACACATACCACATACTAACTAGTTACAGTACTCCGTACGGTGCACACACTGCCACACAGACACAGCAAAAATGTTGGACTAAATATCTGAGACCTTGAAGACGGCCCATAGATGATTTGAATGGCCCTTGGCACTTACTATGAGGTTCAATTGGCTATAACTGGTCCATTTCTTCACGAATCTTTCTGGGACGAATACGAATCTTCTGCGTCCTTAGCGTAAACTTTTGTGGGGGTTCAGCTTATGAGGATAAAGTTCAAAGTGTAGGTTGACCGTCCATCAGTCGTATTGACTAAACCCTATATGTGTGAACGATGACACTGTGGAGCCCGTTTTGACACCCTGGGGAGTGGCTGAATTAGTGTATCTCAAGCGTACCCAGTCTTCACCGTAGCACCGGGGGCTGGCCAAGGGGTCCAACCAGGCCGAAGAGTCAATACACCGATACGCCAAGTTACTCTGCGGGAAATCCGCTCCCGTATGTCAGATTGGAAATTAATAATATGAATTCTGTAACATAACTAGTTGGATAACTGGCTAAGTAAGCACTTCGAATGCAATTGTGCATGTCAACTTAATGGTTGGTTGAATCGACACGCAATTTTCCAGTGGTAGTGAGGCTCTAGTCCTTAGTATCATAGTAGAATCGCTAGCTAAAGTATTACTTGTATATGCCTCGTTACTTGTAACTTTCAGTCACCCATTGTACGAATGAGTAGACGCCTATCTAAGAAACTGTTCCCTGTCCTAGGTCCGTGTGTACTATTCCGGGGCGGTCACCGCACGCTCCTTCCTAAACTAGCTTGGTAAGGGACTAACTGGTGTCCCATACAATTTGATGTAGACATGGACATGTACTATAAATCAAGGCTCCGTGCTACAATGATCAATAGGGTTTGTGTCGCCTTTAGAGGCTTGCAACATAACGTAAAGCGTAAAGTGATTCAATCGTGCTTCGTGGATATCTTAGATGGTAGATCACATGTTAGTTGAAGTCAAATACTATGGTCGGGAGTTCGTAAACCATACTACATCAGGATCATTTCATAAATCTAAATTTGTCAGCGAAGTACTATTTACCAGTACAGCTGGAGCTAAATCATGGAAACTACGTATTAATGTTTTGCTGACAAAATTTAAGGACTGGAAGACTCTCGGGTATACATGATCAGTAAAGTGGCCAAAAATATCTCAACGTCAGCCGAGGAGATCGGCGAATTTGCGATACTCTTTATCTGCGGCTAAGCGCTCATGACAGCCATTCTCCTGCACAACATATACTTCAAGCCCATCAATCTTACCATCGATCCTGGTCGCTGGCATTACCCCAAAGACGCCTTCAAACGCCGGTAGTGGGAGCCTAATAGTCACGGGCAAGCCGAATCCAAAATCATATTCGGTATAGGCTCTCATTCCAGTCCAGCTAGTGCCCACAACGTTTTGCGGGTGCCAGATCCAGCGCATCTCTTCTTTGCCTTCAATACCCTGGCGTACCTTGACCAGGTCTGGGATCGAGTTTTCATTGATTAATGTTGTACAATGACGAATCGTCTCTGCGATACGAGCCAAATTGGAGCTTTGGATAAGTTCTTTCAAAGGGATCGAGTCCGAGAGTGTCACAAGAAATCCGTTCCCCACGTAGTCTGGAGAGACCTGTCCTGCCCACTTGCCTCGGACATCTACGGCGTGGGAGAAACTTGACTCTGTCTTCTCGACGTCAATGCCCAAGAAGGGGACTCGTGAGCGAGTGATGCATCGCCAAGTCAGAGCTGAAACGCAATCATAGCTCGAAACAAACTTTCCAGCTTCGGTTGGCTTGCACATTTCCTTAAGCTTGGCGCATGACACGGCAGAAATGCGATAAATTTTGTTGCTGGTTGGTGGTCGTTCGGGAGGGTTGATAAGCTTGCCAGAATCGTCTTTGCTGATGGGATGATATGTAAATCCGCGAATGTTCTTCTTCAATTTCTCGGTCTCTGCAGCACCCGGGGTGTATGCTGCATTGAAATACGTCCGATCCAGACTGGGTTCCCAGACGGGCAGGGGCTTTCCCTCCACAGCTGCCCTGGTGCTAGCAGCCCAGTAAACATAGATATTGTCGATACTTTTGGCATCTCCACACATGTGATGGAAGGATAATGCCAAGATTATGCCGCCTCGGATGAAATTGGCCTGGAAAAGAGCTACGGGGCAGCCTTCATCGCGACGGAAGCCGCCAACATTAATATCCTCGGGTGTCAAGAGATATCCCTTGTCGTTGAAGAAGCCTGGATCAAAGTTGTGCTCCTCTAAATACTGATAGGAAGGCAAACTCAGGTCTAGATCAAGATGGTGTACATAAAGTTGAATCGGCTCSTGATTTTTGCGAAGAGCGCAAATCCCTCCCTCCGCGGTCTCATGAAGCACACTGCCCACAAGTGGGACATTTGTCAATACATTCTCGAGGCCTGAGCGCAAATTACTGATCAGTTGTTCTTTGGACAACGTCACGTTGGACAATGGATACACCATGCACGGTGTTGTATGATTTCCCGGAATGACTTGATCAATTTCTGACAGGGTAATTGTCGATCGATCGGGGAGAGTTTTATGGTCTCTTGCGAGAACTGGGTATGACTCTCGTCTGGTAGACATCTTTAGAAATCTCAGAATAGGCTTCGAGGATGAATATAGTCATGGATAGCAAGGCAATTGAAATTTGTTGTTCTACATGTGGCAGTTTGATAAAGTCTATATAATCAAAGCTCAGCTGTTGATTGCATTCGAACTCTATAGGTACGTCTATGCACGACATGGGTAACGCTCGGTGATCAATTACACGGCACCTGGTAAGGTTTTGCATCACTCGCCGAATATCCATCCAAATGTGGTAAGGCTGTCTGAGAGACCATCGCCTAGTAATGAGTTTATATTTTGTAAATAACCCTAATGGAACGCTGTATTCGGAGCTATTTCGTTCTCGGCTTTCTGGAATTTTCCGACTTTCGGTGTTAGAAAGCATCTTTCGGAATTTCTACATGTATGTATTTTGCTGAAAGAAGGTTCGTATTGAAAGCGGCCAAATACACGAACAAAAGCACGGTATTACAGTCAACGGGGTTATGGAGTTGTTCGATGTGGTAATCATAATATGTCGACAGTTCAGTCGCAAATCAAGAGCATGTATGGATCTCCGTGTAGCACACCTTTATACCAATGATAATCTATATTTGTGCTTTTCGTACGGTCCCTTTCAACTGATCCATTCGAAATCCTAATCTGGACATACAATTGGCAGGCTGAATCATGCCTAGGCTTCTCACCCACATGAAATCGTGTACTATGTTTAAGCTTAGTCTGTGTCAAAATTCAATTAGAGTTACAAGCTTGTTCTGATTGAGGAATTCTCGCCGTGATACACATTGACTCAGTGTATCTCATTCTTCGAGGTACCTTTCTACGTTAACGTATTTTGATCGTTCGGGCCGGAGTTCACAACGGTTTACGTGTAGTTGACAAAGTGAAGCTATCCCGGCAGCTCAGCCTGGCTATGTGACAAGAGCCAGGTTAGTGAAATGATTTCTTATTAGTAAAGAATTCATTTGCATAAATTTCCTTCACCAAAAGGGCTGTTCTTCGGGCTAATCAGTAAGAAGGATCAAACATGTCCGAGAAAAGAAATTCCGCTGTTGGTTTGATTTCCTCAGTCATAACATGATTCATGCGCTTGAAGCTTGGAATGATATCGATATGATTAACTTGATGTTGAACCATACTTAGCTTGGCATAGTCATCGTTTGTCAAGAGCATCTTATACTACTATCGACGCTTTGGCTATAATACCTTGTATTTCGTACAGGGCTTTGATCTCGATGAAATAGATGACTACGTAGGTACGTGTGACCAGATATTGGTAAAAGTAGTATGTTTCTAGAAGGAATTTCTAACGCTTTGACGTTCGGCACATTGACCTAAATGGAAGCAAAACAAAGTTAAAAATACGAATACACTGCGCTGTTATATTAATAGTATGGCTACTACTAACATATCCTCGGCGTACGATATGGATCGATGGGGGAAAATTAATGATTACGTACTGGATGGGCCAGAGGTCAAGCGATGCCAAATGAGACAAAGTTCACCAAGGGTCGATTCAATGAATGCCCACTCAGGGTCTAAAAGCGCCCGGCTGTTCATATGTTTAAGTTTACTGGTAGACTGATTCGTATACAAACCGACGAACCAAATCACTGTAAAAGTGATCACTGATGGGCAGTTACATTGGTAGTAGTATGAGTGACTGTCGCAAGTGGGGGATAAGTATTTGATCACCTTTATGCTTAATTCCCTCCGACGTAGCTGTGGCTTTTACTCCGGACACGCATTGGCGGGGTACATTTTCAATGATTATTCTTCGCGAGTCGAGTGTAGGCTTGCCCAACTTTTGTGAGTTTTCGTAAAAGTTCTACAACACCGTGTAAGATAATGCAGTCTTATTATCAACAGAACATGAGTCAGCTCATGCAGCCTCGGAGCCGTGGGTGGTTCGTATTAAGCATAATCAACGCAGTTCCTATTCATACACGGACAAGTTATAAATAACGTATTCTCCGTACTGACGCTTTGGGCGTGACACAGCATGCGCTTAAGGTGGTTGTCCAAGCCTCATGCAATCCTAGTGGCAAGGATATAGGCCACTGACATTGTTGTAAATACGTTGTAATTTATCATGTGCTTCGTTTAAAATATATTGTGTGGAGCGACCTATCTCAATTGGGTAAACACACAATAGATTGCGTGTGGGCTTAATACGCACAATAACGACTAACACCGCCTCAATCCAGCTTAAACAACAATAACGGGCGGGAACCCTTTCTTATCAATTAAACACTGGACCGGCGTGAACCTTAAGCACTGATATCTGAATCGCCCACGTAATGCATCGTGCTGCTTCAACTTGTTTGGACCCAATAACCTGGGGCGACAGGCCTGTATAGGCCAGGGTGATGAGTCTTGTAGTCGTATTCGGCCTGCAACTAAGGTGTAGTGCGACCAGCATTTCCAGTTAGTCAGAATGAGCGTATGCATTCCGGATTGGATGAGGTGACATCTAGAACGGCGGCTTGTGGGTCAAGAGTAAGCACAAGATTAAACAGATCAATGCCACGCCACTAAACATGTTTCCTCCTATGAGATCTCGAGGCTGCTCGGATGAATCTCAGCCTCAGTTCTGCTAGTGGCTCCACTGGGAGTCACCTAGCGGCCTTTAGTCACCAGGGCTATGTAGCCACACGGTCTATGATCATCCAAAGGACAGCACCCGACGAACCAACAAGGATACGTCTCGTGTAGGTCGGGGATTTGGTACCAATGGGGGCGGGAAAGGCTGTAAGGTCGGAACTTTAACCTGTTACCACCTCCGCATCTCCGTACGTATCTCAATTCTTGCATCTTCTTCAGGCTGTAGGATATCAAGCAATGGCTTCAGTAGCCTACAAAAGCAATACGAATCAGATACGCACTGGTTCCTGTCCGATCCAATTCAATTTGAAACCCACCCGGCCAACTATCTCAAGATGTGCGTGCTCTGACGTTCGGGTATTACCACAAATGGGTCGCGACAGTAGCCGTGTATTGAATTCAGCTGTTGTTTAGAATGGCTGGCTTGTCATCTATGCAGACCCAGCTAAGCTCATTATGCGAGCAAGGATTACCGATCCTTGCAATTAGTTCATAGTCCTTTCTATAACAACACGTAAATAGCATGGAAATATACCTGGACAAGCCTTTTAGATCGGAGTGCATATGTATTACTAGCACCATACAGGAAATAATTGTGTTTCTTGACATTCTCAAACTTGGCATGCTTGCGATACATACCGCTAGAAGCTTGGCTTATTTTCGGGCTTATCTTGAAGTCTTCCACCTACGTACATTTTCATTAATTCAAGTTTTGATGGAAATATAAAGAATTCTTCATCATTTTAGCCAAGTCCCTTTCATATCGGATGTCCACCGACCTCAGAAAATGTCCAATGTTACATGACCAACAACCCCCGTTGCCCCCACTACATACATAGTTCAGTGCTTCTCTTGTACCTACTAGTCAATTGTAGTATCAGTGTCAATACGGAGTTCTTACAGTAGATTAGGCAATCTGAGTCTGCCCCGCGTCTTGTGGAGAACGGAGTCGCCACCTACCATTCAAAATCGGTACCTCCCGAATGAAAGCTGTTCGCGATGCTCGTATAGTGTAGATAGTTGCTGCATGCTTTCATCCTATTACTAAGAGATCTTCATGGCTGGGGATGAGAAAGTCACTCTCAGCCCCGTGTTCGTATGAATGAAACTTACCTCGGGAGCAGCATGTATAATTTACGATTATTGTGATCCTCTGTAATACTATCATGCGATTAAATCAATATTGCCTAATATCAGATAGGAAAACGCAGCTGACAACATAAGCGCTACCGCGTCACATAAGACGGCCTATCATCAATATACAAAACCTTCAGATTATCAAGCCATACTAGTCTCATTTGCGGTAGGCTGATCAAGCTATCTGATGAAAAGGTTTGTTTAAAATTGTCCCGTATGTCCTCTTGTGGTTAGAGTGAGCAACACCGCTATTATGAACTGGTTAGTAAGAGGATGTACTTCGTACTTAGTGACATAACCTCACAGATCTAATTATATTGGTGGCCGCTCAATCAAACGTGTATCTTCAGCTACTGTTTCTCCGTACAGAGTGGCCCTTTCCCTACTTCCAGTTTCAGTAAGAAGATTACAAACCATGAATCCTATTAGTTTCACGCCATGAGGAAGCCCCTGACCGAATGATCTTGGGTCACTACACTCCACTACTCTAACTGTAAATAAGATACACCGTCTAGATCAGTTGAAGTAATAGTTTTCTTAGTCTAGTACCCAGAGGTAGGGGGCTAAGTTTGCACGTGGAGTCTATACTACCCTCGTTATGCAACCAAGGTATACGTATGTATAGTATTATTGGCCGGTTCGATTGGAAATCTATATGAGAAGATAACGCGAAAAAAAACTAGGGGCGAAAAGTCTAAGAGTTTATTTTTTTTTCAAAGAGCAGAGTGGTAGCTACCGTAAGTGGCAAGGTCTGTGCATTGCCTAGACTAAACTTACGAGAATACGAGTGGTAAAATCTGGTAATCCAAAGAGCTTATAGTCAGCCCTGAAGGATGTCAAGAAAGTCGATCAGATTCCGCATATATCGTCTGGTGGTAGCTCTGGCTTTCCTTTTCCGTGAAACGTTTTTTTCTCAATTTCTGTTTAGATATCCACCATATAACCTATTGCATCACACCTCATAAACATGGAAGACCATCGATCCCCTTCTGGGGCACAACCTGCCTCTACTAAAGGTCGTGGACCGACACCTGCAGCGCCCAAGTTACGAGATAGCTGTCATGCCTGTGCTGCTTCCAAGCTGAAGTGCAACAAAGAAAAGCCAACATGTGCACGTTGCGCAAAGCGTGGAATTGCCTGTGAATACTTGGCGACAAAACGTGGAGGAAGGAAGCATACCAATAGAAATACCAACAGCACCACTGATAGTAACCGGGCATCTCCAAGCAATAGTGCACCGCCGCCACCACAACCCTTGAATGTGACTCAATTTATGCCTCCAAGGACTACCTGGTTCACAGCTGCAACCAGTGTTCCCGGTACAGTCGCACATGGATCACCTATTCCTATCCAAGCTTCCCCTCGACCGCCAGGCACGGCTCTTGACATTCCACAACCTATGCTATCACCCGCGGATCATCCCATGGCTGGCTCCATGACAGACTTATCCACTGACCTTGATGAGTTCTTTGCCACACCCAACTCCTTTTCTCTCCCGGAATTGAGTGACAGTGATATTCTGGGCCAGTCACATTTCTTCCCCCCTTCTCTTGATGGCAATACTGGAAGTAATATTACATCCAATAACAGCTCTGAAAATCTATTCGAAAACTTCCATCTATTCCAGGATGGCGTCCCAGATTTTTCGGCATTTTCGAAGCCAAGTTCAATTTCAGATAACCAAAACTCTCCATTCGATACCCAAAGCAGTAATAACAGCACTCGAGGAGCAGACACCCTATGTTATTGCTTGGTGCGAGCGCTTGGACTCATGAAACAACTTTTTCCTAACCCAACATCAAATTTCGCTTCGGCTATGGAAGATCTCGATCATCATCAACAACAACAGCAGCAATCAAACACTTCCCCACCCAACATTCAAACAGTCATTTCCAAGAACCAGGACACTATAGAAGCCATTAGTACGATGTTGAACTGCTCATGTGCACACGACGGCTACCTTTTGACAATAATGTCGCTGATTGTATTCAAAGTGCTCGGTTGGTATGCAGCAGCAGCAGCGCCAAAAGCGGGCCCAACGCACGAAGACATCTCAGGAATCTCAAAGCCAAGCACTAGTCACTCGCGAAAATTATCTCATTCCGAGATGGTAGTTCAAGACGCCACTGTTGTGGGTAGTTACTGCCTCGAAGGCGCTGATGCGGATCGCATGGCGGCACAATTGGTATTGAGCGAGTTACACCGTGTACAACGTTTAGTTAATCAATTGTCAGCCAAGTTGAAATTACAGATTGCTCACGAAACACGGCTGAACAACGAACCGTCCCAGGGATCAAGCTACAAGTCCGAAGATAGTGACTTCGCTGTACCGCTGTCTGCGGTAACATTGGACCAGATTGTAGTGGATCTGCGCAAGAGACTGAGAGCCCTTTCTGTGAATATTGTGGAGAGCTTGCGAAGCCACTGAATTAGCGAGGCATTGGAGTTCTGAGAGTTTTTCGTTAATAGACAGGGATTACGACTTCGATAATTTACAGTCATTTTCTCCTTGTTCCGATCAAGATGCTTTTTTCTGAGGTACAGACTGATGGATTTTATATTTAGAAAGCAGGGTATTCTCGACGATGAAGTTATGGAAAGGCATGTATAGATGAAATCAATTCCTACTACAAGAGTTAGCGGACTTTTCAGATCTTTCCTAGACCGCATTAATGTAGGTATTTAAGGGTGTAAAATTATATTTCATATCAAATCTACAATCGAAGATGAAGTTTATATTAGTCACATTTCAACTAAGAAAAATTCTATCTTGATAACTGCTTAATGCTGATAACCTCAACTAGCTTTGTTTTCTAAAGTACTTGTAAAATTGACTGATTCTTCCTTACCTCCTGAAGCTCCGCTTTGAAAAAGCTCAGTCAGTCTTGGTCTCAGTCTCCGCATGTTCGGATATTCCGCAATTAGCGAGCTCCTTCAAACTTTTCTTTCCCAGCATTATCACTTTGACTTCCCCCAATACTATTGATTGTACCACGTGAATATCATCAATAAGGATGTGTTGGGCCAGCCTTCTACTGAGTTTTATTTACTCGGGCTCCGGCGTATCCAGGTTTTACTAGCTGAGATCGGCTAAGAACAGTACCCAGGCCGATCACAATAAGCGGTACTGCGAACTACCAAAATTGTAAATCCGATAATTGGAGATATATAAGTGGCATTATCAATGTAAGACTACTAACAAACTAGCAAGAATAGCTTGAAACCTACTCACCATTTTCACAACTTTATTCCCTTTTACATAAAAACCACTACCCCTGTACAATTCAGAATGTCTGCTCCATATATCCCTTACCGCCTCGACGGCAAAGTCGCTCTGGTTACCGGTTCCGGACGAGGGATCGGCGCAGCTATTGCTACTGAGCTTGGCCGGTGTGGAGCGAAAGTTGTTGTCAACTATGCCAACTCCAAAGAATCGGCAGACAAAGTCGTGGCCGAGATCAAGTCCTTTGGAACCGATGCCGTTGCTTTCAAGGCCAATGTCAGGAACGTCCCAGAGACTGCTAAGCTGATGGACGATGCCGTTGCTCACTTCGGTGGACTCGACATTGTTGTCAGCAACTCCGGTGTCGTGAGCTTTGGACACTTCGGAGATGTGACCGAGGTATGTAGTGTTTTTTGAAACCAAAGAATGGGAGAATCTGATAGCTGACTATATCATCTATTGGATATAGGAAGAATTCGACCGCGTGTTTAGTTTGAACACCCGTGGCCAATTCTTCGTTGCCCGTGAGGCATACCGTCACCTCAATGAGGGTGGTCGGATTATCTTGACATCTTCCAACACATCCCAGGACTTCAGTGTTCCGAACCACTCCATCTACTCTGGTTCCAAGGGTGCAATTGACTCCTTTGTGCGAATCATGTCCAAGGATGCCGGGAAGAAGAAGATTACCGTTAACGCTGTGGCACCCGGTGGCACAGTCACTGACATGTTCCACGATGTTGCGCACCACTACATTCCAGGTGGCGAAAAGTACTCCCCCGAGGAGCTCCAACAGGCGAGTAATCCTGATTTCTTGAAGATTTACATTATAATTAAAAGACCTAATAACTGACAATCAATAGATGGCTGCACATGCCTCTCCATTGGTCCGCAATGGATGGCCCAAGGATATCGCACATGTTGTTGCCTTCATTGCCAGCAAAGAGGGCGAGTGGATCAATGGCAAGTCCATCACGATTGACGGTGGTGCCAAATGAGCTAGAAATTTTATTCTGGAAATAAAACGCCAGAGGCGTTGAGTATTTTTATAGATGTGGTACCCTACTAGTTGTTTATCCTGGCCAAAGCATGTTTTTTTCACTGACAGGCAGGATGACAAAAGTCACGAGCTATGTATCAAATTCCTATGTTGAATAAACTAAATAGAAATAGATGACATGGTTATTCACTATCCTCGATAGATTGGTCAAGTGACATCTTGTAGTTTTGAAATGCAACCGGCATAGGTCACATCAATGATTGTTGATAAGCGGGCAAGGATGACTGTTCATTCATCTATGAAATTATCTGTATTCTGAATTTATTCGAATTCTACGGCTTKCCCTGTTTTTTTTTTTTGCATTAGAATCGCAAACATCAGTTGGCTACCCTTTCAGAACTGAAAAAAGAAGCAATACGTACCATTGCCGCTAGGGCTGTGTGGCAGTGAGTATGACGTTGGATTATGGTGGGGAATCAACAGGGGCTGTGGTGGGTCTTCGTGGGGAGCCCGATAAGCTTAATCCCCGAGCCCCAATACGAGCCTGCGATATATTTCGTCCAATCACACGCTGGATGTGACAGCACGCGTCTCCGGTAATATTTCGATGACTTTACCACCCTGAAATTCATCGTGATTGGTCATCTATAAAGTGTCGGCATCCGATCCCCTGCCCTAAGACTAGCCCTAGTACAGTGATACTCACGACGTCCGATTCCCGAGACATCTCCTAATACGGAAATCCTAGCGGAATCTCACGTTAGTGTGAAAAACTTGGGCTGAATGCCTTGGAACTGTCGTGTAACTTAGAAAAACCAGTTCAGCCTGTATTGTCAGCATTCTCGAAGGTACCCTAGACCTAGGAATTTGAGTGTTGCCAAAAATCACCTTGGTCTCCCTCAGTTGATAGCTAGTATTGAATGCTGTAGACTGGAATTGGTTTCGCCTGTAATATCTGTTCGGTAAGAGGTAGGCACTAGTAAACTATGCTTTGCGGTAGTGTAGAGTCGATGCAAGCATGATAGGTAAACTTGAACCAAAAAGTGGGGGCCGAAACTATCATGTTGTACGAACTCGGTAGTATTCGTTAGCCCAGAATTACAACAGATGTACGAGGACAGAATGTTTTACAACGTATATGATCCTAATTCTGTTAGGTAACCCTAATGAAAGTTGTTCAGTAAACCGGCAAGGGCAAGTGGTAATTTCTATGAAAAATTGAATTGCAAAAAATATAGGTAGTGTATGTAATGCGTTATCATGAAATGCAGGATTGAGAGTACGAGCAACCTCACCGTACTCTCCAGGTATCTAATCAATCAAAAGCAATCTTGAACCACTTCTTTACTCCTCCCCTGACTGTGAAGGCTACTTTACCATCCTCTGCCAACTTCCGCAAAACTTCTTCCATAAATGGCTCAATCGCCATGTGTCGAACCTCATCGGCCATTCCTTCCCCGTACATAGTAGTAACAAGTTCCTTGACGGTAACGTCCCCCTTTCCTGAGCCAGCTGTTTTCTTAATTTTGGTCAATGCTTGGAGCACCTGTTTTTCTCGTCTTGTCTTGGATGCCAATTCTCCACTGATTTTGATCGGGAGGTTCTCGATTACCATACCGTGAGCAGGATATCCGATCTTGCATTCTTGTTTTTGCATTAGACGTAGGGAGTCCATCCACAGGCTCAGCATTTCAACAGCAGCGGTACCGTGGCCAAGTACATTGTCGCCTGTGCAAATGGCATTGTCTTCCTCGATGATGAAGCACATGTGATCGTGTGAGTGACCGGGGGAGTGGAGAGCCCTCACCGTGGCGCCTTCGACCTCGAAGACTTGCCCATCGACGATAGGCTGTTGTGCTTTGCTGGGAGTATGTTTGTAGATGGAGTCATTAAGGTGAGGGTAGAGGCGGAGTAGATCAGGCACGCCGCCAGCGTGGTCACCGTGCCAGTGTGTAAGAAGAACATGAGAAAGAGTAATGTTGCGTTCAGCGAGAACTGATGATAGTAAAGTGGCCCATTCTGGGATACCCTGACCGGTGTCAATAATGAGTCTGTGAGAGCCGGTCCCGACAATGTATGTATTCGTGCCTTGTAGGGTAAACTAATAGTAGTCATTAAATCATCTCTCACGCGCTTCTATTATTGAAAGATTCTACCTTTCCAGCGTTTTGACCCAAAACTCGTAACACTCGTGGACTTATTTGTTCGACATCAGCAATCTCTGGTAAAGTCGAGAGTTGAGCCTCAAGATAATCCTCAAAGGCGCATATATTAAGCGCCTTGTTGATCTGGCGGTAGCCCCCTTTGTGCTGCTTCTTCCCAGGCTGTGCTTCTTCCTCCATCTTCTGTGGATGTGTATAGAACGAAGAGTTGACCTCTATGTTCATGCAGTACAGAGGAAAAGTTTGAAGATTGAATAAACAATCTTCGAGTCCCGGAGATCTTACCACTTAGGCCTTATCTACTTCTGTTACGTTACCTGACAGGCTGGGTTTCCCCCAGTTCCGACCGACTACTAGTTCTAGAAGCGTCACATAGTTAGTCTAGTCCGAATGATACCGATGTGTCACGAATTAGCTGAAAGAATCGAATGTCACATCCAGTCGTAGACTCGTAGTTGTAAGCCTAGTCTTTATTTTGCCCGACAGCACCATTCAGAGCCCGCGCATGAAGAAAGCTCATTGTTCCAAGCTGGGGCTATGTTGTAGCGAGCTGCTGTATTGGTGGCGACTGTTCTTGGGTTTGGAGGAACGCTAGAACGTATGTCAGTATTGAAGACTTCAGCTAGTACCTGACATGTGCAGGTCGTTTAACAGTCACCCAGTAGCTTTCATGTCAAATTGGTTTTCGTACAACTTTTTTCTACTATCGCAAAGATCTAAAGTACACGATGGTGATTGACAATAGATTATGATACGCTTGTTATAATTGTAAGTTCTATATAGGTCATAAAACCAACAGTTTCAATATACCTTGCTCTAGTATCTCTCAATCGATTGATCGTAAAGAAATCTGTCGGGACTGATAAATAGTCACATTAGAGAACAATTGCAGCAAGGCATGCTTGGATTCAACTTGGGTTGAGATTTCTATTGTCAAGACATGGATTGAGATAACCAATGACACAAAAGTCACAAACTGGCTGGACCATTACCCAAGCTACCACTCGTACATACCAGTGTTGTGCAATATCTTAGGAGCTTCATCATCGCGCTTTCCTTCAATTACATCGATCAAAGGCATAACTGAATCAACGGGCGCTCTCGCACCAAACTCCGCCTTGTTGTGGGGGCCGAGGTTCGAGACGGTATAACCGGGATCGTAAAGCAAAACCGTGATTCCATCAGGCTCGTACTCTACATACTGACAAGCAGTAATCATGTTGAGGGCAGTTTTGCTAGCTCGGTACTGGTGGCCTTGGAGTTTATACAAAGGCGAGTTCTTGTTGAGACGAGAAGTGATGGAGCCTGCTCCACTGGTGATATTGACAATCCTAGGCGAGTCTTTTGACTCCTTCAAGAGAGGCGCAAAGGCGTTGGTAACGATCAAAGGTCCAGTGGCATTGGTATCGAACGCGGTACGCATGCACTCACGCAACGTGCCACCCTCCATTGGCGCGATAGCTGCATTGTTCACGAGGATGTCCAATTTGCCGAATTGCTTGCGAACCTTAGCAGCAGCCTCCTCAATAGAATCATCTTTGGTGACATCCAGCAAAAGCATCTCTACGCTGTCTGGCAAGTTACGAGACCGCAGCTGTTGCAGAGCAGCGTTTCCCTTTTCGGCCGATCGAGCTCCCAGAAAGACATGGTATGTACCCTTTGCTAAGAGCTGAGCGGCAAGCTCAAAACCAATACCACTATTGGCTTTTTTATTGCATATTGTCAGTAAAGTATGTAGGGTAAATAACCCACTGATTAAACGTACCGCCAGTGATCAAAACAAGCCTCTTTGCTGCCGCAGCCATTTTGAGTTGTTGTAGTTTGTGCAAGTGAGAAAAAGAGCTGAGATTTCCGATGAAATAATGTTCTTAATAAATGATAAAAAGCTGTCTGATTAAGCAAAGCTATTGTCAAAAACTAGATGGAGGGGTAGACGAAGAAACAACAGAAGTCCTGTCTCTCTCCTGTCCTAGTCAACTAGCCAATGATGTTTCTTTCTGGCTCGGCTTATTAATAAATACAGCTAAGACATATAAGGACTAGATCCGGAAATATCGGACATAGCATTTTATATAATTCACAAATTCAGATCAATATTTCATACATTATAAAACTTCTAGGTCATCTCTATCTTGCAAATCAACCTCCTACTCCACTAGTGAAGTACAATTTACTGGATTGGCACTGGTCGGATATACGTGAATTCTGCTCGATGGGTAGTGACATCGATGGCTTTGAAGTCGGCGACAGCTGAAGGCAAAGGCTCGAACTCAAAGCTCCACACGATAATTGTAATGATTGACTTCAACATCAACTCAGCCCATTTCATACCTGTTATTCGAATGCATTAGCTGTGCTGAGTAAGGTAGGAGCAGAGAAAACATACCAAAACAAGCACGGGGTCCAACTCCGTAAGGGTGGGTGTATCCAGCACTTGGGTTGAATACAATTTCTCCCTTTTCATTCTTTAATAGCCATCGCTCCGGGATAAAATTTCCGATGTTTTTATCATCCCAAACACCGAATTTCTCCTTATTCTCACGGCTGGTCTTACTACGAATAGTTTCTTCGATCACAAGGGGCGGAGTTTTATAGCTAGGTCCATTGGTGAGCATGAATACATCAGTTCCTTTGGGGATGACATGTCCAAGAACGACGGCATCCTTGGTAGTCACGCGGACGATAGAGCTGACGGAGTTTCCGACACGGTGGACTTCTTGAATAAACGCTTCCAGATAAGGAACATCAGCTTGTGCCATTTCTTGAGCAGAAGGGAGGCCGCCGTTTCGGTGAGCTCTTTCGTGAGCCTCTCTCAAAGCGGTGCGTAATTTCGTTTGAACATCAGGATTGGCCGTCAAATACTTCATAGCCCAGCAAAGGGTCGTAGAGGTTGTCTCTTGTCCAGCCATGTAGAAACCGAAGAGTTCGTCCTTGATAACCTGGGTATCAATTTTTATGTCACGGCCTTCCTTTCTTGCCATTTGGGCTTCGCGTTGAACAATGAGATCAGTGGCAGACTTGACGGTACCCTTTTCTTCGACACCGGAAAATTTTCGCCATGCAGATTGGAGACGTTCGTTGATCATCTTGTCGGTGTATTTCCTGGCAGAGATGAGCGACTTCTTGAAAGCCAAGGCGAATTTGAGGGAGAGAGTTGGGACGGGAGAGCCCATGGCAATTTGGACACTGTCTGACAGGTCACGAATAGATGTGAAGGCTTCGGCATCTTCGGCAGCGGGGAAGTCGACGGGCTGATCAATACTTGCTGGAAGGACAGTTTGGTGTAGAAGCTGTTCCTGGACTTTCAGTGCTTCGGCTTTGATACCGAACGTGGTTTCAATGATGATATCAACCACAGTTCGAGACAAATCCTTGTCACCGTTAAACGGTCGACCTTTGGCAATAGCTGCTTTCTTTTTCCAGATTGCGATCAGGTCTTGTGTGTTTACGTGAATGGAGGGTGCGACAACACCGTTGAGGAATGATGGCGAAATGGTGTCCTTAATGAGTTGGCGATGCGATCTCCATGCTTCGCCAATAGGGAACTGTAAAATCTATCATTTAGTAAAGTAACCATTCAATGGGATGCGGAGAGCTTCAGACATACCGAGACATGGTTTTCAGGAAAGATAGGTCCAAAGACCTCCCCAGTAATCATGGAACGATCGAACTCATCTTTCCGAGTCATCTGAATATCATGAGACTCACGAGCATCCGCGATGACGACCCAAGGCTTCCCAAATGGACGCATGAACATCTGAATAACGGGGGACTTGAGATCTGCAGCGAGTTCTCGGACATAAGACCAAATTTCATGATGTTGTTCTTGATACTTAATGATCTACATTCATGTATTAGACGGTAATGCTGTAGCTAAGAAAGTCTTACTTACATCTGGCGCATCGCCCAGGATCCGTGAGGCACTGGCTTTGTTGTAAGGTATACCTGGGATAGGTTTTGGAAGAATTGCACGATAAGTGAGAGCAACTAAGGCAGCAAGTATGCATACCGATGCAATTACAGTCGTTTGAGTAAGTTGAAACTCCATTTTTGTACGATCTACACTCCAAGCAAATCCAGTGGCTGAATAAGTGTTGACAATGTAGAACGAGTATGCACCAGTGGAAATCGGAACATTAGAATCGGTTGATATGCCGCACTTTGTCCTTTTATTCTATACTACTCTAGTAGATACTTAACAACTCCTAGTCTAACTAGATCACATCAGTCAGGCAATCAGACCCGATCTAAGACGCCGACGTCTACTACCACACCATCAGGCACTTAGATTGTGGAACGAGGCCGGTTATCTGCGTAGTCCTTCTAGCTGCCCAGAATTTGTGGCTTGTTTGTAATAGAAGCTCTTCAGTTGTATTCGTAAACAAATCTACCGAATGGGAACCTAATTAAGTGACTGTCGGAAAATCGCAGCATTAGTCTCAAGAAGCCTTGATTAGGGTTTGTGGCCCAAGAATAAAATTGCACAACGTCGGAATGGCGAATGAAAAGATGACATTATCTTTCTGGAAGTATTAGTTGGGATCCGATGTAAACTCAACCAGTAAGCGAGCCTAATAGATAGTATTAGGTAACCGAGCAGCTAGATGATTGCAGGGAAGAAATTGAACTCTCCGAAGACAAAATTGTGCATACACAAATTTCCGATTTCCGACTGATCGCCTTCCGATATACAAGTGAAACTTACAGCTGAAACTTATGCGCCCCCCGACATGTCTATCACTTCGAACTTTGTGAATACACTCATAATGCATTGTTGAGGTTTTTGCTGTAGTTATGCATCAGAATGTTCAATAAAGCCATTTAGTGTATTTAAAATGGACAGCTTGATCGTATTGTTTTCTACATTCCAGTTCAAACCATGACATAAACTACGGGTCGATTTAATCAAACCTCCTCTCTATTTTCACTACAACATCTTTCAACAGTACATTTAGTACCCCGCAATCAAAATGGCCGGTATCTCTGTTCACGTTACCATCACCATCGACCCCAAGGACAAGGACGCTTTCCTTACTGCCTTGAAGCCCACCTTCGATGCCGTCAAGGCTGAGCCCTTGAACCTCTTTTTTGAGATCTCTTACGACGAGAAAGACCCCGGAGTCTTCAAGCTCATCGAGAGCTGGAACTGTACCGCCGAATACATTATGAGTGTAAGTAATACGATTCTGACAGCCACGATTGACTAATACAATACATGTGTTGACTAATGATGCTTCTTCCAAATGTAGAGCCAGCTCCAGAAGGACTACTACAAGCCCTACCGCGCTGCCGTGGAGCCCCTGCTCCTTAAGCCCTTCGAGGTCCAAATCTTCAACCGTCTGGGTAGTGAGTGGGCCAGTGTCAACGCCTCCGCCTACCCTGCTCGTTCTTAAGTGCGGCCCTCAATAGCGATCCTTAACTCTGCGGGCTTGCAGGAGCCGAGACAACGAGGATCTGGGCATGTACTGATTGCAAAGAGTGAGAACGACCGATGAAAAATATTTTTGCTGTATATACACTGGGAAAACGTATTAACTTCATGTACATAGACTCAAGCAATTCGGGTTCATAAATAGTACAAAAAGTATATTGCAAATATGTCTACCATTATCCTGTAAATAAAATTCATAATTCTTAGGACTTAGGGCTAGGAGTAGAGGCTTCCGTCAACCTGAGGAATTTTGTTTCAAAGGGATCGACATCGCCGACTTTCATAAATCTCACTAATTGGGCGAGATGCTAAACCAGCTTCTCTCTTAAATTGTGTAGTCTTTTTAGTTTATCCTTAAGAAATGGAGACTTTCATGGTGAAACGAGGTACACAGCCGATCAAGAAGGAGTTCAAACTGTCCATTGCTTTATCTGTTAGCTCCGACAGTAGGGAAATAAAAAGTCACTATTGACAATTGTTTGATCTAACCACTCTGTATAGGGATAGGTGCAATACTCGAGTGGAACTTAATATGAATATGACGGGATAAAAAGAGCCGTAAAGACTGAGACACCTAATATCCAAGAGTCTAGGCCTACTTTAGCATAGATCCGTTACACTCCAAGCATCGCATTCCGACAAGCTTAGAAAGGCAGCATTCGGTGTCCCGGCGAAGTCGGGGCTAGATATTAGCGTGCAACGAATTAGAACAATACAGCTTAGATATAGATATGTATTAGGTTGTGTTCCTAAGTCTAGAGTTCAAGGATCATTAGATAGCATTTGCGAATTCTACTTCTTACTTGCACATTCAACATACATACTAGTATCAACATGAGTACTTACGCGATCCTTGGCAGCACAGGAAACTGTGGCTCTGCCCTGATTGAAAATCTTCTCCAATCACCAAAAAACAAAATTCGCGCCTACTGCCGTAACAAGGCCAAATTACAACGCCTGCTCCCCCAAGTTGTCGATAACAAACAAGTCGAGATAATTGAAGGCAGCATCTACGACGTCGATGTCATGGTCAAATGTGTCCGCGACACCAAGGCAGTCTTTCTGACAGTCACGACAAACGACAATGTTCCTGGCTGCCGTGTTAGCAAGGACTGCGCCGCAACCGTGATCAAAGCTTTAGAAAAGATCAAGACCGAATCTGGTCCAGGACTCAAGCTCCCAAAACTGGTTTTGCTTAGTTCTGCTACTATTGACGACCACCTCGCCCGCAAGATGCCAGGCTGGTTCCGTCCTATCATGCTGGCCGCCGCTTCACATGTCTATCAGGATCTGATGGTCACCGAGAAATTACTGAGATCGCAGTCAGACTGGCTTTCAACTATTTTCATTAAGCCCGCTGGTTTGTCAGTAGACGTTCAGCGCGGTCACACATTGACTCTGGATGAGGAAGAAAGTTTCATTAGCTACCTCGATCTCTCAGCTGGTATGATTGAAGCCGCACAAGATGAGGAAGGACGATACGACGGAATGAATGTTGGTGTAGTGAACAAGACCCGCGGTGTTGGTGCAAAATTTCCACGAGGAACCCCCATGTGCATTATGATGGGTTTGATGAGACACTTTTTCCCTTTCTTGCACCCATATCTTCCCACAACTGGTCCTTCATAGTGTGTTTTACAGATATCTGCTTGTTCTTGAGTTTCTCATTGTTTATTGGTATATATACTTTCATCAAAATCATACGCCGAGTCTCCATACATTACTAGTTACGCGCCTGGTGAGATCATTTTCAATTGTACACGTACATATGTAAACTGTTAAAAGCAGGAGAAGCATTTCAAATAGAGCCCCTTCTTTCTAGAATCAAATTATCTCTGAAAGAAATATCGTAATTCTTGAAGTACATGAGATTTTCCATTCGTAAACTATACGTGAAAGCGTTGTTAGATACATATGATCCGAAAGATTTCTTGGTAAATGGCGTTTTTGCTTTAGTTTGCCAAATCAGGTCTCTTCCAGGGTTGCTCAAAGCCAGTGAATGGCACCCACTTAAGATCAGTGGGAAGATTCTTCGTGGTGTCCTGGCACATTCTGGCCAGCTTTAACCACATATCGCCCTTCATGGGGAAGTATGCCTCCCATTCACCTTTCTCGTACTGCTTGGAGACTTCTTCGCCATTTTTGAGGGCTCGAATGTATTTGGCAGCGTGACCGTCATCGTGTTCCTTGTTGACGGCGCTGAATAAGTCGGCCCAACCGAGGTTATCGCTCTCCGGGTTGGAGTACTCAGTGATGGCCTTCGGATCGAGTGGTGCTGACCCGGAAACCGCATACCACGCCAAGTCAAGTCGTGCTTTCCATTCGACAAGACGGATACGGTCTTCCAGCTTGATCCATTTCTGGCGTATCAAGACGGTGAAGAAGATACTGCTGGTGACGCAGTGCATATAAAAGAAGTCAATCTTCCGCTTCCGACCCTCACGTTGTGCTGCACCTGAGAAGTAGGCGACCGTGCTGATCATCTCTGCTGTTCGTCGTTCAAGGTCTTCTTCAGTGGGCTTAATGCGGAACTGGGCAGCAACGGTCTGCATTTCTTCGCAAGCACGACCGACAATACCGTCACGCATCTTGAAGCCGAAGTCGGTCCATTGAGGAGCAGTGCGGATTGCGTCGTTGTTACGGATATCGTCGACTAATTGAATCATAGTTCTGGGCTTGGCTGTTGGGTACACGATAGTGGCTTCCTGTTCCGCATTCAAAAACAATTTACCAATGTTAGCATCGTCGTGAGCAGCAGCTTGAGCGAGAGCCTCAGCGACGATAGCTTCAGACTGAAATTCTATACCCAGACCGAGGTGGATAATTGGGTGGTAGGCGCCCTCGTACATACGAGCAAGCATTTTGTCCGCAAGTTTGTTTCGTGCAAAGACGTACTTTTGGGTGATTTCTTTCCACCCATTGGCGGCAATTTCGCGCTTGAAGAATTCTAAGAATGTGTGGTACTGGGTAATTTCGCCAATGGTGTTGAAAAGAACTTCATCATCCGATAATCTCTCGAGCAATGCGTTGTCAATTTCGGGGATTGGTCGCTGGATGGGAGTCCCGTCATCGTAGCGATCTTGTAGTTCTCGAGGAGTGGCTCCCAATGCAAGAACCGTCAAAAGACTGTGAACGATGTGATTGTGACCAGCAGTGTCACGGAAAAACATGTGGTAGACCTCATGGTTTTTCTGAAGAAGCTTGTTACACGCTTCTAACGACTCAGCCGGGATGTCTACTGGAGCGCGAACAATTCCCAAGTGATCTGGAGAGAGCTGGATCGGGGTCACAGCTGACATTTTTGCGACGGATATCAATGTGTGGAATTTGAGGCTGTGTAGTGCTTCAATTAATGCCTATGGTATGTGAAATAGACTGTGATCACCTTTTCAAGTTTATATACAAGATTTCTATTTGCATAGCACTACTTGAGTATCTCCGAAACAGTTAACCTCCGGCAACACTCATCGGACTGATCGGAACTGAGCCCACATCTGTAGATACTCAGCTCAAGAAATGTTCCATGGTATCGCATGAATTGTCTAGCTTCGAAAATTACTGAGTGGGCTTTCGTTCATCATACTATTCATAGTTATGCTCCATCTACTTGGTTAATAATGTATGATGATAGAGTCTCCCTGGTGAAGCATGTGGTTCGGCATTAGGGTAAGGTGTTGTGAATCTAAGAAGCTGAAATTGTAAGGTGCACTTTCTCATTGGGGTAGGCTACCCCCCCAAAAACTAAATTACGCATGCCTCAGAATGCGGGAGTAGGGCTAGTAATGATTGTTCTCGGGGTTGCTCACGCAGTGCTATTGGGCGCCGCCCGTTGGATACAAGCCAAGGCGAGGAGGGCTCGGTATGCGATTTGGGAGGGGCTCGGTGTCGACCGAATAGACTGAATAGGCAAGGTTACCGATGCTGTTGAAATACTTACTGCATGATTGAAGGTTCTTCTCATACTTTGCATGCGAGATCAACATTGTAATACCTGATCACTCGGTCGCTAAACTCCACCTATACTGCAAACATGGCGATTCCTGCATTTTCTGGGTACTTTTTTACTAAGACATTGCACAATGATATTGGCATCAGCACCGACCCCACCAAAACTGACTTGTCTCAGCCGGGTAAAGTTGTGCTGATAACTGGTGCTGGACGAGGAATCGGCCGGTCAACTGCCTTGCGATACGCCGAAAGTGGCCCAGCATGCATCATTATATGTGCCCGGACAGGGTCAGAGCTTGATACCCTCGAGGACGACATCAAGAACATCAATTCAAGTATCCGAGTTCGGAAGTTTTCAATTGATATATGCAACAAGGAACAAGTCAATTCAGTGCTCAAGGCTGCTAGTGAAGAAGAGGGAAAGCTCAATGTCTTGGTCAATAATGCAGGTACAAGCTGTGCCTGGACGCCACTGGCTGACAGTGACGATGATGCCTACTGGGAAACGTTTCATGTTAACGTGAAAGGTACCTACCTTATGATGAAAACCTTTTTGCCATTGTTGGTCGAAACAGCAAGGAAAGAGGGTACTTCAGTGGATGTAGTCAACTTGACTACCATTGGAGCAAACATTACCGTTCCCGGTTCCTCTGCGTATGGAGTGTCAAAACTAGCTATCTCAAGACTTACGGAATTTGTGACTATGGAGTATGGACAGCAAGGAGTGAACTGTTTTGCGGTGCACCCTGGTGGGGTACCAACCACATTGGCAAAAGGAATTGCTCTTCCTGAATGTAGGTCTAACACCTTGAAAGACTTTAGTGGGCTGTATGCTGGGCTAATTAATATCAAAACAGTCCTGATTGACACACCTGAGTTGGCTGCTGGCTTCATTGTATGGTTGACCAAAGGACAGCGGGCTTGGCTGAGCGGCCGATACCTGAGCGCCACATGGGATGTTGATGAGCTGGAGTCCATGAGATATGACATTGTCCAGAACGACAAGCTGAAGAACCGTATGGTAGTGTAGAACAATTTACCTCACCTCATCTAGACACAGTAGTTATTAAGAATTTGTTGATCGGATGCTCGTGCCGTTACACCAAATGTTACATGTATTTAATGTAAGGGGTGATGTGAAGTTCGGTGGTTCCTTTTTTGACATTTCAGTGATATCAAATTCGCAACTTGTGGGCCAGAAATACTATATTTACGTAATATCTATTGGGATGTAGGAATCGTGGTAGCAGTTCCTAGAATAAACGTAAAACTCTTTCGACACATGAAAGATAAATGAAAATCTATTTGAACTTCCAAAAGCTTAGATCATAAAATAACCTGTAACTATGAAACACATTCGGACTTATTATTCATGCATTTAGTCATCGCCACGTCGTCGAGTGCCCCGACTGGAGCGTCTCGGCTTGCGGGCTGGGKGGAAAGCCTCAGCCCCAAGGTACGTAGTAATATCTAACTCACCCTTCTTGAAAAGGCAGCTAACAAAGGATTGAAGACCCTTTCCTTCATCCAACCGTCTATGCTCGCCTAAGTTGCAGAGCATCTCTAGGTATTTCGGACCGTATCCTGCACGTCCATGCTTCTCCATCCAGTTGATAGTAGCTTTGGCCAGATCCAAGTCGTTGGGACCATAGTGACGGGTAGGAATGAACCATTTTATTTCAGGGTACTTGTTACCCGGAGCAATGTCAAAGTAGTACAAGTATCCAGTCAACACTTTTTCGAGTTCGCCGAAGTTCTCCTTGGCAGAATCGTCGTAAACTTGAGACTTCTCCGGGAGAGGCACTTCAGCATTATCTGGGAAGTCATCAGGTAAGCCAGCGGTAGCCTTGATGAGCTCAATGAGATCTTCTAGTTGCTTATCGATACCGGTAATTCTTCCACCCAAAGTCATGACCTCACGAACTGATTTGAAGCTTGTATTCAAAGTATGGAAGTACCACTTAAGACGTGATTTTTCGGGAGCGACATTGTCAACAGCGAGGGAGAAAGGATTGAGAAGTTTGCCTTCCGGGTTGGTGGTGAGAAACTCATTAAGAGCTTTGCGGGCAGAGTAGTCTTTTCCTTCCACATCAAGTTGAGCAATGGCGTCGTCGTATTGAGATGTTGGTACAGCTTCGACAATACCGAGCTTCCGGGGGAAAAAGTAAGTTTTGAATCCAGTACCCTTGCGTAAGAACTCAGTACCGAGCTGAACACTGGTAGCGGTGCTCATGTGAGAGCCAGCTGCTGCTTCTTGAATATACTTAGAATTGTCATGATCATACAACTTGGCGAAGAAATGGTTGACCCAGCCAATGTTCAAGTTCTCCGATGTCTCTGATCCGAAGCGCTGAAGAAGCTCACGTAGACCCTGCTGGTTTAGAGGATCTAACTCTGTACCTGGAAACTGCCCAATGGGCTCGGTAACATAACGGACGTCTGGTTCAGAGCTTTTGGTGTTCCATTTCCACGAATACTCGATGGCAGAACCGTCAAGAGACAGCAGTGACTTCCATTTAGTAGGCAAGCCATCTGGTCCGGGAGCGGGGCCCATGTAAGGGACCTTCCATACCTATTGTTAGTATACGTGTATTTTATAGTCAATAGGGTCCTCAAGCTTACCGTCCAGCGATAGTGGAACAACAGACACTCAAACTGCTTCTCTAAAGGATACTCAGCAGCCTCCAATAGGGAAGCAACATGGCGACCAGTTAACTTCCACCAATATTCCTGATCTTCATTAATTCCGGGAAGATATTTTGAAAGGGCCTTCCAAGCTTCTAACCGAAGTTTGCTGTCTCCGCTCATTTTAGCAAGTGCTATAATTTTATATTAGTATATTGGAAGTATGGTGGATGTCAGATGTTCTAGTATTACAACTCTACACTCGATATTTTATACAAATATAGTTTTGAAGCTCCTGTTACGGACAAAAAGCGAAAATTCCGGCCATCGATGCTCTCCATGCAACAATTGACTTACATAATAAAACCAGCCTGCTTTGTCAACTTGTTCGGTGGTCAGCAAGGGCACGTGAGCGTCCGAGCCCCGATTCCCGAAACGCCGGCAACTGAAGATTACTGAATTTGGATCCGTGGAAATAACACTTCTTACTAAACTAACCCATCAGCTCGGAGAAGCTAACTCTGGGCACTTATGCAGGCCCTCTCAATTACGAGTCGCCTTTCATAATTTTTGTTTCCTCATGTACCTCGTACTCAGGCCCCTTAAACTCCATGCGAGCATTCAGCACCCCACAGGGAAACTCACGTCAGGTCTCCATTCATCAGCTGTCACCATCCACATCTTGGTAACGAACGGTGAGAATTTTTCTCCTCAGCTTCTAGAACGCCGATATCCGACAGGGTTCATGGCCCCACTAGCTAACCACGTGTGGCCTCTCGAGCTACTCCTGACCCTGATAACCCCTTATTTCACTGCAGGTCCGCAGTCGGATAGGACATTCTATGACTGGAACAAGTCCTCGTGGTTTAAACTTTGGGGGCTGTGTTGTAAGAATCTTATATGATCATTGTAGTAATTTCCGAAGCTTTACCATTTCCAGCCCAATGCTCTATGCATTGCGTATTACAATCTAAGCTACACTAGTCAGCTCTAGCCAGCTCTAGCTCTTCAAAGAGGTAAAAATAATTAAGATCAGGTCAATTTAAACGAGGAAATTTGTTTATATGCCGGATAGTCCCCTAGCCTGAGCCCGTAGAAAGACCCGCGCTTTGCTTTTTATTCTAGATATTTCTTACAACGTGCAAAGAACGCAATTTGTATATAAAAGGACTCAAAATCTTGATACGATCACGATGGGTCGTGTCTTCTCATGGGCTCGATTGCTCGCCGTCGCAGCTGTTGCTGCAGGTGTTGCTGCTCGTGGTGGTCAGGGCAACGATCATTCCAACGGACACGGCGGTCACGGCTCTAGCACCACTGCCGACTATGTCATTATCGGTGCTGGTCCTGCTGGTGTTGTCCTAGCTGAGCAGCTTTCTCGAGATGGAACGAAGAGCGTAGTTCTTATTGAGGCGGGTCCTGACAGTATTCACAATGTCACTGTTGACAGTAAGTCGATCGCAAATTTGCTGGATTGTGAACAAAATTTATTAACATACTGCAGCTCCGGCCATGTACCCCTTTATCACGGAACAATACTGGAATTACACAGCACAGCCCGATGACAACTTGGGCGGAAACGCTCCTGCTCTCCAACAAGGTCGCACCATAGGAGGAGGTTCTGGAGTCAATGGTATGGCTTACTGCCGTGGCTCTGCCTCTTTGTTCGATGACTGGGCAACTCTTTCCGGAAACGACGGTCTCGCCTGGGATTCTATCCTCCAGGACTTCCTCGAAGTCAGCCACTACACAGAAAATCCTAATGCCGACTACGATCAGGTCGTCAATACTTCTGCTTTCGGTGACGGACCGTTAGAAGTCAGCCGTGTCGGTACCTTGACTGGTTTTGAAAATCCTTTCTTCAATGCTTTACAAGCTGAGCTCGGTCTGGATGAGGTCGATTTGACTGATGGAAGCGGAATTGGTCTTGATCGAGGATTGTCTTCTATTACTGCTGTTAATCGCACCCGTTCTTATGGTCGTACCGCTTTTGGAACATTGATTGAAAACCGCTCCAACGTTCGAATTCTTACCTACGCCTGGGCGTCGAAGATCAACTTTAATGGTACCACCGCTGTGAGTGTTACTTACCATGTTGATGGTGTTGCTACTACAATTAAGGGTAAAGAGATCATTGTCAGCGGTGGTGCCATCAACACCGCCAAGCTTCTCTTGCTCTCTGGTGTCGGTCCGAAGGAGACCTTGGAACCTCTTGGAATCAAAGTCATTGCGGACATCCCTGACGTCGGCGCCAACCTCCGTGACCACGCTTTTGCCATCATTGAGCTTGACGTCATCCCCGAGATTCTCACTCTCTACCAATGGTTCGAAAACGCTACCGTGAATGCCGAAGCTAAAACCGACTACGCTGCCAACCGCACTGGAATCCTCGGTTCTAACAACGGTTTCATATACGGTACTTACCGTCTTCCTGACTCGACCTGGGATGGCATCAATGGCACTTACTATACTTCCTTGCCTGAGGACCGCCCTCACATTCTCTTTGAATTCTCTTCCTTACCTTTCCTTCCCACCGACGGTAGCGCTCTTACTACCTGGGCTAGTCTCGTCCAACCCGAGGGCTCTGGATATGTTTCTATTAATACCACCGACTACACCGTCGATCCCTTGATTTACACCAACTACTACGCCACCAAGGCTGACAGGGCCGCCATCATTGCTGGATACAAGCTGTTGATGAAGATTACCCAAAACGAGCAAATTCAAGCCGTCACTGTCAACCAGGTCTTCCCTACCACACAACTGACCACTGACGAGGAGATCTGGGCTGCAATCCAGTCTCAGACATACACTTTCCACCACCCTATGGGAACCGTGGCTATCGGAAAGGCTCTTGACAGTAACTGGCGATTGAACGGATTGAGTGGTATCCGTGTTGTCGATTCTAGCACTTTCCCTCTTCCAGTCACTTGCCATCCGCAGGCTACTGTGTATGCTTTGGCTAACAGAGCTGCCAAGGACATTATAGCTGCCGACTCTAAGAATTGCTGAGCAATCAGTGCATTACTTCAGTGTTTCATTCTTTATATACTTCCATTTCTTTGACATTTACATTCTTGCATCTAGTTCCCTGGAATAAGATTTTATTTTCGTATTTACTTTCTGCAATTGATAGCTATGTTTGTACTCGATGTCTAGCTACATGTAAATACTGATCTCATTCAATTGACATTTCCGCGCCGTTCAGTACATGTATTATTTTATATATCCCTAGCCCTGAACTGAATTGAAAAATCTTCAAATATATTTAATAGGGTGAGAATTAAATAGAATCACTTCAATCGCGCCATACTTACATTTGATAATTGAGCATATGGGGTACCTACGTAGTTGATTTCTCCTGACGCGCTGGCCCTTTCCGTTTTAATGCTCACTGTGTCGCCGCTTCAATTCCCTGTGTAGAATTGAGCATGCCCCTGAGTGCCATGATTAGATTTCGCCAGGCGTGATGCCCGGTAGTAAGGGAGTGAGAGTGAAAATAAAGACACCAAGAGATTGATGTCACACGTCTTATTGAGATTATCTATACTGCTTCCGATATCGTGTCAAAGAATGAAAAGAAAAGGTGCATAGCTGGATATGTATAAAGTATTCCTAACTGTATGCCCATCTCTGAAAAATGACAACAGATGTTCTTAGGGTTTCACTAGTTATACTCAAAGCTCACCTGTCCCATTATTGAGAAATAAATTTCACGCGTACGCTACTTATGTGTCTCAATCTGCTTCTCGCACCACTCCCATAGCTCTTTCCCCTTTCCCTCATTAATGGCCTGGTAGATATCCTCCCTCGGATTCCGAGCCTGGATTCTCCCCCACGGAATGATGATAGCACCTGGCACATTTTCCGTAATCTCTGGGCTCAAGCCAGCATATAGTTCAGTATAGCCGCCCAGCTTAGGCGGATAAAGCAACAAATTTCGGACAAAGAACATCATTAATCTAGGCTGAGTGTGATAGATGTGCGTATCCAGGTTTCCAGGGTTCTGGACCACGCTAAGGATGCCATACTTACCATAGCGCTTTGCTGTCTCATCAGCCAAGATCCAGTTCGCTGCCTTGGAAGATGCGTAGTTGACGTGCGAATCTTTAGTACCTCCGTTCTCGATATCCTTCAGATTGTAGCCACCTTTGGGAGATCGCGATTCCATTAGCCAGGAGCTAGACCAAATAACGCGTACTGAATTCTTGGGAGAAATTGCGGCCGCTGCTTGCAATTTAGGAAGGAGAAGCTGAGTCAGGAGGAGTGGTCCAATAACATTAATTCCCATATGTGCCTCGATCCCCTGCTTAGTCTTCGAGCCGACCGGCACAGCACCTACACCGGCGTTATTCCACAGGATATCAAGGCGAGACTCCTCTTCAGAGAAGGTATTGGCGGCCATTCGAACAATATTCAAGTCATCAAGATCAAGATAAAGGAACTTAAGACGAGCAGCACCGGATGGATCAGTGGCGGTTACACTCTGGATGGCGTCTTCAGCGCGGGCACGAGAACGACTCGCCATGTAGATCACTGCGCCCGTTGGGTAAAGCATCTTGATAAGCTCAAGTCCAACACCCTGATTACCGCCTGTGACGATGAACACCCGGCCTTTCAGGTTCAACGAGTCGAGATTTTTCTCAGTAAAGGTTGGTGCAGGCGGCCAGTACTGTGTTAACATGGATTTTAGCGCCATATTGTATGAATGAGCAGAATTGAATTAGAGCAGTCTGAAGTCAAAATTTCGGTGTTGAGGGGTGAGGGGAGGTGTGCAATAAAGGAAAAATATTTTGAACAAAGAAAAAACCAGTTTCGGCGTTATGTAGTTCACTGATAGGAACTCCATAATAAAATAACGCGTATCGTGTGTTGGAGCTGTGTTAGCGTAGTTGGTCCTGACTCGAAATCCCTGCATAAACCTCAGGTGTGCTTGTTGTTTCTTTGTTTCCCACAACGGGCATATGTTCAATCGAGTATAGCCGTACTTTTAGTAATTTCGTTTCACGGTATCAATTACACCACTTACATTTACTAGGTGCATATGTACTTGTAATAAGTCCTCATTACCTCGTACATGCTGTATCCTGATTTCCTAAATTACCGGGGCTTGTAGAGTACCAGTCACGTCGATTTCCTGTGGTTGAGGCCCCAGGCTCAAAAGCTGGGGGGTTGCCTAATATATGAACGTTACATTACCAGGGACCCTGGACTGGACACCGTGATAACCATTGCAGTTTGCCTTGTAATGCTATCCTAGAGACCCACCCCGCTTTGAGTAACTGGTTAAACAAATGAACTTGTGGAATGGACTGCATAAGGTATGCGCTCTGCGACTCAAGGGTCTCGTCGAGGAAACAGGAAAGAGACTGCAACAACCTCGCGAGCTATCTAATTTGTGACCTTCCCGTGAAGTACATCATACACAAAAGCGACCTGAATCTTCATTAGGTCGGAAAGATGATCACTCTCAGTGATATCTATGTGAACTCTTCCCTTCTATAGATGCCAACGTTTAGGTCCCGACAGATCATTGTAGTATCGTGGCTACACCGCAGGCGGACACATTATGTCCAACTCCAGTACAACGAACAACACTGGAGTGGCATTGAGGGTTTTTCATAGAGCGGATGGATGCCATACATACAATTTATAATAAGACTGGACTTTGGTACGCTTGACATGATGCGGTGCGACGCCTTCCATGCTAAATTGCTTTGTATTCCTAACAATCTTTGCACCCTCTGATCTATCAACACCGAAATTAAAACCAGCTGGATTGTCACTTTCGTCGTTAATCATTGGGGTGCAGAATAGCCGGTTCCCTTTTATCTGGGACTCCCGGTCCTTGATGCACAAAGCAAGTACTTTTTGCAATCTCTCTGAGTTATATTGGTACTATCCAACATAAAGATGACTACCAATGTATGGAATTAGTAGTCTCTAAGCAAATTGATATAACTTTCTATCAGTTTCTAGATCACTAAGGTAACAATGATCTGAATTTCGTGTTCTGAATGCCGGCCCCTACAGTGATTATAGAAAATGTCAGCTAGTAATGATCCATTTCAAAACATATATGCGTACTCCCGAAAAAGCAACCACAAAATTACTTGAGAAATACGGAATACTCGAAAAGAAACAATAAAAAAAAATCAAGGAATGAAGGCGTAGAATGAGTCAGTGGCATTCTACGGTCGTCCAAAAGTCATATAGTCAGGGTTTAGACAAGAAGCCTGAGGCCTCTATACCCAAGTACTTGTTTAAGCTGTCGCCACTATAACAGATTCAGGCACATGATCAAAGTGATTCATAACATGGAAGCTAATTACCCTCATCATCCATGAAATTTAAAAATATAAGAATTTCAGATTTGCAGCTTTCCGATTTGAGGAATCACATTCTTGTAACAGATACTTGAAACAATACCCGCAGTAAACATGTTTAAACAAAGAAATAGGCTGTCTAATGTAAATTACACAACACAACATATTGACCTAAGAATGAAACAATCTATTCTAGCGGTTGACCAAAAGAATTATTCTTCCTATGGAAAGGCAGTGGCCTAAATACCAGAGTCCTCCTGCGTAACACCCTGCGGAACATTAACATTATTATAATGATCCGTCCACCTAGCACACTGCTCCTCATGTGAAGGCAAAATCCCCGAAGCATGAACCATCTGTTTTATTTTATTAGGCTGCTCGATAAATTGCAACGATAAACCGGCACTAGCATGCCATGCGATATGGCAATGCATCAGCCATGCCCCTGGGTTATTGATTTGGAACGCAATCCAGACGTAGCCGCCAATTGGGCAGTTTACTGTATCTCTGCGCGCAGGGTTGTTGAGGTTGGGAACGACGTCGGAGGTGAATTCGCCGTCGCCCTGGGCTAGAATCACAAAGTCGTGGCCGTGTAAGTGAATTGGGTGAACGGAGCGCGGGATGGGGCGAGGAGGATTGTTGATGTTTGGGTCCATGGTGAAGTTTCCTTCGATTACGAAGTAGACCCATTCCCCAGTCTCGTAGTCGAGGTATATGGGTGCTGCTTCTTCGGTTAGGTTGACTTTGTCGTGGGATACGACTTGCATGAGGGAAGGGTCGCGCCAGTCGACGTATTGTGAGCGGTTGGCGAGGACCCATTTACGGATCACGGAGTCTGGGTCGGAGATGTTGGGCCAGCTCTGAAGACCAATTTTGAGGTATTCGGAAGGAGACATGTCGTTTACTTCTTTGCCGACTTGGCGTTTGACGATGGGGCGAAGGTTGGAGGGGTCTGGGTCACGGCAGCCGTAGCCGGGGTGATGGGTGCTGGGAGGAGGGGTGTAGGGGTCGGAATGATCGTTGGCATCATAACGGATTATGCCGATGCGGGTATCCCAGGGGACGGGCATTTCGTCGTCGCAGTGGGTTGCGTGCATCCAGAAGTTTGAGCCGTGTTCGAGGGTTGCGTTGGCTTCGATGATGACATCGTATCGTTGGGCTGTTCTACATTAGCAAAGGCTTTACAGGGTCGGTGTACAGAACACACCAATTCCAAGAATCAAAACATCAGTAACATATGGCTCAATAGGGACAAAGTCATTAGCCACAACCGTGAAGTTGTGTCCATCCATCCAAAATTTGTAGGTGGCAAGACTACCGCTATTGACAAGACGAAGCTTATGTTTCTTGCCAGGCTCAAAGAAAATTTCATGGCGCTCTTCTTTGCCTGTGCAACGACCGTCCTCTTTAGGATCACAGTCAAAGACACCTTTACCGTTCATTAAAGTTCCGGTAGGGATATGAGCATGGTCTGTAATTTCTTCGTGGAACATGCTGAAAGCGTCGGCGTGGTACCAGTCACTTACGAGCAGGGGCTCGAGATCGTGGTCGTAATTCGCGCTGGTGGGACCGTGGATGATCACGGGGCCGTAGGCACCGTTGGTATCTAACATATTCGTTAATAGCCATATTCAACTTAATGGTTGTTGACTTACATTGAAGGGAGTAGTGAGAGTGGTACCATCCAGTTCCGTATTGCATGGCTCTGAATTCGTACACTTGAGAGTCACCAGGCTACATCATTAGTACTCGAAATGGCATTTCAAACGTGGAAGTAGGAACTCACCTTTGCAGGGCACTGAGTAACACCGGGAACACCATCGAGGAAGTTGGTCTGGAACTGACGAATTCCATGCCAGTGGAAAGAAGTACCGTTCAGGTTGGTCAAGTTATTGTGTACAGTGACACCTGCAAATAGTAAGCACGTGTTTAGCGTCAAGACGCTGGGAAAACATACGAATAGTATCACCCCAATTAGCCTCGATAGTAGGACCAGGGAATTGTCCATTGATAATGGTAACATTGGTCAAATATCCATCAGGCGCAATCGTATGTTCGGAGATGGTAAAGTCATACTATTCCCTTGATCGTTAGGGTTGTTTGGCTTTACTTCTGCGGAAGTCAAGGGCAACATACCTCGACAAGCTTTCCCGTGGGAATTTCATACTCATAATCAGTATTAATGTTGAAACCATCTTTCCAACATGAGCGATCCTCAGGCGAATGAGTGCAGCCTTTGGGACCAAGGAAGCTCTGAAGCAATAAGAGGGAGTTGTAAAACAATCCCGTGGCGGAAGTCTCCTGCAAGAATGACCACATATTGTCTGTCTCTTGTCTTCTTGCAAGCGACAAGATGAACTGAACAAGACAAGCTATTGTTGTTGAATGAGAGGCAAAACACAACAGGAATCAAAAAAAAAAAAATAAGTAGAATGGTAAGCAGGTTTCACAAGGATATATTCTCTCCAAAGGTTTATACGTGGGTCCGTTCCAATTTTCACTTGTAGAACAGAAAACGGTCAATACCTTGATCGGCTAGACGGGGAGTTGGAGATTGGACAGTATGTCCCAGAATGGGATAATTCGAGCTTAGTCAATGTGCAGCTATCAGCTACTGCGGCGATGGTCTTACTTCCTACAGTAATTTGCCATATTTCGGACGAAGCTGTACCCGGTCATTCATGCAATATGCACAAGTATTTCAGATTGACAGGAAGGAATTAGGGCTGTTGTTCGCTTAGTTGCATACGGAGTCCGATAAACTTCTAAAAAGAGTTTGGTACGAGCAAACTGTAAATTGTTTACAGAGTTTCATGCTTTCAGCCCCAAATAGAAACACAAATGGTGTAATGTATAATTTATTTCTTTCGAAAGTAAAGCCAATTATTATTGATTAGGTTATAACAGGGTAAAATGGTATACTTGGTATTTTACTAGTGGTGTAGTGTAGTTTTTGGCTAATAAAAGATGTTGGTGTTCCCTGCTAGCCCCAATGGCCGACTCCCGATGCTCTGGATGGTGTACGGCTTTCACACGACAGAGGATTCAGGTCAAAGAAGCTGCGTTTTCGGAAGATGTATGACACTGTCTTGTACCTGAGCAAAGAGCTATGAAGCTCTCGGGTCTCGGGCAGATGCCAGCTCACCAGCCAGTTCATCTCCATGCAGCACTTGCTGTCCTGACTGAGCAATAAAATGGTCAAGACGCCAGCTATAGCGAACGATCTAGAATTGTGATATTCAGTTTGATTATAAGAATAATACACAATCAAAATCAATATGCCCACCGACGTAAACGCCATCATTGCCTTGAGCAAGGAGGTGGCAGAGCTCTCCAAGAAATATGAGAGTGGTGCAGAGGTCTCCAAGAGCGAGCAGAATGCTCTTGTACATGCCGCTGAGAAACTCGCTATTGCCGTGAGGGATCCGGATGAGAATATGTACAACATTGCTGGCCAGGTGAGTGTGTCGGGATTCTATAGGTTGCAGCCCAATGGATAGTGTTTAATGAGATGATAGGTTTCGCACAATGCTGCTGTTCGCAGTGCTATTGCCATGAACTTGTTTGATTTTATTCCTCATGATGGAAGCGATATTACCCTCGATGAGCTTTCTAAGAAACTTGGCGGTGCCAACAAGGAGCTTTTGGGTGTGTATACACAAACTCGACAAATTACTACAAAGTAAACTAACAAAAAGACAGGCCGTATCCTCCGTGCCTGCGCCAGCACTCACCTCTTCGAACAAACCGGCGTCGAATCTTACAAACAAAATATGCTCTCCCGCGCCTACCTCACAGATGACAACATCCCCCTCGCGGCTCAAATGTACGATTTCATCAGCCACGCCATCCTTGCCATCCCGGAGTTCGGTTCCCAGACCGACTGGAAACACATTGGCGACTACACGCGTGGTCCCTTCCAGGTCGGATTCCGCACCGAGCTGGGATATATGGAGTATCTGCAGGCCAATCCTCAGCGTATCAAGTCCTGGAACGCTGGTATGCGTCTGGGACGGATCGGGCATCGCACCAGTGCATTCCCCTTCCAGAAAGCGTTAGAACTTGATCCTCCAGCGGCTGAGGGTGGGATTGCTGTTGTTGATGTTGGTGGTGGTCGTGGTCAGGCTTTGGAGGGTATTCGCCAAGATTACCCAGATATCAAGGGACGCATGATTTTGCTTGATTTGCCTGGTGTCATTACCGATGCGAAGAACAATGGATTGCCTCGATATATTGAGACTGCGCCTGGATCATTTTTTGATCCTCTCCCACAAGGTGAATCTATCTACTATACTACTAGCCTTGCGTTAGGCATTGACTAATGGTGATAATAGGAGCACGCCTATACCACTTCCGTCGTGTCCTCCACATCTGGGGCCAGCAAAAGGGCAAAGAGCTCCTCGAGAACACCAAGAAGTATATGGACGACTACTCGCGTATCGTCATTGCAGACATGGTTCTCGCAGACGTCGGCTGCCTGCGCGATCTGGCCATGCAGGACCTCAACATGATGAGCCTCGGGGGCATGGAACGATCCGAGTCCGAGTGGAAGGAGTTGATTGCGTCGGCTGGCCTGGTGCTCAACAAGATCTGGTACAACCACGATGGACCCAAGCATGCAGTTGTTGAAGCTGTGTTGCCTACATACAAGGGCCACAAGCTCGACTAGACTTTCTTCTTTTCTTCTGATGTTACCATGTGACTAGACTATTTTGTTCTCTCCTGCTTATGGCATCAATTCTGCATATTTCCAGCAATTTCCACGCCCTATGGCGTGTTAATTATTAATACTTGTAATTGTGATAGAGCACAGAGTAGCAACATGTTGTCATAAACAAGTAATGTCGGCAGACTCACGCATACTGCTGCACAACAGACCCCACCAGAACAATAAAAGCGAACTAATCCTCTTTCGGACTATAGTCTCCTATTGGCCGAACAATTAAAGTTATGGGGCTTGAGTCGTGGTGGAGTGGAGACCAACAAGCGTCAGAGTGGAGCTCTCTGCGATCGGTTTAGCGCTGATTGGCCTTTTCTTACACTGTCTGCAAGCGGTTAGTGTCGGCTTTGTTAGCGAGAAAGACCTTGACATGGACAACTTACAAGTCTAAGCAGGATATATCGAATAGCTTTTTCAGATAGGTGTGGTAAGACTACCAGAATGAATATGTATACTGTCAACTCTGAATACAACACGTCGACTTCACAGTCAATCAAGGCAACTGTGGAATGGCATGTAAACAAATGGCCCCTGTTGTATGCCCGACATGCGTATCGGGATCCGTCTGACTTAGCCTGGGTACGGACCAAACAGACTAGTCTAGCCTTACCAGGGGCCCTTATGCCATCTCTCCCCCACTTAGTGGATTGGTCATTGCACCTGCACGGAAACACGACACCTGCCCATCTTCTTGATTTCCCATTGCCCATTTCCCTTGAAAAAAACAAAAGAGAATTTTGTATAAGGAGCTGCATTGTACCTTCTCACTTGTACCACTAACCACCGCCTAGAGACAGTCGGACAGCTATTCCTCCGACGCTTGCTTAGAAATCCGAAGCTCTCTTAGTGCCGTCGATCTCAACCAATAGCCGACCTGACTGAGCCATGGCCTCACAAGAAGCTCTATTAAAACTCGACGCTTCCCAGCTTCCACTCCTGGGATCTCTGCTTTCTGTCTGCATTGCTCTCTACTTCATTAAATCTCGAATGTCTTCTTCAGACTCCACCGCCAACATGCCTTCTCCTAAGCGCACTGTTCTCATCACCGGCTGCTCTGATGGCGGCATGGGTGCTGCACTGGCTCTTGCCTTCCACAAGGCTGGCTTCAACGTTATCGCCACTGCCCGCAACCCTGACAAGATGGCCGATTTGAAGTCAGCTGGTGTCGGGACTATGGCCCTTGACATTTTGTCTGATGCTTCGATTGCAGAAGCTGTCTCCAAGGTCTCCAGCTTGGATATCCTCGTCAACAACGCCGGTACCTCTTACAGCATGCCCATCACAGATATGTCCTTTGAGGAGGGCAAAAATCTCTTCGAGATTAATGTCTGGGCTCAACTCAACGTCACCCGCGCATTCTTGCCTCTTCTCCTTAAATCCAAGGGCATCATCGTCAACCAGACCTCGGTCGTCTCCACCATGGCCGTGCCCTTCCAATCTGCCTACAACGCCTCCAAAGCCGCCATGGCTATCTTCTCTGACTCTCTGCGTCTCGAGCTCGAACCCTTTGGTGTCACCGTTGTCGAGCTCAAGACCGGTGCCGTCAAGACCAACATGATCAAGAACCAAAAAGAGAACACCCCAATCTCTCTACCCGCCGACTCCATCTACAATCCTGCTAAGGAAGCTGTTGAGAGCGCTATGCGAAACGAGAAGATGGGTGATTTGGGTACCCCTCCTGACCGCTGGGCCGCTGAGGTTGTGGGCGACTTGACCAAGAAGAAGATCCCGGCTATGATCTGGCGCGGATACAATGCCAAGGCTGGTCGACTTGGAACGATTTTCCCTCATGGAATGATGGATTCAACCCTCAAGAAAATGACTGGTTTGGATGTTCTCGAGCAGAAGATTAAGAAATAGGGGATAAATCGAGTCTGTTATGCGTCTGTCTAGTAGTTAGGTTTAGGTCTTTATTTTGATACCACTTAATGAGCAATTATTTAGATTGAGTACTCGCGAACTTGCAAACTATTAAAAAGCACTCGCTACATCTATCAAAATTTGAGTGCTGAGTATTTACCATGAAGCTTGATAGCTATCAGCCCAGCGTTTGCGCCGGCTAACAACAACTTTTTTTCTTCACAAAAAGAAAAATGCAAAAAAAAAAAGCAGACCGCTCAGTTGACCGACGCCTGCGTCACGCATAATCGTGCTTACAAATTACTCAAGCTAAATACTTGACCTAAGTAATTATGACATTTAGTACGTCGTGAGAAAAGAATCGGACTCCGTGCCTCGGTCTTCTCAATGCGCCAGAGCTAATGGAGTGGAGTGCAGATTGTGTCGCAGCGGGGCCGACACTACCACATCAAACACGAACAGTCAACCACTAACAGTCAACCACTCAGCACTATCATATGCACAAGGTGTGATTCTCGCTGCTGGGATAGTGTAATAGGGGTCTAGCATTATCGGTGATGTTGCGATGAGGGGTAGGAAGTCAATTGAGTAGGGAGCATAGAGCTTCTAGGCTAGGTAGCTAGTGTATAAATAAATAATATACTTATTATACGGAGCTTCCTGAATATTCCAACACGTCTTCAAAATTCTTTCCATTGGACTTCTACTCAATTAAGACAGTTCATCTATAATTTTCTTGTCTCAAGTTCGTTTATATCGCAAATACCGTCAAAATGGCTATGATCCCACCCACCCCTCCAAAGTCTGTCCTCGGCAGACACCGTATTCTTGCACCTACAGCCTCTGTGCGCGTCAGCCCATTATGCCTGGGAGGAATGAGTAAGTTCGGATCTCCACATCCTCACATTCAGAATCTAAACAGATATAACAGGCTTCGGCACAAATTGGGCCATGGGTCTCGGCGAATGCACCAAAGAAATGACCTACGACCTACTCGACACTTTCTACGACCTTGGTGGAAACTTTGTCGACACAGCCAACGCCTACCAGGGCGGCCAGAGTGAGGAGTGGATTGGTGACTGGATGGCGGAACGTGGCCGTAGGAATGAAATGGTTATTGCGACCAAGTACACCATGACACCCATGGCTGGCAAGCCTGTGAACCAGAGTAATTATGGTGGTACTGGAAGTAAGACTATGCACATTTCTATCGAGGCTAGTCTCAAGGCTTTGAAGACGGATTACATTGATATCGTAAGTGTCACTCTTGGTGTTTAAGTGGAATGCAACATGACTGACCGAGACGAAGTACTACGTCCATGCCTGGGACTACGCAACCTCCATCTCCGAACTCATGCAATCCCTCAACACCCTCGTCCTGCAGGGCAAAGTCCTCTACCTCGGCATCTCCGACGCACCCGCTTGGTTCGTCACCAAAGCCAACGCCTATGCCCGCCACCACGGCCTGCGCACTTTCAGCGTCTACCAGGGTCGCTACTCCGCTCAACAGCGCGACATGGAACGCGAAATTATCCCCATGGCCCGCGAAGAAGGAATGGCCATTCAGGCCTTTGGTGTCCTCGGCGGTGGCGGTTTCAAAGCTCCTGGCGCCGAGGGTACCGGTGCCCGCCGCATGCCGCCTGCCATGTTGATCGGACGCGAGCAACAAGTCTCCAAAGTGCTACACAACGTCGCTCAGCGCCACAATGTACCTCTCACCAGCGTCGCGTTGGCGTACGCCATGCAAAAGACGCCTTACTTTTATCCCATCATCGGCGGACGCAAAACCGAGCATCTCAAGGCCAACATCGAGGCTTTGACGCTGAGGCTGACGCCCGAGGACGTTGCTGAAATTGAAACTGGATATGAATTCGATGTTGGATTCCCGCACAATTTCATCAATATGGCGCGTCATATGATTGAGGGCCCGCAGCATGTTACTATTATGCATGATTTGGGTTATTTTGATTATGTGGCGCCGCCTGCTGCTATCAAGCCGCATCAGGGAGAGATTACTGCTCCTTGGCAGGCGCCTCAATAGACTGATCCCAGGATTAAAGTGAGTATGACCTATGAGACGGACTGTGATTGGAAGTCGTGTGTATTTAGATCTGGAATGTGAATGAAAGAGTCTCCTTTGTTTGATTAAATTTCATTTTGTGAGCTATCTATAGTTGATTAAAGGTAGATTTTGAAAGGGTTCGATCTGAAGTAAGTTCTATACGTTATAAAGGAATGAATTAGATGAGAGATTTTGAAGTTTCATCACACTTGATACAAACTTGCTGTCATGTTATACCAAAGTCGGCTTCAAATCTTAGCATAGGTGACAACTATCTAGCACGTGTCAAGTTTATATGAATGAGACTCCCCATATAATCGACTTTTTTCTCGGCTTCTAGCTATCTACCCATCCCTGAGCTTGTGATTTATCATCAATCAGCAATCAGCAATCCTTCAGAATAGTCTGTTATATACATTTATCGGTTTACGTAAGTTCTTCGGACAAGTCTGTTGCAACAAGCCCTAGTCCCTGGAAAGAAAACAATGCACTCTGCGACCTAATCTCGGCCATCAGATAAATACACTAAATCAACCGTATCGGGTCATTGACAGCTAAGGCGCCCTCATGCTCCCTACTTTAGACGTATACAAACGTCGGAATTTCAGAGTCGTAATTAATTTTACTGTTTCGAGTATAGTCCCATACATACGTGGGCCTTAATACATATGGAAGAGCTGAGACCTTTCGGAACGGAGTAGCCCCCTTAGTGTCGGCCATAGACCCAACCTAACTAACTTACAGGCCCGAACATACTATTCCCATACAATAGACTAATATCTGGCAGATCATTAGCTTGTTACACTTTTGCCACGATCCCTATGTCAAGGGTAGATCGTTGCGCTTTTCCTGTTTCTGGGTTCATTCTATTCATTCCGATTCCGAGGTTTGAGCTAGGTGGTCGGCTAAGTTACAGTAGTAGCCTTTTCTAGCCACTAGGCTCAGGGACAGAGGGTCCGCCGGTCATGTAGGGACTCTAATCCCATTGTAGTCTTTTCGCTTTCGGTTATCAACGACTGCTGCAATGCCTACGAGACTTACGTAAACTACGGATAGCGTTTGGGGAAGTTACGGGGATGTATATGGACGTAAAGGGGATTGGGTTTATACAATATCCATAGAAGCACTCGAGGTAGTATTCTGTGTGGATTCACCTCCACGTGCGGAGATTGAAGTCAGACTACGGACGATCGAGCAGTATGATAGACGGGCATGCCTAGAGTTTTCGAGACGTTTTCTAGAAGGAGACGGGCCTATAGGTCACATGTATTAAGGCCTGTCCATATATTTTGACTTTGAGCTTTGCTATACGGGATAAGCGAACCTAAAGGCATAGGTATCTTTCCATGACTCGGAGTCAGCCAGTAGTCGACAAGGCTTGTATTAACTACATTAAGCATAACTTCACAGCATTGATAGTACGTAAAAATGCACGGGTGCTCCTTCTCGATTAAGTAAACACAGCCATGTCCGAAGTGAAAGAAGAGGGCTTGGGGTCTAAATGTCAAATAGATTGGAGAATATGTTTAATATTCGATAGGTTGACATAGGCACGGGGGCGCACTCAAGATTTCAGGTTGGATGCAAGAAAATCTTGATAGTGACTAGGATACGAACTGATTCTAAGCTCCTATGAACGGCAGAACAGATGTTAGAAAGATCCTCATGATTTCAACCATCTTCATATAGTGATAGGCCTGGATTTACAGGCATGCAATGTGACCATACAAATCTGTAATTCTTCACGTATGCCTATCTCAGGTAGCAGACGACCGTATTCATATGGTCAGCAGGATTCGTCATGAAATTAACTCATTCTAGAAACGAAGTCAACCGGACATCCGATTTGCGGACAATGACAGATCAACGAAGGAGCAGAGCTTGATCCTATGTTTTAGCCTTGCAGCTCATACGATTGTCCGCCTAGTTAGAAACATAGCATGCGTAGACCCATGTCTCCAATACTTCGCGGTCTCTGATTTGAGGGTAGCGTCGTATAGAGTGGTCGTCCGACCTCGCCCTTTAGATGAGGTAAGTGTGCGAACTCCGCCCTGCGTTTTGAGATACTTGCTCTATCTCATCGAGTTCCCCGATAGTCTGAAAGTCGCTGTCCGATTACAGTTTTGCAGGGCTTAGAATCTGCTTACTAGCTTATGAAAAATACTGGCCTAGATCATACAGCTGAAACCTACCTATCTAGGCTGCCAGCCTAACCCTAGTCTCTTTGAGTCTCGATTATACATATAGATCGAGTTATATAAAACAGAGATCTGTGCAGATCTGCTCATTTCCATTACTACTTGACTTTCTTTTCTTATTCTTCCGATTGACAAACAACAGTCTGTAGATTGTTAAACAGCTGGTAGCTTTGGGCGTGTGGCTGGCTATATGTACAATCGCTCGGGTCATTAGACAAACGCTCTTTTACCTCCTCCTTCAAAGTTTCAACACTATTTTGAAGCATATAACCTACACATCGACATCAATGGCCATACTCACCCCCAGTCGATCCGACAATGAATCGGAATCCACAAGCATGCGCTTAATCTACTTCAGCAATGAATTTCCGCGTGATGACCTGCACACCCTCTTTCGCGAAATTCAGACCCATAGCAAGGACAGGAGGCATCCCATCCTCGCCCGCTTCTTGGAAGAGGCTACCCTCGCTATTCGCGAGGAAGTTAAACTTCTTCCCAATACTTTGAGGAAATTGATTCCTCCTTTTGAGTCTATCTTGAACTTCGCGGATTTTGCGGATCTTCGTAAGGGTCAACTATGTGGCTCGATTGATGGGATTATTCTTTGTGCTGTCGAATTGTCCATTCTTATTGGGTAAGCACTTGCTACAAGATATGCTGAAGATATGTTGCTAACCACAACTACATGTAGATACTACGAGCGTAACCCAAGTGAATTTAACTTTGATACCGTCAGCACTACCCTCGCTGGTCTTGGAATTGGCCTTCTGGCTACCGCGGCCGTTTCGCTTGCTCCTACAGTTGGCGATCTCCCTATTGCCGGAGCTCAGGTTGTCCGTCAGGCTTTCCGCCTCGGTATTCTTGTCGATGAGGTCTCTCAAAATTTGCAGCCTCGCGACTTGACTGACGAGAGCACTCCTGACACCTGGGCTTATGTTCTCCCAGATGTCAAAGCAGAAGAAGTTCAAGCAGAACTTGACGTCATTCACAAACATGAGGTTGGTGGTTTTGACGAATTCAATAATCGCAATGTCTAACTTGTAACAGAAAACTCCAGGACCTAGCAAGATCTTCATCAGTGCTCTCAGCACTACATCAGTCACCATTAGTGGCCCCCCTGCCAGACTCAAGGGTCTTTTCCGCACAGCAGATTTCTTCCGTGACCGCAAGTTTGTCCAGCTCCCTGTTTACGGTGGATTATGTCATGCAGGCCATATATACAGCCAGAAGGATGTCAAGTCTGTCGTTCACACCCCTTCCATGGCTTCTCTTGACGCCAAGTTCCGCCCTCGCCTTCCCGTACACTCCACGAGCACCGGCAAGCCTTTCCCTGCTAGCAGCGCCATCGAACTTTTCGAGAACATCATCAATGAAATTTTGACACAGGCTATTCGGTGGGATTCCGTAGTACAGGCGGTCGTTCAACGTGCCGACTTCATTGCCGCTTCTCGGTGCCATGTCCTCGTCTTCCGCACATCCCTCCCTATTCACGACCTCACTGGTGCTCTTTCAAAGATTAGTGACTTTGACGTCAACACTGAGGAGCTTGTTCCATGGGTATATGAGAAGACTGAGTCCGTTGATGGTGGCTCTCGTGGCCCCATGCAATCCAAGATTGCGATCGTCGGTATGTCATGCAGAATGCCCAATGGCGCCACCGACACCGAGAAGTTCTGGGAACTCCTCGAGAACGGCATCGACTGCCACAGGAAAATTCCTGCCGACCGGTTCGACGTCGAGACTCACTATGACCCTACTGGTAAGCGTGTCAATACGAGTATGACCCCCTATGGTTGCTTCATTGATGAACCTGGTCTCTTCGATGCGCCTTTCTTCAATATGTCTCCCCGTGAGGCTCAGCAAACTGATCCTATGCAGCGACTTGCTCTTGTTACTGCGTACGAAGCGCTTGAGAGAGCTGGTTACGTTGCTAACCGTACCGCTGCCACTGACTTGCATCGCATTGGTACTTTCTACGGCCAGGCTAGTGATGACTACCGTGAGGTGAACACCGCGCAGGAGATTAGCACATACTTCATTCCTGGAGGCTGTCGTGCTTTTGGCCCAGGTCGTATCAATTACTTTTTTAAATTCTCTGGTCCTTCCTACAGCATTGATACTGCCTGCTCTTCGAGCTTAGCCACTATTCAGGTGAGCCCTTTTCCCTCATATCTATATCCTTCATACTAATAATGGTGCAGACTGCTTGTGCAGCTCTTTGGAACGGAGACGTTGATACTGCCGTCGCTGGTGGTATGAATGTTTTAACCAACTCTGATGCTTTCGCAGGTTTGAGTAACGGTCATTTCTTGTCTAAGACTCCTAACGCTTGCAAGACTTGGGATATTGAGGCTGACGGTTACTGTCGTGCTGATGCTATGGGATCCGTAGTCATGAAGCGTCTCGAAGATGCTGAAGCCGACAACGACAATATTCTTGGTGTCATTCTCTCTGCCGCAACCAACCACTCTGCCGAGGCCATCTCCATCACCCACCCCCACGCTGGTCACCAGACTTACTTAGGCCGTCTCTGCGCAAGCAGAGCTGGAATCGACCCATTGGACGTGAGTTTCGTTGAAATGCATGGTACTGGTACTCAAGCCGGTGACTTTGAGGAGATCCAATCCGTTACCAACGTCTATGCTCCGATTACTAAGCGGAGGAGCCAGAAGAATCCTCTCTATATTGGTGCTGTCAAGTCAAACGTTGGCCATAGTGAGGCCGCTGCTGGTGTTACCGCCTTGATGAAGGTTCTTCTTATGCTCGAGAAGGGAGCTATCCCCCCTCACATTGGCATCAAGAACAGCCCTAACCCTAAATTTCCCAAAGATATGGACAAGCGCAATGTCCGCATCGCCTTCGAGAAGACTGAGTGGGCACGGAGCCCTGACCGCAGGCGTATTGCTGCAGTCAACAATTTTAGTGCTGCGGGTGGTAATACTACTATACTCATCGAGGAAGGCCCTCTCCGACCAACCGCAGCGACTGATCCTCGCTCTTCTCATGTCATCACTTTGTCTGCTAAGAGCAAGATCTCCCTCAAGGCCAACATTGAGCGCCTCATTGGGTACCTCGAGAAGAATCCTGATGTCTCATTGTCCGACGTCGGGTATACTACTACTGCTCGTCGCTACCACCACAGCTACCGTATTGCCGTCTCCGCTAACGACATCAACCACGCTAAGAAGCAGCTTACTTCCTCCTTGAAGCATGTTGACAACGCTAAGGCTACAAAAAACGCTGGTCCACCCCCTGTCGCCTTTGCATTCACTGGCCAAGGTGCTTCCTTCAAGTCATACAACTTGGAGCTTTTCCACACCTCACCCTACTTCCGTTCACAGATCTTGCACCTTGACTCTCTTGCTCAAGGTCAGGGTTTCCCTAGCTTTATTCCTGTCCTCGACGGCAGTTACGAAAAAGATCACCAGCATTCTCCTGTTCCTACTCAGCTCGCTTTGGTCTGTACAGAGATTGCTGTCGCGAAATACTGGGCTACTCTGGGTGTCAAGCCTGGTGTTGTTGTTGGTCACAGCTTGGGTGAGTACGCCGCTTTGCACATTGCGGGAGTTCTCTCTGCAAGTGACACTATCTTCCTTGTTGGTCAACGTGCTAGTATGCTGGAGCAGAGGTGCAAGGTCGGAAGCCACAAGATGGTTGCTGTTAAAGGATCGCTCGACAAGATTGCCCAGGGTGCCAATGGTAAGCCTTACGAGATTGCCTGCATCAACGGACCTGAGGAGACCGTTCTGAGTGGTCCCAGCTCTGACATGGATGCTATTGTCACTGAGCTCGAGTCTGCGGGGTGCAAGTGCGTTAGTCTTGAGGTTGCTTTCGCTTTCCATTCTGCTCAAACCGACCCCATCCTTGAAGACTTTGAGGCTTCTGCCACCGAGGGTGTCCTTTTCCAGGCTCCTTACCTCCCGGTGGTCTCGCCTCTGTTGAGCAAAGTCATTTTCGACGATAAGACCATCAATGCGAATTATGTCCGTCGTGCTACTCGTGAAGCTGTCAACTTCAAGGGTGCCATGGAGGTCGCTCACAAGATTGGAATCGTTGACGACGAGACTGCTTGGATTGAAATTGGACCCCATCCAGTATGTATGAGCTTCGTGAAGGCCAGCCTCTCGACCGTCAACGTCGCTGTCGCTTCTCTTCGCCGAGGCGAGAACAACTGGGCCACATTGGCACAAAGTTTGGCTACCTTGCACGTCGCAGGAACTGAGATTGACTGGAACGAGTTCCACCGGCCATTCGAGAGTGCATTAAGATTGGTCGATCTTCCTACATATGCTTGGAACGACAAGACCTACTGGATCCAATACAATGGTGACTGGGCTCTTACCAAAGGTAACACTTTCTACGATGCAGAAAAAGGTGTCTCTGGTATTACTAGTGTCCGTCCCAAGGCTGCTCCTGCTCTTCCTAAGTCTGCTATCAGCACTTCTTCTGTTCAGCAGATTATTGAGGAGAACTTCAATGGCACATCTGGTGCCGTGACTATGGAATCTGATCTCTCTCAGACCGAGCTTCGTGCCGCAGCGTACGGCCATAAGATGAATAACTGTGGTGTTGTTACTTCGGTAAGTCTGCTTTCCCCTCTTTTTCATTGTTTCTACTAATAGTATTGTAGTCTATTCACGCCGACATTGCCTACACACTCGGTGAATACTTCTATAAGAAGCTCAAACCTAAGACCAAAGAAGTCCACATCAACATTGCCGATCTCCAGGTTGTCAAGGGTTTAGTTGCAAATCAGAAGGATACACCACAGCCTATCCGTGTCACGATCTCAACTTCAGACATCAACTCCAACCATGCCGACTTGATCTGGTACAATGTTAACGAAGATATTCAGTTCGCGACCGCCAACCTATACTTTGATGATCCATCCCAGTGGCTCTCTTCCTGGGTCCCCTTCAAGCACCTTGTTCAAGGTCGCATTGAAGATCTTGAGCGTATGGCAGAAGCTGGTATTGCTAACCGCTTCACCAATAGCATGGCATACCTTCTTTTCGGTGCCAATCTCGTCGAATATGCACCCAAATACCGTGGCATGCAATCCGTTGTTATGCATGGCTTGGAAGCCTTCGCTGATGTCGAGCTTACCAAGGAGAAGAGTGGTACCTGGACGGTGCCACCTTACTTCATAGACAGTGTCGCTCATTTAGCTGGCTTCATTATGAATGTATCTGACGCTATGAATGCTAAGACTCACTACTGTGTCACCCCTGGCTGGAAGTCCATGCGTTTCGCTAAACCTCTTGTTGCTGGTGCCAAGTACCGTTCATACGTCAAGATGATTCCTACCGTTGAGGATCCGAATGCCTATTATGGAGACGTGTACATCCTACAGGATGGCGTTGTCATGGGTATGGTCGGTGGTATTGAATTCCATCAATATCCTCGCATCTTGCTCAGCCGTTTCTTCTCTGCTCCGGATGACTCCAAGGCTCCTCCCGTTGCTGTTGCAGGAGCACAATCTAAGCCCGTTGCTGCAGCTTCTGCTTCAGTGGTCAAGCCCGTCTCTGCACCGGCTCCTAAGCCAGTTCCAGTTGCTGCTCCAGCTCCTGTGTCTACTTCTAAGCCTGCCCTTGCGCCCGCTCCTGCCCCTGCAGCTGAGACCGCTGTTGGTGCTGTTAGCACTGACTCTACTGCTGGCAAAGCCCTTCAAATTATTGCCGATGAGGCTGCTCTAGACCTCCAAGACCTCGATGACGAGGCTAGTGTCGCTGGCTTGGGCATCGATTCTCTCATGAGCCTGGTCATCGCAGAGAAATTCCGTGAGGAGCTTGGCATTACTGTCTCTGGCAGTTTGTTCTTGGAGTTCCCCACCATCAAGGACTTGCGTGTCTGGTTAGAAGAGTACTATAACTAGATTTTCAAACATAGATTGTTTTGATTTTGCTTCTTTCCTTTTTTGTCCTGAAAATTATCTTTGTAGCATTTCATGTATCTTTTTATGTTTTTTTTTGGGAAGGTCTGTTCTGTTTTCAATGACATTTTTACTTTACTTGTAGCTAGTAAAGACATGCCGTTTTGGAGATTCATTTCTTTAATATTTCAAGTCACGTCGAATCCTCGGGTTGACTTTACGGCTTGTAACAAATGACAGCTACCAAGACTAGAGATTCTAGATACGTCACCTAAGTAGCTTGTTGAAGTAGGTACTAGAAATATTCAATCTTTACAGCTTTTGCTGTATGTTGCCCCGATTCTCAAATTTACAATCAAAATGCCAAAGCTTATAGTTTCGAAAGGCGTATGAAAGGCCTAGCGCACTATATGGTTAATTTACAAACTTCAGCCATTGAATATCTATATGCTGGCTGAGTTTCACGGCTTATAGGACGACATTGAACGTTCGGGCGTTCGGCTGCGGTGAATGGCCCCTATCGGACACGGGGTTTAGGTCAGTAATATTTTCATAACACCGCCATGCTCTGCAATATCTATACTTTGAATTCTCCCTTCCTTATTTTACATATTCGCAAGCAAACCTCACCGTCCCCCTACGTCAATTTACGCTATTCTAATCATTCCACATCCTATTTGTGAAAATGAGTAACTCTCCAGCTATTCCACCTCGGCCATCTGGCGACCCTCACAAGCAATTCCTATGCCTCACTATCTGCGGTTACAAAAAGAATGGCATGAGTGAGGAAGATTATAGACACCATATGCAACAAGTCTCGGCGCCAATGACCAAAGATCTCATGGTGAAATACGGAGTGAAAAGATGGACTCAAGTATGTTAATACTCCAAAACATCTACGCTTTTTACAGTCACTAATTAGACTCTAAGATTCACAACCAGCAAGAAACACGAGCCCTTATGAACCGGCTTTTTGATCACCAGATGGCCAATTTGGCTGACTTCGACTGCTTCAGTCAGGTTGTCTTCAAGGATGTGGACGATTACAAACGCATGAAGGATGACCCATGGTACAAGCAACATCTGGTTGGTGACCATGAGAAATTTGCAGATACAAAGAGGAGTGCGATGACTATCGGGTGGATTACGGAGTTTATTCGGGATGGCGAGGTTGTTGACTGCATGAAGGACTATTCACCTGCACCGAGCCTTCTCACCACGTTGGTGCGCACAACTCAAACGGTCGCTCCCATTGCGATGGTCTTGTACGGGATTTATCGATATGTTTCCAAGTCGCCATAAGCCTGTTCTTCTCCAGCAATTCTGTATAGCACGAGAGGAAAATATAAACTTCTGAAGACCACTGAATAGTAACTATTCAAAATACCATTGGTTCAACTAGTTATTGAAAGTCATGTGTGCTAGGTAATGGGCTTTGATACGTGAAACATGAGTAATTGAGCCATAGTTAATGATAGCACTTCAATACCTGCCAGACTTTGTAAACTCCATATCATATAACATCAGCGTCCATTATTTTCAAGCATATATTTAAACTTTAAAACTACTTGTGTACAGCAGAAGTCATCCAGCGGTTAAGCAAGCATGAATCGGAAGAATCAAACTAACTTGGCGAGACATTCTTTAATTGTCGGGATTCGGAATATGTAGATCCCAGTTGAATTCTGCATATAAGCATAAGAACCATGTTACAAGCGTTTCCTTACTTCTGAAAACAGTACAATACCATCACGTCTTTAAACATTCTCAAAGTTCTCAGAGACCAACTCGATAATTGAAAACTACCTTCTACATCATGTCCTCGACAGGTCTTCAAGCGACCGCGGTAGTGACCGGGTCCTTCCTCTCAGGTACATTGAATCTAAAATTCCGATGCCTAAAGAAAGTTTCCTGACGCTCTGTAGGGGCCATGATGTCTCTGTCTCTTTTCGCCGTTCCCGTTCTCCTTGACACCACAACTGAATCCCCCCAGCTATTCTTCCAATGGGTCCGGATGTATCACTATGGACACATGGCTTTACCTACCATGGCTGTAGGAACTTTCTTGCTATACAGCTACACAGCCCTCAAAAAGAGAAGCGCAAAACAATCGTGGCGACGTTGGTTGATCGCGGGTGTTACCACCTTGACCATGGTACCGTTTACCTGGCTTGTCATGGTCCCTACCAATAATGAGCTTTTCCGCTTGCAGAAAGTGAGCCTAGTGGAGCCTACTGTTATGACCATCACCGAATCCAAGGAGCTGGTGATTAAGTGGAGCTGGATGCATCTGACTAGGTCTTTCATGCCTTTGGCTGGAGCTGTGATGGGAGCTATGTGGACCCTCACCAAGTAGGGGCAGCAAAGGGAAGGCTGACACTTAGCTGCGCCTTTGGACTCATTTTGGAGTTGTTTGTATTACAAGCTCGATATTCGCTTCTACCTGCGTACATTCGGCAGTCAAGTACATTCACATAGTTAGAAAATAGGTCGGAATTAAAGATCGCTTGTCATGCCACTAGGATTCAGGGTTAATGCTCCACTGTGGATTGTGGATGCTTCGGCAGGGGCCGTAATTTTAGTGTGATTTTTTCTCCGAGCTCCGATCCCCATTCCCCGACCGCTAATTCCGAATTGCCTAACTAGGTGAATTAGCTCCCCGATGCCCCAGAATGTATGTATTCGAATATCGATTCTCAGATTGTGATAAGAGCCATATTACACTAGCAAGCCCTCCGTAATCCGGATTGCTTTCGACGTTTGATCCAGAGCCGAACTAGTAAAATAAGCAAAATTGTAGACTGATCCTTAGCTGAATGCATGACACGTTTTATATGTTCGATTGATTGTCGATAAGTATATTCTTGGAAATCAGATAAAATTGACAATCAATGTTCAACAAGTGGCTTCCATTGGATCTCTGTATGCCATCATGATGTGGTCAATTCTATCTTTAATCCTAGTGGTGCTCGCATCACCGCTCCGTAACCTGTTGTTGTCTCTGTTGACCGGGCAGAGAATACAGGAGAAAGAAAAACCGCGTGCGGACGACCATCTTTCGGAAGTCAATGGTGGTGTGTGGGAACAATCATCTGTCTTCACACACATCGAGCAGGGCTTGAAGAAAAACCCAGATGGAACGGCAGTAATCTCAACGTTTCAAACCGCAGACGCTCTTCCTTACTTGGTATCTGGAGAGAGTATGACCATTGCAACTCCTGTCATTCAAAAGCCTTCTACACCAAAGTCGAGTGTCTCTCCTTTCCAAAATGGGGCATTCTCTCCCCTTCAATTTGGAGCATTCACACAAGCGGTGGGAATTGAGGAAAAGAAAAGCGAAGATCCAGAGCCTTTCGTTCAGGAAAAGCCCAAGGCAAAGGTTGCTTTAGGATGCTTGAAAATCACGTATAAGCAGCTGCATCTTACCGCTTTGAAGCTTGCCGCAGGAATGATGGCCAATGGAATTAAGCCAGATACCACGATGCTCATGATCATTCCTAATGGAGGAGAATACACTCTCCTTCTGTGGGCTTGCATTTTGCTTCGCATTACTTATGTCAGTCTTGACCCTGGAATGCTCGATATTTCCGGCTTCACCTCTCTTAAGGCTACAATCCAAATCCTCAAGCCGCAGATTGTCGTTACCCCTGACGCAATTACCGGTAAATCTGTCGACGTCGCAATCTCGGAACTACTACTACCAAAGCCACTAACACTCTGTCTCTCCTCCTCACGGACCAGTAACTGGAAGCCACTTGCAGACTTGGTGCATGAGGCGTTAAAATGTCCTATTGACGAGGACGCCCTTGTGGCAGCCGCACGTAACGACAATCCCAAACGTATTCACTCCATCATGTTCACATCCGGAACATCCGGTATTCCCAAAGGTTGTCCAATGCGCATTTCGAACATGTCGCACATGCTTCATTCACAGTCATGGCTCGTCGACGCTGAAACAGGTACATTTGCTCTCCAACAGCCTCACAACTCACGTGGGATCGCTCCCGCACAGACCATGCAGACATGGAAAGCTGGAGGCGCGGTTGTTATGACAGGACAGGAATTTAATGTCAAGGATGCTCTCGATGCTATTACCAAATTACATGTCACTTTCCTTGTCTTGACTCCACCGATGGTTCACGAAATGGCCGTGGCACTCGCCACGAACCCCATCGATATCAGTTCCGTCCAAAGAATTCAAGTCGGAGGAGATGCCATCACTAAAGGATTACTACTCAAGACTGCTTCAATTTTCCCCAAGGCTCAGGTATGCGTTAACCATGGAATGACTGAGGGCGGTGGTTCCTTCATGTGGCCATTCTTTGACACTCCAATTTCCAGCATTCCATTCTTTGGTGAGATCTGCCCCATCGGTGTTGTCGCACCAGGAACTACAATTCGCGTATGGGATACGGATAAGAATAGCGTTGTGAAGAAAGGCCAATTAGGAGAGCTACATGTTACAAGCGGAAGTCTTATCAAACACTATTTCGGAGGCAAATCCGAATCATCGTTCTACGATGATCACGGTATACGTTGGTTCAATACTGGAGATGTGGCAATGGTGAACGAGGACGGCTTAGTGTCCATTCTGGGCCGACGGAAAGATATGATCAAGCGTGGTGGTGTTGGTATCATGCCTGCGGCACTTGAGAGCTCCATTGCGGCTTTCACTGGATCACAGGTAAATGCTTTAAAATTGTTCATCAATTGTCAAGACTATTCAGATCTCTAACCTCTATCTTTAGACAATCGTGGTTCCCATCACGCACCCGGTTGTGGGTCACGAGCCTTTCGCAGTTCTCGGTTCATACAACGGCAAGACTCAGGCGCAAATTAAAGAGCACGTTCGTAGTATCTTCGGGAAAGATTATGCGCTTGGCGGACTTGCCTCGTTGAAAGAACTTGGACTTTTAGAATTTCCAGTCAATCAAACGCATAAGATTGTGAAGTCAAAGGTTCAAGAGGATGTGGAAAGGCATCTCAGCACATTGTCAGCAATGAAGGCTTGAACGAAAGACCCCAGCTGACAGAGACCTTGTTTGAGATAATACAACACTATTTACATCATCATTACTTTATTTTAATCTATCTTTTCTTTTTGAGTACGGCATAGGACTCTTTTTCTCTACATTTTAGACACTTATTTCCTTCGTTGTATAGATATTTATGTTCTTGATTTCGAGGATGGCCGCAATTTCTCGATACAGATTAGCTCCTATGCTGTACAAATTCAATAATTAGGTGGACTACACTTCATTGAGGAAAGTTCCGTATCAATCATAATTTGAATTTTGTTGAGTCAATTTTTCTATTGTAACAGTAATATCATGTCATAGGCTGATTTCCTACGAAAACTCATTATCATTTCGCTTCCCATGACGCATATATTTGCAAGCTCATTTGGCGGCCGGAATAGACTTCAGAAGGTCTTCTTTCTCCCTTGTCATAACATCTCCGAAGTTGTTGAAAGGAATTCCATACTTATTTACTAATGCTTGTCCATCAATACTGAGGTCCTTCTCGTTGGCAAGTTGTTGGAAAATTAACGTGCCAACCTTGAAACCCATTTCAATCACCTCCTCCTTGCTTCTCATCCGTGTCTTGATATCGACTCCAGCAGCTTTACTGAGCAGATTCCTTGTCTCTTGTAGTGTCAAATTCTCGTTACCTAGCTCGATCTCATGTCCATTGAACCTTTCGGGTTCTGTGAGTGCCGCAGCGGCGAACTGTCCCACATTGTCGGCGTCGAAATGTGGCATTCTGGTGTTTGGCTCGTAGACATGCGCTAACAGCCCCTCAGTGGATAGTTCTGGGAAATGGTAACCTGATTGTGGAACGAGGTAGTTCTGATATAACCAAGCTGGTCGTAGGATGGTGTAACTTGGGAATCCGGCCTGCTTGACGACGTCCTCCACTGCTGACTTTGTCGTATAATAGATGTGCAGTCCGTGGCTAGGGTCATAATCTCCCCAGATCCTGCGGTCTGAGCAATGAAATGCAGTAGAGACGACATATGACTTCACAGTCCCCGCTTCGAGGGCTGCATTGACGAAGTTCTTAGCTTGTTGGATTTGTTGTTCGGCGGGCCATGTAGGGCTAAGGTTCTGGAAAACACCATCGACGCCCTTGGTAGCCGCCTTGATGGCTTCGACATCATCGAAGCCCCCCTTGAAAATCACGACGCCGTTTTCCTTGAGCTTTTGAGCAGCCGCGGAGTCAGGATTACGGACAAGGGCGTGAACAGTTGCACCCTTTTCGAGAAGGTAATGGATGGTGGCTCCACCTTGGTAGCCAGTGCCGCCGGTGACAAGGAATTTCAGCGTCATTTTCTGTAGTCGTTATATGATCCGTAGCTTGCTCAGTTGTAAGATGTGTAACGAGATGAAATAAAGGTCGAACTATATCTGTAGTTCTGCTCTCATTTCAAAGTTATGTAGTCGGAATCCGACTACCAATCATCGGTGTCCGGGCCTAATGAATTTTCACGATGTGCAAAATGCATGATATCACCAGTCATAATCGTGTTTTAAGATTTTTTTTCTTGTTGAAAGAGGTTTTCGAGCGTGTCCGTTGACAAGACTTAATAAGTTGTGGTAATATGCCTATCTAATAGGGATTGGGGGGCAGAAAAAGCACGGATAGCTACCCAACTAGATAAGATAACATCTGGAAGCAATATATCATTCCTTCTATACATCAATTGATCGAACGAAGTATTCAAGCCCTATATGTCAAAATCGTGGAATGGGTTACGACCTTATAACAAACGAAACTCCTCAACACCTATAAATGTCATCCGAAGTATCAAACATCATACACAGAAGAGTTACCAGGAATTCCCTCGTCAACTACTATACAAGCAAAGTCGAAGGTGTGATATGTCGAATTTATTTCAAGGCGTGGCCACTTTGGATCACCAAATTGTAGTAGGCGGCTTAGCCAAGTGCAATGGCCGGCTCACCACCTTCGTTGTCCTTTTTGACTTTCCTCCATTCAACGAACAAMCCCGCCACAAAACCAAGACATGCCAGAGCCAAAGCAGCTCTGTAGGAGTTGACTAGTCCAGACATGTATGCTTCTTTAACGATTGGAAGTTCGTTGAGCTTTCCGAGTTTTTCAAGAGCGGACTGGACTTCTGTCGCACCTGCACTAATAATGACGGCTGGATCAATATCCGGCGCGTGGGTTGTGAGGTAGCTCTTTAATCCGTTCTGGAAAACAGACTGACCGACAGAAATGAAGATTGCTCCACCAAGACTCTGGAAGAACATGATTATGGCCGAGCCGAAAGGAATATCCGCTTGCCCCAACACTGTCTGCATGGCTGTCATGGGAATCTGGAAACCAGCACCTTGGCCGGCACCAGCTATAACTTGATAGCCAATCCATTTACCACTCCCTGACGATGTGGTGAAGGTTGTAAGAAGACCACAACCAACGGCAAAAACGATGGAGCTGCCAAGAATGAAAGGACCGTAGAATCCGAATGTAGTAATGAGACCACCGCTCAAGATTGAGAACACAACTACACCCAAGAGGATGGGTAGTAGATCAATACCTGACTTTGTTGCGGAATCCCCCTTCACAGATTGGAAGTAGATCGGCAAGTAGTACATTAGAAGCAAGAATGCACCATTAAATGTCACAATAAATAGACAGCATGCCCAGATGGTTCGAATTTTGAGGATACGGGGCGGAAGGGTTGCTTTGTCACCAAGTCTCCATTGTGAAAATGCGAATACACACGCAATTAGGACGGCGCCAACAATTAGACCGATAATGTGTGAACTGTTCCATGCATAGGTGTTACCACCCCATTGAAGGGCAAGTAACAAACATACAACAGCTGACAAGAGTAAAGCAAATCCAATTAGATCTAGATCCATGACTTTCTGTAGCTTTGTTTTATTGCTTTTATCGTCCGCCTGTGGAGGTATGTGGAGGATCAGGGCGATGATCCCGGTTGCAAGACCGCCGATGGGTAAACTGTTGGGATATTCAAGTTAGAGAAATATCAAAGAGCTCAGGATAAATGGCGCACTTGATATAGAAACACCATCTCCAAGTTACACTGTCAGTGAAAGCGCCACCGAGCAATGGACCAGCGACAGAGGCAATGCCCCAAACAGCACCGAACAGTCCGAGTACCATAGGCCGTTTGCGCAAAGGTACTGGATAGATAAGATATAAGTATAAGCAGTTCCACAATATATAGGATATACAAGACATACCAGTACGAGAAATAATGACCAGTGCACCAGAGAAAATACCTGCGACGCCGCAACCTGCGACGGCTCGACCGCCAACAAGGGTAGGGCTGTTTGGCGCAACGGCACACATCAACGATCCCACCTCAAAGACAAAGATTGCCGCCAGAAACGACCATTTGATCTGAAGAGTGTAAGCTCTTTCCACTTCATGATGGATTCCTGTTTCTCTTCTTGTCGTTGACTCACGTTAAAAATCTTGTAAATCCTACCAAAAGTGGGCTGCAAACCAGTTGAAGTCAAGAAATAGGCACTTCCATACCAACCGACATCCGTGACAGACTTAAATTGATCTGTGATTTTTGGAATGGCTGTGCTGATGATGGTCTGGTCGAGTGCAACAAGAAATGAGGCGAGAAACAATCCAGAAACGATTATACTCGCTTTCAAAGCGCTCGGATAAACAACTTTTTCGTCGGCGGGCGAGGCATCTGCTCGATCTCGGTCTGGAATATTTTGAAAATTTCTCAAAACTTCGCCCTTGTATCTTCCAGAGACTTCTGAGAGCTCGGATAGCCTTTTATTTGTAGTATCATCCATGATGTCTGATACTATGTCGCACGAAATCTGAGGAGGGAGAGCGAGGAGGGGCTCACGATGCAGAACTTCTACATTTTAAGAATGTTACAGAGATTACTAAGGGGGGCCGTAGACTAGATTAGAACAGCTAAAAGAGGAATTGACTAGTCAACTTATTCATAATGCTAGTTATTAGTCGAAAGTCCCATTGACATGTGTCCTCGCTGATCGATTCACCTAGCCTATCAAAGAGTGTACTTAGAACCGGCACATTAAGTAGCAAATGCACACGGCGTAGTGTGTCATATTCCATGCATAGTGCGGTATGACCAAGATAGTCGTATTACTGGCATCGTACATACTTCTGACGAAACGGCGACCCTAACAGCCCTGATTAAGCTACTCCGATGCCAGCCTCAGACTGCATAACGCTGGCGAGGGGCCAATCAACGGCAAATCAAAGATGAGCCCCGGATTCCGACATACATCTTTATTATCTTCTGCATAAAGAACAAGTGTATTCGCTAAACCATTGCCAGTTAGACCGTTAGGAGATTCTAACGGACATTCGCTGTAGATCCTCGGGATGTCGTCTCATCCAACAGAGAAGCCCGATTAGCTAGCCCGAACGGGGGGTTTGCCAACCTTAAAGTGGCACTATTCCGAATTTACCCTAGTACTTGCACAACTAATTCGTCGGGGTTTGTTATGCTTGCAAACTTCGGTATATCGTGGATTAAATAAAACACAGGTTTGGCACACAATTAAATCAACCAGATCAGGCACTGAACCTCAGGTGGGTGACAAGATTCGTATACGCCTCTCCTCAAATAGTTTCACTACTCCGAGCTTCCAATGCTATTTTCTAGAATGGCTACAAAAAGCACGACCCAACAATCAGAGCATTTCATCAAGTATGCAGTACTAAGTGCTAGGACAAATTGAAAAAATGGGCTTAGCTCAGCTGCGTTTCTTGTAACGATCTACAATGCTAATTATACTATATGATACTATATGCGTTCAAAGAAAAGTGGCTCAAGTCATCACTTCGAGAAGTAGGATACAGTGCTGTCAAAACATCCCGCAGAATCTGCCAGAGGCGTGAGTGGGAAGAATACCATCCGAGATGTGTTTACTATAAGATCAACCTATCCGTGAGATACAAAGTATAACGTTACATCCGTTGAGTCAAACATTGGACACGGGCATACATCAAACAACAGAACAGTGAGACTATCACATACAAACCCAAGCATTACGCCGAGACAAGTTGCGGGAGCAAACAGCACCGCAACTAGGTTACCCATCATTTTAGGGTTTTATTTAATTTTACGTATTTCATTGACATGTGCCCCCCGATCGTGAGAAGTTTCATGAACTAGCCTATATTATACTTTGTTATCGATCATAGATCGTGAATATTGCTACTAAAGTCGATACTACACGACGAAATCCAGGTTTCATGAAGGATTGCTTGCATACAATATCTTTGCTCATGATGCTTCTTTCAGTGCTTTGTCCTATGGCTCCAGCTCATCTAGTTCTGTGGCACGCTGGCAGCAAACAGCTCGATGTCCAGAATACAAATGAGATCAAAATTGTGAACACTGTCAGAAAATGTACGATTAATACGGCATAGACGGAGGTCTTCGAGGATTCTATACATGCACCCAACTCAGTAGAAATCGTGAAAAGCCAGTAAGAATAACCCTCAGAATTACTTCCACACAAGGGAATCTGAAAAACAACTTGGTCATATCACAAAAGTATCTCTCAACGAATACGTACTGCAATGCGTGACCTCAGAGGTCATATTTTCACGCAATGCAACTACGATCACGATAGTAAGTTAAAATCAAATAAATAACGCTTCTAGAATTTAGAGATATCATGGAACTGTTCAAGACTTGGTTTGTAATAATTCCACGTAGGTAGGACCGAGTCAGGAGCCAAAGAAGCTAGGGCTAATCTTTTTATAGCACCGACTGCCACCTTGAAATGTATGGCGTACTTTCGCAGTTCATTCATGTACTATGATCAAATAATCTTTTCAAGTGAATAGAAACTCTATCATCATTCTCACTTAAATCAAATATTTAAATTCAGCGGAGCGATCAGTCTCGCTGTCTATAGCCGTGTCTCATTAATGACAAACGGGTGACGGGATGTTTCGAATATGTATCAAACAAAAGGAAATACAAAGGTAATGCTAGGCAAGTAAAGCAGAGTTGATGGAAGAACAACATTATTTCTTTCTTCCAACGCTCGAAAAGAATTTGGCATATCTATGCCATATCTTCATGAATTTCTTTTTCCTTCCTAGCTGCACATCGCCAAACAACGACTCCCACAAATCCAGTCCCCAGTACACATAAAGTGGCCAAAATAGTCATCAACCATCCCAAACCGAGTCTTTCAGCGGCTATTGGAGACACAATAGTTCCGACAGCGGCGAGGATATTACGCATCAGATTCAGGTCAGCCACGATAGAGGCTCCTGCCCCAGGCACGAGATCTACCAGATAGGGCGTTATCGTCGAAGTAACAAGCATCAGACCGAGACTGAAAAGAAACATTCCCATAAGAGGAAATATCCAATAGCATTTTGTTTCGATTAACCAACCGTAGATGATCAAGCCAATTGGCACCAAGGGTGCACCATACCAAATTATAGATAGACGTGCTGAAGGATTGATTCTGTCGTTATGGTTAGCTTGATATTGGCGTAGCTTATGATCACTGAATCTACCGCCAACGAAAGTGCCAATTGCATAACCAAGACAGTTGCTGATGTAGCAAAGCCCAACCTCCATGGCTGAGAAGTTATACGGTTGTCCGGAGTAAGCATACGGAAGCGTGGTAGTAATACAATATAGGGAAGCGAAGCATATGCTCACATATGACATACAAAGCAACTTTGATGGACTCAGAAAGTGCCTTAGACCCTGTAATGGAGCTCCTGCGTCACGTATTACTCTGGTCCAGACTGATTCCATGTCCGACCTATATGCCGAATGGTTTGTAGGACCGATTTTCACTAGCGTCTCAGGCACGAAGACAAGAGTAAGCATGGCCGCGGAGAATGTCAGAATAGCTGAGCAGTATAGATTTGCTTGCCAGCCAAACCACTCCTGAAGACCGCCGCCAAATATGGGAGCAATTATCGATCCAGTAAGAGTCCCAAGCCAGAACCAACTCAATGCTGTACCACGCTGAGTTGGGATGTATATGTCACTAATCACGCCTGCCCCTACACTTTGGGCTGATGAGCAACCAACTGCCTCCAGAAACCGGAAGCCAGTAAGCAACGACAGAGAATTTGATACAGCACAGATGATGACTGCGATCCCTGAGACTAAAAAGCTGAATATCAAGATTGGTCGACGTCCATACTGCTGGCTTAAGGAGCTCCACCAAAGAGGGGCGATAGCTAAGCCAAGTAGAAAGACCGTTGTGGTGAGTGCTACTTCCGTGGTGGTAGCATGGAAATGATCGATGAGAGCATCAAGAGATGGGAACAGGAGATAAGAAGAAAATGGTGCCGTAAAGGCAGACAATGTTATCATGCCCACGATGACATTCTTTTGAAGTTTCGAGTGCGACTTTGGGTCTTCAATCTTCGCATGAAGACAAAAGAGATCAAGGCAATTCATGGCCGGCTTCATTTTCCGAAATGTCTCTATAGATAATGCCTTAAGCTTGGACCTAGAACGGCTGACTGAGTACGGGAAACACGAGATACCGAGCAGACGGGTATGAGACTGGCAATGTCAACTTCTGTGCTTTGGATCTTCATTGACGGTATATAATGTGTCTTGTCCATGTCTTATGATGAACACCCTGCTTTCTTGTAATGAACCCGGCATTTGGGATATGACCGCAACATACTTTGGCCTGATTTCTAATTCAACAACTAGAGTCATATTCTAATGTCACGATGCAAGATGGATATTCGAGAACGTATTTCAATCCCGGAAATAAGGCTTCGGATGAATCTTTTTGTTCTTCTAGACCTACATAACCGAAACAAACTAACGATTAGCCATGTCACTGCATCAGTGTCAGCATGCAAAACAGAAATAGAAACCAACATGTACCTCGGAAATAAAGCAGCTTTTTGGTTTGTATTTCTGATTCCATTCCTACTTGCGTAAAAACAAAGCTAAGTTGTTAGCTACAGGAAAAAAGCGCTAGTTTGTAGGATTAACATAAGATTCGCAACTCTTTTAATCGACACTTGCGTATATGCATCATTTTTCTTTTTGTAGAACTACATCTGCATGATAACATAGCTGAGCTCCCGGCCGCTTATCACCTTCTCAACTACATGCATTAAGTCGAAATTACAATTTAACTACTCTTAAAAAGGATATTTTCACCAATGCTGCGCCATCCCCTGCTGCGGGAAAGGCGCCATCCGTTGTGTCAAAAGGCCATTCCACCAATTATACTCGAGACGACTGCGGTTAGCACCTGCATATTTGGTGAAGAAGAGAAGAGTTCGCACATCACAGTCTGACTATCCTATTGGATGAACTGGATGATTCCATGGATCTGCAGGTGCAGAAAGCCTGATTACGTACTTCTATGTATATTGCTCCCCGAGCATTTAAGTACCTACTCGAATTGATTGGCAGATAGCTTGAAACTCACAATGAAAGGGCCACGTCGGTGATAATTCATCTTTTTGCTTTTTATGAGGATCGCGGCTTACTCAAGGCCGAAGAAAGGAGCCTGTAGGATTCAGTATTGCTGAGCATGTGTTAGAGATGGGTAGCTATTTCACCAATCCAGTAGCAAGTCCTATATTTCTTTTTCTTTGTACCCTTCGCAGAATTGTTTCCTTCGTGGAAGCATGGATCTGATATCCGACACGACTGAGTCAAAACATCACTGGCTGCCATAACCGAATTCGACAGATTCTGAACATGCCTGGGTGTGATTGAAATCACATAGGATCTTCAAAATAGAGAGTTTCTTGTGAGAAAAATTTGATATCTATAGATAAGTCTTTTGATGATCTAGACACACCCATCGAACGAGAACAGGGAGGATGTTGGTACCTAGTCTGTGTCAACTCTGCGAGGTGTTGGTAGAACTTACATTACTATACCCAATGTCAGCGGGTAGGCTTTGCCAAGGCTAGATCTGCAATTGCCATGCAAGCCTAGTTTGGATCAAGGTCATCAAAACCTGAAGGTTGATGGAATGCATCTCCAGTCACAAAAATACTTGTCGCCACATGTACGCTGTCTCGCGAGTTATTTAGGATCTTGCCTCCGAGTGATCAAAATCATGAACCACGTTTCGAGCTAAATAAGCCAACTTCGTAGACCGAGCTAGATGTCATCTAACGTATAAAGAAGGGAAATCATGATATTACTTGTAAACCTTTTCTCTGACTAGTTTCTATAAACCATTTCCAGTAATTTATGCTAGATTTTCTCATATCTTTTAATACCTGAACAAGCAGAGTAATCAGTATTGCTCTATGATTGTAAATTGCATCATGTCGATTGAAGATGAGATGTCAGACGGCTCCAACAAGGTTGTCCCTGACGTTGACCTTAGTGGCCGAGGTAGAGAGTCAAGGATATAGCTAATATGATGTAGGCTGTAACTCTCCTTAAGTTCTGCAAGACTCATTCTTTCGGTTTATCGTATACGCTGAGCGCTGTCAAGAACCCCAGATTATCTAGTCATCACTCAAGTAACAGATATACCAGTTGTGAGTCAGATATGAGTGAGTAGGGATTCGTCCCAAGAATGCAATATGACTAACATTGGAATCCGTTTATCAGCAACTTATAACAAGCCACCCTGCAGAGCACAATTGAAATATCAGATGAATACTCAGCATAATTATTTTCCTGCATACAGACTGGCTGATGATGTGCATAACCATTGATATATACTTGCATCGCAGCTTGTGACTTATATGCAAAAAATTGACAAGACAAGAGATGAAATGATGATGACCCTTCAGACTCATCCTCGATGAGTTAGATTGTTTGATACAGTCATACATGAAGAGTCAACTGCGATCCGAGTCGAGGTAGAAATATGGCTATAAAAACGGTGGTGATAGACCACCTATTTATGAATTCTATGAACTATCGTTCATTTCCATCATATATACTTTTGATGCCCACTTTCGAACCGCGTTAATAGAAGTCAACTTTTTTTGGGTGTGAGACTTATTCAAAAGCTCCCAATATGCTTCCCGAACTTCTCCGGTCCTTTATAGGTAATCAACCTAATGAGGATGTTGAGCTTCAAGATTTACTACCACTTCTCGACGGCATTGATTTCACCGACGACGACTCCGATAACCTGGAAATACTTCTCAAACGTATTCAAGAACAAGTGGGCTCTGAAATTCCCGAGTGTATCTCGAGGATTGTGGGGAAATATTTAGAGTGGCTCAAGAGTGAAAACATAGAGCTCAAGGACAGCCCAGCCCTGACCCAACATTATGTGGCACTAGTTATTTACATGTTCAGTTTATTAAAGCGCTTGAAGGGAATGCGTCCAGCATCATGGCCTTTCAGCACGTGGACGCCATCCACCACGGAGCAAATCAAAAACATGAGAGAGGACGGCCCCAAGAAAATCACCCAAGTTACGGATGAAATATATGCGGAACTGGAGGTGATGTACGAAACCGCGACAGAAAAAAACAAGAGAGAGGGTACTGTGGTGTCAATGAGGGAACTGGCCGAGAAGAGGTTGATGGCACTCCAAAAAACGAAGGAGTACCGCGACGAAATTGCCAAGATCGAGGCAGCCTGCAACAAAGTAGAGAGTCAGTCTGACAAAGAGCTCTTAGCTATTTACAAGTTTGCTTTGAAAGCTGTGGCTGCTCTAGTTACCGCATTTTTAGTCCTGTACGGGTGGCTTTCTAAAAATGAGCCCGTTGAGCCAGTGCCGGTCCCATCTCAGCCACAATAGTCCGAATGAACATTTCTGTCAGACTGCATGGTCACAAAAGAGTGAGATATCATGCCGACCTTACTTCCACGGAGGGTCTACTTTTGTGACTCTCGCCAGAACTGTCACCACGACGAAAGGCCTAGTGAAGTTGAGCTACACAAAATCCAAAAAACCCTCCCCTCTCCCTCCCATCTTTTCATTCTTCATATTTCTTTGACTGTCTTTCTATTACTATATCCATTTAAACATCCGTTCCCTTTCTATTAATTTATATATCCCTCTCTACCCCTTCATGGCCCCCCATTTCTACTTGATCTTTGTCCTGGAGACTATATCTATTCTTATCCTTATATTTATATCTAAGTCCACCAATATAATTCAGACAAACCAGGTCTACCTACTTTTATATTTCTTGGCCTTGGTTTACTTGGTTCAGAAGATAAACAGGAAACGTGCAGCATTCGCGAAACAGGAAAACCCAAGGCTGATGCCTGCGTAACAACTCAAGAATAAGGCTTAATTTTAAGCACTGTTAACACGGTAAGGCAAGGATCACTGACATCAAGATTGTTGTTGTCGTCAGAAGTTATTTGCACTGCTGAGATTCTAGACATATCAACGCAACATATCCATGCAGTGTTGAATTGTTGATTTTCGTACCGCAGTAGGTATTATGGAACATCTTCCACTCGATCAGGAGAAATTCTATTTCCAAGGTTATTTATCATCTATGTGCAAAAAGAAGGGGAGACAAAGCTATTTTGGCCGTCGTGGTCTTTTGTATTAGATGACCAAGAGCAACATGCCGCCTCGCCAATGTAGACCGCTACCGTTGAGTAGCTTCATTTACACGTGGGCAATAGCAGTTAGCCCACTCATTGTGGTAAAGCAAAAAGTGCTTACTATAGCCTGGCGTTTGTAGTCCGCACAAAGGTAAACACTTATTTTCCGGACTGTGAGGAATGTGATTGTGATTGCCCGACAGTCTACAAACTATGTTGATAGACAGCTCGTGATATCTCAAATTCTTGGACATAGTACCATCCTATGAATTACGAACCATGGACAGGTTTTGGTACGTGATATAGTGAGGACTATTTGTGGTCTACCTCCGAAATTGACAAAAAATTGCTTCATATCCGTCAAGTCTGAGCTTAACTAGGTACGGGTCATAACATAAGGAGGATCGAAAGAGCTGATGTGATTCCTACTTTCATTCCAGGTTATATATACACAGCAGAAAAGCCGAATCCCTGAGTCCTATATGCTACTTGGAAGCTCTAGTCATTTCGGACTCGGTGGCTAATCTCATTGCTTTGCCAGTGATGCTTGTCGACTTTGTTCGGGAACCTCAATATGTTCGATCTCTATTCATGTAGTGCTTTAGCTCAAATTTCATCTTAATCTCCATAGCCCTAACCTAAAATATACTAAGGGCATGTGCTTGATTATATATCCATGCCATACATGTAAGCGACTCTACAACATCCCGAGATTCGTTTGCTATATTTTCTCGATCGTCACAGCCAGCGTCAATGCAACATTGTAGCTAACTGTCCCTAGTATGTCATTAGCAGCGTGGCGGGCCAAAAATTTGAAACAGAGGGTATAGTACGTAGTGAAAAATATATGACAATAAGGTAGAGGCACCGATGGTAGATAACGCGTTTGAAAGCGAGTAGTCGACACGCTACCTAAGCAAACAGTGAAGCACAAAATATGCCTCAAGCTGGGTTATAATTTGACATTTATGAACAGCCCACTGGTGAAAACTGAATTATTATTCGTGGAACAAAAAACATGACGTCGATGAATGAGCATTAGAAAGCCTAGAACGGTCCGGGAATAACGAGTCATGCACGAGATAGACGTATTACATGGATTGAATCAGTTACATTCGATTCCTAGTAGCTAGTTGAGGGCTCCCGGTCTTCATGAATGCTTTAATGAGCCCACGGCTATCGTTTTAGAAATGTAAACTTTCAAGCATTGCAACGGTCGATTCATTTTCTCCTTGAGTCGGTAACACCAGATAGAGACATTGAGACGTGGGAATGATGTGCATAGGACAGTTGGATCAGCTGACTATATAGAACAATCGGCGACGCAGGATTTGTCAGATCATATGAACCACAAAAGACTCAAACCTCTTATAGATATATGCGTAAACGGAAAGTTGTGTAACGCAGTTGAAGCATGTAGTAAGTAGGGATTGTTCGACTATCCGCTGACTATGAAGTAGTCTCTTCATGCCCATTGGGAGATTAGTATGTACATTATGTACCACATTGTGCAATTTCCTGGATCGTATGGTTGAAGGATTGAAAAAGAAAATTGATTGTGGTGGACAAAGGAGGTAAATTGCTTGTGAGAAGGTGGAGGACCCATTCACGAATCACGGGCTTCCCCGCCACCGTTGAACTTGAGCCTTTTTGGGACGCTCGACAACTTTGACCTCGCCCGAAAGTTTCTTCTCTTCTTCTTCTTCTTCCTCGGACTCTGATACACCTCGCTACACTTGGAGTTTTGCACAATCAATCAAACTCTCATCGGCGACTTTGATATAATTTATACCCTATCCGCGTTATTCCATTGTTTGATTGCGCCCAAATCCGCCACCCGAAGTTAATCAGTTCACTGTACCTAGGATCCACAACATCCGGCCAGAAACCTTGCTCGAAGTATACAGCCCTCACACCTACGGCTCGCCGCTATGTCAGGCTATCCTAATGGCGGTAATCCTGGGATGGGGTATAATGATCCTTACGCCCAATACGGTGCGTGAGATCTCCATCTTCCCTTCCACAATGCGCCGGTGTATCCGTAAGCTAATGAAGGAATGAATTGCTCCATGCAACAGACGCCCCCGCTCCGGAACCGAACAAATTCAATGGATTTTTGAAAGCACTTGGAGCCGGAACAAAAAAGACAAAAGGTTTGTTATCTGGACAAGCAAAATACATGCATCCATGGCTTTGCTAATCAGGGCTTTGGGTACGTAGGAGATGGACAACCGGCAAAGCGTCGCGGACCGAAACCAGATTCCAAGCCTGCTCTGACCCGAAGACAAGAGCTCAATCGACAAGCGCAAAGGTGAGAGACACGAACCAAACCAATCGAACACATTCTTATAGCATTTCAAAACAGGACACATCGTGAACGAAAGGAGCAATATATCCGAGCCCTTGAATCGGAACTTTCCAGACTACGAGAAGTATACAGCGTTGACATCAATACCGCCAATCAGAAAATCCAGCAACAGCAGGAAATGGTACAGAGCTTGCGGACGGAGAATAGTCGATTGATGGGAATATTAAAAGAGTGTGGAATCCCTGTCCAACCACAAGTGGAAATCGAAACGCCCGAAGATATCAACATGCCACCTGCGGATTCATACACAATCGGAACGAGTTCGGTAACCTCGCAGTCAGCTGGTTTCCAGTCGCAGCCGGCGTTCCTGACCACGCCGCCGTCAACGTTCAGTTCGCCTCACAGCACTGGAGATGGTGATGAGCGATCCGGTTCACGAGCTGGACCGGGAGGAAACATGCCAATTTTCGGAACCGCGTTCCAGACGGGCATGAACTTGAGCGATATGGACTATTCGGGCAATACAGAAAAAGAAAGAGAAATACCCGCGGTGCCGGGCATTTTCGACGAAGATCCGCAATTAGGTGTCGATTTCATACTCCAGTTAGAATCGCCCTGCCGCGTGCATACGGAATACCTATGTCGAGAAGCACACAAGGACGTTGAACGAGACGCTTTTTTCTCGGGGCATGCTTTGATGGCTTCTTGTCCGCCGCCGAGTCACATCGAGAATGTGCCGGAGGGAAATCAGTATCCTCATCAAACTTACGAATTACCGCTACCAAATCTCGAGAAATTGCTCAATCTGAGCAAACAACTCATCACCGATGGGCAAGTTACACCAATAATGATTCTGCAATCTCTCAAAAATCACGACCAATATCGGTCCCTGAACAAAGATGACGTCAAGACGATCGTTGAGACGCTGACCACCAAAGTCCGATGTTATGGCTTCGGTGCTGTGATTGAAGATTTCGAATTGAGGGATTGTCTACAGAACGTCCTTGGCTCAAAGATGTACCATGGTAGGAGTCCACCGTCGAGGATTGGAGATGATGCATTATATCGTTAATTCTCCAGTCATGTTTATTTCCTTTGATTTCCTTTTTGCACTATTTTTGAAGACGTTTTTTCCCTTACCCAAAACAGCTGCTTTATGAAGACACGAATGCTGCGAATTTCTGACCTCGGAGATCCATGAATTATCGAACTATATACCCTTGATGCCTGTTTTTATTTACACCTATCAAAAAATATTATCTTTTCCCTACTATTCTCCTGTATAGATTTTAGTTATTGCTTTTTACCCTTGCTGCTCGTCTACTCATACATGGCCTTTCACGACGCCGAGGTTTTTATTTTACTGTTGCTAATGAAAGGGAGTGATAATAATGGTTATAAGTCTTTCTATATTTCGTTCTTTTTTATGGCGTTCACTTTTCGTACATCAATCGATTGATTTAATGAAAAATATGAAGCAAGAAAATTGGCTGTCTAATCAAAAATACTTTTATATTCATGAATCGAGCGGGTAATCATTATCTTCAAAATAGACCGTAAAGAAAGACATTCAGACAGGTAAATTAGACAACTATTCTTCCTCTTCAGCCTTCTCCTCAGGCTCCTCGGCAATAGTTTCCTCTTCTTCGAATGTGTTCTGAGGAACTCTGTACAAGCGCACAACAGGCTTGTTGGGGTCCTTGACGAGAACGTATTTCTTGAGTCTGTCCTCACCTTCCTCCTCATCCTCGTCATCGTCCAAGCTGCGGATTAAGTCAACCACGGTACGAACAATACCCCATCCGTTGCCCAAGTTCAAGTTCATCTGAGTAGCGAACTCGCGGGGTTTGTAGCCTACAACGCCTAAGATGACGTGAGAAGTGGAGGAGCGTGGGTTGCTGCGAGAGACGAAACCAAGTTTCATGTGGTCGGCCTGAGCGAGAATGGCTTGGGKAGTCCAGCGAGCGAGTTTGCAGCTGTTGTTCTTCATTTCGGTGGCGACAACGGCACCACGTTGAGAAGCGAGCTTGGTACGCCAGTCGAGGGCACCGCCGGCACCCTGGGCCTTATGGTCGAATTCGTTGAGGGCCTTGATCACGATGTGCTGGTCGGCTCCGGTGGTACCCTTCAAGACGGCATCGACTTCTGTGCGAACGATAAGGTTGAGGGGTTCCTCGTCCTTCTCAAGAGACAAGTCGAAGCGTCGGTACTTGTAGGCCTTGGAAGCAAGAGGTTCGGTTTCCTCGCTGGGGTTATAGAATGGGTTGGGGCTGGGGAACTCGACCTTGTCCTTTTCGGATTCGATCACGGTCTGCAGGGAAAAGTTGTGGTTGATCACGGTGGCTTCTAAAGCCAAGGCACCGGGGGTGTTGATCGAGTCTTGTTTGCCGCCAGCCTCGGAGGCTTCGAGGGGTGCATCTGCGGCGTTCTCGTTGACGGTGACCAAGTCAATGGAGGCACCATCGCGCTTGTCGAAGAAGATCTTGTTGCCTTGCTTGACAATCACGATATCCCACGAGTATACACTGCGAGGAGCGCACATGAGCATAGACAGGATATCGGAAGTAGCGAAAACAGTGGCCTCGTTCTTCTCGGCAAGTTCTTGGATGACGGGATCGGAGGATGTAGTCACGTTGTAAGCGGCACGGTCGAGGGATTGAAGCTTGCGCTCAGTGCCCTTAACAGGCGCCTTATCGTAAGATCGGTCATAGGCATAAAGGAAGCCATAGTTGTCAAGATCCTCTCCATCCGGTGACTCGAGATGAAGTTTGGACAAGCGATTGAAATCAACTTCCTCGAGGAGACCCCAGTCAGGGCGAATGTTGACGGAGCTGTCACGGTTGCGCTGGGGCTTGTCATAGTCCTTCCATCCAAAACGACGTCCACGGCCACCTCGACCACTGCGCTGATCATAGGTACGGTCTTGTCCACGGCCAGCACCAACTCTTTGGAAACCAGCTCGTCCACCGCGCTGGAGTGCGCCACGTTGGCCACGGCCACGGAAGATGGTACCGCCACCTCGTCCGAAGCCCCGGGTCTTGGTAGATGTACGAGTGTTATCGACGACGGAGAATGAGGATTCGTCTTCTGCGACTTGCACAGCAAAGAGACTAGATGCTCCGGCACCATAAACCTGTTGGTCTGTGGTATCCATATGATTAGCTTAAATTCCACGAGTTTATTGACATGGCGGGGKCAGGACTTACCACGGAAGTTACGGTTGTAGTTTTGACGTCCACCACGCTCACGATCTTTGCCTTCAGTAGTCCAATCAGCCATGCGACCGAGCTTATCTCCCTTGGAGAAAGGCGCATAGGGGACACCGTCGAGGGTAGTCTCAGATGGGGTTGGAGGACCCCATTCCTCCTCCGAGGGTAGGGCAGAGACAATGTCTGCAATAGAAATGGGAGCCATCTTGAAGACAATAACAAAAGCGTCTCACTTGATGGTACCAGATGCAACAATCTTTCCAGCTCTCACAGAACAGAAAAGGGTGGGGTGCTTGTCGTGAGAATATCGGCCAAATCTATTTTGAAGTTTTTGTGCCTCGCCGCCCACACTCAAAAGTGGGACCAAAGACGAACTCTTGGCGGAGCCATTTACCGCCTTTTTCTGCCACAGTCGCAACTGTTGTGTATTCGTATTACAGATGAAACCGGCCTTACCGTGCACTTTCTTCCCAAGTGATGTAACTTCATTACATACAGCATACATACATCATAACATGGGGTCTGAGACCTCGACCGACTGATCGTCAGCGACACTTCTCCTTCAGCAACATCTCCCTTCTCAAGATGCTGTTTTTATCAATTGAAACACTCACCTGACGTTCTCTTATTTATCTGACTTTTCATTTATAATTAACGAACTGCTTATTGGGTTAAAACTCTCGCTCTTTCAGCTTCCGCTCGCTACATTTCCATACCATAGCTCAATGACACCCCTTTAAATGCTTCGAATCAACGATCTTTTTCACATTCATAACGCTTTGTCGATATGAGCTACTCTAATTCCCACAGTAGTTTGGGTTCGCGGTATTCCCCGACCAGCCAGTATGAACCGCGCGGTCTGGTTGCTCGTGCAGGCAACGCGGCCTATTCTTACGTCCGTGACTCGAAGAACCAGACCGGTGCTGGTTTTGGATATGGACGTTATCCCACTTTGTCCTGGCAAAAGGCGAAATCGCTCCTCCGAGCATCATTCTGTGTTGCAAACTTCCTAGCTGTGCTATGGATACTTACCTTGTGGTGGGGCGAAAGGACGGTTTTTCGAGACCAGATTTCACAATGCTACTGGGATTCTTGGGAGAAATGGGTAGGATTGAACAGTATGGATATATCCAGGAAGATAGAAGGCTAATATTCGTCCAGCCTGCCGGGGCAACACCCCATCATGTCGTATTCATCGCCGATCCGCAACTCGTTGACCCTCATACGTACCCAGGCCGTCCCTGGCCGCTATCAACGCTTACCGTCAAGTTTACAGACCAGTACCTACGTCGATCTTTCTCCCTCATTGAAGGATATCTCAACCCGGACTCTGTTTTATTCCTGGGCGACCTATTCGACGGCGGTCGGGAGTGGTCAACACTTACGAGTGAGTCTCCAGAGGAGCAATATCGGAAATACGGAGACAGTTTTTGGTTAAAAGAGTATAATCGGTTTTCTCGCATATTTTTCGACCAATGGAATAAAGGCGGTGTTCCAGCAACTGGGGAGCGTCGAGGTCGCAAGATGATTGCAAGTTTACCTGGAAACCACGACCTCGGCTTCGGAAGTGGTGTGCAACTTCCTGTTCGGCGACGCTTTCAAGGATACTTTGGCCGTGGTAACCGCGTTGATATCATAGGCAATCACACCTTTGTTTCTGTGGATGGCGTTTCTCTTTCGGCGATGGATCAGCCCGATCCTGAGACTGGCAGTACTGGAAATGGAGCTGGCGATGGTCATCAGCCGAATCAAGCAATTTGGGGTCCAACACAGCAATGGCTCAAGGGTGTCAAAGATTTGAAGGCTCGTCTGGAAACAGAAGAGCTTCGGTCTCTACGGAATCAGACTGAAGGTTTCAAACTCATTCAGGGTCTTTATGACACCTCAACAGATACCGTTCTTCAAAGAGCTCCTATTGAATCGCAGGGATTCCCAACTATCTTGCTCACCCACGTACCACTGTTTCGAAAGACTGCAACGCCATGCGGTCCTTTACGTGAACGTTATCCACCCTCTTCTGTAGATCCTCTGCCCGAAGAAGACGAGGACAATGCACTGAAAATTTCTGGTGGTTATCAGTATCAGAACGTTCTGACACCGACCATCTCAAATGAAATCATGTCAAAAATCGGTCCTGAAGTCTCTCATATCTATTCCGGAGACGATCACGACTATTGTGAGGTTACTCATCGGGAATTCAGTGGATCACCAGTGGAGATCACCGTCAAAAGTTTATCATGGGCAATGGGAGTACGACGTCCAGGGTTCCTGATGACCACGCTCTGGAACCCGATTGACCCGAATACCGGGAAAGCTCTCGAGGAGACGTCGCAGCCAACGATTCAAAACCATTTGTGTCTTCTTCCAGACCAGTTGTCAATCTTTATATATTACGGCATGATCTTTTTCGTTACGATCGTCATCCTCGTCATCCGAGCCATGGCAGTTACGTTTATGTCATTTGGCAAAGCCTCGGATTACGAGCCCACGTTACCAATCAGCGAACTTCCAGCTCATTCCCGTACGTCTAGCCGTGCATCAAACCCTCCATGTAGCAGTGTCACCAGTGCAACATTAGGGAAAGAGCCTCGACGAGCTAATCGCTCAAATTCCATCTTAGCGGAATCAACCTACCGCATCGATGAAGACGTACAAAAAAGCAGTCAACGCTACGATGGCTGGAAAAAGGGCGCAAATGACTGGGACGACGATGATAGAGGAACCGCCAAACTCTTGTCATACAATCGTCAATCGGGCCGTGAATGTGTTGGGCCCTCATCCAGCACTGGTCGATTTGCGGTTGAATTGAAGAACAGCATCAAGCATGTTGCTATTATAGTCCTTACGTTTTATGCTTGGTTACTGTTGAGGTGGTGAAAAGTAATATTGTATCATTGGTATTTGGATTGTATAGTAGATATTAGCGAGCATAGATTGAAAGGATGGCGTTAGGGTCTCTTCGGGTGTCAAAATATACGCTGTATGTTTCGTCCATTGGCTAAGTCTAGCCCTAACTTGTACTTGTGCACATCGCCGTCAGGTAGTATTATTGGGGGGGACACCGGCATGGAAGATTTAGAATGCCGACAATCTCGGCGAACTGTATCGGCATTTGCCGGCGTCCAATTTCTAGTCATGCTTGTTAGCCTTCCTGAAGAAGTAGTTTCAAGTGTATTAGTTACGTCCCTTGCATATCCGCAGATGGAGTCGACCAGTCATGCACGACTTGCGGTGTTTGATAATAGTGAAGAATGACACAGTCTATTTATACTATTTATGACAGCTCTTACTAATTACATATAATTATCAATCTTGCTATTTATGGTTTTTTTTTTCTTCCTCATTGGCAGCCCTCTCTATGATCAACATGCCAGGCGCTAGTACAGGTATATAGGAGCGTTACATGAAAGTAATTACATGTTGGTGTTACTAAACGCAAAGAGGATGTAGAATACTCAAATCTCGCATTCCAAGAGTCTTAAATGCTGTGTCTATTCAGCATTCGCGCCTCGGAGGCGTTCAAGGGATGCTCTCGTTACACCCGGTTCTTCCGATCTTGAGGAATGCTCATCGATATCAAGGGAGTAACTCATAGTAAGGCGCAGCACATTCTACATGATCAGCAATAGCTTATTTGGCTCCATCCAACATTGCAAGTCCTCTGGGCTTTCTCTTTTGTGGGCTTGTACATAGCCATGGATCAGTTTACCCCTGGCTAACCAGGGTTATGTGCAAAGTCACATCCACGTGGAGACGTTCTTCATGGATCGATGCATAAGAGATCTTTCTTGACCCTTGTGAGCAATGAGCCAAGGCTTGAGACTTATATAAGGTTTCACCCCCTTTGTTTATTGTCGCGTAGATGTGTAACAATATTACCTTCGTGTTTACTCTTTATCTCCGCGTCGTTGTTTACTTTTGGCTATATTCTCATTGGTACGCTTCTACATGGCATTATCAAATTTTCTGATTCTATAGTATCCTTTTGAGAGAGATTGACATCTTCACAATGAAGACGTCGAATTTATACCATTTGGCGACCCTGATCGCGCTCTCGAAGCAGATCACCGCATATGGTATAACGGGTCTATCCGGTGGAGTCAACTTCGATACTGGCGAACGACCGGCACGTCGTGATCTGAGAGACTTGCAATCCTCTGGAGCGGCATTTGATCTCTACATCCAGGCACTTGCTCAATTCCAAGCTGATGACCAGAGTGATATGGTCTCTTATTACGAGGTTGCAGGTAACCTCCAACTCCAACTCAGCAGATTCAAAGTGATTGATGCTAATGCATACAACCCAGGAATCCACGGCTACCCTTACCGATCCTGGGATGGCGTAGATGGGCAGTTCAGTACCGGCTACTGCTCCCATGGCTCGCCCATCTTCCCGACTTGGCATCGACCCTATCTCGCCCTTTTCGAGCAGAGATTATGGCAATACGCTCAATCCATCGCTGCCTCATACCCGGATGACCAGAGGCAAACATACGTTGATGCAGCAACTACATTGCGAGTGCCATATTGGGACTGGGCGGTGAATCCTAACATGCCGGACAGTCTTGTGTACGAGTCTATTGTGATCAATACGCCGACGGGACAACAGACTATAGATAATCCTTTGTACTCGTACAAGTTTCACCCCTTGCCATTGGGGAGCGATATTCCCAGTGATGATCCTGTAAGCTTTGGCCTTGTCGAGGGTCATCCGAATATGTTGCTAATTTATATGATGCGATAGCTTGCGAAGTATCAGGAAACGGTTCGATCACCAGACCCAAATACTGGCCTGAGTCGGATGGACAACGTCAATTCGGGCATGTCGTCCAACTCGGCATGGTAAGTATCCTTTAAATATAATGACCGGGCTGTTGTTGATTTTGGATCAGGTTGACATCAAGCACATACCAACTCTTGTCATCCGAGACAAATTACACTGTTTTCTCCAACTCCGTGCTCAAAGATAGAGGCGACAACTACAACAACCTCGAAAGTATTCATGATGGTGTGCACGCGCTGGTCGGTGACGGCGGACACATGACATATTTCAGCATGGCATCATTTGACCCTATTTTCTGGATTCATCATTGGTATGTCTTCATCTCCCCGTTTTATAAAAGCGTATTTGTTGCTAACACCCACAGCTCGATCGACCGTGTTTTCGCTCTCTGGGAAGTCCTCAACCCTGACTCATACATCGAACCCATGGGAGATACGTACGGCACCTTCGTTATCGAAGCAGGTACCGTCGAAGACATCAACACTCCCTTATATCCGTTCCACCGCTCAGACGACCCCAACGACTTTTGGACATCAGGTAGCAGCCGCTCAACTCGAGATTTTGGCTATACATACCCTGAAATTCAGGACTGGGGCGTTGACCAGGGTACACTACAGAACAACGTGCGTACTGCCATCAACAATCTGTACAATGCTCCAGCACGGAAGGGTCGCGCAGCGCCCAAGAATAAGAGAGATCTCTTGGATGATTTCAAGAACGCGCCGCAGGAGTTAACTGGTCTGGCTGCGAATGAGGTCACTGGCCAAATGACCAAGACACGATTCGATAGTCTAGGAGTAAACAATATGGTCAAGAACTGGGCCATTAACGTCGCTGTCGACAAGTGAGTCCGCCCTAGAAGCCTCGGGCTGCCATTGTTCCCGCTTTGGAAACCACCTTCCGTTTTCGGCTAAGTACTAATCCTGGAAATTTTAGACACGCGCTTGAGGGAAACCCTTTCCAGATTCATTTCTTTTATGGCGAGCCTGACAGTCAGCTCGGCCCTAGCGAATATTCGAGCGCACCAAATTTGATCGGCACATATCGCACATTCACCAGTCCGATGTCTTCCCATAACCAAAAACATCGTCGTGCATCCACCAACAATCTCTCGACAGGACAGATCTCTTTGTCCCCACTGCTAGCTAACGCAATCTCCAACGGTATTCTACCGGACACCAGTCTCGCCCCGGAAAGTGTCGTCCCAAAACTATCGAAGAATCTTGAATGGCGTATAACGGATTCTTCGGGCCAGAATGAGGTTCCCGTTCAGGATTTAGCGGATAAAGGTCAGTTGAGAGTGAGTGTTGTGTCGAGAGATGTGCAGCCTATTCTGGTGGGTGAGGAGCATTTGTTTCCTACGTATGGCGAGTGGGTGGAGCATGAGGATGTTACCAAGGGAAAAGTAGGAGGTGTATGATTTGTACGATATGTGAAAAAGGCTTGATGGATGTAATTGTAGATTTGTTTCTTGACATGTCAAATTTGAAGTATACTATGTCTATTGAATCTAACCTCCTGGGATTGGAGAGAAGAACCTTTTAGTCCTACGACGTGCTATAGGCGAGTAAACAACAGATATTAATAAGATGAGCAGTTGCCTCAATGAGCGACCAATCAGAAATGTATCAAGAGGCTTAAGTAAACTAGAAACTCATTCGCAATCCTGAACTATCCATTATAGAACAAGGTGAAAATTTAAACCAAGCCATGATATCGATTACCAAATACATGCCTTGCGCATTTAGACTAGAACTCACACCAAAAACATAGCTGCAAATACAGAGAGGCAGAGAAGGGTAGTCAAATCGGTCCAGGCGCCCAAGATTCGCGCATCTCCAGTATGAGTTGAACTACTCGGACTAGTTGAAGACGTGCCACTTGCTGATGTGCCACTTGCTGATGTTCCGCTTGCTGATGTTCCACTTGCAGTGGTGCCAGTTGCGGATGAACTGCTGCTGGTTGATGCGGCTCCGAAAACGCCCCCATTGACAGAAGCCGGTACAGTAGTATCATTCGCCATGGCTGCGGAGGCCTTGAAAGCCGCAAGTGTATTCGGACCGTTGGAACTGAGCAAGGATTAACACTTTTTGTTTACTTTTCTATCGCCAGAGTATATACTCACGGAGCATTAATGACGCCGACCATACCATCCTGGCAATGACCAGGTACACCACAGTAATACCATATGGGGTTTGTATCGTTGATAGTCACAGTGAAGATCGATGACTAGAAAAAAAAGCTAGAGTCAATGTCTTGTGCATTCTAAATGTCGACTGGTTGACAAGGACTTACAGATCCCCCAGAGCCAGACACTATTCCACTCGAGATACTAGTATCGCTCAAAGGGTGACACGGATTCGCAAAGGATGCTTGTGCTACTGAATGAGTTGATTGAAAGTGAAACTCGACTTGGCCTCCGGGAGAAACTGTGAGCGAATCTGGGCTGAATGTGAGTCCACTTGCACCCACGAGGACGGTTTGGACTGCAGTTGCACTCTTAGTCGTTGAGGAAGGAGGCGATGAAGAAGTTACGGTGCTGGTCCCTGGATCTCCGGATTGGGCGCCCACCAGGGTGAGCAAGCAGAGAATGGGAATAGACTTGAAAATTTGATTCATCTTCGCAGCCTATCAGAATGACAAATGAATAATGATGGAATAAGTTCAGGCAGGGCGATGTTCCAAATCCCTGGAGTTGGCTTTTCTATTCATTATTTATACTCACGGGATCGACGATGTCCTGTAATCAGATCAACATCTATCTTACTAACTTAAGACAAAGTTAAAGTTAATTATACAATCGCCATTCTGAGTATGACGCTTGGGAACTAAAACAAAGTTTCATTGGCACAGCCGCAGTCTGTGCTGCGCAACTTTAAAAGATGCCGTGATTCGCGACTCAATGAGGAAGTTCGCGATGTCTTGATTGGGAAGTACGTGACCCCGCGGAAGCCCTATCACAGCCCCAGGTTACAAAAAGCAAATGCAAAACTCCGACCCTTTGTGAGTAATTGTGCATCTATGACGGGTAGAGTTTCAAGTTTCGGATTGCTCGTATTTGTTATTTTTCGGCGGGAATGCTTTGCCAGGGACGAGACTGACTTTGTTACCGCGGTATTGGCTAGTGCTCGTACTTAGATAGGATCTGTATATCATGATGAGAGTGGTCTGAATCAAAATTCCCATTCCGGCACTCCGGTTGACCAATACTGTCAACGCTTAGCAGGTATATTATTCTTCGTTATGTTTTCTTTTCAAAGATGGCTGATCCCATCAGGCGGCACGTTTTAGTACAAAACCTAACTAACAACACTCTCGAACTTGATCATTCCTCGTCTCCTACTTGAGTCGCATTACTCAATCGTATCCTGCTTCGCCGTCAGTTTTGAGTTTTTCAGGATCGGTATCTGCACCAACATCTCAGGGGAAATGATGAGTGCACGTAATCTCTCGGTCGGCTTTTGCTTGTCACTCTTGTCAAGTCTTGTCCTTGCCCAACTTCAAACATACAGCCCCCCAGGACAGACTGACATAACGTACTCAATCAACGTCCCCGACCAAACCGCGACGAGCGGCTCGGGACCTGTTTTTATCCAAATAAAATCCACCAATGTCGACCTTGAATGGCTTGCGTTCGGGGAAGGAACTCGAATGCAAGGCTCCAACATCTTTGTCGTCTATGGAAACGGAAATGGCAACAACGTCACGCTATCTCCGAGGCTTGGTGGACCACACGTTGAGCCTCAATTCAATTCCCAAGCTCAAGTTTCACTCTTGGATGGCAGCGGAATAAGTAACGGCACCATCACTGCGAATATTCGGTGCGACAGCTGCATCTCTTGGTCTGGTGGGAAGGAAGATGTGACGAGCTCTTCTGCTTCCTGGGTATGGGCCGTCAAGTCTGGCTCCCTCATCAAGTCGGACAGCGTTTCAGCGACTATTAGCCAGCATGATACTTCCGGTGTTGCGTCTGTCAATCTTCAAGCGGCGACTGGTGGAAACTCTGACAATCCATTTCTCAACAACCCTGCTTCGTCTACCTCCCCTGCCTCCTCTAACCCATCGAATCCAAGTTCACCGCAGCCTCTGGTAACGACATTCAACACTGAATCAACCGACAGAAAACAAATCGCACACGCGGTCATCATGGTCATCGCAATGGTCATACTCTTCCCTACCTTCGCATTGAGTATTCATTTCCTCCCATCCTCCCGTGCCGTCGCTTTCCACGGCTATCTTCAAATCTTCACTCTTGCACTCACAATCGCCGGTTTTGGTCTCGGAATCTCACTTTCGGTCGACCTGTACCCTATAACAGGCTCAACCTACCACCAAATCATCGGCATAATCGTCGTTTCCTTCTTGACTCTGTTCCAACCTGCGATGGGTCTGTTGCAGCACCGTTATTGGCGCAAAGCTGGACAGAAAAGTGTGTTCGCATACGCGCATAGGTGGCTTGGTAGGACGATGATAGCACTTGGAATAATCAATGCTGGACTTGGGTTTCGATATACTGGAATCGGGGGTACAATGGCGTCTAAAGGGGTGGTGATTGCGTATGGCGTTGTTGCCGGAATCGTAGGGATATGGTATATCTTGACAGTGGCTTTTCTTTCCTATCGCCATCGCCGTGCAAGGTCTATTTAATCACTCATGTCTGAACCAGACAAGAGTGACAAGGGCTGCCATGCTGATATATTACGCCTATAATGTTGCGCATATAAGAGTTCGAGGTATAATACGTGATAAAAGGCCATGCAGCTCATGCTATGGCCAAGGATTATCAATTATATTAATACTGAATGGATGTCGTAATTTTCCTACAACAAAATACCGAGACTCTAGCAAACGTTGCCTTACTCGGAAACGTCATAGAACTTACCCATAGCCATCTCAATCTGTTTTTGCTTTTTTGCGCAAAAGGCTTTTTGATATTTTACAAACATTCCTCTAGGAGCCTATACTATATTACCCTGGAAGAATATGTGGCTACTCAATTCTCCTCGGTAGTGACTCAGTGTCCGCGCTCAACTCTCTTATGATCATTGGCGCTGGTAGCTCTTGAGGCAAGGTATCTCCCAATTCCCGTACAGGTCCACTTCTTTCTGCGCTCAACTCGTGCCTGTATTTCTCTTCAGCTGCCAGCTCTTCCCTTTATATACCATATATTGTGGAGTCATCAATACGTCGAGCTCGACGGCGCCGTCTTGCGAACAAAATCGCAAGGATATCAATGAGAATAATCCCGACAACAACGGGCACAACGACAGCCGGGACAATCACACTAGCTTGTGGACTCGATGATCAAGTTGTTTTTGAAGCGAGATCGGGAATAGGCGAAGAAGTAGAAGTCGAGGTTGATGCAGAACGTGATGCAGAAGCCACAGAAGTGGAATTCCAAAATGAGGTATCACTAATACTCTCACAATAGGATATGAAGTCTCCTAGGCTTGAAGAAGGTATATAGCTCGTCACGTTCCACAGATTTTTATTAACACAATTATTACAGCTGGCAAAGTCCTTCTCGACCTTTTGACTGTTACAAACAGCGGGCAGCCTGCCTACCGCCTCAATAACGACAAAGATGCTGTCTGAGAAAGGAGATGGATTCAGTTCGATGGTTTGTTCTCATTATAACTTCCTAATTATGTGATTTGATTGAGTAACGACTTTCCTCCTCTTTTCTGGTGCGTGCAGTCGAGAATTGCTCGAGAATGACATGAACATATTGCATTGTGAATAACAAAGAGCTGGGATCGAAAACTTAGATTGTCGTTGGAAAAATCGATCGGCTCAGTACATATTTTTAAAAAGAACATGCCGCTGGATTCTCTGCTGGTTGGGACTTCTGCGTCTCTCTATGATAATGATGAAAGATGACTGAAAATCATAAGAACCTTGGAGATGATGGCCAAATTCAAGGGCAACAGTGGTGAGCCTAACAAACCGGTAAGCAGTAGCCAATCTAGATACAAGAGTTATTCGCGTATAAATCAATACTTCTATGTCTGAAACATTTTCAGGGGTTACTGCAGGGTAGCATTATGCTTCAACGAGCCGCAGCGCTTGTATCGTGATGATCATGCAGCTCCAGCGGGTATCGCAGTATTTGAGCCTCAGGCCTCCAGTGAGCATTCAAAAAGCCGTCGGGTTACTGTGTTTATCGAAGATCTCCTTATGAACAAATGTCGCGAAATTGAAGGTTTTCACAATCCTATGGTTGAAGCTATTCCAAACACAATAGGCCAGAAGATCAGTCTATCTTGTTATTCGCTTCATGGCATTCCGGACGCCAGCCTTGAGATTCATGGATCTATGCCTCGTGGTAACCTCTTTCCAACTTGGAAGCTACTACCTACTTGAAAGTCAAGGAAGACCAGAGACCTCTCCTAACATTCGAGTGTTCGTGGTACCGCACCTGGACACGGCGTAAGTCATATCCTGACATTAAACAGCCAGGTCCTGAGTCGGACCTCTCAATCGTTGAATTTTCCATATGGATAAATTCGCTGGCATGCCGATTATCTCAGAATGTATTTACTAGCAATGCTGGCCACTCTCTACCCTTATAGCGAGAACATTTCAAACTTGACTTACCAGGGGATTTAACCAGTCAGACACAAACACCACTGGAAAATTGAAATACCCAACCACTTCAAAGCTATGATCGATGTTAAATCACATTCAATATATAAAAACCTTAAAAAGCACAGACTTAAACAAATCCCCAAAATCAGAAACCGCCACAGATCTACACAGAGCCATCGTCTTGGAAATTCCACTTAACAAGCGATGATTCGTCGGAAATATGTAACCCCTTCTCATGAACCAATCTACCGGTTCTATTCCAAGGTTGAGATATTATGCATCAAAAATGAAGCCTGATAAACATGGCAGAAATATGATAAACACGCAGACCCGATGGAAAGCGAGAAAAAATGCGCTGGTGGGTTGATATCTTCTCGTTAAAGTATTGTTGTTGACTTCAAAAAACGGGTGAGAACCAAACCAAAGATCCCCGCGACTCGATTGGGTCGGGTCATGTTGCCGATGCGACAAGATGAATCATCAATGCGATGAAATCACCTGCATTACTGTACAGTTTTTGACTCCGTATAAAATCAAAACTTACGGAGTGGATTATCCTCTCCCCAGATTGCATACATAGTATTATGAGAGGATAAAAAAACAATTCCAAATACGATAGGTCAGATGACCAGTCTACCCAAGTTCATGGACCTAATAGGCTTGTCCCGATAATCGCTTCGCTTCGCCACACCCCCGGACGCCATTTATGTAAATCATGGAGTACGACGACGCCTCTTCAGGGTAAGGTATGCAGTTCACCGCCGGTGGCGAAAATATTTGCTTTCGGACTTAGAGGCTAGATGGGTATTACAATTCCCCGTTGTACCTAGCTCCCTTAGACCTGGTTGATTATCAAAGAACTAGAAGTAGACAAAAAATATTGCCACCGTATTTACTGTCACTCCCATGGTAAACGAGAAATACGATGGCGAAATTTCGGAACAATGCTATGTTGTGCCCAACAGGTATGCCTACATTGCCTAGAAGCATGGTTTAAGCGATGCAATTAGATGCATTGTTAGCGTTCAGACATTACGGTTAGTGACTCCGGCTACGGGATGGTACATGCAAAGTTCGTGCGACGTTGGAACCGACGCATCTCCGCGCGAACTACTTTTGGTAGATGTTTTTTTTTTAGGTTAGGGGTGGAATGAATGAAGAGTCTGCATCAGTTGGTGAGTAAGGCGTACTGAAGACTGTTGAGTTGCATGATGAGTTGTTAGGACTGTTGAAATAAGGTGGTGAGAAGTGCGCCGGTGGACCGATGATCAGCTGAGAGTCAGTCTCCTCTGGCTCCTTTTTTACGTACTCCTCGGCAAAATGCGAACAATCTTCAGTCAGGTGAAATAATTCATGCAGAAGTGTCAATTGTAAGTAGTCCCTGTCAATTTTGACAGGTCGAAACGTAATGAAGTAAGTGTTCACAGCCATAAAAAAACTTAAAGATCATCCATCTAACTCCTCGGAACAAAGCGGCGGACAAGCCTAGATCTGACATGACCAAGGGCACTGGAGGTCTCTATTGGCTGGAATTATGAACCTGTCCCAGCAGCCAGGATGAAGCGAAATTCCATGTCTTTGGCTGGATCTGTGGGGTTGTTTACAGGGACAGCCGAGATTTCTTCAATCTCTCGGAATGGAATCGCGATGATTTCGCTTCAAACCGGAAACGAATCAAAAAGGTCCTGCTTTGAATGCTCAACACACTCTTCAAAGTCATTTGAGCACCGAAGAAATGCCGAAAGAGTCTGGGAATAAAACTACATTGTACGTGCAGTATCAACCATTATGCATGTCAGTGAACTGGGTCTGTGCAAAAGTAAAACCTAAGCATGCACCACCACCTTTGGGTATCTAGACCGCATGACAGTCAGCCTACCTCGAGCTTCGTGGGTCTGGAATTGAACAAATGCCATTACGCTGTATGGTAAGGCATAAAACGTGGTCAGCCGTTGATAGCGGGAAAGTCTCTGCTCCTACTCCATCCAGAGCGGTCCAGAACGTTTCTGCAGGAAATTTCTGTTGCTATAATTAATAGAGGATGGCTGCATCCAGTGCATTGAAAATTTTCGATGGATTTGGAATTTGATCTTCCTAACCCTGATCGCCGATTTAGACGGTGCGAACCATCCTGGATAATACTTCCCGGCCCGTCGTGTTGTTGGATAGCGCGGGTCCATCAATCGGTAAACATTCGGTATTGCGTCTGGTACAGCAGTATCTTTCGATCAGCGCGTCTTGTGAAACGCGAAGTAACGGAGCAGACAAAATTGTTCACAACAGCCGATTGGCGGGAACTAACCGTATTCAACTGTCAACACCGAGTAAAGTCCAGACTATTCCCAGCTAAGTTCTTAGTTTATTTCGCCTCCGCGGTAGATTTTCCTTGGAATATGTATGGTCTCTGAATATCAGCTTGAATCCCCATCCTCACGGCGTGAAATGGAATTGTCTCGGATTTCATGCCTACCTTTCTGATTAGCGCGGAAAAATCCAAGCTATAGTGAATTGTTGAATGTCACCAGAGGACTAATACTGAGGTGTCCGCGTGCTCACATGAGGTTGTAGTAACAATTGGGGGCAAGGTATAAAATGCCCTCCTAACCCTTCACCGGTGGCAAACTATTATCACCTCACTTGAAAAAGTCTCCTGCAGTCTCAAAAATCTAGATCCGTCTTGCATCAACAGTAACAGCATGTCGGAACCGAATATCGCTAGATCATTAGCGCCTGCGCCTCCTGGCTTCCAGCGTAGGCCGAATGCAGAGCCAGCCAGACAGCGGAAGAACATATCAACCGCTTGTACTGCTTGCAAGGCTCGAAAGTGGAAGGTCGTGATTGTTCCTCTGTATTATCTATACGACGCTAATATGGCTCCTAGTATACAGTGCACCGGAACAGTCCCGTGCAACAATTGTGTTCGGAGCACCACTGAATGCATCATAGACGAGTCGAACGACAATCGTCGTCGGCTTGCCCTCAAGCGCAAGCTGGAAGAGCTCACTGAAGACAAACAGTTGCTGGTCCAACTAGTCGAGACTCTCCGCTCCAGTTCCAACGAACATGTTGTGCGACTTTTAGACCTCATCCGAAACAAAAAGGGAACAATAGACGAGATAAAGACGTATCTCGATGGGAAAGTGACCGACAGCGAATTTGATATGACTCCTGAACTGCAGGAAGCGCAGGACCACCTTGAAGCAAGAGCCAGTAGGCGGTCCAGTCGTCGTTTGTTGGACGTCACATGGCTGTCGAACATTCCAGTCGTGGAAGTGCCAGCTCACCCATGGACGACGGTCACAGATGATGATGGTCTAGTATCATTCTTGATCTCTCTTTGGTTGACATGGAGCCACCCGTTTTCCAACTGGATTGACCGTGATTTGTTCATTCGAGATATGCGATCCAAGGACACAAGTTCGACCTTTTGCTCTCCGTTTCTAGTAAACAGCATCTTAACCAAAGCTTCAGTGAGTAGAATAGGGAATTCGACTATAACGAATATTGACACTAATGGAGCAGTTCTACTGTGACTACCCTGAGGTATTTGAAGATGTAAATGACTCAGAATCCAGGGGTATGCATTTCTACAAAGAAGCGAAGCAGCGATTCGAACATGAAGATGGCAGAGTCACCATTCCCACAATCCAAGGATATGCCACCTTGCTGACAAGGTATGTTTCTCTATTTGTTGCCTCTGGATTTGCTAACTCGAGTAGCATGGCTCTGATGGGTAAAGATCGACTTGTTTGGCTATCGCTTGGCCAGTTAGGACGAATGGTGGCCGATATCTCCTCGTACAACCTGCCGATGCAGCTACACAGTGATGTGAATAAGCGCGCTGAAGGAAGAGCCATTGATAACACAATTTGGGGAGTGTACAATCTTACTGCGTCTGACCACCTTTCAACATCACATCTCACGAACGCCGTGCTTCGAGAAAGGATTATTTGCTGAGACCTTTGCAGAATGTTTTCGACCATATTCATGAAACCGCTTGACCTAAAGAAACCCTTAAGACCACGGTTACCTTCTGACCACGATGATGACGATGCTACTGAGGTGGCATGGAGTCCATATCCTCGCCATGGAGATGACCAGCCGTCTCATCTTCCATGTGTGTTTAACAACCTGACTAAACTCAACGAGATGACTGTTGAAGCTATTCGGCGGCTTTTCAAAGACGAATCACGAAAGGCGATGTCTCGTGCAGATATGGAGACCATCATTAGCTCTATGTTTCCGCGGTTGCAGGCCTGGTACATTGACTTGCCGAAGTGCATTCAGGAAGGACAAACGGCGGTTCCTCATATTTTAATTTTACAGTGAGTCAGTCCCGTGGTCAGTTTCGTATTTCCCTGACTTATCACTTCTTCAGCATGTATTATCATGCGACAATCATGGTACTGTTTGGGCTGCTCAAGAGCTCATATCGGTATCCATCGCGTCCAATGATCATCACCCCCCATGAAGCGCGAGAAACTTGTGTTGAGTCAGCACATCAAATTGCGCAAATGATTCGCCTCTACCGCTCGAAATGGGGGATCGAATTCATTTCCGGCACAGCAGTCTATTGGATATCGATCGCATTGTTCGTTCTGCTCGATGAGCTAGAGAATCCGTCTAATCGGCGAGCATTCATTGACCTCTGCTCCATGGCAAAGGCTCTTTCAAAGCAATGGTTTCTGATGAAGGGTATTCTGCGAATGATTCAAATCACAGCAAGACAGATGCACATCAGCCTTCCACCAGAGACGGAGCCATTACTGCAGGACTTTGAAATGAACATGTGGCGCCAGGATAGTGGCCGGAGACGGCTTAGCAGTGCCTTTGCTAATTTCGCATTGTTGTTCCAGCGTGTGACTGGAGTAGGAGGCGGGTTGCACGACCCGATTGACTTGGATGAGTATTTGGAGAAGTTGGAAGATTTGTCGAGGTTGGAGATTGTGCATGACCGCCCGACTGCTCCTTCCTGAGTCGAAGCGGCTCCTTCCCAGACTGTACGCACGATTGCATGATCACCTGATGACATACACCAGGCAACCATTGTTTCTCTCAGCGTTTCCACTATCATTGTTCTTGCGTATTTGCTACAATTCTCTAATTGAACACACCAGTGGTATGCGCATGTCACTCTATACACTTAACAATATAGCTCTAAAGGTACGGAATCAGACGTAGGGGTCGAGAGATATCTTGCATTTGGCTAATTCAGCTATGTGACTCTGATGATGTATAGTGAAATGCGCGAATTAGTGCGAGAGCATTTTGATGCTTGTTTGAAGTTGACGCTTTGGCCCATAGCGACAGCCACAAGGATTCGTCATATGCAATGCTTCACGCTTTGCACGAGTGGATATTTTATGCTCTGGTCCTCCAGCCACAGACTCCGGTACCATGGTAGTTTGCTTGTGCGAGGGAGTGGGCAGTCCAGCTTGGTTTCTTATCTGTGAAGCCACAACTCCAAACACCAAATCAGATTCCGCAGGTCCTGCGCTTCTTTCATTATCATTATCTGTCCAGGCATTGATGCATGTACAGATGGCTCGGCATGTATTGTAAACGCACACCACTAATGACGGGACATGATCGAAAGGCCGTTCGCCTGCATTGCGCCTTCAATTCCGCCTATTCGCCGACGGCAGTTTCACGGGTGAGTTCAGGACTCCATGCCTCGTATCTAGAAAAATCTGCGCAATTGCAACGATCACGTTCAAGGAATGACCATCGTAAGTTGCCTGATTACTTTTAGATTCTCAAGCGTTGATTGGCGGAAGGCATTCTTCTGGAAGTCCCCGCAGACGGCATTTTGGATTGGCTGTTCCCAATCTAGTGGATAAAGACTCCAACTTCGCCGACAAGAAATGCCAAGAAACAAGAGTCAAGACAAGAGATGCTTACTCTACGCCAGAGTCCATGTGCTATGGTTACTTCTAACTTTGTATACCTACTATCCACAGATCTGCTGAAGAGACTTTTGGCGTGTCGTCGATGTACTACTATGTAGGTTCGTTTGGTGTAACCTCAATATAGACAACTGGCTGTAGCGTTCTCTTTGCTTTTCCCTGCTTCGATTTCTGGCGAAATGAAAAAAAAGGCAACAATTTATTATCGGCAAGTGCGTTATAATAGTACGCAAGCATATCCATAGTATAACAACCATGTATGGCATATGCTCACAAAACGAGATTATCTCCATTCTCGCTAGGCCATTTTCATCTAGTCTCTCCACATACACCGGCGAGGGCGCATTTAAAGTAGGGGCTAGCCCGCCAATCATTGCGCGCCTTCAGACCACGCCGCCATGTCCCCTGTTGTGTTGCAACTTGTGTATGCTAGCAAATTGCCCGATCAGGCTGTCCTCAAGACTGGCTCCGACTGAGGCTGGAGCTTGGCAAAGCTTGCGAAATAAATTCGCCTGCTCGATTAGAAACAACCGGCCAATCATGCACGAATTAATGTCAGCTGGTGCGGAGCCCCGGGCACAACCAACAGCGCACGTGTACGATTCGCGATGATTGAGATGCGCAACACTGCTTCGGGATGCGGAACACACGGCAAGAACTGCGAGAAAGAAACAGCCAGCTTAATTTCCTGCGGCCGACACTAGATGCAAATCGAGTCAGAACCCAGAAAGTCCAGCAGGAAAGAGGGTGGACAAAGCATCCAGCTTGTCCCTTGCTCCAATCCCACGTGGGCGCACGAGCTGCAGCTCAACAATTATAAGATGGACCGTTAACGCCGTTGCATTCGACGATCTTTTTTTTTTCTCCCGTCGTTGTCACAGAATCAATCACTACCACAACTTCCCAGGTATTTCGGACCAATTCATCATGAAGTCAGGTATTGCTGCCGCCGCTGTTGCCGGCCTTTTGGCCAGCTCGGCTTTGGCCACTCCTACCTCCACCCACACCGACTGGACTGGCAGTGAGTCTATCAACAAGCAGACTTCCACTCCCTTTGGCTACAAGCCCGGCTCCAAGCAGTCCGTCGCCAACTTGAAGAAGCAGATCAAGAACGTCGTCTGGATCTTGCTCGAGAACCGCTCCTTCGACAACATCCTCGGCGGTGTCCGTGGCCGCGGTCTCGACAACCCTACCAACAACGGCGATTACTGTATACCCCAGAACGTCAGCCAGCCCAACGGCAAGCAGTGGTGCACCGGCAACAAGAACCTCGACTCGGTTACCAACGACCCTGATCACTCGGTCACTGGTAACAACTTTGAGTTCTTTGGCCAGTTTGCTCCCAGCAATGCCGATATTGCTGACGGCAAGCTCAGTGCTACTCAGCAGGGTTTCGTCAACAAGCAGATGATCTCATACCCCAAGATTACTGCTGACCTTGCTGCTGAGGAGGTTTTGGGATACTACACCGAGGAGCAGATCCCTGTCCTTGTCAACTTGATTGATGAATTCACCACCTTCAACTACTGGTTCTCTTGCGTTCCTGGAGTAAGTCTGCCTGTCGTGTGATCAAGGTCATAAAGCTGACGATCTAGCCTACCAACCCCAACCGTCTCTGTGCCATTGCCGGTACCGCCGATGGCCACGGAAAGAACGACAACGACTTCGATGTTTCCGCCATCGAGATCAACAGTATCTTCCAGGAGGCTACCGCCAAGAATATCAGCTGGCTCAACTACGACGGCACCAACGGTGCTTTCCTCCCGGACAGCTTGTTCTTCGACTGGACCGCCAAAAACGCTAATACAAGCGTCGTCCCCATCGAGAACTTCTTCCAAGACGCTTACTTGGGTCAACTCCCTCAATTGTCCTACCTCAACCCTTCTTGCTGTGGTGCCAACACCAACTCCATGCACCCCAACGGTAACGTCTCCTACGGCGAAATCTTCGTCAAGCAGATCTACGAGGCCATGCGCAACGGTCCTCAATGGGAAGAGTCTCTACTCCTTTTGACCTACGACGAGACAGGTGGTTTCTTCGACCACGTCCCTTCCCCCGCTGCTGTCCGCCCGGACAACAAGACCTACACCGAGACAGCCAAGAACGGCCAAAACTACACTCTCACCTACGACCGTTACGGTGGCCGTATGCCCACTTTCTTGATCTCCCCTTATACTCAGCCCGGTCACGTTGAGAACTACGGTGTCAACCCCGCTACTGGCAACGTGGAGCCTTACAGTGCCACCTCTGTGCTCAAGACTCTTGGTCTGCTGTGGGACTTGGAGGACTTTACTCCTCGTGTCTCCAACTCTCCTTCTTTCGACCACTTGATTGGACCCTGGGCTCAGTGGAAGACTCCCCAATTGGCTGTCCCTAAGACTTTCTAGTCGTCTAATGTTGGCTTGAAATCGTCTTKGAGTAAAAAGGAGGAAACTGATTACGTTCGTCAATAAAAATAATGTTTTTATAGTTCTGCTCGACAAGAGAGCAGAATAGCCCTGATTCATGAAATTAATGTGTTTATATTCTCTCCAAATATGTCAAATCTTAAATTGAATCCATCCAAACCTTCCTTCCGATTAGGGTTAGAGGGATCTAAGCCCCGACGTCATCCAGGTTCGAGAGGCCCCACCCCCGTCAAAGTGTCAAGAAGATCAAGGACATGACGTTCCATCTCTCTTCGAAGGATACAAGATTAAATTCCTTCAATTACCCTCAATCCTACTCAAAAAAACCAAATCCCCTGCTTTTCATCGACGAACATATCGGAATAAACAACTATATGTATTTACTCCATCTCCGAGTCGAACTTGGTCGCTCCGCAAAGGGGCTCCACTAACCAATCATGTCCACCTCCATTCTATCCGCCACCAGCACAAGCACGAGCAATAAAAGCAGTGATTCCAAACACTCCTCCAAAGTCCATAAATTCGCCAAACAGGCACAGAAACTGTCCTTGGGCGGTGGCAGGGATGAGCAGCAACAGCAAGAGAATGCAGCCATCGCGGCTCGGTTCGTGACGCCGCGCGACGCGATTATTGAGACGGTCGATGGGGAGAGATTACCCGCTGTACCGGTTGAGGAAGCGAAGAAATTGAATCGCTTACGAGATGAGGCTATCGACAGCGACGCAAATGGTCCAGGAAATTTGGACGACGTCGGCGGAGAGGACGATGAGTTTGAGATGAAAAATGGCACCAGCGAAAAACGAGAAATTTCTCCAGAGGGACACGGCGGACCCCTCGATCACGCGAAACCGCCTGCCCATACGCATCCATTGTTTCCGCCGTTGCCACTTTATGGCCCTTCGTCGCTGCTGCGCACGTTGCAGTGTCAGACTTTCCGCGTGGTGTCGTTTTGGCTTTCGCTTTCGTTTTTGGGTGTGATCATTATCGGGTCTTGCGTTAATGGAATACGCCCTGGAATCAGGAAACTGTGGGCGAGAGTCAGGGGCAAGAATTTGGATATGGAGAGGCCGTTCTACAAGGAAGAAATGGAGAGGGCGTCGATAAGACGAGAACAGGCGAAACGATGGGAGCGAAGACAACAAGTTACAAGCCCTACAGATATAAAACTCGCGAAAGAAGAAGGAAGGACAATCAATGCTGAGGATCCCGATTCGGATTTTGAGTATCCACCGCTGGAGGGTGGGCATGATCCTGTTGTTTGCGATATTGGGTACTATGCCAGACGAGTCGGGTTGGATGTGGAGACATTCAAAGTACAAACAGAGGACGGGTTTATATTGAAGATGTGGCATGTGTATAACCCGAAGGAGTATACACCATTACCCGAGAGTGAGCGAGGATTCCGGCAACCGGATGTGTTCTACGACCGGAAAACGAAGGATTTCGCCCAGAAAAATCGTCGATATCCAGTACTGTTGATACACGGCTTACTACAAAGTTCTGGTGCTTATTGTGTCAATGACGATGACAGTCTTGCGTTTTTCCTGTGCAAGGCGGGATACGATGTTTGGCTGGGTAATAATCGATGTGGCTTTGAGCCTCAGCACAAGACTTTGAAATATTCCGATCCTAGGATGTGGTGTTGGAATATTCGTCATATGGGTGTACTTGATCTTCCTGCTTTTATCTCGAGGGTGCTGTACGAAACAGGCTTCGAGAAAGTAGGTCTCATCTGCCACAGTCAAGGAACCACCGAGGCAATGGTCGCCTTGGCAGAAGATCAACGACCTGATCTCGGCGAACGCATTTCAGTATTCTGTGGTTTGGCACCAGCTGCATACGCCGGCCCATTGATCAAAAAGGCTTATTTCAGGTTTATGCGGATTATATCTCCGAACGCGTTTCGACTTTTCTTTGGTATTCACTGTTTTATCCCGTTGATGATGACGATGCACGGTTTGTTGCCGTCGCGCTTATATGGCGCGCTGGGGTATCAGATATTTTCGTATCTCTTTGACTGGAGCGATAGACGCTGGGACCGCGGCCTGCGCGATCGCATGTTTCAATTTTCGCCTGTTTATGTCAGTGCGGAGAGTATGCGTTGGTGGCTCGGCCGCGACGGCTTTGCAGTGCAGAAATGTATACTTGCTACCGAAGAACAAGGCTTGCGAGAAGAGGAAGAAGATCGCGAATACGACGAAAGCAACGACGAACCGGACAGCACCGCAGAACTTACCACTACGCCATCAGACAGAAAACAAAGCGCGTGGTACGGTCCCAAAACACCGCCATTCGCATTCTGGGTTGCGGGATCGGATGGTCTCGTTGATGGGCGGAGATTGTTGAGGCGGATACGGAATGGGAGGGAACCGCACGTCAGGCTTGTGCATGAGAAGGTTATTGAGGGGTATGAGCATTTGGACGTGCTGTGGGCGATGGATGCGATTGAGCAGGTTGGTAAGGAGGTTGCGGAGGTTGTGTGGAAGACTATATCGGAGGAAGAGAGGGGAAAGTGTCGAGTGCCTAAATTTTGATTTTTTATTATCTAGCATGGCGTTGTCGGATCTATATACAGTATATCGTGTGTATATGGAGGGCTATGAAATAGTTTTTTGCGTTTCATTGCATGGCGTTGGACATTTTCTTGCACTAGAAATTTGATAGATTTTTCATACATTAATTCATAAACTTGCGTGATCATAGATATCACTTCTCGAATGCTTCCAGGCTGCTACCTCCTCATCAAGGACCCTGTAAAGACTCAGGCAGTCAAGAAGTCCCAAACAGCACCAGCATGCACTTTCGTAACATGCAAAAACTCCGCTATAGACGCAGACTCATTCACAGACGCCACTTTTTTCCTGTCAGCAAATCCATCCTCACCCAAACTTGCAAGGTTGTAGGAAATACTTACTCGTCGCAGGACTGCATCCATACACAAAGGCAGGCACCCCGGCATATCTGTAATGCTTACAATCCGTAGCCCCCATCGACGGGATCGCCAGCGGTCTGACAGCGCCACCATTCTCAAGTGGATGATGCGCAGTAAGTGACTGTGTGTTTTCTGCCAATAGCCCAACCATCGGGTGGTTAGGAGACGAGTAACTATACGGATTACTCGCCGCCTGATGCACGTCAATCTCAATCGTAGCGTCCGGTACATATCTCGGAACGATTTCTCCCTGAATCAGATCTAGAACTTGCTCTTTCAGCAGGCCCACGGGCATTCTAATGTCAAGCTCAAATATGCACGTATCGGGAATCATATTGACTTTTACGCCACCCTTGATCGTGCCTACGTTCACAGTCGGTTTGAGGATTATGTCTGATGTCCCCGCACCCATAATCTCATCAATCAGGTCTCTGACCTCGGGTTTGGCGACTTGATCAACGAGTTCTTGCGGTACATCGACCTGTATCCCTTCCATGGCCTCGATAACCTCTGCAATGAATTCTGTAGCCGTCCGAATCGCACCTTTACTCAAATTCAGATATGCGCCGTGCGCACCCCGCGTGTGTAAAGTGCATGTCATTCTCAGCGTACCCTTTTCGCTGAAGCGGATGGAATTGCAGCCTACGGGCTCAGTACTGAGCATGACGTCTCCTCCCCATTTTTGGACGTCTTGTTGGATGAGGTACTTTGTGCCCCATTGGCCGCCCGTTTCTTCGTCTGAGACGGCGCAGAGAGACACGCTGCCTTTTAAGTGCTGCCGGTTCTGGTACAGGTGTGCGTACGCAATTACCAGTGATGCAGTGCCGGATTTCATATCTACGACGCCACGGCCATGGATACGGTCGTCGACAATGTCGCCGGACCACGGGTCTCGGTCCCAGTTGTCCTGTGAGTCGGCGGCGACGGGGAAGACGTCGATGTGTCCATTCAGAACGACTCGGGGACCGGGGCCTAGGCCGCCTTGGAATTCGCTGACGATGTTGGGTTGTCCTGCTTGTGGTTCGATAATGTCGAAAGGGATGTTTTTATTGATTAGGAAGGAGGTGAGGATGCCTGCGGCCGCGGTTGTTTGGCCGGGTGGGTTGGGCGAAGGGGTCCGGACGAATGTCTGGAGGAAGGTGATTTGGCTGTCTTTGGTGGTGTCGAGGGCCTGCAGCATCTGGGTTTTGGGGTCCATGATCATGTTACCTGCCGTGGATGAGAATGGTTGAATGGCTATTGTAGAGGGAGGAAAGAAGTGTCAGTGATATTCGTGGTTCTGTTTATTTTGCCTGGAAGAATATTTGAAGTTGGCGTCTATTCTCTTATTTATCATATTTCTTATCTTGTTGAGGGTTGACTATACTACTACGTACTTAAAAGTGATGTGTGTATGAACCAGAGCGACCCAATCAGAGCTATTTGCGCCGATGGCCTTAAGATGTACATGGTTTGCGATCCCCACTAGGGATAGAACTTGACTCGTGTATGACTCAATGTCGTATATTGAGCACGCCTTTAGCTTTAAACTCATTTACTTTACTATTGGCATTTATATGATATGTCTACAAACCTGGTCCAATCAGAGCTATTTCCGCAGGGAAACCCAAATCAAGACATGCGAGGATACATGAGATATTATGCGTGGTAGCGCAGATGGAATCAATTTATATTCAAGACTGCCTACTTTAACTTGATATGGATAGTCTTAGCCTGCATGAAATCATGCAGCCCGTACTTCCCAGACTCTCTTGTGCCATTACCGCTCTGCTTATACCCTCCGAACGCCGTTGACTTATCAGGTCTAAAGGCGGAGTTGATGCCCACCGTTCCACTCTCAATCTTGGTCGCAACTCGTAATGCGCGCGAGATGTTCTCGGTATATATAGCCGCTATCCCTCCGTCAATTGTTGCCTGTAAACCCTAAATTGAATTGGTAAAGGAATGAGCTCACCAGATAATCCATACTCCGTATCATTCGCCCACTCAATAACCTCTTCCTCTGTCTTGAACGTCTGGATAACCAACACAGGCCCAAAAATCTCCTCCCTCAAAACTTTTGAGTCGAGAGATGGGTCAACGAAGATCGTAGGTTCAATAAAGTAACCTTTATTACCCTTTTGGTTTCCGCCTGTGATTAGTTTTGCGGATTTTTTACCTTCTGCGATGTACTTCATAATGGTATCGAATTGGGCGGAGTCAGCGACGGGGCCCAAGAAGGTGGTGGGGTCGAGGGGAGAGTTTCCGAGGCCCTGGGAGATGACTTCGAAGGTTTCTTTGAGGGTAGCGATGAGGTTTGTGGAGATGGATTCGTGGACATAGAGGCGGCTTGCGGCTGGAGGGKGTCAGCGGCTTCGAGGTACAAGTTTTGAGTTAGCTATAGTAAACCGAAGGACATACCAGCACAGACCTGTCCAGAGTTGAATAGGAATCCATGAGCAAGACTAGTTTGAGCCGTCAGTAGAGGCATCCCACACATCGCCTCAGGATTGACATACTTAGGCACCGCATTCTGCAAATCAGCATCCTCAAACACAATAGCCGGACTCTTCCCACCGAGTTCCAAAGAGACTTTCTTCAAATTACTCTTTGCCGCAGCTTCCTGCACTTTCCTACCGGCGTTGATGGAGCCCGTAAACGAGATCATGCGAATCTTGGGATGGGCAGCGAGTAGATGACCAGTAGCAGCACCGCCGGTGACAAAATTGACGACGCCGGGTGGGAAGCCTGCTTCGGCGAACAGTTTGCCGGCAAATAACCCTCCTAAGGGTGATTTTTCGGATGTTTTGAAGATGACCTATTCAGACATGAGCCGATGAATGTCAAGGGTTTGCCATTTGGAGGAATTTGACGAACTGTGTTTCCCGCTGCCAGGGCTGGCGCAATCTTCCATGCGTAGTAGCTAGTGAGACAAATTAGTTTTGCGGTTCAGGTAGCCATTTCAAGTATGTAGCCTACAGATAAGTGACATTCCATGCACAAATGCAAGCAACAACACCCAATGGCTCATACTGCACGAAGTTGTAGCTACCATCTTCGGGTGGAAATACATCACCTTCCAACTTATCTGCGTATCCTGCATAATCTGTACAAGTTCAGTGAACATCCTTCCACCCAAGCAAAAATCGAAAGGGACATACATCTAAAATAAGCTGGAATCGCATGCGCAAACGATTTCGCACTCCCCACAGGAATCCCCATCGCCAACGACTCCAATTTGATAGTCTCGTCGAGATTCCTCTCAAATAAATCTGCAAATTTATTCAATAGATCCCCTCTTTTGGCCCCGTTCATTTGACTCCAAGGCCCCTCCTTGAAGGCCTTTGTGGCGGCGGCTACGGCATCGTCGACGTCTGCTTCGCCGGCGACATGGATGTTGGAGGCGACGAGGCTGCCGTCGGTTGGGTTGTGGATTTCGAGGGTTTGGCCTGATTTTGCTTCTACATACTAGAAAGAAGTTGTCTAGTTAATTCCGTATTTAATGGTGTTCTTTGTTTTTGATACTCACTTCGTTGTTGATGAACAATCTCGTCTCGAATTGAGGCGCCATTTTGAATGAATGTAATTCGGTAAATCTTTAAATCAAAATATGCAAAAGGAAAAGATACTACGTTAAGAAGTTTCAGTAGCAGCAGGGCCCAATTTATACAAATTTCGTATAGTACTATGTAACACAAAATTACTAATCTTGTGCTACATGCCGATAGATCATATGCGGAGCTTTATGGTCTCTAGACAACTGCCCATATAAAATTTCCGAGCAATTCGGAACGCGTACACGCTTTCCCCGCACTTATAGAACGAGAGCTCCGAAAAAAAGTCAATCCAAATTCAGCTATAATATCTTTGGAGGGTATCTCTGTAGCTTATTTGTCACTTTTGGTACCTATGTAGGTAGCTTGTCCTGCGTAGCTTCGTGTGGCGCTGTACTAACCGAGGCAGTGTGCATCGATCAGCCAATTGGAGGGAGAATCAATACATAAGTAAATGGTACATCACAAAACTTGACCGCGACAGACTCAGATTCAGAGCTTGACTCTCTCTGAATCTGTGAGATTCGGGGCTGTTGGGTTGAACTAGAGTTCTGTATGAAGGAATCATTTCCGTTCCGCGTTCGGAATCTCGGAATGATCGATCCGTTGGTTGTGTAGCTAAATATGTTGACTAAACGATAGATTAGTGATCATGCTCAGCCAGGAGACGAGTGATGATAAAGGCACCCAATAAGAGTAGGAGATGTGCAACTGACGTGTCCTACTGGTGTTACCCCATATGGATGTGGATAAAGATGCAACTCAATCTAGTCAAAGGAATTAGGGCTTCATGACTCATTAGTTCGTAAAAATGACTAATCAATTAATTCTTTCTTTGTCATTGTGGTACATAATTTATCCTTATTGTTGTTTATCAATCAAATTATATGCCCAGATGAAAAGTGCATGAAGGGTTCTTTGTTTTCTAGATGCAATGCCAAAACAGATTTTACAGTCGACAGGATGGAACCGAACTTTCATTTTACAACCTTATCAATTTTTCAATAGTTCAGTGACTGTAACACCGAAGAGTATTCTTTTTGGGCATAAGTCTAAAGAAGAAAGGCCAGGCCAGATCATCTCGTTTGTTTTATCGTCTATTACTTGTCTAGACCCAATCATGCAGGGAAGAAGTAAGATGGAAGGCATTCGTTACATTACACATGCTGTGCAACCGTCGTAGAAAGGTTAGTCAGCAAGGTCCACAGACTTTAACAATTAGACTAACTATGTTGGAACGTAAGCTTCTGGCTCGAAATTAGCTGTCTTTGGATATCAAGCAGATAAGTGGTCTTTGATTTCCCTCTCTAAACATGAAGTGAATTTCCGAGCTTTTACGCTGTCCCAGGTTGGAAAGAACCAGCTATACTAATCTGCCTCGCCCCCATGACCTGGCCATTTTCTCCCGCTGGATATCTAGCTTCAAACCGTAGATTGCGGCCGTCGATCTGGATCACAAGCTCGAATTCGATACAATAGTGAAGCTGACCTTTTACGCCAGGATCGGGCTTCACAGCGTGGAAGTTAGGGTCGTCCTTCAGGAAGCTCATGTCAACAATTATGTGACCTGCTATCTCATAACCTGTGCAAGTGAGCTATAAGCGACTGAGACTGATTGCTAGGGGTTTTAGCTAACCTTTATTTTGAGCATGACCCTCACGGTAATGAGACTCGTGACGTTTGCTTGATACACAAAGAACCTCCTTACAATGGAACGGGATATCTGGCTCTGCCGGAAAGGTATGAAGCGCCTGCCGGATAAATACTGTTCCTGATGGGAGGAGATCTCCCTGGAAAGAAAAAGAAAGAAGGAAAGAAAAGATCAGTGAAACGGAGCAAACCGCGAGGGGGTGCACGCGCAAACCTTGTTTATGAACCAGTCGATTGTTTTTTTTAAATACTTCTTCCCGTCAACAGGGTCATGCCAGGGATACTCTTTCTCATGCGCCTTCCACACTGTCGGTTCATATACTTCGGTCCGGTAAATTCCGTAACTGGAGCGAACTCTTCGCTCGGGACCATTGGCTTTATTCGCAGCTCGAAGTACGGCACCATGAGCGACGGCCGTGCTACTGTGTTAGGGCAAGAGCCACGTCAGTGATAACTCGGATTGGTAAAAGCGGCACTGTAGCATGGAATCACATTCCCACCAGTCCCTTTTGGAAGCAGACTTCCAGAAAGGTCATGGTAAGATAGCTTGGAAAGGAACGTCTCGGTATTGATGTTGAGGGAAGAATTGAACTACTTACGGCACTGGAGAACTTATCAAGGGTATTCGTCGGTTTCTTTGCCGCGAATATTGCTCTAATTGTCTCTTTATATGTCCATGAAGTGAAGGCGATGATGAAAAGCCCCCAATCAGTATCACTTTTTCTTTTGGTCAATCAGTCGGTAAATGTATCCCTATGGCAACAGGAAAGAGGAAAAATACTCCAATCTCAACCCCTGCTCTCTCTGCTTTCTCCAACTGACTGAACATTAATTTGGACACGCCATCGAGACAGGGTTTGAAGATACTTCTGAAGTCGTTTCTGCAAGTTCCGCTTAGTGAATTTGAAGAAGTAAGTCTTAGCCGCATTCTACTTACTTGCTAATGATCAGCCTATTAGGTTTTATATATTTCTCACCCCTGGGCACCAGATAAGCGAGAGGAAGACGTTCAGGCTCAAAGTCGTTTGAGTAAATATCAATTCCTCTTTTTATCTGCGTTTCAAACATGCGCAGCAGCTCGTTTATCTTCCCTTCAATGGTCGTTCCCTTTTCAGTATTTTCCAACTCATGGTGACTAGCTAGACGATGCCAAAGTAGCTTTTCAAATTCTTCATTCAAGTAGCTTGAACCACAGAGCGCACCTTAGTGAGTGGATTAGAAGGGTTTATAACTATCTCCGGGATTCTGGCTTACCTTCTGGATCGAATTCTTCCCTTTCCAACCTCAGTGGGGATCTGGAGGCTACCCTGTAGGTAATGGCATCTACTGTACCACCTCCAGCGTCAAGAAGGAGAAAACAATCGCCTGCCTATAATACAATCAGCATGAAGCACCCTTCGTTGAGTTTGCGTTATTCAATAATCATACCATTATCTCCCTCGATTCTTCCAGAACGTGTGTTGATGCTGCTTCTGGTTCGGTAACGATAAACAAGTTGTCGACGTCGTGATTGCTGTGTTCAATAAATTCAGCCTCACGTAAGGCTCTGGTCATGGCATTTTGCATCGTTCTGCATGCCTTTTCTGTCCACATGGCTGGAACACACAGAACAAACTCAACTGAGCAGTCATTGCGATAGTCGTACTGTCTTTCCATTTCTGACTTTGTATGGTGGAGTAGGTTCTTCAAGAAGTCAGCTATTAGATCGGTTTCGTCTCGTATCATTTTTCTCGCTATCAAATCCTTCACGGTAATTGATAGTTGATTTCTGATATGTTTTGTATGGGCGCTATTATCTAGCAGTAACTTGGACCTGACTATGCGTCGAGATTGCTCCCGGGGAATGTCATTATTGGTCATGAATTTGGACAATGTCCATCCCCAATAGTAACGGTCAAGAGATTGGTCATCTTTATCCATATAATCGTCTTCATCATCATCAATTTCCATCAAATCTTCTTGACCGATAGCTTGGCTGTTGCTGTTATTTCCACCATTTTGGTAAGGTGTATCCACCATCGTTTCATCCTCAACGACATCAGTCAACCCGCCCAAGTCATCGCTTTCGGCAACGTTGCTTATAGTATCAACTGGCTGTCGAAATCGCTTTGCTTTTTTGGGATACCAGCTTTGTGTTGGTACCTCAACGGGGCCTTGGCTGATTACGCTCGTAGCGCCTGGATAATTGGAAATGCTGTTGATTTGGCTTGCGTCAATATCGATACCGTCACGTCGACGATACACCGCTACACTTGAAAATGTAGTCCCAAAGTCGATGGCCACAATGAAATGTTTTGTTCCAGATCCTTCAATTGCTACTGGCTCAGAGTTACCTGCAATCGCGTCATCTTGTGTAGCCTGGATAAATGCACGTGAGGAAGCTGGATATATCTCGCCCATCACGAACCGTTCCGTAGAGCTTGTAACTAACGTAGTCAGTTCTGACAGAATATACCGAGTAGACAAAACAAAAATGAAAAAGGAACCAAATGGCAAAATAAGTCACTACCCAGACTACTTGGTGGGCAAAGAGGGGATTACTTGTGTGTGTCTAGGAGATGGTCTAGTTGACTGACTGCGCCGCATTTTTGAAGTCCCTTGTCACACTAATGCAAAGAGATAACAGTAATTTGACCAGTAAGCAGCAAGTATCGCGCATTTTTATACCTTAGTCTCCCTCAACTTGGAAGAGAGGCATGCCACTAGACATTCGCTACCAATCTATATCATACACTGCTCGTTAGACGTTGCAACGCTGTGTAACCAGGGTATGTGGTGGCTATGTACCTAGCGTGTTGTTTTCCGTTGGCAGCGAAAGTGAAATCTGCCTTCGCCGTAAATGAACCACTAGCATTTTATTTCTCTTTCTTATTGTCAAACCTCCTGTCTTTTGATCCAGAAAACGAAACCATGGGTCGACCCAAGAAGCCGAGAGTGGCATGGAACTTTGATGATGAATGCTCAATGCTTGCTTTCCTGGAGTTTCGCATTAGTCACGGTGAGAGAGACCGAGTGAGAAATATCGAGGCGATTACGAATTATCTGAGGAAGAAACGATCCAAAAAATTCACTATCTCACAAGTCGAAGATAAATTGAACGAATTCCAAAATAAAACGACTCGAAAGCGCCGAAGAGGGACGATATTTACCGATGGACTTAAAGCCTTATCAAGCCTTCAACATGAAGAGAATGTTCTTCGACTCAAGCAGGAGTTGGATGATGAGTTTGTGATGAATATGCACAGTCAGGATAGATTAACGAGGAGTGGTTCGCGTAGCCTCGGTTTCTCTCGATCACAGCGTAGCAAGTACGCATCAGGCAGTGAGATACCAGAATCCCCGCCTCCAAGCCGGTTGCGTTCGACGA